TGTCTGGCGTCCTGAATCATGAAGGCTCGCTTGCTCCGGAAGTTAAACCGGATTGGTCGATAAGGTGTGTTTTATTCCTCACTAATTGATTTCTGGTGTCCACGAACTACGGGCCCTGAGACTGGCAAAGGGTCGCCTCGGCTATCAGTGCGAGCATGGACCGTTACAGCCTGTGACAATAATGTGATCCCGGTGGCTGGCTCGGTCGTAAGTCACCTTCGGGGGTTAGTGATGGAGGCTAGGCAGGTCGTACCTGAGCCAAGGAAGTTGAAGCCAATTTCCTCCTTCCTTAGGTAAGATTATAATCCACCGCAATATCAACCGATACTACCATACATGGTACTACTATAGAGTACATTGGACTAGTTCAGATCCATCCATCCCCTTGGTGACTCGAGTCGAGAATCTCTCCCCTCGTACACCCCTTGACTCCGTACGAGAACGAACAACAGCAACAGCAGCAACAACAACAATCAATACTAAAGTGGACCGGCCACGTTCGCAGTTGCGCAGTGCTGATCTCATCCAATCCCCGATCACATACGTAACAAGGGCTTGGCGGGACCCCGAAAAACAACGAAAAAATGAGTCCGCATCCACGGAAAAGCCGAAACATTGACCAGAGTCCAGAATTTCAATGCCGCTGGCCAAATGCCGACGGTTCTTCACGATGTGACAGTACACCATACGGAGTACTCCGTGCTCCGTAGTACTATGGCCAGGTATCCATATTATTCTGATTATTCTGATCTGGCCTGATCAATTCTTCACCCTTTCCCTCCTAAGTGGATAATAGTACTACCGACCGAGGTACAGCGTCGAATTACTACCACCTACTACGTCCACAACATATTTACATAAATAGTATAACCACACTATGCTATAAATCATGGTATAACCCCATGACCCATGATCCATAACTCAATATTCGACACCATTATACCTACCCTAAATCAAGTAAAATGAAGCCAGCCGTAAGCCCCCATGTAACACTGATCGGATCTAACCGGCCATCCAACTAATTAAACGGCATTCACTCCGTGGATAAACAGTCATCAATCCAGCAATTACCAAATCCAGACGAAGTAATAAGCCAGATGCCACCCCGTAAGCATAATAAATCAAAACAACCACCTTCCGACGGACCAGCGGAGTCGGATCCCTGTCTAACAAAAGCACGAGACTAACCTTTCTGCGCAAATGCAGACATCGACGATGATTTGCCGGAGGGAATTAGAGGTTTCTTTAGGGCGGACTTTTTTAGTCCGGCTGTCATTTCATTTCTTTTTTTTTCCTTTTTGCTTATTTGTGTGTGCAGGTAGATAAATATTCAGTGGTAAAGGAAGAATGGAAGGATGGATGATTTTCTTATTCTGGTTAGTTGGTACGCCTGCATATGCATAATAATGTTGCATTCGTTACATTCATTTGGATGCGCCCTAGAGTGTAGTAGCTAGGATAGGTAATAACATATCACATTCCTTACTCTATCCACGGGGGAGAACTGCTATGATGGATGACTAGGTAGGTGGCATGATACTCGCATTCTGTATGCTACTAATAAATTAGAATCTGGACCTTTGCTTCGTTTCATATTTTTAGTATTAGTACTGTACTTCCTGCTGTGACTTGGGGAGCGATGCAAGTGATGGTTATATACCTACATACTACTTACTGAAGTAGTACCTATCGCACGGAAATCCCGAATCTTTCGGATTACTCCGTACTACCCATCTCCTCCTTCTTCTTTAAGTAAAATGTCAACTGCAGTTATCCCAACCCTAAAACAAATCTACCTATGTGCTACCTATCTCGATTGATCTTTCCCCGCTCGCCGCTCCGTACTTGAATCTAAGATAGTACATACAGTACACTCCCAGCCCAGTCCAATCCCCTCACAACGACAGACAACACCATGACACCATCCCCATAGCACAAACACCTATACCCCATCCATACCCCATGGAAACTTCCCTGTTTTTGCCACCTGCCTACCTAGGCAGCCACCTACACAAATACGTAAACAAGTTATCTACCATCTAAGCAGCGATCACGCGGGCCAGTTCGGCGATGCGAGCTATCTAGGGGGTGTTAGTTCCGTTTGCTTGTTTGCTTGTTTGCTTTTTTTGGGATGGGTTCTTGTTGGGGTTGATCCTGGGGTATAGGAGGGGTGGGATATAGGGATGGGTTTTGCTATTGGTGGTTGTTTGTTGGGGTGGGTGAGTGGGTTGATAAGCCTGGGTTTGGATGATGGGCTTGCTAGGATGTTTGTTCGCGGAGCTTGAGTGGGAAAGAAGGGGGTAGCTAGGTAGAATGGTTATGTATTTTTAGGGGGGAGGGAAGGGGTTGGTATTGTTTGTTGTTTTGGGGGTTTGTTGGGGTCGCTTATGATGGGGTTGACTGGCTGGCTATGAAGGAAGAAAAGTAAGATGGAGGGGGAAGGGATTGAGGATCGCGAGGTAGAGGTGAGGTGGTAGTAGTAGTAGTAGTTGTTGTTGTTGTTGATGATGATACTTTATCGGAAAGAGCCGATGGCATCGTTGGAATTGAATGAGGGCATTGTCCTATGATAAGAGATATAAATTGAAGGTTACTATATATATCTAAAGACACTACGGAGTTTCAGGTGGAGAGGCGCCTGATGGAGTGCGTGATTGGATTATGAATGGAGTAGAATACATTGACAACATACATCTGACATGTCTACCATGTACTATTTGATAGTTGGCCATGTCGAGTCGTCTTGATAAAAGGCCTGGACCGGTCGGTCTGATATGTTGTTTCACAGAATCTTCATCAGTCAGGTGTCCTCTAGGTCTCATAGTGCACGCATTTACACGGGTTACATCATTACATCTAATGCAGCTACTTGAACAAAAACTACCATTCATTATGGGTATTCAAACCTCTTCATTGGTGCTACCTTTTAACCGAAAACAAACTCATATCATACCCCACGTAACCCGGACCAGAAACTTACGCCTCGTAGAGGGTGTTGAGGAACGCCTTGGAAGCGCGCTCGGGCTTGCCAGCCTCAAGGGACTTCTGGCCGAGCTTCTCCTTCGAGAAAGCAGCAGCGTAAGGGTTGAGACGGAGCATGACCTGCTTGTTGCGAAGAGGGTTCTTCTTCTGGACGTTGACACGCTTGGTGCGGGCCTCACCCTTGGGGGCGCGGAGAACGGACTGGATCTCAGAGGAGTTGATGAGACGGGCCAGGTCGGCGTTGGCAACAACGTTCTGGGGCAGGAGGAAGTCCTTCTTGAGGGCGGAGGCGGTGGTGGTGGTACCGTAGACCTTGTCGAGGGCCTCGAAAGCGGCAGAGGACCAGACGATGAAGCGACCGAGGTGACCACCGGGGGCGAGCTGGAGGAGGTTGAGGGAGAAGACGGAGGAGGTCTCAACACCGGGGATGTTGCGGAAGGCACGGACGAGCTCCTTGCCATCAACCTCGGGGTTGTAGACAACCAGGGGACCGCGGCGCTGGCGGAAGCGGCGGTTCCTCAGCTTACCCTTACCGGCACGCATCTTGCGGGACTTCTGGACCTTGACGAGGTCGGAGCCGGCACCGACGGCCTGGAGGAGAGCGACGGCAGCCTTGGTCTTGGCGATAGCGGCGTTCTCGAAGGTCTTGGAGTCAACGACCAGAGGGACCTCAGGAACGTTGGCAACGCGGTGACCGCGAGCGAACAGGAGGGAGGGGACGGAAGAAGCAGCGAGGGCAGAGGCGGTAGCGAAGCGTCTATTCCCATCAGTTTTTGGCTCATTTTGATTTTCCCGACCGGATTATCATGCATACCTCTGGCCAACGTTGACCTTCTGGTGCCACTTACGCCAGACCTTGGTAGGGGCGAACATACGACCGGAACGGCACTGGTTACCGAAAGCGGCCTGACCGGCACGGTGAGTACCACCACCGGAGACACGGGGGATACGAGCGACAGCGCGACCTGAAGTTATCCATCAGCCTTCCCGATTCCCTGGTCTTCTTTCCCGTTCCTTCAATTGTGCACATACCGGTACCCCAGGACTCAGCAGAGGTCTGTTCACCAGCCTTCTCGCTCACGGCGTAAGGCTGTCTCTTGTTCTTGGCCATACCGGTGTGCACCTGCCTGTAATCGTAAACCGTCAGCCATCCTCCGCTCCTCCCTGCGAAACCGGTTTAACGTCGAAAAAAACGTACTGGACAACATCAAGACGGATGGGCGAGGCGAAAACAGCCGGAAGGGGGTAGGTAGCCCCCGTGGGCTTGCCATCAGCGCCGGCGATGGTGACGGTAGGACGAGACGCCATTTTTGTCGACGGTAAGGTGGTCGTTGTCGTCGTTCGAGGTTGGAGATCGAGCATCTCAAGATGAGCGCGCAAATTTTCGCTTAGTTCACCCGCCCGTCGTGGGTGCGGCAAAGCCCTAGCCCTGCTTCCATTTTGGGTGCCCGCTGCTGCCTGAGGCGGCACTTATCTTATCGCATACGGGGATGACTTGCCTCTCCATACTCCGGACTCTGTACAATCTGCAAGTAACAGCAATCCGTTGCGCGATAATTATTTTATCCTAACTTTCTGCTGTTGTTCTAATTCCTTCCCCCCCTTAAAAGAATAATTGTATCACGCCGTCTTATTATAAACCTTGCTGTTGCAAGTATGGCATCCGTTTTGCATCGTTGATGACTTGGTTCTGTAGAACACTACTTAGTGGAGATGAAACCGACACCACATAGATCAGTTGATGCGCCAGACAACGATTACGCGACATAATCCTACAATTTAACCATGCTGAAAAATCTTACAATGGGATAATGAACCATCATTCGTTGGCCAACGTTATAAATTCATAAATTCAGACTGGTGCATCCTTTCTACTGCTAAAGGTACCAAGGCAAAGAAAGATCTCAAAAGGGTCCTCGCACCACAAATTGTGCAAAGAAACGAACGTAAATTTCATACCGTATGGGCTAGCCATCCGTATCACATCGTGAAATACACATTTATGCGTGCACATGGCCGCCGTGACCGTGGCGCCTGGAGCGACCCTCTTTCATCGTACGCGCCATCAACTTGTTCGCGGAGATGGCCAGGTTTGAGCTCTGTCCAGCAGTGCACTGGGTACCCGCGGCCATATCTTGAACCTGCGACCACTGGCCGTTGGCGCAACGCTGGAAAGAAGAGCCATTGATGCAGTTCCACTCGCCTTCCACGCTGCAGGATCCAGAAAGAGAACCGGAACTGGAGCTAGAGCTTGCGACGGTGCTGGGGCTGGGCTTAGGGCTGGAGCCCGAGTCGGCGCCGGAGCTAGAACCAGAGCTGGAACCGCTAGATTCGGAGCTGGAGGAGGCAGTGTTCACTGCAGGGGCGGCTGACTTGGTGGTTGTGACAGCGCGTGCAGCTGAAGTGGTCGGCTCGGTATAAGCGTGGGTTGTGACAGGAGCAGTGGTGACAACGGCAGAGGCAGAGGCAGAAGATCCACTAGAGCCAGAGCCGGAACCAGATGAGCCACTGCTGGAGTCACCAGCGGCACCGAAAGTGGGGGTACCGGTACAGGCGGCAGCGCCAACGGGCGCCAGGTTGCTGGGCTCGCCTTCATACACGACGTCGTCGCCAGGCTGAGGAAACCGGATGTCGACATTGTTGGGGGTCTCGCAACCGTTTATGTTGGCGACAAACATAGGAGGGAAGCTGGAGGAGCGCTTTTCGGCGACAACGGACCGTTTAGAAGAGGAGCTCTCGACCTCGAGAGGAGCGCAGTTCATGTACATCTCGCGGTTTCCAATGCGATTGAACCAAGTCCAGGCGAGCGTGTACTTTCCGGGGCTAATGCCCTCTGGGACCGTGTAGTTGAATGTGTATGGATCGGCAGCGGTAGCACCACCACTGAGGTTTCCATCAACATTGGCGGGACATCCACCTTCGAAAGACTTGATAACCATCCATTCAGAGTCCACCGTCGGTTCCAAGTCGGTAGTAAGACTAATCTGGCAAGAACCGCCGCCGTGCGTAGCGCTACCCTGAAAGGTCAAGGGCATGCTCTCACCAATCTGAGCCTTATTCCATTGGGTGAAATCGAAGGTACCGGCCCCCCGCAATTTACAAGGGAAATCACTACCATTGGCGGCGAGGGGAGAGTTGTCGAGTGTCGCTTTGCCGTAGGGGACAGGCTCAGTCATTATCATGTGTGCCTTAACAGCCGAGACGCCCAGCATGGCGGCTGTCACGAGAACGGACTTGAATAACATGGCGGCAAAAGAGAGTCGTTACACACTGTTCGACAGTTGAAGGAATGCTTGAAGTTCTGACCGTACCAGACGAGACAGAACAGATGTTGCGTTGAGCAAAGAAATCTTGATAAGAACGAGTTAGCAGTGTGACGGAGAGAAAGAATGAGAAGGAGCGAAATCTTCAAGGATGTTGGGAAGCAGGTATATATCTAGTAAAACACATAGAAGCGACGAGCGGGGACAGCCGTATAGATGAAGCAGTAAAAGCGAATAAGATTTGACAGACAATGAATGTCCCGCCGAAAGAACCAGGATAGGACAATTGTATTATGGGGAACTATGACAATACCTTTATAAGAACGAGATGCCAGGCAAGCTTGTTCCGAGGTTGGCTTTGTCTAATGACGGAAGAGTCTTTGTCACAAAGGACGAAAGCGAAAGAGTAGAAGGTAAGGATGGAGTCTGCCGCAGGCAAACAACAGAAGATCGTATCAAAAGGAGTGTTGAAATAAAGCAGGACTGGCCTGTGGGATTGTCAAACAGTGGTAAGGAAAGGACTGAACGCTCCAGCGTGGTTGGAAAAGAAGAAGAGAAGTGACCAGCACAGGCAGCGGGGGGTGTGTTATATAGTAGTTGGAGAGGCCATGAGTGAATCGCAGATGGAATTGGGACTGCCTCTGCCAGGCGCGCACCGACAGCAAGGATGAGTGGGGGTGGATTGACACTCAGTGAATTGGTTGGCAGCTGGTATCTATGCAGTATGGTCCCTGTGGTCCCTGGGCGAGGAAATAGTTACACAATACACACAGTACAGGGAGCTGGCTGGATGGATGGAGGCGCGCGGAGGTGAAACACACCAGCCGCGGGCCTGACTTCGGCTAGCGACGCCCCCTTCTGTCGCACCATTCGTCGGGCCCGCCGCTTCATTGGCTGGCGCCATGTCGGTTGGCGCCGGGAGGTGCCAATCAGGGTCTGCAGCTTGCAGTCCCCTTCTGATTGATCGGCTCCAAACTATCGTCACCGTTCTCCAACCGGCCATCTTGCCTGTTCTAACTTCTAGTCCTTCATCCCGATGGGATCGCTCAACAAATGAGACTCCGAAACCCACCATCCGGCTTCTTCAAGTGAATCTCGCCGTCCGAGAAAACACCAGCCCTTGCATTGGACATCCGCGGAAGCTGAAGCCGACGTGGGGCGATGGACACAGCCTCTCAGCCACTGACACAGAGATGTGCATTTTCATGACTCTTAGCAAAGGCAGCAGCGAATGTCGAGAAACACGAATTTGCTTTGCATCTGTATGTCGAGTTTGCAACATTCCGCAGACATAATTTGTGCTGAGAAGACTCCTGTCATCATTCCAGCAGCAGAGTTCATCGACTGGAGGCCTTATCATCAGTAAAACTCAGTAGGAGATAAAATGAGCGAGACCACCCAACCAACACTCATAGGCCCAAAAAATCTCTTCTACTAAGCACTCATTCCATCCTTAGATGACCCATTACCCAATGCTAGTTCCAGCCAGAGCTACCTAAACGATCCATCCTCCCAGCCAGCGCGTGGCCCGACTTGGCGCTTTAGTGGCGAATTAAATCCCGTCTGTCTTACCGATGAATCTTATTGCAGCGACCCCTCTACAGGCATCCCAAAACTCACAAATTTCCCGAAAAGCAAAAAAGCCTCTGCATTCAAATGGCAGGGAATGTTGGAAACCTCACCCACCAAATCCGACCCAACAAGGCTGCAAGTATACACCCAGCCTCCTGCACCATGGTTCAGTAGTGATCCCCGCATGGACGGACCCCCGTCGGCGCAAAGTTTGGTTGGATCGGTGGAGTATTTTCCCATCCCACCTGACTACAGAAGCGCTTCGTCCTTGGGATTTTTGTGGGCTACTGATGTTGGACGCCGGAGGACTCCGTGACTCACTACACGTATCGACTCTTGACTGGGTGCGCTACTGGGATCATGGATCTTGGATCATCCATCTGTAGGCTCCTTGCGAACCGACAATTTCTTTGTTGAATAGCCGCCGACTGTGCGACTGTTACCATGTGGATGCTATGCATCATTGGTTACACCGAGTCAGGTCTGCGGGATAAATTTAGGTCGCAGAAAGTCAGGTACTGCGTCACAACCCAATAAAAGAAGAAATCGGGAGGAATGTTGTGCCGCTGTCTTATGACGTCCACTTTTGCCTCCCGGACCTACATAGCACATTTTATGTCTCTAATCCTGTCTAAAGTCGGTAGGTATCGACATCCACCACAATAAACCAAGCCACCCGAATACCACCTTCCTGGCCAAGTCAAGCCGCACCACTCATCCTCAATTAAACTACTACCCTGTCACACTCATCATTATTAAATCACGAACGGGATCGAAAAGGCCAGCTTCCGCAGCCCTGCGGTTCGGCATTTCCAGATGAAATGCGGGGACGGCCACAAATCAATCTGAAACAGGGACTGGCGGGAGATCGCGATTGTCAGCTAAGCGAAGGGTACAGTCATATCGAAGATCCGCTTAGGGGTCTGAAAGTTGGGTTGAACCTCAGTAAGTAATATGAACTAATATGGCTGCCTATGGTTGAATGGAATGGGTCTGGGTTCGACTGCTGCTCGTTAATGCTGGGATATGGTAGTCAATCCCCTGATCAAGGGCAGAGATATGTTGCCCTTGGGATTTTAGTACTTATGAGACTTGGCGCTCCATTCTTGATGCTGATTGGGGCCGGGTTGGTTTCGTGATATACGCCCTACCGTATGAGATGGGCTTCGTTGCTGTGAATGTCAGGGTGACCAGTGGTCATGGTTACAATTGTTTATTGGTACTTTGGTACTCGATCTAGTCTTTTGTCTTTCTTCACGGACCTCCGAAAGGGGTCGGTCTTCTTTGTCTTGGTTTTTCTGTAGTTAATCTCGGTTACTGAGCAATGTGGCAACGCTAATTTTGGCCATTGTCGCCTCCCAGCCAAGTATTAAGGAGCAGAATAGTCGGATGTTTCCTGCCTAATAATCAAACCTGTTGGTTTTGACTGCTGATGGAATTTCGTGAAATAAGACCTAGATGGATGCTGAGATCTTGATGGATCCCGAGACACTAAGCATATATAGTGGTTGAGTCGATAAACATTGTATCCCAGTCGGATTAAATCTATATTCTATTCTTCATGCTGTATAGGGTACCTTCTAAACACACTTCGGTAGCCGACACATTCATCTCAGAAACAGAATTCCACTACGCACTATTACCACTGGTCGGAATGGGAGGATCTGTTCTAGGTTAGCTTTTCGAGCCTGTCAAAAGACGAGATCACATCCGAATAACTTACTGGGATTCTCAGTGGTACCGTTATGGATTGCGGTAGTGTCCACACCCTACATAACCTTATTAGCATCTTGGCAGACAGAAACACCTCTGTCCAACATACCAAGGTAACATATCCAAGAACTCCATTCTTGTAGTCCTGGCCATCCAGAGGCTCCGTGTCCATGATAGCCATGGCCCCCGCTGTGAAAGTCATATAATAAGCAACCTAACATGATCGCACAGGAGCAGACATGCTTACTCGATGCCTCCGCATAATAGACCCCATCCTCCGCCACCGGTTTCCGCGGGATCTGCGTGTGGCTGGCATACGGTGGCACTGTCATGATCTCGGCAGCTAAATCATCGTTGAAGAACAGCTGGGCTGTATTGACCGTTTTGCCTGCACCAATGGTGCCGTTGGCAGTCACACTCCAGTCTGTGTGCACTTGCACATGGACATGGATGGCGCGGTTTGTCTAAAAGATGTCAGCTCGCTTCCACAGCCTAGCTAAGAGCGAACATCCTCACATAGAATCCAGGGAAGATGGACGTGAAGCTGGTCGCACCATTCTCGTCGGTCGGCCACATGCCGCGAAGCCAGGTTGTATCGTCCGTTGCCAGGAACTGCCTCTTTTCGTTAATCTTTCCGCATACATAGATCTCTGTGTGTCATTGAAAAGGGAGGCTTACCGATACATCGCTCATGCCGTTATCTGCATTGATCTCTTCGCCGGTGCTCTCGAAGTACTGCTCCGGGAACGTCACATCCGGATTCAAGCCGGTAAAGGAGCTATACGAGCCACTGGCATTGCAGTGCTAATTTCCGGATTAGAATAGCATTCTTCTCCGTTTTTGTGAGGAAGAGGGGAGTGCCTGTACCCAGACATCAACCAAAGCGTTCGTCAAAGGCTCGCAGGTATGGATATCCATGAGACCAATGTCTATGACAAAGGGCACCCCTGGCTGATCTTCTACCAGGTTCTGGCGCAGTGTCTGACTCCGCGGGTAGATATAAGGCCCCGGGCTGGTTTCTGGTGTCAAAATGCAGGTATCGTTTTTCAGGAAGTCATATTTGGGGGCATCAGCGGTGATGGTGTAGGCCGTGGTGCCATCGGATGGCGACAAGTCGCGCCGGCGCATCGCATGCCGGTTCCTCTTCATGAGGCCGACCGAGTCGGAGCATCGCTTCGCCAGTGCGCCGCGACGGGCCAAATGGACGGGATCTGGTTGGGAATGTGGTCCCGGATGAGCTGGTAACGGTAGGTTAGGAGCGACTTGGGAGACATTGGGAGAACAACTGACCCTCGATAATGGAGGCGAGGAAGAAGACCGAGGCCAACAAGAGGGACTTCATTGTGACAATGCTTTGTGCAAACGCTACTGGCAGGATACTTGGAAGAGTCCGTGGCTTAAGAAGAAGAAGAAGAATATCCAGCGGCAATGTCGTTATCTTTCGCTCTGAGGCTTGCAATGATCGGTTCCATTCGACGGAAACGGACATTATCCATAACGTGGATCCGTGAGATGAAAATGCTACATGGATAAGACATGTTTCCGCTTTTGTCCAAACAAGCCTTTCCTTGTTTTGCCCCATCAAAGTAAGCATGATCTATCTGCCTATCTGCTCAGTGGTAAACATAACCGCTGTCAACCATCTCCTTGGCACGCTTGGTGCACTCATCGAGATCCTCCCTGGGCAGCTGCAGGATGTCGTTGGCCAGACCATGTTTCTTCCCAAAGTTCCCATCCCCATTCGGGTAGAACTGTCGCGTGTACAGCGCCTGCACATACCCCATTCTGTCGCCCCCTTCAGATCGCTCTAGGCCCCGTTCATATCGTGCCTCACTAGTCTCATAGCCAATCATCCATTCCTCATCCTTTTCGTGAGTAACTCTTTTCCAACTTTCGAACATGTCTATTTGACTGATTGTGAAGCTGGCGATATACAACGGCTTGTTCTTCCAGGTACTCACTGTTGGGCTCGTATCATTTGGATCGTCTGGCAATTCCTTCAGGCTTAAAAGTGCCGCGACCGCACGACCACACTGGTCCCAGGTACTGGTGTTGATCGTTGTCTTCCCGTCGTCAATCAAGGTGAGCTTTTTGTTCTTCACGTCGAATCCGAAGCAGTCTTCCCCACGGGCCATACTGAACTCATACCAGAAACCGCAGACGAGCGTGATCCACGAGCAGACATTTGTTGCCTCGATCTCCTGAAGAGACTTGCGAATCACATCACCCCTGCGCGTAGCCTTGGCAAGGGCGTCGTTGGTGAAGTCAGAACCATAACCGTTGGGCATTATATACGGAACGCCGGCCTTGACCGCTGCCTGAAGCAATTTGGATTGAGTGTCCGGTGGCGCCTTAACTGGCAGGGTGATTACGAGGAATTGCTGGCCTTGCAGGGCCGTGACAAGGGTAGATTCGTCATCGTAGTTTATGTAGGCAGGCTTCACCCCTTCCGGTAGCTTGTTCTTGCTATCTGTCCGAGTCAAGCCGGTAACGGTATGTTTGCCTGTCTTGACAAGCTCAGCAGCGATATGTCGGCCGATGGAGCCACCAGTCTACCGGGATACACCAGTCAGTTGAGGGGCGATCGCTAAAGCCAGATGCTGACCTACACCAACGATAGCGACCCGCTCGATGCGGTTGGTGAAGCCCGCAGGCTGGTCTTTGGCGTACTCGGAGAGCATGGGGCCGAGAAGTAGCGATAAGTCAGGGTCAGTATAGTTGTTGCACTGAATGAGCCCGAGCAATCTGGGGGGAATAGTTGATAGTGGGTGACTGAGGCAGGAAAGGGGCCGATTAGTCAAGGGGGAGGGGCTCATCCATCATTCATCCATCCATCCCTTGCTCCGACCATGCATCCGCCTCTCACTGACCCGTCACTTTCTTCCTATTCTGTATCCCCCCTCTATTTACATAGCAAGTCTACCGTGCTATTTCATCGATGATGTGATGGTGAAAACAGTAATTAATCAGAATATGCTGATAAAGGGTGACCTCTTTCTCTGGAGACGGGGCAGGAGATAAGAGCCACCCCAAATATGGCCGCAACCGGTAAGGTGGAGGCATGCGATCGGCCGGTTCCATGGTTCAAGACGGCTTCGATCCTGTTGAAGATTGATGGCATTGAATGCAGATGCCACACGCCCTCAAGGTCAAGATACTCGAACCTATATCTCACTGTTGACCCTACAAGAATGATCAGACTAGCATGACGCCAACCACGATTAGCCGTACTCATGCGCTTTACATGGGGAATTCTGATTTGTTTAACGCCCTGGTCAGGGGCTTGGGCTCTTTACAACCAGTCTACGGGCTTCTCTCAAGAGAACGTTGATAATGGTGTTGCCTTGCAAGAAATTGCCACCCAGGCCCTTATACAAATGGAGCAAGAGTCCCTGACAACTAATGGTTGTCGTCTTGAAGAGGCTCAGGTTCGCAGAGAATGGTATGTTCAATCCTCCTCAGACTTTGTCAATTCCAACCGTCTCACATCTGGAACAGGCGCGACTTATCGCTAGCTGCCCGAAAGGAATTCACCGACGCTGTTACGTGTTTGCAAAGCCTTCCTACAAATATCTCAGCAGACGCAAAGAAGACTTTCCAGGGGGTACAGTCTCGGTATGATGAGTTTGTAGCAACCCACATCAACCTGACTGAGTATATTCATGTGACTGTAAGTGTGAATCATAAACTGAGTCGAAACTGCGTATTGAGAGACATGATCAGTTCTGACTTGGATTTTCTCAGGCTGATTTCCTCGCGTGGCATCGGTACTTCATTCACGCGTTTGAAAATGCCCTGAAAGTCGAGTGCAACTATACAGGCACCCTTCCCTATTGGGAGTGGGGATATGATGCAGAGAATCCTCAAGACTCTGTCCTTTTCAATGGTGATCCCTACAGCATGGGAACTAACGGGAAAGACCTAAACCAAACGTCTCTCTACTGGGAATCTTTGAATATGAGTATCCCAGCTGGGACTGGGGGTGGGTGCGTATATGCGGGCCCCTTCACCAATTACACGGTCGACATGGGTCCCATTAATGCTCCTGGGGAGCAACCAGTTCAATACAATTTGGAGTACAATCCGCGCTGCTTGTCGCGGGATTTGAATCCGACTGTCTCCCAGACATCTATCTCCTTCCGGAACGCCACAAAGTTGATACTATCGTACGACACAATTGACTGGTTTCAAGGTGTCATGCAGGCGGACCAACGATTCAGAGACCCCACCGCCCCTCAATCGTTTGGGGTCCATGGTGGAGGTCATCTAACGGTTGGGAGCGTCTTGGCGGACATTGACACCAGCCCTGCTGAGCCGATGTTCTGGCTTCACCATGCACAAATTGATCGTGTCTGGACAATCTGGCAAGGACTAGATCCGGCCAATAGGCGGAATGCGATATGGGGTACTCATACACGAAGCAACGATCCGCCTTCTTCGAACATGACGTTGGACGAGATGATTGACTTTGGGTTTATCTCCCAACCTCGACAGTTTGCTGATTTGATGAACCCACTATCCGGGCCGTTCTGCTACTACTACACGTAGCAGATGAAATTTAATTCTTTGAACATTCGTAATCTTTTCCGGTTTCTGGACAATCGCTTGTCTCCGACGATCTAGACTCATATGAGCTGTTTTGACCGGCAATGCCGTTATCTGGTTAGCATGTCTCCCTTCTTTTCCTTGTTTGATCCTTCTTATCCTCCTCAAGAAGTCAGGACAAGTCGATGATGTATTGAGCCATCCGGTTTCGGGTCCAGTCGGTTGGTCCGTTGCCGATCAGCATTCCATCGCTTTCGGCTTCTTCGAGTCGATGTGGGGGTTGTTGATCGTGTCCGGAGTACTCGGTACGAGATCTATCGAGGTTACATCGACCGTCGGCACTTCCGACCTAAGTCCCTTGAAGGCAAAAGAGACTGTTGTCTGTCTTGCAAGATCTCATCCACCTCTGCTGCTGTCGACATACGGATCCATCATCCATCATATCAAGGTTTCCCGGCAATTTCCCAAAGCGTCGGCTTCATTGATTCGAACCTATTTTTAGATAATTATCAGCAATAATGACTACATACTTAACTGCAACCCCACACCTGGTCACCTAAATCAGTGGCCTGCCACGATAGGTTGCATTCGGGCTGCCCAAAGAGGTGTCGCCATCAACACAATGGCAGTCATCACGTCAAGATCAGCATGACTTGATACCTCTCTTAGAATCCTGGCGATGGCGCCGCCTGCTCCGGGGAGGTCAGGTTCCATCAACAACCACCACGCCGGATTTCTTTCTCGCCAAGGTCACTGATACCGTCAATCTCTTCCATTTCGTACTTTCTCCCCGCAGGGCCTATGTGTGTTCCCATGTTTCTGGGTCGAGCGGAAACCCCGGTCTTCTTCAACGCGCCGAGGAGAGCCTTTCCCCGTTTCTAGATCTACGTCGTTCCCCGATTTATCAATTATTGCCCTGAACAGAGGAACCATACCCCTCAGGTCACTATCTGTTTGCGGCTCATTGACCTGATCAATTCTGGATGTAAACATACCGCGTGGCATAGCAACCAGAGAATTCGAGTATCATATTCCCTTTATATCCAATGTCTACTTTCTGAGCGGCTTTCTACTCCGAGATCCACCCATAACCCCTCAATATCATGATCTCCTCGGTTTTCCTGCCGGTCATTGCGGCCGCCTTACTACCTACTTCTGTTGTCACGCGAAGAACCAACACAACAACAGCACCCACCGTGCAAGTCCGCAATGGCACGTACGCCGGCCTATACAATCCCACTTACGATCAAGACTTGTTCCTCGGCATACCTTACGCACAGCCTCCTACTGACGAGCTACGCTTCCGCCCACCACAATCCCTCAACACCACCTGGAACGACACCCGGCCTGCAACAGCCTACTACAATGAATGTATCGGCTACGGCAGCGACGATTGGCCCTGGACCGATGTCGTTTCTGAAGACTGCCTTGCTCTCAGCGTGATTCGACCCCATGGTATCAACTCGAGTGCGAACCTGCCTATCGTCTTTTGGCTCCATGGCGGCGAGTTCGCAGAAGGAGGCACTCGTGACGCGCGCTACAACCTCTCCTACATCGTCCAACAATCCGTAGAGATGCAATCTCCCATAATTGGCGTGACTGTTAACTACCGCCTTTCAGGCTGGGGCTTCCTCTACAGCGAAGAAGTCGCCGCCGAAGGCTCCGCGAATCTAGGACTTCGCGACCAACGGCTAGCCCTATACTGGGTCCAAGAAAACATCGCCTCCTTCGGCGGCGACCCGTCGCGGGTCACTATCTGGGGTCAAAGTGCCGGTGCCAACAGCGTCGGCCTCCACATGGTGGCCTACAATGGCCAAAACGACAATATCTTCTGGGGTGGGATCGCCGAGAGCGGCGCCGTTCCCTCCCTCGCGGCATACATGAGCGCCTCCGACTCCCAACCATACTATGACGCCGTCGTGAACGCTACAAACTGCACGGGCGCCTCCAACACCCTCACCTGTCTCCGACAAGTCCCCACCGCCACCCTCAGCTCCATCTTCAACAGCTCCCTCGTTGCAGGAGCAGGCTATCACCCCGTCATCGACGGCACCTTTCTCACTACCTCTGGAATCACCAACCTTTTCACAGGCCAATTTACCAAGACCCCGCTCCTCATCGGCACCAACTTTGACGAAGGAACCAAATACGCCCCCCATAGCTGCAATACAACCGACCAATTCCTCTCCCTCGTCCAATCCAACGGAACAAACTACACCAGCGCGCTCACCATCGCTTCGCTGTACCCGGATGACCCCGCCGTCGGTATCCCCGGGACTCTCCACGGTCGCCCCCCACCATCATACGGGTATCAGTGGAAGCGCGTGGCCGCATTCTTGGGAGACCTCCTCATGCATTCGCCCCGCCGATTGACAACTCAATCGCTGGCACGGTGGAACGTGACTTCATACGTATACCACTGGAACGTAATGACACTGGGCCCATTAGATGGGGCAGCGCACGGTTATGAGATCCCATTCTCGTTCCATAATTACGATTATCTCGGCGACGAACAAGGAAATGCCAACGTGACCTGGCCGCAGTTGTCGACTATGATGTCTCGCATGTGGGTGAGTTTTATTAATCATTTGGATCCGAATTATAATAATGGTGAGTGATATCCCACTTGTTTTCTGCGGATTGCCTGAGAAGTGTGGAAGAGTGAAGTATGCTAATCAAGGGTAGTGACGAATGTACACTGGCCGGCTTACACATTGGATCATCCACGAAATATGGTCTTTGATGTAAATGTGACGGGATTGGCCTATGTCGAGCCGGATACCTATCGGGCCGAGGGAATTGGATATATCACCAGTATCTTGCAGAGTGCTTTTAATCGATAAGCTTTAGGGCTGAGAGTTTATTAGTCATGTGTCTATGACGTGAGATAAGCTAGGATTGTTAATGGAAGACAATGCATAATTTTAGCTGATTGAATGCTTTCCGTGGAAATGTGAGCCGGGACGATCTAGTCAGATCTATAGACCCTCATTGTTTGTTTGTTTGATTCTTCGAGGTTGCATTCGAGGAAGCTTCTAGGTAGCCGTGCCAAGGATTCTGTCACCCGCTGCCGATGTAACTTATAAACTTGATAGCTCTCTCAGCTCCTGTTGGTTAGGTTACAATATCCTTCCAGCAGATTCCTTGGCTCGGCAACCCCCGGGGGGGAACGCCTCAACGGCTGTCACGGCGGGTGGCTTGGCAATGCCATGGAACCACGGACGCCCGGCATGAACTGAGCAGTAAGTATCTCGAGCTATCACATAATGGAGCCATGAGTTTTCTACACGAGTTCTGACCGTTCTAGACCATCGGCTAGAGCCCGGCGAACCGACGAGGCTGGCTGGAGAGTCCAGATGCGGTTGCCGTGATCCGCTTTGCTTGTACTCTTTCCGTTTGCAGGGGCTGGTAATCGGACCGGAACAATGCATTGGGGGCCGTAGGAGATCCCGAATAACCTTATCACGCTTTGCCTCAGGCTGATACAACCCTGTAATCGACCGACCGGGGAAGTGAGTCTGTTGATCATCATCTTCCAGAGCACAATACAGATCTGCCAAGGAAACAATAGGAATGTCAGCTCCAGAGGTTCATCTTGACATAATAGTCCCAAGATCTCGTATTACGCACCATAGTCAGAGGACCATTGAGGATTCCAGTACTGTTCCAGGTCGAGAATTATGAGTCTAGATGTCGTCACGACTCATATCTCGCGCGATAATGTCAGATGCCACTCCATCTGGGTCTGTCGTGCTTGTGGGGCTTATGTTTGCGAAGATACGAGCAATAGCCGGCATTTTATAAGGACAATTGCATCCTGCTCGGTCCTGTAATCTGTGCTTTCAGATATCGGCATATTTGCGATAAGAATCAAACATCATCTAAGACCACTTGGTCTTTTCATTGCTCCCAATGGCGCCTGGGATTTTGACCTTCGTGGAGCAGGCGGCCGAGTATTCGCCGACCAAAGGCTTCGTCTTCTATAGTGTAGGCAGTGACGAACCGGAGACGATCTTATATCCGGACTTCTGGCGCCTCGTCAAGGTAACATCCACCCGCACCTGAACCATGTGTCCCAAAAGGTGGCCTTGGATCTTCCATGCTAACTGCGTCAATAACAGCGCAATGCTCAGACCCTAGTCGAACAGGATATTGCTGGGTCCGACCGGATCCTTCTGGTCCATTTCGACTCTCACAAAGAGAACATTATCTGGTTCTGGTCTGCCATCGCGGCCGGATCCGTTCCAGCTGTGTCTACTCCTCTGGCGGTAGACCCCGTGGCGAGAGAACGCCATCTAACCCATCTCCAAAGACTCTTAGAACACCCCAATGTCCTCACCAGTAAGAAGCATGCAGGAGACCTGAGCCTCATCAATGATTCTCAAATGTTCTATATTGAGGATCTTGCCCCCAATGAAAATCAGGATGCAGATTATCAGCCAGCAGACCGCTCGACAGATCTCGCACTGCTGCTCCTCACCTCTGGAAGTACGGGTAATGCAAAAGCGGTGATGCTGCACCACTCGCAAATATTTTCCGCAATCGAGGCGAAGTGGAAGGCGCTTTCAAGCACCCCCGAAAATATCTTTTTAAACTGGATCGGTAGATATACCTACCCTTTGTGGCCGCTGAATGGAGAAGCGTGGCTGACATGTTCTGGCAGGTTTCGACCATGTCGCTTGTCTGATGGAAATGCATATGCATGCATTGTCCAGAGGAGCCCATCAAATTCATATCCCTGCTGTGACGGTCCTGGAGAACCCTCTACTTTATCTGGAGAAGTTGGCAAAATATTCAGTCACCAACGCTTTTGCCCCGAATTTTCTCGTGTCCCTTGTTGGAAAGGCTATCGAGACACGACAGGAGCAAAATGCTCGCCCACTGGATCTGGACTTGAGTCGCTTGCGCGTGGTCCTGTCTGGAGGTGAAGCCAATCTTGCATCAACAAGCATCTTGTTCAACCGTAAACTTGTCGAGATGGGAGCAGCCAAGAATGTGCTTCACCCATCTTTCGGCATGACAGAGGTAAGTTCTGCTCTCTGATAATCCTGCTTGTCCGACCATGTCCGTTTAACAGTTTTCGTGTTGGTAGACTTGCGCGGGGATCCACTACCACTACAGCTTCCCCGAGCTCGAACAGAAGGCCAAGCTGCAATTCTGCTCCGTTGGACAAGCAACCCCCACCCTGCAAATGCGGGTCACGGATGAGCACGGGGAACCAGTGAGAAGCAGTGAGATTGGAAACCTGGAATTGCACGGCCCGATGGTCTTCAAAGGCTATTTCAACGACGACAAGAACACCAGGGCCTCCTTCACTGAGGACGGTTGGTTCAGAACTGGTGATACTGGGTATATCGACAACCGCGATAACCTGGTGCTGTCCGGACGGTCCAAGGACAGTATCATCATCAATGGAATCAATTTCTATTCCCACGAGCTGGAGAACGCTATTGACGCAGCCGGACTTGATGGTCTTGTCCCATCTTACACCGTGGTGGTCTCATCTTGGCTTGAGAATGCAGATAGCGAAGACGTTATTGTCTTATATCAATCCAGTCAGAAAGGGACTGAAGATGACAGAACCTTCCTCGAGACCATCAGTTCGATCTCCAGGGTCACCGCCCTTTATTGCTCCAAGCAGCCGGTGGATATCATCCCACTTCCGGTAGAGCTGCTCCCCAAGAACTCTCTGGGCAAGCTCCCTCGCACCAAATTGAAGCAGCAGTACGAAGATGGTCGTTTCAACTCATACCGAGACCTTGCCGCACAAAGAGCTTCATCATATCGTGCGCAATCTAAGCGGGCCCCGCAGAACAGCATGGAAGAAACACTTGCTGGTATCTTTGCGGACGAATTTGGCCTGGATGTGTCTGAAGTCGGTGTGGATGACAGTCTCTATGACATGGGCGTGAACAGTGTCCGGTTGATTCGATACAAGAGAATTGTGGAAACTCGTCTTGGTCTGACCGAGGAAATCCCTATGATCACGATCCTGCAGAACCCGACAATCGAAGCATTGGCTGTTATGCTTCAGGATCTTCAGAAGGGTCCCAAGGAGTATAACCCTGTGGTAGAACTTCAAAGCGGCCCCTCCAAGTCTCCCCCGATCTTCTTCTTCCATCCCGGAATGGGAGAGGTCCTCGTGTTCCTTAACTTCAGCAAGTACTTTGCTGACCGTAAAGTATATGCTCTTCGCTCTCCGGGATTTAACCCAGGCGAAAAAATGTTTACATCTGTCGACGAGATGACTGAGTAAGTCTCCTATCACCTCTTACGTGATCCCATTCGCTGATTGATGTACACCCACAGCGTCTATCTCAAGTCCATCCGAGAGCTTCAACCGGAAGGACCGTATATTTTCATCGGCTATTCGTATGGAGCCATGATTGCATTCGAAACTGCCAAGAAGGTCGAGGCTTCTGGCGACAAGGTCGGATTCCTGGGCAGTCTGAACCTCCCGCCGCACATCAAGAAGCACATTCGCGAGATGGACTATGTTGAGTCGCTGCTCCATCTAGTATATTTCCTCGGGTTTATCACCGAAGAGGATGCCCATCATATGTCCCCTGACATGCACAAGGTGAGCAATGCTCTCTTAGCTGAGACCGAATGGAACTGACCCATGCCCTCTAGCTCCCCCATGACGAGGTCCTTCCAGCCATCATGAAAGTCTCGGATAAGGAACGCGTTAATGAACTAGCTATGGATGAGGGAAAAATTCGTGACTGGGCCATGTTGTCATCCAAGCTCCAAGAATTAGCCCACACATATGACCCCTCCGGAACCGTGCAGGCGATGGATGTTTTCTATGCCATCCCGTTGGTTTCTGTCGGCAGGGACAAGGACGTCTGGCTCAAGCAGCATCTGATGAGATGGAAAGAACATGTCAAGTCAGTCAAGTTCCATGATGTTCCTGGTTCTCACCACACGATGATGGCGGAGGAGAATGTCTTTGCATTACACAAGATTCTCCGGGGAGCTTTGAACGAGCGGGGCATGCTCTAAGAGAATGTGAAGGTGGAAGTTTTGGAGTGGATTGAGACTGATCAATGTTTGGCGAGGGCGCTATATCACTTATAATGTACGTAATAAGCTTCAACAACTACCTATAATATCAGACTTGACTTTCAAATGTCGGATTTTAAACCGTATCGTTGAACGAGAAAATTAAGCTGAAAGGATGACATTGGAAGTGATAAAGGAAGAAGAAGATGGATGATGCCGATGGGGGACACGAGTACAGGGATCAAGACAAGCCACCAACGCAGAACAAAAAAGGAAGGTGTTCTGCAAGCCATCTTGCCGTCCTCATTCGTGGACGAGATGAAGATCGTCAGGGGATCTATTTCTTTATCTGTCTGTGATATCCAGGTCAAAGAGAGATAGATCTACGGGTATCCCAACTACAGCCGTTTCCCAGGCGAAGCTAGAACCCTTTCGAGCACTCCAACTGCAGAGGTTACCACCAAGCCTCAGCTTCCAGCCCGAAGACGATGTCGCCAAGTTCAGATCTATCCGAGATGGCTAGCCGTTGCCTGCGCTGATTCCGACCGTTCCAATCGTGTAGGCATCAACTGCTAATCACCATGCGCTTCTGCGCAAGTGCGCAGGTCCTTGCAATTGCAATTCGCTTAGAACCATACCACTTAGCCCGTGGCATTAGCAGAGCGCATCACAACCGGATGTTCTCAATCCAGGGAGCCCTTTGTCTGCATTGTCCTCCTCCGGACCAGGGCAAGACACAACACAACCTGCACCAGATCATTTCTTCCCCTTCTTCTTCCCCTTCTCCGCGGTCTTCTCCCTCACGAAACCCCCCTTTATCAACGCATCCTTCCCCGCCGCATTGATAATTCGAAACCGATCCGGCCCCAACAACACACCCCCATACCACCTTGTCACGACCACCACCACATCCCACACATCCATCAACTGCATCAAATGCAGCAATCGTCCACCGGCCGCCGTCTCCCCATCATCATCTGAATCCTGCACAATCATCTCCGTAGCATCCCCATTCTTCCCCCCACCATTACTACCGCCAGCAGTAGTTTTCACCTCACGTATCCTCCAAGCACTGATATTATGCGTCGCCGTCGCAACCTTCTTCTCCGTCGCGAGAAGATGATCCAAAAACGCCTTGGCCTGGTCCAAACTCGTAACATGAGCCGCGCGACCCACAAAAACCGATTTCTTCTCAGTGATGATATCAGAAAGGATCCATGGTGGCGGGGAGGTGAGGTTGAATGTGTGGTGATCAGGGATAGTGGATTCCATAACTAATTGGTTGTCTTCTTCGATCGCAGTCTCGGTGGGTTGCGCGTGAGCGTCATTGCCGCCGATATTCAACTCCGTGAATGCCTGGACCGCATCATTGATCAAATCGAACAAACATACCGCCCCAACTTGGTATATCCGCCCGAGAATATCCTCTAGCACATCGACCGCGAGTTTACCCTCTCCTCTGGACGCGGTGGATGCTGTTCCCAGTATCCTAGGCGGGGTGTCAGGATAGGTCGTATCGAAGCCAAGAAGGAAGGACAGGTGGGGATATTCGGGAAGTTGGAGTTTTATCGTGGTCGGAGGGGAGGAGTCTGAGGAGCCGGATCCTCCCAAGCTGAGGGTTGAGGGACCGGTCGAGGAAGTGTTCGTGATAGTGAGAGTATCCGGATCGTAGATGGCATTGATGGCTTCGATTTCTTCGGCCAAATCAGTATTCTGCAGGGTTTCTGGTGATGTCATTTTCTAAATTAGTTGAGTCCATATAGGTGGCAGCCCGGGACGGTCGTGGCGGTGGTTAATGACCGCCCGGCCGGGGGGCTGAATTCACTTAGTGACTGACCGACCGACCGCCATCACATCACGACTTGATATTGATAATATTCATTCCATTCTAAAATTGAGTTACATGTAAACTCAAAACAAACCTAAACACACATCAAATTGGCCTTATAGCTCAATGGTAGGGCGTCAGTTTTCGGTACTGAAGATTCTGGGTTCGAGTCCCAGTGGGGTCGCTTTTTTTGTATTTTGATCCGCCTCGGATAGGACTGGAATAGGGTCTCTGATCTACCAAGGGATGGTGTCAATTTCGGTACTGAAGGTCTGGACTTGGAGTCTCGGTCAGATAGTTTTCTTTCACTTTTAAAGTTTATATCTATCTATATACTTCATAAATATGCTGAAGATGCGAAAATATAAAAACCAAATCATCGGTTTTCGGCATCAAATATTCTGGTGTACTAAATCTGAACAAGTTCGCTTCTTTTTTCCTTTGGATATGCTGTTATTCTTGGATCAGGAATGGCGTTTATTTGTTCTGTTGGAAATCTATTGGACACCTGGGGTGTTTATCTTTATTTATTCGGTTGATTCGTCTTGGTTCAATTTGAAAGTGACCATTGTGATTTGTGTCTTGATGTCCCAAATGTCCTCGAATATATAACTAGAGATTATCGGATATCCAACCCGTCTTAGTAACCCACTCCCAACAAGTTCGCTGAACTTTCGGCCCGCAGCTTCTTCAGGGCTACCTCGTCATCGTCATCTAGGCCGTCTAGATCCTTCCGCTGCCAGAATGCGCGGAATCCATCCACCAACCGCTGGCTGATCTCCGGCACATCCTCGGCTGGCATCGCCGCAAAGCACAATCTGTAATACCCCTGTGCCCGCTCCAGAGTCTCTGATGTAGGTGCAAACATGGTTCCGGGTCCCAAAAGACACAGGTACGGCTTCTGCATCAAATGCACCCACAAGGCCTGGATCAATTTGTTCTGACCGTACTTTTGGAGCAAGGGGTGTGTCTCGATGCAGACCCTGACCCAAACAAACATGCCCCCGGTGGGCCAGGAGAACTCGTACATCTGAATCTTGTCTAGAACTTCCCAGGCGCCCTCATCGGCGACGGAGTGTGTATCGTCGAATGCACTGCCGGTGTTGATAGCATACTTGCCCTCTTCGAGGATCGAGCACATCGCCTGCATGCGCTGCTCGTATCCTGCGCGGAGCCCCTCCAGCCAACGAACCCAGCCAGTCATTTGCCAGGCTTGCTCGCTCTTCTTGTTTTTATTCTTCTGACCGTCTTCGACCTGCTGACCCACAATCAACTCGGCCACCATGGCTTGTACAAATCCGGATGGTTGCTGAGTCGACGTCTCCGTGAGGCGAGTCAGCCGTTCGATGATAGCCGGCTGGGCCGTAATCCAACCCAGACGACAGCCAGGTGCTATCGTCTTGGAGAACGTATCGAGGCGCACAACGCGCCCATCCGTATCGACGGAGAGATACGATGGCACCAAGGAATCCAGAAAATCGTATCCGGACGACCTGCCATGGGCGTTGTAATTGCGCGGGGTTACATCTACGGCAGTTGATCCTCGATACTGGGCCTGCATAGCCGCGGCAGAGGGATACTGCAAGTTCCAGTACGGATCGTCTTCTATGATGATGATGTCATATTGTCGGCAGAGAGCATAAATCTCTTTTCTGCGCTCAACCGATAAGGTTCCGCCCGTCGGGTTCTGGCCGATCCTGTATTTGACGAGGCAGTTAGCCGACATGACAGACCCATGCTGATAACAGTTTGGGCAGACTTACGTGATTGTATACATCAGGTGCGGAAGGCGGCCTTTTTTGAAATCCCAGTTCTCGAGGACATCGGCCAATCCGCCCTTACCATACGCAAGCATGCCCTGCGCGTCTATGGCTACTGCAACAACATTGAGACCCCGTGGGTTCACCGTTTGAATTGCATTCATGTATACGAATTCCTCGCAGAGGATGCCTTCACGTTGACTGATCCAGTCCCGACGCGGATCCCAGGGACTGGAAAAGGTTTCAATGGCCTTGGCGAAACCGTCGGTCGAACCGCAAGTGAGAAGGGTGCTGGGGCCCCCAGCATAGGGAACGTTAGGGTGAAGGTGGTCGCGTGTGAACTGCCGGATGAAATCAGCCATGACTGGAAGGCCTTCCGCAGTTCCATACTGCAGGGCTGTGGTAAGATCGATTTTCTTCAGGAGGTTGGTGGTTGGGCTTTCTTTCGGGACGATTCTCCGCTCCGTTGAATGGGAGTAACCGGGGTTCTTGGTCTGGTCATTGTCGGGGGTAGTGGAAAAACGCTCCGGATGGACAACGGTGGCTTCGAGAGTGTCGTAAGGGAAGAATGACGCATTTGGCAGGCCTGATGTCACAAGTGGTTAACGAGTGGGGTACAAGTGCAACCGCCGAGACAGGGGGATAAAGCGGCGAGATGCATGAAAGGAAAAAGCAATAAAGAACAAGGACCAATGAGAAGTAGGGAGAAAACGCACCACCGGCCAAGTTTGCAATGCCCGGGATGAAGAAGTACTTATACAGGCTTTTAGTTTCACTGGCCTCACGTCTCTTGGTAACCGAGGAGAAGTGATGAGACAGATCCAGCGGAGGAGACAGCATCGAATGAACCATGATTGCGATGAGGTGGTTGGAATTCACCTAGACTGCCTCCAGACCAGTTGGTAGTCTGTTGGGTCAGCGGTTGGGGGAGAATGACATGAATCATGGCGGGCTCGATGGTAGGCGGCGATGGGCGTCATATAAGATGGGCGTTATCTCGGTGCTTGATAAGCAGAACCCGCGAGGAATGGCGGTCCACCCGGCGTCTCAGCAAATGGGCGTAGAACCGTGATAGCACCGCGACGTCGATAGGTGATACGGGGGAGCGGATGGCCAGTCGCTATCGAGCTTGGATGATCACGATTTCTCCTTCCGGGGGAGGAATTAGCGTCTGCACATGCTGGCTCATGGAACCTTATCCGACGAATCCGAGGGCTCAGAGCGTGGCGTTGATAGAAGACAGCTGGGTAGCCAAGCGCTGTCCGAACGGATTCCCACCCATTTTGGCTTTTGGGGCGCTCCATGACTGGTTCAGTATGAACTCTGATCCAGCGTGGAGGCACAAATCAATGCTAGATAGATTGTGTATTGAAAGGATGCTGAAAGCCGACCGGGGGGGAAGGTGGTTGATGGAGGCTAATCTAGTATTTCCCCACAGGTTATGTGTCCCACTCCTGTCAGACAGTAGATTTGAAGTACTCCATTGCTACTCTATAATAAAGATAAGAATAGAAATTTTGTTGCCATACTCCTCCCATTCCCCTACAGATAATATCTACTTGCACTGCCTGCCCTTACCCTTCGGATCGGCCACCTCCTTCCCCTTTGCACCTCCCTGCTGCTGGGTAGGGGCATTCTGAATCGGCGCGACTGGTGGCGGTTGCAGTGAATCGTAGGATTCTTGGAGCTCATTAGCTTCGTTTGCCAGCCGAACAAGGCAGTATAGCGCCAGCTTGATTGTCAGGCCATCACCACGGCCTTTCCAGGGAACCACCGAGTATTCCACCATGCCGACGTCCACCCCTTTCTTCTTGGTGACCGAGTCGATCGACATCTCACTAAGACCCGACATTGCCTCCGATATGGTCGAGCCAGATACAACGCGCCGATGCGATTGAACCGGGGCACTAGTACTACTAGTAGTAGTATTGCGCACTGGTCTTGGTGAAGTCCGTACAGGGTCCACGGACAAGCAAAGTCGCATGACCAATAGTGCTTCCTCCGTGATAACGAATGTATATCGGGAGCCCTGTAGGATGCTATAATGCTGAGTTTGCTCCAATGGTCGGACCGTATCTCTAAGCTCATCGTATTCATATCCCAAGTCGTCGCTGCCTCGCTGGACCACTTGTATCGCCTCGTGGTACGACCAGCTATACTTGACATCGCCGGCAACCACCCTTTATACCGACCGGCTTTGTCGCCACCAGCGAGATCGGGGAATATTTCGGTATATTCCTGTATCTGTCCGCCGTCGGCAATGAACTGATTCCCCGGGAGAGCATACGACACGGGGATCACGACCACGGTGCTGATCAGATCCCACAGGCCGTTCTCCGTAAAGATTTCATTTGCGCCGGCCTTTTCGCATATATCGTCCGGGTGAAATGGATGGATGGGAAGGCTGAGGTCGGAGCCAAATCGTTGCATGAGGTTCTGATAGGTGAAATCGGACCATTCAGTCACATTTTCAATGGTTCACCAGTCATCGTTAAATGTCCACTTGGAGGCCTTGTCGTGACAAATAAGAGACGCAAGTGGTTTGGTCAAATGTTGGAAAATAGTACTTTCAGGCATTATGGAGAAGGTTGGAACTCCGTTATTCTTTTCTTTGGCGGAAAGAGCTGAGGGTGTAGAAGAGGGAAGACAAACGGCTTTCGGACCTTGTGGCCTATGGTCACTGAAGGATTGTGTTATGACTGATGAGGGAAGGAGCCATCGTAGTATTTATATCTAGTGCATCTCTACATCTCTACAGTGACAATTCTACGTGTATGCTGCAGAGAAACTTGTCAACTTTCACAGTCATCCCATAACCTTAGGTAGACCAAAAGAGATACATGTACGTAGTCAAAGGTGAGGGATCTACCTGCACATACTTACTCTCTCTATAAGCCAGGCTCATAGATTCCAGCTAGAACCCCGACAGCGACGTACTCCTCCTCCTCCTCCTGCTGCTGCTGCTGTTCTGTACTGACTGTACTGTCAGTTGCTGTACTTTTGACAGCATTCTTACCGTTCAATCTAAGGAGACAGAGAAAGCCACTAGAAAGCGAGCCCCCTTGGCCAGGGGTTCTAGTTTCGTGCCTGAACCAATCTCAGAGAGCTTTAGCATCAGCTCATGTAATTATCGAACACAAACTTCTGAATCTAGTAGGTGAGGAAGTGGTGAGCTGCCTGATCCCAGCCCGAAAAATCACATGCTCTAAAGTCAGGTGATACAGACAGGTCAACCAATTTGGCGGCTGTACTACATTCCTCATCGTTTCACCTCGCTTGCTTGACCTTACCGCTCTACCTTGGAACAGGATTTCTGAGGTATTTCGGCACGCGAAATACCGCCTACAGAGGAGTACCACGCTTCATTGGTCAATGCTGATACTTAATACACGATATCCTTTTGCCATCATCCTACATCACATAGTAACAGCCCCTCACTTCCAGAGTCCTTTCTCTACCTCCATGTTCGTGAGAAAGAAAATCACTGCCGAGAATCAACACAGCATATGATATGCATTGTGATGGCTTAGGTTAGGATTACGGGCTTTCTGTTCTTTACATATGGTGGTGTGCCCTATTCGATTGTTTCACCATGCATCCAAAACATCAGTCATGGACTGATACTTTCTTTTCTGGTTGTCAAACCCCCTTCGATATTGGTGAAATAGCCGGTGATGACTTGCGACTTTTTACGTGCAACAATAAACCCTGGAGGTTTGGGAAGCTAGTGCGTCAAGATGCGCCTCTTGGTGGCCCAATCCTAGTCCTCTGGTTGTATGTCAAGGGAAACCCAGAGAGATATGTGGCGAAAGCTGTAAGCGAATTCTCCGAGACATGTATGTCTCTTAAGTCAAGGCTAAAACCAAACCAGTTTTCCGACTACACAGAAGAAGAAGCACAAGCTCAACTTAGGCGGATCCCCTCAAAACAGCATTCTGTCGAGGACCTCAAAAAGGGAGCTTGATCCTTTTCTCAACGAGACTAGGGCCTTTGATCATATCGATCGGCTTTGCCCCCCGTCACGCAGGGCATTTTTCCCTCGCTTTCATGGCGTCATCACAAATATCAAACGCTCCGAATTTCCCCCCATTTATAAACTACGACGTCGCGCTGTGGTGCTGGAAGCCATTGTGCCAGACATAGCTTGCCGACGATTACTTGCTGCAGAAAGCTATTCGGTGCTTGTGGATAATTTCGCACTCAAGCTAAAGGACTTACCTCTCAGCGTGTTCGAGATCGAATGGTACCGGTCTCTATTTGAAAATCGTCTGCGCCGTGTGAATGCATTACATGATATTGGGATCGTGCATGGTGACATTCGCGATGACCACTTTAGGATTCCCGGGGACTCTTACGATACGGTCCTCTACGACTTCTCCAATTCATATACATTTTCTCCCAGGTTGCCGTACCGCGTCGCTTCAAGGAAAGCTCTACCATTATCAAAGATAAGACAGTATGAGGAAGGCTATGTCTCAGACCAGGTATACAGGCGGTAAGCCACCATCAACCAGCCATGTTCATGAATGCCCTAGTATGATTGTAACAGAATAACAGTGCCCAGCAAATGGACCTTCGTGATCATCTTGCCAAGTCCCTCCAAACAAACATCGATGCAGTTGAGGCCATTCTCTCTTGTCCTTTGGACGAGGCCAAGGACTTGGAACTAATAGTTCTAAAAACGACGAATCGTCCTGACGGTCCGTTTGCGTACATCTTGCCTACCCTACCCTGGCTGGTTACTGACCCTTGTTATTCCACTCATAGGCTTTACTGTGCCGTCGTTAACATCCGTGTTCCCTTTTTTGGAGGCGATTCGGCCAAAAAGCAATCCTAGCTGGCACATTTCTAGAGCTCGACAGTTGAAATCCTACAAGTCTTTGTGGGCTTTTCAACATACGCACGAGAACCAAGTGAATCTCACAAAGCAAACGCTAACAATAGTGTCCTTGTGGGGGGAGATGCTAACTGATCCGGATAAGTTGCGGACGGAGCAAGGATGTTTTTTCTTACTCCTGGTGCCTCATGCCTGGGTTATAGATGACGTCGGCAGTAAGCTTTTGGCAGCTTGCATCCGGGTTAGCGAGGGTGGCAGTCCAGGCGGTATCATTAGTAGGTCTGATTTCGAAGATATTTGAGCCGGTTTCTCCTGAGAGCGGACATGACACGGTCCATGACATGTATGAATAGTAGTACATGCAGAGTCTAAGCTTATCGGCTGGCTAGATGCTCCTAATAGCCAAAGCTGCCTCTTTCAATGAACCCCCCCACCCGAGATAGATAAATTCTATAACCCTCTCTCTCTCCCTACTAATCCGCAACCACCACCGGTCCCTCCACCACCACCCTCCCAAACAACCCCCCCTTCCTAGTAGTCCCACGATACCAAACCCCCACCACAAGCTCATAGCACCGCGCAACCAAACAAGAATGAAACGTCGGCACAACCCTACCACCCAGAACCAGGCCCGGAATATGCACATACACAACCGCCTCATACACCTTCCCCCCAGATAACAACCCTCCCGGACATTCCCCCCAAACCACAGAACCCAACTCCCCCCCCAGCTTCACCATCTTCACTTGAACCCCGGACTGCATCTACTTCCCCACTGCACCCAGCTCCATGGGCATCTCCGTCCAAGGCCAAGTACTATAGAAAATTATCGCGTATCCACTCGATTCAAACCAGGAAGGGGAATATCCGCACCGCATATGCAATGTGAGCGGCGTATGCGTTTGTCGATTACCAACAGAGATTGGATCTGGAGGTACGGCACGGATGGAGAGTCGGGGATGGAGAACTCCGTGTTTGAGATGTTTTTGTGCGGAGAAGGGCTGGTTCCCTGGCTTAGAGGCATAGCTATCAACTAGAGGGGTGAATGGAGGGGGAGGTCGTGAGGAGATCCCGGTGGGAAGGATGTATAGGTACTTCCCGTTGTGCACGGACCGGATACTTGGATTGGAGGAGGAGGAAGGATGTAACAATGTAGTACCCTATTTTGACCGTCTGCGGACATAGAGTATCAATTGTGGGGTGGTCTGTAGACGATGAAGGTTGATTTCCAAGCGAGGGAGGTAATTCCGTATGTGCATATGGGATTAATGCATCCCGTCTCGAATGCTGGCATGAAAAAGGGGAGAGGGCTTTTGGGACGATGAAGGTGAATGGGAGGTTTTGACGACCCCATTTTGTAAAAGTAGCTTATCGTCGGCCTGTCCTTGCAGGTGAAGAAATGTCTCATTGGCTTTGGTCTGAGCCCTGAGTCGTTTGTGATTGACACGGTTGTGCGGCCTGCAGATTTCGCTATTTAGCATGTATGTATGCATACGTGAGACCATTGGTGATTGAGATGATGTATTAGGGACGTGAAGCCGAAGAACTGAGTGATATTGGTTGACTAGCTAGGAGGGCTTCTGCCTACCCGGGATGAAATGACAACAACAACACGGTGGCTAACGTGACCAGACACGTGACGCTCGCCTACCGACCAAGCGGCTGTCCGGACATGATGCGATGTACCTTCGAGGGATATCTTCACGTCTGAGTAGTTGATGTCCTTTTCGGAGGTAATTGCTACCTCTCCGGATGTCGTATCAAGGGGGGTGAATATACATGATGTGTCGTTGGGGTGGTTGTGGATGTGGATTGAGATCTTAGGGCGGGTCATCATCTACCTACCAAGATCACTCGGGATCTGGTATTTATGTGTGTAGCTCAACATCCATATGAAGATAACACAAGATAATTTCGAATAGAATTGATAATTAGGAACAGACTTATAGCACCTCAACTAGAAGCTGTTCTTTCGGAGTCCGGGGTTTGTCCGGCGCTCAGGTAATAAATGCTCCGATGAATGTGATTGCCGCGGAACGATTTCCGCTGCCCACTATCCCCATGTTATTCAGCACGAATGCTCATCATCTACAGCTTATTAACTTATGGTCTAGTATGTCGGTGTGATGTAAGGGTGCAGAATTGTATGATCAAGGCTGCTTCCGATGGCCATGGTGCAGAGGCTTAGTAATGTGACTGAGAAAAGCCGTTTTCTCATTGATAGATATGTATATGTACTAATCAAGAATAGACTTGTAAGATTGCTATACTGTCTGTGTGTATCAAGCATATGTCTGCCTGAACTATCCCAATGCCGATGGTAGCCCAATACCAGGGAGTAGAACTACTCAACCAGTCAGTCAGTCAGTCCCTTATGGAGACGACACCATCCAGGCATCTACGGAGCTGCGGCGGTCTTGCTCCTTTGCCGAACTACATGCCCAAATTTGTAGAAGACATATGGTACCGGTGTCATCACCAGTGAGATGCATCCTAGTAGCGTAAGCGACCAATGGACACCCAGGTTGGTGTACATCGGAATCGACACAATGACCATTGCCCCCGCGGCTAGATATCGCATGAATGTCGCGCTCACAAGAGCACTGGCGGCGAAGAGCTCATACGTATCTATTAGATACTGATAGCTGGATATAAAGATGCCCTGCACGGAGAACCCGAACGCAACAGACGCGATAAGAGGCGACCAGTACGATATAGACGGATAACTAGTCCATCCCATCCAGAAAAGAGAAATTGGAAGCCATGGCGCGCCATACATGGCGTACCAGAGTCGCTCTTCGGGTGGGAGACTGGATTGACCGTTGGCATTGGCTGCTTGCAATCGTCTTTTATACGACGTGTAAACATGCGGAATTGTGGCGAGAGCAATCAAGAAACCCACATTCATGCCGATATATGTCAAGCCCACGGATTCCTGAGAAAATCCGTATGTGCGACCGAAGATGAACTCGTAACCGGTGAGGAAGCCGAAGAGGACGATGTATACGACGACCAGGTACATTGTGAAAAGAGCTACCATGACCTCCCCGAAGAATAGTTTGAAAGGGCGGGAGCAGCTATGTAGCAGCCGAATAGGCAGCGTGGTTTGGCGCAGCTCCATCTCAGCCATGAAACGAGAGTCGCCAGTGATGGCGCGGAGATGACGAGCCTTCCATTGTAGAAGTACGGGGCCATAGGTCTCGGGAACGAAGAGAAAGATGGAGCTTGTGATCAGCCCAGCAAGGATCAAGGATGTCCATTCGGACCAACGCCAGCTGATGGCTGAACTTTGGCCGATGAATGCACCGACCATTGGAGCGAGAAATGGCCCCAAGAAAGATAATGCACAACACACCGGAAATGCATAAGTGCGGTCTAGAAGATCGAAGATGTCTGACATACTGCCGCCAAATGTCGTCAATGGCGTGCATCCGAATAGACCGGCAATAAAGCGGAATGCCAGCTGGGCGCCCAAGTTTGGAGACAGACCAGATGCCATGATGAAAATCATGAGGACCGACAGGGTCACTAGGTAGACAGGGTTGCGTCCCACGGTCTCCGAGAAAGGCGCCGCCACAAGAGATCCGAATCCGAATGCAATCAGATATAGCGCAGTGGCCAGAGACTCGGTCACCTCGCTGACCCCGAATGCTTCCTCTCCCTGTTTAATCACCGCAGAGTCGATGGATGAAGCCCAACCGACTAGGAAGCCTGTTGTGCCAACAATGCCCAATGTTGTCCACTTTCGCCCTAGAGTCCAATTCTTGGGGTTAAACGGGTCGTCCGGGCCATCGAACCCCACGATAAAAACTGCATTCTCATCGGAATGTCCAATGTCGGCTGCAGATTGGACGCTGACGCCGGGTACGGTTACTTTTTGCCCGTTATGCAATACAATCCCGGACACTCCTTGAGGTGAACGGGCGGCGTGAGTAATTGAAGGAGGTATAACGATGCTTGGGTCATTGGACATGAGCTGTCTTTCAAACCGAGCGTCATCAATGTCCTCCAAAATGTCCCCAGTGGGTTGTGAGCGAGGATCCCCAGCGGCATCCGGGCCATGCAACTTGATGCTTTGTTGCAGGTCTCCGCGGAGCCGTCGGTACTGAAGGAAGGACTGCATATTGAAAAAAGGCTTTAATGAGCAGATGAGGCAAGGAGCTTTTAGACTAACATAGAGCTGCCAAAATCGTTCTCCTGGGATATATACCGCTGCGGTTGCATTGTAGCAGCATCCGCTCTGCCGCTCTGCCGCCCTTCCGTACACCCGCTCTTTCCGCTTCCACCTTGCAGAGCAGCGACAATTTCATCCGAAAGCACAAGGAAGACATGCCAATGTGCTGATCAATATGCGCCCACTTCCTGCTATGGACTACATGACCATGGTAGCGAAAGTATCGTGATACAAATAGCCTTAGCGGAACCGACACACATTGTCACCCGTACCTCTGCCCACCATATCCCGCGTCGTCGAAAAGAGGAATTTCAGCATTGAGAAAGGCATCCCAGTCCCAATCCGAGTTACCGAGGGCATTTGCATCCGCTATTTCTCCCAGCCAAGGAGTACCGTAGGCCTGGGCAGATGTTGCGCTCTGCTCAGCCGGTGCAGCATTCTGATCCTGGACACTATCCTTCAGAAGACTTATTTCTCGCTCCTTCTTCCTTTGCGATAACTTGATCAGGGAATCAATAGTGTCTATGGCGGTGTAGACAGTAGGCGTACTGAAGTGCATGCCAATAGTTTTGAACGAACGCATAGCGTGGCCCACGTGTGATAGGGACTCTCGGGAATCTATTGCAAGCAAGATACAAAGAAACTGAAAGGGGACATTGGCAACATGCCACCAAGGACAGCGTTTCTCAGCCATACGGACTGCAGCAGCTATACCTTCAGTACCTAGGCGAATAATGCGGCCTATAACGTCGTTCGATATACTAGAAGCAGCCACTCGCAAGCGACGGTATATCGTAAGGGCTAGATTACTCTGGGAAAGGATCAAGGCGTCGTGGGTAAACCTTAGGCGTTCAACGCGAGCCAGGATATCTTCAAGGTCTGAAGGTCTATTGGTTTGCTCGGGGTCCAGCCGTTCGGAGATTTGAAACAATGAGATCAAGTCTGCGGTGAAATCGCCAGCTTGCGGCAAAGGTGGCTTGCAGGAGACGCCGCGTAGGATGACACGAGACCGACCGTATTCATAGGAGATCCACGCATTGAGTACCGTCGCTACCCAGAAGAGTCTGCGCTGGCTTTCTTCATCGACCCCGACATCTGCTGTATCAGAATATACCAAAGAGACCATCCCCGGATCCTGGTGAGCTCCTGCGGCTTCGATGATATGCATCGTAGAACAACTGGCCATCCATGAAGCATGAGGGCAGTTGGTACTCCGGAGATAGATGGTACGTAGAAGCCAAGCAGTAGCATGGTGCAAGAGTGGTTTGTTCATGATACACGTTGTCTCGAGGATTTCCTTTGCGCACTGGACTAGCGCTCCTTCATTTCGGTGTCCTTGATGGCCAGAATATAGGGATCCCAAGGCTGCGACGCCGCAAAGAACCGGATCATAACTGTCCAAAGTGGCAGAATCGCCCCAGCGCGAAGCGACTTTTTTCTGTAGGATATCCGGATTGAGGACAGCATACATAGGATGTATTCTTTCTAGATAATGGCCAACAAGATCCTCCATCTCCTCCTTGGAGATTAAGCTCGCGATGTTGGTGAAGTTTTGTGCAGGCTCATCCCGCAGACCTAGATTCCAGCTGAAGCCGTAAACCTTGGGTGGGTTTTGAGGATTCAAGCTCTTCCCCAAAAGGTGAGGAAATGCAGTTCCTGAATTTGCCTCCATCTGTTGCTGATTGACATCGGCCCTTGTCCCAAGCCCTGGCGAGGAAGGCCTTTCTCGTAACCTCACAGATGGTCGCGTAGTGCTTGACGAGGAGCGCTTCTTTCGTGGCTGAGCTCCGTAGGAGCATTCAAACTCGTATCTGAGGCAGAAGGTGCATGGCTCATGGCCATCACATTTCCGCTTCCGCACCTTGCACGTCTCACATGCATTTTTCGTCCTTCGACGGGTACTTCCGAGGGGTGAACGAGTGGAACGGCCTGGAGTTGATGACATGATGGCAAAGCAGTGGCGGTGAAATGGAGGATGTTATCGCCGAGGGAAGGGAAGTCGAAAGGGAAGTCGAAAGGGAAGCCGGAAGGGTCAGGCCGCCTCGGCGTTCGGGTCGGCAGGAATCCGACATGCGCGCTCCTCTCACTTCCCCGGATACATCCCAAGTCGCAGTGTTGAATCTTTTCATCGATGAGTAGGTAAATATGCCGTGCTTAGATGCTTGTATCACTTCGATGGCTGCCTGACCCATGCTCCTTACATTGCCTCCAGCTGACGGTTAAGAAAGCAAGATAACAGTCAAAGCTCCTCCTTTCGACACGACGAAGCATCGTGTAACCTACCCAGAAACAACTCTCCTCATATGATATGTGGAAATGAATTATCAGCTTCTCTTCGCCCAGTGCAGCAGAATGTCTTATCCAGATCAATAGAAGCCGATATTTTCAAGGTCATCACAGCATCAGAGCCTATAGTTCCGGACCAAATGGCTTTAATCAAATCTACCCCCGCACAGCAATTATGAGCGTTTCATGCGTAAAGCTAACAGACAGGGAAGGGAGAGTCTCAAACCTCTGGGTCACCAAAACCTACCAAGAAGTGACAGCTTGGTTCGGCAAAACCAAACCGGCATTGATAAGCCGTGTTGATCCTTTGACTCCCTAATGTCCGCCTCACTTGAGGCTAACATGAGGTAAGGATTCATTATGTTCCCTGATAATGTGGGATATAATTGGGAAATTTTGAGAAAGAGACAATCTGCATGGTTACATTAGTATTTCCCAGTGCTTATCTAGTTACACCCAACCTCTACACATTTCGACACAGATATGCGTTCCACAGCCATCACAGTCAATGATTAGCTATCCTATCCATCAAAGCAAGGCGTGTTAATGCACGGTGGTGGTGACTTTATATAGAAATTCCAACCACGCAGTATCAGGAGGTTGGCTCTGGCCCACCACATTATCCTACTATCCCTAGCCAACAAAGGATATGATTGCTCTTCACATATTAATCCCACCTCCCCGATGATATCCAACGAGAAACATCGGTCTATCGACCCATCCGACCGCCACAAATAATAGGTAGTGGAGCCAACGTGAAAGATTATGTATGCCAAGGGATATCATTACCTGATGGGGAGAGGAGATCGTGCTGGAAGACATCAACCAATTCCTAAATGGGGCCTAGGAACTTTTAACAAAAACTACACAGAAGTTTAAGCCATCTCGACTATACAGACAGTCGCAGCCTCTCGTTCTCTAAGAGTCATGTACGAAGCTCGAAGTGCGAAACCTATACTCCAATCCCTATACTAAACTCTTAGACCTCCCTCCTACGAAGTATCTCTGACATCTAACTTCTGACAGAAAGTAAGCTGAACCCCACCCCCTCGCCACCCCTGACTGATCCATCCCCACTAACCCATAGATCCCATGTAGATCCCCCAAATAGTTCCAGACCCATTACCCTACCCCTCCCCTTCCCTTCCCCAGCACGCATCAACCTATGGAGTAACTTGTGCCCTCATTTCCAGTCAATGATTCATTCACTCGCAAATTCCATCATCCCAGATAGATTCTAGGGCATAAATACCTCCCTCCCTCCTTTCTTCCTTCCTTCAATCCCTCCCTACACACCTACCTATACACTCATCATCTTCACAACACACCCCCAATACCAAAATCCCAAATCCCAACTCCCAAACCCCAACCCTATAACCAACACAACAACAAAACAACAATGAACCTCCCCCTCCTCACCCTCCTCACCATCCTCAGCACCGCCATCGCCTCTCCGGGTCCGAGTATGAACCTCGCTACTAGGGATGTATGTTATCACCCCCCCCCCCACCCCCCCCCCAATTCCCCATTCTCCATTCCCTTTCCCTTAATACCCACCATCCACAATCCTTAGCTATACACCACATGTAACACCATACCCTAACCAAAAGAAACAACAAAAAAAGCTTCCTGTCGGTTCACCATGCAAGAAAGATGGAAGTATGGGGAATTGTGAGAGTGGGTTTTGTCTTGTGAGTTTTCCCAGCCCTAAATCTTTTTTAGAGGGAGGTGGAGATGAGGCTAATAGGATTGGTTTTATTTGGGTGTTGTAGCAAGATGAGAGTGCGGACTCGGGGGTTTGTCGGTGAGTATCCGAGGATTGATTGGTGGTGGTTGGGGGGAAAGAAGGGTAGGATGAGGATAGATGGATGTATATATTGGTATTATTGAAGGATATTGGTGGGAAGTACTAAACTGTATTTTTGAAAGTAGAGTATCATTTTCTGATAGGAGTAGTGTACAGGTATGGGGTGGCCCTTGGTATTGCTAGAGAAAGGTGTTCTCTACGCCGAATGAGTGTTGATGGGACGTTTTCTGCAACATGACGGCAACGTTAACATTTTGGGTATTTGTTCAATCGGTAGTAGTTAATGAGCATACTATCATTCAGTAATATTTGACACCATATCTGACAAAACACATTCCAGCTCTCATCAAGAGAAAAGCAAGACGGTGCTCTGCAATTTCACCTGTTCCAGACAAGGAGCAGACAGTAATTATGTACACGATAAAGAGACAATAATACATGTAGAACTGAAGAGATGGAATCATGTGCTGCAGAAAACCCAATCCAAAGGTTGACTTTGCGATCCCTCAGACAGAGGGAAGACCGCACAAGGGGCCATTTGGGTTGACCTCGAATGGATTTATTTCCGGTGAGCATGCCCGTGGCCATGACGTCTATGGACATGGTGGGAATGTCCATCATGCTGCACAGGAGATTCGGTCGGCGTAGTCACGATAGTGGACATAACTTTGTTGATGGTGGAAGTCGATGTTGAAACAGTCTCCAATGCACCCGTCTCCGTCTGAACAGGGGCCCCCGTTTCATCCGTGAGAACAATGAACTCCTGCTGGACATAAACAATCTTCTGAGTGAAGACACCTTCGACGTAAACGGTGGTAGGATCGGGTGTCCAGCTAGTTGTTGGTGCCGAAGAAGTAGTCGAGGTTGAAAAGAGTGTCGCAGTAGGGGAAGTCAAAGTCGAGAAAGTAGAAAGAGCGGTAGCCGTTACTCCAACATGGACATCCCCCACATTGATAGAGACCCCAATCGAGACACTGGGTTCTGATACAGCTGGGGAGGTATGATGACTCAAGCCGGTATACTTGACCGGACTTGCATATGCAGGACCGGATTGAATGGCAACGTGATTCGGAAGGCCGCCCTTGTGGAGATACACGTTCTCGTCCTTTAGCTCATCCGGCACGGCGAAGCTGCACTGGCCCTGTTCTGCTTCGCTTTGAAGGTCAAATATGGGGCAGTCTTCCACCCGGCCAGACAGGTTAGTACATTCGCTCACTGCACGTTGGAGGACGCCGGTTTGCCAGCCAAAGATGAAGTCTCCATGGTAACCATAACCAGTAGGGTCACCATTTGCGAGAACGAATGTGCCCTGTTTGTCCTTGAACGCATAGGTGTCCCAGATGGTCTCATAGAAAAGCGACACCAGACGGGTCTCGAAGCCTTCCGGGCAATCCCCGTCCATGACTAGCGATGGGTAGGCCATATGCGACCTATGGTCCTTTGAGTCAACGTCCTTGCCATTCCAACAAGAAGGGAACATCAGTTCGAATCGAACACCATCAGTACAATGCTCATCCAAGAAGGTCTTGTTCGGGAGGAAATGACGGCCGAGCGACGGTTCAGCGGCCTGATTATAGTTCAAACAGTTGAACCCAAGGGCTTTTTGACGAAGGGCAGACTGAGATGATTGATTTCCCGACCATTCGGACTTCGGAGGGTCGGGAACTGGCCAAGGAAAGTTGCGTAGAAACGGATCGCCGGCAATCATACGAAAGTTCTCTGGGAATGCGGTCACATTCTCCCCGTTAAGGAAGTAGTAGCTGGTGGCGGTGGTTAGCAACTGACAGCACCCAATATAGGCTTTACACTCACGCAAGCATGCCACCCACTTCATTCACCAGCTCCGCATCACCGTTTTCATGCATGAAATACAGTGCGGGGACCCAGTATGCGGATTGGTCCTGGGTCACCCCGCATGATGTACAGTTCGCTTTCTTGAGACTCATCTCGGTGGCCGACATGGAAAATCCTATTCAGCTAAGTTTAGCGAGGGCACCACCAGGTAGAGACAACATCATCGGACGAACCTCCCGATCCATGAACCACATGGACATGGTCTGATGGTTTCCCTGGGGCCATCAAGGGATCAATTCGAGCGACCCCGCTTCGACCACGACAAGGAAGACGCCAGAAGGCATCTGAGACGCTGGAAAGGGCCGCCAAACAGGCCACAAGAATGACATTTCGGCGCATGATAGGTGGTTGGTTTTCGGAAAGAGTGACAGATGGAAGTAAAGAAGCGATACCGAGTTTCCGGTTTAATGAGCAATTGTGTCAACTACACGCGTCGCCAGGAGCATAAGTACAGACCCAAAGCCATCAAATGTAACAGAGAAGATCAAAACAAAATGAATGTGGAGAAATGAAGGGAAAGCAATTGTGACTAGGCCATCAGTGTTACTCAGTAATAGTGAAAGCGAGTGCGAAGCGAGTGCAAACGCGGGTGCGAGGCATAGTATAAGAACGGCAAGAACCACAACAATGACAAAGCAGTCAGGAATAGTTCTGATCAACTCTGGAACGAGCACTGGCTGATACAGGGCGGCGCTAGTCCATTCAACATCCAAGATCGTGGTTCACGTAAGTGGCTGAGGCGAAGGCAGGGGGCTCCCCTTGCATACCGGAGCCGGTGGCTTGCTCTGCACTCGCCACCAGCCTTCGCGTAGACATGGCTTGAGGCGAATGTTGATGCAAAGAAAATCCACGAAACCGGGCTAGGTTGGGTAGGGAATCAAAGAAACAATAACAACTCACATTCTCTTGGTTGAGAAGACCAAGGGTGCTGGTGGTCGATCAATACCTGTCTCGCTGATTTGTTGGAATGGGTCTGATGTCGGGAATCTAGGGTCTCCTTTCAGCTCTCGGCTACATAACTCATGCCTTTGTCGCAGATAGTAAAGTAGAGGAACCAACGAGAACCATACATTGAGACGGCAAAAAGATCAATGATAACTGGTTGAACCAAGGAACGGAAGAAGTATAAAAGAACAGGGATTGTAGGAATTCGGGATTCTATCTTTCTTTTCAAGAGGAAAAAGGAGTGGAAGGACGTCAATGCCGTCTGTAAGGCCCGGAGGCAGAAAAAAGGAGGGGGGACAATAAAGCCAGCGGAGAACTCCTAAGTGGCAGGAGGGGTAATAGGTACATTATAAAGGGATCAATCTCCCTATCAGGATGGTAAGCAATCTAAGCAGGTAAGACCGTACACAATGATTTATGGGGTCCATTTTTGCCAGGATTTTAGACAAAGATTCCAGCGGCCATTGGGTTTCTGTCACCATCTTGATGGTTGGCTGATTGGAGATCTGGTGAATCAACAGACCTGAACTCTCTATAATTAGGGATATGAAAGGGTCCACAGATAGATATGTCGTGCCAAACTATGGAGTCCTGTGTCGCACAATCGCATCTGCTGTCTTGAGTCTTGACTCATGCATGATAGCGCCGATCGCGTTCAGTGGCTGCAAGGCAAAACCATGCGGTGATGCGCAGCGTCTAGCGCAGTTTCTATTTTCTTCCTATAGTACCACACCGATCCGAGTAAAATCACAGGGTCATCCGCAGCAGAAGTGATCGATTTCTCAAGCATTGCATGTGACAAAGGACAGCCGCTGGGTGACTTAAGCGAAGGGGTTCATTTCCCCAGGACCAGCCAAGAAAGGCAGTGTCTCAATCCCAGCCAATCCCTTAGCGATCCGGGTTCACTAAGAGTTATGATAGCAGTTCGTTGGTGTAGTCAGTGCATCCCCAAGGGGGTCATATTCAGGAGTCTATCCTATAAGGATGCAGATCTGCGATCCAACATGATGGGGGAACGATCATGAAACAGGCGTAGCCCCCTCAGGTTAGGAACCTGGAACTTGGAAGGAAGCCCGGGAAAAGGGACAAAGGGACAAAGGGACAAAGGGTGTTCCTGGCTAGTCTGCCGCTAGCGAGCCTGGCTGGGGCCTAGCGCGCCTTTGTTCCGTCGGTCGCAGCTTGCAGGATGCACGATGCCGATTGCAGATCGGGCTGCATTACTCAGATGAAGTGGTGTATTGCCACCAGTTATGTCTCATAGCTGCTAGAAAGATTATTTAATATAAGGGTCTTTGCTTCAAGAGCTCGATGTTTGGACTGAAAAGCACATTGTGTTCGGCGCAACCATGACCGATTGACAGGGAATGATTGTACCATGTTTTCGATCACGCAAAAATGTGGTTTCTGACCAGGCATCATGAAAAAATAAGATAGTTCTGAAAATAAAATCACGATGCGATATCAGTTGATAGAGATGAATGACAGGTAAGAAGAACTTTGGTGTGTGAAATGTGACTGAGCCACTCAGCAACATATATTTTACCGGAATACACAGACCTCACATGACATCAGTGGTCGTACGATGTCCACACTGCAGGAAAGTCAAGATCTTAAAGAACAAACTCGTTCAACTGACTGACGGATAACACTATTAATTTATCGCGGAACTGAAGAAAGGAACACGCCTCTTAATCGGTAATCCCCAATCAAACACGAGGTTCTCTATCTGGTCTACACCCTGTCATCTCCGCCCTATCAAGATAGCACAGATCTAGATCGCTCAAACCCATGCAACACGATAAAACCGGATAAGAATGATTGCAGGCTATCTACAGCGTAGATCAATGATTGTATGTATCTGTTCGATCGCTAGTGATAACGAATCTATATTATCAGTAGTACGTAAATCTCCAAAGATAGTTTCAAGCGCATCCCGTCCGTTGTCACAATTTCCCCTCTATGGGTAAGCCGTCAGAGCCGGACCATTGATTGTGCATTAGTACAGATTGACTATCATCTAGGAGCATTCTGGTTTGAATAGCCGGAAATGAAGGTTGCAGCAAGGGAATGCTCTTTGACATAGGAGCTGCGGAACGATTCTCCATGAACATTCTGTAGATATCATAACTTGAATGACACCTCATAAGTCAGTGGACCGAATAAGTGTCCATTCGTGATCTGAAAATGTCAGCAAATTTACTTTTCCATCTCAACAAAATCCCCGGCTGTCATCCCCAGGAGTGGGCCACACGACAGTTGAGAATAATATGAGAGAGTGTTATCAATCAATTACCGCTACGGACGAGCAGAACCGGCAAACCTTCCCCGAAAACAAAGATCCATTTTCTGGCTGTCATGGAGCCCATTCGAAATTCGAAATTCGAAGACACACTGCTGGATCGATGGAGGGTGCAGGCTTACTACATGCGGTAAAGAGGCATGCCGCGAAATCATTCTTATCTAGGCGCTATCCCCCAGGCGGGAAAGGAATCCTACGGCCCCAGCTTTGTGGCGGATACTAAGAGACGCCGGGTGGTAACCAAGTAAGTCGGCCATGATTAGTTTCGAAAAATAATAATCCGTTGTAATGGCGAGTCAGTGTTTGTTGAGTGGACGTCTCGGGAGTCGGAACAACGGAACGCTGCGCATAGAAACCAAGCCGCTTGATTGAAACACAGCTACGCGGTTGGGCGTCGTGGCTCGTGAAGTCGGAGTGCTTCGTAGGCCACCGAGGATGCAAAGATCGTCGGCTAAAGGTAAAACGGGCAGCGGAAACTTAATGACCTAGTCTGCTCGGATGGGCAATGATTGTTGGCCCTAAGAAGGCAAGTCGACGATACGGCAGTCTAAGGCGGCTTTAGTTGCGGGAAGATTCCGTGGCGCAATCTCTGATTCCTCGCATGCGCCTGCTCGGTTTCAGTGAATAGCTCCCTAGAGTAGAGATGGATTGCCGAGTACGAAGCAATTGCGCAGCATCAAGGTTAGTGAAAGAAAGCATAGGTACTCCGTACTCCGTACTTCCCTAGGACTTGCCGGTTGTCGGCCGGATCCCGCACTGATGCAGGTATCTACATAGTAAATAGTTTAGTGCCCTTCAATCGGGCACAACTCGTAGCGGCCAACTTTCCATTCTTATTCGACCGAGAAGGGGACCAAGAAAATGCCTCGAATCGCAAAGGTAGCCCGGTGAATTCTCTTAGTCAAATGTTTCTCCTCTCGTGGTCTTGGGATTACTGCTTGCGAATGAGATGCTCCGGTTCATATGAGGTCCACTGCGCGGTGGCTCCCAGATGCGGGTTTGGGCTAAGCCAATCGAGTTAACCAACACAGCAACAAGAGGGGCTGTAAAAGCCGACCCGCTGGAGAAAGTTCGGATGGGAGTCGACAAGAAGAGCGGAGAGGTCCAGTTTGTCGTTATTCGTTTGCCTCAATGTATGCGAGAGTATCATTTTCTAATGAACCCCAGGTTTCCTGGAAAATGACTACTTGGCAAGAGATTATGATATCATGAGGAAGAAGGATCCTGCAGGTTATGCGGGCCAGACTCGTGTTGACTGTCGAAAAACTTTCTGAGCTCGGCCCGGTCCCGTGAGAAAGCAAAGGGGCAATGGCTCCGATCGGCCTAAGGACCACGCACCTCGCCGTAGACGGTATGACGATTGCAAAGATCCTAAGAGAATGAAAAGGAACAGGGCAAAGGGTACGAAGCTCCGTAAGCGGAACTGCTTTCCACCGGCACACACGCACAGAAAGGTGCGACACTCGATAGGTATAGTGCTTCGTACTTCGTAGGGAGTTAAAAATCTGTTGTCGGAACCCAAATCCACCCAGTTGGCCAAGTGGGGGGAGCCGCCACTCCCTGCAGCCAAGATCAGCCAACGAGGGGGCTCGGTGGTCTCCGGCACCAGAGCCCCATTGGGCGTCCACAGAGCACACTATCTGACTGCCGGCCTCGACGTGTTGGTTGTTGAGCCCTCTACCTTAATTTCCCAGCCGGATAGACCCTCTGATGACGATATCAGGCTGGCGAAAGCGAATCGGATCCGTGAGATCTGGCTGCGTCTGCACCACCATGTCGGTTGAGGTTAGGCCCGGCTGTTGGAGTGGCAGAAGATGGGGAGCGTCATCGAAGCAAGCAGGATACGGGGAACCCTTCCATCGTTAAGACTGGTGGGGACGCCGCAGGAGGCTTGATTCGAAGCTGAAGGAGGGGAAAAAAGAAAAAGAAAAAGCGCTTTTTCGATCTTAAATACTCACACGTATCCCAAACCAGGTCTCGCCGCATATCCTCAAACTCTCTTCTCCTACCTTTCTCCTCTTCTCCCCTTTCCTCTTCCTCCTACTCCTCCTCTTTCCTCTGCTAGAACCCTTCTCTGCGATATCCGTGGTGAAGGTCTAGTGTTCACCTGTTCTCCGCGTTGGCTGTCGTGTCCCACACCAACCCGCCTTGTTTGATAGCTGAAAGCACACGCAACGAAACACAGATTGACTTCTGTAATACTGATCGCTCCGGGCGTTTTGTATCCTTGTATCGCCGTATCGCCGGGTACAGCCTCTCAGCCCTCCTGCGACAGTTGATCTGCCCTTCTCGCGACTTCAACGACAGTTTGCGACAACCCATCTGCGACATTGACTAGCAAAACGCGTGCCAACCGCAGCCAATCTGTCCACCAGCAGCACCGAAGCTTCCCGCCGAGTGTTTTGAAAGCACAATAAGCCCTCATGCAGCAGTGGTCTTGATCGAACCAATTAGACCTCTTTAGGATCTCCAACGCGATTATCTTGCAACACGGCAGTCCGGCCCAGTCACCTTCGATTGCCCTTTGCGCCATAACCTCTCCGCGACAACGCTCGTTTTTGACGCTGACCCTTGCCTACATTGTCTGGAACAATGAGTGCTCTCGATATAGAAAAGAAGGCGAGCGTGAACCACGCCTCGTCCAGCGAAAATGCCTCTGGATCTGATGATGCAGACGGACTTAGGCTGGCCGAGATGGGGTACACGCAGGATTTGCAACGCAATTTCTCCTTGCTTTCACTGGTTGGGATTGCGTTCTGTATGTCCAATTCCTGGTTCGGTATCTCGGCATCCTTGATCACCGGTATCAGCTCTGGTGGTACAGTTCTCATCATCTACGGCTTGTTTTGGATCACCTTCATCTCGTGTTGTGTTGCTGCCTCGCTTTCGGAACTGGCTAGCTCCATGCCCAACTCTGGTGGCCAATATTTCTGGGCGAACGAACTTGCTCCGAAAAAGTATGCTCGGTTTTCGTCCTACGTCACTGGCTGGTTCGGATATGCGGGTGCCATCTTCGCCAGTGCTAGTGTTGTACTCAGTCTCGGATCCGGTGTTGTGGGAATGTGGCAGCTTGGCCATCCATCATTGTATGCTTTCAAATTCCCATCCTTGCTACCTGAACGAGTGTGACCTCCTTCATGTGCGTAGTGCTGACACCAACCACAGTGTTCCCCAAGCCTGGCATACTGTAGTAGCATACCAACTCATCAACTTCTTCTGCTACCTCTTCAATTGCTGGGGTAAATTCTTGCCCGCCGTCGCCAAGGCCACGCTATATATCTCTCTGCTGTCGTTCCTGGTCATCCTGATCGTTGTTCCGGCTTGTGCCAATCCGCATGCGAGCGGGTCTTTCGTGTTTGGGCACTTTGCTAACGCTACCGGCTGGAAGTCGGATGGAATCGCATTCATTGTCGGTCTGATCAACCCGAACTGGATCTTCGCCTGCTTGGATTCCGCAACTCATCTTGCCGAAGAGGTGCCACAACCCGAGAAGAACATTCCCATTGCCATCATGACGACAGTTGGTCTTGGTTTTGTTACCGCATGGTTCTATTGTGTTGCCATGTTCTTCAGCATCACTGACCTTGATGCGCTCCTGAACTCCGCTACCGGAGTCCCCATTCTGGAACTTTACTACCAAGCCCTGAGAAATAGGGCCGGTGCCATTGTTCTGGAAACTCTCTTGGTGGTGACAGGCATGGGCTGTCTGATTGCATGCCACACTTGGCAGTCACGTCTTGCTTGGGCCTTCGCTCGGGACCGCGGTATGCCTGGACACCAGTGGCTCTCCCAGGTCAACAAGAAGCTAGATGTGCCGATCGCCGCCCACACCGCAAGCTGTTTCATCGTGGCCGTTCTTGGCTTGCTCTACCTCGGATCCTCCACTGCATTCAACAGTATGGTCACAGCATGTATCTCTCTGCTGTACATCTCATACTCGATTCCCGTTATCTGTCTCCTGTACCGTGGTCGCGACAACATCAAGCACGGTCCCTTCTGGCTGGGTAAATGGGGTCTTTTTGCGAACATTGTCACCTTAGCCTGGACTCTCTTCTGTCTCGTCATGTACTCGTTCCCCGCGAGTATGCCAGTCACGACAGGCAGTAAGTATCCCATCACGTGGACCCCTCAAGAAGCATTGTGGCTAACTTGACTGGCAGATATGAACTATGTTTCGGCCGTATATGGAGTCGTTGTCTTCATTATCCTGTGTGACTGGTTCGTTCGAGGCAGACGTTCATTCAGAGGCAGCTTGAGTTGTGTGGAAGGAGAAAATACCGAGTAAAGCGAGGCTGGATCATCACATACTCTGTTCACCCTCTCTTAATGTGTCTGAGCGCTTGGAAGGAAAGGCTCATTCACAGCTTATGACACCAACCGGGGATTCCTAGCGAGTCTGGGATCTTCATGACTTCAAAAAAACGAAAAGAAAAATCTGTATATAGACGATACCCTGGTGATATAGAGTCAATATAGACGAATGAAAAAAATTCAATAAGTCTGGGCTTTCCACTTGTTGGCTCGAATAACGGGGCATGATGAGAAACGAGAAGTTGACTTCTCGATGCGAAACACTGGCAACAACGAGGAATATGACCCGAAGTCATCACGATGGCATGTAGTTGAAGAATATCGAGGAAACAAGCTCTCAATCCCACAATGGCCAGGGAGGTGGAAAAGACAAAAGGGGAGAAGCAAAACTGACGTTCCATGTGACCACCACAAACGTAGCTAGACCGTTTATGGCCGGGACAGTCGTCTCCCCAGAACATTCTAGGCCGCTCCATTTACTGGAGGCCCAACCGCCCATGACAAACCTGGAGCCCGAACTTGCCATGTGGCTTGCAATAGCACCATTTTCTGACTCTCAAAATTCTTATTTGTGTGACTCATGAGCAGACCTTGCGTCCTCGGAGCCGGATAGCTGATAAAAATGCGTTTGTTTGCTATACTGATACGTAATCGGCTGGGCCTGGTTATAGCAGAGTCAATCCTATACGTCAACCGATAGCCTTGCGGTGAGCAATCTTTTCGGTTAGTCAGGAGAGGCAAAGGAAGACGGCTTGGTAATTCCAGCAGGCTTTTACTTTGCTATCATTAGGGGGTTGCTTTCTGTATTGTATTTAATATTCCAATGCAACTACTATGACCGTCCCTCATAAAATCCAAATGTAGACAATCTGAAGGAACATCATCATGTTATAGCATGGGTTTGAACTTCAAATCATCACGGAGAACCTTGTCAATGACCTCAGTAGCCATGAGTACTTCTTCATCTTGAAATCTCCATCCAACAACCTGAATAGCAGTAGGTGCACCGTCTACTGCATCGGGATCATCTGTGAACACAATTAGTGGCTGGTTCCGTGATCAACTCAAAGAGCATACTTACAACCGTCACATGTTTCTGAGTCCAGTGATTTATCAGCCTTGAGGTAAGGAATGATACTCGTAGGAAACTAAATGTTCCATGTCAGCAAACAAACGCGACCCAAGGTATCTTGGCTTTCGGCTCTCACATTCAACAAATTCCAGATGACAGTATATATCGGCGGTCCATATGTATCATGTGGACCTGCAGTCGACCAGTGACCAGGACAGATAAGAACATCCAACTTATACTCCCTCCAAACTTCAGCCATCTTTTCCCGGTACGCGATCAACGAAGTATTGGCGTTCCAGACATCGTCCAACGTGAATGTGGGATCCTGTATGCCAGCTAGAGTAGCTGGAGAAGTGTACTCCAAGGCTTTGATTGGTTGCTCTTCGCCCTTCAGAACATGCTGCAGGAGGGTTTGTTTGTTGTCAAAGAGGAAGTATCGTGCTGCCAGCTTTAGACCATCGTGGAATGAGGGGGCATTAGTTACTAAACGCACAGTGTGGCCAGCCGTCTCGAGTGCAGCCTGTGCGGATTTGAGTGCCCGTTTCACAGGTGGAAATAGTGGGAAATCCTCATCGCCCATATAAAATCCGATACTCAGTCTCTTCTTCGGAGGCACATGCCGCCATCCAGTTCCAAGAGCAGTAGAATCAAGGCGCCATGGCTCTGAGGAGAGAATCGTTCGACAGAAGAACGTCAAGTCCGATGCACTGTTTGCGAGTGGCCCAACTGCAGATACGAGGCCAGGGGTTCCTGGTCTGTCTCCCAATTCAACCTTTCCGTGTGGCATTCGGTCTGCAGTTGGTTTGAAGCCATATGTGCCGTTGCAGAGAGATGGTGCGCGAATGGAACCTCCAACATCTGTACCTACCCCTAAGATGGAGCCTCGAAAGGCCACCAGAGCGCCTTCACCCCCACTACTGCCACCAGCGCTGAGGCTAAGTTTATGGGGGTTCAACGTTCGTCCAAAAACATTGTTGACACTATCCATGGTCTTGAACGAAGATAAAGAATATCAGCGAAAGGTTGAGGAGACAAGCGAAATATTGGCTTCATACCAACAATGTCTGTGGAATATTTGTCTTGAGGTACAAGATCGCGCCATTTGCAAGGAGGATATCAACGAGAGGAGAATTCTCAGCAGCAAGTGGCTCCTTCAGGAAAGACACAAAACCGATTGTAGTCGCTTGTCCTTTGACATTGAAGCTGTCCTATTGTATCAAGAGATTGGTGGCCACGGTGTTAGCAAGAACAATGCCCATCACTCCAGGTCATTAAAATTTGCGACTAGGACAGGTGATCCAACCTTTACACTGATAGGGAGGCCATGGAAGGGCCCGTAAGGCCTATTGTATTTGGCTAGATAATCATCGAGAAATTTCGCTCTCTCAAATGCTTCTGCGAAGAATATCTCAGTCGCGCAGTTGGTCTGGTTGAATGTGTCAGCCAAAAGGTTTGCCCCGATCGCGAGATAAGCATACATACCAACTGCTGTGCAATCGCAGCTCTCTTGCAAAAAGCCTTACAGACTTGGAGGGAAGTCAACGTGCCTTGAATAATATCACGGTGGAGGCCCTGGGCGTCATAGGACTCTGTGATTCTGATCTCCTCCCTAGTCAACAGACGATGGCTCCTTGAGATATCAAAGGCACTTATGTCGGCGTCCTGATTGATCTGAGTCAAAATGGCTTCCGGAAGTATCCAGTCAGGAGGGATTCTGGAAGCACGGTCCCTGAGCTTATCAGCGATGAGAGCATTCCAGCCGGTCATGTTGCAGAGGGGACTAATTTCCTCCCCTCCGAGCTGTAATGGAAGGGGAAACGAAGGGTGGGAGTGTATGCAGTATCAAGTTTGAGAGAGCGTTATGAGATAAGACCGCTTGGTGGGAGCCTGCGTCTGCTTGTTTGTAGCGGGGTTAACTTGCTCCATGGCGAGCTAATTGAAGCCACCGTATTCACCCGGTGCTATATAACATGGTCATAATAATATTATTCACAAGGCTATCTGGTGACGTGGATAAGGCAAACTATTGGGAATTGAGTACTGGGTGAAGGGAGCACTCTGGCATCCATATTGTTGCCTTGCCTGCAGGCACTCAAGCCCATGAACTGATTCAATGTTGGTTTTTTTTTTCCAGACCCCCTAATGCAAAACCGTGGCTATGTCAGCCACCATAACCAGAGACGTTGCTTAGCGGCAAAGTCAAATGGCTGGCAGGATCAACCTACTGTCAAGTGTGCTACGCCGTCAGTTATCGGAAGCCAATGATTGATTGACGGCAAGAGATATTCACCCGACATGTTGGCCCATTCATGCAGCTGCCCCAACACGTGAGCTCTGTCCCCGGCAAACCTCGGCTCCGATTTCCTTTATACACAATGAGTCCGTCTCCATGCGTTGAATTGGCTGACATCGCCGCTCGATGAAGCACCGCTTCGATGTACAAATGGCGGCATAGGCCTCGGTTCTGACGTACATGTCAATTCTGAAAATTTCCAAATCATCAAGCCTATGCTAATCAAATGAAATGGAATGTCACCGTTGATTGCACCCATCACTCTGCAGCCTTATGATTAGACTCGGACACATCAAGGCTTGCTAGAAAATTCGAAGTTTGAACACTTACATATGGGTATCAATGGCCAACAAACTAAGGCTCACCGATTATTCTCAGAGGCTCGTTATTCCTTAGTAAGCACATTATTCCCTGTCATCGGACAACGTCCCGAATTTCCTAGGTAAGATGTTATGACCGATCGAGCTCTATGCGACATCAGGTCCGGAAAGCATTGAATTTTGGGGATTCAAGATCCAAGGCAAACCGCATCTATTCGACCTGCCTCACATCGCCATGATCGGATGAACAGCATGAGCACCGAGCACGCCTTCAGATTGGTGCTGCGGGCACTTTGGAAAGACCGAGATAGTGGGAAATAGAACAAAGACATGATTGGTGGAGTAAGCCCTAGACTCTACTGTGTAAGACCCCTTCAAAGATGCATTGATGAGTTGGACTGGATGTCGATCACCAATGATGCTCCTGGCGACCTTCATATAGCCGACTGGCTCAGTCAGCGGTTGTTTCGATTGTTCTATGAATCAGACTCTGTTGGACCTAGCCAACTTTATCAATTTCCTGGATAATCTTTTGTTTCGTCCCCCATCTAATTTCTGATTGGAATTTGGTAGGATGGTATAATGATAAGATGAACTGAATGGATCCGATTGGAGTGACAACTGAAAGGAAACCGATTCCAATCCAGCTGGAGTACAACGAAAGTGGGTCTCTACCAGCCAATTAGGGTGTTTAGTTTACGAGCGGGCCAATGGCAAGAAGGGCGGCCTGGCCAGCCTTCAGGCAGCTGCCCGTCAGCAATCCCATCCTCAATGCATCGATTGCCTTCCATCTTCGTTTCAGGGGCATGACCGTCACTAGACATCATCTATGGCGGAAGCAGTTAATTATAAATAGATGACCCCGGTAGCAAGTTTAGCCCGGAGCATTGAAAAGCAAACACTGAAATGGAGCCCCACCAGAAGAAGCGTCGTGCAAGCAGACCTAAAGCCAAGACAGGCTGTCGGACATGCAAGTGAGTGCCAGTTGCCTTCTTACACTAAACGATCTTGCGCTTACGGTCTACAAGGATTCGTCGGGTCAAATGCGATGAGGGTCGACCAGCATGTAGACGATGCTTATCAACCGGCCGAGTTTGCGATGGCTATGGAATCTGGGGTGGGGGAAATACTTCTTCTGGCAATCGTGCTACCATACCAAAGATCTACCAGAATGTGCTATCGTGCTATAATGCGCCGGTGCCAATTGCTCATGCCGGATCTTCTGAGCGAGTATGTGTAGATTGGTTCATCCAGCGCACGATTCCCAAGGTTGGAGGAGTCTTTTCATCCGATTTCTGGAGCAGGCTAGTCATCCAAGCAATTTCTCAAGAGCCAGCAGTGCGGCATGCTGCTCTAGCATTGGCATCTACACACCGATATGGGGCACAAAAAGGTGACCAGGGATGTACAACGGATGATCATTTAGGAGAGTATGAAAAGTTCACTCTCCAGCACTACAACCAAGCAATCAGTTGTCTCCGGGTTGAATTCAGGCGCAGCCACAGGCAGGATCAATGTATGACGGTTGCCCTTATTACTTGCATGTTATTTGTGACCCTCGAAATGATGCGAGGGCAATATAGAGCAAGCCAGACCCATCTGCGGCATGGGTTAAAGCTGTTGAAAGAGACACAGAGGCTGTCTGGCACCTCTAGAAGTGGAAAAATCCTGATAAGTGCTTTATCACAAACCGTCGAAGATGATATCATTCAAGTCTTTAGCAGACTCGCAGTACAGTCTGCTCTACTTGGTCACGAAACCGGATGTTCGGACCTGGACTACGACATTCAACCTCGTCATTCACCTTACAAATTTCTAACAATCGAGCAAGCCAGGCAATATCTGGATATCCTTCTTGCGAGAGCGCAATCCTTGGTGGAGATGGGTCGCCAGATAGAAACAAACATATACGTTGAGCCTCAGAGCTATGAGGAGCTTCTCGAATCTCAGTGGCGTATTGAAAAGGAACTGACGATCTGGTTTGACGTCTACAAGCTATCCCTTGAGGAGTTTCAATCTCACGATGTGTCCCAAGGTATATTGGCAGAGAAATTACTCGTGATGTACCATACCATGGCGCTGATCATGGTCACGACCTGCATTCCATGGACCGATGAAACAGCATTCGACCTACAGACCGAAAGGTTTCTGTCGATCATCCACGAGGCAATCAGAATCTGCCAAGCCATCAAAGATGTCTATCCCGATTCTTTTGACAGCGGAACGCCTCTCGGTTGTCCTCTGGGCATGGCATTTACAATGGACATTGGCTTCATCCAACCGTTATACTATACCGCCCTTAAGTGCAGGATACCTCGAATCCGACGCCACGCAATCAAACTTCTTCGATTGGCCCCTCACCGTGAAGGCAGATGGAATGGCATTCGCACCGCTAAGATCGCCGAGGAGGTGATAGCATATGAAGAACGCAACATTTATGAGGACTCTGCATTTGAGGGTAATTTTGATATCCTCAGCCTGCCACAGGTGGAAGATTCGATGTCAATATTGCCATACTTGTGCCGGATTTCCGATGTGCGTGTCGAATTGCCCAATGAGACCACAGGTGAAGTCACTGTGTCTTTCTGGCAGATAGAAGACGGTAGCAGCTGGAAGGTGTGTGAGAAAGTGTTCCCTAGGGAAGATCCATGAGAGATCTGTATAGCAGAATGTTGCATGAACTTGGGTCCTCATTCTTGGCACTGTCTTCTCTGCGATCACCATACCGGGGATGATCCTATTTCAATAGGGTGTCGATATAATCATCGTCACTGGTATATCAACTGAACGAAACGGATGCTCATCAGGATGGCACGATCGCATTTTCGCCCCTCGAACAAAAGACTAAATCCCATGGACAGCTCTGGGAGCTTCTATTTTCTGTCCCCAGATCGCTATGACGTCATGAGATGTATCATTTCAGCCAATCACAGCCGCCGTTATAATATCTTACCGATCATTGACAATGGCGCTTGTTCAGCATCTGAATCACGAATACTGTATATTGAAGTGGAATATTCAGAACATGGATACCCAACGATCCCTATAACCGAATCATGCATTCTTACACATGCTCAGTCAATGATTTGCAACCGCCAAAAGGCCCGCATCGACGGACGGACTCCTTAGTCAGTCTTACCCCATGCTTACGGATCCCCGCCGCCCGAGCCTATCCCGTATTTCCGTTCGGGACTATAAAGTCGATCTTCGATCTAGACAAACGATGAAAGACTCCCTTCAAATGCATATTCCAACACCATCCTACATCCTTCTATTCCTACTCCCTCTCATCATTCTCCTCATCAAAACGATCATCTTCCCAACCAATTCAGACATGTCCAAGCCCCTCGCTCACGCGTCCATCATCGCCCGCCGCTCCAGCGAGCGTGGCTACGCCGAACACGGCGGCTGGCTCAAAAGCTTCCACACCTTCAGCTTCGCCAATTACTACGACCACCGCTTCAACAACTTCGGCAGTCTGCGCGTCCTCAACGAAGACCGCGTAGCTGCCCGCAACGGATTCCCAACCCACCCACACCGCGATGCCGAGATCTTCAGCTACATCCTCAGCGGAGAGCTCACGCACCGCGATAGCATGATCAAGAAGGGCGCGGAAGGCGAACAAGGAAAACAATTCTACCGTATGAATCGCGGCGACGTCCAATTCACCACCGGCGGAACCGGTATGTATCCCAACCCATCCCATCCCTTCCCCCCAACAACCAAAAAAAAAAAAAAAACAACAAAAACTAACCCCCCACCTCCCAGGAATCGCGCACTCCGAGCAAAACGAATCCAACAAACCCGTCCACTTCCTCCAAATCTGGGCCCTACCCTGGAAATCCAGCCTCAAGCCCCAATACCACACCCGGACTTTCCCCGAAGCCGCCAAACGTCAAGCTTTCGTTCCCATTCTCTCCCCGCTCGCTGCCGGCCCTGACGCATCCCCCGCCGACGAGGAAGCCGCCGTCCCAAAGATCCCCGATACGATTCCCATTCACGCGGACTTCTTAATGGGAGCGGGCATTATTGAACCCGAGCAGACGTTCCAGTGGACGGTGGGTGCCGGGGAGGACGTGGTCAGTCGCAAGAAGAAGCGCAATGTGTATGTGCATTTGCCGATGACGAAGAACGGGAAGGCGAAGATCCGGTTGGATTCGCGGGAGGAGATGGTGCTGGGGGAGGGCGATGGGGCGTTTATCACGGGGGTGAATGCGGGGGATGTTTTGAGGGTGGAGAGTGTGGGTGAGGTTGAGGCTGAGGTGGTGGTTTTGGATAGTGATTAGATGGTTGCTTGGTTGCTTGGGTATAGAGAGGCGTTTGGGTTTGGGTTCTGGATGGTTAACACGTGTATCTTTATTTGGTGGTCATGATAGAGTATAGTAATTATTTTAGTCATGGTTTTTCTATTTCACATTGACCGAATGGCTTCTGTTCGACATTTTTATCGGAGAATTTGTTGACTTTCAGAAACATGCTTCCTTGCTGATTGCGGGGATTTATACACCACTTAATCGAACCCCATACTTTGTAGATAGTAGGAGGTAGCTGATTTAATGTGCCGCCTCCAAGCAGAAAATGACCCGCTGATAATCAAGCACCACAAGCAACCAACTATGAACTCTAACGTTCCCCCCAACCCAGACCATCCCCAAGGTACTGTGTACAGAGTACAGACGACCTACTCCAACATCCAAGTGGAGGCGGTGGTGGTTAAGGTTGACGGAGGAATCCACCGGGCCCGATTGTGTGTGCGGCCGACAAAAAAAAGCCTGCACCGGGGCGGTGTCTTGGCACCATCGAGGCTGGCTCTGTACGTAATCCGACGGCCGTGAATCGGAGTCGCGTTGGCTTGTCTCCAACTCCCAGACAAGAAAGGCTGTTGGGTCTAGTCCAGTCCATATGAGGGGCAAGGATCATGGGACGTCCACCGTTTTCTTTTTGTGCTTCCAGCGATTGTGCTGGGCTGATCTTTGTGCCTGACTCTCCTGACTCTTGAGACGTCACCAATCCCGTCGTGATTTGAATGCTTACTTAATTGCTCGCTCTATCGCGGGGAGAGAGGCTAATTTTGAACCACGAACTCCACGACCCCAAAATTGTTTTCTTGGAGGCCGTTTGCTGGATAGCTGGCCTCGTAGCTACGACTGGTAGCTGTTTCAGCAAGGGAGAGAAGCCTGGGATCTGAGGCCCCGCATTCTTGCCTTCACTTGTGGCTCGATTTGACTTCTCCTATTTCTCAGTGCACAGTTCCCGGCTTGCGGAGAGCGTTGTCTACACCAAAGAATTAGAGATCTTCGCTTCTCTGCATCATGGCGGCCCTCAATGTGAATGGCACCTTGCCCGAGTTGGCTGAGCAACAGGCTGAGGACTCCGTCCAGGAGTCCAGAATCCTCATTATCATGACTGGTGGTACTATCTGTATGCGACCATCGCCGTCGGGATTTGTACCAGCCAGAGGTTTCCAGGAGCAATGTCTGGCCCGGGTGCCTACGTTCAATGATGGTTCGCTCACGAGTATGATGAACGTGGTTATCAACGCAGCCGGAGAGGTCAAAGGTCATTCATCCCTTCGCACCCCACAGACAGCATATGGGCGCCGGGTGCGATACACCGTCTTCGAATTTGAAGAGCTCCTCGACAGCAGTTCTATCGACGCGAAGGGTTGGGCCGAGATCGCTCGGACTGTCGAGCGGAACTACACGCTTTTCGATGGATTCGTTGTCCTCCACGGCACGGACAGTCTAGCATACACATGCTCGGCTCTCAGCTTCATGCTGCAAAACCTCGGAAAGCCCGTGATTCTCACAGGAGCACAAGCCCCCATGCTTGAGTTGCAGAACGATGCCACGGATAACCTCCTCGGATCACTGGTTGTGGCTGGCCACTTTATGATTCCCGAGGTGTGTCTCTATTTCAACAACAGACTGTTCCGTGGCAATCGGTCGATCAAGGTCGCGGCCAGTGATTTCGCTGCCTTTGACTCTCCGAACTGTCCTCCGCTGGCCGTGACAACCTCCATGCGCACCAACGTCAACTGGGAGCTAGTCAATCGGCCCAGGAGCCTCGAACATTTCCGAATTCAAACTAACCTGGACACGACCCACGTCGCGTGTCTCCGTATATTCCCTGGTATCAAGCCAGAGATGGTTGATGCTGTGCTGAAGCTGGAAGGGCTTCGTGGTCTAGTTTTGGAGACGTTCGGCGCCGGCAACGCACCCAGTGGTCAAGACAATGCCATGACCAATGTGCTGGCGGCCGCTATCAAGCGAGGAATTGTGATCGTGAACGTCACGCAATGTGAGTACAATATTTGCAATATTTCCTAATCCAGGGTCCGATCTGACACCAACAGGTCTGACGGGAAGCGTCAGTCCGGTCTATGCTCCGGGCATGAGCCTCTCGCGAGCCGGGGTTGTCGCAGGACTCGACCTGACTACCGAAGCTGCGCTGACCAAGCTGGCGTATCTCCTTGCCCTTCCCGACTCTACCCCCGACTGGGTGGCTAAGCAGATGGCTGTCTCTCTTCGCGGGGAATTGACGGAAGTGTCGCAACCGGTCTTCCGCCACCCGGACGGGGCGCTCCCGGAGCGCGTCCAGTCCCTCACTGTGCTGGGATACGCCATCGCGCAGGGCGATCTTGAGCGCGTGCAGGAGATCGTAGCCAGAGAACACCATTGGCTGTTGAATGACGCCGATTACTCAGGCAACACACCTATCGTAAGACCCCTGTTTTTGTCTTCAAACATTCCTCGTACGAAAGAGCTGACCCGATCATCCACAGCACCTTGCGGCGACATCCCAGTCGATTGACATCCTCCGATACCTGCTTCTCCAAGGTGGTTCTGTCCACTTGCGGAACCGCAATGGCCGCACGCCGTTGTTCCTGGCGGCCAATGCCGGGCTATCAGAGCACGTGCTGCTGCTACGCAAGTCTGGAGCGCATTTGCACTCCGACGAACGCACGGCGGCGCAGCTGCTGGCCCGGCGCCGTCCAGGCGTCTGGGGGTTGGCCGGGATTGGGCCGCGGGAGGTGAGCGAGCGCGAGATGGAGGAATTGGAGGATTCGAACGATTCTATAGGACGCATGGCACAACGAGTAATGGCGGGATCGGCACCATGATGATGGCGATCAATTAAGGATAGAGTTTCGATTGTTAGAGTCACCCTTTGAGGCGAAAGCGTTGTTCTAAGATCCCAGTAGTCCGAGCATATTCCCTTCAGGTACCGCGCAGTATACAGAGAGAACGAAGGGCATGTTATGACGAGCAACTACCACCTACGTAGAATGCAAATAGTACGGAGTAGATGGGTAGGAATCATCCAGGCAGGCAAGAACTTCCGCGGAGATGCCTGACCGTGCAGCAGGATCCTTGGCCATGCAGGTCGGTCATGCATGTCGGATGGAAGGATGGAGGGGGAAATGGAGGATGGACGGCCAACCCCGCTTCGAATTGCGCCATGCTCTCAGCCTGCCACTACCTCAGTCGATACCTCTACCGCCTAGGTACCTACGTCTCACTAGTACCAAGTAGTCGGCCTCTTAGTTCGGAGGAGCTGCCGAGCAGGAGATGACTCCGAGGACCTTCCTAATCAGGAGAAAATATCAACCTGAACAGCTGACCTGCTCGCAGCTGACCCAAGGCGGTGGCTGGCCGACCCCCGATGAGCTAATCCAGCAAGCTCATGCTCTCATCTAATCTTTGTTTCTTAGGTACTGTTTCTCCCGATCTTGACGGAGTACTCGGTGAACGTTTCCTCTCCTTGCATAATCATGGAGTTTGAAGGAGCAGCCAGTATCTATCTCGACCTTGTGGGAATGAGCTGGAAAATTCACTCTAAAGTCTAACGATACTACTGCTACCTAGTAGCAAGTACAGGGACCACTTCCTGCCAAAAAGGCCCCAGAAGGCACAACCGCTCTCTGGTCTTGGCAGACGCGTGAGAAGCTGCGGCGCACGGATTGGCTGACTGGAAGGATTTGGCCGATGGGTCTGGAGAGCAACGTGGGCTGGCCCGGCTTTGTCAGTTGGCCATCACGGGGATTTTCATTCTGAGCTGATGCTCTAGTAATTTCTAGCTGGACTACGGTAAGCAGTGGAGAGACAGCATCGGAGTCCGCCGAGCGGAGTGTAAGTGGATAGGTACTAGGTATGTACTTTGGATGCAGAGACCTCCATGAAAGTCGACCGAGCCGATGTACTTACTGTGTAGATACTTCGTAAACAACTCATTCTTGACAAAGTCGGTGGCTGCCCCCGAGGTCGATCAGTGGGCGGTGGTTGCTCCCCCGCCCGCACCCCTCATTGGCTGGGACTTGCCGGGATCGGACGGTCTTTGATAGAAGTTTTCTTTGGTTACTCTCGCCAGTCCAGCAGAATCACCGCGTGCCCGCCAGATCTTAGCTGTGCCTGTTGATGCTCGAGGCTGCATGTATCCCCCAGAATTAGAGAATGGTTCACGGGTTGAGATCACGCCCTACAATAGGCACTATCCCCAGATGGACCATTGGTACGACGACAGGAGAGACACCCTCCTGATGCCATCATTCATCCATCATCATCAGCATCATCACTACCACTACTGTGGACTACTGCCCTTTCAGCTCCCTTCCAGCTACTCCTGATTGCATCCCGAGTTACGTAAAGGAAAGAAGGTCAATGGCTACCCCCAACGGGGAGATCGTGGGCGGTTCTGGCGACATCCTCCCAAGGTCCCGCTTCATGCCAGGGCTCCTGATCTGGTTGCCTCATCTGCCGAGCAGGGCTGTCATCCCCGGCTTTGGATGAGGACAGCACGCATGCAAGATGGAGGGAATCTCACTCAAAGAAGAGGACCCCCCAGGAACGGTGGTTGAGTACCTTGGAATGGCGCCAGCGATCCAGAGTTTGCAACCCGTCTGACACCGTTCACTCTCATTCTATGACTGTTTCGCATTACTCGATATAAACCACATCGGAAAGTACATCGGAACCGATTTCATCACATCATGGGACCGGGTTGTTATTCTAGCCAGGATTTTGTCCGCGACGGGGTTTGTGGGAGGAGTCAATAATTCACTCATGGGTGCCACCTGGGATTTAGACACGAACCCCAGACGATCCCAATCCAGACCAGTCGGTGGTCGTCGTTGGCTCCTCAGGTCCCCATTGCCGCAGGACACAGACCGCAGTTACTTATACTACCTACATCGCTTCCAGGCCCCGAGCACACCGACTTGTCCGGGGGGGTTTCTATTTCTGATAACAGACCAACTGTCTCTTTTTAAATCCTGCCTGCTGCGTAGTAATAGTAGTCACTGAGTTCCTTTCTCTCCTCTATTGTACTCACTGTTCTTCCTCCATCTGATAAGCTTGTGCATTACCTCTCCCCTGACCAACAGGGCTGATTAGGGTCACTGTGGGCGCGAATCTCGGAACCAAGCACTAGGTCTGCTCCACGGCGCTTTTTTTTCTCTTTTTTTTTATCCCTCAATTTTTTAGCACTATTTTTTATTTTCTCGATTCTGCACCAAATTAATTAAATTCCCTCTTTTTTTTTCCTATTTTTTTTTTCTTACTATTATCCGTTTTGATTTTAGTAGTATTATTTTTTTTCTGTCTTTTGAAATTTCCCAGGAGCGTGAGGTCATTTCGCGGGCTGGCGGCAGACCGGCCTGGAGGTGTCCACTTGTCGGCCTCGTTGGAGCATCCGGTGATTCTTATTATTCATATTATCCTCTTGACGAGGGATATCCGTGCCTACGACGCAGGAGGCGCTGCTTCTCATTAACTAACAAAAACCGGGATTTTGGCGAGCAGGCGGCTGTGCTGTGTTGTTTGAAGTTGGAGCAGTCAATATCATCTCATCATCCGCCGCCATCTCCAACATCGTCCCTCGTTTTCGGGTGGTGGTACCTTCGTAGTAGTTCCCACTTGCTCTACAAATCTTCTGCCCGACACAGCAGCAGCATCACCTTCACCTTCACCTTCACCTTTCTTATCAATTCTCTTGCACCATCGATTTCTTCGATTGCGGCATTATCGAATCATCTTTCCCCGGGAATCATATTCCACTGAGCTATATAACCTCCGTCCCTCGTGAGCGCCTCGGCCAACTGCTCCGTTTACCCCACTGTCCCAATCGTCCAAGTACTACTGCCAGTTCCCCTACGACGAACAACAATAAGAAGTTCTTTGACGATTGCAACATCCGAGCACCCCTGCGGCTTTACCACCACCACGAACTTAGTTGTTGGGACGGTCCAGCCTCACCACGAGGAATACTACCACCTGACCCAACTCCAGATCTAATCGGACCACCGTGGGCTCCATTGGTCTGCCCAACTTACTTTGTGTTCGACCGCTGGTCGTCCTCTACCTCCTTTCTCCTGTTTTTTACCCCGCATACTTTTTTGTCGACCTTTTTAACCTTTTTTTTTTCTTCTCCTCCCTTGTCTTAAACTCCCACTGCGGAGATTTCCTCTCGTGCCAAATTCCCCTCATCCTCCCGCTACAACTCATGACACAACAAAGAAAGACCATTGCCGTGGTGAACGCCACGGGTCGCCAGGCTGCGTCCCTGATCCGCGTTGCTTCAGCAGTGGGCCACAATGTGCGCGCTCAGATCCATTCCCTGAAAGGCCTCATTGCGGAGGAATTGCAAGACCTGCCCAATGTCACTCTGTTCCAGGGCCCTCTACTGGGCAACACGGCGCTGATGGACTCCCTTTTCCAAGGAGCCAACCTTGCCTTCATCAACACCACTTCACAGTCCGGGGACGAAGTCGCGATCGGACGCGCCTTGGCTGATGCCGCCAAACGAGCCGGAACCATTCAGCACTACATCTACAGCAGTATGCCCGACCACTCTGTGCATGGACCCTGGCCTCCGGTGCCCCTATGGGCGCCCAAATTCACCGTGGAGAATTACGTTCGCCAGCTCGGCCTGCCCTCGACTTTTGTCTACGCGGGGATCTACAACAACAACTTTACGAGTCTACCATACCCTCTCTTCCAAATGGAGCTGATGCAGGACGGAAGCTTTGAGTGGCACGCTCCATTTGACCCGGATATTCCGTTACCCTGGCTGGATGCCGAGCACGACGTGGGACCAGCACTGTTGCAAATCTTCAAGGATGGTCCTAAGAAGTGGAACGGTCACCGGTAAGTTTCCCAGTCTCCAATGGTGTGGTGACATGTAGCTGAGAGCTGACGACTGCAGGATCGCTCTCACGTTCGAAACTCTCTCCCCCAACCAAGTTTGTGCGGCGTTTTCGCGCGCACTCGGTCGCCCATGCCGCTACCTGCGCGTCCCCAAAGTCGAAGTGAAAGTCAATATCCCGCCCGGCTACCGAGAACAATTGGAGGCACTGGAGGTGGTGTTTGGGCAGTGTGATGCGCCTTACTTTCCGCAGCCCGAATTCTCCCGCCCTGCGGCCGGGTCACCGAAGGGCCTTGGACCGGCCAATGGCAAGGGCGCGGGCGCGGGAATGATGCAGGGTCCCGGAGGAGTCATATCGCTTCGTGTCACAGACGAGGCCCGGCACTTGTGGCAGGGCTGGCGAGACATGGAGGAATATGCGCGCGAGGTCTTCCCGGTGGAAGAGGAGGCCAACGGGCTGGACTGGATGCTGTGATGGAGCGATCGGAGTTGCTGGGTTGCACCACTGTCGGTGAACCACGGGGGCAGCCGCAAGGTCGCCTGAGCGATGGCGCGATTGGCTCGATAGGAAGGTTACATTGTCTGAGCGCAGACCGAAGTCGGCCGGCCGCCCTGTCCCTCATGCAGACTGACGCAGTCTGTCCTGTTTCTTTTTCTAAATTCGTTCATGCATTACTGGCGAACTGGCCTGGGTCTTATCTTTGGGAGACGGAAAAAATTATACCATAATGGGAAAGACGAAGACGAAAGAAGGAGTGTTTGTCATGATGAACCCATCTCATCTCATCTCGTCTCACTGCGGCAAAAAGTTTTATATTAATGGGTTGCTGGCTGAAACGCACGTCACGAAATATGCAGGCATGATGATGGACATGTCGGATTGGAGGCCAATCCGCCAAAAGTTTTGAATATTGTTATTGCTTTTACTTTTCTTTTTCTTTCTTCTTTTTTCCTCTTCTCTTTTTTCTTTCCTTTTATCTCTCCATTTCGACTGATTTGCATTCGTGTGTTGCCGATTATTCCCCTCGGGTGTGATGATCGCACCGGCGGCTGTTTGATTGATTGATTGATTGATTGATTGCTTGCTTGATTGATACTCAAGACCCGGTGACTTGGGAAGATAGCAAAGCTAATATTGGAATGGACTAATCTCCTTCTCAGTCCACCACTACTGACATGACCTGCCTTATCTACACGGACTGGACTAACTCCTTGCATACTGATGGACCGCCACTCTCTACAATCTACACGCCACGATTGATAGATAACTACGGAATAGAACTATTCATATCTCTCCGGATCCGTCGATTAAGCTATGCCCCGACAAAGCTAATCCGCCCCTCGTTCGCCACTGATAAGCAGATCCGCCGTGCCAACTGGGTCCCGGAAAAAGCAACGAACCCCTCCGTCTTCCTGGCCCGATCCTTGTCGTGGCGTGGGTTAGTGCAGGTCATATTGGCTGGTAAGTGAGCTGGGATTACTCCGTGCCAGTGGATCTGGATGTTGCTCTGACTGACAGGTCGGCTGAGCATAAGTGTAGAGTAGACGAGACATTGTATATCATTCTTTGCTCTGCTCTATACTCAGTATATTTCGTAGTTAAACATCTACTAATAGTATGTGCACATTTGGAATCATAAGATGCGCTCGCTTGTTTCCTGTTCAGCAAATACATCATACAATCTAGACACCACCTGAAATCTATCATTTTCATAAGTTTCCTCAGCAAATTCAACTCAACTTTTTCATCCTTCATATTACCAACCTGCCTCGTTACACATCGCATTACCTTCACGGAGTATAGTTACTACTTACCTATGGCCCCCCCTCCTTTAACCATCACCACCCCATCACCACACCACTACCTACCATACCAATTATCCCCCCAATCCAATCCACACATTCCCTCTTTACCATATACCATATACCACATAACAACACTCACATAGTGTTCCGAACTAAAGACCAAAGGAGGGAGGGGAGTTACCTACCACTTTCCAATTCCTTCTTCCCTTTTCCCTTCCCCTCTTAGTCATCCCCCTTCACCTAAAGCTCTTCCCTTCCCTTCCCTTTCCGTCCGGGCGCGCCCGCCGCCCACCTAGCACCTTAATCAGCTTTCATTATTCCCCCGTGCAACGCAACCAAACCAACCTACCAGAACCAGCATAGCATAGCTGAATGATCCAACTTACTAGTTACTGCTTGCTTACTACATACATAGCTTCGGAGCACATGCGCGCGCCCCCCCCCCCCGATCAAAGTAAACTTTTCTCTGAAACATCTGAATTTTTTTTTTTTTCCCTCGTAACTTCTTCACCTTCATCTCACCTCGATTTTTTTTCCCCCACTTTAACCAGGAGGGTGTTTGAAATCACCCAATTATCTTTAATTTTATATCCTGATAATACCGCGAGGGGGGAATAAAAAAAATCATGTCTGCTGAGGAAGCTAACGCGTCGCTGTTGGAGCGCATTCAGCGGCCCGAGGTGAGCAAGGAGACGGCGAAGAAGATTGCTCTGGTTGAGGAGGAGTTTGTTAGGGCGGAGGTGGAGCAGTGTATGTTTTTCTATCTATCTTTCTTAATTTTTTTGTTGTTGTTGGGGTTGCTCTTAGTTGAAGATGGGGATGGATAGATTGATCTAACTATGGGATTGTATAGTGCGCCAGTCTACTTTGCTTCTTCGTCCCCTTTTCGAAAAGCGCAGCCAGGTTATCGCTGAGCCTGATGTTCGCGATACCTTCTGGACTCGCGTTATGCTTAACGCCCCCGCCGAGGTCGAGGAACACATCACCATGACCGATGCTACTATCCTCGCGACTACTCTTAAGAACCTGACCGTCGAGCGCTTCGATATCGATGAGAAGGGCCAGGGCGAGCCCCGCAGCTTCCGTTTGACCTTCGAGTTCCGCACCGGCGATGAGAACCCCTACTTCGAGAACGAGAAGCTTGTTAAGGACTTCCACTGGCGCAAGCAGGTCCTCACCACTTCCAATGGCCACAAGCGCACCTGGGATGGTCTGGTTTCGGAGCCCGTTCGCATCAACTGGAAGAAGGACCAGGATCCCACCAAGGGTCTGCTTGATGCTGCCTGCGACCTCGCTGAGGCGGAGAAGAAGGGTGGAGACCGTAAGAAGCTGCCCGAGTTTGCCAAGGTCGTTAAGATTCGCGACGAGATCGAGGCCGCCGAGGAGCAGGATATCGATGAGGACGAGATGCCCGAGGAAGGCCCCGGTGGCATGAGCTTCTTCGCTTTCTTCGGCTACCGTGGTAGCGACGTCACTGCCGAACATTCTCAGAACGCGACCAAGGAGGACAACGAGAGGTTCGAGAAGCTTCTCAAGGGCGAGCCTGTCGAGGGTGAGGACGAGGATGACGATGAGGATGATGATATTGAGGACGATTTCGAAGAAGTTGAAGTTTTTCCTGCTGGCGATGAGCTCGCCGTTGCGATCGCCGAGGACCTCTGGCCCAATGCCTTGAAGTACTATGGTGAGCGCAATCCCGTCTTGTAGTCTGATCACAGCTGACCCTCCAGTCACGGACCAATCGATCGAGGACCTCGACTTCGACGAAAGCGAACTCGATCTCTCGGCCGACGAGGAGGATGAGGAAGAAGAGGATGCCCGTCCTCGTAAGAAGACCAAGGTCTAAAAATGTCGCCATGTCTTGAATAACGCAGTTGTATCCATATGTTTTCATGTCTTAAAGAACAATGAGCAGGATCAGGAGGAGGACCAAAACGAATATGAGGACGGCAATGCAAAAGGACGACATTGTATCTAATTGATAATCAGCCAAGTTCCAGAATAACCCATCAATGCAATCAAATTGCAACGTAAACACTTACCCTCATTCTTCCGAATAATATACTTGAGCTTCGACATGCCATTCTGCAACTTGCCACCCACACGGTCGGCCAACGTATCCACTTCATCTATCATGACCCCCTGCTCCTCCAACTCCCTCCCCATATCATCAGCCTGCTGTCGCAAGTTCCCCACGGTCCGAAACACCCCATCCAACTGTTCATCCTGCTCATGCATCAACTCCATCTGTCGCTGCTGCTCCATTGCAGCATAGTAATCATCCCCCCGATTCTCCGCCGACGGCGATAAAACATTATCAAAGTCCGCCGGGTTTGGTAGGCCACCACCACCACCAGCGCCCCCCGAAGCCGTAACAGCCCTCTGCAACTCCTCCCTCATCTTCTCGATCTCGGCCCCGACATCATTGACGAGACTTCGGCGACGCTGGACCTCTTCTAATTCCAGTCCAAACCGATATGGATCTTGCTCGATTGCACGCACGCTCTCGACTAGATCGTCTAGGTCCGCGGTTAAGTCAGTGAGTGTTGTTTCGAGCTCGGATCGCGCTTGTTGGAGTTCTGGGTTGCTGGGTGATTTGGCGAGGGATCGGATGCGGAGATAGGAGGAGAAGAGAGGGCGCGTGGATTGGAGGGTTGAGAGGACATCGCTGTTGGATTGGAGCTACGTCAGCTGGCTGGCTGCTTGTTGTTGTTGTTGTAGATTGGGTCAATAGGGGGGCTTACGCTTGGACTTGGAGGAAGGGGTCTGCGTGGTCCATCTTTGTGGCGTGATTGGGTATATACTAGGGGAATGTCATGAGATAATTAGAATGGGCAGAAGAACGCTTGATGATGTGCTGGTCAATGCTGGCGATAGTGATGTTGATTGGGTTGTGTCGAGAGGATCCGGTGATGATTACGGATGCCCGTGTGGTTCCAGGCGGTGAGCAAGGCGGCGTCGGGCTGGATCGAGGATCTAGAAAGTAGAATTGTTACTTGGCTACTTGGGTAGTCGTACTATGATGACATTCCTGTTCTCCTCTAAATGCATCCAGTGAAATGACAAAGAATGATCCCAGCTCATCCAATGACAGTGGTAAAAACGCCCATGGTAAAAGCACGATGGAGACCGACGTGTCGCTGACTCCACATCTCTCTCAGGTATCGCTCTGCAGCACGATTAAACTCTCTCCCTCGGGCATCAATCAGTGCAGGCTTTACACTCCAACTTCTGACTCGTCGCTTGCAGTCGCAGTCCTGGCAGTTTAGGTCAGGGACGTTCTTCCACGCTTTCCAGTAGTTGTCGAGCGGATCTGAGAAGCGGCATTTCCTAACACCGCAATCAGTAGCTTTCACTTCAATGTCGCAGCATTCGTTCTGAGGACTCAAGAACAGCTTTGCCAGTGACCGTGGTGGTTGTTTTAGAAGGAACCATGATATGACGCTGTACTCGTTCTTGGCGTCCCGGTGCCAGTCTTTGGGTCCGTGCCGGAGAAGCATACGCTCCATCAGCTCTCGCAACATTCGCAGGGAGGCGTGAAAGTCAATCTCTGTCTGCTCATCAAGCCATCCTCGAAATTCCAGCCGCCTCCTTCCTATATCAGCCTCCACATGCCCCCATTTTAAAACCGTATAAACGTGGTTGGTGTAATCTTCGAAAGACATCAACTGCTTCCTGTGCTGGGGAAGCTCATCGTACTCATCCAGCATCTTTCCGAGCACGAAGAGACGCCCGCTGACAACAGGAGCCAAAGGTTTCCTGCGGTGTTTGAGTCTTTCAGTGTCGCGGGCGATATCCGCCATGTGAAAAAGAACGAGCAACCCTCGTTCCAAGCGCTGGGCGAGGCGCAACTCCGCATCAAAGTTCATCTCCGGACTCCCGTCGTCGCAAAACGGACCCCATACGGAGGGTACAATATGTCGCGATAAATCATTGGCGATGTTGTGGCGCTGGAAGAACTTCACGAGGGAGTGTACCGTCAGTGTGTTTTGCTCGCCCGTCCATGGGTTTAGGGTAAGGATGGGGTCGAATGCGTCGATCCCATGGAAGCGCATGAACCACCCGCAGATGTGCGGCTCGAGCATCCGAATCGTCTCATATGTAGCCCGGTTCAAACGGCAGAGCGTCAGGACCGTATTCATCTCCCCATTGATGATGATCTGAAAGAGAACATCGGCGACGAAGCCGAAGGGGAGGACTTCCCGCCTAGGAGATGAGGTCAACATCTGTTTGACGAGGCGGATCAGCATAGGACATCTCTTGCGCATTTGCGGAGCAGCTTGGCTGCTTATCGACTTGTTCCGGAAGATCATCCCGACTTACCGTGGTTCGGCGCAGATGTACCTCTCGAGTGGCACTGTGTCTAGACGGCCAGGCGTGACATCGCCCTCTTTAATAACCGGCCAGAGGTATTCGCTGTTTCTTTTTCTTGGCAGTAAGGGGAGATGTTGCCGTTTGGCTGATATCCAACGTAGACGGTGTGACGCGTTGGCAGATTATCAGTTGGGCGCTTGGCTGCAGTGGTGCATACCGGAGGGCTGAGTACGCAGGATGCAGAATGCAACAGCCGAACGACAGTAAGCTGACTGGTCACCCTGGGGCCCTTATATAATACGTGGTACCATTTCCGGGTTGAGGCGCCTCGAGGAGGATGGCAGGCACTGACCACGTTTCAGGGTTTCAGGATATCAGGCAATCGAGAGTCTACGGATTGGAGGGAGAAGGGGGGGGGAAGAGGGGAGGAATGGATGGGTTGCCAGTGCAGGCCCGACTGCTGTTTGCCTTGACAATGCTGGGCTCCCAAACGGGTCTCCAGTCACACGTAGCACCTGGAACCGGACGAACTAGTGCCTGCTGGGTGTCGCAGGAGACACATGGAGGGTCTATGTATGGTTAAGCATGAGATCAGCGGCTGTCCTGGACCACTATCCCTTATAGTTTCAATAGCGCCTTGGGATAGTCGTCAGGGGCTGACCGGGGGGAAGAATGAAGACGGAAGTCAATATGAGCACGCTAAGAACGTGTCACCGTGAGATTTATGGGACCAATGGATCGAGACTGGCGACTGGATGGGAGAGGAACAGTGAACGTCCGACGAGGGGGAAGAGGAGGTGGTTGATGAGTCGAGTTCCGGCCAGAGGGGGCGAGTGGGCGAGGGTCTTTCTGCTCCTCCACAAGTTGCTTATTTGCTTGGGGTTTATCAGTGGAGCCGACCGGGACTAAACCCAATCCGCGCTCTACTATCGATCGCCTCTCCGAAAAATTTCTGGGTCGATAAACGATTAAACCATCATCGTCGCAGTCAGTGTCACCCCCCACGACTGCCATCCTTGTTTCCTCTCTCTCCCCCGCATTACTCGTCCCTACGATTGGGTTCTCCCGCCAACGTCCTCACGGTCTCCCGGTCCTAATCGGATGTCATCCCGCATATCGACCCCAGTCTAGCCTGACTTCGCTGCAATCGCAACTGACGTATGATTCCGTCGCAACCCCTCCCACTCTCCGAAGAGTGGACGGATCCGGATGCCTACGTCGAGGCCCTCCTTTCCTTCGCGAACTCTTCCGCCATCTTTAGGCACCTTTGCGGCGGTGTGCATATCCTTGATTTCCTGACCCGCGAGCCGGACCTGTATACCTCCCTGCTACCAGAACACTGGAGGGCCTTTTTCGACCAGCATGACATCCAGGATATCTTGGACCTTCTCCTGCGAGATGACATCCGACCTCTGTTAGACCAACGTCGGGAGGCCATCGCGCATGGTGGAGAGCCAGATGCAAGTGCACAGTGGAGAGGGGCTCCTCTGCCCCCGCTGGACCTACTGGAGTACATCCATCAGATCCGTCGACTGAGTTTGGGAAGAGACTTCACCCCTCAACAGCCCGGAACACCGACCATACCCAAAAAGATCGCGGTGGGAATGAACGTGAAAAAGTACCATGAGGTGGCGCATTTTTCCAAATATGTTGATTCCTTGTGTGCCACGGTGGACGAACAACGAGGCGATCCGATCACACACGTCGTCGATTTCGGATCGGGCCAAAGCTACCTGGGGCGTACACTTGCGTGTCCTCCTTACAACAGACATATTGTCGCTATCGAACGGAAACATCAATTCATCAGCGGGGCGAAAGGCATGGATATCCATGCCAAATTGCAGGAAAAGAAAAGAGTCAACATGTACAACAAGAAGCTGGCAAACTGCAAGACCTGCGCGGAACCAGAGGCACCCGCAGCGACAAATACAGACGCTGGAGAGACCGCAGATGGAAAGAACAGTGCTACAGAGGGACTCACGACTGTGGCGGGCGGAGACGGAGAGGATGTGGCCATGATAAACGTCTTTCGTGACATTAGCCTTGCGCCAGGCGAGATTGGCTTCGCGCCGTATCGCAATGTCCCCAAAGCTGCTGCAGAGGAGGAAGTGGATCCGGAGAAACCGAGAGGGAGAATGGACTACATTGAGCATGAGATCAAGGACGGTTATCTCGAGCCCATCATCAAAGACGTTATCGAGGCTGCGCCTGCGGAGGCTGAGACCCAAACTTCAGGCGATTCCGGTGTGAACACCGACAGCAACGCCAATGGCAAACCAAAGGACGCCAACGTCATGGTCATCTCTCTGCATTCTTGCGGCAACCTTCTCCATCACGGAGTTCGGTCTTTGACTTTGAACCCTTCAGTCAAAGCCATTGCCATGATTGGCTGTTGCTACAATCTCGTCACCGAGAGGCTTGGCCCTGCGACCTACAAGCTTCCCATCCTCCGGTCTATGCATCCCCGCTTGACGAAGGATGCTGTTGCCTACGACCCCCATGGCTTCCCAATGTCGAAGCGCTTTGAGGATTACGAGCACGAGAGTGGAACTGGGATGAAACTAAACATCACCGCCCGCTCGATGTCCTTGCAGGCTCCCTATAACTGGAGCAGGAAAGACAGTGAAGACTTCTTCACCCGCCACTTTTACCGAAGTCTTCTCCAGCGTATGCTCGTGGATCGCAAGATAGTCCCGAAGCCCAAGAACCCGGACAACCTCTACGATGAGTCAAGCGATCCCGAAGATGCAGGGAACCCTTTGATCGTAGGGTCTCTGCGAAAGTCCGCTTTCGTTTCCTTCTCGGCCTACGCTCATGCTGCAGTGACCAAATTGGGTCGCGACCCAAATTTCGGCGACAAAGTCAAAGCCGGGATGGCAGATCTGTCCGAGGAAGACTTCGATCGCTATGTGAAGGAATACTGGTACGCGAAGAAGAACCTGAGCGTGGTCTGGAGCTTGATGGCTTTCAGTGCCGCTCTGGTCGAGGCCATCATTGTCGTTGACAGATGGCAATTCCTGCGCGAGCACGAGTCAGTGAAGGAGTGCTGGGTTGAGCCCGTGTTCGAATACAAGGAGAGCCCAAGAAACTTGGCTGTCATTGGAATCAAGAAGTGATCTAGAGTTTTGCCAATTGTTTTTGGCATTCGATCGATTCAGTCGCCTATACTGCCGGATATCTTGGATAAGCCCCGGCTACAGTCCTAACCCTGGCGGTTTCGCCTGCGGGGTTACTTCATCGCTGATTAAGTTTGCCTGGCAATCAAAGACTTCCTGGCATGGGACCGGATTGGTTTCGATGATGGACTGTGTGGTCAGATAGATGGATAAGCCGGCCCTAGATGCACCAAAGGGCCAACCATAGACATGATAGGTCTTGGACCTAGCTGCGATGCGACCACGAGCACAATGCATAGACGAATAGAATATGTGAGGGATCGATCATCCTTCCGCTTAGAGTATTTGTTATTGATGGTTCTGAACGTAGAGTTAGTTGCCTTTGCATATGCAAGGGCGACTGCCGCATGATAGTTGCATAGGTCCGAATTGTCTGAGAGTGACAGACAGCACTGGAGTTTGGGAGAGGAAGCAACCACACGGGCAAACTGAGAGGCAAGCAGAGGCAAGCAGAGGCAAGTTTGTTCCAGCAGCGGTCGGGCCCCGCGGGATCCGAGCCATGGCCAGTTTCAGCTCCAACCACATCACCGGCAGCACAAACCCCTCCCCCAAGCGCTGCTCGACTGTGGAGGAACCGATACAGGCGCTACCAAGACCCATTATTTGAGAAGCTTAACTAGATGGAGCCCGAGGGACCCGAGAGTGATAGGGAGTCGGTGGTCAGGCGTGCGGTAAGTTCGCGTTGCACCACATGCCATATCATAGTCCCCCGCTTGACTGCACAATGCTGACCAACGCCAGTGTGATCAATGCCGCCTCAGAAAGGTAATTGACGTGGCTTCCCCTTGGTGGATGGTAGTTGATATAATATATCCCCTCCCACTAGATACGCTGCGACAAGCGATCTCCCTGCTCCAATTGCCGCAGCTCCCAGATCCTCTGCCGCTCAACCGGTGCAGGCCAGAAGCCTCCGGAGCCACGGAAGCGCGTTTTGATATCAAGCCAGTAGTATGTATGGCGGGCATACTCTTCGAGTCAACTGACCTGGTGCAGTGAAAAGAAGATTGATCTCATCGAAGAACGCCTGGGTAACATCGAGCGCATTCTTCTGGAACTTAGATCTAGTGCCAAGGGTCCTACGGAGCCATGCTATCATTCCACACCTCTGTCCAGGCAAATAAGCCCATCCACTGCCAATTATAGCAACGCCACTGCTGCTTTGGACCAGCATGAGTCTACCCCCGCCTTTGAAGGCAATTCGTCTCTCACAGCTCATTCTGCATACGCCAGGGAGTTCCTGGAGACAGCCGTGTCACGCAACGCGCTCCAGATATCAACGCCAAAGATTAGCACTGCTCTGGCTTCGTTGAGGCAAATGGTCAGCATGCAAGATCACCAGACACAGTCGCCACCCCGTCAAGTCCGGTTCCCGAATCAGAAGGCCATACCTGGCTCGGGATTGCAGGAGTTATCCTTGCCGCCGGTGCAAGTGGTTCTTATTCTCCTGCGGAAGTACCAAGGTAGTTCCTGATACGTGACATTCCATCAGCTTGCCTCACTAATGTGCTTCCAGGCGAACCTAATACTCTACAAACATACTTTCCTTTCCTTACAATCCAGCGGCTGACAGAGAAATGCCGCGAGGTGTACTTTGCCACGGAAGATTACTCGGATGCCACCTTCATAGTGATTAATGGAGCTCTTTACTACCTGATCGGCGACTTTATATCCACAATAAAGGATGGAGGTATCAGAGATGAGTATGTAAGGCATCTGAAACTTTGTCAGGTCAACCTCGAAACCGCTTTGGCCAACTTGAGCCTTTTGATGCCCGCGAAGACTGAAAACATCGAAGCGCTTGCTTTAGGGGTAAGAACTGCAACTTACCCCAATTTTACATGATACTGACAATTGTCAAGGCTGTATATGCTATTGAAATGTCAAAGCCATCCTTCGCAATGACGTTGACGTCAACGGCCTTCCGCCTATGCCAAACGCTCGGATACCATCGGTCACCCTTTCTAGAAAAGGACAGCAAAGCTGCCCAGGGAAATATGCTCTTTTGGACAATCTATATTCTTGACAAGGCAGTCTCCTTGCGGTTGGGGCGTGCCTCAACCATCCAGGACTACGACATCACCTCGCTGGAAGCCCTCGATATGACCGGAATAAACGAGCCATTCAAGAAGATCTACCCGTTGTGGGTGAAACTCGCCACAATCCAAGGGAAAATTTACGAGTTGCTTTACAGCCCTACGGCTTTAGCGCAACCGGAAAGCGAAAGGATCTCTCGTGCTCGCCAGCTAGCTTCTGAGATGCAGCAGATGGTCATGAAGCCGTTTGAGGTCCGTACCCTTGGAAATTCGTCCGTTACAATTCTAATATCGGCTAGGAAATCAAATTTGACACGAAGCTGTCCGTTGTCGATGAAGTTTTCTTCAGATCTGACAAAGTTGCTCGCCTGTCAGTTTTGGCTCTGATATACCGGGCCATTCCCCCACAAGGAGCACAAGGCACGTTCATCTATGAATGTATTGAAACGGCCCGGTCAGCCCTTGAGGAGCATCAGAAGTGCATGACGGATGTCAAGGAGATGAACGAACATATCAAGGCTGCGTACTTTCACTGGTAAGCTGCAGGCATTCATCCACTGTGTCATTCTAACACGCCGCTTTCCAGGACAATCCTCTATGCACCCTTTGTTCCCTTTATAGTAATCTTCTGCCACGCAATCGCCGTTTCATCATGGGAAGATCTCGCTCGGCTAGAAGACTTTGTGGCTTCTTTGCAGCCCAACTGTTCCCTCTCTGAAGCAATCACGAAATTGTATCAGCTATGTCAGGTTCTCAGCAATGTTGCTAGGCTGTACATCGAGGCAAAAGAACAAGCGCAGGCTAAAGAGGACCAAGACTTAGCGTCTGTCGGTCAGGAGTTCGACGTGTATCTGAGCGCGCTTGGATTGGCACCGATGTCGACTGACGACAGTGATGTCCCATGGACATCCGCCCCTGTTCCTTCGGAGTCGATGTCTGGGGAGATGAGGGGCACAACGGAGGGTCATTATGCTGGAGCAATGCCCCAGACCAGCCAATTAGGGAACTGGTTTTCAGGAAACCAGCATATGATGGGCTTGTTGGAAGAGGACTTTTCATTGTTTGATCCGTCTGCTTGGACATAACTATGGTAAGTACCGAGAAACACCGTGCTTTTTCAGCATTCATTGACTGCCAGAGCAACTAACTCGAAATGCAGATCACCAGCCAGGAAATCATTGTGCATAGCACCCGTTTTCATCGGCCTTCGCAGACTAGATACACTTCCCACCATCGATGATCATCTCCGTCCCATTGATGAAGCGACCCTCATCGCTAGCCAGATACAGACACATATTCGCGACGTCGTCCGCCTCCGTGAGCCGACCCAGCGGCACATTCCCAATAAACTTCTCCCGGTTCTCTGGCGTATCTGGCATCCCCGTGAACAGGCTGAACAACGGCGTAGCCGACAGAAGAGGACAGACCGAATTCACCCGGATATTATGCGGGCCATACTCAGCCGCCAGACCCTTGGTCGCCTAATATAATTAGCATCGAACCCCCACCACAGAGAACAAGCTGAAAAATAGACCTGTTCACATACATTCGACACCGCCCCCTTGGACGCATTATACCACACCAACCCCGGCCGGGGTCTCGCCGCCCCCGTTGACGAGATATTAATTATCGACCCTCCCTGCCCCTGCTCAATCACCCGAGTCACAAACGCCCGACTGCCCAAGAAAATCCCCTTCACATTCACATTGAACACCTGTTCCCACTCCTCCTCGGTGACTTCCACCGTCGGCTATACACACATCAGCCAATCCAACTCCACATACCACCAAAATCATTCAAAAAAACAGCAAAAGAAATCGAGCATATACCTTATTCCGATACGTCACCCCCGCATTATTCACCAACACATCCAACCTCCCGAACTGCGAAAACGCCCGTTCCACCACCCGACTCCAATCCTCCGCCTTAGTCACATCCATTTGCTCAAACACGAGGTTCTCGGGATCCTGAGCCGCGGTCTTCTGTCCCCCTTCGGGACTAATATCCGCGATGATAACTTTAGCCCCTTCGGAGGCGAACCGTTGCGCGATGGCGGCGCCGAAACCGGATCCGGCTCCTGTATACACACACACACCCACACACACATTAATCAGTGCTCTTGTAGTATATTTGGTTTCATGTTGTACATAAATAACCGTGATCACAGACAGAAAGCGGAAGAAAAAAAAAAAACGAAAACGAAAACAAACCCGTAACAATAGTGACTTTCCCCTCCAACCGGGATCCGGGAACGAGTACTTTGGTCATTTTTTTCTGTAGGTGCGCTGGATATTTGTCGTCGACAGGGGAACGTTCGATATAGTGAGATTTGAATAAGGTAGGTAGGTACGACCGGCCAGACAAATAAGAAGTTAATAGATATATGTAGCTGGGACGTGGTTACCCCGCTTAAGAACTTGAAGGGGGTGATCTGTACGACGGACGGATGCTGCGCTGGAAGAGGGGTAGGGGTATGAAGGTAGATCCTTGGTTGGTTGGTTGGTTGACGTGCGGAGATACGAACCTAAAGAACCAAGGGAGGGGGTGTGGTGTGTGGTGTGTAACGGCCCGGGGCACGGCACGGGAGGAAGTCCGGATGGCCGAGGATCTGCGGTAGTATAGATCTGGGAGGGGTTGGAGGGGGGGTTGCGGTAGGTGGAGTGATAGGTGAGTAAGTAATGGGTAAGGTAAGTGGCTGTATTGGACTGAGATACTATGTAGATAAGGGATCCCTGTCTGTGATATCTATGCAGGAGGGGTATCTAATCGGGCTCTTTCTGTGAGATGGGTACATGTTTCGTGTAGATTAAATGCCACATTTATATCTCAAAAAACTTATAGACACAGGTGAAGAAGTATGTATGTATGTATGTATGTACATGAAGGGTTAGGGTTGGTCATTCATCCTGGAATTTTATCTCCCTCTGCTTCTTTAATGTCGGCTCGTCCTCTTCCCTCGTCTTGCTTGCATTCCGTGCCTGAATATCGATATACCGAATCAGACTCTCGCAGAGTCGATTCAGAACCCATTCTGGCTCGGTCTGCGTCGCTAGCATTGGACTCGTTTTGCCGATCCAGTCCCAGTTGAGGATCCCGTACTCGTCCTCGTGGACGTCCACTCCGTCGGGACTGGGATCAGTGAATCGAATGAGCCGCGTGAACTCTACCCACTCTTCGTAGCTATATCTTTTCGGTTCTCCCGCAACGACATCCCTGGTTGTTCTCTGGATCGCGTACGCAAGCTGTTGGGCGAGTTGGAAGCCTGAGGATGCAGCCCCTGACGCTGTGGCTGTGTCGGGCTCGCTGGCGAGATCTTCGATCGATCTTGCGGGGGGATGCTCTGGGTCGTGGTGTGGATGTTTAGTTCCGTTTTCTGCATTGTCCACACCGACGTGAAACCCTTGAGCGACTCGTCTGTTTTCTTCGTGACGTTGGAGAGCAGCGTATATAGCTGGGAACCTGCGGAGGAAGTTCCTGTATTTCCCCGAATGCGGGAGGACGGTCCAGTCAGCGACAACGTTGGTGGCATGCTTGAATGCGAGGACGATAGTGTCGCTCATCTCGGAGATGAGGACTGTCATGGTGGGGATGGAAATGAGGGACCAGACGATAAAGAAAGGCCTTGCTGCATTGGTGGTAGGTGTGAAATCCCCATATCCGATTGTAAGGAGGGAGCAAAACCCGAAGTATAATGCTTGGAAATATGTGATATCCTCCAGCTTCCAGAAGACGACGGCACCGCACGTCCAGACTATTCCAAACATGATGAGACTTAGGATCAGGTTGTACCACCGACGAAAAAGGACAGTTTCGTATTGGATCGCGCGCATGGCATCGAATCGGTCCTTTTCTTCTCTCATAATAAGAGCCTTTGGTCGACCTACGAGAGAAAATGCGTCGATAGTGCTTCGCATGCCGGATCTTCGTAAGTGCTTTGGCTGGTAATCAAAATGTGCCGCCTCTGCACCTGGCTCTATGGAAATGGAGTGCTGGATCGTTGCTTGTCGCTTCCTTTCGACATGCTTTCGCACGACATTATCGTATTGCAGTTCCCGGGCAAAGTCATGAATACTCCCTACCACGAGACCCAGTATGATAATGCCCATCACAGCATAGGGGAACACGAGGCCTTTCCCAACGGAGGTTGGAGGAGTGATGTCGCCATAACCCAGTGTCAGGATTGTGACGTCTGAGAAATAGAGTGCATCTGCAAATGATATGTCAATGACTGCGTGGAAGATTGCCGCGCCTATCAGCAACCACACCACGAATGCAGTGGTCTGCAATATCAGTGTTCTCTGGCCGTCGGTCAGAGCAAAATATTGCGGATAATGCCCGCGAACGTATCCCCACATGTTGATCATCAGGATGATGGTAAGGAAGAAATATAGGGCTGCTGCAATGACCGCACTCCAGTATGCCTGGGAGTAGGTCTCATCAGGCGATACTGGACTGTCATAGACATGCACGGCAATCGTTATACCGATCAGAATAGCCGTAGATATGCACCAGAGGATGATCGATGCGGGCAAGGCTATGATATACCGCATAGTCCGCGTAAAGTTGAACAGCAGAAAAATATTGCCCGCAATCCCACATGCAATTGACGTAGCGTTGAGGCCTATGCACCTGGTAGACTTAGCTCTGTCCATCTATATCACTGTGGTTGATACTCACCACCGGGGATCTGTCAGCAGTTCCTGCGCTTGAGCACCGGATGAGTCGGTCCGGCCGAGAAGTTTGCTCTTCCACGGCATCACAAGTGCAATGATGGACATGAGGTTCGCTAAAGGCGCCGATGTAGCTGCTATTAGTGGAATTGCGGTAGAGGCAACCCACCAGTCTTGTGGTCCGTCATCTTCCGCGGGCCTTGGGTGAAAGTGACTTCGGAGCCTTTCCCCAAGCGACTTCTTCTCCGTGCCGCGAGGTCCAACTTTGTTTTCATCCATATCTGACCTGATGCTATACAGGCACCACTGCCAAGACTGATGTATGGCTTCTAGACGAAAGGAAAGATGCAAGGTGCTGAAAAGAGGCTGGGTTAACGGTTCATATTCGCGGCGGTGAACATGGAGGGTACATCAAGGTAAGAGGGTTTGAATCGTTCAAATTGCCATCCATGAGATGGAAGATAGTCCCGAAAGACAAAGAAGCCCGTTGAAGGGTCGCAGCCATGACAAAGCATCATCCCAGAAGCCAAAGTTCCTTGTTTTGTGATGGCGGCAACTTGCGGCAGCGATCTCGTGACAAGCCAACCCCAAGGAAGTGCCCTACTGTCCCCATTGAGACGTGACGTCATCGTGTCCCGTCTCAGGCACCGCCAGCCCCCATGTTTCATCATCACGCCATGGAACCTTTGCTAAGCATTGTCATGATCAGACAAGCTTTGCGGCATATTGTGGGTCCAAATCTTCGGCATTGCTACTCAATTGACGCAATAACGTGCGAGGCTCACGCGTATCTCCTCGCAGACACCGGAACGCGCCCAGCCATCATCTGACTGTTTACCAACATTGAATAGCACTTCAAAGATGAAGGACACTAGCCCCATTGTCATTATAGGTATATACGCTATACATATGCATCGATGTCAACAGAACACCTAGCCGAATGTTCGAGGAAATCACCCGAAGCCCAAAATAACCATGCTACCAGAACGCCGTCATACCAGCACGCATTTGCCAATCATTCATTCTCGACGTATCGCGTTGTCACAGTGGTCGACACATCCACTGTCCGCATGATGCCCATAGGCTCTTCGTTCTTCCGTCGGTCTGGGTCGCCTCGTACCGTCGTCTCGATCCTTGGCGCTTCTTGAGCATTGGGGATGAGGATATCCTGATCCGATTCAATCTCCGTCAAGGTCATCGGGGTGCGACTGGGTCGGCTGTTCTTGACTTTGCTGAGCTCGTATTGTGAGCTGTTGGTATTCTTATGACTCGTGTCTCTGTTGCTCAGGTACTCGCGGTGGGTATGAGTGGCTAGAGCTGAAAGGGCGGGTAAGCAGGTACAGATAACCCCAATTGCTATTTCAGCGTTTCTGTCGGGAGATTAAGTGTTAGTATGGCAATTCAGTGGCGTGATCTGGATAAGCAGCCGTACCCAAACATGTTGATGCGCATAAAAGCTAGCGTCGCATCCTTTGACTGTCCCGTCACAACAATGAGGACCAGCCGGATAACACTCGATGCACACGCTAGTCCTCCGGCTCCCAAAATACCAATGACCCTCATCTTCTTCTTGAGAGGCAATTGTAAACCCAAAGTCAGAGGCAAGGGAAGAATGAGGATAGCTATGTCGCTAACAACACTGACAACCGCATCGGCAAGGATGATCGATGTCTGATTCAAGCATGATCCCTCCGTGTCAGGGGCCCAGAACTTTGATATTGGGTCACAAATCCGGATCTTGACGATGACGGCCGGGATATAGTAGGCAAGCATAACTGCCAGGAAAACGTAGATGAATATAACGGTTTTGCGATAAGGGCTGAATACTCGTGCAATAATCCATAGAAGGGACAACTTCGTCAAAAATGCGGTCGGGCCATACATAACCATTGTCACGTACACCGTCTAGACATGTTAACACCGCAGAACGAGATGCTGGAAAAGGCGCATCTCACGTACCTTTTCGAATGGTATGCGATGCGATATAGGTACATCATCATAATGAAGTCCGCCTCCAAAATGACCCACTGGACCTGCTCAGTAAAATCCCCAAGACTTTCAGAATATACTCACTGATCAGCGCAATAATTGAGTAGCAGACACCTAGAAACTGATAGTCGAACAGCATGAGCATGCATTTCTATCAAGCAGATCGAGAAATCTTACCCAAGCACCTAGACAAGGCCCTTGGGGTTTATCAGCATTGACCATCACGGGCTTTCTGTAAGACTTACAATCTTCTTTTCTATAGCCGTCCATTATAACCAAGCGTGTGAATGAGCGCAGCCCGAAGAAAATTGTCATAGCAGAAATGCATATTATTTGCGTCGCCAAATTCCATTTCTGAACCGACTTGTCAATATGCCTACCTGTTGCATCGACATCATCTCGTCCAAACAACTCCGTGAGCATCTTAGCGATAGGTAGATCGTGCGCACGCACTTCCATTCAGAGGGCAAAGAATAGGACAGATTCCAGCAGTCTGGGCTCACGTCCGCTTTAAAACGAATCACAACAAAAGTTTGGATCCAGACTCCTGACACATCAATTATGGACGATACATCGCGGACATTAAAGCTCTCCGATTCGCCCTTTCTAAAGCCCTTGTGTTTTTATTTAGACTGAACTTGTACCCCCCTGAGGGTGATAGCGTGTGGCCAAATTAAATTAACCATCTTCCTTCGTTGGTCATCCTGCGACGGGTTCTCAATTAGCGACTGACAGCCTGACAGGGGTGCCCTGGAAAAGTACGACTAATCAATCAACTTTACCATTTGCGAGAAAAGGCTTCAGGGATACCAAGGCTCCATAGCTGACGATCTTGCCAAGCGGTTGAGGCCGTCTAATCAATGGCATTGAAGTATTTCTCATTAGGGATATCCTCCGTCGCTCCGAGCCGAGAGTGGATATACTCGTACAGTCGATTTAAGTGCCTCAAACCCGTTTAGGTCTGGACTGGAGGTGACTAAGTCTTCGCGTTGGACTCAAGTGGATGCACTAATATGTATGGTGGGTTTCAAAACTCGCTGCCCAGCCGAAGACTCACATGTTGCAGTTTGCTGTGGAGCGAAACCCATGTAATGCAATCAGACATGGGACGTTTGGTTTCAGGGTACGATCAACAGGAGCAAACGCCCTTTTCTGTGCAGGGAGTACTCTGGCGTTGGATGCCGTGAAGCCATCACAATTATTGAGGTGGCCGGGTAAGAGAATGGGGACGGCGAGACGTCGATCGAAAGCCACGCTCAAGTGTGATCCATCATCCCTCGCGGGTAAAGTACCGCGCATACAGCCAGCCGGCAGGCTTACAGTTTCATACCGTATCGGTAAGGCATAGGTAATCCATACATCCAGCCACGTCCGGGACGATGTGGGGTGCCGGATGGCGGACGGCGGACGGCAAGTGGAGTCCGTTGGGAGAACCTAATGCCCGTGCGGATCCAACGCTGTTACTTGTGGTGGGGTAAGGAGCGACAATCCTGCCTTCCCCGGCATAGTAGGTCTTGCTTTACATTACTAGGGTTAATTGGCTCCTCTCTCCAGGGCTAGCTAGCTGGAGACATCATAAGTACGGTGCAGAAAATTCACCCGGATTGATGGTCTTGAGCGAAAAAAAATCCTCTGGGAATCCTTCACGTAACGCGTTGTCTGGTGTCACAGTGTCACAATGGCCTAGGTAGAGATCAGCAAACGTTACTCTGAGATATGGAAGGCAAAAGATCACACTATCGACTGAGGTGGAGACATGCGTATGTTCTGTCCCCTATTACGCGTGGTAGATAGGCCTGGTCACATGGGAAACTGAATCTCTCCGGTCGACAGCCAGAGAGATCGTCATGGTGTCACTGCTGTCAGAAAGTCAAGTAATGGATTATGGTATCTTTCCGCATCCTCTTCTTCCTTCTGCAAGAGACCTGCTCGAGCGAGACACGTATGCCCCCAACCATTCAGGCTCTGGAGCTCAGTGCGCCGTATGCGGGTTTTGTTCCTTTTCTGTGTTTCCATCCTAGTGGAGTCGGGGATGACTGGCAAGCGCTGATCGTAGATTCGTTGTGTTGTTTGGGAAAAGCGGGCTGCATTACCTAGTACTTAGCTTCTGATAGTACTATGGAGTATGGTACGGTGCCAGATCCTGACTGGGATTTGGTCCGCCAATAGCAGTTCTGTCACAGATACTACCACTTCCTTCTACTATGTAAAGCACTACTAATGAGGTTATTGAGTAGTCAGAGATAATCTTGTCAACGTGGAAAATTAGTAAACGGCTGATTTTGAGAGTCGCCGATAATATGAACGATATTTTCGCTGACCCATTACATACAGACGTGGTTTTTCTTCTGTTTTGTTTTGTCATTTTACTGTACAGTATGTACCCCACTTTTTGTTTGCTTTTTTTCACCTCAACAATGGGATAATGGCTGTACGAGTGTATGTTGATAATCTCCGTGCTCGGGTTTCCAATATGTAGGTAGCTACCACTCCCAGGTACTAGATAGGAGGTAGGTACATGCGGGCACGGAAATCGGAGATGTATTCCGTCCCCCATGATTGTCATATGCAAGTGACCCGACAACGATGCAAAGCATTGTTGAAAGATTAATCCCTGCATACCATGTGTACTTTAGAAGATAGCCATGATATTAGGAGGCGAGGACACCCCTCCCGGCATGTTCAGGGGAACGGAAGCAATAAAGAAAGACCAGCGCTGAAGATCTTGGCAAGTTCGCGACAGTGCTTCTAGATCAAATAGCTCCCCTATCATATCCAATATAGTCAGCATAACCGGCTTCGCATTACGAGTTTTACGGGCCAACGTACCGATTGGCATACCCCAACCTGCAAGCACATATTCATGCAAGAACACATCAGGTGACTGGGGCGGGTAAACCTGCAATATGTCAGTTTATACATTACGCGGAGCTCAGATGGGAATCTCACCTCCCAGCTGATTGCATCGCTGGCGATTGCGGCGAACCCAGTATTCCAGAGCCATCGCAACATGTCTGTAGTCGCCTCGACCCCGGCGTGCTCGGGGTTCGGGTTACCAGCGTATTGCCGCTTCTGATCATCGGTCATAACTGTGTCCCATTCTTTGGTCACCCCAATGCGGACAAAAAGTATGTCCCCCTTTTGAAAGACAATGCCACATTCCTTGGCAATCTCTTCAATATCGGAAAGGCGGATTTGATGCGTCGAAAATGTGCTATATCTTATGCCTTTTTTCTCTGCCCATGTGGCATAGTCGACCAATACCCCGCGACCTATCACAGCGTGCGCCATAGCAATTAGTTGTCTGTGCTGACAGAGTGATCATCGAACGAAAGTCGAGCCCTACCAGCGATGCCCTCCCGCGCCCAATGTTGTAAGCCGATCCGATCGTTCTTCCGGTCGGTGATCTCCTCGGCCTTCGTCCCTCCATAGAACACACGCTCGGGTTGGCCGTCAACTGTTTGCGAGAAATGTCGCAGACCATCCCACTGGCTACTCTGTTCTAACAAATGGTTAGCACTGGGAGGGGGAACTATAAGCAATGGTGGGAATAGCATGGAACCTACGAGGATTCATTGTAAAGATATCATCAAAGGCCACTCCACCCAGCAGCGGGACGATCTGATGATGACATGGCTGACGATTCAAATTAGGATAATCCAACTTGGTCAGTTCCCATCCCATTGTCACTCGCCGGCCAGTCTTGATTTCAGTTGCAGCAGCCTTGGCTACCACCTCCGGAGTCAAAATGGCCAGCTTCCCTAATCCTTCCTCGTGGCTTCCTGGCTCTCCAACCCATACTTGCTTTGGATTTGGTAATTCGTCGAACGGTACATCGAAAGGCGACTGGTTGTCTGGCATGTTATAAAGTATGAGGTAGGTGGGTAGTCGGAACTACAGGAACAGGAATTCAATAATTTGTGAGATGACAGGAACTATCAACAATGATAGGCAACCAGCTACACGTAGTGTGCGCTCAAGAATGTGCCACCGGGCAGTAGTCTCCCTGCTTATGTAGCCTGCTGCAAGGGGATTCTGTAATTGGTACCGACCTCAATTGGGGAGGCGGAGGGGAAAGGCAGGTTGGCGTGTAGACGACGCGACGCCGTTGGTCGTAGCAGAGACAACTGGTGGCACTAAGGGGATAAGTTCATGGATAGTCGCGATGGAGTCCCGGGCTAACACCTCTGGGACTCCGCACCTAATATGCACTTATTGCACCCATGCTGCTCGTGCACGCCACCCTCGATGAAAATCTCTTCCATATTTCGAACCCACAAACCCAATGTAGTCCGTCGAGCAGATAAGGCAACTAATTTCAACTCCGCCGAAAAGGTGGCCCCCGGACACCCGGAATATGGGCCGGAGTTACTTTACCAACACGACCGGCCTGTCTGCCTGTCATGCTCCCACCTGACATGCTACCCGGTCAGTCCACAGTGGTAGACACGGGAAATCCAGGCTGGCCATGGGCTGATCGGGAAACGGATCGCAGCCAAAGTCAACCTAAACTGGATGTCATGGCGATGAATGAACCAGATGGTGGTGGGGGAAGGAGAACCTTAAGTGGGCAGCAAAACATACTTACCGACATACATAACGGTAACGTACGTACCGAGAAGAAAAATAGGGAAAAAAAGGGAAGTGACAGGGCGGGAGACCCCAAAGAGGCTTAGTGGCCGTCCCCTTTCGGCAGGACCGTTTGTCAGGTCAGCGAGGCAACGGCACCGTGGAACTCACCATGTTACAATGCATCAGCTTTCGCTTCCATCCCCTGAGCTAGAGCGAAAGGAATGGTCGGATAGTGGCCGACCACCATGCTCCTTCAGCCTGGAGGTTGTGCAGCCGTCATTCCGTTGGCTGGTGGGCCCCCCCTCCTCCTTGACTCCACTCAACCACTCGCAGAAACGAAGTATAGTACTCAAGGGAAAGCTTGAAAGCTCCCACGAGCTAATGAGACTAGTGCAGCATGTGTCTTGCGCCGAGAAGCCTGTTTCTCGGGTCGCTGGTGCGTTGATAAAGATGTCCTACTTAAACTGGTGTGCCGGCTTGTGCTGTCGTACACGGGGCTGCTCAACTCTCTCATATCTACCCAGCATTCCTTCCGCCTCTTTTTTCCCTCATCCTTTCCTGGAATCCTGGACGTGGTACTCTGGGGTGTTACGTGATCGAGATTGATTTCTGTGGCTTGCAAGATCTCGTTTCACCTAATGCAACGTGCAGGTTAACCTGTTTGCGCTTCTCTCTGGTTAAATTTCTTTTTCCTTCCCACATGGGCTTCGATCTACACTCAATCTTGAGAACAGACCACTAGTTCAAAATGGGGACGTTCGGGTCTCAGACCAGTACTTATAACAGGCTGGTCACAATTTTTGTTGCCGTTGGGTCGATGGTTAGTACTCGTGCTTCCCTCTCTTCCATTCGCAGACGATGTGGTCTAACATGCTCGTTGATTAGACCTATGGCTACTGCACCTCGATTATTTCAAGTACTATCGGTCAGCCGGGATGGTATACATACTTCGATCTTCCCGCAGATGGCGAACCAGGATATGCCTCGATCACAACCCCTGTGATCTCTACTGCGAATGGCGTCTTTAGTGCTGGGGGTGCGGTTGGGGCACTCTTCATAATGTGGTCGTGTGATTTTTTCGGCCGCAAGCGTAATATCCAGCTGGGTGCTTTCTTAGCCATGTTCGGAGGAGCTCTTCAAGGAGGTTCCAATTCACTCAAGTGCGTCACAATGATTCTATCATTGCATGTGTCCTCGCTAACAATACCTAGGATGTTCCAGGCTGGTCGCTTTGTATGCGGTCTAGGGATCGGAATTCTTGTGACTGTTTGTCCAATGTACCTTTCTGAAATGTCCAGTGCCTTCCGCCGAGGATGGCTTGTCGGACACCATGCCATTTTTCTCGTCTTCGGTTACATGCTTGCTGGGTGGGTTGGCTATGCATGCTACTTCGCAGAGAACAAGCTAGGCACCTTTGGCTGGCGTTTCCCACTTTGTCTCCAGTGCTTGCCACCTCTTATCCTACTTCTAGGGTCGCCGTGGCTTCCTCGCTCCCCGCGCTGGCTGATCAGTAAGGGAATGCACGAGGAAGCTAAAATGGTTCTAGAGCGACTTCGCCAATCGCCAGATGACCCCAACAATTTGGTTGCCAAGGAGGAATATTATCAGACGGCCGAACAAATTCGTCTGGAGGGTGAAAGACTGGCTACCTATGGCAACGTATGGGCAGCCGTTCTGAAGAAGAAGTCGTACAGAAAGCGCATGGCTATCGGGTTTCTGACTCAATGGGGAGCGGAATTTGGTGGGCCTCTCATCATAGTGAGTTTAGCCCTTCTCAGTATCGTCTATCCTCTAGCCACTTACGCCGTGTAGAACAACTACGCTGTTCTTCTCTATGAGAATCTCGGGATGACAGGCGGTATGCCACTGCTGCTGAGCGCCGTCTGGCTAACAACCGCTGGTAAGCTTGGGTTATCTCAATATTAAGAGAATATGCTAACAGTGGCATTTTTCAGGGCTTATTTATAACCCTCTTGGTGCCTGGCTTCACGACAGGGTAAACTCACGCCGAAAGATGTATATCACAGGCTTCATCGGAATCATTATCACCACTTCTTGCTTAGCTGCTATGACTGCACAGTATGCGGGTACCACGAACCGCGTCGGTAATGGATTCGGCATTCTCTTTATATATCTTTACCTCGCTTTCCAGGGGTGCGTATCTCTGTTCGAAAATTTCCCTTGGAGTTACTTATCCCTGTCCAGAACTTTCTGTGATACGACAATGTATCTGTACGTCTCCGAAATTTTCCCTACGGAGATTCGCCCAATCGGCATGGGCTTCTCACTGTTTGGACAATTTGCTGGTAAGTTAACTGTCTGAGGGAAAACAAGCTTAGCTAAGATTGCAATGACAGCGACCATTATTCTTCTTCAAACTGCCCCCACAGGGTTCGACAATGTTGGGTGGAAGTTCTACCTGGTTATCATTTGCTGGTCAATCTTTTTCATCCCAGGTGAGCTGAATCAATTATTTCAAAATATGCTCATTCTTCTGACGCACCATCTTCAGTGATTTACTACTTCTTTCCTGAAACTGCTCGTTTGACTTTGGAAGAGATTGCGAAAAACTTCGGCGAAGAAGTTGCTGTCCACCTCACCGACGCAACGGACGAGGAGCAAGCCCGTTTCCAACGTGACCTTGAGAAACGGCCTGACAGTTTGGGGCATTCTGACTCCAGCAGGGACAACGAGGCTGGAATACCTCCATCTAGCTCCCACGAAATGCCCAAGGCCCCATGAACTGTCCAATCCACTACCACTAATATGCTGGACAATGCCTTCACCTGTCTTCGATGAATACACAACATGAATTCTTCCGAGGCAGAGATCCCAATGCATGTTCCACTATTCCGAAATACGAAGTCTGGCTACACAAGCGGGCTGATTGGTGATGTTGTTGGTATTCTCTTAATGCCGGAGGAAGTTTGGGTGGCCTACGAGAAGTATAGGCCATGTTCAACCTTGGACATGTGTCAGGCAGATTTTGTCTTTCTTGGAAATAGCACAGACACCTTAGCGATGAATCATTAATGTGAAATAGACCTGCATATCGTTCTCGTAACTTTGTTACCTACCCTCCCTGGTCACGACATTCAAGAAGCACTGGGGATCCCTGCTCCACACTGCGTCATCCCAAGAACGACAATATTGCCAGGTGGGACAGCTGGATAGTATGGCATGCAGTGATAGCACTGGGGATCTCCAGCATCCATCAATGATGGAACAACCTATTTCCTAGATTGTGGTAAGCAGCCTGGAGCAGAGGTGGTTACGTGATGACGGGGAGTTCTGATCCAATCAGCATTGGGGCCCGGGCCGTATATCGGCAGGATGCCAGGCTGCAGAGCCAGAGACAGGTTCAGGGTGGATTGGTCGGCCAAAGTGCACGGATTCACACTTGTTGTACGTGCACTCCTCATCATGCTGGCTGAATATCATTCCTACGGCCACCTTATCGATGTTGTCTCGGGACTATTGGCTCAGGGGCTTCCCTGCCGTCCGGAGCACTCTAAGGGAGCCTTGAGAAGCACTCTGTCAGAGATAAAGATGGGCCTGGGCTCATGCAAGCTGAGACAATAGTGAATGGAGACGGTACGCCGCTAAATCAGATAAGGCCCGTCAGATGATCATTGTTGATTGTTCATTTGTTAGTGTTGATAGGGATTAATAATTAGAAGAGGGTCTGCTCATTTCCTGAAGATCCTCCATGAGAGTAGATAATGGACGATGGCACGTCCTCAGGCACCCACGGGGGTGGGATGGGTGCTGGCACCAATCAGGATGCCTCGGTGCGCAATTGTCCATTCGCCCCTCCTCCCGCTAGCCGAGAGGGGACTAGAGCGGACCTGAAGCGAGCCAGTCAGGAAGAGCGCTAGCGCCTGAGCGACGGGCGGGCGTCTCAGCCCAGCGTGTGGAAAGGCAGAATCGGGAATTGCTCGCCAGGAGAGACTGAGCGCCCCGGTTGAATGAATTGGTGATTCGCATGATTCCAATAGTTCCCTCCTTCGCTCCGGCTCTGCTTGCTTGCTTGCTTCTTGCTGTCTTGCTCGCTGTCCCTTCTTCTGTTCTCCTCTTTTTCATTCACTAGTATTCCGATTCACTGCCACTCTTCTTTCTCCCTTCCCCGCTGGTTCCTTTCCTTCCTTCCCTCTCTCTCGGTCGGCCCTCTTTCTGCCTCCTCTTTCTTCCTCCACCTCCTCCTTCTCCTCAGCCTCTTACTACTACCAACTCCCTTCCCCCCAAACCCCGTATTCACTTCTTCCTCACCCCCCCCTCCCTTTTTCTTTCTTCTTTCCTTCGCCACTAGTGTTCATTCATCTCGCTACTTTTACTTTACCTTCCTTTTTTTCTAGCCCTTTAATCACCATTCCCGTCCCACCGTCGTCGGGAGGGTAGCAGTCGAGCGAACTTGACGTTCCTTGGGTTGTCTGCCTGGGGCTCTGGCACTGGACGGTCCTCTCTAAGCGCGAAAGAGGGAAAGGCACGGAAAAAAGAAAAAAAAAAGCGGCCAAACACGCGCCGACTCCCGAAACGAAGCACCCGGCGTCGACTTTCGTTTCTTCCTCACCCTTCCTTCTCTCGTCAGGTTCGAAGTGCGGAAAATAAAAGTCACAAAACGGAATAAAAAAAATAAGAAGATAAAAGAGGAGCAAATAGGCTACAGAAAAGGAACAACCCTGTCCGAAAAGCAAAAGTCCTGGTTTACCTACCCTCCTTGCCGCGACCGCGTGTTTTCATCCTGGACGGTCTGAAAGGTAGACTGGATCTCGTCTTCTACTGCATCTTCGCGTCGAGCATCATTTTCTACGGCTACTAGGGAGTTGCAGAGCATCTCCGGCCCATTCCTTATCTTCTGTCTTCAACACAGAGAAACTCAACCCCCTCGTCTTCCTGAGCCTCGCACGGGTCTTCTTTTCTCATCCGGTCGCGTCCGTCTCTCACTTTCTCGTCCCCTCGAGCCAGCTGCATCTTCCGGCGGCTTCTGACACCCCGGTCTTATAATCGCTTGTACACCTGGTTATTAATCCCTCATTGGTTTTCTGCCTTCTCTAGCAAGGCGCATTCCTTTGCGTATCTTATTGTATTCTGCAGGTTCGTCGGGTTCCCATTCGGTACCTGTCCCCCAACTCCATGCTGACACCATCTTCACCATAGGGAGTCCGGACTTTCGCCCCGTTCATTGCCTACTGACCCCCGTTCTCCGACGTCGGTTATTTCCTGGGTGTTCGAACTTACCCTCAGCCTTGTAATATCTTAATACGCCGAAAGTTCCTGTGTGGCCGACCATATCGCCTCTCCGGTCGCTGCACTACCAGCGCTGTTTCTCTTCATCTATTGCACATACTGTTTTATACTCCATTTACAACCACGAGTATGGACACTGGCGGTCTTGCTCAAATGACCTACAATCCGTCTTTCAATAATGGCAGTTCCCTTGGGGTTCCCGGGGCCAGCTTCGCGTCTCGGAGGAAAGGCTCCCATATCAAGCGCTTGAGCGTGCCCCCACCACACATCTCGACCATCGATGAATCCCAGCCGTCTGCGCCAATTTCAACTCCGCGCACCAGCCGTTCGCACCTCTTGGCTGGTTTGAGGACAGCCCCCAAATCAGCAACGATGCCTTCTGCCTCCCATCGCCAGCAACACCTTGGCTTGGAAGGCGATCGATATGGCAATCTTTCGAACCGAACTGCCGATCGCGTCCCTCAAACCGCCATGGGAACCGGATTCCCACGTCACTCGTTAGCCTTGAATCAGGGTATAGACATGAGCACAGGACGTCCCATGTACACTTTACCGGAGCAGGTGCTCGCACCTCCGGCTATTGACATCGCTGGCGATACGCAAATTGACGAGAGCCTGTATGCTGAACTGATGTCGACAAATCTCTTCTTGGCTGCTCAGCAACAGCGGTTGCAGCAGCAATTGATCAGTGTCACTGCGGCGGCTCAGCAGTTTCAAGGTCTCAATCTGGGAGGACCTATGGTCCAGCAACAGCAGGAATATCCTTCTATGCCTGTCCCCAGTATGGGATTTTACCAACAACAGCTCCAGCAGGGCGTGCAGCCAGTGGTGCAGCCCGTTCCCGGCCAGCCAGGGCTCTACTCGGTTTACAATCCCCTCACTGGACAGCAAAACTATGTCTACGACAACACCTTTCAGCAGGACAGCTCGCCTTCTCCTTACCAGGAAGAGGAAACTCAATTTCCAGCCATGCCGGTGCCCACCTTCAGAGCCGAAGTGTCCCCACCACCCGAGTCACGCCAATCCCCTGTCAATGTGTCTCAACCTGTATCTCCTCCCAGCGGCCGTTCGTCTCCGCAGGAGACTGTCCCTCTGCCTCCTCCCTCGGCAAATGCCTTCCGTAGGGGTCACAAGAAGAGCTCGTCTTTCAGCCCAGCACTCAAGTTGCCACTTGACACGACCAAGGCCAACAGTGCTATCACCCCTCCCGCTCCTAAGACTGCCGCATTGCCGCAAACCCCCGCCACTGGAACGTTCGGACCCGGACAGGCTCGTGCTGGGGAGCATCCCATCCGTCAGCCCCGTGGACCACCGTCTCTCGAGGAGCTCATAGCCAAGCCAACTTCCAAGCACGAAGGAAGCAAAAACTTTGCGACCCGCCAACGTCGCCGTGCTGTGCATAACTTAGTCCGTGCAGGTATTGAACGGCGCGGAGAGACTCGGAGTTTCGGCTGCCATAGCAGCGGTGGTACCAATACCCCGGCGAGCGAGAAGGAATTCACGTTCTCTGATGGGGATGATGCCACTGTTCGCAGTGGCAGCCTCTCTAGCAAGCCCAGTCTGGGTAGTCTGCGTGCTGCTGCGAATGGAGCTATTGGTTCTGAAAGGAAGGAGAGATCTTCCCGAGAACGCCGATCGCAAGATAGCCCGTACAATACCACTCCCATCAGCGAGGATGGCGGATTCTTTGGTGGGAAGTTTGCGGAGGTTCGAGCGGACCAGGTTCCTTCTCGAACCGGATCACCCTCGGTGGCTGCTGTCGTCGCTGGCCAGAAGACGGTAGCTCAGGGTCAGGAAAGGCGCAAGACTCCGATGCTTGTGCTCTCCAGCGCTGAAAAGCGCAAGACCCCGATCATGTAATGCAAACGTCGTACATAATGTGACTGAGACGTAACGGATGCGCAAAGCTTGGATGATTTTTTTTTTTTTTTTTTTTTTTTTTTGCTTTTTGCTGTTATTGGATCTGAGTTCCTGCAGGCACCGCCGTTCTATTCTATCCAGAATAAACAAGACGGTTAATCTTGATGTCATGGCAGGATTTTAAGAGAGATCCGCCGCCAATGTTTCTCTCCTTTTGACACTGTGCATGAACACATGGCCAGGACTCTGCCCCGTCGATGAACCAATCTCTTGTCTGACGAAGCAAGCCTCGGATGAAATGTGATTTCCCTTCAACTTGTTATTCTTCGCACCTCTCTCTTTCCCCTCTTATTCTTTCCTTCCTTCCACCTGAACAGATTGATGAACCACACGAGACCAGAATCATTAAATCAACTTTTCTTTTCCTTCCTCATTGAGCTGGTGTCGCTCGAGCTTTCTACGCGCGATCGGATGGGTCTGCTGGAACGGTAATGGACCTGTCCGTCGCTATTTTCTCTCTTACCTTTTCTTTTTGCTACACTCCACATTGGGTGGGATACTGTACGTACATGCATCTGGATATGTATGCACTTTCGTCCAGTTATCGTTGCTACTTGTTTTTATTCCCTAGGATATACTAAACTAAATGACATCTACTGAGTAAACCACTACTCTGTTACTCGATGATACATGACTTCTTCGTCTTCTTCCTCTTTCTCCTGCCCCTGTAGCTCCATGTTAAGTCGTCTATATCTCCGTCCTCATTCATAAGTCTATTCAAGGCCCCGTACCACGTACCACGTAGCAACATACATACCTAACCTACCTATACCACAACATAGCACTCATCCCCACGTTCAAGACCGAAGTCCTCGCCACTCCTACTATTACTTGTCTAGCTAGCTGATGTCATAAATCGCACGATGCCGGACGGGTGGGTACATGGCCGGCTAGTGGTACCTACATATGTAGGTACATTGTACATCATGTGTTGTTACACTACATGATCGTCATGTGTGATTCCCTTGATTACCGTCTCTTATCTGTTCTTCTGCATGTACGTAGGTAGGGAATTGGGTATGTGTGAGACATCTGTGTTATTACGTCATTTGTGTTTGATATACAATTCTACTACTCCGTACAGACAAGTAACTTTGCATTGGGCGGTTCTATGCGTCATATTTGGGGCAGAAATGTGAGGGGAGGAAGGATGGGGACAGTATCTGATCGTGATTCATGAAATCGTATTATCTTCTATCTAGAGTAGTAGTCTAATTCTAATGACCGGAACCTGTCGAGGTAAGTGGTAGTAAGTATAACTCAGTATAGATATATCAATCGACTTGCGATGCATCAGAAGCAGATCAAAGCCCCACCAAAACGTAAATATGTAGACCAGGACCGCCGTACCTTTGCTTTTGTAACACGGGGAAAGTGAGAGGGAAAGGAAAGAAGGGAACAAAAAGAAATGAATCAGCACAGGCTGTTGTTGACGTACAAATATACCAACGGAGCGCTTGTAAGCTCATAAAATCAGACACAATCAAGACAAAAAGAGTAGCCAGACGAGGGTATGCCGAATATATGCAGGAATGGCAAGGCTGAGCACCAAGGAGATACAGCACAGAGCAGGACAGGCATGGACAGAAAGGATCCCAGATCAAGGGGTGATAGGACATTCACGCTGAAGTAACACGGCAATCCGCTTCATAAGAGTAATCCAAACAGGAATCGAGGATGACAAAGTGTCAGGTAAAGAAGGTAAGCATAGAGGGTGGTCGGTGATCAGAGACCGGCAGGTCATCTAGAAACTGAACAGTCCGCTTCTTTTCTTGCCAAGCGGATAGACGACCAAGGCAGCCAGGAACAGGCCTACTGTGAAGCCGACTGCTACCTGGACCATTCCGTAACCAATGTCAAGGACAACCCCATGAAACTCGCGGTCAAAGTTAGGACTCGACATGTTTCTCGCCGCATCCACAAATCCCTGCGTCCCGTTAGAGACAACAGAAAAGGGCGACGGCGTAGTAGTGATTTGTTCCGCTGCCGCGATGCCCGAGATGAGCGACCCGCTGGCAGCAAGACCGGATGGAACAAGCACAAAGATAGCGGGCAGCATCGCTGCGGCCGCAAAGCCGTGCCGTAACCGGCTATAAAGATTTCCCATCACTCCGATGACGAAAGCTCCCAACGCGTTGGAGACCTGAGTGCTCGAGTAGAATCGCTTGGTACCGAAGTAATTCGTCACGTACCCAGCAAAGGCGATCATCAACATCATGGGCATCTGCCTCCACTTCGCTTGGTTGATGACGGCGAGGCAAAATGTGAAGAGAATTGCAAAAGGAAAATGTTGAAGATATTCGTTGGTGATTGGGCTGGCCGGACACGTGTAGTCCGAAGATGCATCAGAATCCAAAAGACCATAGACTGCGGTTCCGATCGTGATTCCGAACCCAAGGAACAGGGAATAGATAATGGCATAGACCATGCGGACAGACCCAGCGACAATACTGCGTGACTGCAGCTCCAGACTGGCGCACAACACCATGTATCCGGGCAGGATCAATGCAATCGAGGACTGGGCCAGGGCAGAGAAGCAGAAAAGCCGCCCATCCCCATATCGGATGCTGCCAAAAGCCCGGGCCAGGAATGATGTCAGAACTGCAGCAGAGATTTCAAAGACATTCGCGTAAAGGTTGGAGCGTGGCGAAAGCACAAGCTGGAGGATTCCCAAAAGACATCCTAGCAGAAAGGCAACTGGCATATCGATAGGCCGCGCATTGAACGCGAAAGGACCGACGCAGGCGCTAGCACATCCGTAGATAAGAATAACTACTGGCACGGGGTACTTGTTCTTCTGCTTCACGATCTCATCCAACCGTTGGATGGCCTCTTCAACCCCAATCACGCCGTGAATCACCTCCTTGTAGATGAGATGCACATCGGACAGTCGACCCAGGTCGACGCCCTGATGACTTCGGACCAACCGAACTTCAGTAGTGTGAGTGGACGCGTCGTCGAAGGAGATGATCATACAGCCAGGTATATACAGGAATTGACCGTCAACCTCCAAGACGCGGGCAGTCATCTTCATATACTCCTCCAACCTATGAGTAGGGGCGCCGTACTTCATCAAAGCTCGGCAGAGTCGGATGAGATATCCTTGGCGGGAGAGAAGTTCGGCTATCTGGATCGTGATGCGGATCTCATCCTCAAGCTGCGGTTTACCCATTCGCTTGGGCACGCTTGGAATGGCTCCGCTGCTTCGGGAACGCTTGAGCATCGCGATGGGGGAGCTTGCCGAGTTCTTGGCCGTTGAGCCAGCCAGGGAGGTGCTAGACTGGTTAGGGGATTTTTCGTACCACTTCCTGGGCCGTTGAGACTTCCAGGTAGGGTCTGGGGATAATCCTCGACTACTAAACTCTCCGGTGCTGCTTCGACGCAAGCTGCCATGCCGGCCCCGCGAATAGTTGCTGCCAGGTTGATCGTATAGTTTGAGTAAGGAGGAAAGGATCCCGCCACGGTAATGGGCCGGCCGTTCAACGTAGGCATCGGGGTCCCTTTCTTCAAGGGGCGTAACCTGCCCGGACCGGAGCCCTGCAGAGGGGACTTGGATCCGGGTCAGGAAACTGAAATCGTTTCGAGTCATTTGTCTGACTAGCTGGTGGGCTTGGGAAGTACGTATCGATTGTCGGCCGTTCAAAGGGCCAACTTCATCGTCGTCTGAGAGGTCGTCAAAATGCTTTTCAGAAAGACTGATCATGGGAATCTCATCCCCATCCTCTGAAGGTAGCACCACCTCACTAGGAGTAGATGCGATGGAAGACGGTCGACTAGACCAAGGGCTTGTCTTTGGAGATTTGGAAGATCGATGCAGCAAGGATGCCAGCCGCTGGGCTCTTTCTTGTGCCGAGTGGATGGCCCTCCCCTTCTCGTTACTGACCTCATCGTCATCGCCGGGGGAGCCTGTGGAGCGAGCTGCTGGGTGGATCGTGAGGCCCGTGACACCTACCGGCGTACTGGGGCTAATATCGATCAGAGGCACTGATTGGGGGTCAGGGGAGGCCTTAACTGTCGATGGAATGCTACTAGCGGTGGGCAATGGTCTTTGCGGTAGTGATGAGCCCCTTCCATCGAACCGGGTCTCTGACGTCGATCCAGCAGTGGTTGCGCCAAGACCAGCCTCGCTGACCGTGAACTTGACCCGATTCGTGCTCCTGGGGATTGCTGCATTCCTCAGCCGGCCCTGAGCTCCGCTTGGTTCCAACGACCTCTCCTGCGGGTTTTCATTGGGAGTTGGTAGGGGGGATAGGACACGCGGCCCCGGGGATGATCTGCTAGGTCCTCCAGATAGATCAGTAAGGCTCGAACGCCTGGAGGAGGATGATATGGGCAGGTCAAAATAGCCGCCAGCCATTTTTGGTTTCTTTACGTGACTTGCGGAAGCTTGGTCTTAACCCACGGAATCTGCAGTCCTCTTTGTGTTACCTCTCTGCTTATGCAAGTTTTTTTTTTTTTTTTTCTTTTTCTTTCTCTCTTCTTTGTGCTTTAAACTCCTCGGATAACAGTGATAACGTCGAATGGTAGAAGGCTCTTGCTGTTCCTTTTCGGGTTCAATGTCGTTAAGGGTACCTTGGTTGTGCTTAGCTTGGTCCAGCAGCCTAGCAACCATGTTAGATATGTAACTTGCATCATCCGATGAGGTCGGTCACAAAACGCACCTCGCAGATTCTGAGCTAAGGTAAAGGAATGAAAAGCCCAGATAATAATAACGGTACTTTCGCTGACTTGAATTCGGAGAAAAAGCCGTCGGAAAGGTGGGTTGGAAGGGGTAAATGGCCCGCCACAAGGAATGGATATACGTCACGGATACATAGCCCAACGCCAAAGCAGCCTGAATGGTCAAAAGAAGAAATTCCTCTGTAGGATAAGAGGAGGGGGCGTAGAAGAGAATGAGAAGGAGGGGTGACAAAGTGGAGGTACGAGGGTGGGCTTATACTCGATTTCCTTCCTGAGGGACGAGATTAAAGGGAGCAAGCAGGTGATGATGAAGAGACAGACAGAGAGAACGATCTGGAAAGTGGTGCTCTGCTGGGCGAAAGCAGCCGAATATGGGAAATGTGAACTTGGGGTAGAGACAGACAGGACCAATCACGGAGCTCAAAGCACCACGATGATCATATGAAGAGAGTGGATGTGCGCGATCTGTCCTTGGCTTTGTGTAGCGGACGAGGGCTTGCGGAATAATATGAAATTGACAATTCGGGCTGAAAATATCTGGGCGCCTGTGCTTGACGTGGGGGCTGGCAGGGCAGGGGATGGATAAGAGCGAAGGGGGATGGGGAAGTTTTGTATCAGAAGCTGCTTCGGCTGCAAGAGGCGTCGTTGCCACCCTAAAGAAATCAAATCACTGCCTTGGCCGGGGAAGTTGAAACCGTGACGAATCTGAGTGGATGGATCACAGACCCCTCAAGGCCTAGACAGGGGAAATGATAAAATAGAACGAGGTCTAACTTACGAATCCGCCAAAGTCAAATGCTCGTCCGTCCGCCAGGCCTGACAGGTGCTGAATGTATGCGCTCAGAAAACTATTGACCTCTTCAGGATACAACCCAAACGGTTTCATGAGCAAATTCAGGAGCAAAGGTTGAGAGGGTGACACCCAAGCCCGATGGACTAGAACGGCGCTCAGACTGTTTGGCTACTATCTTGGATGCGGCCGCCGTCATTGACGAAACCGGTTGGTTCCACGGGCTCCACGATACGGTACCACCGTGGCCCAAGGGGGAAGTCACAATGGCTTGGATGGACACTAGATGGATGGATTGCAGCAGGACGCGACTGGAGACACAGACCCCGACTCTGCCGGTCGGTACGGCTGTCTAGCTAGTCCCTTCATTCTCCCGGGAGCTCCTGCCGGTGGTGAGGGTATTGTGGTGAGTCTCCGCCGGTCTAGACACCGCGACTGCTTCTCTTTTTCTTGATTTCTCCAACGTCGTTTGTGTGCTTACAGCGTACTTCCCATACAGATTGGTTTGCTGCCAGAATCCATCGCTCTTTCTTTTTCCTGATTGGGATTGTGTTCTGATGCCTGGTGGAGAATTCTGGGGGGGCCTGTCAATCCGGATCTCCACCGACCTTCTGGAACCTTTCAAGGAAAGGAGGAACCATGGGTATTGCGAACGGCATTGGACGGAAGGGCTGCTGAATGCTTTTCCAGCGTCAATTCAAGCTCTTCCTAATTTTTTCTTTTCTTTTTCTGGAGTGGTGCTCTAGAGGCAAAGCCCCGAGTGGAACCGTGGCTGGGTCCGGAAGGAGGAACCAGGTTTATCAACCTCTTAGCGCCCGAACCGGACCGCCGACAGAAAACCCAAAGTCTGGAGTCGCGGAGTCTGGACGCCTGGAGCCCGTGGCTGCTGTTCCGGATGACCAGCACGGCGATGCACGAATGGGAGCAAGCCATCAGGTCGACGCGTCCGTCTGCTGTTCGGCTACCCGATCGTTCAGACCGATGGTGCGAGCCGGCCAGACATGGTGACTAATGAAGCTTGCAGGGATGGATATGAGCTGTCTGTCGATCGGAATGGCGATATGGATCAGTCGTCGACTTACGGTGTAGGTACAAGCAGCTCCCCGTCTCCGTCTGATGCTGGTGGGTCGGGAGGCAGACGAATGCTGGATTACGAAGCTTCGGGGGATCTTTGGTATCCATCACATGGCGGGCTGTGTCAAGGAAGTGAGTGGGTGGATGGAACCCCAAAAAAAGGGTGAGAAGGGAAGAGGGATGAGTGAAAGGGATGAGGTTAGGACTGGGATTGGATGAAAGGCAGCTGCAAGTGATGCAGTCGCGGCACCTCTCCTCCCCCACCTACTAGATCCAGTCCCGTTCACCACCTCTCTCTCTCTCTCTCTCTCTCTCTCTCTCTCCCTCTCCCTCTCTCTCTCTCTCCTCTCTCCTCTCTCTCCTCTCCACTCTTTTCCATCCCCTTCCCCTGGGTACTACTACTCTAGTACATATCTAGCACCGCCTTAGTCCCTGCTGATCAAATGCGACGGATGACCGTTCATCCCCCGACTAAACTCCCTCTATTGGATTTGCGCCCCCCTCAGGCGGCGAGGCACCGTGCACTCGGAGCTCCGCCTGCCAGCGGCTCGCCTTGCCGATTCGCTGGGTTCCAGATACTGGCCGAAATGCTTTCCAGGTGATGTGTCTGTCTAGTGTCTAGATAGTGTCTACATGGCGCTATGTCCTCTAGCACTAACAACTATCGCTGGCATCCTAGATGACGCCTTGGCAGTACTCATAGTATACTTTTCTTCGCGTTCGATGCCCCTCCGGACGAAATTCACGACCGAGGAAACCTGAGACGTTGGAACTAGGTCGTTTAAACTCCTTACTTGGGCGTCCCTACCGGTCGGCATGGCGGTAATGTCGCCGATCCGCATTCCCCAAATCATTGCATTGCATCGCCTCAGTCGTCACGGCAGATCCACTGGCTCCATGATTTTCGCGATGAGCAGAGCTAGCGTGGCTGCCCCACTGCCATATTTGTCTGCCTGGCTTGCATCGCATTGGCGTGATCAGTACCATATATTTAGAACGGCCCGGGTAGATACCAAACGGAGTAAGTGCAGCAGGTCATGATGAACAACAACATGGATATGAATAACAGGCGACCCCATCTTGACCTCCCGTCTCTCCCCGCTGTCCACACACGCCCAAAGACCAAAGTACCCCAGTAGTCCCTCCCGGCCTCCCGACCTCCCGACCTTGCTGGTCTGTGTTACTCCCCTTCCCATGATGTCAAGGAGTTCTCCAGGTGGATGATTGGGGTGGCCCTGGTTACACGACGGGCTCAGGAGCTGGGCTCATTTCCTCTGTACTCTGGGGAGGCTGCGGTTCATACCGGTATGCGGGCTGTTTATTCACGAAACTCGGGCAGTAGATACGTCTACGCAACCTTCGCCTCTATGGGTCCGAGTCTAAGTCGACGGGGGCAAGATATTGGCCATCAATAGCTCCAATAGCTCCAATAAGCCTCGTACCTGCCGCCTAGCTGCACCCTTCAACCCCCTCAGCTCTTCACAGCAAGCAAGCTGTCCCACCCATCACGGGTCCAGCTCGCTCCCGTTCAACGCTGCCGAGGATGGCTGTGGCACTGCACGAACGCAAGGACCAATACTTAATTCTGCATTCAGGAGCGCAAGAGGACGGATGCATCCTGCCAGAGTGACACCGCGGAGGCGAGGCAGCCGAGCCGGCGGATGCGCATGTCCTTATCATCATTCATGGACGTTGCTTCGTCTGGTGGATCTGTGGGGTAGTGGCATTCTTCGGCGGGAATTCGCAGGACGATGCCGTCGCCGGATATCCGTGCAGTTACTTTCAGCGCGAGTACAGTCGGGAGGTCAGCAGGAGGCCAGCAGAAGGCGTGGTAGGTATCTTCCACGAGCTCCGATGCCAACCGGCCATAGCTCAGCCACCACTTGGGGTCCCTTGGCTCAGCTAACTCCGGAACAGAGGTGGGGCGGAGCTTATTTGCGGACTCTCAGAGACTAGATATACAGAAAAGGTATCCTACCTAGGCTATCTATGTAGCCTTCCCATGTGAAACTTGTCCTGGGTCGTTCTCGCAAAACCAACAACCCAATCGCCACTACCACATCACCATCCAGTCGACGTGGCAAACACCACGGAGTAGTCTCCTTAGGCAACGAGAAATTGTCTCAGTCGCATCAGCAATGACTCAACCACTTGCCATCCAAGCCAATCACAGCCGCTGCCGCCACCACCAGGCTCTTTGCGAGGACGGTTGGAACACCAGATATGCTAAAATATGGAATAATCGGCAATCCGGCCCAGCTCCCCTGCTGTCGCCTACCTGGGCTCCGTCCATCCATCTTCCTGGTCCTTCTAGTTCTGTGAGCTGAGCCGATGGTTGGCTTCCATGCGCCCAGCCCATCGACCTTCTAGATCCCGGTCGTTCCTGTCATGTGGTCTGCAGTGAGATCAGGTACCTGCGTGTCGAGAACTTTCGTTCGGAGGGAAAGCCGCTGGATATTTTGTCCTCTGACCTCCGTTGATTTCTGTCCAGAAGACATCCATCCACCATTCTAGACCTCCAGTCGGCTTGCCTCTCGACGTCGATCACCGTCACAATCACATGGAATTTCTCTTGCGGCCCTCCAATTAAACTCTCCCACTCTTCCAGCAAAATGTGCCGGACTGTCTGGGCAATGGCTGCCCACAGCAGAGCACCGATTCCAGCTGCCATATACGAGCAAGTATGTACCACTTGGTCTGTATCCAGAGCAGCAACAGCATTGAGTACGACCTGAGCATTGCATAATCAGTTGCAAGAGGTCATTGGTGGATCCTAACCGGAGTTATTTCCTCAGGTGTGTATCATCTAACTTGAACGAGGGGTTTTCATCTAATCACCTACCTGCATAAACATCGCCCGATAGAACGGAGTACAGAGTAAGTATTCTCCTAGCGTCAACATCCGTGCACGAGTTCATCCCACCTGATCGGCATTCTTCATCGACCTATTCAGTAGATAAGACCTGGTTCAGTATAGTGTAAGCTACCTAAATAGTTCCTAATACCTACGGAGAACTTCTCTCCCCACGTGGTCCTCTCTACATTCCTTACTTCCCACCCACTATCCACCAACCTAACTAAATGTTCTAGTCAATCCTATCTACAGAGCACGTATCTGTACCACCTCCACTTGACCCGGTCATATCCGCAACCCCCTAGAATGCAATAGTCCCAAACCATGATTGATTGCCCCAGCTAACTCTTTCTCCCCACCTACTCACCTCCCTAACCTGCCACTAACGAAACTATCGAATACCGATAGTATCTCCAAGCGGGGCAGTCACCCCAGCTAGCGAGAAGTACTAGCTGTCGATCTTCCTGATAAGAAACCTTCCGAGAACAGGAAACGCGGGATTCGCGGTCCAAAAATCTCCTATCTCCTGCCCCCTTACTCCGGGTCGAAATTTTTTGAAACGCGGGAATGGGGTACTCACTTGGAATTAGACTAGAGCCTGCATACTGGGTAGTATTGTAGAGGGGAATAGATAGATGATAGCAGAATCTGCATTTCTATCGTGATTGCGTTTTTATCGTTAGGTAGGTGGTTGTAGAGGGTGTTATGTTCTTAACTACATAGTACATGGTTAGATCGGACATATATACACCGGTGAATATTAATCAGTAGTGTAAGTAGTAAAACAAGCAAGCTACGTTTGATTTCGTATACAACTAGTACAGTCTAATATAGTTTACTAAGTACTACTATTCAATTATGTTTTCACAATTTAGTATCATCTCTCCACCCATCCTCCTCCTTCCTCCCTTCCCCTAAACAAAGAGAGTATAGAATAATTAAGCCAAACATCAAATACTATCATCCTACGCCATACTACTACTACCACACTAAATTAAGTAAACACCCATCTAATAATAATATGAAGTAATGCTACTGACTGTAGTATCATCTCCATAGTTCTACCCAGATAGTATATACTATCCCCCACCAACCCCCCAATTCACCAAAACTCCCTCCCCCGAACCCATGAAACTGCACATTAGAATCTGCAAATAATACCCCACATGCCAAAGATATATCAAATACTAGTACTACTATCACCAATTAACAACCTACCCACCCGACGACCAGAGGGGCGGGAGGTTGGGAGGGGAACAAACATATCTAGTACTCGCATACCTAACATCCAACAAAACCGGTTTCGGGTGCAGAATTTATGCATACTAGCCATGCATGTCAGTCAGAACTTAAATCAATCATCTACTGCGGATTCTTTGTCCGATTGCTCGAATAGGTAGGGATTTTAGTGAGTATGTTGTGTGAAGAATTTGTAAAGTTTTTCTTTAGTGTACTGTGTAGGTCAGGTGGGTGGAAGAAATTAGATATGGAATTGATCAAAGAATTGAACGAAGACCGGGAATTCCGTGCAGTGCATGCAAGACAGTTTGGTTATGGTTATGGTTATAGTATGTCCATTGACAATGTATTCATCCTGTCTTAACATAACCTAACCTAACGTATCTGTCCCCCCATCACGCACCCCAACTCCATTGCTAACCGAAACCAAACCAAACCAAACCAAGCCAAAGTATGAAATCAAACTCCGAGGCCTACTACAGGCCCAGCCCGCAAATACATGACATAACAGAATGTGAACCCCATGATATTTATCGCTTCGTCACCTAGGTAAGTCCCTAACTATATTATGTGGCGTGGGCTCCTATGAGCGCCGTTCGATCCGGCTCAACGCCCCCAGAATCAGGCCGAGGTCTTCTCGGGGTCGGGGTCGGAGACTTAGGTCTTGTTGGGAGTTCCCGCCGTCATTGGCTTCGGTTGCCTGTCGGCGGACCCTGCTGCGGCTGTCGCGCTCGTCGAGGCGCTCAGCGCAGATGCGGAGCACGCGGGTCGAAACTGTGTCGGACATTGTGCGATACAGGTCGATGTCGTGTATGCCTGCGGCGAGGGAGTCGAGGGTCGGGGCGAGAGAGCTGGTGATGCGGGAGAGTCGGGTGGATATGGTGGATGGAGACATTTGGGGGAGGATGTTTGCTTCGGAGGCCGAGGCCGAAGGCTCGGTTTCCATGGGCTGGGCGTCTGCGGGTTGTTTGGCAGCTTCGGGGTCTATCTGGGCGAAGAGTCTCCGTTGCGAGGGTTCTAATAGAGACAAATCGATTGGCTCGGGCTCGGGTGATAACTGTGCAGGTTGGTTGGTGTCGGGTTCTGATTGTGAAGGTGGTGTGGGCTTGATTCGAGGGATTTCTGTTGGTCGGAGGAGTGCATTGAGAGCATGTCGCTCTTTTTGTAACCTTATAACGCCATTGTTAGCTCCTTCCTGTCGCTGCATACGAGACAGACATCGCTCACCTCTGTATTTGCTCTTCTAGTTCCTGGATCTTCTCTGTATTAAGGATGTTCTTCGGGTTCTCCTTCTTGACTACCAGAGCATGAGGGTTGACATCCTCTCTTCCAAACCAGTTGGAGAGCTCGGAATTAGTGGAGAACTCCTTCAGCAGTTCCTCCTGGATAACCCGCGCTGTGATATGTTAGCCTGTGTAAGCAATATTCAGCACCAAACGTACCCGCTAGACGAGCGCTCTCGTCCTCTGAGCGCGATCCAGACGGCTTATCGCCGATTGCTCGCGTGCCGCACCAGATCAGAAGTTGCCGCATCCTCCGTGGCTCCGGCAGGTCGGCCGCAATGTGCTTGTAGAAATCTGTCGTATCGACCTTTTTATGTGGCAATGCTGTATATAATTAGCACCCAGGCAAGCACAACGGTACACAATACCCACCATTAGACGCTCCCGAGTCAATCAGGGAGCTGGCTCTCCGTCCTCTCATCCCGAGACTGCTCCGCCTGTTTCCTCCTTTCACGGATTTCTTCCCCCGCATCTCCCTATTGCGCTGGATGACCGGCGTATCCGCTAGAGGCAAAGCAATCGTAGTAGCCGTCCCGGGCTGCTGTTGCTCCGGAGACACAAAGCCATTCACTGGTTGCGTTTGCAGCGGCGGCGGATGCTGCTGTTGCTGTTGCTGTGCGTCGCTCTTCGAACTACTCGGCCTGCCTTTCCTCCGCTTCTTCTCCAGGGGTACCACCTCAGCTTGGTCGTGTTTCCGTGTAGAGCGTGTAGGACGTTTCGTTGGTTCTGGCTGTGGTTGCGGTTCCGGTTGAGGCTCTAACTGAGGTTCTTGCTCAACCTGAGCTGCCGCAGCCTTTGCAGCTCCTCTCGTCTTTCTCTTCCCAGTCCCCTCAGTCTGTTTCTTCTTCGGTTCCGCAACAGGCTCCGATTTCTTCTCTGCTCGCTTTTTCGGAGGTCGCCCTCGTCTGGGTGATGGTTGGGGTGGTTCTTCCGGTACAGGTGACGGTGCCTTTTTCGCCTCTGACGGTTTGGCTTTTTTAGTCGTGATGCGCGAGAACTGGAACCCCTCAATATCCTCCTCAAAGGGTGCTGTACAATAAGATCAGGCATTAGCACTTCAACACCCTTCCCGCATAAAACACCATCACGAGTACTCCAGCCAAGCTTCCATCAATCACCCAAGTTCACTCACCAGCTTTCCGTTTCCTCTCCGCCGCGCTCAACTTCTCTTCATTTCGATCTTGCTTATTCAAACTCAACCGCGCGCTCGTCCTCCTTCCCCCGCTTCTTCCAGGCGCGGCGGGACGCGCCTGCGCCTGGGACGTCGCCATATCGATAGCCAGTAACGGTTCGCGACGTTTCGTCTTAGTGGTAGAAGAAGCCAAAACAGTGACGGTCATGTCAGGACCGAGTCAAGGCGGGGTTGTAGGCGGACAAAGGAAACAAAAAAGGAGCGACGGATCGAAAGGGTCAAGAACTGAAGTTGAGTGTAAGACTTTTTCGCACAATCTGTTCTTTCTGCCTCCTGGGAAGAAATCAACCGCGAATTGAGGTGCCCGCGAAGAATTCCTCCCGCTGTGTTGATAGGTCTTCGGTCACCGCAAATCCTTCAGTCCGGACGGGTTGAAACAGGAGAATCGACAAGAATTGGAATTAACGATCGTGCTTTGACAGACTCCCCCGACTTCTCTGATCTCTGGTTCTGGGTGTAAATTGATTCGAATTCGTGCGGTCGCAGGTGTCCGGGTAGCTCGACGACGGGAGGGGGTGCGATCCGAGGGACGTGTGTTGATGCGGGTTGCGCGGTCAACAACGGTTCAGGGGACGCGACAATGGCGGGCGACCGGTCGAGACAGGCGAGTTGAGATTGAAGATCGAATGGCGGAAACTCCCTGGGCTCCTTGCGCAGAAGGGCCAAGCTCTGGCATCGGGATGACGGGGGGGATTTGGCTCTTGCGAGTTGCCGCAGCACGCGCTTGTTTTGGTCGTGGCGCGTGGGGAGGCGCTAGTCCCGTTCGGGGTGACACCGCGGGCCTGCAAACATCATCGACTACACAGTCTTGGGGGATAAGTACGGAGTAGTATTCAACCCTATGTTCATTACGTATGTTCTAGTATCTAACAAGTATACAACCCCGCTTGCATGCTGCCCGTGTCGTCCTGCCTAATGATTGTAATCTTTACAAGTGTGCTGGAAATCGCTACCAAGGCTCCTGGCCCTGTTCATGTACCTGTAAACGCCCGAAATGAATCAACCCCGCTGAGTCGTCGCAATAGGAATTGGGAGGCGAAGCAAGGCAGAGCGAAGCTCACTACGCAAAGGCAGTAGCATCGGTCGGAGGTGCCAGACTGCCTTCGATTCTGCGCTTGGCGGCTTGCATCTCCTCCAGAGAGATATCTTCCGTCTTCTTGGGCATGTCCGGCTCAAACTGAGCGATGTCCGGGCTATGGCCCACAGACATGCCAACTCGGATCTGGTAGGAAGACCATGTTAGCTATGACCATGCGCCAGGATCAGCAAGGGTGTTTCTTACCAATGTCTCTAGAGGGCCCTTCGAATTGTCTACCAAGTCGCTATCAAAATTGATCGCCCCATCTTCGAAGAGTAGAAGGAGAGTGCTTCCACCAAATTTGAAGTATCCAAGCTCTTCAGCTCGGGACACCCTCTCTCCAGCCTGGCGAGTAATGACTGTACTTCCGACCATCATGGCTCCAACGCAGACCACCATGACGCGGCCATGAGTAACCGAGTCAATTGGCACTAAGACTCGGACATTCTCGCCGTACACATCCAACGCGGAGCGAATGGCCATGGGGTTCACGGTATAATATTCACCTTCAATAGTCTTGGGCTCTCCCAAGACGCCATCCACCGGGATGTGGAAGCGGTGATAATCCTGCGGCGCGAGGCGGAAGATTCCCAAGGCTCCGTTCTTGAAGCGCTTCACATCCTCGGGATAAGCATCGCCCAGAAGTCTGGCAACGGAGAACTCCCGTCCCTTGACCCAGATGCTGGTCGCCTCTTCAATACGGTCAAAAACGACTGCCCGGCAATCGGCGGGTGACACCACGACTCTGGGCTCCTCGGGGGCCGAGCAGGGCCGAGCATCGGGCTTGAGGGCCCGGTAGAAGAACTCGTTAAAGTTTCTGAACTTTTCCAGCGGGAGCAAGACCTCAGACATGTCAAGTTGGTGGAAGTTGATGAAGTCCCGGATCTGACTTGCCGATGCCGGGTCGTCGTACTTCCTGCCTTGTTTGATACTGAGTGATTTCAAGATTTTGCGGACTGTAAGATAGATGTCAGTGATTTGCAGACCAGACGAGAACCATCAAGAGCAAAGCATACTTCTCTTCTTCTCCATTTCCCGACTTTTTAGTCCCTTATATAGCAGCCGGATGCCCAGCCGGACATAGACACTCATACGCTCCTCATTGATCTGGCCCGTAACTCGATCCTGAACAAGTATGTTGGCCGAATTCGCCCCAAGCTTGTATCCACCATAGGAAATCTTTGTGATAACTTTGGTGTACCACTTGCGCTGCGCCTGACTCGATGTTACAAATCCGCCCATGACAAGGTTATCTACCTGTCTCCAGTCACGGCTCGCGCATGTAGCAATGTGTGTGATAATATCAGCATCAGACCGTGATGAGAGACGTGGTTGATGGCACAGAGGACACTCCCTCAGTTCGATAACATGCTCTTCGCCCCGTTCATCGCCCAAATCATCAGGGCGAAGATCCTCCTCGGCCGAACTCGGCTGCTCATCGCTACACAGCGTCGGTACGGACGTAGTATGAGGATCGGCATTACCTGGTTCGACAGTGATCTCATCGCCACTAGATTGCTCATCGCTCTCGCGGCTGGCTGTCGACGGAGTGGGAGTGAGCTTCTTGGGAGGTGAGCCAGGGTCCTTTTGCAAAGCCTGAAGTGTATCCTCCAGACACATGACGGCCTGGTCAAACGTCAGGTCCATGGTCTCACTGGGCTGGTTCTCCAAGCTGAAACGCTCAAAAAAGCTGTCGATAGTAGACTCCTTCAAGGTTGACCCGAGCGTATCGAGCATCGTCGTGAGTTCGACTTTGTCAATACGGCCACTCTCATCGGCATCATACTGCTTCAGCATGAGTCGCCAAAATTGCTGCCGGAGTGCACGGTAGGGCATATATTTCGCCTTGACAAAAAGTTCCGGGAAGTGCTTATCCTCCCACCTCTCCTTGTTTTTCAACGCCAACTGGATCCGATAGACCTGAAGGCCGTTTGACTCGAGCGGGCCGATCGGATCGCCCTCGAAAGAGGCCGCTGTCGGGGTGGACGGGTTACTGCTCTCACCCTGCTCAGGGATACTTCGCGGAGGGAGCAAGGTCGACTGTTCTTGCAATGTCTGGCTTGACAAGGAAGTAGAGGAGCCCCTGGGGGTCGTACCGAATTTGGGAGAAGTCGACAAGCTCTGGACTGAAGGGGACCGGCTGATTGCAATCTTGATCTCAGGGGGTCTCGCGACAGAGCCCGGGTCAGCTCCCGTTAGATCAGATGCTGGGTCCACAAATTTATATAATCCGGTTTCAGTGTCGGCTTCGGGAGCTGACTGGATGAGAGTTTGGACGGGAAACGAAGCGGAAGCGACAAAGTCATTTCCGGAGAACTTGTCTCTGTCCATAACCGTGAAACCGATGGTGTACGATTGTTCGTGTTTCATAACCTGAAACACCATTTTCTCGTTATATACTGGGTTGAGATTATGACGCACGACCGGCGTTCGAAGCGTCTTTCTGCCGAGGGATGTGACAACAAATGGATCCATGTCAAAAGAAGTGCGTGTTACTGTTACGGGTCAGCAAACGCGAAAACCATAGGGCAGGCATGCCTCACCATTCCGTTCCGGCGGAAGATCCGTCACCTTGACGATTTCCATGAAAACGATACCCTGCACCCCGTTGCCAGCACCAGAAAACTGATATGCTCTTGCTGCAAGAGATTTGCGCTTCAGGCGCTTGAGACGCAGTCTACGTTTCCGCTTCTCCACAACCTCAGGCTTCGTGGGATCATCCGTCTCATCTGAGGTCTCTTCGTCTCTATCGGCATCGTCCAGCATCATGGACGGGACCTGCAGGAATTCATCCTCTTCATCCCCAGCACAGACCAAGTTTCTGAATTTCTGATATGTCTCGGTCGGTGAGGCGGTAGGGTTCGATGCATCGATAATTGAAAACTGTAGAAGAATCTCCCCGGACACCATACTGTCCTTCTTCTTTGTCGGTTTCCGCTTCGACCTGAGTGTATACCATTTTGGCTTCAGGTTCTAAGTCAGCTCTACTCGGTTCCGGTTGCATAGGGCGAACGCCTACCTGCTGGTGTACGTCGCCGTTATGGAATATGTCCTCCAACGGGATATCGAACTCGCCAAGGTAATCTTTGCCAAATCTGTCGTGATCCCAACAAATGCACTCCAACAGCGGTACGCCGACCACTGGCATTTCAAATGTCACGTTCCATTCTGGATTCAATGTCTTGGGGATTGTGGGTGTCGACTGTCGTGCGTCTCCGAGAGTAACTACCAAATACTGCGTAAAGAAGCCGTTGTCAGCTACAACAGTCTACACGGATATCATAGGTCTCTGACTGTGTGGAATGGGGCATACCGGATCGCTGGTCCCGCCTCGATCTTTGGCTGCAAGATCTCGTCCCTGGTGGTGTGGACAACACGAGTTAGCAGGTCAACGGAACTCTGATCAGAGCTTCCGTTGAGCTCCGCGCGGCCGTGGATGCGACGCTCTTACTCACCCGGATAACAGAGACCTTCAGGATCAACGGCTTCTGTTCAGGCATTCTCATCGGACTTGCGCTCCTACTTTGACCGGGAGTTGGGTTGTTGCTTTTAGTGCTCAGGTGGGTGCTGAGACGTTGTGGCAACGGTAACCGCACCATGGTGACCGGCCGGAAGTGCGGGGGAGCAGGGTCGCTGAAAGCGGACACGTCGCGTCAACACACAAGACTGGACGCGCAAAGGAAGATTAGAAAAAGTTTAGGAAGTAAATGAAGCGTGAAGGGGGTTTGGTAGTAGAGCACATTGAACAGTGTCAAGAGCTCCCCGGCCACCGCGACGGAGAGATGTCACGGTGTGGTTGCCTGTCAGTCAGGTCAACTGGACTGCCGGTTGATCTAAGTAAGATCGGTTTGGGTCGGCCCAGTGAGAGCAAGAGACGGAGCCACGGTCGTACTGCGCGGGAAACAACAGGAGAACTTCACCCACCCTGCAATTGACACCTTTAAAAATGCAGGGCCAGGAGCATCGCGCCAAAGGAGACGAAAATGTGGTGGGAGGGAAAGCTTAATGCACGAGCTGGGTGAACGGGGGTGTGCGGCTGTAGTCTTAGACCTTGTCCCCAACAAGAATAATACTAATTATAATAAGAGTCTTAATAAGTAGAAGAAGAACGAGAGGAAGAGGAGGAGGAGCTATAATAGTAATAATAGAAATAATAATAGGAAACTGACGACGGGACCAGGACTGGGTCTGGTCACAGGGAAAGGGGAGCAGCAGAGCAACACGGCCTCGTATATGAGTGGGGAGGATGTCGCACTGTTGAGTTCTGATCGATTTCTCGCTTTGATCCTCGGCCCCCAAGGCTTATGATGATTGTCGTCCAAAGTTACAATTTACAAAACTAATGGTGGCTGAAGCGACCCCATCCATAGGAACAGGAGGATTTGCGGAAGCCGCCGGGTACCCCGAACGTTAAGATTTATCCCATTAATTAGACCCCAGTAATTCACCGACGCCACAAGGCTAGAAGTTGATAGAAGAAGTGGAACGGTCGAATGAGTATGGTCTTGCGAGGATGGAAAATTGGCTGCCTAGAGGGTGTGGCTCTTGGGTGCATGAATCCCATCTGCTTGCCAGCCAGCGGTAGTACCACTTAGGTACTCTCTGCAAAAGGGGTCATGGCCTCCATCTCCAGATGGACGAACCACTGGAACTACTTCGTACTGAGATACTGTTACTTCTGCGCCGAGCAAATTTCTTGCTGCCTGGACGTCATCTGTAAACCCCTCATGAGTTCGTCCAGAGGCCCAATAAGGGCGAATTCACCAGCAGATCGACTGCCCCTCGATCCGGCGCATCCAATGGATGTCTATGTGAGATAATCAGTCGGGCAAGACGACGGGCTGTGTCGGCCCCTGCCTAAGCCCTGCACCCCCACTCCGGAGGATGTCAAACTGTCAATGCTTTCGTACACAGGAATAGAAAATTGGGAATAACCGGAGAAATCGGATGGTAGGACCGGGCTTCATCTCGTGATTGATTTGAAGCTGGAAGCAGCCGGAAGCAGCTGACTAAGCTATATTGCTAACTAACTAACTATCTGCAGGCGGTGACGCTGCTTTGTTGAATCGTTGATGGTGCAGCCGTGCAGCCACGGTGCAGGCCCCTCCTTTCATCCACGGTTCGGTCCATCGGTTGATGCTTTTCATTCCGAGTTCCGACAGCCAGTAGGACTTGTTTATCTATCTAGATACATGATACTAGACTGCTACTAGATATATAGGAGTGAAAATACTCCATGCTAAGGCTATTCTCAAGCGACTCTCAAGTTACCTGGATGCTGACGATGAATGCTCGCTTGGACAAAGGGTATACCGTGCCGCCCGCATATTGTCAAAGCGACTGGTCAGTTCATATTCATTATTGAACTATTACAGCCAGCTTGTGTTACCTGCTCATTGCGATGCTTGGGAAAGCGTGGTCTTTGCGCCCGCAGATAGAACAGATACACGTTGTGGGGAATCCCTCGCTTCGTTGCTTCCAACATCCTTGACCTTGACGATATTATTCTACTTCCCGATCGCGTCCTGGAGTTCGAAGGCTCGGAGAAGCGTGATTCTACTTGATGGTGACATACGCAGACACGGGTCACTTGCTGTGAAGGTGGGGTCGCCGGCAAGGGTCATGTTTCCCAAAGTCTATCATTGACTCGCATCTGGTTCTGACTTTGTACGCACACCCTTGGGGAATCACTCTCCCGATTGCCTCACTCGACAGTTCATCTTTCAAAAAAGGGAAGGAAAAGCGCAAGAACGGCGACAAGACCCCGAGTCGGAGAGCGATGCACGTCAAGCCATCAAATCAAGAGCGGCCAGCGAATCTACCTAGGAATATATTACAGGCCCTTGTTTGTTTGCTTACCTACCTTGGATTAAGGTGCAGCATGCAGTTCTATAATTGGTTCTGGTTCACCACTAGACGACGAACCCATCAGATCTTTTGAAACCCTGCGATTAGGTGTTCAGCGATCACTCGGGACACCCGCACACGCTGCAGTACCGAAAACCCCTCTTCCCCCAACTATCACCATACACGATGCTAAGCAACTGCGGCGTTCTTTGACAATCCGCTGACACGTTTAGGGCCAGAGGCTTCTACCTGCTTGTCTATACTGTCCACGAGTCTATCGAGATCTTCAAGCTTGATATTGTTAAGATGTGCTAGCAGAGTCGAGGCCACGATTAGTTTGACCGCTAATGCAGCGCTTCGGGATGCAGATGGAGCTGCGCTGAACACCACCTATCATAAAGGTGGCTGGCATCTGCATCGCCCAATTGATTGGACGAGGCTGGATTTCAGTTCGCGGGAAATTGTAGTGCTTACCTGGGTTCCTCCACAGATTATTATTATAAGGCTCCTCGCCCCCATCCGCTCATGGCCCGGACTTACACCCCCACGACCTACAAATACCCTAGCAACTTGCTGTAAGAATTTACAGTCTACTCTACTTTTACTCTTTGATATTATTATAATTCTAGCATTTCTATACCCGTTAGCGAACAACAACTCCGCGTCAAGGCGAGATGGGCTGGTTCCCGACAACGCTTGATTCCGATGCGCAGAGCTGGCGGTTCGATATCGTCTCTCTTTTAGCCGTTATCGGAGGGTCATCCATCGAAAAGCATAAGCAAGCCATTACAGCATCTACTTTTGCCGGATTTCCGCGTATCCTACCAGCCCCCGAATCGCTCATAGATACCGATCGGCCCACGCGACTCCCGTCCGTCAAAGAAGTCAACATCATCGGCGTCTACTCCGGCACGCGCTTCACGGAACTTAATTTCTTTGCCAACGTCATCCATAAGCTCGAGGAGCTCGAGGAATTCGAGTTTCGTTCCTACGAAATCACATACGGCAAGAAGAAGGCGGATGTTGAGAGAGAAGGAAGGCCGGACAGCAAAAATACAGTAACCATCCCGTTACGGACGCTGTGTCCATTGAACCTGGTGACCTTGATCTCGATCCTAATGACCATCGGACTCTTCATCTGGGCTGGTATGATCCATGACGGCGTGGCTCTCGTCGGCCTTGCAGCCATGTCTCTGTCCACCAGTTCTGCCTGTCTTTCTGCGCAGTGGTATCCGAGACTAGCAACCAGGCCCACGAAAACCCAAGTACTTGACGGAGATATTGTCATGAAGACGCGTCATGGAGCGTTCGTGGTGGTCAAATGTGCCGAGGAGATAACAAGAGAGCTGTACGGTGGAGCAGAGAGCTGCCGTTATGTATTCCAGGGTCGAGCCCACCAGGTGCTCCTGGCCTGCAGTACAGTCCTACTCATGGCGTCGATCATCCTATTCAGTAACTGCGGGTGGACGATGCAAATCGCCGTCGGTGCCGCGTACATCATCCTCAATATCCTGTACTGGGCCCTAGCTCTGCTGACCGAACCCCAAGACACATGGGACATGAGCCGATTTATTGTAAAGCAAACGGAACAAAAAGTGACGAGCAGCTACACTAGAGCTTTGTGGGAAGCTATTCGTGAGACCAGGAAGGTCGAATGGGTCTGGAAGGGTGAGGACTTGGCTCCTAAAACATCTGCCTGGGATAAATGGCTAAAGCAGGCTGGTGTTGAATGCCAAAAGCCAGAAACCGACTGGGACCCAGAAGTGGCCAGAGATCGCCTGATGGTGAAGAATTCTACCAGTTCTACCCCGGTACTGGAACACGCCCAGCCAATCCTGTCAGAGAGCCACTACTGAGAGGGTCTTGCGTGGAACTAACGCGGTGCGGTGCATATGTTGAAGCCTACTTATATAACGTCGGGATATGAAAAATGGGGCATGAGATAATGAGGTTATGATTGATGGTTCAGTTAGCATGCGGGAGCTTTTTGGATTACAAAAGCAGGCCTACAGCGGGGAGTTCGTTATGTTTGTTCATTGTGTTGAGTTGCATGCAACATCAATATTGTTTTGGGGGGGGCTTGAGGTCGGTCTTACATAGAAAAAAGAAAAGAAAAAAAAAGATTGCTCGTCGCCAAGGCCCAGTTCACACTCGTTGGCGACGAGTAATTCTCGTTGATTTGGGTATTAAAACTGGCTTGGGCACGATCACAGTAGATCCATCCATCAAAGCCATACACCGAGTAACCTAAAAGTATGCTGTTTCTCAATCTGCTCAAGTAAGAATGACACAAATGAAACCCCCGGAAAAAAAAAAGTCCCAATAAAACACCATATCTTAGAAAAGCTAGTGCGCACATCTCACTATACCATATGTTAAGATAAGCAGTGCACAAACATTACGCACCGAAAACCAAGTTCACCTACGAACATTATATTCAGTCGCGTCTTCGACGATCGTCTCTCCCCCAGACCTCATCGGCAGTGGCTTTCCCCTTAGTTTCTGGAACGCGCCAGTAGATAAATCCGCCTAGAATGCAGGCCATAACGGCAAACACCCAATAGATCTTGCCTCGGCCGCCTAGGGCATCGTTCAGCATGGGGAAGAATTGCGCTACCACGAAGGTTGCGATCCAGTTAACTGCTAGGGCCCAACTTTGCGTTGCGCCGACGGCTTCAGGGCCGACGAGCTCCGAGGCTAAGATGAAGGGGACTGGGCCAAGGCCGACGGCGAAGCAGGCTACAAAGAGTAGCACTGCGATCGCGGAGAGGACCTTCTGGTTGAAGTATATGCCTAGAGCTAGGAGCATGGAGTTGAACCCCATGCCGCTGATGCTGAGAAGGAGGCAGGATCGTCGGCCGATTTTGTCGGGAAGTGGGGAGCAGGCGAGGGTGATGATTAGGTTGATGGCGGAGATGGCTACTGTGAGGAGGGCTGCGGTGGTGGGAAGGATGCTCTGTAACAGGGAAACGCTATACATGATGATACTGTTGATACCGGTGAACTGTTGTGCCACCATGACCCCGACGACGGCAATGATGGCTGGACGGTAGGAGGGGTCAGTGACGGCACGTAGGATCGTGACGGGGGGCTGTTTGGGTGGTATGTTGCCTGACGGTGGCGTGAGCAGGGATTGCTCTTCCCCGGAACCATCTGAGGGACCTGCTGAAGCTGGCCATCCTTCGATTTCCTCTTCAATGTCGGCATCTTTTCCGCGTATCCGTTGTAGAACCTCTCTGGCCAGACTCCCCTTTTGATGCTCGGCAAGCCAAGTGGGGCTTTCTGGCACTAGGGTGAGGCCAAGGAGCTGTAAAGCTCCAATGAAACCGGCAACGGCGAGAATAATCCGCCACATACTTCCTTTGCTCAGGAAGTACCCTAGTGACTGGGTCAATAGGATACCGACGTTGGTCATGACCTGTGTGAAGGCGCCGAAGAAACCTCTGGCGCTGGGCGGGGCGATCTCCGAAATGTAGATTGGACCGACGACAATCGCAGCACCCGCGCCAATGCCAGCCAGCAGCCGACCCAGACTCAGGAGGGGTATGTTGGATGCGAATGTCTCAGCCACAGGCCCGAGGATGAAAAAGACGGTTGTCGTTCGTAAAGCGAATAGACGGCCATGCTTGGTGGCAACTGGCCCTGCCAGCAGGGCTCCCAAAAGACCACCGAGAGTGTAGATAGAAGACACTAAGCCAAATTGCGACGCGTTCATTGGGATGCATTGTGGTAGAGAGGGTGCTTTGGTGGAGGAATGGATGCTCTTCCGTTCACAAGTAATCACAGCCTGGGGTGCATTAAGTTCGGCCTGTCGAAGCTCAGGGTCAGTACGTGCGGGATTCTTAGGTTACAGCAGTGAAAGATTAATGCGCACCAAATGATAACCGAATTGGAGTGGTCCTAAAGTCGTGATAAACACTAGATAGATCAAGTATGGCGTGACCCTTGATCGGATCGGCTCAGGGGAAGCCATGGCGCAGTCAAGATGTTGCGTTCTGGGAAGAGGATTCTCCAATCAACAGAGATCTCACTTAGTGGACGGGGTCAAATCTGCTGCCACCCGGGCATTGCAACCATCTGGAGGGAATCGAGCCAGCCACGGAGTAGTGTTCTGATGACGTTGCGGGATGGGCGTTTGTATCGGGACAAGGAAACTCCGCGTTATCGGGGAATCAGGGGAGGGGGCCGATAAGAGCTGAAGATCGGATGGAATTGGAAAATGAGGATGGGGTGCGACTTGGGGACAAAAGTACGCAATTAAACCCTTGACAGATTAATTGTGAAACCCTGCAGAAGGGAGTAGTATCTAATAGTCGTAGTAATGGGATAGTAGGTAGTACGACGATGTATCGAGGTATCATCAAGCAAACAAACATGTTGTTGAGTGAGACAGACAGCTGAGTCAGCCAGCCCCCGAAGCAGCCTCACTTTCCCCAAAATGATTCCTCTCCGTTGCTCCTCTCATCGGCGCTTGTTTGTCCGTCGCGATCACTGGCCCTTCAGGCTCCTCCTGCAGGTTGTACTTTCTAGGCTCTCCCCATACCTAGTGGTGGAGATCAGTGTCTCCGCGCATGGTTCACGTCACCATCGCAGCTTTGCAGTTTCCACGGACCCCCCATCCCCTCCCCCCGTCTCTCTCTCTTTTGCCCCAGATCGATCGACTAAAAGTACTACTACTAACCACTAACCACTAACCGGTCGCCTCCACCTCGTCCATGAGTCTGACAAACCCGCCTTCCTCTTCCGGCCCGTTAAGTGCGACTTCCAGGCCAGCTGCGGCCACCGTCAGCCAAAGTCTGTCCCTGAAGAAGAGCCTGCAGGCTGCTGTTGATGGTAATACCGGTTACTGTTACTCTGACTCTTGACTCTTGACTACTTCTCTTGCTTCCTACGAGCACCCTCTCGAGCCCGTGTTGCCACTTCGCTTCTCTCTTGAACCTGACCCGTCACCATGTACTTTGGTTGAACCTTGCTATTGTCCGATCTTTCCTTAATATACCATTAAATGCCCTCGAACAGTCTCTATCTCTCTTTCTCTCCGTTCCTTTCTCTCTCCCGGGCGTCTAACAGCTGTTCTGCCTGTCTGTTCTCATGATGTTTGGGAAGAGTTTCCCGTTCTATAATTCTCTCGGCGGGTTTTATCCACGTGGTAATGGCTTTCCCTCTCCAGACAACTCCCGCCGCTTTCGGCTGGTTATAGGGGCTTCACCCTCTCGTCTCCTTCTTTGGCTCGTCTTGTCCCCTACCCCTTTTGGCTTCTCGGGCTTGTTCCCCCTTGATCCTTGCGCGTGGAATTTGATTGGCCGTTGAATTCTTACGTTAGTTGTGGACAAGCGCATGGTCTCAATGCTGACACATCTCCTATATCAAGAGAGCCTAGATACGAGAAAGCCTCCCGGCACTGGTTACACCAGCAAAGTACGTGTGAGCGATAGGTACCACATCGTGGGATTTATCAGCAGCGGTACCTATGGCCGTGTCTATAAGGCCCTAGGCAAAAATGGCCAGAAAGGGGAATTCGCAATTAAAAAGTGAGCATCATCCCATTGACGCATGGACCTCGGATGACTCACGTGTTGTAGGTTCAAGCCGGATAAAGAAGGTGAAATCGTTCAGTATACTGGTCTCTCGCAATCGGCCATCCGGGAAATGGCCTTGTGCTCAGAACTTGACCATCCCAATGTAGTGGGGCTGGCAGAGATCATCTTGGAGGACAAGTGTATCTTCATGGTCTTTGAGTACACTGAGCATGATCTCCTGCAGATCATTCACCATCACACCCAACCGCAGAGACATGCGATTCCCGCCCTTATGGTCAGGTCGATCTTGTTCCAGCTGCTCAATGGCTTGCTCTACCTCCATACCAACTGGGTACTACATCGGGACCTCAAACCAGCAAACATCTTGGTAACTTCGAGCGGTGCTATCCGCATCGGTGATCTGGGACTTGCCCGACTGTTCTACAAACCTCTCAATTCCCTTTTCTCTGGAGACAAGGTCGTCGTCACCATCTGGTACCGTGCACCTGAGCTTTTGATGGGTAGCCGACACTACACACCAGCTGTTGACTTGTGGGCCGTCGGTTGCATTTTTGCAGAGCTACTTTCTCTCCGACCCATTTTCAAGGGCGAGGAGGCCAAGATGGACAGCAAGAAGACGGTGCCATTTCAGCGAAACCAAATGATGAAAATCATCGAGATCATGGGACTGCCATCCAAGGAGATCTGGCCGGGCCTAGTGTCTATGCCCGAGTATTCACAGCTCCAGTCGCTGGCAATGTCACGAGCTCCGGGACACTTTAACAGATCGTCAAATTTGGAAGTCTGGTATCAGAACTGTCTGAAGAACAACGGATACTCCGCCAATTCGAGTGCCGGCACACCAGGTGCAGATGGCTTCGATCTACTGTCACGCCTGCTTGAGTACGACCCCACTAAGAGAATCACCGCCCAAGAAGCCCTCGAGCATCCGTACTTCAAGAACGGAGGCCCCATATCAGCTAATTGCTTTGAGGGATTCGAGGGCAAATATCCCCATCGCCGTGTGACGCAGGATGACCATGACATTCGCTCTGGTAGCTTACCTGGTACGAAGCGGAGCGGACTGCCAGATGATAGTCTGTTGGGAAGAGCAACTAAGCGTCTGAAAGAGTGATGGGAGAGTTGCCCTTGGGTATCTGTTTTTCAAGGCGTTTCAACTTGGACAGTATTGGATTCGGGATCTCAGTTGTGCATTCGGAACTGGAGTTTCAGCTTTCTTGCATTGTCATCTCTTCATGCACATAACTAGCTATTCATGCATCTTCCGGGCTAGCCAGCATGCATCCAACGGGTCATACTAGAATTACATCTGTGGCACGGTATCTAATCAGTTTAATCCTCGAATCCTCAGGGTCCGTCAGATAATCTTAAGTTAAATGCAAATGACACATATCGACGCCCTTCCCAAACCATGTCCATGAACCCATCCCAGAAGTCACCTATTATCCTGTCATCATTCATCCAGTATGCCCAGCCATATACAACCAGGTCCCACCAAAAATGGCGCATTAGAATCAATATCCTAGATAGATGCCATCCAGTCAGCAACCATAACCCAACAACAGATTAAACATCTCTCAAAATCAATTGTACATACCACTCTGTTCCTTGCGATTGCCATCCCCTTCACCCTCCCCATCTCCGTCTTTCTTCCCCGAGACAGCAGAAGCCGCCTCCCGAATAGACTTATCATCACCTCGCAACTTCTCAAAATACGCCTTGATATCTTCCGCGCTAACAGCCTGACCGGTCTCCGCGAACGGTGTCAGGAATTCCTTCACTTTGTCGCGGAGATGGTTGTACACCATGGCGCCTTCAATGGCGCGGACACGGTCGATGTTGCTGAGAGCTGCCTCGCCGCGGTCTAAGAGACTGCCGGTGCCGGTGCTGCCTCCGCCGTTGGGGCCATCGCTATCTTCGGACATGGGGGGCTCGTAGGTTTCTTCGTCTTCGCGGAGTTGTGGGTGCGCGGCAAGATTGGGGTAACAATCGCGGCAGCGGCAGAAGTGGTCGCGGAAGTCGTCTTTCAGGAAGAGGGAGAAGGTGGAGGTGGGGATGGTTTTGGGAAGGAGGGCGTGTTTGGGTTCGGTGGTGGTTTCGCTATCCTGGGTGGTGGGTTTGGGTTCAGGAGGGTTTTTGGTGTCGTCGTTGTTCTCGGGTTTAGTCTCAGCGTCCTTCTGTCGCTTTGACGCTGGTTCGCTTTCTTCCTCGGTGTCTTCGGCTGGGCGTTTCTTGGGGTTGCTGGGCTGCTCTGCTGTGGTCTGGCTTGGTTGTTCCGGAGCAGGTTTATGCTCCTCGGAAGATTTGGCGAGTCCACCCTCTTTGTAGACAGGAGGTAGGAATCCCGTTGTCCCTGCGTAACGCTTTACCCAGGGATTTGAGTCAACGCACTTGTAGCAGAGGAAGATGTTGAAGTCTTCTTCTGCGGGGAACCCAGGAGGGAGAGGCGTATCCCCTTCCTCCTCGTCTTCATCTGCTGCTGCTGTTTCTTCTCCTCCAACAGCTCCATCCTTCTTCGCATTTTTGTACCAGTCGCGCGGCAGTCCGATCAGACATTCCGGATGCCACCAGTCTTCCCCGCAACCACCCGTCTCTACGGTCCCCAGACCCAGACACTGGAACATTGTACCACGTTCCAGGTCCGAATTATAATCCTCTCCGCATCCGCAGAATTTGTTGTGGAAATTATGGTTGTACGTGTTTCCTGGGTGTGCCTCATCCGAGTGCACGCCCTTCGCGCCGGTCTTAGGGTCGTTCCGCAGATTGCATGGGGAAGAGGCAGGCAGGCGGGTCGTTCCACAGTCACAGACAAAGCTTCGCTTGTTAAATAATTCGACGAGCTCATGTTCGCCGTGGCAAGAGATAGAGCAGGAGTAGCATACGGCTGCGGGGGTGTAAGGTCCATCAGAGGTGGTCGGAGGAGGGTTGCAGGTGAGGCAGGAGAAAAGTGATTGACGAAGGGGACCTAGAGCTTGTGTGCAGGTGTCAAATGACTTGCATAAAGGTCAGTACGTCGTTCGCCCGTCTCACGTCGGTATGGAGGGGATGAGCTCACATATGGAAGCACTTCACGCGCATCAGCTTCCAGTCGGATTTGAGATTCGATGAACCTGTAAGACTGTATTAGACCTCCAAGGTTCAGGATGTGCGATATTAATGCACCAAGTACCCCATTATGGGTAGATAGGTACTCACTCTTTCGCGGTTTGCGAGTTCTGAGAGCTGAAGCTCTCGCGGCGTCCCCCAGCTCTCATTACATGTGTAGCGATTGGGGATTGGCCATCGCCCGACTCGGAATTCGCCATGCTTGTCGGAAATATATCACCTGAAGAAGAAGCGATTTCAGATGGATTTAGGATTGTTTGAAGAAAAGATTGGGGCGATTGAGAGTTGATGTGTCATGGGCTGAGCACAGTCCGTAACGCGCGCGAGACTACATGTTTGTTTTGTTTGCATTACTCTGGTTGGTAATGAATCTACAATGTACCTTGATGGGAATTTTGGTGGCGAACTGCAAGAGAGTTATGAAAGGTATGATTGATTGGGGGGGTATGAGGTTATTCTTATCTTCTCATTCAGTGTGTGTACATTAGTCTTGATCTAGCATGCTCATGGTGCCTGAATTTGCGCTCTCCCATGGCAGTTCTGGAGAACAACCCCACGGGTAACGACAAAGCGATGCAAGTCTCAGGGGAAACGAGTCTAGCTCCAGAGCGAACAATCCTCCTACGAGGCTATGACGTATGGAGGACTCCATTTTTGAGCTCATCCACCGTCTTTGACTGAGCTTGGGGGGCTGAGGAGCGGACCCGGTTTCCGAATTGGGGTTTAATTGAAAACGGACGCGTCGGAGTCGCGGTGCGACGCGTTCGGGGCCGCGCAGCAACGGCGCCAAGTCCAGGATCTTTCCTCCCTTTGCTTTGCCCAACGGAAAGAAAAAAGACGCCCGCACTGCTCCCTCTGTGCCTTCTTCCAGTCTGCCCCTTCAACTCCCCACTTCCCAGACCAAACACCATACACAATGAGGTATGTATCCGGGCCCATCGTCAATGCTATCTGCAACACCACCAAACGGTCCTGGTTCTAATTATGCTTCTTCAGTTCACCACTCCGTCCCAGCAATTCTGCTGCCAACCGGGGCCTAGGGAACCTAGGTCGCCGGAAGAGATCCAGAGAGCCCGATGATGAGACCTCATCGGTCGTTCCCCCTTCGAGCCGTAAGTCATGGTCGCCTTGAGACATCATGGGTCGTCCGCTCCTGGTACTGACTATTATAGCCCCCCCTTCTTCCCCTCCCATGCTTCCCTTCGACGACGATGACAATGAGCGGGATGAGGAAGCAGAGCTCCTCGGCGACATTGATGACATCGACGAGATGGCTGAGGATGAGGACGGAATCGATCTTTTCGGTGACAACTTCGAGAAAGATTACCGGAGCACAGCAGAAGACCAATACAGAGGAGAATACATCGATGACGACGGCGACCATGAAGAACTCGACATGGCTACCCGACGCCAGCTCGAAGCCCGCATGAACAAGAGAGATCGAGAACTCGAACGTCGTCGTCGCATGCCTGCGGCTTTCCTGCAAGATGATGAAGATGGCGACCTAGATCTCACTCGTCAACCCCGTCGCCGGAGACACCACTACGATGAAGACCGGGAAGATGTCGAGATGGGCGACGATGCCTTGGAAGAGCTCTCCCTGGAGGAGTTGACTGATGTCAAGGCGGCTAACCTCACTGACTGGGTTTTGCAGCCCCAAGTCCTTCGTTCTATCTACCGAGAGTTCAAGTCTTTCTTGACAGAGTACACTGACCCCGCCGGTGCGTCGGTCTACGGAAACAAGATTAAGACCCTTGGTGAAGTGAACTCGGCATCCCTTGAAGTCTCATACGCCCATCTGCTTGAAACCAAAGCGGCTCTTGCATACTTCCTTGCCAACGAGCCCACTGAGGTTCTGAAGGTCTTTGACCAGGTCGCCCTTGATGTCACACTCTTCCACTACCCCCAATATCACGACATTCACAACGAAATCCATGTCCGGATTACCGATCTTCCTGTCTCTTATACCCTCCGCCAACTGCGCCAATCCCACCTCAACTGCCTCATCCGCGTCAGCGGTGTCGTCACTCGCCGTACCGGTGTCTTCCCCCAACTGAAGTATGTCATGTTCGTTTGCGGAAAGTGTAACATCACGCTTGGCCCCTTCCAGCAGGAAGCCAGTGCGGAAGTGAAGATCTCTTACTGCCAGAACTGCCAGTCCAAGGGACCGTTCAGTGTGAACTCCGAGAAGACTGTTTACCGAAACTACCAGAAATTGACCCTTCAAGAATCTCCCGGCTCCGTCCCCGCCGGTCGACTCCCCCGCCAGCGAGAGGTCGTCCTTCTTGCCGATCTCATCGACTCGGCCAAGCCAGGCGACGAGATCGAAGTGACTGGTATCTACCGCAACAGCTATGACGCACAGCTCAACAACAAGAACGGCTTCCCTGTGTTTGCCACGATCATCGAGGCCAACCATGTCGTCAAGTCCCACGACCAGCTGGCTGGTTTCCACTTGACGGAAGAAGATGAACGTGAGATCCGTGCCCTGTCTAGGGATCCCGAGATCGTCGACAAGATTGTTCACTCCATTGCTCCCAGTATCTATGGCCATCTGGACGTCAAGACCGCCGTCGCTCTCTCCCTCTTCGGTGGTGTCAGCAAAGAAGCCCAAGGCAGGATGTCCATTCGTGGCGATATCAACGTCCTCCTCTTGGGTGACCCCGGTACGGCCAAGTCCCAGTTCCTCAAGTACACCGAAAAGACCGCCCACAGAGCCGTCTTCGCAACTGGTCAGGGTGCCAGTGCCGTCGGTTTGACGGCCAGCGTCCGTCGTGACCCTCTCACTAGCGAATGGACCCTCGAAGGAGGAGCTCTCGTGCTAGCAGACCGCGGTACCTGTTTGATCGATGAATTCGACAAGATGAACGACCAGGACCGTACCTCTATTCACGAAGCCATGGAACAACAGACTATCTCCATCTCCAAGGCTGGTATCGTGACCACCCTCCAGGCTCGCTGTGCTGTCGTCGCCGCCGCCAACCCCATTGGTGGTCGGTACAACAGCAGCGCGCCCTTCTCCGAGAACGTCCAGCTTACAGAACCTATCCTGTCCCGTTTTGATATTCTCTGCGTCGTCCGCGATCTCGTCGACCCAAGCGAGGATGAACGTCTTGCCAACTTCGTCATCGAATCCCACCACCGCGCCAACCCCGCTCGTCCTCTCCGTGACCAAGATGGCAACCTAATCAACACGGACGGCCAGGCTATTGATGAGGAAGGCTACCGCATCGACAAGAAGACCAAGCAGCGCCTTCCCTTGACTGACGAGGAACTCGCCACCCGGGATGCCGAGAAGCACAGACGCGAAGAAGAAAAAGAAGGCGAAATCCCCCAGGAACTCCTCCGCAAATACATCCTTTATGCCCGCGAGCGCTGCCACCCGAAGCTCTACCAGATCGACCAGGACAAGGTCGCTCGTCTATTCGCCGATATGAGACGTGAATCTCTAGCCACGGGCGCTTACCCCATCACCGTATGCCTCCCTCCCTCTTTTCTTCCTCCTCGATACATATAAACTAACAATCCCCCCCCGACAGGTCCGTCACCTCGAAGCCATCATGCGTATCGCCGAATCCTTCTGCAAGATGCGTCTCTCTGAATACTGCTCTGCACAAGACATCGACCGCGCCATCGCCGTCACCGTCGACTCCTTCATCGGCAGCCAGAAGGTCAGCTGCAAGAAGGCTCTGTCTAGGGCATTCGCCAAGTACGTCCCCCATCCCCACAAATCCTTCCCTACACGGCCAAAAAAAAAATCCTAACCAAACCTCCCAACTATAGATACACCCTCTCCCGTCCCAAACCCCAATCCAAGCGGAGAGCCGGCATCCCCGCTCCTGACCCCTTCAAGCTCCGGATGCAATCATCTACCCGGACGCGGTAGACTAATCACGATCTTCTGTTAAATGAATGAATCTTCCTGTTTCGGCATTCCATGAGCTTTGGGAGGTGGGGTAATTAGGTGGTTTTGTTTTATCATGAATATGATTATGTTTGTATGTATGGGAGTTTCGGGTTGAAATGGGGATCATTTTCTTATTTGAAAGGGGCTTTTTTATACCGACCTATATGATGATGGGATTTGAATTATCCATCGGTTTTGATACGGTCATGGATGGGGTCGAACTTGAATTGTTTAGCTAGTTAGCTCGGATATACCTATCTATTTATTGATCAATCTTGTTGACATTGAAGGGTTATGCATGGGTTGTCAGTAATTGTAGGTTGACTGTTTAGTAAGGCATGTGCGACTATAGAAATTGATACAAGCATAAGGTAAGGTATGTATTCAGTTGAAAGGCATCGCCTTCACAAAAAGCCTAGCAAACAAGAGAAGCACGAAACAGTAAAGCTCAGCCGGTCCAACTTGGGTCCGTATCCCAACCACGAATGGTAATATTCACTTAACGCCTGTCCTTTTGCGTCCCATACACCGTGGTTACCCGTAAAAACACCACCCGCCATCGCCTCGCCAAAGTATTGCACTTAGGTCGGGTCCGTCACATTGGAGCGGGGCATACAGTCGCTCTCTGGGCCTTGAGCAATGCGTCGGAAACCCCAAGATAACGCTGCAGACGATATCATATGCCGTTTACGTTAACCTGTGAGTCACAATGCTTAATCTCATCAAATGCCTCATTCTGCCTATTCCCCGCACGATATAGGCACTTCGGGGTATTCGAGGTGGATGCTTCCAGAGCGTCTCCACCGGTGATTTCCCTTATAATCTGCACCAGACACAAGCAACGGGGTTATAAATATGGCCGGTAACCGGAGTTACCTGACGCTCAGTCGTTGCTGATACGCCTCTCAGGACGGGGTTTTCTCAGACTCTTCATGCGATTGATGAAGCCGCCACCGCCGCCACCGCTGGGCTTGCCCTCCTCGAATCCGGTGTAGGATCGTTCATTGGTGAACCTGCGCTCCAATCCGGTGGGCTGCTTGGGGCTGCTGGACGAGCGAGCTCGCGCGCCGCCGGTGCCACGTGCTTCTTCGGACATGTTGATCTGAGCGCCCTTCTTTTCCCATGCGTCGTCATAATCCTGGAAGAAGGGGTTCTTCTCATTGGCACGGATAGTCCCAATATGACCGGAGCTGGTAGGTACAGCTGGGGTGTAGGAGCCCTCGGGAGATACCACCCGGCCATTCGAGGGTTTGTTCATTCCTCGGAGTCTTTGAGCCAAGCTCTTCTTTCGCTGCAAGCCTCCCGCACTTGGTCCGGCCCCGCCGGCCAGGACATCATGTCCACTTCCACGGCGCTGAATGTCGGCCTTGCTTGCGGGGGCACCTTCCAAGAATGTACTGGTCCCCAGTCCCATGCTCTCCGCTCCATGGATTGGCTCAATGCGAGCGGTCGGGTCGAAGTTCGGATTTTCAGATCTACGAGGGTCCGGTGCGGCGCTTGCAGCGAAGTCGTTGTAGCCCTGTTCCGTGCGCCCGTGGAACAGATTGAGATCAATGTTGGAATTGTTGGGACCCGAACCCCCAAGGGCCATGTTGGCCGAGTCCTTGGGGAATGCTTGCATCGGTGCAGTGCGCACGCCCTTGCGGTTACGGTTGGGATTGCAGGCATCGAAAGGCCCATCGTGATGGAACACTAAACACAAAGGTCATTATTAGCAAACGCCAGTGAAAGGCAGCGACGGTGTCCGACTCACTTCCTGTGCCATAGATACTGGTTACATCCAGCTTATCGATGATGTCCATGTGATAGTTGGACTTCTTCGATTTGTGTTTTCCATCCTTTACATCCTTGACGTCCTTTCCATCCTTGTGGCGAGCCTCCCGCTCCCGCTCCCGGCGTCGTCGCTCGCGACGCCGTCTCTCGTCCTCGGTGTCCACCAGCTTTGGAGTCCGTTCCATGATCGAAGACTCCGAATTGCGACGAGGTCTCCGGTCTCTGTGGCCAGGCCTGACGCCATTGCTTGTTTTGGGAGGATCAGCAAAGATGTCTAGCGAATCCTTTTCGCGGCGCTCTAGGCGTTCCCTCGGCGGAGGGACACGGTTGGTCGAATATCCATTCTGTGCAGGCTTCTCCGGGCGGGGCGGGGCTGGTCTATAACCAGTGTTCTGGGGAGCGGGATTTATCGAGAGGTTCTCCTGTCACGCAGCTCGAGTCAGTTCCTGTGAGGGAAAGTAGTCAGGCTTTGCAGGTAGACCTACAAAGAGCTCGCGGGTGTTTGACGACATGTCTTGGGAGGCCATGACTGGGGCCGACTGCGGTGAATACGAGTCTTCCTCAAAGGGGTTTGTTGAGGTTCGCCGTTCGGAGTGACCGCTGGCCGATGCGAAAGAGCTGGCAGAAGGCGACAGGGCACGGTTCCTGAAGGGATTGTTGGAGCCCAGATTCACTGGGGCTTGGCCAAAGGCTTGCTGGACAGGAGAGCCTGTGGTAAAGCAGGGATTAAAGTTAGATTTGGAAGGCACAAAATGAAAACTGGGGATGCACGGTCTGAAATAGAGGCGGTTCAGGACAGATAACACTCTGACCAAGGGGAAGCCCCGCCATAGGTGAAACAGCAGGGAGATAACGAAGAATCCTGGAACGAGGGCCAGGGGACAAAACCGGAATCAGCAAGATGACGCACCTGAGGGGGCCAGCGTGACGCCGGGTGGGTAGGAGTAGGTCGAGGGCTGCTGAGAGGCATACATGTTGTTGCGAGTCCACGCAATGCGATGTCGAGGGAAGGCAGTTCAGATGAGATGATTGGGGAAGAGAAAAGCAACATAAAAGACAGGAGTGAGTAAGTGGATGATCAGGAGGCCGAGACTGCGAAGGCAGACGCCAGACTAGAGAGAGCTTAGGCGGTGCTGAAACGGCGATGCCGCGGCTGTCGGTCAGGGGGGGGGGGAAATAATTGGAGGGAGGGGACAATTTAGTCGGTAGCGGCAGGTAGACCGGATGGGCCTGTCTCTTTTTAAAATTGCTTAATTCCACCAGGAGGCGAGGCCGTTTAATTTTCCGGCCGAGATCTGGATAGTTTAGATAATGGGGGGAGGGGGGAATGGATTTGTGGTGATGATAAAGAAGGGGGGGTGTTTGTGGAAACAGCAAAAAGGAGAGAAGAGGAGAAAGGTGTGGAAAGAGAGGGGAGGAAAGAAAGAGAAGGAGAGAGAGAGAGAGAGAAAGAGAGAGCACTCGAGCGAGTGAGCGAACGAGCGAACAGAAGGGAAACCGAGGTGGGCGAGGCACGCACGGGAAAGCGATGAGCAAGCGTGAGAAGAACAAGAGCGAGAGAGCAGAAGAGTGAGTGAGTAAGTGAGTAAGTGAGTGGAAGACACGGATCGGAGGGGAGGAGGGGAGGGGGCAATTCTGACGGGTGCCAATGAGGATGAAGCGCCCCTTGGGGAAGACGGAACGAACGGCGGACTGGAACCGTAACTCGTAAGGTAGTAGTGTAGTAGTAGTATTATCGTATCCAGTTACCAATACGGAGTAAGTACTAGTAGGAGGTCAGGAAAAGGATGAGGCGATCGTCGACCACACGGCAAAAGGGGAAGGGAGAGAGAGAGACTAGAGAGAAAGCAGAGAAAGCGAGAGAGCAAACTCCAAAGATACTCAAAGGATTTGCTGGGAAGTGGAGTGGCTTATTCGTTTTAATATTAATCTTCGATCGATGGGGGGAGGTTATTGTTTCTTAGTGGGATTGGGGGGGGGATTGGGTGGGCAACGGACCTCATGGGCTGGATGGCAACATCGGGAAGGAAAGGTGGGAAGGTCATGGGAAAGAAAGGAGTGGTGATAAAATAAGTAATCATCATCGAAATCATCCAAATAATGCCACCAATCCGGTTCATCCAATCTAATCCCCAGAAACAAGGGCAAACCCAGAGTTAAACCTTTTCCAAGGATCAGCCACCACGTCCACGCAATGACAGGCAGGCGACGTCTCAGGGGTTGGTCCGTTCCTGTGCCTGGATGGGTGGGTTGCAGTGCTTGATTGCTCGATTGCTGGCTCGCTTGATCGATGCTTGCATTTGATATAAGTACTAATGTCTATTCATCCCAAATATCCAGGACGGTCTCCGATCATATGCAGCGACGCAATCTAAAATGCCCCTAGGCAGCCGGACAAAAGCTGGGGTTCATGCGACTAGTAGGGATTCGTCCGCAGGGGAAACACTTTTCAGGTCCATCCACTGCGAGCGATCTGCCAACCAACTAACTGCTAGTAGCAGGAACGAGGTCCTACGGCTGCCTGAGAGTTCGACAGCGACAACACTAATACTCCGTACAAACCGTTTCCAGCTCCACTGGTTCTCTCTCTCTCTCTCTTTCTCTCTTCAATCCCTGTCCCCTCCCAGAATAGAAACCTTAGCACTTTGCCACTTCGCCCTCTCCCTACCACCTTCGCGATGTTGTCATTATCATGGCATTGAGTCACTGACAGCCATCATTCTCTCGCATGGCTCATCCCGGATGAGGAACCGCCGACCTCCTCTCTCAGGAATGCACGCCCACCTGCAGAATCTCCCGCCCATTGTTGTGCTCCGATCGACAGGCGGGCCACCACGATGAGGATGATCCCCCCTGGTCATGTTCATCCATCCTCCGGATATCCCACCTGCATCTGATTAATCCGCGTCCGGCCGTTCTGCGTGACCTGCCTTGGCAACCCCGTTCCTTCCTTACTTACTCTGCCCACCTCGTAAATGAGGTGGCTGCGCATCGCCGTATATAGATCGGAAGCTCACGCACTTCCCCCTCCCTCTCTGCAGAACAATTTCCCGGCCCGATAGCGCCCGGAATGTTCCAGTTATCCTGCCTTTCTTGGCCAGTCAAGATGATGCAGCCACCCAGCCGGTGAGTTTGACTCGATCAACCGACGGAGTACGACAGGTGGGTGTCGCCACGGCACCGATGGGCCTCGCTCGTGGCGTCTCTGTTGGCCCGCCCACCACCATACACAGTAACCACCATCCCGGTAGGTATTTTTATTTATCTTCTTTTCTTTTCTTTTTTGTTTTTCCGACCACAGGAAAAACACTGGGTTACATCCGGACTCCGTCGGCAGGGTTGCCCGACCATCCTGGTTCTCGATAGGGATAATCAATATTGCTTTTCCCAGGCCAGGCTCCGACACTCCGTGCCGTACGGCTCCGGTTCCTGTAGAATCAATCGTGACTGCAAAAATAGATGCCAGTACAAGCTACATTTTCTGGATACCTGTGTTGTACCGCTGTACTGCACCGTTTCAGGAGGCAATCAAGCTGGATAAAGTACTCGCTGGATCGAATTCTGATTTCAACGCATGGCCTCGACCTGGGTGTCTTGGGCGGTTTTGTAATGCATTCCACGTCCTTTTGCCTTCGGTTCTGGTTTGACTGCCTGCTTGATCTCGAACTTATCGGCCTTGTCCGATTAGCCGATCTTCCTTATCGCGCGATTGAATTGTCAACGTCATCGATGCTCCTGCGTTACAAAAGTACGACAGTCTGCATAAATAACAGGGCTAGAGAACAGCTCTGGCCAAGCCAAAGAATGCTAAAGATGTCATCGGATTGTAAAAGTGGGTATTTAGGTATGGGCCACCACTGCGTACGTTTCTGTCTTCGAGGGTTGTTTATATCAACATGGTCGTAAAGAACATTGATCAAACGAAACCGTAGGGCAGAGCGGCGATAAATTGGCGATCTCATTGCCGCGTCAGTCTCATATAGATAGCCCGATGGCGCTAGCTCATTGCAACGGTTGTTTGAGGTTGACTGATTGGGCATGCAACAATCCGATACCATTGGCTGATAGAGAAATGTGTTTGTCATTGCTTTGATGTAGTCCACCATCTCATCTCCATAGATTCTTGGAATCTAGACCTGGCTATTGTGTGACAGCTCAGGACCATGGATATGTAGAGGTAGCTGGGGGTAGGAAGGGATAATTCCACTGTTGGTTTCTCTCGTGCGACTGCTTTGCTGGCCTTTCATGTTGCCATCCCTGGTTCATCTTGGAGTTTGTTTTAGATGTAGGAACCTATATATATTACGGTATAGTCAAGAAGTGCCTCAACTGTGACTTTGCCGATGCCCCGCGAAGTGAGTCCTCAAAAGTTAGCCGACTATAGCAGGGAAATATGACGGAAGTAGATACCATACTCTGTACACAAAATCAAGTCCAGCTCGATCAAAGTGGCCGCTGGCTAATAGTGCTAGGTGGGGAGACACTAGTGGATATAGAAGTCATGATAATAATGGAGCTACCGACGGGGCGGGAGGTGCATCGTGAGTTGGTCTTGGCAACCTCTGGCAGATCGCGCCGTCTGTCTTGATTTCTCCGACTCACGCCAACATAAACCTCACCAACCATTCATTGCTCCTACAGCTCAGTCGCACCCCTCTGGTAACCAAGTCCTTCCAACGGCCTCTTCTGCGCGTCATGGAACCACTACCTTCCTCCGACCAACCGCAGCAGCCTCCGCCTCCGACTCTCACGAACCCGCGCTTTACCCTCGAGCTAGAATTCGTCTCCTCGCTCGCTAATCCCTACTACCTGTCCCACCTCGCCGTGACATACCCGAATCTGCTGGGGATCAACAAATCCGGTGATGATAGCGATGTAAACAATGAGTCCGTGGACCCTGACGCCAAAACATTTGCAGCCTATCTTGCCTACCTCTACTCCTACTGGAAGACGCCTGAATATGCCCAATTCCTGACTCATCCCGGTGCAACCCTGCGTGCGCTACGACTGCTCCAGGAGGAGACCTTCCGTCGCGACATTATTCGCCCCGACGTCATTGAGATGCTAGCGGGGACTGGTATCATCAGCGATCAAGGCGACACATCTGCGGAGACCGAAGAACAGGAGGGAGAACAAGCCAAGACAAGCTAGAGATCTCCTATTGATACTGGAAATAGCGGATGAACCGTGCTGTGCGTTGGGTGGTCGAGGAATGGTCCAATCCCTTTCAGGGACATCATGTTCGAGCCTCTGCCGTCTACACACTGATAGCGGAGAAAACTGGAGACACAAAACCAGCAGGTTTGCATTTAGCATGGAAATTATCTTCCATAAAGGGGTACATCGACTCGGGGCGGTTTATGCAGTTCTCATGCAGCCCAGGTGGTCCACGAGCACCCGAAAGTCATGTGTGACCGAGGTATCCCCTGATCGACCACGGTACCGACCAGCCATTGGAGCTTCCGGAATGGACATCGACAAGCACTCACGAAAGTCTTCGACGAAATTATTTGTGTCTAACTCAGATAGCCGAGCCATCTCGATCGAAAATTGAGGCTGAAGTCCTGAGCGGGCTGGCGCAAGAATAGGGACAACGGGAGCATGCGCACCACACAGAGAGAGAGAAAATTCGATGTGCAACTGGACCGGCATATTCGCAACTACCAGGTGTTTATTATATCAGTAGCCCGATATGCACTGTGTCCCTGATATTCTGCCTATGACGTTGCCGTGGGGTGGCATTAGGTTGCAGGGGAAAACTCTCCTAGGGAGTCTACTCTACTGTAGATTGAGCAGTCGAGCAGCGCCAATCGATCTATCCGAGACCAGATGCCATACCAAAGGCTCCTGTAGAAAAATATAAGTGTAGAGAGCCTTCCATGGGCCCTGGATGGGACCCGGGGGTCAGCGACCGCCCAGCCAGACTGACGCGGCCGGAGCGGCGCCAGGCTGAATTTCCCGACCTGGCCGTGATCTCGCCGCGGCAACCCAAAACACTAACTTATCGCCATCCGCCAGGGAACCGGAGGGCGACTTTTCGCTTCTGCCTCGCTTGCCAGCCTCCACGCTTCATAGCGTATTCGTACTGCCCACCGCCCTTTTGCTCAGCTGGATGCCAGTATCTCCGATGGATCTACCCCACCCGTGGTGATTACAGCCGACCTGGAAGCGTTCTCCTTTCTCCTTAAACCACGTTGATCGTTTTACCTTACCCGGCCAAGGCTTCAGTGACGTGACACCAACTCCCTCATGGTTCATTTTGGTAGAAGATCCTTGACGAGTCATTGAAAATTGGTCTTCAGGTGACTGCTCTGGCCATCAGACCTGCGCCTTTTCCTTTCTTGTCGAAACCTGCTGGATACTGCGATCATTGGGTAATCGCCCTGCATCTCCTTGCCAATGGAGGGCGTCCGCCAGTCGTGCCGGCCAAAGCATCAGGTCTTGGTCCTGAAATGCTACCCACAATATCAGAAGGGCATTCCGGAAGTCAAACCGAATCCCAGTGAACTTTCTTATCTGCTCTACTATGCGAGCACTCGTCGCAGCAAGCTGACCAAGGTTGGCGCTTTCCTGGAGAAGCGGGCTGCCCGGGATGTCTGGCGCCGCAAGATCGGGTACGTTGCCATGGAACAGAGATATAGGGCCATATGTGATTCGTGCGGAAACTACTTGGCTGGCTTGCTGACTTGTTGTATAGCAATGTACAGGTGACCCTTCAAATCCTCACTGCGCTTATCGAGAAAGTTCCCCGCGACCTCCCCATTTACGCCCGATCGGTGTTGACCGTGATCGAAACGGTCCTGCGCTCCCGTGATATTACTATTGTCGAGGATTCGATCGCGACCTTTGAGACTTTCTGCCGCCATCAGGATATGGCGGCGCTGTCGGCGGAACAGGACTTTGCGACTCAGTACCGCGAAGTTGTGCGGACCTATGCCAGCTTTGCTGAGGTTGATCCCATTCAGTTGGACCCTGCTGCTAGCGGCCCATTGGCGATACGGTGGAGGAACGCGGGACTACGTGCGATCAAGGGCGTGGTTAGTTCTGAGGCGGGCTTGGCTGCTGATGGCGGGGATTCGCTGAGGATCATCTTGCCCGTCATTTTGGAGAACCTGTGTAAAGGCGAGGAGGATATGCTTGCATACCTGGAAAACCAGCTTCTGGAATCGGAAAAGAGCGGCGAAGCAGACCTCGCGCACCGCCGGCGAGTTAGCAACGCGACCGTTCAGACCGTCGACACCGTGAATGGCGACCCAGCATTGGCTTCTCAATCCGCGGCCGATGCAGACAAGAAAGCGGAAATGGATGTGAGACTTCTCGCACTCCGCTGCCTCGAGCGCATTGTTGTCACCGGAAGCAGTCGCGGCCAGATCCGCGTGACGACCAAAATTGTATTGGATTTCATACTCCGCAGAAACCGAGCCACCAATATGGGCTTGTCTCTCGACTCGAGGGACAATTGGGCTACATCGTTGATCGAGCTGGTCGCCAAATGGTGTCCGGTGCAGGTCCGTTTCATCATCCTGGTAGCTGCCATGGAGCTCCTGTTCGACATGACGCCGAGAGAAGAGGCCCTAGATGAGCCTTTTACCGTTGTCTACATGATTGACTGGCTGCTTAAATCACCGGTGAATATGATTGGACTGAGCGTGATTGATATCCTTCTGGGTCTCTTGCAGCACATGTCGTTTTTGCTGCCGCCCGCGGGGACGGAAAAGCCAACCGAACCATCTGCGAAGAGACGAGAATTGCTAGCTCTCTTTCAGAAGTGCATTGGTGACCTCACAACACACATCTATTACGGGGACCAAGTTGTGGACATGATCCGAGTGATTCTGACTCGGATCAAGCCTTCGTCCAACGAGCAACCTGCGCAATTTCAAGCTGATTCTCCCGGTGCCGGCTCACAGACCGGAAGTCTTTCTGGGGAGTCCAGCGCGGTGGTGTTTTCGTCAGCTGGCGGAAGGGTTGCCGCTCTGAGAGCCATCAAGAACGTTCTCCTGGTCGCGAATTCCCGCAAACCCTCCGCTGTGCCCGGCGTGGAGTCCAGGAACCACGTGGGAATCTACGTCTGGGAAGGGACCCAGTGGTTGTTGCAGGAGCGTCAAAGTGATGTGCGTTACGCATACGCCGATGCGTTACTGTCCTGGTTGAAACTCGAGACGAACCAGACCGACCTGATGGTCAAGGACAAGTACGCGAAACCCTCAAGCCCGAAGCGGGAGCCAACGGATCCTGGCGAAAGGCCTGGAAAGCGATCTGTTTCGGCGGCCGTGCAGAGAGAGAAGGCCGCAATCGCAGCGCAGTCCAACTTCCTCCGCATGCTCCATCTGACTCTCTACGACATTGCGCTCGAGAATCCTACACGCGTGTCCGAAATTCGGTTCCTCCACTTGATCTTGACGAATTTGGTGGAGAAACTCGGCGTCAACGCCGCGCGATTCGGGCTTCCGATGGTGCTGAAGCTTCAAGACGACATGAGCAGCGTTCAAAGCTTGGCATCCGGGCCTGCTAAGGTGAACATCGGAAGCCTGGTGTATGGGTATCTGTGGGCCTTGTCTGAGCGATTCGAGCTGGAATCCTCGCCGGCGGGCCTGGCTATTCAAGACGAAATCTTGAAAAGACAGAAGCTTGGTCTTTGGCTTGACCATATCCGCTTGCCGGCAGCAGATCTCGATCATATCCTACAAGGCGGCGAATCTCATGCTATGGCCGATAGCGCCAAGAACGCAGACCAGATTATCCCATTCACGAACGATATTGAGCCCCTTGTCCGGGGTATTGAACACGCGTACAACCAGGCTGCGCTCTCCTCTGCACACAGTCCCCCGGGCTCCCCATCACGCAGCTTGACCATGCCCGTTCAGGGACATGGATCGATTTCTTCCCAGCACAACCATCTTCTGCCACCCCTCGTTAGGGAGCAGATGCTCTCGGCATGGTCCCGAGAATCATGCCTGGCCGCTGCGGAGCGCGAGAAGACCGAAGCACTGTCTCTTTATGGTTCTAGGGCTGGGGCATCGGCGATGCGCAGCCATGTCTACCTCAATGGGGCGGAGAATAGCTCACCTTCGAACAGCTCACCTACCTCCGCACAACAAAGTGCAGCCGGCCTGCACAATGCGCGTCGGATGAGTGTCCCTGAATCCGCCAGGACACAGGTTCATGGCGCCACTAGAGAGTCTCCTGTCCACGTTAATGACCTGCGGCGCGTTCTTTCGATCAATGATCAGGACAAGATGCGACGACTGAGTCCGTTGCGCGGTCGCCTGGATGCATCCAACCGCAGCGTTATCTCGTCTAGTAGCGAGAGCATGGTCAGCGGTTATTCCTTGTCCGAGATCGACGGAGATGGTGCATCGATACGGCCCCAGTCCACTCGGGACGGACATGTAGATGCAGACGGCACGGTGACTCCCAGAGCTTCCTCCCTGGCTTTCTCAGAGAATGGACAGGCCTACTACATGGCCGACGACATTCCACCCGTGCCACCAATTCCCCCATCTTTGTCAATCTCCGCCGGTGACTCGCAGCGCTCTCTGGCCTCTGACCGACCATCCACTGCCCCCGGGCCACGTCGGCTACCGATAGCGAACGGCAAGCCAGGCACACCTGCCGCGCCTCACCATGGCAAGTCCCTCAGCAAGCACAAGAGTCGGTCAAGCACAGGACTCGCAGCCGCAGCAGCTGACGGCGATTACCCGAGAAGCCATGGGTATGACGGAGTGCCCGACATGGGCGATTTCGACAGTGCTCAGCGACGAGACGTGCAGAACCTGCTAAACGGGTTCCTGTCGCCGGCGCATGCAGAGTCGCGCAATGGCACCAGCACCGGCCGGCCCCGTGGTGCCAGCCGACGAGGCGTGACCGGTGGAATCGGACGTCCACCTTATTAAAAACATTCTTTACTTTCATCACCCACTTCATCCACCTTCATTCTTCATTTCATTTCATTCCGTCTTCTCTTCCTTTCCCGAGGTCTTTCAATACAGGTTCGAGTCATGATTTCGAGACCCATGATATATCCACCACCTTCCTTGATTAGTTTGTTTGTTCCCTGTATCATTCACTCCCGTTCCACTCTCTGTGCTAACTGCACTGCCCGGTTTCCTTTGTGTCCTTATGTCATTTCAGGATGGTCCGTGGATCATGGCGATAGAGCTGTACTGTGTACACTGCATGAGGTGTTTGTATTTCTTTGTTGTTGTTTGCGTTGATTTGTTGGATATTATGTCAATTACATTACATTATATGCCTGTTGTTGATTGTTTCTGGTGGTTCTGATCCATCGATTATGTAGTATCTCATAGTGTATGTTAATATCACTACTTTCACCATTGTTACTACTACAATTGAAGTAAGACGAACAATAGGGTATATCGTATAAAGAATCACACTGACACTAACAACACAGCAAGAACACCCCTAATCAAAACAACGAACAACAAACACCCATCTAATAGTTCCCCCCCTGCACGCCCAAAACCCTCCTCCCCACGCCCCCCTCATCAAACTCCACCTCCACATCCCCAAACCACTCCTCAAAAATCCCCTCCAACTCCCCCTCCCCAACATCCATATGTCCCCCCTCTAGCGTCCGAAACACCAATCCCCCCCGTTCATCCAACCCCCTCAACCCCAACCAATCCTGCTTATAAACCTCCCTATCCCTCAACCCCACGACACCACCCTGCCCATCCACCTCCGCAAACCAACTCGACTCCTTCGGATGCACCATCTTATCCGCCCCAAACATATACATGACGAACTTATTCAGCTTGCCCAGATTCTCCTTATACGTTGCATTTTTCACCGCCCGCTCATTATTAATATCCGCAAGGAAGTTACTATTCGCGAGATATTCCTCCATTTCAGCCTCGCTGGACGGATCCCGGAAATACTGCGCGGGGATCAACCGGCCCTGAACGAAGGGTGACCATCGGCCTGAGCGAAGCAGGGCTTCGGATCCCCGACAGATGAGATCCGTCCATTCGCAGGCTTGGAATTGGGAGATGCCGTTGTGTTGGCTGCCGAGGGTGATGAGGTTGTGGACGGGGGGATTGTTGCACCGTTCGATGTAGCCGCGGAGGAATTGGCCGCCTTGGGAGAAGCCCAGGGCGTTGATGGCGGGGGCGGTGCTGAGGATTGGGTCGGAGGCGAGTTGAGCGCAGACTTGGGTGATTTGGGTCGTGAGGTTGCCGAGGAAGGTGGCTTGACGGTCGGCGCTGCTGGAGGGGGAGAGGTGGATTAGGTGGGTGTAGGTGCCTGGGTTGGTTTTCTCGGCCAGAGTTATTAGGGATTGGAGGGATGGGTTGAGGTAGTTGTCGCCGAGGCCGTGCCAGATTACCAAGGGGAGTGGGCGGAGTTCGCTGGTGGTGTTTGTGGTTGGTGGTGGTGATGGTGTTGTTTGGAAGGGTGTTTGGGAGGTTGGGTGGGTGGTGGCGGTGAGGGGGAGGGCGAGGAGCGTGAGGAGCGGTGGTAAGGGGCGCATTTTTTGGAGGGCTGTTGTGGGTTGTAGGTGAGATGGAGGTGTGGATGTGGTTGAGGTTGAGGTTGAGGTTGATTGGGATGGGGAGGTTGGAGACGGAGGTATAGGTACTGACTGGGACTGGGACGGGGAACCGCGGAGGAGTGTGGAGTGGTGTCACGTTGTCCGTGCCTGACGTAAGATCGGCATGTGACCAGGTACAGCGCTAGACTGCTCTGGTCCGGGTTGCTGCCTGGGGCTTTTGCTGGTCTTATCTTTGAGAGGAGTGTGTACAGGGATGCTCTTTGATAAGCTGTTGTTAAGTTGCACCTCTTGTTAGGCGTACTGTAGTATATCTGTACGACAACGCTGTATACGTAGAATAGGACGATATATCGAAGGATGCTTGAGCAAAGGCTACATCACATCGTAGTACAACCAAATCGGCTCTCGTGTCTAGTCTCTGCGTCTGGAGGTAGGCCGGAGATATTCTCGGGAACATTTTTGTGGCTGCATCCCAGTATTTGTCAAAAAGACCCGATTTCCTGCGGCTACGCGAGCCTGGTCGATATAGATCCCTGCCCTCGGTGGGATGATGGGTTTGAACACGAGCGCATTCGGTGACATTGCAAAGCTGTCGGTCCGAAATGTATTGCCTTGACCTGCACCAGAAGCGACAGGAGATGTAAAGTTCGGTTCAGCTCGTCTATCTCTATAGCAGTCCACGTTTCCGGCGATTCGGTCGCCATCAAGGATGGCCGACTGGCCATACAATTTCACCGGAGATGCGGATTGCTGCGCCATTGTGCTTAGCTGGGACAATCCATCTTCATGGAATTTAGGGCCACATGGCCTAGAACCAAGCCCTTTATCTACCCTCGATATAGGTCGTTGGATGTTGTAGGGCGGCTCTGAGAGCCAACCATAGCCAGAGTGATTCAAGGTCGACGATGTGCCTGTAGACTCGTGCGTAGTCCTATGACTACTGCTATCGAACACCGGTGATGATCTCTCAAGATGGAGAGTACTCTCGAACTGCTGACGGGCACCATACCTGTCTGCTCCCATAGATGCATTGCAAATATTCAATTTCCCCTCTTGTTCAGCGAGAATCTGATCGTCTATTGTGAATCGTCTTCTGATAGGAGTTCTTAATGACACATCGGAGCTGCAGTCTGAGTGCAGCGATTCCAATTCTATATCTCGGGACTCGTCTTCGTTCCTGGATTCGTCGGTCAAATATGCCGAGCCCAGGATGGAATCATCGAGGGAAGACAGCCTCCTGGTGGGAGATGAGCAGAGAAGCGAGACGCTTGAGGATCTCAGTATCCAAGATCTGTCATCGAATGGGTTTCTTCCGTCAACATAAGGACGGTCAGATTCCTGCATGAAAGGAGTTTCTTTTGCGGGAGTGGCCTCTTCGCAGTCTAGGAGCATCGACTGCGAGGAGACGTTAGCCGGAAGGCTGCGATTTGTTATCGAACGGTCAGCTCCAGCAGGCCTCCCATTTATCCTTATATCCAGGTTCGGGATGGTTTCTATATCGGACACGGCATCTTCGCTAAGCCTTGTGTTGCGGGCAATATTTGGGCGCGAGTCGGACGACCTCAACCTCTCGCGGTCGTCATCCGTTATTCTCCGTCGCCTCCCGAATTTCCGTAGCGCTTCTGCTGGAGGGAACAGCACCTTCAGTGGACGCGCTGCTGCAACGGATGCCCAGTCAGACTTTTCTAGTAGCCTGCGTTTGATGGTATCCAAGCGCCGAGCTGCCTGTGAGGGCTCATGTGTGGCTGGTGCGATATTTGGGTTACCGGAGTAAGAGCGGGAGGATGTATTGCGAGACTTGATCAGAGGTTAGCTAGCAATTAGCCAGAGAGCGTAGATGAAAATTGAGTCTCCCAAAGAGACATTATACTTGTTGGTCTGAATTCTGGCGCGACTCATCACTTGGGTCAGAGCCTCTGACTCGATTCTCTTTGAGAGGACTGGGAGCTTTGAATAGTGTCGTGAAAAGTCCCTTTGCGGCTGATCTCGGCTCTTTAAAATGCTGTTTCTTGTTTTTCGCGTGGATGTCGGAATGTCGCCGAAGACGACCTCCTGTCCAGTTCATAGTGTTTCCAACTCTGTGATATTGACATGGCAGGCTGATGATCGTCAGCAGAGATGTAAGGCGGAGAGGGTGAGATGCCTGCGGTAAGTACAACAGAAGAGAAGTCTCTGTCATGTGATGGCAGTTGGATGCGGAGGCAAATAATGTTACACCCTCAATCAAGCTTACGGTATCACCTCACTACAAGTGTCGTCCTGAAATGAGATGTGACCATGAAAAAGGCACCACGCCAATTGAACTCAAATTGGGTTCTACCCATAGAGAATTTCAGCTAGTATGCGTGGATTCTGGATAGTCTGGTGCAATTAGTTGTGATAGCATCGAGCACCTTTGAAGCAGCATGTTCTCAGCAATTGAGAGGCAAGGAGCAAGTGGTTGGCCTCAGAATGGGTTGAATGCTACCGAGTCCACTCGCCAAGCGAGCATAGATTATGCTATATTAATTGTGCGCAAGACGAATTGAACAGCTTACCACATGAGGTATGGTGAAGTCTCATCACTAGCATCGTTCGGCCTCGTCTAAGCAAGTCATATGGAAACGGCTCGGGCCGGACGACGACCCAGCTCACCTTTAAGCTCACTAGTTTAGCTTCATGTCGAGCGGATCACTGAACCTCGGCTCGGTGGCTATGCTGTGCAAACCATGCAAAGACGTCACGTGAATTACTCGCTTCGGCGGATCTTAAATTATCTTCCCACATGCAAAACCCTTTCTCCTTTCCCACCACTCAACGACAACGGATTCGCCAGAGCAGCAACGACGGTGCCTGCATCATCTCATTTGCTTGCGTTCGAACTGGCATGACGGGCTCATTGGCCTTGCCTTGATGTAGGCGGGCTCCTGAAACTGTTTCGTGTCAGCAGCGCGACCAGCTGGCAGCCTCGTAGTACAGGCCCCTGGCGAGGCCTGCGCGTTTTCTTTTTTTTCTATTTTCGCATCGGATTACCCCTTTTCTGAGCTATTTTCATTATCATCAAGGTAAGCGCATCACTTTCCATTCCCCCTTTTCCGCATGGGTGTCACGGGGACCTCCTGTCCTTGATGATGAACACCATACCTTAAAGCATAGTTCACCTGAGATCTTCGGATTGCTGAACGAAAACTGTATACCATCTTTCACCTTTATCTGATACACACCCATTCTTGCGTCATTGTCTGCTTTTGATTTGGAATCATTCTTACTGGTTCGTCGCTGACATTGCATGCTCCAAGATTACTAGGCAACCGCAGCGAAGCACGGAGTAGACCGGATGACTTTTTTATTTTTATCAATATTATAGAGCGCGATTTGAAATTAGTATTGTGATGAATCCAATCCCGAATAATGATGACCACCTTATTCTGAGACAAGCGTAAAAAGAAACTGGCTCTGGCCCGCGCCGACGAGTCGAAACTTCCCGGGCGTCCCGTAATTAAATGATCCCATTGCTGCCCAACTTCCCGCGGTGCCAATCTCCTGCTGTGGATGGCGGCCGGAGTGCAGCTGTCAACCGTCAAGCTGTCGAGGGATGTAGGTCCTCATCATCATGAAACGTAGCAACACATCTCCAAACTGTACCTTTGACCCCTCCCCCTCCTTTCCTGCAGCGACATTGGGCGAGGCGAGGTGCAGTGGTGGGAATCACGCTGCCCCGGGGGAATGAGGGGCAATCGACACTACTTACTTCTCGTGTGTTTGCGTGCAGTAGTCGCGACAAGCGGGATCCCTGTTCCGCGCGAGAAGGAGGGCTTTGACGTGTTGGCATCGCAGCCAAACGATGACCCTCCCAGAGGACCGAGAGTTGGCGACTTTCACGAGGGAAAGCGGGGCCGCCGAAGAAAGGCCGCTGATTGATCCGCCGGGCCCCACCGGGCGGCGCTGAATGGCTGTGGGCCGTCGATAGCCCTGCACGCGACAAACCACGGGGGAACAAGATGGAATCCCTCGGCGCCAATCATTGCATTTTGGCATCTGGTGAGCGGAGGGGCTGCTCTGCCGGTGATGCAAGACTGCAGCCCATTTCCTGCTCGTCCGCCAATCATCCCTGCCGGACGAGTGGAGAGCGGTTGACTCCCGCCTCACCGCTATATTGAGCAATTGCCCGGGTGGTGCCGTTGCAAATGATACATCCACCCGCGGCCACGTCAAGCCGGAACGATGGGCGACTACTGGGATTCATTGGTAGATAGTGCACGAACAACACCACCGCCATGTCTCGCAGGGCCAAATCATCATGCTCGACGGTGCCAGTGAGGCAGCCGGCTGCAGCAGCATGCACGTCCGGCACACGCTTGGACGCACTGTGTGCTCCGAGGGCCCCCACGCCCGGCCTCCTGAACGAGCGCGCCAGCCTGCTCCGTTGCCTCTAAAAGGCCCGTCTTTCCCCTCCAGATGGAATTCTTCTCGACCTTTCCTATTCATCTCACACCAGACTCAATCAAGCAACCCGGCCTATCCATTTAGATACCCAACGATCGATACCCCCCTCTTCCTTCTCGATTCCTCTACTCCACAGCCAATCCAAACCTCCTCCTTACCCACTCTCTCACATCTCTCACATCTCACACACTCATCACACACACACACACACACATACTTGTGCTAGATTTGTCACAGTCAAATCAGCTTGCTTACTCTCCATATCCACTTGCTTCCTTTCTTCTGCTCTACAAGTGTCCAATCCGTGGATCTTGGGAAAAAAGAAAAGAATCTCTCCCCTGGCTAGAACAAACAAACAACCCTTGAATCTCCGCTGGAACCCAGTCCGTATCCTGGATAGGATTTGCTTGCCTTGTTTTGTTTTTCGCTCCACTCCCAGGCTTTTCGTCTGAGCATACGGCAACAGATAACAGGTAGACCCCTCATTACTCTCCTTGTGTTTGCTTGCTTTGCTTGTTTGCTTCTTCCTTCTTTCCCTCGCGATTGTTGCATTTCGAAAGTCACCCATGGATCCCATTTATCGACCATCACTTCGACAATTGCATCGCTAGAGGACACCTGGACTCTTGAATCTTATTGCTTCTGCCGGATTCTCCCCGTCACACGACGGATTCACGCAAACATTGACCGTGGAATTCATTTGACGTCCACAGCAGCCGCTGTGTGACTGGACACTCTGAGTGTTGTTTAATGTGGCACACTCGCCATCGATTACCCCTGGACTATCCTTCTTCTGCCTGGACCCCTGGATCTCTCCTCACTAAGCCTAGTGTGGAGATTGGACATTTTGCCTTGGACCCCGTTTTGTTGGACTGTTTCTTCCGTTCCCGATTTTGGATCCCTCCTGTCTGGATAGAAGCCATCGCTGGAATAACAATGAATGTTGACCTGTTGACCTCTCTTGACCTTGGATTGTCGCTCACTCATCATGCTGGACCTCGACAACTAATGGCCTGACCCACTGTTCAACTTATGTGTTGCACTTGTCGTTACTATGAAGTTCTTGTAGTCTGGAGCCCTGGATGGAAGCCTTGAACCAAGGCTTGGACGACCTCATGGTACAGCATTGACACCAGAACAAACAACCACCACGGACATGTTGCCGCTCATTCCGATCCGATCGCGATACTGGCCCATGCTTCAGTCTGTTCCTGGATTAACAACAGCCCCTCTTCTGGACCTAGCGGTAGCTTACCCGGAGACCATGTCCCCACAACATCCCAATGGTTGGTGTATCTCGAACCTCCACGCTTGATGTTTGTTCTAACTGTGACTGCAGGCCCTTGTTCGACATGGATTTCAGATGCACATGATCGTTCACTTTCTGTCATTGTTTACCAGCGATTAGGTGGTGTAGATGTACTGACTCCTAGTTCCTTATAGTGTTGCCTCTTTTCTTCCAGATAGTCTGGATTTAGATCTCTCACACAATGTCCACGAAGATCAAGCACGACCCAGAGAACATGTCTTTGTCCCAGTCATCTTTGCACACTATGGACCAGATGTCTCAGCCGAGACCAAACCAAATGATCCCAGGAATTCCCAACATGGCCTCCAGAGGACTCCAGGATGATGACCTTTCGAGCCAGGACAATTTCTCCTTGTGTTCAAGCACACACCCGAACCACGGAACCCCCAGTGACTTGAAGGGGTGGTCTCTGAGCGACGTGGACGCACTTGACAGTGGTGCGATGTCCAAACCAGAGTCCCCGGAAGTCCAGATGCTCTCTTTCTCTTTTTCCCAACAACTGCTGCCATCGACCGTTGGCCCTAGTGATGTAATGTATCATCACGCTGGATCCGATTTCTCAGGCATCCAGGACATGACCGAGCCCAATGACCTGGATTTCTCTCATGCACATGACTTCAACCACTACTCCTCATTAGTTGACTTCTCTGCCTTTGATAATGATGTTTGTGGCCAGAATGGTACCCAGTCCTCTTGCACTCCCGATGATGCTCTCAGCCACAGCTCTCACACGGATGACGGCCACCTGGCCGCCAACGAGGCGTGGAACTCCATTGTTGCAGACACACGGAACTACCAAGGATCGCCCATGGATCAATATACCACTGGCATGTTCCAGTCAGTGCCTGTTTCTCCTCCGTTGTCTGACGCGAGTAATGATATTTCTGTTACTTCCTCTTGCTCCGGATATCCCACCTTCATGAGCCATGAAGATGCCATGTTGAAAGATGTGACTACTACCCCCGTTGGAAGCCATGGAATAAACCTAGGAGACCCCCTGTTCCCACTCACCCCGCCTTTGAGTGAACAGGACCCCAACAGGTCAGTATTGAACCATAATGCAGCTTTGATCACAGACCTTCTGACTTGCAACAGAACCATCCGGGCTTCTAAGAATGCACGTAGGCCAGCTCTGCAGACCTCTCTCTCCCAGCCCCAGGTAAAGCAGGACCCAGAGTTTTTCCCTCCCTTGCCGGTCAAGGAGACACTCCGTCAGAAAGCCAAGGAAGGCGCCGACCTGCGCAACCCCCGGGATCACCCCTACTACTCTTTGCCCACCCACAGCGATGGAAAGTACTACTGCCCATTTGCCAACGGAGAGAAGCCCTGCAACCACCCTCCCACCACCCAGAAGTGTGCCTATCAGTGAGTCACTTTCTCGCTCTATCAAAGCGTCGAGACTAACCGTGAGTAGCAAATACCTGGATTCTCACCTGAAGCCCTACCGCTGCAAGGTGGCCGCCTGCATGGATGCTCAGCTGCAGTTCTCTTCGAACGCGTGCCTTTTCCGCCATGAGCGCGAGGCCCATGGATTCCACGGTCATGGAGACAACCCTCACCTTTGCCTGTTTGAAGGCTGTGACCGGTCGGTCCCTGGATACGGATTCCCCCGCCGCTGGAACCTCTTTGACCACATGAGACGGGTGCACGACTTTGCCTCTTCCGACAGGCACAGCTCCCCGGATGCTTCCCCCACCACTGGTCCGGCTAAGAAGAAGGAGACTGCTGGGCGCAAGCGCAGAGTTGCGGGTGTCACTGGCGCCCCGACCATGAAGCGCACTCGCTCCACCCAGTCTCAGACCAACCCCCTGAAGGCTGCTCAGCAGACTTCTGCCCACCACGGCCAGAGACTCCAGAATGCGGAGAGAAACTACTACAACTGCCGCTCTCGCTTGCTGGAGGAGCTCACCAACATCACACCCCAGGATTCCTCCATGCACGAGAAGGTCAATGCCAGCCTTCAGGAGCTGATCACCCTTGGACTCAACTACCGCCACATTGAGGCCAGCCAGGCTGCTGCCCAGATTGCTCACGGTCTTCCTGCGTGAATGATTCACTGATATATCTGTGATGATCTTTTAACTTGTTCTCCCCAAAGGATCGCCGAGCGCTGGATGGTTTCCATAGGAAGGACTCATGATATCAGGCATGGGATGAGCCGTGATGGATAGCAGATTCATGGAAAGTGTCTGTGAATGATTACCATCACACTTCCGGTTGGGTTTTCGTTTCATTCCTAAGGATCATTCGACCGTCTGGGGTTGTCAGAGGGCTTCCGCTCTCAGCCACGATGTGTCGGGAGACACATCGCGCGGCTCGACCCTCGATGGCACGGACATGTTCCCGTCGCCTCGAGGTACATGTCTCCAACATCAGCTTCACTCTGCTGACTGGTGCGATGGAGACATTGGATGGGGACGGCAGCTTCAGGCGGTCGGATAGGAGATGCTCCTGATTTCTTCATTGCCTTGTGACAGTTTCCACTTCTTTGTATGCGCAGCTTGCTGCGCCTGGTTTTGTATAAACATTTCTGTTTGTTTTTGTGTATCTTTGGTGTCGGGCTGGTTTTTTGTTACTTCTTTTCTCTGTTGATGGTTCGGACGAGGTCCACCGAGAGAAAGTTGAAAAATACGGGAACGGTGTGCATGGGGAAAATATGGGATGGACTGGTCTGTGTACATGGGGTTTTGTGTTCGGGTCTGATTTAGACAATGGGTTTTGTTTATTCATGTATAGGTGCAGGTCGTGGAACAGGAGGCCTGCCGGATTATGTACCGGGATTTGACCACGGATTTTTTGTCAATATTCTCTTCTGTTTCTATTTTGATTCCGGTTCTGGATATAGCTTGGCGATACCTATGATGATCTTTTCATTGTCTTTAGCATTTGATCATTTTACCAATTCGGGATTCTAAAAGTTTGTCTTGTCAACTTGTACTGTTTACTGTCTTTTTCGTGAAATTACCAATCCTCATACGACTTTACTTCGGGGTATTTGAACACCTGATTATAAGCTTCCAATCATCACTCGTAAAATTGATCCTAGCTAGGTAAGGTACCAAACTGACGCTGTCTATACAATACGCAGTATTCTAAACTTTTCTCTAATCGCATCCCCAATCCCCAAAACCAATCAACAGACAGCAGCATAACATGAGATTTACTCACTCTCCCCGCCAAACTCCGCATTCAAAAACCTCACAAACGCATCAGGAACCTGCTCCGCAGTAAGTCCGCCCTTACTTGACGCATGCGCACCCTGCACATACGCCCGATTCAACGCGATCCACTGCCTCCGCAACCTCTGCAGTCTCGGCAATGCAAGGATGCCTCCCGCGCCGGCTAATTCGTCCGTCGTGCCGGACGTCGCCACATGGGCGGGGATATACACGGGAGTGGATGCCTCGGGCACGGGGATGGAAATCCCGGGTGCGCGGGTGTTCGGGTTTTGGGACTGGGCGAGAGCGAGGGCCGCTTCGGCGGAGGGGTTGGAGGAAGTGTAGTTTCGGATGGAGGTGACGATGGCGGAGGTGCGCTTTTCCATGCTGTAGAGGGCTGTGGAGTCTGTTTGGGCGGGGAGGGCGGTGGCTTGGTGGGGTTTGATTTTGGGGCGGCCGAGAGTGCCACCGCGGGGGGCGGCGGTGGTTGTGACGCTGGGGGTTGAGGAGAGGGTTGTGGTGGAGAGGGTGTTGGTTAGGGAGGAGAGCGTGGGTGCGGTGCTGGCTTCGGGGTGGTGGCTGAGGGGTGGGGGATGCCGGTTAGGGCGGTCCAGATGTCGGCGATTGGGGGGGTGGAGTCGGTCCAGGGGACTGTGAAGAGGGGCTTGTCCCAGCGGCTGTGGATGCTGGGTTCTTCGTATCGGAAGATGAGGTTGTTGAGGAGTTCCGGGGGGTAGGGGTCTTCGGAGTCGGTGGTGGCGGCTTCGGGTGTGGATGGGGAGGGTGTGGGTTCTGGGTTGGAATCGGTTGTGTCGACCTGGTTTTCAGTGTTGTCTGTGTCGTTTTGACGGCGCAGTCGGGCCTCGTTGTTTGCGACGCATTGGTCGATCGGGGTGCCAACGTGGACCTAGTGGATGGGTTGTTAGATGTGGCTTGGGATGGAGGGGGACGGGGAGGGAGACGTACCACGCAGCATGTCGTCCCTAAGGCCTTGGCCTCACACCATAGCTGATACCGATATCCCTTGATGTAGTTCATTCCGTCGAGGATCACGAAGCTGTCCTTGTTGAGGGCGCGCTTTGCTCGCGCGTACGCAACGCCGCGGCTCTCCTTCTCTGTGCGGGCATGGTCGTAGACTGTTCTCGGGTGGGAGGGATCATGGGTAGGTACGACGTGGACCTTATAGCGGGGTTTCGTGGGAGGGAGAGCGCCGGAGTTGAAGAGCTCGGTTTGGGTTGCTTCGAGCTGGGACACGAGCTGGCGGGCGCGGTAGGTGAGGCCGGAGCAGGGGTATCCGGTTAGGACTATGAGCTTTGGCTTGTTAGTGGGGGACTAGGGGAAGGGGATAAGGGGAGTTACCGGCATGGTGGGAGGGAGGGTCAGGGTTGCTTGGTGATGTTGCGATGCGGATTGGCGGCGGAGAATTCGTGAAGTTATTTTCGCGCGGGGCGGCTCGGTGGGGTCCATGTGACTTGGCTGCGGTGGGAGTGACGAACTTGGCCGGAGACGGTCGTCGCATTGAGATCGGTTGTGAATTCAGAATAATTGGTTTAATTGTGTCTATTTAATTGGGTATATTTCTTTTTTGCTTCAACTGAAGTGGTTGTCTATCCACCGTGGGCATATTCATACCCCGCTGCTCTATAATTTTCATAATCCGTACGGTGTATGCAACATCCAACGAGGATTGATCATGCCATCAACGCCAGTATGCTAGTTCAGCTCCTCATCTGCCCAGCGGATCTCATATCCGAACACCGTTCTCCGTAAGCGCTCATCCTGGACAAGTTAGCGAAGTCAATCAATCGATACGCGACACTTACACCCGGGTCGTTCTCAAACAGCACAGCATCCATCAGCTTCTCGAATATCTTCGTCACCCGGAAGCCATTCTCCTCCGCCAGCGGGAAAAACTTCTCCGTCTTAGGCAACAACCACGGCTCATACGGCGTGAAGATCACCAGTGCCATGGAATCCTTGCTGCGCTTCAATGTCTCCCGCATCGTCTTGATCAGGTTTGGATGCTCCCGATGACTGTACACCACGTCGGCCATGATGAGCACGTCAAATCCCGTCGCACCAGCGGGGAGGCATGCAAACAGCGGTTCCACCGGGTTACCCCATTTGTATCCATCAACGTGGAGGGCGGAGGGGTTCGCGATCTGAGGGGTAGCCAAGCTGGCGTTGTAGCGCATGTTCTCGACGAGATCCGGGTCCGGGTAGTCGGTCATGACGGCAGTGCGGGCGCCCAAGATGGCCGTGACGATACTTGGGACACCGGCGGCGGCGCCGATTTCGAGGACATCCTTCCCCTCGATGAGGGTGCTGGCCCGTTCTTCGATGTAGTGGGAGCTGGTCCGGCCGGCGTTCCAGAGGAGGTTTCCCTAAGGATGAGAACGGTTATTGTGTGGAACGGATGAAACAGGAGGCATCAGGAGAAGTACGTAGAGAGGATGGCTACCGACGAGGCGCACGCGCACCGTCTGGCCGTTGAGCATGTGATGCTCTGCAAAGGTGGGCTCGGGCTCAGGCTCGTAGAAGCCCTCGGGGTCCTGGAACATGTCCCCGGTGTCGAAGGTGTCCTCTTCCGCCATGGTTATCAGGTGTGCGACCGACCCCAGCTAACGGGCAATTGAATCAGATGGGAGTGGAATGTCACATTGTGAATTGATGGGCGGAAATAATTCTGTATCGCGATTGCGACGGTGGAGTCGGTGGGGGAGCCGCAACGGGCCTAGCGCGGATGGAGACACAAAAAGGGTCACGTGGAGTCACATGAGAGCAGCCGAGGCATCGTAATACGGTCACGGTACCTGCATGCAGAGGGAAACCCCGCGTGGGGTCATACGGCCGGGTAATTGTCGGTAATACCTTTTCCCAGCGGTTCGCGAAAATTTGCTTGTTGCTTCGTTCTGGAGAAGCCCGACTCGAGAAACGAGACTATTCAGGTTCGAGTCAGGCTTCTTTCTTCACGGGGGATTGTCGATCCTCGTCAACTGGACTGATCTCCGGCCGACTAGTTCGATGATTGCCCCAATCCCAAACACGGAGTGCATGTCGCCTGATTGACCTTGCGTCCAAAAGTACGATATCTCGCCCATCCCTCACTTTCCGGTCCAGCGTCATCGTCCACTTATCACCAGCCTTGAGTTTAGCCTTGCCGGACGTCATCCCGCGGTCTCTCTGGACGCGCCCCACGTGTTGCTGGCTTCTTCTTCGCTGGTGCTTTGTTCTTCCTTCTCTGCTGCCTTTATTTTTCCTCTCTCCTCATCACGCCATTCCCACGCCAGGAGGAAGCTAAAGCGACGACTCCACCGGATCAGTCCACCCGATACTTTCAACATCGGACTGCGATATCAACCGTCGTCTATCTTAGCTTTTGTCGCTTTCTCTCGTCGCTATCTCTATCGCCGTCATAGACTCCATCTATCGTCACTATCACTGTCACTATCACCCTCACCCCTCATCTTCGACCATAGACATAGAACACCATGGACGGCTCCTCCCGCACGCTCTCTCCCTTCGATCCACCCCAACCAACCACTCAAGTCTCTCCGGGATATTCAGTCCAACCTCAAAATCCCTTGGGCCTGGCAGCCGCAGCGGCAGCCGCCGCAGTCAATAGCCAAACCGCCATGCAGCTCCAATCTCAACCTGCCACTGCAACCGCAACCGAGCAACAACATCCCACCGACCTCTCCCAATCCGCGGCGGCGGCAGTGGCCCAGGACACCTACCCGCATCAAATCTCCGAGTCGGGCGGGCCTACAGCGACAGCGCCCTTCCTACGAGACTTCAGTCTGGTCGCGGAGGCGGCCAAACGGGCACAGATGTCTGTGATGGTGCGAGATTTGGAGAGTGTCACGCTATAAATGCTAGCGGGGTTACTCTTATGAGGGGGACAATTATCCGAGGGAACCAGACCGATATGATCGATAGATGGATGGAACCTTCGATGCGATAGAGAGGGTATCTATCTTTTTCTTATCTTATTTTTTTTAACTAGAAAGGGAGTGCGTGGTGTCCATTTGCGCTTCTACTATCTGGGTGGGGTCGGGTGTTGAATTTTTAATGGGTTGATCTTCTAATCTGCTTACCTGGGTGAAACTAGGTACTTTTATTTCAGCTTTGGTTTGATTGGCGAGTTATATTATACTATATTACTTATTACTTTTAGTAGGTACGGGATGACTTACTACCTAGATAGTTGATCTGATTCGAACAGATTATAACATAACTTACTACCCCTTCTCTACCTTGTATCGACATGTAGTACCTACCCATAATATACTCTCGGAAGCGGACGGTCGGCACAAGTGGAACACTCATTCCCCCCTCCCCATTTTCTTTCCCTTTCCTTCCCTTCTCTTAAATTACCCCTAACCCAGTACTTAATTAAACCAAGCCGACCCATCCCAAACCAAACCCAAAGCTTGACCCATTCATCCATCCATCCATCCCTCCGTCAACACCCGAACACTACCACCCCATAGACACTGCAGTCCAACATCCAATTCCAAGACCAACCAACCAACCCAAACCCCGAATTTGGAATCCTTCCCCCTCCCGCCCATTTTCAATTCCATCCGGGCATGATAATCTCTTCTGTGCTACCAGGTTGGAAATTTCATCTAGAGACTAAGTAGCTACTTACTAGTCGGTTGGGTATTCAACACATATGTATAAGTAGGTAGTATCTGTTGTGTAAGTGATTAACCTTGGTTATGGTTGGTAGGGTTACTTAGGGTCAGTTGATACATTAATCTGTATAGTATCTCTGAAGGTAGGCAGGTATCCTTGTGGGCGCTTACACGACGAATAGAAGATACTTAGATACTTGACCGGAGAAACCGGAAGGAAGGTTAGTGGGAAAACAGGGAAGTATCCTAGCAAGCAAGCAACACGGATCTAAATATTTGGTTTATTTATATCTGGATTGTCTAGTGGGTGAGGTAAGGTGAGCGAACCGAATCGAATCGAACCGATCCTGCATGTGCTGTCACATTAGGTTACTTACCTTTTAGATACTCGATACTACTGGATGGGTTGGGCGGAAGGTTCTAGTGCAGGCGGGATAAGGCAACAAGCAGGCCAGGACTGGGGTAATCCTGATTGCGGGAATGTATGTACTGATTAGATAGGGGAAAGTTCAGACCGATAACAACATGATGAATAGGGTTTAGGGGCGGAGTCAGAAAAGGCGGAGGAGGAAAGAGAGGGGTAAATACTAGTGATAAGTGATGATAAGTGGTGATAGGTGATAGTGATAGTGATAGTGATAGGGTGATATGAGGGGATGCAGGTATGCAGGTACGCGGGTAATGATAGGACTTGTCATCATTTAGTCTTTTGTTTTCAGTTTGTGGTACGGATGACTGGGGGTTTATTCTGGGGTAGTCATGGGGATTGGGAATGGTGCCTGGTGCCTGGGTGGATACGAGGTACTGGGTTACATAGAAGTAATATTATGGTAGGTGGTGTGTGGGTGAATATACTTCGATCGTTGGTTGTGATCGGCATGTAATAACAGGTCTATGTATGGTGAAAGTAGAATGTAAGAATGCAGGTATCACTGTACCAGTACATGATCTATATACAAAGTATACCGACCAATAGGCAGTACGTATATAAATACATGCTTATCGAGTATATTCCATAGCAACAACCATTAGATGAAGCCGATACTGAGGGAAATCCGACAAACTCAAAAACAAATCTGATAATTAACACCGAACACCGAGCTAATGCGGACACCCGACCTGTAGTATGTAGATAGAAGAAAATATATTGATATGGAAAGAAATGACCGGTAAAGAGGGAATAGAGAAGATGGTAAAGAATTGAAAATGAAGTTGAAAATGAGGTGAAGATGAGGTGAAGATGAGGTGAAGATGAGGTGAAGAATGAAGGACTTTTGACTGGTATTTTGAAGGATCGAATGATGCTCGCCTCGCCGCGCTGAACTCCGATTATAAAAATGCATTTGGGTTCGTGTTTGCTTGCTTGGGTTGGGGTGGTCGGTTGCGGTGAGAATATGTGTGGCGTCGGCGTCTATGTATTAACTCTCGTCGTGTCGATCGATTAGGGTAATGGGGTGATATGATGCAATATGGCGAGTAGATGGTGTTTAGATCTGAGTCGATGCCCCAATCAGATTGGGCTGCGAGATGCTCCCGGCTTGACCCGGCGTGAGCTTCTTTTGCCGTCTCGATCCAAAGATGGACAACCGCCGACTGAGTCTCCTGGAGGGATCAACTGAAAGTATCGAGAGTGGACGGGACTTGGGGGGCCGCGGTTCGGCCGACACGGGCATGTCCATGGACGGTGATGAAATTGACCCGCTGGATCCCGGGACCTCGTCGATCCCGAAGATGGACTGGCGACGTTTGGAGCGAAGCTTCTCGCTGCTGGTCTGAAGTGTAAAGTCCTCCTTGATGTCGTCGAGGGCATGGGAGAAGCGACGCAGTAGCTTCGGTTTCTCAGCGATGGAGGGGGCGCGCTCTTCCAAGCCGTACATCTGCAGAGGGGTCGAGTCTGGAATGTCTTCCCTCACGGGCGTGGAGTAGTAGCGGGGGATCTTGTAGTGCTCGGGACGACGGCGGGGAGCAGGAGGGAACCAGACATGGTGGCCATGAGGAGGATGTTGAGAGACGGGGCTGCCGGAGTAGGAGGAACGAGAGGAGTCGGTTGACGAGGAGGTCAACATCGTTCTGTGATTGGGGTGGGTGAGGGGAAGAATGGTTGTAACGATAGTATGGCAGCAATTCCGAGGCAGAAGAATGGAGTGATGGAATGCAATGCCGAAGAGGCTGAAGGGGATAGATGGTAAAAGAAAAACGACCGGAGATGGTGCTGGGCAGGGGAAACGAGAGAATGGGGGAGCAGATAGTTTAGCAGAGCAGTTAGAAGTTCGAACCTCTCCAGACAAGTCAGACGGTTCGTCTGATCTCGGTGTAGGGATGGGATGGGATGGGGGTTAAAAAATACTTAATACAGGACTATAATTATAGCACTTCCACACTAGGGGACAAAAAGTGGGGACTCCGGAGTATTCACTGGCTTAATACAGACAATGGAGTCGTTAGTAACCTTACGGTAGGGACTTTACCTGCAGCGGTAATTCCCGTGTAACCGTCCCCATCGTATGGTCTTTGTTCAATCTCCTTTGTTTGCGAATGGCGATGGAGAACGCAAAGACTTTTCTCCCATCGTTGGAACGGTTTGCTCCGGTGGTGCTCCGAACGGGTGTCTTGGTCGTGGACCGGTTCCAACTAGTGTGTGCGATATCCTATGGTAGGTGGGAGATAGATATTGTTGTTCTCCGTACTCCGTACTTTGTATCGGGATTCTCCAACTGTTAGTACTGCTTCGATTCTCTTCCATCGGTATGATCCCTGTTCTGTCTAACCGCCGTTTGCCCTTGCTAGGAACCCAGCCGATTGGAGTGAGCCAACCGCCGTCACCCAGTCTGGATGACGCGGCAATTGAGGCGTCCACGGTGGTTGACAGGTTGATGGCCGGCCGTCTGTTCTATGGATAGACATCAAGCTGAAACATGCGTTGGAGCATCGCTTGTGCAGCGCCTGCGTATGCGGATGATGTACACCTATTCCACACTCCACGACCATCATCCCACCGGAAACTGCGGGTTATTCAGAGCGGCGCCATTGGATAGGACGGAAGTACTTGGAAGGAGATTTGCTGGTCGGTACTCCGTAGGCATCAATAATTCAAGATAATGAGAGTCCATCCGGTCGGAATGGCGAGATGCACTAGTTGGACGGACGGTCACCTGAAGGGAGAATAATACCCTGGCAGCGGTAACATCCGTGTATCGCAGGATGACAGGACCCTCGGTACGGGGGGCATACCTGCATAGGGACATAACTGGAACATAAACGGGCGACACCCTATTCCTCGCAGGCGCAGTTCAGTAATAATCAGAAATTAATTGTTGTAAAACCCACAGGTCCAAGCTAAGTGGACTAGCGTGGAGGAGCAGAGCCAGCCACATTGCCCGTTGCCTGCAAGGTGAAACCGCGTCCCCCAGCGAGTCGCAGCGACTAATCAGATGCGGCCACTAGCGCCGAATCGGGGCTGGGCCATGATCTCATCGGGTCCTCACGGCTACAGCGAGTGGATCCCGGACACGGGCATGTGCGCAGCATTGCACAGGGATTGGCCTGCCGCTCGTAACTGACTTTGGCCTAGGAGCGAAGGTTGGAGGTTTCTAGCGAGCTTGCCAGTCCCGCATTCCTCCTCGCTAACCTCTCCCACTTACTCGTAGTAACCCCAGTGAGCGAAGTAGACTGTCGACTAATCCCAGAACAGCAGGTCAGCGAAATGAGCATCGAGGGTTCGCCCCCCGTTCATGAATCGCTCCGGGGAAGGATGTCTTGGCTGGGCGAATGGCGCCATTGATGGTTGGCTTACCAGGCTTGGGGGTTGCTGCGGTCTCCCTGAACCCGGAGCAGCGGAATGGGGCCATGTCTTGCGCCATTGCCAATGGCAGAGGGCCAAGCCTGGGCGGCAGACAACTGGACATTTTCATTCAACTTTAATGGCCCCGATCAGCCGTGGTTCGCCGATCACGGCACCTTATTCAATATTGACATGATCTCTGCGGCTCATTGAATGGTCGTATTTGACCTCCCATTATTCTGGTCTGCTTGGTTCCCAATTGCCAGGTGGTCTACACAGTACACAGTATACGCAGTACGGCTTTTTCTTCATCATCAAGCATCATGGATACTGTCATTCCTTACTTAACACGGAAACCAACTCCGATCCGAGCAGCAAGCTTGGATCGCATGCAGTCCTGGGTCATCTGGATGGTGGAAACCACAGCCTCATCCACTGCGCCAGTTACCACCGCCCATTACACTTTGCGGTGTCTCAATGCACCAATACCAAGCTTCGTCATTCGCGAGGTACCACTCGTCAGAGTTTTCAAGTGGATTCGGGCAGATCAACCGAGCGCACCTGTGAGCTCTTTTCCCGAAAGCACGGATTATTTTTGACACGACATGGATTTGTTGTCACCAGGCAGAAGTATAAGGCCGGCCTCGTCGCGGATATGCGATGTACCGTACAGCCACCGCTCCGGATCCCCACCTTAGTCAACGCCTTCTTCCGACCTCCGATGGATCCTGATCAGACTGACGCGTTGCGTGTTTCGCATTGCTCTGTATATCATGTGGCGGATCACTTTGAGATCCATTCTGTGACGACTGGCCGATCTGAGTCGGCGCATTCGCAAGATGTGTGGATTGCGTTGTTTACGAATCTCGGATCTAGCCACGATCTTTGACCGGATCGGACGGATCACTTGATATTGGGCATGATGGGTACCTACTACAATAATTTTGGACTACTCATACTTACGCGATTAACTAGTGAACTTAGTTCTCTTACCCTGTGCAATATGCACAGGTATAGATCCGATCTCGAGCTTCGCGATGGAAATGGTTTACGCAGCTACGGAGCCTGCCAGCAGCTCAATGACTGAAGCAATGCCGACATCAATTGCTGCCGCTTAGCTTTCTATTTTTGGGGCATGCAAGGGAGTACTGTCCATGGCTACACTCAGCTTACTTTGATGTTGCAGCTGTCTCGGCTTTGATTCGGCATGTTTGAAGCCATGGCTCATTGCACAGTCGACAACACTACCAGCCGTGTCTGAGGCAACGTATCAGGCCTGCACGGAAGGCCTGCTCCATCATCTCAGACCACAGCATCAACAGTACCCACCTAAACCAGCAATCCCAGCCAACAGATATTACCCGCACATGTACCAAAGCTTGACTGCCGACTCCACCAACAGCTGCAGCAGCACATCCAACCTCACCGCAACCAATCTATTCTTGGTGCCCTTGTACAATGCCTAGGGAAGTAGATTATAGTATCAGAATTCGCCTCCATGTAGACCCCACGCCCAGCCATCGACCATAATCAGAATCATGCGTCCTACACAGTACAGCAGTGCAGATCACCAGCCTTAACATACTACTTACTCAATGTTCTCCACCAGACCCAGCCACGGGATCGTACGGCATCCACCAGACTATCTGACTCCAACTACTACTGACTACTGTATCTGATTAATCTAGTGGAGTGCCTGTATCTGATATATTAGGGGGTACGTGCTGCCCCTTTTGCCCTGACCCTTGACAGAAATTTCCATCCCATCCCCTATATCGGCTCTGTACTACAAGCAACTACTACTTAAGTAAGATAGTATAACCCCCGCCCCCACCTCCCCCAATAACAAGTAAGACAGACATCAGCACTGCCAAGACAGAACTGAAACAGGGGTCATCGGGACACGAGTGCGGAGATGGTTGGCATTACCCTGGCTAACTGCTTTGGGTGGCTAAGGGATCTAGTTAGACTGTCAGGGTGTATGATTGATACTGGTACGTACATCCATTTGTTATTTACATTGCGGAGTAGTACTCCGTACTAGTATTGGTAGATGGTAGGTAGGATGAAGTACTTTGCCAAGTCAAGTGATTCATTCACCAACAAATAACCATCACCTACATACCTCCTCTCTCTTTACAATTTATATAAAGTTTTGCTAGCTTCTCACAGTTTGGTACATATATTCTCAAAAAGTATTGTAGGTTTAGCTAACCACCTACAAAACATGGATACAGATATCTCAATCACTACATCCTCATCCCCCACTACTTGATGATATTATGAAGTATGAACACCGTTACCAACAATAACTACTAACGATGTACCTACCTCTCGAATCCTATCAGAAATATCGATTACTTTATTACTACTGTACTTATGTTTACTCCGCCCCCCAAACTAATCCCACCTCATCAAACCTCCAGACAAAACCAAGAACAAAAAGAATCTGATATAAACTTTACTCCAACCCTCCAACCCTCCAACCCTCCATCTCATCTCCACATAGGAAAAACAAAAAACAAAGACCAACGAATACTTAGGTAACCAACCCCAAATCCCAGAATGGCTTACACTATCACGCGAAACAAATACAGATATAGATGCAGATGTAGATGTAGATTCTCACTCGCATTCCTACATAAATCAAAGAGAAAAAAGTGAACATCCAGATCTACCAGAATAAGTATATTAAAACCTATATATCACATCCGGAAATATTAAAGAACGTAAATATGCCGTGAAATATTGTTCTTTTTTATAACTCTATAAGTAGAGGTAGTAAGTAGGTATGTAAGTGGAGAATTTACTCCGTAGTGTATATAATCTGATGTGGATGTTGGGGACTGGGGTGGCTGGATAAGTGGGGAAATCAGATCGATAGTTTGGCGGGGTTGTTAGGTAATATATTGTATGTTTGGCTGCATGTGTGATATATGGATGGAGATATGAGGGAGTTAATACTACTATTGGGTTTATGAGAATTGGAGGGATGTGATTTGAGCCTGTTAGGTGAGTTGTATTGGATGTTTCGATTGGTCGTACCGGCAAGTAGTTGGAGTTGAACGGCTTAAACAAATTCATGGATGAAAGAATAAAGCAATGGGATTAAGGACACAGGGATATATAGGTAGGAGATGAGCGACAACATCCAATCAATATCAATAGAGTACCGCCAAGGCAAAACTATCATCTAATATAACTGCGGAGCGCCGGTGGCGTAGCTGGGTTCGGTTCGGTTCGGTTCCATGTCCATTTCGATAATTACCCATCAAAAGAACATTGTAATTCGGGTACTGTCACAGGCCCAACTCCATTGTTTCAAAAAACTGTATATAGGTATATGCAATGTAATGACATCAACAAACCAGCTCGCTATGCATCATGTCGCGTGATCGTATCACATCACAAAAAGCAAATTGGTATCTGTTCCGCGATCGATTAGCCAAGGTCCGAGAACTAGTGCTGCACTGTGTTAAACCCACCTAAAGGATGACTGCAGCTCAGCTGCGGCTTCTGGGTGTATTTTCCTTCCAGTTCACTGCGGATCGAATTCAATAGGACCAGGTAGCTCTGGTTTGGTCGTGCTTGTAGGGTTTTGATGAATGCCCAGCTAAGGGCTCCTCGGGCTTCGCCGTCTTGGAATGTGTCCGCGCTGTGATTGTGAGTGGGTGTAGATGCAGAGGGGGGTTGTGGGGATACTTACGAGGTTTGGGTGTCTTTGGAGCCGGAGAACATGACCACGTCGGCAGGTGAGGTCTTCGTCATCACGGTTCGTTGGCGCGCGGTGTCGCCGTTGGCTGCTTTCTTGAAAAACCCGATGGCTGTTTGGGCGACGCTGCTGAGATCGCCTTTGCCGTAGGAGTTGATGGCGCTGAAGAGGTCCATGGCTGCCTCTTTGGCCAGGTTGGGTTCCTTTAGAATACCTTGTGTGGAGTAGACGTAGGGGAGGTCGAGGGCGGTTCCGGAGTGGCAGGAGTCGAAGATGGCGGTTAGACGGACACCGGGGCGTAGTGGACGGACCCTGGCTTGTCAGTGTTGTCTCAAAAGTATATGGAAGAATGGCTTACATGATGGCGTGCATGTCGTCATCGACGATGTGTCCGGCGGTACGGTAGTCCAGGGGGTAAATGACATCGTCGTAGCCTGAACCGTTAGCGGAGCCTCCTGAAACATTGGAAAGACTTACCATCTTCCTCGTCACCATCGAGATCGGGCGTGCGACCACCGTGTCCCGAAAAGTGGATGAAAAGAGAGTCGTTGGGCTGCGCGTCCTTGACCAGCCATTGCATGGCTCTAAGGATATTGGCCTTGTTCGGGATGCTCATCGGGTTCTGCTGGTCATCCGTGAGAATGACCATGTCCTCCCTGCGATACCCGTACTTCTGGTTCAGGAACGTGGACATGTTGGTAACATCGTTGATGCATCCGCGCAACTGGTTCGGTTGTCCGATGTAGTTGATTCCGATCAAGAGGGCTTTACGCCGGCCGGTACAGTTGGAGTATTGGAAGCGGTAGTTGGACGGGGCGCCCCCGCCAAAGTGCTGCGCCTCTTGAGGCGGGCGGGGCGGCATGTTCGAGCCCCATGATGGCGAGTGATCTATAAACGTTAGTCTGCTCTCGGTCGATTTGCTATAGGAAAGGAGCTTACTGTGGTAAGATCGTTGATAAGACGAGGGGGACTGAGGTGGCGGTGTAGAGGAATGGTGTCCATAAGGCGAGGGAGACGGGGTCGGGTAACTACCCGGAGGATAGTAGTGAGATGGCGGGGGACCGGGCGGTGGAGAGTAATGAGAAGTCGGCGGGGGCCCTGGAGGAGGCTGGTATTGCGCGTTGGACGAATAGCTATACCATGGTCAGTGGAGGATTCTCAGAGGTGTTCTGGCGGGCGGGAACCGACGGGTAATTGTAAGAAGGCGGGGGTTGATGCCACGATTGTTGACGAGGGTGGTCCCCAGACCAACCCTGGTGCGAGGGGTGGTGGTGGTACATCAATTAACTCGGGAAGAGGGTTCGATGGACGTGAAGTGCGCTGCGAACAAAAAGTCGCGATGTATTCAATCCCCAGGGGGAAACCGGGGTTATAGGCGTAAGCGACGAGGGGTGGTGGTCTGTGTGTTTGTGCGGAGATAAGACGGCTCAGTAGTCAGTAGTCGCTACTCGGTTATCAAGATAGGTGGAGATAACTGATCCACCGCGACTGCTCTGGAGAAGAGATCCGGACCTGCTTTGGCGTTTCGATGGACTGGAGAGAAAAAGAAAAAGGAGGGGAGAAAGACGGTGACAGGGAGGGATTTAAGGAGGATGAATTGGATTCCCTGGCCCGTCACAGGGCTGGCTGATGCCCCGTCCCCACCCCAGGGGCCGTTCTGCCATTGGCCGGCTGCAACGGCGTGGGTCGTGCACGAGGCGTAGGGCAGAAGGCATTTGATGGGATTGGACCATGTCTTGTCCCCCTCGGGATTTCGGCAGTTCACTCATTCCTCAGGCCTCTCATCGAGTCATCTCTCATCTTCTGGTCATCCTGAAGCCATGGATGGTATAAAGTATGGAGTAGAGGTCTCGACCCGAAATCGGGATCTTCAGTCTTCAGTCGTCAGTCTTCAGTATTCAGGTCTGCCCTCGAAATGATTCTTCCACTTGACCAACCACTGCCGATCCACCCCTTGGCTCCAGCGTGACTGGAGTAGTAATCTCGCCCGAGACTTGTCGCATTACGTTGCCCGACCCCGATAAGAGCCACTGCGACCATTGACCAAACTGCGGTCACTGGCCACGTCCCTACCGGGCAACCTTCCGGAATGTTCGCTGCAGCCCTCGTTAGGCACCAGCCAATCCCATCCGGATCTGGTCCAATGGGTTGGCCCGCCGAGACTGGTCACTGGGCGATGACTTCTTGGCTTGCGACATGGCGGGTAGGGCGATCAATACTGTCACAGTAGGAGTGGGCAATCCGGGCAACCCGGGCAATCTGGGGAGGACTTCTGAGTTCTGAGGAGTCAAGTCGGTCGGTGGTGGATTGGGGCACTGAAGGCGGGGCATTAGTCTTAGACTTATTTGTTGGCAATCGACCGCTGGAGTTGTACACGCCTGGGCTTTTGCACTCTTTGCACTCTTTGCACTACAATCACATTCGGGTGGTGTCACCTGACAAAGGCAGGCTGTCATCTGCGTATCCCTGGCATGCTCGTTTTTCGACGTTACGCAAACCTCACCACGGATACAGTCAGCTTGGCACCACTCATCCTCGAGTACCCTGGTGCTCGTCGGCTTCCTTCTTATACATCTGATGTCGCCGGCGCTTGTCTATCGCTTTCAGAAGTTTGATCCAATGTTCAGCCGGTTGGATCCAAAATATCAGCACAGCATGCATCTGAACCGGGTCGAAACCAGTATACTGTGCAACACTACCATGGTTCTCGGGCCTAGATTTCTAACATTGATCGATTCACCTACCGGGCAGCCGGGGTAACAACTCGACCCCTCTTTATACTCTACCGGGTCACCATTTCAGATCCCCGACATCTTCGCTGACGCTGACTGTCTTCCAAGCTTACACTTACTCCGCAAGACTCTCGGCTAGCCTTGCCTCTCGTGACCAACCTTGGCGCTTTGAACGGAATCAGCATGGCGTACGCCCTTGACAGCAACAGTCATCAAACGAAGCAAGCAGCGCTGCAGCAGGGATGCTCACCTCATCCGCTCGGACTTCCATGGCTCCACGATCCGTCAGATCCGGCTGCTCTGTGCAATTCTTGGCAGGCCGATAGGAACGCCTTCGCTTTCAAGCTTGCCAGATCATGGAGCATCGGGCGATTCTGCGTGGCCAGATAATCTGGTGATCGACCACGATGACGACCAGGCTGGATATGTCACAACCCCCGCAATCAAAACATGGCAAGTGCTTATCTGGCCGGCATATATCCTATTGGCAGTGAAACGTACCACGGACCACGCGTTGTCGCACGCTTATGGCAATCCGCAAGGCTGTTGGCAAACAAGTGATCCCGCATCCTCGACATGAGCGCTTATCCATCCAGGGTCCAGAACGCGACCAATCCTGGGGCCTAGATGTTTGGCCTGGAGTGGTCCAAACGTGCAGGCCTCGGGTCTCCGTGCGTCCTCCGGTGGTGCTCGGTACCTGTTTCAGGCTTCCCGAGCCTGTTACGCATGCTCGAGGCAGTGCAAGCGGGGTTGGTGCATACCGCGGGATGTCACCGGTCTTCTCACCATTCTCTAGCCGGGGGGGGGGGGGGACACTCCTAGCCTAGGAGACTAGGAGACTAGGAGTTCTAGCAAACTGGGATCGGAGGATCAGGAGCTTGCTGATGGAGGATCTTCATGCGGATGCAGGATGACCCTGACGTAGCTCCTGAATACGGTTATCACCCGACCAGGCTGACCGGTGGTCAGTATGCGCGATATACCCACTCGTGCTCCGTAGTGCCGCCGGTTAATAATGAAAGGGGCTGCACTAGACTACTAGTCGAGTGATCAGATATGGTAGGCTGTAGCCTCACGGTGGTCGGCCTGAGGCAGGAACCCGGCCCGCCAAGGTCGCCGTTTGCGTCGCCAACCTGGATTCTGGTGGCCATTATTAATCACCCTCGAGTCCTTTCAGCCTCCTCTTTGAGGAGCTAAATTAGCTCAAAGTTTCGTATTGAGATTAAACCCACCGAAGAGGGGGATCCAGTAACCCAGTTGGGCGATCGGGGGGGGAGGCACGCGGCTCCGCAGGTGACGCGGAAAGGCTTGGGAGGCTGCAAAGAGCCAGGTCCGATCCCATCCCATCGGACCTTCGTGTCGTCAGATCCGGTCGCCTCCTTGCGTAACTCCGGCAATTCCTCATCAAAATGAGGCTCCAAATCCGGTGAGTTGATGCGACCTGTGTTGCAATTGCTGGCTGCTGCTTGCTTGTGCCTAGGTAGCTGGTAGCTGGTAGCTGGTTGCTGGGCCGATTGCTAACCGGAGGCAAAAGCGGGCTAAAATTAGCGGCGAGCTCCCCGAGTAATAATGGCCCTGCCTAATGGCCCCTCGTCACTGGCTCACTCGCCTGCTGGAATTCAGCTGGGCGGTGCCACGGCTCACTCCAGCACAGCCTTGCCCAGGTGTCCCCGGCAACAACAATCAGGTCCTTTTTCGCGTTCTTCCCTCCGGACCCCCTAGAAGTACCTAGGTACTAGGTTTGTAACACCCCCTCCCCCCTTTGGGAGTTCCCGCTTGACCGCTGGTCCAGGGCAAGGATCATCATTAGTATTGTCGCACTCGTGCCGCTTGGACAGTTGGACTATTGCTAGGCTCCTGATCCATTCTCGTTGGCCTCCTTCCATGCTATGCCGCCGCGTTCCCGGAGCCAATAAGACCGCTTCAGCCGCCCGGATATCCACTTTGTCTCTTTCGCCCCCGGAGTTCCATCGAAGCTTAGGATAACAGGCAGAGCCTCATCCCCCATCAGCATGAGTACAACTTAAATTATGGGAGCTGGCGAACAGCTCCCGGCCAGACACGTCCATATGTCCGTTGCATGCCTGTTCGCTGTCGAAAAGTGCTGTCCACCAAACTCTAATCATCTGATTGTGGATTGGCCCACACTCCCTATACCACAATTATCTGCCAATTCCAACAACAGTGAATTAGAGACTGGGGATTCACTCCTGAGCACATATCTGTTATAGTTGGATCTCTTGATAACACACCCGTGGGGCTCTGCGCTATTTTAATCTCATCTCACGCCCGTCATTTACTTCCGATGATATAACATCGGTGTGGCAGTGCTCGCTTTCTCCTTTGTATGTGGTTTCCGGCCCGCAGTTCACCATGGTCGTCGCCGCCATGGCCAAGAATTTGGACTGCATCCCATACGATGTCTTCTACCAAGTGGCTTCCACTCTGGATTGTCAAGATCTCGTCCATCTCAGTCGCGTCAACCGCACCTTGAACCATTTGATCCAGAATGAGTCGATCGCACGCAAGGCAATTCAAGTAATTAGATCCATTGCCTTGTGAAGTATGCCTACTGACAGTCACAGAATGATCTCCTACATACCAAGGAAGGACAACAGGCAAGCCAGGCCAAAACTGGATATCGCAATGCTCTTGGGCGTTTGTTCGACATTAAGGAATCGTTCGCTACCGCACAGCCATATTCAGCCTCCATTCTAGCGTACGGGAGTTCCTTTCTCTACAGTGATGGCTGCCTGTGTTACATCTACAACGAGGAAATTCGGCTCTTGGATGTGCACGGTGCCAGTCAAGTGGAACAGGTGCTGAACATTCAGAATGTTCTGTCCCGTGCAATTCCTGATTGCAACCCACAGGAGGACACCATCCAGATCTGCCCCATGCATTACAGTGACGGGATCCTGGCGTTCACAGTCGAGCTTGTAGATCGACCCGATGCCTGGCTTCTGGTCATGGACATGCGCCGCAAGGTCGAGCACAAAAAGAGCGGCCGACTCCGTCTGTTGACCCAGCTCCGACACACGCGACGGTTGTTTGTCCGACATAATGGCTCCTATCTTTACTATGGAACGCACACGGCCATGGGCGATCGTGGCTTTCCGCAATGGGCGATCAATTGCGTGGATTTGAAAAAAGGTCAACCCACGATTGACAAGCCTGTTGTGCTCGAAAACTTTGCCGGGAGTGAGGTTGGCCAGACCGTGTGTTTTGAGATTCACCAGGATCACCTCTACGCCGTGTCCACGCTGGTGGATTTCGAAGCCGAGGAAGTCGATTGGACCTCATACTACGTCTGGCTGTGTCTCTCCCCCCAAGCCAATGACAAAAAGCGATACATCATGCCCAACCGCACTTGGCGACGTCAGCACCGCGAAGGCCCGATTAACGACACCTGGTCGGATCTCACCCTGCGCCACGATGAGGCCACCAAGCGACTCATGATCCTCGAATGTCGCCGGGAATGGCGCGATGGCGGCAGTGAGAATGCACGCACGTATTACATGCAGCCCTTGCCGTCGCCCGCCGAAGTGGCCCAGCAGAAACAGCAAGGATCGGGGGCGGCGCCCAACATCACCCCCGTGGCCCTCCCCGACGAACCCCTAACCAGAACCCTCGACTCCACTAACAAACCCAACTACGAGCCCCCGCGCAAGCGTCTGCGCCGACACTTTCACCAAGAATACGCCCAGGGTGTGGAGCCAACCCAACGGCGTGACTACATCCTCGCCAAAACCAAGTTCCGCAGCTACAACCTCTCGGCTTCTACCTTTGTGGATTTGGTGAATGACCCCTCCCCGGAGAGGCCCGGCAGCTTCATCTCACACGACCGCCTACGGGTCCGCGTCGTGTCTCGCAAACGCAAATGTCCCATTGACGAGGCCGGGGACGAAGGCGAGCCCGGCTTGCTCTTCCGCCCGGAACTCAGCAACGCCGATGGCCAACCTATCGAGCACAGCGAAGAGCGCTATGCCTCCCGCGGGGTCAGTCTGTGGCCACCCGACGATGCGCCACGGGAACTGACTCAGCTGCTGTGCCCATCGAAGCGTTGTGGCCCCGTCCAGGCAGCCGCCGACGAACGGTCCCTCGTGTACTCGGTCGACCAGGAAGGGCTGGAAGGGACGGGAAACCAAGCGATCGTGCTGATCAATTTCGACCCATCGCTGCGACTGCCCGGCTTACAGAGGATGGATCTGACCCGCGGTGGAGCCGTGGCCACAGACGAATGCAAGGCGGCCGTTGGGATGGAGAGACCATCCATCGGAGACATCGGACGCGAACGGTTCGGCGTGCACACGAGTGTCGGCAGTCGCAGGACGAACCAGCCAATGCCATCTGTTCGGGAGGAGAGGGCCATGTATCTTTCCATTCGGCGGGGGTATTGGCTTCGATAGCACTGCCTGCCTGCGTGCCGTGAGGCTGTGCTGTGCTGTGCCGTGCTGTGCCGCCGTGCGTGATGGTGGGCGAATGTCTGAGACAGGTCTCAACATATGATAATATCCTAGAATAGACAAGACGATAATGAATACTATGATAGCTGAATATTTCAAATCTAATTTTCAATATGAATATGGAATAGTAGTGTGGTTGTGGTTGGGAGTGAGTGAGCTGATCGTAAGCTTACCTTATCTTGTGCTTACGGCTTACTCTTGAGTGGGCTTACTCGCAGGGAAGTTTAAACCTCCGCCTGAAAACAAACATCGTAGATTGGCTACCTCGTCTATCACAAAATGTTATACCGACTAGTTATTCTGAGACGACCGAACTGGTTTCCTTTTTGATTTAGGCCAACTTGGCGCCTCCTTTTGCGTCTGGGCAGTTCAGGGTATAAGTAATAGTGGTACTAGAATTCTTTAACGTGTGGCGAGAAGGGAGGGAAGACGGAACCTTACAATCCTTATACTTGAATACAGGGTTTGTAATATCTAATATCTATCTTTCTTAGACCTCCATGGGATATAATCACGTGTCAAGCTCAGGAATTATATAGAACAACCCAAGATGATTATTTCAAGCTAATGCAGAGCCTGGAGCTCGGTCGATTGACAGTATCTCTGATCTTGTCGACTGCAGTGAAAAGTAGTATTGTCCAATAGAACATGATATTTGTCGATTACCTAGACTGAGGTAATGCAAGTCAAAATAGAGAGTGTGTGAGGTAGTTTCTATCCATGGGTAGAGAGATGTGACAGTGGTGGGAATTCAAACCCACAATTTACTGAACCCGGGGTATAAGATGGGCAGAAAAGTGTATATATTTGATCTCACTGCAAGAGCAATCAATCCTAGAAGGGAAAATAAAAATGGAAATAAATGTGATCATGAACATTTACCTGAACTAATACAGCGGAGACTAGTAATATGACTTGAATAACATTCGAAATCTCGATCTTCAATTGTTGCTCTCTTTTCCTTCTTTCACCATCCTTCACTCATGTGAGTCACTGCGTTCTCTTGCACCAACGTACTTATCAATCCGTGTGTGAGATTACTCTCTTCTTTTCTATCAAGGCAAGTCCAATCCCACCCTCATCCGATACTTGATCATCCTCACCAATGTCATCGCCATCGCCCCCACCTCTCGACCAACCCGCGCAGCAACTGCACCGCGGAGGGAGATGTTCGGGATTTAATACTACGGGGGAAGAGAGGACCTAATATTAATAAGCATGAGGGCATCCGGTAGATAAGGGATCAGGTACATTTACCGGTGAGGCGCTATCAAGGCGGATGTGGTCATACCGCCGCTAAATCTGGAGCACAGCAAAGCATGCAGAGCATCCGTTTCACCAGCTTCAGGCCATGCATCTGAGTCCGATATGCTATCTACACTGTAACACAGAAGAGATCCCAACGGGAATTTACTTATCGGGATCGCTCTACGTTATCAGTCTATCAAGGCGGAATATACAGTTCCGCCTGCTGCTGATAATGTATCACCACTTGTATCACCATGAAGTTGAAATATAAATACGTCGTTTCCATGCAAGAAGCCACATTCTATTCCCTTCTCCAAACCGGTCAGCAGCAGCATGCGTCAACAATCTCACTGGAAAAGCCTCTGCGTCGCTACGCTTATCACCACCGGCCACTGCACCGGGGGCCTCTTGGCTGACCTGCAGGGTAAGTTACTTGAAACCTTTTGTTAGATTTAAGTTCCATTAACTGATTCCCCCAGTGGACCTCCAAGACTGGACGGCCGCATACAACCGATCGGTCTCTGTCGTCGCTGGACTGTCCAATGCCGACAAAATCCGGCTGATCTCCGGTCAAAGCGTCCCCTCAATCGGCTTCGAGGCTCTGGCCAGCAACGATGGGTCCCAGGGACTTGAGAGTGACTTTTTTGTTACCTCCTTCCTGGAGTCCTCGGCCATGGCCCAGACCTGGGACCCGGACCTCATCCAAGCCGGGTTCTATGCGGTGGGTCAGGAGTTCTACGCGAAAGGGTACAACATGATCAACGGACCGACCACCGGACCACAAGGCCGCACGCCCTGGAGTGGCCGACTGGTGGAAACGCTGGGGCAGGATGTATACCTGGCCGGCATCGCGTTTGGTCGCGCGACCCAGGGCCTGCGTGAGGCGGGGATGATCCCCTGTGGCAAGCATTTCCTGCTGAACGAACAAGAAACCAATCGATCCGAGGTCTACTGGGGCAACAACGCAGTGACCTACCCGCGCAACAATACGGCGTATTCCAGCAACGCCGACGACAAGACCCTCCACGAAGCCTATCTGTGGCCCTTCTACGACGGGGTCAAGGCCGGTCTCGGCGCCGTCATGTGCGGCATGAATCGGGTCAATGGGAGCTGGTCGTGTGAGAGCTCCGACCTGCTGAACAAGCTGCTCAAGACCGAGCTGGCCTTTCCAGGCTTCGTGACCCCGGACACCTCGGGCCAGCACACTGCGCTGGGATCGGCAACAGGAGGATTGGACTCGGGGGCTACTAGCTTCTGGCACGATGCCTCTCTCTTGCCCGCCCTGGCCAACGGCAGCTTGACGCAGGCCCGCCTCGATGACATGGCGGTGCGGAACCTGATGCCCTACTTCCACGAGGGTCTGGATCAGAAGCCCCGCGTGCCCCTGAGCGCCGCGACGGACCCGGTCGATGTCCGTTCCAACCACCGGGAGCTGGTTCGCCAGGTCGGCGGCGCGGCCATCTCGCTCCTCAAGAACACCCAGCAGACGCTACCTTTGCAGCGCCCACGGTCCATCGCCGTCTTTGGCGCCAACGCGCGACCCTCCCCACTGGGGCCCGGCACCACCATGGACGACGTCCACAACCACAAAACCTGGAACGGCCACCTCGTCTTCAGCGGCGGCTCCGGCATGGGCAGTCCATCCTACCTGATCACCCCCTACGACGCACTCCTCACCCGGGCCCTCACCGACGGGACCCAGATGATGTGGGCCATGGAGGACGCACTGGCCTCGGAGGACTACATCGCCGTCACCGGCACAACGGGGACCTCGGCGGCGCCCACCTTTGCCGGCTACGCCGCCGCAGTCGAGACCTGCCTGGTCTTCATCAACGCATGGAGCGGCGAGGGCAACGACCGCGTGGAGCTGCGCAACGCGGCGCAGGACCGCATGATCCTCGAGGTGGCTGACAATTGCAACCGGACTGTGGTCGCCGTAACCACCGTGGGGGCACGGCTTCTCGACACCTGGATCGACCACCCGAACGTCACCGCCGTCCTATACTCCTCACTACTAGGCGAACAATCCGGCCAGGCCTTGGTGGACGTACTATACGGGGCAGTCAACCCCTCGGCCCGACTAACTCACACCATCGCCCGCCACGAAACCGACTACCCGGTCCCCATCTGCCTAACCGCCGACTGCGACTTCCACGAGGGCGTCTACCTCGACTACAAGTACTTTGACCGGTACAACATCACCCCACGCTACGAGTTCGGTTACGGCCTCTCCTACACGAGCTTCGCCTACCTGCCAAATGACAACAGCACCAACATCCCCGCCATTACCTACGTCAACACCACCGCCCTCGCCCACCGCACCGCCCAGGGGCCCCTCGCCCCGGGCGGCCCTACAGATCTATGGGACGAGGTCCTGCATGTAACTCTGCAGATTGCCAACGGGGGGCCCCAGGCCGGCGCCGAGATCGCCCAGCTGTACGTCACGTTTCCGGACGAGGCGCGGCAACCGATCCGGCAGTTGCGTGGGTTCCAAAAGATCTTCCTGGAGGTCGGGGCGAGTGGCTCCGTGCAGTTCGCCCTGCGCCGTCGGGATCTGAGTTATTGGGATGTGCGGACACAGATGTGGACGGTGGCTCGTGGCGAGTATACGTTCTGGGTGGGGGCGAGTAGTCGTGATTTACGGGGGTGGGTGAAATATACCATTTGATTAATGCTTTTCTCTAGTCCCTACCTCTCTTTCGAGAGAGAGATACGGAAGCTAGTAACGAAGAGAATGAAGAGAACGGCATAGCTACATACATCTAAAGACATGAATATATTCCATCTCGAGAATATAATTCACGGGGTTTATTAACCCCCCAGCCACAATCCCAATTTTATCAAACCCAAGTTAATTCATATACAAGAATAAGTAGAAACCTGCCTTTATATAATCCCAGCCGTTGATAGAAAAGAATAAAAACAGAGATAAATCCAAACTCATGACGCGCGCCTTTATTAATAGTTGAAAGTGAACGAGGTCAGTTTCACCATGAATGAAGAAATAAATGATTCCAGATATAAGTCACTCACTCTCAATAAACCCCTATTCAAGGTAGTGTATGGTAAGTAGTAAAACTGATTTTCCTATTTGTTTTGTTCCATATACTGTGAAAGTTCTGGAATGTATGCTTCTTGCTGAAAGATTCCGTCCTGGAGGATAAGATATATTGTTAGAAAGGGCTTGATGGTATATTTAGTTAGTTGGTTATTTAGTTAGGGAAAAACATCTTCCGTAAATTACTATCTATATCCAAGTATGCAGGCATACGTATCCCCCTTTTGTCTCGTGTATATGAATGAGTACATGTTGTATGTATCTACAGCTAGTTTCTATTCCAGATATTTGGATTTATCTCCGGGTGGGTTATTATCTCCTCGAAGGTGAGAACTAGCCATGGTTAGATGAGTAGTCATTCAAATGAGCACAGGGAAATACCATACGGAGAACCAAAAATCCGAAATAAGAAGACAGTCTAATACCATAACTAGATCTGATACCTCGGATATGAACCAGTCTCTCCACGTTATTCCCATCCCGACGCCTCCTAAAGCATGTTATGGATATCCTCTATGACATTCAATCGCATTCAGCTAGTCCCGAATACATTATTCCCGACATAGTAGCAGCGCTTCAATCAATGGAACTACCACAGGTCCCCATCCTTGCACTGAATATTTAATCAGCTTTCTTCTCATGACATAATCTTCGAACTCTAATGGGCTGATGTTGGAATTTATAAGCGCAAAAAAAAAAAAAAACACAATACGATGAAGACAAGCTATACAGGAGCTGGAACTAGAAATAGGACATGTTGATGATCTCTTATATAGCGTGGGAGGTCCCCGTGAGGGAATCAGAGGAAATTTTAGGCCGCCTAAGTCTATCTGTCATACATGGAGGCATCTCAAGCACATAAGTATATCCACAAGCCTTGATATATGTGCAACCAGGAGTCTCCGAACATTGTATAGAGCGTTCGATCCTGAATATAGAGAGTATCTTAGTGCCTTAGTAGGCCGCTGACTGTTTCTAGAACCTACTAATACCTCCAGACATCCCGCAGATCAAAATATGTAGTATGGATGCGGTATCAAAAGTCATCACTCGGGGCCAAATAATCCCTCGAATTGCTTGTCCGGTCTGCTGTTTCAAAATAACGTCGCGTCCTTTCGGTGTCTCTAAGTATCGACTCATCACTATGAAGACCTCATGTAGAGCCGCTTTACAAATGATAGAATTAGGGCAAGGCGGGGTCATACTAATCAACCAGTGAAGATTCCCCGGGGGAAAGATATGTTTGAGGTCGAGGGGTTATTCTCTGTCTTATCCCAACTCATACTCCTAGATTTCGAGGGACTCGTAAGATATATATGTCCTCTACTAACGTAACTATTAACCTGTTGAGGTCCAAAAAATTGGTACAAATAGCAAAAGAGGCGATTACTGGGTGGATGCTCAAGAGGTGTATGTATGACAGCTATGTATCGTGTACTGTGTATGTCTGTGACAATACGATGTTACACCCCGAACTCATCCTCAGAAACCAGGTGTCCTTTTCCTATAGCATACAAGCTCAAATCCCCAATTCTTGAGCTTCTAATTAAGAGCCCTCGGAAACCAAACCTATCTATATCTAGAATAAAATAGCTTTAAACACCCCCAAAAACACAAAATAGACGTACAAAAAGATATGACAAGGGTGGGATTCGAACCCACGCCCTTTCGGACTGGTGGTTTGGTAATACCTAACTGGAGGGCTATTAGTATTGGGAACGTAATGTAGTGGACAAGTTAATACTGACAACCAGCGCCTTAGACCACTCGGCCACCTTGCCCCTAAGGTAAAAGTAGGGAATTTTTTATGATATATGTAGCCACAACGGGTACTAAAAGCATGAACAGCGTCGAAACAGTGGTGTTTCTGCTATGAATTCATCATGGTTTTCTATTTTGGAGCTAGAAAATTAGTAAGCTTTGGGTTATAGCTGCGCTGTGGCAGGCTTTTACGAGGTGAGGTGTTTATCCGTGTTTCTTGGGGCTATGACATACTATCTTTGATGGCCATGGAAAAATGCTGCTATTCCGCTAACCTTCTCGCAATCTTGTTAACTAAAGTGCCCCAACACTTACATAATCATTGGTCTAAAGAGTAATACAACCCATCAATAGTAGAATACACCTCTCACTCGCATCCGCAGCCTGGGACTACATATGCGGAATCATCTCTCCAGATGGAGATTACTATAGAAAGCGGATTCTTCACCCGATATAAAAAACATTCATATTTTGAGCTGTAAGCTCCTTGCTGGCGGATTATAGTGGCGATAGGTTTCCCCTACACAATAGTATAAAACTTCCATACTCTATCTCTTGTCCCCGAGTTCATAAGTTGGAATACTCGGGGCATAGGCCTAACTCTACTGGGGATTCTTGCTGTTCGTGTTTGGTTTTGTAAGACTTGGTTCGCGCATCTACTTAGAAGGGGCTGAGATTTGTAGGTTTAGTCTATATTGAAACTAGCTACCCGTCCATCACAACCAGACCGCCAGATAATGAGACAATGAGGCAATGAGGCAATGAACCAGCTAAACAACCAGCTAGAAAAACGGATACACAGGCAAAAAGAAACCAATAACAAAATACAGAAAAAAGAAAACGCAAACACAGTAGACGCAAAGTAAAACTCTCGCAGTTTCCTAGAACGTATAGTGATAGATTAATTCCCCAAGAAGCAGACGGAGACCTAAGAATATTGCGAAACAACTGCTTGACAGCATCATGTCCAAGCGGAGCATGTACTACTCTTAAGCTTTTCCCTTTCCGCCCTTTTTCCCCGATCATCCTATCAAAAGCGAAGACAATCCGAAAATAAATAGAATGTTGTGCAAGGCCGTTGGGAGGTGCCACAGTGCATTGACCTCCTGCTGGTATGAGACACCGAGCCTGGTGAACCTAGTATCAGTGTCTGCATGTATTATCCACATCAACTGACAGAAGGCGACTATTAAGAGGTAGACTAGCACTAGCCCTAGAGTCACGACGCCGGTACCCTCGCAAGAGTCGGTCGAGTATCTTGACGATAACATGTATGTTGCTTGTAGCCAACCTATATGATCCTCTGAGGAGAGTAACCTAATAAGGAGTTGATTCATACTGTAATCTGCTAATATGAACAGGCTAATAGCCTGGCATAATCCTCACGCTAATATTCATATCTTGCTTTTACAGCAAGGCTCATACCAAGTCAACCGGTGCAGTATGGTCATATGAAATGTCAAGTGATACTATTGTGTAGTCCATGATGATGTGTTGAGTGGACTTGTACTATAGTTCTGCAATCTGGGCCCTAAGACACTGCCTAGTTATTAGATGTGATTCGTGCCCTCCTAAGCCACAGTAACCTTTGAGTATCATGCACTCTGTCAGGCAGTGCTGTTCAGGTAACGCACAGCGGGTACAGACCTCTTGCACACATCCAGAGAGGCTCGGTCACAGTAGGCCGGAGTCATACATAGTGCGACCATCCCAGCCTATCACAGCCAACAGCCCAACGTCATAAGTACGTTTTATATTGCTTTCCAATACTAATGATACCTAACTGAAGCGATCGAATAACTTGAGGAATATTGATACTGTGGCTCTGAAATTCCGATATGATATGCACATCTTTATGACCTACTCGAACATCGAGTCAGTCAAAATTTGAAGTAGTAGTAATATTTTAATTTCTAGCGTGATTATTTCCAGCCCTATCCGACAATATATCTTTGCCCCCATTTCCCATCTACCAAAGTAAAATCTAGATACTACATCTCTAGAGTCCCGTATCGACTACTACCTTAGAGATGAAACATCTCCAAGCCACAGTCCTACTTTCCTCACCGTCAGGTAACCCGAAATCGAAAACAATAGCATTCACAAGGGAGACCCCTCATCACAAAAAAACCCCGACAAACCATGCCAGCACATGAGGCCGTCAAGGTCGTACTGTGTGCAACCCTAGAAAAACGATGAGGGTCAGCTGTCAAGTCCTACACATGAGCGACCGTTGCAAGGCTGACAACTTGGTCAGGATCCGACATCCCCAGCTTACTTGATTTCCTAGCTTAAAGGCTGCACCAAGTTCCTCGACTTTCCACATCTCCAACCATCCATTTCTCTCCTCCCACTACAGTCTGTCAAGCAAAGACACCACAACTCTTGATCCTCCAGTTCGGCTGTCATCTGCCTCCTTTTCTTATATAATACCACGGTCGGTAAGGATGTCCAGTGACCTTCGAGCTCCGAGAAACATTCATGGACTTAGACTGACTGGCTCCGGGTCATTCTAGAACTTCTCCATGGATCGTTCGGAAGACCCTGAAAAGCCTCCGGCGAACCCGCCAAAAACACCGGAGAAACCCCCCCCAGCAGGCTTTTATCGAGCCTCCGCCCCGGCCTTCAAAATCCAATTCCAGCGTTTATACCAATTGCCAGAGTCTTGGGTGCGGGGAGACTCAGGTCAAGCGTGGGATGTTGTGCCCTAACTGTAAATGGATGGTGATTTAGCAGTGGTGTGTTGTGGATCTGGATGTTGTGTTCGGGGTTGCTCGTTTGCATTCCATTCTTCCAAATTGTCGGTTCTCTAATGTATGAATTGGTTATAAACCATTCTTATGTAGAACTTGATTTCAAGAGTAATATTGGAACTAACTAGCAAAATACTGCTATTTCAATCTGTCACCCCCTGCCTATGAAAAAAAAAAAGAAAAAAAGAAAGTAAAACAACCTTTAGTTGTCTTCGGCAAATCCTTCCAGCACCTTGGAGTAAAATCCAGCCTTGCCTTCCTCATACAGACGCATCGCATTAGCTATATGCTGGCGCTGAGTATCCTCAAGCGCGGTTGAGAGCCGGTGTCCCGAGGTAAAGCCTTTTTCCTCTTCGATTTGTTTCACAATGGCGATATAATGCTCTCGATCAGCAAATCGTTCCTTGAGTACCGCATCCACCGGGCAACCACTCTCATCATAGTTCCACGGGACATCCATAGCTGGAGGAACAACTGTGAGACACAGAGCAAAGAGGGCTGCAAGCTCACATGGGGCTGCAAATGCTGCCTTCCAATCAAGAACACCAAGCAAATGGAATTTATCGTCAAACACGGTCTTGGCATGGCCGAAACGACCATGGCACATGCGGAACGGACCCGTATTATTGACTGAGATATACTCGGCTTTCTCTCCCAGCAGTGGCTTGAACGCATCCACAGAAGCTTCTATCTCATCGGCAAGATTGAGTGAGGCGGCTCGAAGTTGATCTCGGGTTGAACCAAACTTCTCATGAATAGAACAGGCTTTGTAGTACTCGGCAGTAGTGTCAAATGGACCCCCAACACCTGGTGCTGGCCCAATCTGATAGGTGCCATCCTCATTCTTTCCGACAATCGATCCGAATTGTGGCAGCTCAATGTTGTAGATCTCAACCTAGACTATAACTGATTAGAATACTGATATCTTGCTAGTAGAATCACATACCTGGGCTTCTGCCAGCGCAGTATAGATTGACAACTTATGTTCAGGAGGAATATCCTGACACATTTTGATTCCCGCATTGCCGTTGAAACACTCCATGAACATGAATGGCACTCCGACACTGTTCTCGGGGTAGTCCTCATACACATAGATTGTAGGCGCGGGAACCTTGGATTTCTCTTGAACAAGACGAATGGTCATGTACTCATTCTCCATTTGTCCCCAAGTCATTAGACCAGAATCAGAAGATGGCATCCGGAGCTTCGCCACCCATCGTATCTAGTCCTCAAACTCCAGAATGCGAATCACATGGTTTCATCCATTAGCGACTTCCGGTAGCAACTTGCATTCCAATCCGTCTCTCTCCTTACTAGCACGCCGAATCAATGCATCCCAGTTAGTGGTAGCCAGGAATTTCTCAATCCGTTGGCCCAAGCTGCCTCTTATCTCAGAGACAGGTTCCCACAGATAGCCACTAAAGCTGTCAGCCTTCTGCGAAAGTTCGTTGGACATGGTTAGTGTTGTAGAAAGAGACGATTATGGACCACGGAATTGGAGAGGTAGAGAGAGGTAGAAAGATGTAGTAGGAAGGAGAATCCTGTTGGATGTGAAGGAAGTGCAGCTCTTTGGCCGGTTTCTGCTGGACTTATATATCTCAAGCCAAGCAATGTGCTTCATACAACACTAGGAAAATCCCGGTTGCACCTAGCACGGATGTTTTCATCATCGTAGTCTAGAGGCTTATTATTCCCTTTGCTCAAGTTTGTTGGGGATAGGCTCCTATAGATCATCGGTCTTTGCCGTTCAAAATATTAGGCTCATTCCTGATTCTGACCAATATCATGAATCATCGTCAACAGGAGGTGGCCACCATACGTCGGCTCGGGATAATCCGATCTAATTGGACTTCTTTTACATAAACTCCAAGAGCGACTTTCCCACAAACTGGTTGAAATGCCCAAACAGTCGGAATAATTGGGTGATATCTGTGCTGGGTTTCGGCGCTACCATCGATAAATTCCGACCCCTGCTGACTTGCTGGACAAATCACGAGAAAGATGTACATAACGCGATACCAGTTCTTCATGACCGTACGGTGACCGTAAATGGTACTACTCACTGCGGGTAGCGACTTCCTCATCATCCACCCAATACAAGGATGTAAATGTAACCCTTCACTGCCCGCTGTCGCACCAATCTTCCACATCAAACAAGCCTCACACAAGGGCCATTCTAGTACCATTACTACCCTCCCGACCGTCCCCCCCCCCGACCAGTAGAATTGCCCGCAACCTTTGCATCGGAACCAAGGTGTAACCCGAAACATGGGGTGGTGACAAGGCTGACGACGCAGGCAATTCCCATCCAATGTGGAAATGCCCAGAGCGATCGATAACATCAGGTGCAAGAACCCAAGTGATATCTAGAGTGTACTATTTAGTGGTATATCGCCAACTACTGAAATTCACGCCAATCACCTTTGGAATAGGCTGGTAAGTAGCGGCTGCAACTAATCATATCAGGCTGTTGCCCACTTTCCGGAACAGTTGTATTGCATGTGGGCCAAGACCAACATGGGTTCTGTCCGACTCTTGCATCATCATTATCATCATCATGGCTGTGACGGAAATTATCCCAGAATCATGCCATGTTATCAGTCGGGTAATGTGTGTCAAAAGGCGCCCTTGTTTGTTACCCAATCAGCCTTGTGATACCTCATTCGCTAGCCAACCAGAGATGAGAGCAAGCGGTGGATCGGGTTACGTATATCCTGGTAATACATGTCAAGTAAAACCAGTATCACGACAATTACAGGTAAGATAACCACAATCCCTGGTTACTAGTGCTAATATTTCATGTTGCAGCCTTCCAGTCAGCCTCGATGGCCTGGAAGCTTGTTTGTGAAACATTCCCAGTAGCACCACTATGGTATTACGCTCGGATGAAATCGAATGAGCCATGGAATGAGCTTTGTAGTGATCTTACTGATGACGCTATAATTAGCTCAGGGTCCAGGCGGGGCTTTGCCCAGAATCCTAGACTTGGCATCTGCTTCTTTCGACTTTGATGGTCAATGGCCAGGGGATTAGCGAGTTTAGTGATCGGGCGTTAGTTTGTGATATGTCTGAAACAGCCCGTATCCAGGTTTGGCCAAAATCATCAATCTTGTAAACCTTACTACTAGGTTCTTTTCAGGGATAGACTCGAGGGAAACACTATTCCTCGCCCAAACCAACTTTCCCAAACGACTACTCTTGTCATCTTCAACCCGCGGGAACAACTCTATTCCAAATAATAGAGTTGGATAAACAATCCCCAGATCAAGTCCAGAGCCGACCTCCTCACTTACCTACTATTCAATAGTAGCCTATCTAGTCTCACGACGACGATTTCCCCATCAAGCTTCGACCAATATATCCCAAATCCAGTCAATACGGCAACTAGCGTGTTTAATACAATGGGTTACACAAAGTCCAGTCATGTTTTCAACGCTCCCTTCCCCAGAAGCCAGTCCTAGCCAATAGGCATCATCAATATCATTGGTACATACATAAACAGTGTACTACTACAGTTACGCATCATCTCTCCATCCCACCAACTTACTTTGATCGATTATCTTAACAAAACAAAACAAAACCGTAAGATTACTACATCAATACCAGCACACTTCATTAGAGCTCCCTCCAATGAAACGATAAAACATAACCCTATAGACTCTCCCATCACACAGAAAGTGAAACTATTGATCTTTAACTTTGACCTTTACACAGATACGGAATACACGAGCATGGTCCAGAGTCTAGATTCAGTTGTAGGATCGGTGGATTACTCATCGGTATCGTGTACGGGGAAAGGCGGGGTAGAAATTGGCTATGAATAACATTGACTATAGCATTCTGGATAAGTCTACACCTGCGAATCTCCACAGATATACCAACTATTCAACCAGATGGTTATTATAGAGTAGATATTAGATTCGTTAACGATGTAGAGATTTAGGCATGGCCGTATGGCATATCCCAATTTCCTGAATAAGACCCATATGTAGTATCATGCGTCTTCCCGGAGAGGGGACATTATCATTACACTTCTTAGTTAAAGAAAGAGAGAAAACAGCGGGAATGATGTTCGGAGGGTGGGCCGTGTCTACTGTGCAGCATCAAACCATACTTGGAATCCCGTGCTCAGCTAGTACTGCTATGATTGGTAAATGTAGGAATTATGTAGGTACTAGTAGTAGTTATCCAAGCTGACATACAGAAATCCAGCTGAAATGATATTATGCACCCTCATAATTTAACCTACCTACCTACCCACCAACCTAGCCTATGACGAAATCTCTAGGCTTCAACTCAACGAGAGAATCAATATCCGACACTCACTCACTCACTCACTCACTCACTAACTAACTAACTACTTAATATATACCATTCCCCCATTCTACTCATATACCTCCCACCACAGCCATCTAAATCCTTACCGCAAGTGCCTACCCACCCATCCCAAAACATCACAAGAAACATAGCACACGGTCCAGAGCCCCCAGCTGACTCCATCACTCATCCTCAACTGCGGCTCTAGCACGGGATCAGGATCAATCCATGCAGAACCACTTCCCCATCCTTCACTCAAACCCTATCGAACTGAACTGGGTCGGGTAGATCTGTCTCACCACACTATAACATGCCATGCGTCGTCCTACATGAGAAATGCAGTGCGAGTATGCAATATGTATGTATGTACCTGATTCCGTCTTGCAGAGTCACACACACTATGCTTATTGCTGCTGTATGCTAACGTCAACATGAATTCTAAGGATAATGGATGATGAGATTACATGACTTGCGGTTGGAATGGGGATTTGAGGTGGCATTGTATTGAAGCGCTATTGGAGATCTGCTTGTTTGGTAGCACATTTGGAGGAATATTGGCATTTTGGGGGCGGGGGGGCTGGGGTTGGTCTTTATTGGTATACTATAGTGTAGTGGGCTCTCTTCCCTTTTTCGTCATTGCTGCGTCCGGGAATGAGAGAAGATGTTCTTATAGATATTCCAATGTAGGAGAGGAATAATAGTCAGACGATAGGACTTTAGAGGAAGGCTAAGAATAACACAAGCACATGACAACACTGACGAAGCACTTATTCCCAGTGTTTGCTGGCTCCTTGAGCTCCAATACATAGTTGAAAGTTAAAAGGTCATATATAAGTCCGATGATCATCATGGAAATCCCATGTTAATAATACTCAGCACTATGAAGCTTGGATATATCCCTCCTACCAATCCACCATGCATAGTTCAAACTGTCCATTGAACTAGCCACATTACCTCAATCACAATATACAAACTATATCGCATTGCACCCATCTACAATTCTACCTCTCCCCTCCCACCTAACATCCTCTAATCTAGATTCTTACCAGAAGCTATCATCCCTCCCCTACTAAAAGGACAAACATATCAGAATACGTCGAGACATCTTACCTTCTGCATCAGTATCTACAAAAACTGTATATTTATCGCCTACTTGGTAATATCTTCAACAAAGATAAACGCTCACGAAACATCCTTCAAACCATCAAGCAAGCTTATCTCCATAATTCATAATATAACCAAAAAATATATCAACTGGCCTGCTGGCCCAATGGTAAGGCGCTTGACTACGGATCAAGAGATTGCAGGTTCGAATCCTGCGTAGGTCATTTTTTTGGTTTTTTGATTCCCTCCCAACATTGGGTGGGAGGCAGGTTGGTTGAGATTCATATCCGGGATCTTATCTATCCGGGTTGTTTTTGGGGGTGGGGGTGGGGGACGGGCCAACCAAATGGAGGACTTTGTACAGCGTATGACTGTTTGTCAATTACAGGGTTTTTGAGTATCTGGGAGGTGATTATTCCCTTAGAGAGTTAGTCTCTGGAAGGGGGGTAGTTTAAATGGTCGGGGTGTATTGCAGGTAGGGGTTGAAGTATATAAACTGTCTATATATTTGCTAGAATCGCTTGGGGTTATTCTGTAAGCATCTCGCGACTTACCAAGTTGTCAATATACTATTCATGATATGCAGACGTATAATTACTAATTAAGAAGAGTCCTCTCTCCCCTTTGCAACCCCCTAACCCCATCCCAAATCCCACCATACGTGAAATTCACCCTTCTGAACTGATAAATCTCCTCGACCGAGAACCTCGCCGTCGCCAACAACGTATTCCTCTGAATCAACGACGCCCTAGGTCTCCTTACCGCATCAAAATCTTTCAAAATACTCGGCACATTCTCTTTGCTCACATGATTACCCAGGAATAGCCGAAAGCCCTCTGCATCTTCAATTGCTTGGCTTCCTCCTTGTCCCTGGTGAGGCGTCATGGCGTGTGCGGCGTCGCCGATGAGAACCGTTCGGCCGCGGATGTAGGTCGGGAGGGGGGATTGCAGGCGGAGTTGCCATAGTTTTATATTTTTTGCTGCCCTGCAATTATCTATTAACGTATAGCAACAAGGGTTACATTTAAGGGAAATGTGGGTAGCGTACAGGAAGTATTTCCTCACCCAATTTGGAAAATCTTCAAACAGAGAAACAAGTTCATCTCGATCTCCGGGAGCAGACCACGAGTCTACCGGTGGGGGATGTTTCAGCATACTGTCCGGAACCAGAACCGCAAAGTTCAAGATCTCGTGGTTTCGACACGGATACATGATGACTCGGCGTTCGGTGGGATCGAATGCGTATATGCCGACCAGAGCGGCGGGTTTGGTTGGGTCGAGGACTTCGGGGACATCCCCGTGGTGTAAATCCAGGACTTGGGATCGAGACATGGTGAATCGAAATGCAGAGACACCGGAGGGTTGGGCGGTTTTGTAGACTGGGGAGTTGGTGACGAGGGGGCGGAGGGTAGAGTTGATGCCGTCTGCTGCTATACATCCATATATCATCAGTATAGGTAAACCCCAACAGGATATACTATACATAGTATATGGAAGAGGGAGAAGACAAACCAACAACCAAATCCGCTTCTACCACCTCCCCCCCTCCAGCACCACCCTCCCATTCTCAACATCCGCATCCACAACCTTTGCCCCGTACCTGATCCTCGCTGGTTCCCCTATCCCCTTCTCTGTCGTCGCCAACCGTAACAACTCATCCCGTAGATCCGCGCGATGATGAAACAACCAATCGGCTCCGAACTCCTTCACGTAATCGACTACCGAGTCCTGAGTGACTTCCCCGGCTTTATTGTAAGACAGAAGTCGGGTTACGGGGATAGAGCGGGCGCGGGTACGATCGAAGCCGACGCTGTCGAGGATGTGCACGGCGTTGGGGCCGAGGTTGATGGCAGCACCCGCTTCGGCTTTGATGGGGTCGCGCTCGTAGATGGTTACTGTGTGTTGTTCGCGGAGGATGCAGGCGGCGAGGCAGCCGGAGAGGCCGGAGCCGATTATGCTGATGGTTAGGTTGGGGGGCATTTTGGGGTGAAGGTGAGGTGGGATTGGAGGATGATGGGATGGGATGGGATGGATGAGGTGGAGGGGGGGTGGGCTGGTTTGGAATTGATGACCCTTGCAGGGATGGATGTAAGGGTTATGTATCTACTGCGTACGGTGGGTAGATACGAAGTACTTCGAGTCATATATTCAGATAGATCAAGAACAATCTATAAAACAGATGTATAAGACGGGTATCATTCCACCAGGGTATAGTCCTATATTACCATTAATCCCATTACCCCAGTCCAGCCTAGGTATCCATTAAACAAACATTACCAACTCCAACTCCAATATGTATCAGTGACACGCCAGCGCCATCACATCCCCTTCAACTCCCTCCCTTTTTTATACAAACCCCTCAAAACATCCACCACCTCTCCTCTCCTCTCCTCATCTCCCAACATCTCCACCGCCCGTCTCCCTAAACCCCCACTAGTATCATCCTCATCCTCCCCCACCGTAAACGTCTCCCCATCATCTGTCGTCATATTCAACCCCTTGAACGGATTCGTACCATTCGGATGCAATATCCCCCTCAGGGTATTCATAACCAATTGTCCCAGAGGTACTTTGGCCGTCATGGTCAGATTCTTCATGACTTCCGTGTAGTAGGGCACTTGGACGCCGTCGTAGGTGACATCCGTGCCTACGGTCGTGAGACTTAGGTATCCGGATTTGAGAGATTCGGATTGATCCTTGAGGATAGGACCGAGATTTTCGATGAGTTTGCCGAGGTCGAAGATGCCGCGGACAGGAGTGGAGTGGTTTCCGGGCGTGAGGGTGAGGTTATCGAGGGTGACGTTGCCGAGGATGAGGTTTCCGCTGAGGAGGTTGAGGGTTGTTGTGCCCTATATCCAAGAAGGGTTAATTTGTATTATTGGAGAAAGGGAGGGATGACGTACAATTTCCAGAGTCATCACAGACGGATTCGGAAGAGTTGCATTGGCGACGAGATTAGTTCCGTCTGATTCGGCAGGGAGGAGAAGTTTCGGGTTGGAGATGGAGAAGCCGGCGAAGGAGTTGAGTGCTATTTTAGTTAGTTCAATGTATATAGAAGAGTGGGCATGGGGCATACTGTTCTGAGGAATGTTCTTGTTCAAGGTGACACGCGACTTCAATTTCCCGATATACGCCGTCGTGGATCCCTTGACGGACAACGGGGCATGTGCATCGAACACCGTCCCCCGGACATACTGCGTCCATTGGTACACATTCAACGGAGTGTACTGGTTGGTCACGCTGAGGGTCGAGTTGCCCTTGATATTGGTCCCATCCATATACAACTTTCCCCAGGTGTTATTCCCGGGGAGGTCGCGGTTGAAGAGGCTAAGTGTGATGGGGTCGATGCGCACAGGGAGATTGATGGGCAAGTTCAGGGCCGACTTGATGCTCAGCATGATAGAGTCGGGACGGGGTTGAAGCACGTCGGCGTGCACGAGCAGAAGGGTGGACCCATCGACGACTCGTTGAGCGATGGCGGGGATAATCACCAGGAAACTATCTCATCAGTTCTAATCCTTTTCTGTTATGTTGAGACATACAAAATGGGAAGAAAAATAGCCAGCCCGATAATCCCCCAAAACGCATAACAACACCAGAACCGCGCCCAATGACGACGCAAGTTCTGTGATCGCGTGCGCTTCACCGGCTCCAACGAGATGGAGTTCGCCGTCTCGATATGCTCGATTTCGTAGCCCTCGGTGGGCAGAGGCCCCCGGTGCGTGCCCAGGGCATACTTGGCCTCTTTGGAACTGAGATAGGAGGTTTTCTCGTCCATGATGGCTGGTGTCTGTCCTGCGAGGTGTTGGCGGGTCATATAATACTAGTAATGGCATGCCCCTGCCATGCTCCGCAAGGATCGTCCCGATGTCGATCAGTGCGAGGGAGATTGCAGTCCAATGATGACCCATGGATGGCTTCACATGCGGGACGATCGTCGACTATTTGAACCGCGGTTGAGTTCGGGTGAAGTTGCTTTAGGGCAACGCTCGATTTTGGGTGAAACGGCCACCTCCTGGCGAGGAATGCGGGGGGTATTTCCGCTGGTTCACTGTCTATCAAGTATCAACGGGATTATGATAGACATTGTTGTGTGACGGTTAATCACGCATCACCTGGTCCTGCTGCTTTATCAGGTGTGCCATTGTATTGCATCCCGCCATCCCATACTAGCATCAACTTATACTATTCACTAAACATCCCACTGAGCAACTGCTCTATCAAACAAACTACCATTGACTTCACAATCAACTGCCCTCCTCAACTACAATACATTTCACCAACAAAATGAACGAAAAAGCCCCCGCGGACCAAATCTCCCCCGTCCCCTCCGAAGCCACCTTCACCAACAACCACCTCGAGGCCCTCGACAAGCTCGAAATCCTACCTCAAATCCTCCAAGAAGGAATTCTCTTCGCCGGCTCCGGTGCCGCTCTCCTCCTCCAAGCAGCCTACCCCAACATCCGCAACGCCTTTGACGACCTCACCCAAACCACCACCTCTTCCACCAGCACCAGCACCAGCACCACCAACCTAGCCACCACCCTCAGCAACACCCTCCAAACAGCCCTCAGCTACATCGCCTGCCTCGTCTTCGGCACACCCACCGAAAAACACCACCTCCTAACTCTCCTCCAAAAAAGCACCCCTCCACTCCCCCACAAACTGCCCCCGGACACCCCCACCCAACTCTGGCTCACCGCAACCCTCTACGCCACGGCCACTGACTTCTACCAACGCATCTACGGCCGCGTCGACTACCGCACCGCCGAACGCGCCTACATGGAATTTACCACCATCTTGTCCTGTCTCAACATCGCACGCGACGTGTGGCCACCTACCAGACAGGCTTTCTGGGTGTATTGGGATGAGCAGATCGAACGGTTAAGCGTTAGTGCAGAGGCACATCGCTTCGCTAAGGATCTCCTCGATAGGAGTGATTTGCCCGGGTGGGTGATGGCCGTGAAGCCCCTGTTGAGGGTGATTACGATTGAGATGTTGCCGCCGAGGATCAGGGAGGCGTATGGGTTGAAGTCGTCGGCTAAGACGAGGGGGTTGTATCGTGGGACGATGGGGTTCTCGGTGGCGGTTTATCCGGCTTTGCCGGGGAGTGTGAGGGGGTATCCATTGAGGTTTTATTTGGGGGAGTTGAGGGGGAGGTTGGGTGCTGCTTAGGTTTGGTTCTTGGTGTTGTTGTGTTGGGTTGTTGGGTTGGTATTGTTTGAGCTTGTAGATGTTTTGGTTATTGTTAGGGGTTTACTGTATATCGTTACTTTGATATCATATATACCATAATTATCATTTATTTATTTCCTTACTTATACTTACTACTACAAAAGACAACCAAAGTAAAGTAAACCAATCAATACCATACTCTATTCTATACATTACCCCCCTCCCACACCTTCAGTACCAACCTATGCAGTCTTCAAAACTGCCGTCATAATCGTCGAAAAATCAGAAATCAACTATACCCATTAACACCTCGTACCAAGTAAAAAAAAGGGTAGGGGGGTGGGTATCTCACCGGCAACGCATCCCCAATCAACTCCCCCGTCTGATTGACAAAGTTCCCCGAGAGCAACGTATTTGCATTATCAATGATACTCTGCAATTTGTTGATATTATCACTGGACAATAACTTCTGAAGGTTTTGTGGCGTGTCGCCACCCAGGAGCGTTGCTCCGCCGTTGACTATCGTCTCGAGTTTGTTGACGGTGTCGGTGCTCAGGAGTTCTTTGATGCCGTCGACGATGGTGGGGAGGTCGTCGAGGAGGCTGGTGGTTGTGGTGCGAGGGGAGATATTGCTGGTGGAGGTTGTTGCGAGGGTTAGGGGGGCAAGGAGGAAGAGATATTTGAGGTTCATTGTGAGGTGTATAGGTTTGGATTGGGTTTGGTGGTGGTGGTATGTGTATGTGTACGGTTACTTTATAGTATCCCGGTATCCACATCTCATCTCATCTCTCATCTATCATTCTATCTCAGGAATGGTTCAGCTACCGTGATCGTCCGATTGTTCTCCTCGGATGCTTTGCTTGATACCATGTGACTGTGACTATGACTATGACTATGAGACTGAGACTGAACCGAGAGATAAGTAGGCTTGCTCCGCCGCACCCCCGCATCCCATCTTAGGGCTGTCGATCAATCACTTGATGGTCCACAACTGGTTACCAGCCTGCTTCAGTTGGGAATTACCTAAGGATGAAGTGATGGGGGATATATCCTCAGACCGAGTTTACATGTGATTGATTTATTCTCTGCTGTTGCTACTAGTTAGGTGGGTACATGCCGTGTATGATGTGCAGCTGGCCATGTCGGGGATATATCCAAATCTAGATAATGTAGAGATCTCACCTACTTCCACCCTCTTAGATACTCTATGTTTGATGGAAGTTTAACTTGTTATTATTGATGTGGTGCGATTTGCCTTTGCGCTGTTGTTTGAGAGACCTCCGGTGGTAGGTAGTTCACGTTTGATAAACAACTTTGACGTTCCGTACTAGGTTATTTAGAACCAAGTGATAGTCGATGGGAAATTACCCGTGTTTTGAATTCCTCGGGTGGGAGTAGCGGTGCTTTAAGTATTAGGTTAGGTTGATTTTTGAGTCTGGGTTGGGGACTCAATATTGGGACAGGTGGTTAGGGCTATACTTAGTAACAATAGTTGTGCACTTGAAGATGGTCGATGCGTGGATGAATGATGTGCGGTTTCAAGTGGGCTTTAAGTTAAGGTGGTGGGTTGGGATGAAACGGGTCTTCTGAGTAGGTAGCTTAATTGTTTATTGTGGTGGTTTGGGGAGGCAGGGGGGTAATGTATTAGGGAACTGATGTTTGGATGGTTTCAGAGTTTAGTGCTTACTATATTCACTATTGTTGATTAGGAAATTGTGCGGTAGCTGGATCTGTTTATCACTGAGGTTGTTTTATCCTGAGGTTGATGGAGAGTTAGTTGGTAATTAAATATGAAGTATTTTAGCTGGTGTCAAGTTCGTACTCAGGGTTGAGGGTAATGTTGTATAGATTCCACTCCTGATATGTATCTCTATTATTTGGTCACTGGATTACTTCAAGGGCGATAACACTGGTGTCATGATTCACCTAGGCTCTAGTGTTGATTGAATTAACAGTCATAACCACAATAACAGACAGGCAAGCCACACCTATCTTGTTTATTGCCTTGAAAGTCGATTTCTTTGATAGCTTGACTTAACAGCAACTACTGTCATCTATATCACCATTTACAGGGGAAGAGGGGTGGTAGAGAGGATTTCGGTAGTCCAATAGGACAGCCTGTGAATGCCCATTGGGAGGTGCTGCCGATGGAAGTGAGGTAGGGGAGACAGGCGTCGAAGGTGGTGAAATTGAAGGTGCTGTCGGTTGAAGGGGAGCGGGCGAATGTGGAATCGGGATCGGGATGTTGGAGATTTTAGTGTGGTAATGGTATGGATAGGTGTGAAGGTAGGTATCTATCGAGGAGAAATCTTACTGGTCTGCTATATTGCTTTAATAAACTAGTGCTTAGTTGCGTGCTGGTTTATCGGTGATAAGATAGTCGATGACGTCTTTAGCATCCAGCTACATGGTAATCAAACGATGGAATAGCTGATATTCAATATGTACAGCGAAGGTCATCATCATGCACGCTCTATCGCAAGAATAAAGTCTACTGGCCAGTGTTCGCAACTCAACCAGTATGACACAGAATTAAGAATAATATATAGCGATGGCGTATGCTAGTTCAGCTGGACGTAGTTTGCTACTCAAGTTAGCAGAGTCCAAAGAATAAAGTAGCGTACTTACCAGGAAACTGTCCCTCTCGTCCGTCCACCCGGCCGGACCACCACTCGTTCTGATTGTCCGTCCGCTGCACAATCTCTATGACTTCTCCGGCGGAAAAACTGAGGTCACCATGCGCTTGTGCCTCGTAGTCGTACAGTGCCGTCACAGTCTCAACCGGTGCACTGAACCGGGATGGCTTAGGTTTCGGTGGCGGAGGTGCCGGCTTGCCCTTCGCCGCGGCAGTGAAGCTACTTGCGCTGGCAGAGTACGGAGGCGGGGGGTTCTCAACAACGTCAGGATCCCGCTGTCGCGATGCGTAGCCACTCTTGCCCTCTTGTGCTAATTTGTCCTTGGGTCCGAGCTTCGATCCGGGCTTCCGACCGCCCGTAGCCTTGAAGTGAACGATGGTGAGCTCCTCAGCGCGTTCCTTGACGTCTCCGCGCTTGTTTTCAAACGCTTCTTCAATATCCAGGGCCAGATCGAAGTACCCGATGTTGATACCCTGCATTCTCTCGTGCAGGGTGTAGAAAACGTTCAGCTGCATGTAGTAAAAAGACTGGAACAGCGGGCGAATGAACTCGGCCTCGAGAGCGAACAGCTTGGGTAACTCGTCCTTGAGCAAGTCGTTATAGTAGTTGTATTCCTGCGTGGCCTGTTCCACATCGTTCTCAGCCTTGTAGAGCGCCTTCTCGTCCTTCAGCGACTTGTCCTTCTTGTCCTGGAGCTTCTTGAGCGAATTCTTATGACGGTCATAGTCGAGCTTCTTGTGGTCTCGCTTCACCGCGACTTTGCGGATCACCTTGATCACCTCCAGCAGTTGTTGCGCAGGGCTGATGACGCGGGTGTCGATCATCTCTAGCTCGGGCACAAGCGATTCTTGGAGATGCCGCACGATCGCCTCGTATTCCTCACACGCCCTGATTCCCTCGGGGTTGCCTTCGATCGTATACGTACTGGGGTCGGAAGCGCGACCGGAGATGGGTTTGTATAATTCGGTCATGGCCTTGGAGAATCCGATCTGGTGGTTTAACATGCCTGGGAGGTCGGTCAGCAAAAGAGGGGCACCAAGAAAGGGATCCGCCTGTACCGTTGATGGCGTCAAAATATTTCTTGGACTCATCGTGTAGCTTTTTGGTCTCCTTCTCGAGCTCTTGAAACCGCCGCTCCGCATCAAGGTAGACAGCATCCTTGGTATGTTCGCCGATGTTGAACTTGGCCTTGAACTGCTGCGGAGCGCGCACAATGCTCTTCTGAAAGCCCTTCAAACTCATCTCTGATTGGCCGCCGGTCGCCCAACGCCCGCGGAAGGATTCGGTTTGGGTGGATGGTGGGAGGTCGGTGGTGTGAGACGGTGCAAAGGGTCGAGAGGAAGGAGTGAAGCGATAGGAGTCGAAATGGAGTAGAACTCAGCGGATCGAACGAGGATCTCGTGGTAGGCAAGAAGTGGGGAGGACGTGCCTTTTGTTCGCGGCTAAGAAGACTACTGGTGCCGGTGACGGTTAGACTGCCACTCGGCGTGGCTGAGCTATGACATAATGCCTGCTTCTGCGTGGCTGAGCCGTGGCTCCCCTGCTTACCTTGAATTTTAGGCTGTAAGGCTGCAGTGGGTTCAGAGACCACTGCAGTGACTGCACTCTGTCTTGACTACTATTAAAAACTCCAGGCTCCAGCTCCAGATCCAGAGCCAGCTCCAGTACTGCACCCACCAGACCCCTGAAGTCGATCCAAGGGGGTCAGAGGGGTCAGAGGGGACTGTTCACCATAGATCGCCAATTATTCAGCCGGACTCGGGGACTCGGAAGCTCCTGATGACCCGGCTCCTGGTTGGCGTTAGGCACCAGAGTATCCGGTTGCACTAGTGGCACTATCGTCAACACAGACCTCGACTCCAAGTTTTCTCTCATCTTCCGTCCGGTTCGGCCAATATGGTACTGTGAGGTGATCTCTGATGCAGTCAGCTCAATTGTGCGCCAACACACAAGGCTAAGCTGAGAATCCGGGGAAATCCACCAGTATGATGTTGTCAGCGCAACACAATGCTCAAGCCTCATTCACATGTCTGATCGGATGGGCGCTCCATTGATAGCTGCGCCAGACTGGGGATACGGTCTTACTTATCTCCTGACTGGTTAATATCATATCTTCTGCACTGGTGTCGTAGTGAACTCCGCGGAAAGCGGGCAAGTCCAAAAAATGCCGAGACCGAGTCCCAAACGGGAAATGACCGGACTATCTGATAAATCCGATCGGGCCTAGCGGGCTCGGCAATGATATAACCGGATCCAAACTTTTCCCACCGCGAACTCCCTGCTGTCATCTCATTCATCAGACTGTCATCAACCGTGCATGGTACAGTGACAGACTAACTTCATCATGTCCAGTATGACCCCTACTGCCTTGAGACAGGCATCCCGGGCCTATGCCCGTCGACTTCTGTCGACACAGCCCAGCGCCCTGTCGGCCTCCCTGCCCCGGCGGGTGCTCGCCACCATCCCCAGTCGGTCCTACGTCTCCGAAACCAAGGCTGGAAATGCCCAGGTCTCGGTCGAAACCGCCATCAAACAGGAACAAAAGGCCTTCATGAACCAGACCGGCCTGCATCCCCAGAATGTCGAGCTCCCCGGTTCTGGCATCTCCGGCGATGCGTCGATGAGCCCTTCCGCCGGCATTCTGAAGCAGGCTACCATCATGGACGAAGGCACCCGCCCGATCTATCTCGATATGCAGGCGACGACACCGACTGACCCCCGCGTGCTTGACGCTATGCTTCCCTACCTTACCGGCATCTACGGAAACCCCCACTCCAGAACTCACGCCTACGGTTGGGAGTCGGAGAAGGCCGTCGAACAAGCCAGAGAACACATCGCCAAGCTGATTGGCGCCGACCCCAAGGAAATCATCTTCACCAGCGGTGCCACTGAGAGTAACAACATGAGTATCAAGGGCGTGGCCCGATTCTTCGGTCGCTCCGGCAAGAAGAAGCACATCATCACGACCCAGACCGAGCACAAGTGTGTTTTAGACAGCTGCAGGCATTTGCAAGATGAAGGATTCGAGGTGACATACTTGCCCGTGCAGAACAACGGCTTGATCCGGATGGAGGACCTCGAGGCGGCCATCCGTCCCGATACCGCTCTCGTCAGTATCATGGCGGTCAACAACGAGATCGGTGTCATTCAGCCCATGGCAGAAATCGGCAAGCTGTGCCGCTCGAAAAAGATATTCTTCCACACCGACGGTGCTCAAGCTGTCGGCAAGATTCCCCTGGACGTCAACAAGCTCAATGTGGACTTGATGTCGATTTCCAGCCACAAGATCTATGGTCCCAAGGGCATTGGTGCCTGCTATGTTCGCCGTCGCCCCAGGGTCCGTCTCGATCCCATCATTTCCGGAGGTGGCCAGGAGAGAGGTCTCCGCAGTGGTACTATTGCCCCCCACCTGGTTGTGGGCTTTGGTGAGGCTTGCCGCATTGCATACCAGGATATGGAGGTACGTTGATTTTTTCCCAGTGTTCTCCACCGGCGATGATTAGACGCTTTAATATGTATCGATTACCTGAGAAGCCATGGGGGTAGCGACACGCTTTGCGTGTCCCCATGGCGCTTTGACGACCGTAGCAGGGGTGATGAGTCGGATTTTTTTCTAGATTGCGCAAACACGAAGGCACACTGAGCAATGCTAACCATTCGCAGTATGACACCAAGCACGTCACGAGATTGTCCAAGCGCCTGACCGACGGGCTCTTGTCCATGGAACACACCGTCCTCAACGGAGACCCCAACCATCACTACCCCGGTTGCGTCAACATCTCGTTTGCCTACGTGGAAGGTGAGTCGCTGCTGATGGCGTTGAAGGACATTGCCCTTTCGTCTGGCAGTGCCTGCACTTCCGCGTCGCTGGAACCCAGCTACGTGCTGCGGGCGCTGGGCAGCAGCGACGAGAGCGCACACAGCAGTATCCGGTTCGGTATTGGGCGCTTCACGAGCGACAGCGAGATTGACTATGTGCTCAAGGCGGTGCGGGAGCGGGTGGACTTCTTGCGGGAGCTGAGCCCGCTGTGGGAGATGGTGCAGGAGGGCATCGATCTGAACTCGATCGAGTGGAGCCAGCACTAAATTGTCTTTGTTAGATGACTGCGGGGGCGGTTATTTGGTGGTATACCAGGCGCATTATGTTTCCGATATCAGCGGCGGGATGGCGTTCGTATAGTGTGTAACATTATAGGATTGATGAATCTGTCAGTCTGTACAGAATGGAATTAATGACCATGTATTGCTTCCACGGAGTAGGTGAAATTGAATTCTGCCATGTGTAACACCCAGTAAGAATCTGCTGACTCATGGCTATTTCCCTATTTGTAAAGATGCAGTGATTGTACTATGGTATCAATATATCACGTGGTCCATCACGGAAATCATCCGGCGCCGAGAAAGTCGCTGGGGAAAGCAGAGATCTCCATGCATCCGCCATCCAGCGAGGTCGGCGGTCGAAATAAGATGGGGCCTCCGCACGGGCAAGCCAACTCACCGCAGACCCGAACGGGGTGGCGTGGGTGGGAGCGAACACGCCCCCCCTCTCGCTTAATCGCCCGATTTCGCACTCGGCGGCCCCTCGCCCGCGCTCCCGGTTCATTCTCTAGCACTCAACCTACTGGAATCCGGTGGACACCCCTTTCGCTGACACCCAGTCCTCCCGCTGGCGCCGTTCAGAACCTCACCTACTCCAGACGGCCAGAACGCCTTCTGCCATGCGACACCGACAGCTTCGCCCATACTTCGACCGCTGGTTCCATCTGATATCGACCAAACCACCTCCACAATTCATCTATACCAAACATCATGTCTCCCCGCGCACTGCTGGCCATGCTCTCCCCAGCGGCAAAGTTCGCCTCTGCTCCCGCCTGGCCTGGCTTGGGTCGGCCCACTTGACTCTTGGTCGCCGTCCATCCACGGACTAGTCGACTGTCCTACCCTCCCCCATGGGTACAGAATATACGTCCACCAGAACCGCCCTCTTTACCCCTGTTTCGCTCGGTGGACGCTTTCCGGATGACACAATCGCCGTGACTGCGGGCGATTGCCCTGGGCCAGGCTGATTAATTCACTTGGCCGGCTATTCGGTTCCTGCGGCTGTCCAGGAAAAGTCCTGGTGAAATCGTGTCGGATTATTTAACTTCGGGACAGGACCATTGTACGATGGCCTAGCTGAGAGCAAATTTTCCCGTCCCTTTCTCTTCCTTTTCCCCCTCCTTTCGCCCTCTCTTTGTGCTCAGATCGATCCACCTGGTCCCGTGATCTTCGCCATCCTCACTTGTCAGTCTCCTGCTATTCCCTGCCCTTTTTGCTGCGATCTGGGCCACAGCTGTCTACGCCTTGTTTTCTTGCCTGTTTCGCAGTTTTGAGGCGTCCGTAACAGGGTCGACACGACACTGCCTCAGTTTGTGGCCGATCTGGTCAGCTTTTACTTGCTCAACTTGGATCTCGCCTGCTTGCTGAAGTCACACGACCGGACACACGCTCGGGCACTGGGACTTTCCTACCCCGAACTCTTAATTATTCCACTCGACGTCAGGTTCCGGACAATCAGCAAACTTTAGGCGATTGCCTTGACAAGGCACTTGTTGCACGTGGGCATCTACTTATTATATCAGGCGTTGCCATCGCCTGCACTGTATATTCTGTCGTATTTCTGCCTATAGCCACTTCACCATGCTTCCTCCGATTCCAGCGTTGGCGGACTATGGGATCTCACCGGATCACGGCTTCCTCCCTCCAGAGCCGCCCCTTGAGATCCTGCCCGACCCTTATTATGCCAAGTGGGAATGGATCGTTGCCAACCTGCAGGCTCTCCTGACAAGCCGGAGGATCCGGGAAGTGGTTGATCACATGTCTATGCTGTCTACATCATACCTTCAGTCCGAGGGAGAGTGGCGAAGGGCATACGTCGTACTGGTCTTTATGCTACATGGGTATGTCTGGGGTGGAAGTCGGCCGGCCGAGGTAGGTAACACAGCTTCTAACGGTGGTTCCTGAGCTAATCGTGAGCACAGAAAATCCCGCCCCAGCTGACCGTCCCCTTATTCGACGTCTGCGAGCACCTGGGCCTGCCGCCAGTGGCCACCTATGCAGGGGTGTGTTTGTGGAACTATAAGCCTATTTTCCCCGAGGAGCCAATCGAAGACCTGCGTAACCTCGACAGCATCAATACATTCACGGGATCGTTGGACGAGAAGTGGTTCTATCTGGTTTCCGTGGCCATCGAGGCCCGTGGGGCCCCCTCGATCCCGCTAGTGCTGCAAGCCATCGCGGCGGCGCGGGCCGGGAACAGCCTGGTCGTTACCGAATGTCTGCAGCGACTCGCCGAGGTTCTCGATGAGGTGGGGTCGCTGCTGGAGCGCATGTATGAGCATTGCGATCCGTACGTGTTTTACCACCGCATCCGGCCCTACCTGGCGGGGAGCAAGAACATGGCTGATGCTGGCCTCCCGCACGGGCTGTTGTATGATGACGGGAGCGATGAGCCCGAATATCGTCAATATGGCGGCGGCAGCAACGCTCAGAGCTCTCTAATCCAGTTCTTCGACATTGCCCTGGGAATCGAGCACCGTCCGACGGGAGAGCGTCCGACCGGTACTCCGCTGAAGGACGAGAAGGAAGGTGTTGCTGGGGCACCCCGCCACGGATTCATTCAGGAGATGCGTTCGTACATGCCGGCGGCGCACCGGCGCTTCTTGGAGCACGTCAACGCCGTGGCCAACATCCGCGCATACGTGGAAGCACGACGCTCGGACAAGGCTCTGTGCATTGCATACGACGCATGTCTGTCTATGCTCCGGGTGATGCGAGACAAGCACATTCAGATCGTATCGCGCTACATCATCATTCAGTCTCGGGACGCCCGGGCTAGTCGTCCCGCCCGCGCAACCAGTCCCAAGCGATCCATCAACTTGGCAACGGCCCGACATGGCGATAAGCCCGATAGCAAGAAACTACGGGGCACGGGTGGAACCGCCCTGATCCCGTTCCTGAAACAAGCGCGGGACGAGACGGGCGAGCCAGCCATCGACGCCTGGGCCCGACGGCTGCTGAGCACGGGGCCATCGGAGTCGAGCTTCGCGGCGCTGAGCAAGGTGGATGAAGACCACGATGGTCATCTTCAAGTAGTAGGACTGTCAGGGACGTGGGCAGCGGACGATAGCGAGGGCGGAATCTGTCATTGGTAGCGATGCATGATACAATATTCGAGCGGATCGGTAATTTGCATAGCATCGATGACGACGATGCGGGATGATCCCTGTACATAGAGCGATTGATTATGACGAGATTGATGAATGAATGAGTTGGACGTCATTATTGTGTTCCTGTTGTGCCTGGAATGACGTCGTGTCTGGTGACGTCATGACCCCGGATGCATCTATAAATCCACCTAGCATCCCATCAATACAATCAACAAACACAACAACTACAACTGATATTACAACTACTACACTAGAAACACATCACTTAAACATAACTACCAAGACCCAAACACAACCACAACCATCACAATGTCCTCCAACGACACCACCAACACCACCAACACCTCAACCAACACCTCCACCCTAAAATCCTACCTCGACCAAGCCACCGGCGTCGCCCAACGCGCCGTCGGCTCCCTAACCGGCGACTCCTCCACCCAGGTACACCCCATCCCCTCCCTCCCCAATCCCCCCTCCTGGCCAACCCAACTAACATCCTCCCCGCAGTCCACCGGCGAATCCACCCAATCAACCGGCAAAGCCGAGCACGACGCCAGCCACACCACCGCAAAGGTCGGCCCCGTGACTACCGACCCCTCCACCGGCACCACGGCAACCGACCACCCTCAACGCAACAACGGCAGCTGGGACCAGACCGTCGGATCGGCAAAGGAGTCATTGGGCAATTTGATTGGGAACGAGGGACTGCGTAAGGCGGGCCAGGAGCAGAACCAGGCTGGGAAGGAAGCGGAGGCGGAGGGACAGGTTAGGGATTGGGGGGAGGGCGTTAAGGGCAGGGTTGCCGGGGGTGTAGGGAAGGTTGCGGCCGCGGCGACGGGGGATGAGGAGGAGGAGAAGAGATGGAAGGATGTGCATGATGAGGGGAAGGTGAGGCAGAGGGGGGTGGAGAGGGATGTGGAGAGGAGGTATTAATTTTTGATTGGGGGGTGTGTGATATTGATTGATGGGGAGGATGAGGATGAGGATGATTTATGACTATGTTATTGATATGAATATGAATATGGATATGAATTGAGATTTTGTTTATGATCTGTTTTTTTTTTGCAGATGGTTGATGGGTGGATGGTTGTAGTAGCGTACTAGGTAGGGTAAGAGATACTTATTGTCTGTTTGAACTACTGACTGACACCTCTGGGTCTTCCCACTTCGGTTTCTAACTATAAGCACTTAACGCCCCAGGTCATTCTTTCTATCCTGCTCATCTCATTCACAACCCGGACAATTCCTGTCCCAAAATCCATATTTCCCAAAATCCATATTCTCTATCAGATTATCCCCCAATCTGAGATCAAGCCAGCCCACATCATTAGATATATCCGCCTATCTTTTAGTCCCTCAAATTCTTCAACCTCCGAAGTACGATAAGTACGATACCCCACAGTGCCAGGAATCCACTCTCACTCCACACTAAGATCATGACATACACGGCACCCATTACGCAACTCATAAAACAGGCCTATTGTAATAATTGAGCCCATACTCGAAATTGTAAATATCAAGTAAGGGATTGATATTCGTTAGTGGGTATCTATGGAATATAGTATGAGATGGGATCAGTGTGCGTTTAGTAAGGACTATATACACATGCTGTGGTACGCTGACATCAACTTCGGTTGTGTAGTGTAATGGTCATCACTCTGGATTCTGATTCCAGCAATCCCGGTTCGATCCCGGGCACGACCTTTTTGGTTCCTTTTTTTGTTCGCATCATTCCATATTGTGGAGTGTCGTTGATGGTTTTTAGAGGGCTTAGGCTGTTTATTGTGCTGGGTTGATTTGTGTCTATTTTTGGGACGCTTTCGGGTGCTATACACAGGTGTATTCCATGGCTCAAGTTTACGAAACAGAGAATATGTTTATAGAAACAGATCGATATATCTCCAATGAAGTCGGGGTTGGCCACAGCACTTAGCTTCATGGTGACACTGTATGCTGGTTAATGGTTCTGCTGCATTGCAGCTTTCTTGACCATCTTTCTTGTATTTTTCTCATCTAGCCAGGACCCATCTCCAACTGTTGTTGGGTCTTCGTTTCTCTTCTGTTATATGTATATCTCGGGAATACTCCCGCAAAGGCTCATATCGCCTGATCATGAGAAAGAATCGTGCGGAGATCACAGACAATCTTTAGCCAGAGCTGGATGCGACGTGGGAAGATCTCCGCTGGAGTTGAACCAAGGCATGATTTGATCGAATTCTGCCTTGGGGATGGGATTATTATCGTCTGGTTATGGGATATCCGAGTCATAGCAAGAGATATCTCTGCTATAGCAGGGAAGAAACGAGCGAGGTGAAAGAAATGATATTGAACAATGAAATAATATATTCGGAAAATGCCACTCAGTATATTGAATATCACTGTCCGTGGTGCGTGTTCAGTGGTAGATGTCTTTGTCAGATGGAGTGGGAGAAGTGAAAGAGCACATCAAAGCACTACCCTCAATGAGGAAGTTATCGATTTCTTCATCAGGGTAGACCGTGAAAGAATCCATGCGTTATTGACCCTAGAGTATGAGATAAGCGGAATATGTCATTATTTGAGACAATGAAATTCTGGGATATGGATATTGCCTAGGTACAATTCAATTGTTGACAGTCATGGGATAGCACTCTGATGCAAGTCCTGGGAAACAACAAAGCCAACACCTGAAATACGCAAAGCGGAGAGCTAAATGCATGGTATATGCAGCTAACCAGCTAGCACTCCCCATTACTATCTTATATCTATCCCTGAGCCACTACTCCGTACTCATATCCACTTACGAAGGATATATACATGCCCTTCAATAAAAACCCCGTATTACAATCCACCATCAACAACAACCCAAACCCTATCACAACATACCACCCCTCACCAAACCATCATCCCAACCACCCAAACCATCCCCACCACCATCCCCAATCCTTCCCCCGAACCCTAACCCCCCACTACTCTTCCCCTCCCCCGTCTCCTTCACTACCCCCCAGTCCCCGTCCCTGTCTCAATCTCCCTCTTCACCACCGAAATATAACTCTTCACATCCGTCGGTAGCGCCTCATACCACTGGGGCGTATTCCCCGCCTTGAACTCACTCGCCAAGGCATTGCGTTTCGCGGGCACAAATAACTGCGTGAGAGCGGTTGGCGGAACAGCTGTAATCACTTGATGGATTACGGAGTGTGGTGGGGGTGAGATGCTTTCGAGATTCAGGGAGGCGGTTTTGGTGGGGATGGTGATGGTGTACGGTTTTCTGAACGTATATGTTAGTTATTGGGGTTTGTTGGGGGGAGGGGAAGGGGGAGGTACAGGGCTTGGGCGAGGGCGGACCAGTTGGCGGTGTCGGTGTCGGAGAGAGGTTCCGGGGCACTGTGGACTGTGCTGGCTAGGAGGGTGGGGAGAATGAGGAGAGAGGGTGTCAGAAGTTTCATTTTTGATTGTTTTTTGGTCGAAGGTTGGTCGGTTGGGTTTGCTTTGGTGGTGGTGGTGTTGTATAGGGAAGACTGGGTTGGTGGTAGGTATGGGAGAGACGTATAGTTTATGGCTCTGGATGAATGGTATCATATGCGCGGACTGGACCGAGATCCGATAGGAGATATACGGAGGGATCGTCGCGGAGCCTGGCTTAAGTTTGAGGGATCGGCGTACAGGGGATATCTGAAGCGTAGCTGGGCCCTAATTTGGGTCTCATTTTGAGGTTTGATGAGGAAGATCGTAACCTGACTGGAAGGGAGATAGACATGGTGTGACGGGGCTAGACCTGGGATTGTAGCTAGGTTGTTGTTCTTCTGTTTTATCTTGCTTTGTTGAGTGGGTTCATCTGAAGGTCTTTGTTTGATCTCATTGTAACTATTATGCTGACTTGATTGTGTTAGTGTCAGCGACAATCTCATGGTTAGCATTATCTCCGACGCATGAAGCGCTCTATAGCAAGCATATCATTCCAACGTAAGCTATATACATTTCGGTAACGTCCCGGATATCTACAGATCCGTCTACACATGAACCTCCTCCAACCCCATACCTTTCCCAATCTTCCGTATCAGGGCCCGTTTCAGGAACGCCTCACGAGCAAGTCCACGCGTGTGGCGCGACCAGGTCTCGACGCCAATCACCCCCTTTACCAGCGCGGCTTGCAGGGCATAAATCGCCTGCTGGATACCACGCTCTTCAGCAACCAGGTCATACAGCTGCTTACCGACAACGGTCGGGGCGACGAGAACCTCATCGATCGGAGGAAGACCCGACGCAGCGGCGTCGGTGCTGGAGGACGGGGCCGAGGATGAGATACGGCTTTGTGCGTCTGCGATGACGCCGTCAGCGCGATGCAGAGATTGTTGCAGGGTCAAGGTATTCGTTTGCAGAGTTGAATTGAGAGCGCTGAGCGATGAAATTTCGCCTTGAAGAGTGGCAATAGCCGCGTGCAGAGAGTGTGATTGCGAAATCAAGGATTGAGCGGCGGCTTCGGACTGTGTAACGTTGGTTTGGAGAGTCTCGGACAGAGTCTTCGAAACCGCCTGCAGCAGGGCGTCTTTCTCTGGATTAGGTGGGATTGGAGGGGCTGGGCCGGTGGGTGTGAAGGATGGGAGTTCGAGCTCGAATGGAGAGGTGAGAAGATCCGGCGTCTCTGCCTTGGGTTGCGGAGCAGACTGTTGTGCTTGCTGATGTCCAGCATGTGGCGACGGTCGAGGAAGTGCCTGTGGGGGTCTTTGGTAGGCTGGATGAGCCTGTTGCACAGGATAGTAAGCGGGCGCCCGCTGAGCATGTGTGCCACTCAAGGGCTGAAACTGCGCTGACCCAGGCAGGTATCCGGGCATCGGCTGGGCGACATGTGGAGGTATCCCTGCAGGGACTCCACTGCGCTCTGGCAGGTATTGTGGCCTGCTTACAGGGCTGCCGACACCTTGCGGTTGCAGGGATACCCGTCGGGAATCCTGCTCCTTCGGTGGCAGTGGAGGGATTGGTGGGGGAGATGTGTATCGCCCTGATGACGGCGTGCGCTGAGGCGGCTCGAGCGGTGTTTGTCCTGGCTTTGGAGGCGGGGGTGGTGGCACCTGAGCAGTTATCGGAGAAGCATTGCGATTAGGTGTGGGATCGAGCTCCCGAGGCAGAGGTGGTAATGGAGGTGCCTGCGCCTGCGCTGGCTGGGGCGGTCGCGGTTGTGTGGGCTGTTGCTTGTATCGCACCGGGGGCTCCTTCGCAAAGACCTCTCGGAGTATCAAGAGAAAATCACTCAAAGATGAGCGCTACAGCTCAACGTCAGCGACAGACATGTCATTGCGGAACTGCACTAACCTCCCACGCCTCAGCCCAGTGTGCTAAGTAGTGATGGTACACCCTCCCTTCCAATGTGACATGTTGCCCCACGCGCACAGCCATGTCCTGTGTCGGTGTCACGTATACCAATGGCGGTTCTCGAGGGTATGTGTTTGGGAGCCATATTGTGATGGGGAACTTGTAGACGGTGCCGCGAAACGTCACGGGTAACGTGCCGGTCAGTTGTAGGAGGAGGGCGGAGAAACCGTTCTCGAAGGCTAGACAATGATACGGTCAGTAAAGCGCCAATTATTTGGGGAGGTCACACACTGTAGACTTCGGTCCGGGGACCCAGCGAAGGGTATTGACCAAGCACGCCGGCGACCTCATAGTAGGTGCGGTTGGGGTCCTGGTATGTTTGTCGGGGATCATAATGGTCCTGGCCTAGTCAGCACAGTATCTGAAGCTGTAGACGGCAATTTTACCCTGATCAGGATGCTGTACAGCCAATTAAGGGTCCTTTGCGGCACGGCAGCCATGGTGAGGGAGGCGCAGGCACATGGTGGGATGCGGGATGAGAGAGAGAGGTGGAGCGACGGCGAATGGCCTGCCTGTTGCTGCCGCGCTCCACCGCCGAGCTCCCCGCAACACCAAACAGACACACGACATCATCATGTCTGGCCTTGCTATCCGTAATTACCCATTACATTATTACCAATTCTTTGCCAATAGTCGATAATATCTAGACACAAACTAGCCATTTTATGAAAAGATGTATTTCCCACGTCACGGGCATAAAACTTCAGGTATTCGCTCCGATGACTATCCGTATACTTGCAAAGGTTCAATAATGGTGACAGTGACATGCCCCTGAAGCCCAAAGCCAATTGCTTGTAAGAGCCTGGGTGACCCATCTATTCTTGGTCGTGTCTCAGTATCCGATGAAAACACGTCTTGGTCTCCACTTTGTCAGTCCTAGTATTGTTCATCTGGATGCCGGCTCCATCCTACATATTGTCTGTCTCGGGTGTTGCACAACATAGACAATATCACATGTCTACCTTGGCATATGCCATACAGTCATGCTATCAGATGGGATGTAGAGAACACTTCTAGTTGAGATGCTGTATAACGTTGAGTTGGATACGATCAGAAAGGCAGACAATTGCTCAACTGGAGATGATGGAAAAGGTTGATTTGTATAGGCTATGGAACATGATAGTCTGTCAAGCGAGACGGGACTCGGCTGATTTCTCAACTGAGGGCCATCATGGCGTCACATTTCGATCCCTTTACTCAAAATGTCACCATGCATACTGCCAACGGGACCCCCTTCGAGGTGAACGTGCAGGCAATCGACGACGAACTCATGCAGTATTGCATCCGGGCCGGCATCAACTATAGCGCCCAGCTTGGAGCCTCCATCGTGCTGTTCGTCATCCTCGTGCTTCTGACCAGACCCGAGAAGCGTCGCTCCAGCGTCTTCATCCTCAACTCCTCGGCGCTGCTCTCCAATGTCGGTCGCCTCGTCTGCCAGACCCTGTACTTCACTTCCGACTTCGTACGGGTTTACACCTATTTCTCCGGAGACTATTCCCACGTACCCACTTCCGCATACGCCAACTCAGTCATCGCCGTGGTCTTTTACACTCTCCTCGTGATATGCATCGAGGCTTCGCTCGTCCTGCAGGTCCAGGTCATCTGCGCAAACCTCGGTCGTCTATACCGCCACATCCTCCTCGCATTTTCCACCGTCGTGGCACTAATCCCCATCGGATTCCGAATGGCCATGATGGTCGAGAACGCCAAATCCATCATGGGCGCCAAAAGCAACATCCCTCTCATCTGGCTCCAAAGCACCGAGAACATCGTCTTCACCATAAGCATCTGCTTCTTCTGCGCCATCTTCGTCTCAAAGCTAGGCTTCGCCATCCGTCAGCGACGCAGACTAGGCATGCGAGACTTTGGTCCAATGAGGGTGATTTTCGTCATGGGCTGCCAGACTCTAGTCATCCCAGGTACCTAATCCCAATCCTACCTCCACCATACAACCAACTAATCATACCCCCGACAGCCTTCTTTTCAATCATCCACTACATCGTCTCCGTCCCAATGCTATCCTCCAACGTCGCCACCCTCGTCACCATCTTCCTCCCTCTCTCCTCTGGGCCGGAGTCGCCCTCCACAATTCAACCTCCTCTGGCTCCGGCGCCACCTCTGCCACAGCCACCGGCTCTGACTCCTCCCGTCGCAACCTCTGGAACAAACTCTCCTTTCCTATCTGGGATAGCAAAAACACCAGCAATTTGTCGTCCACCCCGACCATCAAACAAGTTGCCACTCGCTACACTGACAATATTCCCTCCAGGCAGGCGCAGCAGCAGCACAACGCTGAGGAATTGGGTATTGCTGTTGAACATGACATTTCTGTGCCGAGCTTCAAGAGGGAGAGAGATATGGTTTGACCTCTGACATGGTTGGTCGTATCTGACGGCTACTAAATGGCTGGTGTTGATCTGGTGGTTGCGTGTGATTTGGGAGGCCTTTTGTATCGTATCTTAGCTACTTACTAATTTCCTTTTTTCTTTCTTCGGTGATTAGGTTGATGGAATGCGGTCTGCAGCGAATTGTTTCATTTGTTGATTGCTTTCTTTCTTCTATGGGTCTAGTGGTCTTGTGACTGACTGGCTCGTATCTAATTATTACACCTCCTTTGGTATTCTGTGAACGTAGTAAACCAGATCATCTCCATACGTATCAATTAACTATACTTAAGTACTATACTCGAAGGCAAATTCTATTTGCTACCAGCCACTTATTCATCCCTCCCTGCCCAATTTCGCCAACGATTCTGTCAGGAATTCCTTGGCATTCATCAAATCCGTACTGCCGTAGACGACCCTCCGTTTTGGGGCTCCATGCGCACCACGGTTGACGGCACCGGCACCGTCAGCGCCCGGTTGTCCACTTGTCCGACCCACCCAGTCTTGCAAGTTGCCATACTCGTCCATGCTGCCACCGCCGACGGTGAAGACAATTGCTTCGTTGAAGGCCTGGCGGCGCTGACCAAAGGTGGCGCTCAGGCCTGGCCCGGAGGCGTTCAGACCCTGGCCTTGCGCGTTGCGCGATGCAGAAGCTGGGGGCATGGCACCCCGAGCGTTGGCACTGCGGGGATCAAAGTAGAGGTAGCCCTCTGTTTTGGCAATGGCGGAGCTGGATGCGGAGGTGGGGTCCATGATGGACTCGGTGATCTTGGTGAGGGTCAGGTCCTTGTTGGCAGGGAGGAAGTTCTTGACGCCCGAGATGAGGGAGTCGAAGTTAGCGCCCAGGGCCCCCGAAGTGATGCGGTCGGTTAGCTGGTTGGAGAGAGAGGAGAAACCGCGGAAGAGGTTGGAAGACTGTTGTTGGGGAGCGGATGTTGCGGTTGTCATCATCGTCATCCGGGTGATTTCTCGGACCTGTCGGACATAGGCAAGGGGGGTAACGTCCGTGACTCCGACGCGAGTGAGGGCTTCTTCGAATCCGCTCATCTCGGCGCGCGAGACTTCCGTTTCGGTGCTCAGAAACCAGATGATGAAGAGACGGAGCTTATCCAGCGGGTCATTGCCCTTGGTGGAGTCGTTGATCAGCTCCATGATCTGGGCCTTGGACTGCTTGGTGATGTTCTCTTCTAGTTCGAAGAAGTTGTCCAGCTGACGGTCTTTAATGCCCTTGAGAAGGGCGGTGGCAATGTTCATGTGCATGTCCAGGATGGCCTTGCGTTCCCGCAGCTCCGGAAGGAGTGTGATGGCAGCCTTGAGGTGCTGCGCAGAAGCGCTGGTGTCATTTTGGAGGTCTTCAATCGAGGAAGCACCAGTCTTCTTCGTGATCTCGTTGGCGTCCTCTTTGTATCGTGTAAGCTCCGCATCAATGTCTTCTGCGACCTGAGGGAACGGTGCGCCGGCATTACGCTTCCAGAAGAAGTCGTTGCTGTTCAGGTCATATGCCTTCTTGCTGACACCTTTAGCCGGGTTTGTCTCATCAGTTGACTCTACCGTGATTCGATTGAGACGCATTTGTAGCACATCTTGCACCAGCGACTGGTATGTCCACGAGTGAGAGAGCATCGGCACCAAATCCACGTTGCGGTCGACGATGATCAGAACTGGCCGCGCTGACGGAACGCCAGGTGTGGATTTCTTGTTGGAGAACAGGTTGTCCTTGGAGTTAAGAATATGATCGCGGAGCTTACGGTCCAGCTTGGTCGCTATTAATTCTGCCGCGCCGCCCTTGGGGCACCGGATGATTGGGATGGCACCTGTTGTATACAACCGTCAGTGATGGTTATGGCTCAATAACGATCATGCATACCCATTGTGACGCTAACACTGAACAACCCACTGACGATCCGGTCGACAATCGCGTCTAGATCGTCATCGCTGGTTTGCGCGCTGTTGATCTTCCAGTACGCATCATTCCCAAGCCCCAGGCTGAAAAGGTCCGGTTCGGCAACAATAAAGTTTAGGTACTGATCATAGACCTGTGCGACATGTTCCGCGGTTCCTGTTGTCGCTATCTGGGACGCAAAGTCTTCGAGAAGGGGTCTGGGTACGGAAGATAGGAAGTTGATATAGGCGGGTGAGTAAAGTCCGCGAGAAAGGTCATTTGTGATCGCCTGGATGTTGGCAGGTGTAGGTTCGACAAGATAGACAACGGGGACGTCGGGGATTGGGTATCGTGTGGAATTGACGCCTCTGAGGAAGTACATTAGCTAAACGCAACGAACATCAGGACCAGGACAAGCCGTACAGATGGATTGTAACTCCCCAAGCTCTGAGATCATTGACCCGTAGCACGCTGCTGATGACATCTCTTCCCATATTATCAAACACCAAAACCTTCCAAATGGGGTCGCCATCCTCGTTCAGGACCGGGGTAGAGATGAGGCCCTGTGCGGAGGCATCGTGGTGGGAATCTTCCGTCGGCTGCGGCTCGTGGTTCAAGTTGAGAATCTTGTGAATGGAGGCTGGAAACTATCAGAGAGCTGCGATCGCCTACACAGAGTCGATATGACAACGGAAACCTACCGACCTGACGGTCCCTCAGCGACGCTGGATGCGAGGCCATAGTAGTTCGGGTTGGACTGGCTGCAGCACCCCGGACGGTATCACGATTACGTGGATGGGTTCAGATTCATGACATGGAGGGAAGCTACCGGGAAACGAAAGTTGACGGAATCAATGGCAGCACAGGAAGACAACGGTGAAGGCGGGCTGAAACCCCCGCTGGAGAAGATAGGAATTACCCACTCATCAGTCTGTAACTACGACACTCTCCACCTGGCATCCTGAGAAGCTCCCCGGTTGATGAGGGATGACATAAGCTCCCGCTAGGCCAGCGCCGGCGGCTCCAGCCAATGCGGTGGCCGTGATCATGTGCGTTGCGCTAGGGCGGAAGGGGCGTAGCTTTGCTGGTAGTCAGGCGTGGCCCAACCGAGCCGCCGCCGCCCGGCTTTTTCAGTCTCACCACCACCACCGACCACCACTGCCAACCGCCTCCCTCCCCCATCCCTATCCCTTCCACCTTCCTCGTAAAGCAAAAGACTATGCTGCTAAGCTGCAGTCCCGAGTGGTTCTTTGTATAACACCTTTTCTTATCATCTTTTAAGACAGAATAAGGAGAAGAAAAGGTCCACCCAGGACAGGCAGGACGAGTGAATTTGTCCCCAGCAGCCTTGCAAAAGAGAGTGACAGAGTCAGGAAACAAAGTGAAGGCAGGAGAGAAGGTCACAAGGACAAGGATACAAACTCAAGTTTTAAGGATTACTTGGAGAAAAGGAGCAAAGAAACAAAAAGAAGAGCTGGATCCTCCAAAGCCAAAGATTATCTTACGTCTATTATACGGAGTACGGAGTACTTGGCCGGTGTATTCGCAAGAGCTGGAGTGCTTCACAATCCTTTTCTAATCTGCCTAAGAAAGAGGAGAAAGGCTGCACACCAGACAACCGCGCAAACGTGGACGTGACGTGACGTGACATAAGGAGTCCCAACAACAAAGCCGAAATCTCTGGCCTGGAGCCATTGCTTCACTTCTCACACCCGTTTGACTACCCCGAGAGCTCAGGTGTCCGAAAAGGAGAGAGTGAGATTTAACGGAACTGGACACGGGAAGCCAGCGGCGCCCGATCATTTGCCACTATCGGTCCTCGACATCAATTGCTGCCCGGATATTCATCTGTTTGCCCTGGCCGTGACCGCCTCGCTGGCCACTATCGACGTATCAAGCTATCAGTGATTTCCCTAAGCTGACAAACCCCATCGGCCCCCTTGATTCGTCCACGCGGTTTTATTCAATATCCGGCTCCATTGGGAAGGTTTTCTGCGCCGCCGTTACGAGAGACGGGCTGTCCAATCAGCACGCCAACCGGCTGCCCCCACCAGGGGAATTCCGCCCAATTCCGACCAAAGCCAGAGCGGCATTGGCCCTTGACCTAATCCAGTTCTTGCCGGCACGTGGATGCATGTGACTTATACTACATTTGGCCGTGCACCCGCCTAGTACCTCGACTCCACCACCCGCGCCGCGCTACGGACGACCATCCCGGTCATCATACACTTCCCTTATACATACCTCCCTATTCCCCAGGATCGAGGGTCCGTGGGTTCTTAAATGCGGGGGATGAACGGTAGCATGGAGCAGTCACCGCCGCAAAACATCATGCCCGGTCTGCACCGTGCACCAGTAGACTCCGGCTCGCTGCCGCCCGAGTACTGGAACAACTTCGAGCCTTTGTATACGAATCCCGACCCCCCACATCAGCATGCCCATCCCCCCCAGCAACAGCTCCAGCAGATTCAACCAGCACCGCAGCAACAGCAACATCCGACATCCCTGGGCATTAACTGGGATCATCCGTTTATCAATCAGACCACCCAATCCCGGAGTCCGTTACCCACACCCCAGGAACAGGGCCATGGCATATACTCGACGGCGTCTCCTCAATCTTGGCGACCTAATCCACTTCACTCTCAGCAAATCATTCATCCGGCGCAACCTACGTTCTCCGTAAACTCTCAGTACCGCCAGGCTCAATTCTCTCACGCGCAGCCCGCGTTTGATTCACAGCCACTTGCCTCCTCGGACAATTCGCATTATCAGTCATATTATCCACGAGTTTATTATCCCCCTCAAAATCTTTCGGTCCCAGATGTGTTTCCTCAAACCCATTCTCCTCGACCGGCCCAGGCACAACCGCAACCAACACAGTTTAGGCCTGACTCTCACCAGCACCAACTCCCTCAGTACACGCTCCCGACAGGCTACCCGGAGGGAACTACGGTATGAAACACTGGACTCTATACTCACACTTCGTAGCTAACTGTTAGTAGCATGTTCCGATCAACTATGCTGGCGGATATGCTCAGTCTACCCCGACTGTGTCGGACCAGACCATTAACCCACAATTCCTGAATTCCTCACAACAGACTGCTAACCAACAAGCACCCCTCCATAATAATCTTATATACATGAATCCGGCTGATTTTGACCGGCCGGACGATCCAAAGTAGGTCATTGATAATAAAGCCGATCGATCGGTTCTAACCGATAACAGGCTGTACACGTTTTATCGGGATGAGCTGCAAATACCGCCAAGTTTGGGCCAGGGCCAAACCCCGCCCGCCGTGCGTAACATTGCTCCGGCTACTAAATATGAGTTCATCATGCCAATGAATGGTATTATTCACTCGAGACCCTAAGCCCCCGCATTCACTGACTGGAGCAGGTCAAACCCCCGTCACTGCTGCCGCAGCAATGAAAGCAACCAAACCCAAGAAACAACCTAGCTTGAAGAAACAGGCACAGAGCCAGTCGAAGAAACCCACGATGAAAGGGGGCAGCAAAAAGCTGGACGGGAAGTCTGCGTCGTCGAGTTCTGAGACAGATAGCTCGGACGACTCAGACCTCGAGATTCAGGCCCCCGAAGAGCCGTCTCCCATTCCAGCCACTCGTCCTAAAGAACCCGAGGCTGCTGCCCAATATGATGCGATGAAGGCTGTGTGGTCTCCACGTAATAGGCGGCCCAATGTTGACAAAGTCAAGAGTGCACTGGTTTCGTTCAAAGACGTTGTCAAGACCGTAAGAGATGCGTGGAAAGAAAGCACTCAAGCCATGAAGGTCGCGGAAAATAAGGGTGATAATAACAAAGCAGCGCAGCTCAAGACGGATGTCATCCTTCAACGGCGCCTTATGGATGTGGTTATCAGCACCACTCTGGACAAGGGCCACCCGATGATTGTCGAGAAGTATGTCCTTTTTCTTTCATTTCTTTCCTTTTCACGTCTGGCATGTCGTCATGGCCATAGAAGTCAGAAACGAATTGAGAGCCTATCCCATGTAATCTACCTAGTGTGGGCTTTGGCATATAAAAAAGTGCTTATAAGTAAGGGTGAATATGTGCTCTCCACCCGGGACGAAACATGGTACCTAGCTATGTGTCCTTAAGCACGAGACAGGAAAGGATAATCCCCCTTGGTCCAGAGGAGCTGTCTCTGCTGTACCGTACCGGTACCTAAATGGTCCCTTTTGGCGTGCACTGCAAATCCCTGAATGTCTGGCATCTGCCGCTTGTGGCCTTTCTGTTTCATCTGCCATGTCATGTGTTATTGTGGGGGATCGATCGCTGATATTTGTTTCCAGGTTGGGGGAGCATCCAATGGCCGTAGCTGCCTTGTATTCATTTCTGCTCGATCGACACCAGGCTTCCGACATTGATGGTGCTTTCACTGTGAATATACTCAAGGTAAATTCCTCAAGTATTTGGGGCCCCTTAAACGATCACTGACATTTCACTGCAGTTGCTTTCCCATTTCGTGACTATGGATGAAGATGTGCTTCAGAAGACGAATGTTGCCAAGTTGCTACCTAGATTCGTCAAGAAAGGCGGACCAGCAGTTAAAGGGCTGGCCCAAAAAGTCCTGGACAACGCCGCTGCATCCACCAAACGAAAGCTTGAGGCTGTAAAATCCGGGCCCAAAGAAGGGTCTCCTACTAAGGGTTCGATGGCCGATGCGGCCGCCGTAGATGGACGTGGCGACTTGGCTGGATCCAAGAGGGTCCGGGAAGGTGAAGGAAACGGACAGCCCGCCACTAAGCGGATGGTTGTCACCTCCAACCCTAAGGTGCTTTCGAAGCCTGGCAATCCTGGGGCCCCTGCCGTTGCCAAGCGGCAGGAGGTAGCACAGGAGAACAAACCGGCTCCAGCCAATGCAGCCCGCCCCAAAGCCAACATCATTGCTCCCAAGCCCACCAGCCTTTTTGGAAGTTTGAGTTCCGCCTCGAAGAGACCCGGAACGTCCAACGCAGAACGGGCTGCTGCCGCTGCCGCCGCGGCGAAATCAAGGTGCGTTATCGCATTGTTCCCTAGCCAAACTGCCTACTAACTTTAACAGCACTCCTGCTGAGAAGAAGGAAGCCCCCCCAAGGCCTACCTTTTCCTTTGGCGATTTGATGGCGGATCTGAACAAGCAGAAGGAGCCCGCCCCTGCACAGCCTGCAGAGGATCGCCCCCCAGAAACGGAGGAGGAACGGAAGAAGAGGCTGCGCAAGGAGGCACGACGGAAGTTGCGCGTCACCTGGAAGCCGGACGCACAACTCACCGAAGTTCGCCTGTTCACGCACGACCCCGAAGAAGAACTCGGGCCCGGCGATCACCTGCAACGAGAGGCAGGAGATGTCAAGGGCGAGGGTAGTGTACTCAAACTCCACAGAGACCTCGACGATGACGAGGATGATGATGGTGGCATCCGTGAAGAGCAATTGCTTGAATATTATGAGCCAACCGGTAAGTCACTGTGTTTTGGTGAATATCCTTCTTGGACGCTAACTGGGTCAGAAATCGACAATGGAGAGATCACTCCCGACGATCGCGCTAGAAACTTTATCAAGCGCGGTGGCACCCAGGAGCCGGAAAGTCCCGAAAAGAAAGCCCAAGAGCATCGCGAAGCAACGACGCTTATGGTTTTCTATACCTCGCCCGCAGACGTACCGTCGACGCCCAAGGAGCCTCCTCCCCCAGAGGCAGAAGAGGCCGCGCCGGAAGTGGTGTTTTTCGGAGAGTTACCCGATCATGTCAAGGTATACCTTTTCCCCTAAGCATTTATGTCATCATCTTCTGACCCGTACTAGGCCCGACAGGAGCGATACTTTGCAATGGTCAACCCTCAACCAGCACCTGCTCCTCAGAGTGCACCCAACAGCCAGTTCGATATTACCAACCTCTTGAAAATCATTCAAAATGCACCTCAGCAGCAAACAACCCCACCGCCACCGCCACCGCAAGCTGCACCGGCGCCCATGTCCGATCTTGAGCGGACATTCAGCATGTTCCGCCAGCAGCCTCCACAACAACCGCCGCCGCCTCAGGCCCCTCTAGTACCGATACCCCAATTTCCCCCCGCGCCCCAGCCGGCTGCTCAGGGTCTTGATTTCCAGAAACTTCTGTCGATCATAAATGCGCAAAAACAGATGCAGCCCGCACCTATGATCCCCCAGGTCCAGCCATCACAGCCTAATATCGCTCCTAATCTGGCCGCCATCATCTCCCAACTTGCTGGTCAAAACCAGCCCGGTGCCGCCAATGGACCTGTGCCATCTGGCCACTACGAGGATCCGGAACGTAAGCGCATGCGCGAAACCGGCGGGCTTGATGGAGCCGAGGACGAGAGGTTCAATCCTGCCAAGCGGAACCGGTCGAATGACCCGACCAAGAAGCACGTAAGTGTCTCCCCTGCTTTTCTTCCAATTTTCATACTGACCATGCTTAGCCCAAAGCCGGATTGGTTCCGTGTCGGTACTGGCGCGAAGGCAAATGCCGCAAAGGCGACGAGTGCACGTTTCGCCATGATCCTCTGAACTAATGCTCCTCTTTTCTTTCTCCTGATACCCAACTTTGGCCCTCATTCGTTTATAACTCTCTGTATTTCGACTTGCCCGTATCTCAGCATCTCCTTACTGTTGTACATTGACCCTGCATGTGTTGCATTGTCAAAATCACGGTGTCTCGAGTTTTCCTGGTTGGCAAGCTTCTCATAGCGTCACGCGTTTCTTTCGAAGCATACCATACGTGGAGTCTTAGGGTGTTGCGTGAGGATTCAGGTTTTCTCTTGTGGCTGTGGGATGAGTGTCTGGCGTTTGTGGTTGAGCATGTACATTAATAGCGATACCTGTGTCCGGGTTATCCACAACTTGACTAAATTCCATTTGTTGATCCATTCACTCAGCTGACCATTCATCCTTATGGAGTAGTCAACGACTGCTTAGGTAATATTCCGTCGTAACCCATCGCAGGGAATATAAACAATTTCACTCCATGAAACTATACCCCCTTCAAACTAAGTACAACCACACCACCCCCTTAAGCCAACATTATAGCCCCCCACAAGAACAATGCCCTACACCCACCTAGTCATAATCTGCTGCCACGCAATCTACACCGGCGGGCCAACCAACGGCCTCTCCGAAAACGAATGGTACAATTCCACACACATCCCCCAACACATCCAGATAACCCCTACTAATATAGAACTGAAGGATAATTGAACCCTTCCAAAAAGGCGAAACCCCCACATTCACCAACCACATCAAAGCCGGCCTTCAACTCTTGGTGAATGATCCATCCGCTTTGTTGATGTTCTCGGGGTGAGTTTCGTCTATTTATCTACCTATCCGGAAATGATGTTGAAGGTTACATGAATGAATGAGTGAGAATGGCTGATGTGTGATTAATAATAGAGGACCGACTAAAAGACCCCGAACAGAGATATCAGAGGGTGAATCATATCATGTAAGTCACTCACTCCATTCACATAATCTAGGATATAACATTAATATACTATGTGTATGTGCAGAACCTCGCACAAGATAATGACTACTTCGGGTTTTCTGCGCAGATAGATCCCGCGCGGGTATTGGTTGAGGCTCACGCTACGGATTCATATCAGAATGTATTGTTCTCGTTACTGAGGTTTCGGTTGGTTATGGGGAGGTATCCGGGTAGAGTGACGATCGTGACGCATGAGTTTAAGAGGGGGAGGTTTGAGGAGTGTCATTTTCCGGCTTTAGGGTTGGGGTTGCGGGGAAGGGTGCAGGTGCAGGTGGTTGGGATTAATCCGCCAGAGGAGGTGACGTCGCTGGATTCGTTGGTGGAGGGGGAGGAGAAGAGTGGGATTGGGTTGTGGAGGGGGGATAGGTATGGGGTGCAGAGGGAGTTGATGGGGAAGAGGGTTAAACGGGGGTGGAAGATGGGGATGGAGGAAGGGGTGTTTGTGAATGTGGGATTGGAGGAGGTGGTGGAGGAGTTGGTGCGGTGGGATGGAGGGGAGATGGGGAATGAGTGGTTTCCTAAGATGGATCAGTTGCCTTGGTGTTGTGGTGGTGATGAAGTTCATTAGTCATTGAATTGATAGCAATGCTCTAAAGAATTGTCAGAATACATTGATAGTGAAGAAATGCCCGAAATGCTCCCGAATCAGATCCCGCCTCTCGTCCGTAACGCCTTCATGTGAACACCGTGAATTAACGCAGCTAATCCGCAAGACGGTAGCTGACTAGGGTCTCTACCCGGTGGTTGTTGGTGCTGAAGCTTCGGAGCTGCACCTTCTCCGCGTTCTTGATCTCTTTGGCGTCGCTGTCGCCCCATTCCACCGGGACTTCTGAGTCGGCGTCGGCGTATACAAGGACGTTGAACGTGCAGTCACCGTCCAGGACCGGCAGGAAAGTGACAGATGCGGTGATTTGACGGAAGATGGCCTGGATTTCGTCTTGGATCTCTTTTTCGGTTTTATCGACGGTGGCAGCGGCCTGGGGGTCCTTGTCACTATAGATGAGGTCTGGGTTAGAGGAATAGTGTGATGCGTAGTGGGAGACTTACCCAGGAGTAGCGTTCTCCTTGTCGCCCGAGGCACGAGATGTCTGGCTCTTGGACTGCTTTCCGAAGATTTGCACCTGATATCTTGTTAGTCCTCGTACACCATCTCGGGCAAAATGCGTACATCGAATTGCCATCTTTCCACGTGTTCGCCAGTCTCCTTGTCTGTAACAACAACCACAAGCTTCGAGATCTTGCCACCCATCATCCACTTGTTCAATTGTGACATGATCTTCTTGATGTAGGCTTTGACCTGGTCGTCGGCGGTGACTAATTTCGGTTAATCAGGACTCTCGAAGGATGTGTGTTGACGAACCCAGCATGTTGAGGCCATATTTCTTGACGCTTTACGATAATTGATTAGCTGACTTACAGGATGTAGGGTAAGGCACTCACGTTGTGAAATCCTCCGGAGGGTACACGCCTCTCTGAAAGCTGGATAACCAGATGAGAAAGCTTCCTGCATTAATTGCCAATGGACTTACAGAATCGAGTTGATAGAGTATTCAAACTAGGGTCGTCAGTATACTTTCAAGAATCCTGTCAAAGAGATACTCACGAATTCGGCCACCAGCTTCGACGATCCTGTCTGGGAATGAGCTTCTGCGAAGATCTCGCGGACTGGGATTCCGTACCTTTCAAGGACAGCTTGTGGACCTTGGACTTATCCTTTGTAGACGACATGGCAAAGCGAGATGGCGGTTGAAGTGTATCGGCAGGCTGCTGTTCGTGAAGTGCTGGAAAGAGGGATGGTTTGTTTATCGGATAGTCGCCGCGGCAATGCCTCGACCGCCCGCCATTTGGTCTCCGCAGAGCCGCACTTTTTTCCGGCGTCAAACCGACACTGTCTCTGCCTGACCTTCTGCACCCCGTTAAGCAATCATTCCCATGCAATTGCAGACCTCCAGATGCGAGGATGCCTGCACTTAGCCAGGTGGCTGAGCGCAGCGCCGAAATGCCCTGCTGCAAGCCTTCTCAAGCCGCCGACCGGCCTGTCTAATCCAGCCCGGTTTTTCACCACGTCCGCCGCCGCATGGGCTTCGCGCTCCAGGGGACCCGCCAGACACCCAACCTCCGATCTCGAATCTAGGATCGCCGACATTCCCATCGAACGATTTCGCAATTTTTGTATCGTTGCTCACGTCGATCATGGAAAAAGTACGCTCTCCGACCGGCTGTTGGAACTCACAGGAACCATCCAGCCGGGAATGAACAAGCAGGTTTTGGACAAACTCGATGTCGAGCGTGAACGCGGTATCACAGTGAAGGCACAAACATGTACAATGATCTACAACCACAATGGCGAGGACTACCTGCTACATCTCGTTGATACCCCGGGGCACGTCGACTTCCGTGCGGAGGTCTCGCGCAGTTATGCCAGTTGTGGAGGAGCCTTGCTCTTGGTTGATGCCAGCCAGGGTGTCCAGGCTCAGACGGTCGCCAACTTCTACCTCGCCTTCTCCCAGGGTCTGGAGCTGATCCCGGTCATCAACAAAGTGGACCTGCCGTCCGCTGACCCGGACCGCGCTCTTGAGCAGATGGAACATACTTTTGAACTCGACACGGAGAGTGCAGTGTTGGTATCAGCCAAGACCGGCCTGAACGTACAACAATTGCTCCCTACCGTGGTTGAGAAGATCCCGGCGTAAGTCTTCTTCAACTATATTAACAAAGCATTGCTGATTCTGAACAGTCCGGTTGGCGATTACACGAAACCGTTACGGATGCTCCTCGTCGATTCCTGGTACGATTCTTACAAGGGTGTCATTTGCTTGGTCCGTATCTTCGATGGTGAAGTTCGCGCGGGAGACCAGCTAGCGTCATTTGCGACGGGAATCAAATACTTTGTGGGCGAAGTCGGTATCATGTACCCCAACGAGACGCCGCAGTCGGTCCTCCGTGCTGGTCAGGTTGGCTATATCTTCTTCAACCCGGGTATGAAGCGCAGCAAGGAAGCTAAGATTGGTGACACCTACACTAAAGTCGGATTCGAAAAGGCCGTCGAGCCGCTTCCGGGCTTTGAGGAGCCCAAAGCAATGGTTTTCGTGGCCGCCTATCCGGTGGACGCTGACCACTTCGAGCACCTGGAGGATAGCATCAACCAACTTTGCTTGAACGACAGAAGTATCACGGTACAAAAGGAATCGTCTCACGCCTTGGGCGCTGGTTTCCGGTTAGGGTTCCTGGGCACCCTGCATTGCTCGGTCTTTGAGGATCGTCTGCGTCAGGAGCACGGTGCGAGCATTATCATTACTCCCCCTTCCGTTCCCATCAAGGTCATCTGGAAGGATGGCAAGGAAGAAATTATTTCCAACCCCGCCAAGTTTCCGGAGGATGAAGAGCTCCGCTCCAAGGTCGCCGAGATTCATGAGCCTTATGTTGTGGCGACTTTGACCCTTCCTGATGAGTATCTCGGCAAGGTCATCGAACTCTGTGAGTCCAATCGCGGTGTGCAGAAGAGCCTCGAGTATTTCACGTCGACTCAAGTTATTCTCAAGTATGAACTGCCTCTTGCACAGCTGGTTGACGACTTTTTCGGTAAGCTCAAGGGATCGACCAAAGGCTACGCCACCTTGGATTACGAAGAGTCCGCCTGGCAACAGAGCAATATCGTCAAGTTGCAATTGTTGGTCAACAAGGCTCCGGTCGATGCGGTCGCGCGGCTCGTCCATTACAGCCAGATCGAACGATTGGGCCGGCAATGGGTCACCAAGTTCAAGGAGCACGTTGACCGACAGCTGTTCGAAATCATCATTCAAGCGGCTGTCGGCCGCAAGGTGGTGGCACGAGAGACCATCAAGCCGTACCGGAAGGATGTTCTCGCGAAACTCCATGCTAGTGATGTCAGTCGGCGGAGGAAACTGTTGGAGAAGCAAAAGGAGGGCCGCAAGAGGCTGCGGGCGGTTGGAAACGTGGTGATCGAACAGAAGGCATTCCAGGCTTTCTTGGCCAAATAAGCATATATTCTCTTTCTGTACAGTATATTATATCATTTTCCTGTATTATTATGTTGATAAATCTGGAACCAATGCGTCTTCTTATCTCCATTTACATGGTATGTCCGTATGCAGAATGATAATTCCGGGCTCTGATTGGCGGAAAGGCGGAGCTGGAGCTTACAATTTAACCGTAGAAAAGTTCGTCGCCGACCCCGCCGCGGCGGTTGTCTGCAATTTCTCCCCTCCCGCCGTCGCTTTCCCGTGTCGTTCTCTTCCGATCACGATCTGCGGTCTCCGTGGTGAATTCTTGGCCATCTTCAAGTTCGCGACCCTCCTGTGCGTTGTGCGGTGATTCTAGCGCCGTCGCATTCTACCCGCTGAGTCACTGTCGCCTTGCCATGATCATCATTTGACCACAGCGATGCAGCCTCCCGAAGGTGTGCAGGTCGATCTGGGCAAGGCCCAGGTCATTGACCGCGTTCCTAAAGTTATCAGCGAGTTGAAGTTTGGTGTTCTGTAAGCCTGGTTTCTCCAATTTACCCCTCCGGATCCGATGCGGAGCAGCCAAACTAATACCGCGCGATTCGCACAGGTCCAACGATGACATTGTCAGCCAAGGTGTGGTGGAAGTTTCCGACCGGAAGTTCTTCGATCTCGATCATGACCGAGCGGTGGTAGCCAACGGCCCTCTCGATGCGCGCATGGGTATTTCGAACAAGACATCATCCTGTCAGACTTGTGGTGGCACTCTCCAGATCTGCAATGGGCACTTTGGTCATGTCCGGCTCGTCCTGCCGGCTTTCCACGTCGGTTACTTCAAGCGGGTTATCACCATTTTGCAGGAAGTGTGCAAGGAATGTTCGCGCATTTTGCTCCCCGAGGCCGACCGCCGTGCCTATCTCCGTGAAATGCGTCGTCCTGGGTTGGATAATTTGCGGCGGGGTCAGATCGCGAAGCGGATCAACGAGCGTTGCCGGAAGACCCGCAACTGCGAGGGATGTGGTGCCGTCAACGGTGTGGTGAAGAAGGCTGGAACAAGTGCTCTGAAGATTACCCACGACAAATTCCGTGCGTTCAACGCCTCTACGTCGGTTAAGAAAGTTCCGCCACCCAGCAAGATCGTCTTCGACCGGTCATTCGACGAAGCCAGGACGTCCAACGCGGAGGTGGAAAAACATTACAAGAAGGCCCAGGATGATATGAATGCTCTGCGTGTGTTGAACTTGTTCAAGAAGATTTCCGATACCGATTGTGAGCTGCTGGGTCTGAATCCGAAGGAGGCCAGACCGGAGATGTTCCTCTGGCAGTTCATTCCTGCTCCGCCAGTGTGTATTCGTCCTTCCGTCGGTCAGGATGCGGCGTCCACCGAGGATGACTTGACCGCTAAGCTTGGAGACATTGTCCAGAGCAACATCAATCTGAAGAATGCACTGCTGAAGGGTGCACCGGTGCAGACGATTATGGAATGCTGGGACTACATGCAACTGCAGATTGCCGTGTACATTAATAGCGATGTCCCCGGTCTGAACAAGGCCGACCTGGGGAAGCCCATTCGAGGATTCGTGCAGCGGTTGAAGGGTAAGCAGGGTCGATTCCGTGGTAACTTGTCTGGAAAGCGAGTGGATTTCTCCGGCCGTACTGTCATTTCCCCTGACCCGAATTTGCGGGTCGATGAGGTCGCGGTCCCCGAACTGGTGGCCAAGAATATGACCTATCCTGAAGTTGTTACGCGATACAATAAGGAAAAGCTACAGCAGCGAGTGCGCAACGGTACCAAGAAGTGGCCGGGTGCAAACTACATCATGAAGAAGGGGCAGACCTTCAAGCTCTTCCTCAAGTATGGTAACCTGAACATGATCGCCGACCAACTGCAGGAGGGCGATGTGATTGAGCGTCACATCGAGGACGGTGATATTGTTCTTTTCAACCGTCAGCCTTCGCTGCACAAGCTCAGTATTCTGTCCCATTTTGCCAAAGTCCGTCCCCACCGGACCTTCCGGTTGAACGAGTGTGTCTGTAACCCTTACAACGCCGATTTCGACGGTGACGAGATGAACCTGCACGTGCCCCAGACGGAGGAGGCGAGGGCCGAAGCGATGGAACTGATGGGCGTCAAGAACAACTTGGCGACGCCCAAGAACGGAGAACCCATTATTTCGGCCATTCAGGATTTCATCAGTGCTGCCTACGTTCTTAGCAGCAAGGACAACTTCTTTGACCGCCGCTCTTTCACGCAAATCTGTCTGTACATGCTTGGTCCGCAGACCCGCTTCGATCTGCCCCCACCGGCCGTGCTCAAGCCGCAGATGCTGTGGACCGGAAAGCAGGTCTTTAACATCCTCATGCGTCCTAACACGAGTGACCCAGTGCTCGTCAACTTGGACGCGGCGTGCCGAGAGTTTAAGGCGCCCAAGGATGGCCGGCCGCGGGATCTGGACCCCAAGGATGCTTGGCTCGTCATCCGGAACTCCGAGGTCATGTGTGGTGTCATGGACAAGTCCACCATTGGTTCCGGAAAGAAGGATAACGTGTTCTATATTATGCTGAGAGATTACGGGCCGGCGGCGGCTGCCGAGGGTATGAACCGCCTGTCCCGGCTTTCAGCCCGTTGGTTCACCAACATGGGATTCTCGATCGGTATCACCGACGTCTATCCTAGTGAGAGTCTCCTGCGTTCGAAGCATAATCTGGTCGAAACGGCCTACGCCCAGTGTGACGAAGTCATTGCCAAGTACAAGGCGGGCACTCTGGAGAAGTATCCCGGTTGTGACGAGCTGCAGACAATGGAGAACCAACTGTCCGGTATTCTCAGTAAGGTCCGTCAGCAGGCCGGAGACGAGTGTATTGCTCAGCTGAGCAAGTACAACTCGCCCCTGATCATGGCCACGTCCGGATCCAAGGGTTCGAGTATCAACGTGTCGCAGATGGTTGCCCTCGTCGGGCAGCAGATTATCGGCGGTCAACGTGTGCAGGACGGCTTCCAGGACCGGACGTTGCCTCACTTCCCCAAGAACGCGCGCCAGCCCCCATCCAAGGGTTTCGTGCGCAACAGTTTTTTCTCCGGCCTCGAGCCGACGGAATTCATCTTCCACGCCATGTCCGGTCGTGAAGGTCTGGTCGATACGGCCGTCAAGACCGCCGAGACGGGTTACATGTCGCGTCGTTTGATGAAGTCTCTGGAGGATCTTTCGACCCGGTATGACGACACCGTGCGCAACTCGTCTGCGGCCATTGTGCAATTCCAGTACGGTGACGACAAGCTGGATCCCTTGGATATGGAGGGTAAAGCCAAGCCGGTGCATTTCGACCGGACTTTCATCCACTCCGAATCCACCACGTACAAGAACGATGAGCGGAGTTTGCTTCCGGGTGAGATTATGGACATTTGCGAAGAAATGCTTTCGAAGGAGCGCGCCAAGTTGGTGCGGAAGGATCTGATGGGCAACGAGCTTGGCTACATGGATCGTTCCGACCATGGTATCGATCAGTTTGAGAGTGCGCGCGACTTCCTCGAGTCTATCCAGCAATACGTGGCCACGAAAGCGGACAAGCTGATCTCCCGCGGTGGTGACATCAACGTTAATGACGAGAGAAGTCGGAAGGGACTGAACCACACGGGCAAGCTCACGGAGCGGACACTCCGTGCTTTTATCTCGGCGTGTTTGATGAAGTACAAGAAGGCCCAGGTCGAGGCCGGCCACGCTGTGGGCGCCGTTGGTGCGCAGTCCATCGGTGAACCGGGTACGCAGATGACCCTGAAGACTTTCCACTTTGCTGGTGTTGCCGGTATGAGTATCACACAGGGTGTGCCCCGTATTAAGGAAATTATCAACGCGTCCAAGGAGATCAGTACGCCTGTTGTGGCGTGCGAGCTGGTCACGAAGGACAACATCATCGCAGCGCGGATCGTCAAGGGACGTATTGAGAAGACGTATCTACGGGATATCATCCACTATGTGCGGGAGACGTGGACGGGCAAGGAGGCCTACATTACAGTCAAGATCAACTGGAAGACGATCCAGGACCTGGCGCTCGAACTGAAGATCGAAAACATCCTGGCGGCGATCAAGGGCCACAAGCGGTTCAAGGCGGACGACCTGAAGTTCCGGTGCTCGCGGTCGCACATCCACGTCTACATGGACGTGGACCCGTCGACCAAGGCCAACCTGTCCAAGACGGAAATTGCGTCGACCAGCGCGGATCCGTTCCTCCGACTGAAGCACTTGAAGCGCATGCTGCCTGACATCCAAGTGCTGGGTCACCCGCAGGCGTTCCGTGCGATTATCCGGACGGACGAGACCTCGACAACCAACACACTGCTGGTGGAAGGCTACGGATTACGGGAGTGTATGACGACGCTGGGTGTGGATGGTCTGCGCACGACGACCAACAACGTGATGGAGGCGCGCGATGTGCTGGGTATCGAGGCCGCGCGGACGACCATTGTGCAGGAAATCAGCGAGGTCATGAAGGACATGGACATCGATCCGCGTCACATGCAGCTCCTGGCCGATGTCATGACATACAAGGGTGAGGTGCTCGGTATCACGCGATTCGGTCTGGCGAAGATGCGCGACTCGGTGCTGCAGCTGGCATCGTTCGAGAAGACGGCGGACCATCTGTTCGATGCGGGTGGTGCGGGACGCAGCGATCTGATCGAGGGTGTGTCGGAGTGTATCATCATGGGCAAGACAGTGTCGCTGGGTACGGGAGCGATGGAGGTGGTGCGCAAGATGAACTTCTTCGAGGGGCAGATTGGGGCTCGCAAGACGACGTTTGAGGATACGTGGACGGAGGTGTACGAGGCGCCGTTGGAGAGGGCCAAAGCCAGACGAAAGCGAGTGTAAAGGTGTATATGGATGTAAGGATAAAAGCATACCAGGCGTTTGATGTATTTTAGTTAGCGAGCTGCTGAAGCAGCACATGATTCACTATCAATGGAGAGGACACCACATGGTAGGGTCTATACCGATGCGACTAAGCGACCCCACCGGATGATCTCATCGCTCGTCCGGTTCTTGTCTTGTCCTTGTTCTGTCCTTCCTCCTCATCCATTCCATCTTCTACACCTCTTCATCCACGAATTCACCATGTCTGTCCTCCAGAGTCTCCGTTCCACGTACCGTCTCAACTCCGGCCATGAGATTCCCGTCCTGGGATACGGGGTGAGCACTCTTTCCATCTCATCCAATCTACGCTAACAACAACAGGTCTATATGATGTATGTTCACTGCCACCGTTCAACCACCAGCTAAATTAACAAACCCAGCCCATCTTCCCAAACAGAGAAAGCCGCTCTTGAAGCATTCAGAGTCGGCTATCGCCATGTACGTCCACCACCCCATCCCTTCTAAGCAGAGACCAACCCAGCAGGTCGACTCGGCCATCATGTACCACAACGAAAAGGCGTGCGGGCGCGCCATCGCCAACTCGGGCCTCGATCGATCGGAGATCTTCTTCACGACCAAGATTCCCCCGGAATCGATGGGGTACGATCGCACCAAGCGGGCCATCGACTCGAGTCTGCGCGAAGCCCAGCAGGAGTATTTCGATCTGTTAGTTACATTCCAACATCTCATAATACCTTTCTAATGAGTGTAGAATCCTCCTGCATGCTCCTTATGGCGGGAAGGAAGCCCGACTCGGGTCGTGGAAGGCCCTAGTGGAGGCCCAGAAGACCGGCAAGACCCGGTCCATCGGGGTATCCAACTACGGGGTGCACCACCTCGAGGAACTGGAGGACTACATCCAGTCCGGCGGGGGCGGGCAGATCGACGTCGGACAGTATGAGTTGCATCCGTGGCTGGACCGATCGGAGATTGTGGAGTGGTTGCAGAGCCGGAAGATTGTGGTGGAGGCGTACTCGCCGCTGGCGCATGGCACGCGCATGGGCGAGCGGGTGCTGACGGAGCTGGGGAAGAAGTATGGCAAGTCGCCGGCGCAGATTATGATCCGATGGGGATTGCAGAAGGTGGGTGTCCATGAAGTTGGGGGGTGAGCATGACTGACGAGAGTAGGGGTTTGTGCCTCTTCCTAAATCGGTGACTCCGAGTCGCATGCAGGAGAATGCCGACGTGTTTGATTTTGCGCTGTCGGATGAGGAGATGAAGACGCTGCATACGGGCGAATACTCGCCTACGGACTGGGATCCGACGATGGATTATGATTAATGAGATGTATTGATGATAGGTAGATAGATAGATGGTATACTCCGTATCTACTTGAGCATCGGAGATGGCTTGGCAGACCGACGGCCCCGCGGGGCTGCTTAGCAATTCCTATCTTCCCCCGCCGACTTCAATTCTCGCTCATTCTCCCCTTCTTCTCCCTCTTTTCCCTCCTATCCTCTCCAATCTCCTAATTCATATCACCGCCACCATGAAATTAATCCTCTCCACCTCGTATGCCCCATCACCCCCTTCCAACCCCCCAACCACCCCACTAACCCCCCCAGCAACCTAATGATCAGCGGCGAGACCGTGATCCGTCCCCCCACCGAAAAGTCCAACGTCGAACTGATCAACTCCCTGCGCGCCAACATCCACGCCGCCCAATCCCTCAACCCCAAAGACTACACCACCTGGACCAAATCCAGCGACCATGCGCTCTACATCCCCGCCACCGACTTCGCCCCCGGGCTAGCCGAAGAGCGCTCGCAATACGACATCACCGTCAAACTATTCTACCTTCCGGGCATTCCCGCCTCCCGCCGATGCGCCCACACCCGCGAAGCCATCGACCTCGTGCTCAAAGAACTGCACGTCGACTCGATCGACCTCCTCATCGTCTCCTTCCCGGGCATTCTATTCGACGCCGACGACGACAGCGAAGAGGAACTCTCCTCCGACAATGGCAGCGAGGAACCAGATGACTTTGATAGTATTATCCAGACGTGGCGCACCCTCGAGGACCTGCAGGATCAGGGGATGATTGCGCAGTTGGGCGTCGCGGAGTTCGGGAGCGAACGACTCGCTCGCTTTCTGCCACATACCAAGGTGAAGCCGTCGGTGGATCAGATCAATCTGAAGGATTGTTGTGTGGTGCCTAAGTCGTTGATTCTGTATGCCAAGCAGGAACATATTCAGTTGCTGACGCATAATGATTGTAATGATATTTTGCCGGTGGGGACGACGCGCGAGTTACTGGGGCCTGGGGATAAGGGCGCGGGGATTCTGGCTTCGACGCCGGATGCGATTGATGGTATTCAGGGTGATGTTGAGCCCCAGTGGGTGGTTAAGTATACGGCTGTGGTGAAGGATAGGGGCGTCGTGGAGAATAAGGGGTATTTTGCCCTGGCGGATGTGGGTAGCTGTGTGAAGCCATAGCATCTCTTCCTCCTCCTTCCTTGTTATTTGGATAAAGCAAGCACGGCGGCGTTATAGGTATATCATCATCATCATCAACATCTAACGACTCATGAATACATACCACACACCACCTCACATCAAACCATAAAACATAGATATCTAGATAGATAGAAAGAATCTCAACCAAGCATACTCCTCTTCCTCCCCCTCATCCTCACATCCTCCAACCTCTTCAACACCGACCCCGCCCCGCGATAACTCCCACGATATCCCTCCAACACCTCCCCAAACAACGGTTCCGTCCGGGGATGCGTACTCCCAAACGCCCGTTCCAAAACATACAAATCCACCGCCCGATCCTCATCCTGAATACTCTGACTGGCGAGTCCGAAATCAATCAACACGATATCACCGTCCATATTGGGCTTTCCCCCTTCCCCTTCCCCTTTCCCCCCTATCTCCTCCAGTGAGGCTCCCTTTGGTCGGAGAATCAAATTACTCGTCGTCAAATCCCCATGCACAACCCCCGCCTTATGCAACGCCCCCACCGCCCCTCCAACCCGTCGAAGCAAATCCCCAACCTCCTTCTCTTCCCCCGCCTCTGCATCTTCACCCTGCGTCCGGTTCAAAACCCCCTCCCATTTCTGAATAACCACCCGGATCACATCCCCGGGTATCCATTCCATGAGAAGCCATGCGGCGCCCACACCCGCACCCTTATTCCCTTCCCCATTCCCATCTCCAGTATAAGATATGTTTGAACTGGAATTAACATCCCAATCCACCCCCAACACAGCCGGAACATTCACTCCCTCTCTGACAAGTCTCGCCAAGCACCGGGCTTCTTGTAGGACGCGTTGACGCGTCAATCGACGATCGAGAATCGGGTGGCGGTAGGGTTTCGAGGGGCGGATTTTTAGGGCGGCGGGGTGGTGGGGGGTTAGGAAGGTGGTTTTGTAGAGGTGGGCTTCGGCGCCTTGGGTTATTAGCGTCATTGGGGAGGTATTTTGGTTGGAGGTGGTGGTGTGGTGGAAGGGGGGGGGAGGGGGGTGGGGTGTATGGTGTTGTTGTTGTTGGCATTGTTGTGGTTTGTGGTTTGTGGTGGTGGTGGTGGTGGTGGTGGTGGTGGTGAAGGTGATTGTTGGTTTAGTGGTGAGGTTGTGGTTGTGGTGGTGGTGGTAGGTAGGTAGGATGTAATAAGGAGGGGTGAGTGAGGGGACTCGGGAGGAGGAGAGAATTGTTATCGATGGAAAAGTTCGGTGGGGCTGTTGGTCTGCCTATCGATTGGATTGGGAGGTTGTCACTGGTGGTGGTGGTTGGGTGGGTTATTAAGCACTACTGCTATTTTACTACTCGATCTACATACTACGGATTTATTATATTTTTTGTCATAGTGTAAAGATAGGTTTGGTTTATATTGTTTGTTTGATTGTTGTGTTGTGTTGTGTTGGGTTTGGTTTAGTCTGTTGTGGTATCGTGTATGACATCTCACAGACTCACATAACATCTCACATGATTTCTTACATAGCATCTCCCTAAATTCCTAGAATAGAGAATAGGGAAGAGAGGAAAACAGACCTTGTTGAAGTTCAAGAACAGGGAAGAAAGGAGCGTTTTATCCCGCTGCAATCGTACGTTGTGATGTCCACCATAGAATCAATGGAAGACAGTCCCTGATTTCCCTGAAATGGTAGTAAGTGGATGTGCGTGAATTGGCCAACCACGTTACAGTTTGATCGAAGTGAACTCTGTATCCTTCTCCTGGTAGACGAAATAAAGTGTGTCATGATTCGTACCCAGCAAGGTAATGGCTTGGTAAAGGGTCTGAACTTGATGGCCGATTCCTCCAAAGTTTGATAGACCATCAATATTGCATCCCACCATATTTCCAGATTCGGCCTCGAAACTGGTGAATCGTCTGCATCGTATGTGCCAGACCCATCAAGAAGTACTGGGAGCTTGGTAGACTCGACGCCCGGAGGACATTTTAAAGCGTTAAATCACGTAGACGTGGGGCGGCATGATATCTTTCTCCAGTCAGTACAGCCCCAACAGGATATGTTCAAGGGATCTCGTTGTATCCCAAGATATATAGTAGCAATAGAGAAAACCGTGCTATCTGCCGGTAGCATGGATTTTTCGAAATAGTTCGTGTAATCTGTTTCTTCCGTACCAGAATGATTGGTCGGTGGCAATCTGGTTATGCAGCCACCATAGACTTCCTGGTGGTCTTTATTTTGAACCTCCATTCTCTTCCACAATTCTGAATCATCTTGTGATGAGTTGGATGGGTAATCTCGGTAGACTCCTCTTTTTGGCCACATCTCGATACATCATGCTGTTGCGCATAGAAGCACGGTCAACCTAGGTCTGGCCATCTTCTGTCCTTCCAAAGATACCGGAGGAAAATAACCCACCACACTGTCAACACTTTCACTAGGTCGTTATATTCGTCCGTGGACATGATAGTGTTTGAGGAAGAATCTTTTCTGTGTCTTTCCAACCTGACGTGTCCGATCTGAAAGAGACTTTGCCAAAAGTTTGCCTCTGTTTGATCCAGCAAACTCTTTCTGGTCCTCCTTTTCCTTGACCATAGTCGGGGGTGTCCTCATCGGAATGCCAAATTGATGTCGATCCGCTGAGACTCTAGCATGCAGGAATGAGTGCATGCTCCGTGCCAGAAAAAGACCTTTGGGAACCTACACAAACATGGTTTTGAACCTCTGGCCGACATTTTCCGCAAGGAGCGCCATACGAGGATACAAATTTCGCTGACGCATACTCATTGCCTGCCCCAGGACAAGCCCTTGGTCATCACCTTGAACTTCCTGCCCACCAACTTCGCCGAAAATATTCATAGCAGTATCCAGACCTTTCTTGGAGTCTAACCACGCAAAGCCGACGATGTGATTAGCATACTCTTCCATTAGTATAACCATGACACATCGTCCAGACCGTATAGACAAATCCACGAGAAAAAGCCTGCAGGTCGATGCTGTGCCCTTTGTCGGCTCTGAGAGGTATCTGATATCATGACATCTGCCCAACCTTCCTTGAGGGTCTTCTCTCTATGCCTACCTCGGTTAGAAGTCCCCGACCACGCTTCCATGGAGGCATATGTACCTTGAAAAGTACCGAGTTCTTCCAGCATGGCTTGTTCATTCCGAGTTGAGATAGATAGAATCGGGCTTTCGCTTGCTTTGGCATTTCGCGCACAATGTCTTCAATGTCTTCAGTCCTCCCATTTCTCTGTATATATAAGTAGTCCAGGTGCGACGCATAGGTCGCCGAAAAAGTAAGAAGCCAATAATCTAGCCATCATCCAGAGAGATTAGCCAAAAGGCACGTGCCATTCCACCAGCGGATACCGGTTGGGAGAGCCATCCATTGGCATACCGTGCAAAGTCATACACGGTAGCAACTGCCACTGAACTCCCTATCCTGTCGATGACAGCCCATTTTGGGAGGTTGCAAAGTTTCTGGAACAATCGTTCGAACGGTTCATTGTGCTCGGCAGAACCACAATTTGAAAGGCACATGGGATGTTGGATTCGCAAGTCGTCCAGAAGTATGTGGATGCATACTTAGAGGTTTTATACCATATGCCTCATGCACTATTCTCGGTCCTAGGATGTCTGATGGATGATGTTCCAGGTCCTAAGCACCCAAGATTGAATAATATGTAGATCTGGAAGTCATACCAGGTGCATTGTGAATTGTGAACAGGTTGTGACTTATGATTTCCAAAAGATTGCCCTGACCTGGCTCCCCTACAAGCAGCACAGTCCGGATGCGACTGCAAGATGGACGGCATGCTGAGAATTATAGGGGTCGCAGGTCCATTTCCGGAGGCGGGTTTTGTTTCTTTTGTTTCTCCTTGTTGGACTCGTCTTCGGCCTCGTTCTCAGGATGTGGGTGGGATTGTGTTACTTGGTGAGGAATTTTTGTCGGGGGAGTCCTGTCAGGCACGGCAATTGTCGATTGAAGGCGGTAATCGCCTCAAGTATCCCGTAGAAGGGGAAATGGAAATGCGACGTTCCGATTCTATGTAGGATGATGCAAATAATAATAGGAGTAACGCGGGCTGATTTTGCATTATACCGTCAATTGCAACTGGTTTACGATCTTGATTGGCAAATCTCTCAATCTGCTTGTTCAATTCAAAGCACTTGGCATCTAAGACCTGGTAGATCAAGAAGCATAATCATAGATACAAGAAGCGGGAAATCCCAAACTTAGGCCAAACGGCCTCATCACTTGCGCCTGTCGCCGACCACATGATGGTTACGCAGATAAAACAAGAGAAATCATTTCACCTCATTGGCGTCCGAGAATGGACTCTCGACGCGCGGCGGGAGGTGTCGACTGCTTCGGTTGGACCGCGTGCCCTCGGGCATGTCGAGCAAAGATGACGCTCGTGCCTCGGTCGCTGCGGGTTGGTCCTTGAATGGACTTTGGCTCACGGCGGGCGAGTCTTCGATCACGGTACTAGGTCGCGATTGCGTCTCGTCCTTAGCCGTCTCGGTTTGACTGGTTGCTGGTGTCTGTGACTTTTGGGCGGTGTCCTCTTCATCTGAGGAATTGGCGTCAAAACCCGACCCAGGCGACTCGTCCTTGCCCTTGGTACTAGGCGCACTCGATACAGCCGCACTGGCGGTCTCCGGCTGCTCATCGATGGTCTGGACGCCGGGAGCCGCCGACGCATTATTGCTCTTCTTCTTCTTAGAAGGTCCTCTCACCATAACCGGCTTCGCCGTAACCGTCCGGGCGACAATCGAGCTGTTGCTGTTGGCAGTGGTGACACCGGCCTTGGCGAGCTGTGCTTGCGTGATGGCTGGGACAGCCGGCGCATCGGCGCCGTTGATGTTGACCACGGCAGCTTTCGTGCGCATGACCTGTTGAGCAGGCATCGGGCTGACGATGGCATTGTTTCGGTAGATGGTGGTGGCCACACTGCTGCGCAAGCTGGGAGCAATGCTTCGGCGCTCGTTCGACATTTCGGACCAGGTCGAGTCGCGGAGGTCGCCAGGCATGAAAAAGTGCTGATCGGGATGAGCGCCCGGCAGCGGAGGAACCGGTGGCACAAGGTGGCCGGGTGTTTCTGGGGGCGAGCGGTTCGTGACACCGGGGATATAGGCGATTTGGATCACATTTGAGGCGCGCGTTAGGACGGTGGAGGCGATCGAGTGGGTCGACTTTCTCGACTGTGCCGCGTCGTTGAAGGTGCTTGACTTCTCTCCCTCACTGGCTTCCTGCTCTTGGCGCTTCTTTCGGATGAAGAACCACCACACGAGGAACGTAACGATGGCAACAAACGCAAGACCGCCAATCACTCCTCCCGCAATCGCGCCGGCATCACTGCCTCCTCCCCCTGAATTGTTGGAGCTGGAGCTGTCGCCAGATGTTGGGGACTTGACACATTGTGTGCTTGCGCACGCAGTACATGACTGACTGGTCATAGTACATGTGTAGCCATCATCGCAAGTCGGGCAGGATGGTGAGGTGGTAGGACATGTCACACAACTCCTGAAGGCCAAAAGGGAACGGGCGTACAAGACTTCAAGCAGATCAGGTCAGCAATGCGCGGTGCGCTGGGTCGAGTCAAAAACCTACCATTTGGGGAGGTCGGGTCGGAAGGATAGAAGGACATGATGGATAGGGTTCAAAAAATAACAGGTCACGGCGATGGATAACGAGGAAGGTATAAGATTGGGTCGTAATAGAACGCTGCTGCTCAGAAGTGCAATGTAAAGAGTGGCGGCCGGTCAACGGCAAGAGAACGTGGAAAACGTAGGAGCAAGTAAAAGAGTGTAGATGCTCAACAGACGTCAAGTCGTGAGTGTTGCTCGGTCATAAAAGGAGGACAGCGAATTTAGACAAGCGAACGGATGTCGGTGGTAAGGAAGTTGGTCGGAGGACGGTAGGCAACAACGGTCATAGTATGCGATTGGAGTGGATCTCCGTCAAGGTGAGGCGGTAGAGGATTCTCCCAGTCGGGCGTATGGTCGGTCACTGGCACCCGGCGATGGACACTTCAACCCCGTGAGTGCATGGATGCGTGATAGGTCGCTGGAGTTGACGTCGGGAAGGAACACGCGTTGGTGGCTGCCAGGTACAGTACCACCGCAGTGACGATTTCAGGGGAGGGGAGAGACGATCGGGGGAAGAAGATCGGAGGCGGTCTGTGGGAGAAGGTAAAAGGAGGGCGAAAAGTAGGTAGGTATGGGTAGAGGGTCAAAACGTAGGAAGCAGCAAAAGAACCGAAAAGAGGGGGAGAAGGCCAAAGGAGTGAAGGTCGAAGAAAGGAATGACTGATAATAATAGGGATCTGAGTAGACCAAAGAAACGGGGAAGTAAGCAGGACGGAAGATGCAGATGGTGGGTGGGTGGTGGGTGTAATTACAAGTCGTGGTGGGTGGGAGACGCGGAGAGGGCGGCCGCCTGACTGCCTTGGGCTTAGCGGTGGGCTGTGAAGATTATCCCCACTGCCTCTGGCTGCTTATTGCCACGCTCATGCAGGGGATCCCAGACCAATGTTGGTTCCTCTCAAAGATGAGTTGACCCTCTCTTTGATCTATCCATCACACCATAAGTATCACCAACAAACTTATATATCAGGAATCTGACACCCAATTCCTTCAGATCATCTCGAACCCCTGGGGTGGAACGCAACCACCGGGCGGCACACAAGCCATCATCAATAGGCGGCATAGTCGGGAATAGTGCCGGAATATTGGCCGACTATAGCGAAATCTACGAGAGACTCGTCCTACTAGCATCGCTCTCTCCGGAAGGAACTGACATGAACTATTGGAGAATTTTGATTGAGAAAATATTGCGGAAATCAGCCGTGAAGAGAGAAGAATGCCTGCAACAAAGCCAACCAGGCCCCTGGCATAGACGGAACGGTGGATGACGGTTCCCATCATGCCCCAAGATTCCTTACTTCTTGTGTCTCATGTGCAGCCAACCACTCTTTGGATGTGTGCCAGGCACGGCCGGGCGTGCCTGGACGGGCTGGTCTCGAACCTCGCGCCCACGTTGGATTCCTTCGCCCGGAAATTAACACGGCACGACGGGCGAATCATGAGGCCGCCGCGCACCCACCCGCAGCCTCAGGCACGGCAGAAGAGGATCCATTTGATTAACTCATTAACGAGATTAGATGCCATTCGCTTCCACCAACTGCCATTTCTCGCCTGGATGGAGTACCTAGCCGGCACTGAAGTTACCGGGAAGTCAACCCTCCCGGAAAAGAGCCGACCTTTGCAGGAATTAACCTTTGCTGATTCCGTAGCGGTATGCCACTGTGTCTTTTCGGGGTGACGAATGTCCGTCCATCTTATGGTGTAATCAGAGTGAAGGAACACATGTTCGAGGGGCCTAACCAGAACGGCTGAACGCTAATGGCGGATTCTGGTCAAGCCACGCGTCACCCGGTCTCGATTCCGAGAGACCACTCTGTGCAACCACACCGATATTAACTTCGACTTTGCAGAGACTTCCTGTCTCTGTGCTTACAGTGGCCAAGATGACAGTGTCTGGTGGACGAGCCACCGGTTTCTTTGTAGCCGGTCAGAGTTCAGGGGATTGGATATAACCAAATTAAATTGCTGCACCATACAATAGGAGTCGCAGCATCCATAATCCAATAACTTGTGATAAGGATTAATTAATTTCAATATCAAGTCTTCACTAGATCTGTGCTTTCCCCATAGCTGTCAGACCAATTATTGATTTGACAGGATGACATTTCGATAGTTTGAAATCTTCTTTGCGCGTCTTGGCGGCTGCTCTTGGCTTCGACCATAACGGCCAGCTCCAGTAGAGTGACCGCAAGAGTACTTCGTAGACGACTTTAAGAGTACTTGGTTACACGATGCTGCGCCAGAACCTTCTCTGTGAGTGCATTCTGTTTTATAAGTTATCTCACTATTCGTTGCCGAACTCGGAAAACCTTGCCAAGGTAGCCCCTGAATGCTGTACTTTGGTATGATGCTTGGACAGACAAGGCGACTTTCGCATCCAGAGTGTCCGAAGTCTATCATCCAAGACATCGCTATATATAGGATACTTTTAGTAGCAGCTGGCAAGACTTTATACTTTTCTGTATTCTGCCCAACATCAACCGCTATGCGACCAATTTTCAACGTCCGCCAATTCGGTATCCAAGGGTGTTATTCGGAGACATTTCATGAATTTCCCTCAAGGGTTTGATCACCAATGCTGGCTATCAGGTTCTAATTTCAGTTGAGTATGTATAAGGATCGATTCTCATCATCGAAGCCGGATTTCAGGAGATAAAGCCATTTATATCGCCAAGAACACTTAAACGTAGGTCAAATTTCAATCACATCTCAACCTACCATCTATTACTGGATGAGATAATTCACGCCAGTCCTCGCACAAGAGTATACTTGCGGCAGGTTGCATAAACAACGATGATGTCAGTCGGACCGTTGCATTGCCCCTCCCATTGTGTTACGGCCAAGTATATTTGTTTCCCGATGTACAACACAAGGAGACATCAAGTGCCCTGCACCGCCACTCTCGATGGAATGGGATACGGACGGGAAAGACGCAGACAAACGAAACCCACCAAAGTCCAAACAGGATGGTCAGCCTGGTTAAGGTTGTGCTTGGTATGGAAATAGATAACGGGATTTGATTACCTGTGCTGAGGAATGCGGCAAAGTCCGTTCACCTTTTATGGCTTGGCTCGGATGGAGTCAAGTGACTTGCATCAGAGTGCTTATCTAAGTTGCCAAGTTGAATAGGCTTTGGAGACTAAAGAGGAAAAGTGCAGGGCGTACAGAGGACGTGGGTTTTGACTTTGGTCCTGTGCCTGTAGTGGAGGCAGATGGAGCACAGTATGCAGGGACAACGGCTCAACATGCATCAAGTCCTGAGGCAATGCTTTACATCATGTGATGGTTGTCTAGCTGCGCTTGAAGGGGGCTTGGAGTATTGATGAACTACTATATAGTCAAAGGCAATATGAATACTGTCGGATTTGGAAATGGAGATGGAATATCTTTATGAGAAGGATTTTGTAACTCCAGTAATATTGTTATTGGCCAGATAAAATAGCATTCAAAGAAATATATATACTACTAGTGAGATCTTTCACAAGTGACCAGTTTTTATACCGACAAATACGGACTACTATATAACAGAATTCTAGGCCAACCCGGCAGAAGTAAAAAGCCTTTCAGCCCAACCTATACTCAGTATTCATAGCCTACCGTATGCTGAGCCCTTAGACGGCTAGCGAGGGAGTGATTACAACGGCAAGTTCGATACCTAGCATCCACTTAACGTAGGCTAAGTAGTACTTATCTACTCCGTACAGTACGGAGTATATGCAAAAGGAACATGCATAGAACTCCCGCAAATCATGCACGATCAAAACCCTCCGAGGCTGCATCCGCGCTCTGCTTCATGTGCATTGATCTTCTCCCTGGTATTCGTATCTGTAGCCCATAGAATACCCCCTGAGGCAATGCCCAACGGAGCCATGCTGAGTGCTCCATACACCGCTACATGTCTTACATTTTATCGAGTTGTTGCTTAGTTTACGGTAGCCGCTGACGATCTGTCTCTCGTTGTCGGGACGGATAGCCAATGATGAATGGTTTCGCGCTTAGACGGACTGACTAGGTGGCACTAAGTCTTGCTCTATATTTATACTGCCGCTAATGGACCCAGTGACTGCCACGGAATACGGAGTACCAATGTACCATGAGTACAGTGCCGCAGCAGACCCTCCCGGACCTACATGCATTTGCTTGGCCAACATATGCGTATAGATTGAGCCAATTTGACTGCTTGGTTGTGCGTAGGGTTCTCGCTGTATGCTGCGGACCAACTCAGCGTTCGGAGATTTATCTTGCAAATATAGATCTAAGCAGAGCAAAACACCAGAAGCCTAGGGATAGCTATAACATGATGAACAACTCAACAACTACTCCATACAAAGTTCTCTGGTACACAGTATCGCAACTCCATTGATGATCCACAACGGTTCGGTAGATGGAGTGACGGTTTCAAAGACAGAATTCATAGGGAGATGAAAAGTCAAACTTAAAAGTTCACACAAAGCGGAATTACCCGACCGCCTTCCAGCGTGGCAAGTTGTGTGCTCATGTAAGGGGGACGGTGTTCCCGTTGTTCGTGTTCCTCTCCAAATGTCGTCAAATAAGAAACGCCTTTACAAGCCCCAGGCTTGAGGGCAACTGCATCGTAAACCCAAAAAAATCATGTCATCAGCCAGAACGCCTCTCGACGGTGCCACTTTGTCTGACTCGTGAGACTGTGTTGTCACGGCGTTACTAAATAAAGGCCCTCAATAGCTAGAAGCTAACCGGATGGTGTCTAGTGTCCCGCACACGATAACAACCCTGTGGCAGTGATGATCATCAGCCAGTGGCATCAAAGAGTCTCTTGGAGTGCCCGAGACGGTGTGCGACAGGCTGGAATTACCTAATATCAGCACAGGACTCAACAATTGCCAGCCGCCTTGAAACTGCGACTGACCAGTAAGCATGACCCCTCCACCCGCTAATTGGGCTTTGACGGTCTTTGAGTGATCCAGTGTGACCTTGGCAAAATTAAGGATTCCAGCCTAGCGCTGCTGGTGGCTCTGGTTTGACCAACGGCCGATAAACACGGTCCTTGGGCCCTCAGGAAGGGCAGTCTGGCTCCCCACAAGCCTATATTTGGCTGGGAGGTTAGGCCCTTTTGGGTGCTCCCCGCCCCCTGAAACATTCACCCTCCGTATTGTCACTCCACCATACGGGACCACTTCAATACCAGCCGCCACACTCACTCCGATCTCCGATAGGTCATTTTACCCTGAGCCATGGCAGCCATAATGGGGCCGGTTGGGGGATGTTTCAGGTTGACAACCAGGAGTCCAGTCATGGCAGTCAAGACTCGAATATTGAGGGTCATGACAGGTGAGGGCACACTTCCAAGAAGGAGGAGATCTACATAGGGCACGCCGATGCTGACTGCTGGTGGCTGAGGAGGGTTTGTTTGTGGCCAGTTATGCTGGCGAGGGATGCGGAATGCTCATTGGAGCCGAGACCTTGGAAGTTATCCCGCCTACAGGTAGCCACTGTATGTTATTCATGGGGCCCTGCCTATTGCTCGAATTGATTCCAGCACGCCGCGGATCCTTTTATGATAGGCTCGGGGTATGAGAATGATGTCCATCGAATTCTTACTTACCTCGACACGGTACGGAGGAATAGGTGGATTTCCGCTAGCTGCTATTATTCTCCCATAAGGCCAGACCTTCGACACGGACAATGACAATACGTGACAGGAAAGGCGGTGTTTTCAAGGGTAAGCCGTAAGCAAAGAACCTCATGTGGACCAGGGTCCATATCCACCCGCCCGTAATCAGGGTTCAGACCCTTGATAATTTTAAATACATAACACTGGAAGTGCGGAGCAATGGCCAAGGAGGGGGAGCAGAACAATGCCCTCAACTTGTAACAATCAGGGGGGGAGGGCCTGTACAGGCTGAAAATTACTGAGAGTGGCTCTCTGGACTCGAGGAGGGATGACAGGGCTGTTATGGGGGGGAAGTCTCGAAGGGAGGATGGAAGGATATGATGCAGGAGACGATCGGGGGCAATAGCTTGCCTGACCTTGCGGTCAAAAGAAGAAATATGAGGGGATACCGAAAAGGCAATGGTCAAGCCGCCCACCCATCATCATCATCATGGATTGCCTCTGAATAGAACAGACTAGTAGTGAAAAAGTGAACAAATAAGCATATTAATAAAATAAGAATCATCATAATAATAATAATCAAATCAGCGAAAAAAGATCCACTCAACAAGAATAATAAGTGGAATAATTATCATCATCGGCATCCGCCGTGATCGCAGGGAGATCTCAGTTGTACTCCGTAATATGCAGCTACACCCAGCCTTCTGGTTTGGAATCCAATACGCTCCCCACCCTTCCCTCTGCCAACCCCAAAAGATCACTTGAAAGGAAAGCTGTCGCTCACCTTTTCGCGCCTTTCCGATTTTCCTGTTTTACTTTTTCGACCTCTCTCTCGCCCATCCCATCCCATCCCATCCATCCCCATCCCGCCCCGTCTTTCTTCTCACTTCTCCCTCTTCCTCTCTCTTTCCCTTCCCATCGCCTCCTGCCCCTCCCAGCTTTGTTTTGGGATCCGCTTCACTGCCCTTTTGCCCTCCGCGGTCACACGGGCTTCCCGAGTGTCTCTCTCTCCCCATCAGCTGCGATCGCAAGGTACCTGCTCAGCCCTGGCGGCTTGTCCACGTTCTTGCTGTGACTCGCGCCCTTCGGTCTGCTTTTCTTTCAGCTGTCCGAATCCCCTTGACTCTCGTTTCCCTGCTTCGCGTCCGCAGCCTCTTTCAGCTTTTTGTTTGTTTCTTCCCTCCGCTCGAGTGGTTGCCCGCGTTGTCTGACTTCCCCAGTCGGCGCACTCCTTGCTCCTTGTTTCCCTGATACCCCCTCCCGTTGCTTTTGCGCTGTCCTTGCATTCTATTCCCACGGGGTTGTGCTTGAGCTTTGAGTTCGGTTCACGCGTACGACTTTAATATCTTATCATCAACCATGGCCTACCAAGGCGCTGGTAATACTTCGCCTCCGGGCTATGATGACGGTGGCCACCGGCTTCAGGATCTAGCCCACGGCAACAACGTAAGTGCTCATCGGACTGCTTCTGCGCCTGGGAGTTGATGAACCAATTCTGACATTCTTCTAGTATGAAGAAGAAGCGTCGAGAGGTTTGCTATCGAGCCAGACGGGCCCGTTTACGGGACCCTTTGATGACCCCCAGCAACGCAACCTGTCCCCCGCCCGACCCACCTCTGGATACAGTTTGACCGAGACATATGCCCCCGATGCGGGCTATCATGATCCTTACAGTGCAGGTGGCTCTGTTTACTCGGCGCAGTCTGGGGAGAACCCCGCGGCTGCTTTTGGTGTTCCCGGTCGTGTGGCTTCGCCATATGCTCGTAGTGAAACCTCATCAACAGAAGCCTGGCGGCAGCGACAAGCCCCCGGAGGTGCAGCAGGTGGTGGTGGAGGCAGCGGTGGAGGCGGCGGTGGAGGTAATTTGCGCCGCTACGCTACTCGAAAGGTCAAGCTCGTGCAGGGCTCAGTCCTCAGCGTTGACTATCCGGTGCCCAGTGCTATCCAAAACGCCATCCAGGCTAAGTATCGGAACGATCTCGAGGGCGGGAGTGAAGAGTTCACACACATGCGATGTAAGTTATCCAACGGGAAGTTTTAAGCCATGCAGCTGGTCGGAACTGACGGAGAATTGCTTGCTTAGACACTGCGGCGACATGTGATCCCAACGAATTCACTCTCCACAATGGTTATAATCTTCGACCCGCCATGTACAACCGACACACCGAGCTGCTGATTGCGATTACCTATTACAATGAAGACAAGACCCTGACGGCACGTACCCTGCATGGTGCCATGCAAAATATTCGTGATATTGTGAACCTGAAGAAGTCCGAGTTTTGGAACAAGGGTGGACCGGCCTGGCAAAAAATTGTGGTGTGCCTGGTATTCGATGGTATCGACCCCTGTGACAAGGATACGTTGGACGTTCTCGCCACGATCGGTGTCTATCAGGATGGTGTCATGAAGCGTGATGTCGATGGAAAGGAGACTGTTGCTCACATTGTATGCGTGTCCCAGAACTTTCTAGTGGAATATGCTAACAGGAGCAGTTCGAATACACGACGCAATTATCCGTGACCCCCAACCAGCAACTTATTCGCCCGACGGATGACGGCCCTACAACCCTTCCTCCCGTGCAGATGATGTTCTGCTTGAAGCAGAAGAACAGCAAGAAGATTAACTCCCACAGATGGCTCTTCAACGCTTTTGGCCGCATCCTGAACCCCGAAATCTGCATTCTTCTCGATGCCGGTACGAAGCCTGGCCCCAAGTCGCTGTTGGCTCTGTGGGAGGCTTTCTATAACGATAAGGACCTGGGAGGTGCCTGCGGCGAAATTCACGCCATGTTGGGTAAGGGTTGGAGAAATCTCGTCAACCCTCTCGTCGCGGCCCAGAATTTCGAGTATAAAATCAGTAACATCCTGGATAAACCCCTGGAGAGTTCTTTCGGATATGTCAGTGTGTTGCCCGGTGCTTTCTCCGCGTACCGATTCCGTGCGATCATGGGTCGTCCATTGGAACAGTATTTCCATGGTGATCACACCCTTTCCAAGCAGCTGGGTAAGAAAGGTATCGAGGGTATGAACATTTTCAAGAAGAACATGTTCTTGGCCGAGGATCGTATCTTGTGTTTCGAGTTGGTCGCCAAGGCCGGCTCCAAGTGGCATCTGTCCTACGTGAAAGCTTCCAAGGCCGAAACCGACGTGCCGGAAGGTGCTGCTGAATTCATCTCCCAGCGTCGTCGTTGGTTGAACGGATCCTTTGCCGCCGGTATTTACTCGCTGATGCACTTTGGACGGATGTACAAGAGTGGCCACAACATCATTCGGATGTTCTTCCTTCATATTCAAATGTTGTACAACACGTTCTCGACTATTCTCACATGGTTCTCTCTTGGTAAGTCAGGTTCTTGGTTCTTCGTGCGAAGTGGGCATATTATACTGACTAGTGCTATTAGCATCTTACTGGCTTACAACCTCCGTCATTATGGACCTGGTTGGAACTCCGAGCTCCAGCAACGGTAACACCGGGTTTCCCTTTGGCAAGACGGCCACTCCGGTCGTCAACACCGTCGTGAAATATGCGTACCTTGGTTTCCTACTGCTACAGTTTATTCTCGCCTTGGGTAACCGCCCGAAGGGTTCCCGCTTCTCATACCTCGCCTCTTTCGTGGCATTTGGTATCATCCAGCTTTACGTTGTCGTCGATGCGCTGTACCTGGTAGTCCGCGCGTTCAGTGGCAGTGCGCCGATGGACTTCGATACTTCGCATGGAGTGGGCCCCTTCCTTTCCTCGTTCTTCGGGTCGACGGGTGCCGGTATCATCATTATCGCGCTCGCTGCCACCTTCGGTCTCTACTTTGTGGCGTCGTTCATGTACATGGACCCGTGGCACATGTTCACTTCGTTCCCTCAGTACATGGCCGTGCAGTCGTCCTACATCAACATTCTCAACGTCTACGCCTTCAGCAACTGGCACGATGTGTCCTGGGGTACCAAGGGTTCCGACAAGGCGGATGCTCTGCCGTCGGCGAAGACGACCAAGGAGGGCGGTGGCAAGGAAGCGGTCATTGAGGAAATCGACAAGCCCCAGGCCGACATTGACAGCCAGTTCGAATCCACGGTCAAGCGTGCCCTGACACCATATGTGCCGCCGGTGGAGAAGGAAGAGAAGAGCTTGGACGACTCGTACAAGAGCTTCCGTACGAGACTGGTGACCTTCTGGATCTTCAGTAATGCATTGCTTGCTGTCTGCATCACCAGCGATGGTGTGGATAAGTTTGGCTTCACGGTACGTCTTCCCAAACAGTTATCTTTGATCGTCACTAATGGGTCCAGAACTCTGCCACCGAACGAACGTCGCGGTTCTTCCAGGCTCTGCTGTGGTCGAACGCGGTGGTTGCGCTTTTCCGCTTCATTGGAGCCTGCTGGTTCCTGGGCCGGACGGGTGTGATGTGTTGCTTCGCCCGTCGGTAGAGGGCCTGGTTGAAAAGTTGGCAACGAGAGGTGCTTTGCCAGGGCGGCAGGCAGATGCCTCGGGGAGTTATTCTTGGCACATTTTTGTCGCAATTTTGTATTCTACATACGATGCTCATTCCTTGTTTCCCAGGGCTGCCGTGTTTTGTTTCCGGTTGGATTTGCACATTTGATAGGGCTGCAGACATGATGTTTTGTAGACTCTTAGCGCATTAGAAATGGGATGTATTCAGGCGCGGAAGCGAGGTGTTCCGCAGATAATGTTCAATATGAAGTTGTGAGGAAATATTATTAGTATTACCGGTAAGGATGTACTATATACCTAGGATGCGTGGTCGGCGATGGAGCGGAAAGGCACCGATGTGAGTGGCAAGTGGAAGGGCGGGGAGGGCCGATGGATGGTTAATGGCGTCAGTCAGGCCGCTGCCGCCTTTGCGACAGGTTCCCGGTAGCACCTCTTCTCTGCGATATACCAGTCTTGTCTTCCCATCCACCAGCTCTTCTCGCGTGGTTTGTCACGACGTGTTGCTGTTGAGACGTAAGGCTGGTTCCTGTCTTACATCGACGCTGTGCCCTGAGTGGAGCCATCTGACCGGCCATCCGGCATCAGCACCGCCACTTCTCTTGCCAGTCATCGATCCTCACCGCGGGGTTTGCAGTTACACCTACTTCTACACCTACACCTACACCAGTACTCTTGACCCCATCCAAACCTATTTGAGATCGCATCCCGCGCAGGGCCAGTTAGCCACGATGTTGAAAATATGGTCCATGGTATGCCTCCTCTACCCCTCTGTCCCCTCTTCACCCCCTCCCCTATAGCCTCACTAACCTCCCCTCGACTCAACAGAAACAACAACAACAACAAGCCGAGAATGCTGAAGGAGCAGCCGGCAAAAAGAAGAAAGTGACTGCTGCTCAGTTGCGCGTGCAACGAGGTCTGTCTATCTCCCCTCTCCCCTCTTCTCATCATCTTCCCCAAACTGAATCATAAAACTAACCACGAATATGAAAACAATACAGATCTCCAAGAACTCACCCTCGGCAGTACCATGAAAATGACCTTCTCTAATCCAGACGACATCCTAAACTTCACTCTCACTATCGAACCCGACGAAGGCATGTACAAGGGCGGCGCATTCCATTTCAACTTCGCTGTCAATCAGAATTTCCCGCATGATCCCCCGAAAGTCAAATGTTCGCAGAAGATTTACCATCCCAATATTGATCTCGAGGGGAATGTGTGTTTGAATATCCTGAGGGAGGACTGGAAACCTGTGTTGAATTTGAATGCAGTTATTGTGGGGATGCAGGTATGTTTCTCTCTCTCTCTCTCTCTCGCGTCTTTTTTTACTGGGGGATGGGGGTTTAGATGGGACTGGGTTGGCTAATGCGTGGGGTGATAGTTTCTCTTCCTTGAGCCGAATGCCTCCGATCCGTTGAATAAGGAGGCTGCAGAAGATCTGAGACAGAATCGCGAGGCGTTTAAGCGGAACGTTCGCTTGTCGATGGGTGGGGGGAGTGTTAGGGGGGTACAGTTTGAGAGGGTTATGCGGTAGTCACTTGCTGTGTCTCTTTCTGTGGACCTACCTGTTAGGTAGGTAGGTATCTGGCAGCATGGGTTGTTGCATGTGGTGCTTTTGCATTGATTTGACCCAGATCGTGCAGGTGGTGTGGTGCTGGTTACTAGGGAGTTACGTGCATGACTACATTTCCATTTGGATTAATTAGCGACTGGATAGATTCCCTGCTTATGAAAGAAATGAACTTATTCTGGCATATACCCTTCTCTGAATGCCTTCCTAAGTGAACTACACCAGACAGACTATTGCTACGAGTGGAACCTACCAAGAGGATAATAATAACGAACCGCATGTATGAGTTACAGGCGTATATACAACACGACACAATCAACAAATACCAGTGGGTAAATCAAAGTAATTCCATTTATTCTTTCATTCCAGTCCAGTCGATGCCACCCCACTCCGCTCACTCACACACAGACACTCAACCGCAAATAATCATACCAGACACACACCCATCTATGCCCCTAATTCTAATCCCCCCATCTGGCACAGCTATCCGCTAATCAACGCGCCAAGCCGAGTATCTTTCATTTGTGCTGTAGTGGTTGCCTTTACTCCTGGGAAGCGGCGCGCTCGGCCTCGAGGCGAGTGTAGTAGTTGTCACGGGCGCGAACGCGGGGAAGGTGGAAACCTATTTTTGTTGTTAGATTGGATTGCTTCACGGGTTGCTTCACGGGTTGCTTCATGGGTTGCTTCATGAGAGGGGTTAATTGGGGTGATACGTACCGTACCACCAGAGGTAGCCGAAAGTGGTACCGAAGCCTGGATTAATCACAATTAGCTAGGTATGCTTTCCAGACTGGGATGTTGGATTCATTTGCGCGCGGGTTTGTCGGCAAGGTAGTGGTGGTGTGATATGGTGATATCGACATATCTTGGCCGTTCGCAAACGCGCAGACACTCTCCTCGGATGTATGGGAACTCACCGAAGGCGGTGCTCAGGTCAAGGACCAGGGTGCGGCGGAGCATCTAGATTCGTATAGGTTAGGTTGGGTTCGAATTGAGGGTGAGCACGGTGGGAGGTGGGAGTGTTGGGAGTGGACGTACGCCGGTGATGGGAGGGACAGCGGCCATTGTGAAGGATTGATGTCTTCAGGTGATTCTGACGAACGGGAAGAGGAGGTGGAGCGAGGGGTCAACCTGCTGATTGTGGTGGTGGAGGAGGGGAGAGGAGAGGGAGGAAGCGAGCGGTGATGTCGAGGTGAAAGTCGAGGTGAAGCTTTCCGGGCCGGCGAGTAGTAAGCGACGGCTGTGAGTGGCCTGATTGCCTGGGGGTGGTGGGCGGATGAGGAACACCACTGTTAGGGGGGTTGAAGGGTAGATGCATGTAGAATTGAGTTATAGGTAAGATTGTTTATGGGATTTATATTTAATTTAGTTTTGTATAGCTGGTTGGGATTGGATTGGAGTTGAGTTCAAGATATTTCTGCCTCAGGCATAAACACGTGACTACCCGTAGAGCTGTGTTTGGCCGTTTCTGTCTCCTCCAAATCCTCCATCAGACACCGGCGCCATGGTCCTCCCGGAACACTCCCTCAAACGATCCTCCTCATCCCTCCTGGATGCTCCTGGTATCTCCGATGTGAAACGAATCAAACGCCCTTACCACCATCACCATCGGCTCCAGAACCCCGTTGCCCCCGCCCTGCCGGAACCCGCCATCGTCGACGAGTCCTGCATCGACGATGTCCTGAATCGCTCCATCGGACAGTATCTACAAGAATGCGGCTTTGATATCGCCGACCCTGCGGCGCTGGACGCCTTTCGAAGGGTGACGGAGGAATGTACGTGGATTTAGCGGTTCTGATGGACCGTGGATGATATTGATGTGGTATAGATCTTCTGCAGTTCGCCTCATATGTACGCCAGTCGATGCTCTCTTGTCGGCGCGTCCAGCCTATCCCTCAAGACTTCGAACATGCGTTGAACAGGCAGTGCGTGCCGGTGGGCGACCTTCTACCGCACGTGAAACGTCATCCGAATATCGAACCTATCCCCACGCTTCTACCAAGCCCGCCGCCCGAAGAAGACTCCTTCAAGATTCTGCCCTCTCTCGGCCCACTGCTCGGCGATGAGGATGATCGCGTCCAAAATGCCTACATCCCGAAACACTTTCCCGACTTTCCCAGTAAACACACCTATCGACACACGCCTGTGTTCACGGAACGAGAGCAGGATCCGCGCAAGATTCGCGAGCGAGCGACAGAGGACGGTCGACATGGTGAGGAGGCGTTGCGCAAGTTGGCTCGCGCGGCCTTCAAGGATAATCATTCTGGTGCGTCGGTTCGGGATAAGAAGCCATGGGGACGACGGGCAGAGAGCATGGACGGGATGTTTGAGAAGACAGTCCGGGCGCTCGCGAAAAAGGTGCAGAAACCAGCGACAATTCCGGGCTCTGGTCCCATGGAGATCGACTCGGGGGCGGGTGCGGATGCACGATCCAAGCCGTCGTTGAATATAGAGCTGCCTCCGATTATCAACTGCGAGCGAGACTTTTGGCGACGGGCACCCGCATCCGGGAGTCGGAGGTCGGAGGAAACCAAGCCATCCAGCTCGAAGGACACCCCCGACATGTCGAGGGTCGATAGCTGGGTGGGCGTATAACGAGCGAGGGAGGAGGCGTCAGGCGTTCAGCTTTTTCATTGTAGCATAACCGAGAAGATACCCATGGAGCAAGAGTCAAATAATGCAATCAATTGGTTAATCACGTAGCTTGCTGCCACTGATAGTGTAGACCAACGCCCATCAACTCCGTGCCATGCATCATGCGTTCCATCAAGCAACAGTGCTGCTCTCCGCAGCGCGTTTGCGCTCTTCCTCTTTGGCTATCCTGATCGGTTCCCAAGCAGTCGTTTCGACCGTCAATCCGCCCGCACATCTACCATAAAGCAATCGTGAGCACAGTCCCCTACAGCCCAAGCAGAGAAACAAGAAAGCACCCACCGTCGAAACAGCCTCACGATCGGCTTGCAATTCACCACCCCCGGCTGGGGAATTCCCTCCTGCGGCGGATTGCACGAGTATTGCACCATCTCCATCAGCTTGCACTTCTCCAGCTCGACCGGACCGCCCTTGCGACGCTTTTCTTGGAAGTTCTTGGTCACGACGTTGACGTGGTCGGGCAGGGTCTCGGCGGAGAAGACGGGGACGAGAGGGGCCATTGTGATCGCTGTGTATATATTGTTCCAGGAATATCCAGTAAAGATGGGGTTGTATATTGTGCCAGCTGGAATTGGCAGCTGGATGGTGGTGCTGTGCTGGGAAAAGGAAAAGTGGATGGATGGAGCGGAAGCGTTCGCCAGCGCCGCGATCATCTCATCCCATCCTCGTATTGTCGCGGGACTGCCCGCGGGGGTTCAACTCTGCAACTACGCTTGGTTCGGACACAATCGATGTTAATCGTGAAAGGGATAATGAAGGTGATTGATGATTTTTAGGGATTAGGTGTGCTCGATGGCTGCTAGTTTCGGGGAGAACTTGTTGGGGGAGGTGTTTGAGGAGGGGCTGAATGAGGTATGGTTGCTTGTTTGATCGTATTCTTGAATCAGATTTATTGGGATTGTGCTGAGAGTTATAGCTTCTTTATGATCTATACCACGGCAGTGTTGATGCTGGTGTCTTGAAGCCCAGTTTGGGGGTTCAGGTGCTTGATGATCTTCTGGATGTTTTCACCGCGCCGACGCCTGCTGTACAGGCTATGAATTCAGAACAGTCTTTGTCGCAGGATTTGCCTCCAAATGATCAGGAAGAATATGGGCGGCAGTTTGAAGGAGGTCTGGTTCAACCACAAGGCGAACATAATGTGCTCGCAAACATGTATATCCCGCCGTTGGTGAACAGGAGCCATGCGGAACCGGTCGTGGAAATCTCGAGTAAGCTGTCTGCAGCTGGAAAGTCGCATCTGCTGTACTATCTCGCTGCAGTTGCTATTTTGCCGTCTGTGATCAATGGTGTTCCCCTGCATGGCCGCGAATCAGCTGTGGTGTTTCTTGACACAGATGGCCGGTTTGATGCTGAGCGACTCAGAACAGTGCTAGGAGGGATTGTCAAGGCAAGAATAAAGGCACTGGTTGAGAACCCAACCAAAGTAATATCGGCAGATGGTAAATCATTTGACTGCTCAGATGAAGACATCAAGAACATGCTTGTCACCTGTTTGCAACATGTTCACGTCTTCCGTCCACAATCGTCATCAGCTCTGCTTGCTACACTTCAGCATCTGGATACATACCTGTTCGACCTTACTCGGCATCTCTCGTCTAGCCGACCTGTGCATGCTATATACCTCGACAGCGCCAACGCTTTCTTCTGGCAAGATAAACTGCAAGACGAAATCGCTCGGGTGGGGGATATCGGACGACCGGCCGCTGACCTTGAGCGTGAGCGTACTCAGAAAGAGAGCTTTCACATAGCAGACCTCTACAGTGACTTGGTTGCGGAATTGAAGCGGCTACAGAGACTGTTTAGCTGTGGGGTGGTCTTCACTTCTACTGTTCAGGGGAAGTCTGCCGGTGCTCAGGGTAACTCGGGGTATCAGCCTTCAGGGCCTTACGACTTATATACCCCCGGTCCTTCTGTCCCAAGAACGCCTTCTTTTCGTTCTGCTCTTCCTGCGCCGTGGGGCACATTTCCCACGCTGCGGATCGTCGTTCAGCGGGATACGGTTCGTCCGTTTCCGTCTACGATGACTGCACACAACGCTCAGCGTGGTGCATCCCAGCGACAGGTTGTCGTTGGTCGCGGAAAATTCACCGGATGGGTCAATGGATGGGGACGAGAGGATTGGCCGCGACGCGTGTTGGATGGCCTAGAGGAGAAGAACGGAGGCAAGTTCGCTTTTCGTGTAGGACAAGACGGGGTCGACATTGGTTGATTTACATCAGCTATGTACATGTGCAGGAAGACAGCGATAGCCTCAGCTGAGATGCTTAGCTGAACAACTTCCCAATGGCCTCAACCGTGGTATTTCCTCCGCTGAACACGATGCCCACATCCCAACCCTCAAGAGCCTCCTTTTCGACCAGCCGTCGAAACTCCTCATTGTACAGGCAAACAGCCAAACCAACCACGGCACTTGGCTCTACCACCACCTTCATGCGTTCCAGCACCAGCCGCAGTGCCGCCTTGATCTGCTCCTCCGTGACGGCAAACACACCGGCCACCTTGTTCCGGTCCGAAATCACTTCCCAGTTCAACAACCCGACCGGCGTCCGCAACCCATCCGCGATTGTCAGCGTCGACACGGCCGGGACACGCTCCCCGGCGTCCAACCCGCGCCGACAATCGTCCGCGCCCTCGAAAGTGGGCTCCGCGCCGAACACCTTGGTCGTCTTATCCGAGAAGAAGGTCGCGACACCGGCATTGAGCCCGCCTCCACCGATTGGGGTGATGACTGCATCCAGCGCCTTGCTTTCCTGGTGGATGCTCAGCTGGGGCTTCTCAGCCAGCAGCTCTCCGTACTGGTCTTCGAGTTCGAGGGCCGAGGTGCCCTGACCGCAGATGATATTGAAGTCATCGTAGGGCGGGACCAGAATGGCCCCAGTCCTCCCTTGCACCTCCTCCACGACGGCCTCGCGCTCTACGCTCGTCGACCCGCTGAAGATAACCTCTGCGCCGTGCGAGCGTGTCCCCGCGATCTTGGAAGGCGTGCTAATCTCGGGCATGATAATGTAGGCGGGCACACCGAGCGTGGAGGCAGCGAGAGCGAGAGCCTGGGCGTGGTTCCCTATACATCATGAGTATTCCAGTTTTCTTCTAGTTGGCAGACAGCCACAACTTACCAGAACTATGCGTAATGACACCCCGTTTCTGCACCTCCTCCTTACCCCGCTCGGCGATGAGTCGTAACAGAGCATGGAAGGCCCCCCGGGCCTTGAAGGCACCTATCCGCTGGTAGTTCTCACATTTGAAAAAGAAGTTGAATTTGGGATTGGCAGGAGATTGGCCCTCAAAGGGGGTTCCGGTCAATGCCTCTGGGGATTGCGGTGTCGAGGCGATGGTGTTGAGGGTTTGGCAGGTGAGGAGGGGAGTGCGGTGCACGTAGGGCTTCACAAGAGCATAGGCGGCATGGACAGCCGAGGGAGTGAGGGATTGCACGAGAAAAGAAGGGTCCATCATTTGGAATTAATCCGTTTACGAGGTGGAAAATTGTCTATGAAGAGGAAGAGGGGAGAGAAAGCTAGAGGGGACGGCGGAATACTATGCCGAGATAAGGCCGATGACTCGACAGGATATATCTCCGCCATCGGACCCCGCATTCACGCCATGCTTGCAAACCAGGCAGAACGTAAGGAGACATGTGCAGATGCAAGGTGAGGCTGAGCTGAATTACATCTAATTGAATAGAATAGAATTGAATGGGATTGCAGTGAAGTAGATGTCCTTTCACCATATAGCCTGATCAGGCCTAGCGTGCTGTCATGCAGAAACCCACGTGACGGCGGCCGAATCGGGCCAAAGTGGAGGGGCACAAGAAATGCCATATCGCCGCCGGAGTTACCCCTCGTCCTCTTTGACTCACTCCAGCGCTTCCCTCACCCCTCCACACTCCCCGCACAAACCGCAAGCATGGCCGAGGAGAACAAGCCCGTCGCCCAGGAACAGGATATCAACCCCTGGTCCGTGGATGGTGGTCGCGACGAGAACGGAGAAGTGGTCGCCATCAACTATGAGGCCATCTGTCGGTATGTGCCTTTACAGCCATTGAGGCCGCACAGCCACTAACCACGCCTGACTAGGAAATGGAACACCTCCGTCATTGACGACAAGCTCCTCGAGCGCTTCGAGAAGGTGACCGGACACAAGCCCCACCGCTGGCTCCGACGCGGCCTGTTCTTCAGCCACCGTGACTTCGACCGCATCCTGACCCTCTACGAACGTGGCGAGCCCTTCTTCCTCTACACCGGTCGTGGCCCCAGCACGGGCAGTCTGCACCTCGGTCACACCATTCCTCTGCAGTTCACCAAGTGGCTGCAGGATGTGTTCGACGTCCCGTTGGTCTTCATGCTTACGGACGACGAGAAGGCCCTGTTCAAGGACACCGTTTCGTTCGAGGATGCGTTGCATTTCGCCATGGAGAACGCCAAGGACATCATCGCCCTGGGCTTCGATCTCAAGAAGACCTTCATCTACAGCGACTTGAAATACGTCAGCAACCACTTCCTCATGAACGCTTGGGAGTTCTCCAAGCTGGTCACTTTCAACCAAGTCCGTGGTGCGTTCGGCTTCAACGAGAGGTATGTCATCGTCTATATCCTGTGTATTTCCAGTCTAACCATCAACAGCACCAACATCGGCCGTATCTTCTTCCCCTCCCTCCAATGTGTCGCCGCCTTCGGTACCTCCTACCCTGAAATCTGGAAGGACGAGCCCCTGCAGACCCGCACGCAGGAGATTGCCAACATCCAATGTTTGATCCCCATGGGTATCGACCAGGATCCCTACTTCCGTCTGCTCCGTGACAACGCCCACCGCATGACCTACCCCTCCCCCAAGCCCGCCCTGATCCACTCCAAGTTCCTCACGGCCCTGCAGGGCGCGGGCGGTAAGATGTCGTCCTCCGACCCCAACTCGGCCATTTTCATGACCGACACCGCCAAGCAAATCAAGGTGAGCCCACCCCCTCTCCCCACATACACTCTGCATACTGACTGACCACGTAGACCAAAATCAACAAATACGCCTTCAGCGGCGGCCAAGTCAGCATCGAGGACCACCGTCGCCTGGGCGGCAACCCCGACGTCGACGTGTCATACATCTACCTGACATACTTCGAGGAAGACGACGCCAGACTGGAAGAGATCTACAAGAGCTACAAGAGCGGCGAGCTCCTGACGGGCGAGCTGAAGAAGATGACCATCGAGATCCTGCAGCAGTACGTGGCGCAGTTCCAGGAGAAGAGAAAGGAAGTGACGGATGAGGTCCTGGCGGCGTACATGAAGCCACGCAAGTTGGAGTGGAAGGGGAACCCGAACCCGGTACCGGCTCCTGCACCGGCCATTCGCACGAAGAATGCGTGATGCAGAGGGGGTGATTGCTGGGGTTATGTTTAGATCGATATCCAAGCTACAAGCTATTTGAAGCGAATAGATTCTCTGAAATTGTGCATACCACGGAATTCTTATTTCTCCAATTTATAGCCTAGTATCTAGTAGTGGTGGTACGTTAGACCGCGGGGAAAATCCCCCGGATGATCGCCCGGACCAAGCTGTAGCTAGTCTGCTAGTGTAGGGTGGTATGGTGTTAACTAATCGATGACTCATGACTACCATCACCACAACCACCAACTACCTACCTACTACGAAAAATAGCAAGAAAGGCATTGAAAAAATTAAGAAAATTTTATTTCCTTTCCTTCCCGATATACAACCAACCACCTAACAAAGCTCCGACGAAATTAAAAGCAAATCCCTAGATCATCATGGTACATCGTAACTTTTCCCACCGGGGTTCTAAGTAACATTGAATTATTAAGAAGAGATGAGGCGAGGAGTTTATTTCTGGTTCTCGGGGCGGAGGGAGCTATTCAGAGTTGTAATTAGTATGGGTTTATGAGAGAAAAGAGGGTTATAGGGGGAACATACCGAACAGCCTTTCCGGCACGCCAGATTTCGAGATCACGGATGTCCTGCATCTCCTTCTCGTACTTCTCACGGTAATCCTTCTGGGAGTTGTATTCGAGAGAACGCTTGGTCTCGGAGCCATCACGGACGGAGTCGTAGAGCTCGTTGAAGAGGGGCTTCAGGGTATCCTTGAAGCGGGGGGACCAGTCGAGGGCACCACGACGGGCGGTGGTGGAGCAAGCGGCGTACATCCAGTCCATACCGTTACCACCGATCAGGGGGTACAGGGACTGGGTGGCCTCCTCGACGGTCTCGTTGAAAGCCTCGGAGGGAGAGTGGCCACGCTCACGGAGGACCTCGTACTGGGCGAGGAACATACCGTGGATACCGCCCATGAGGCAGCCACGCTCACCGTAGAGGTCGGAGTAGACCTCCTTCTCGAAGGTGGTCTCGTAGAGGTAACCGGAACCGACGGCGACACCGAGGGCGATGGCGCGCTCCTTGGCCTGACCGGTGACGTCCTGGAAGACGGCGACGGAGGAGTTGATACCGCGGCCCTCGCGGAAGAGGGAGCGGACGGTACGGCCGGAACCCTTGGGGGCGACGAGGATGACGTCGACGTCAGTGGGGACGTCGACCTTGGTGAGGTCCTTGAAGACGGGGGAGAAACCGTGGGAGAAGTAGAGGGTCTTGCCCTTGGTGATGAGGGGCTTGAGGGTGGGCCAGGTCTCGGACTGGGCGGCGTCAGAGAGGAGGTTCATGACGATGGTTCCCTTCTGGACGGCCTCGGTCACGTCGAACAGGTTCTTGCCGGGGACCCAGCCATCCTGGATGGCCTCCTTCCAGGAGGCACCGTCCTTGCGAACACCGACGATGACGTTCAGACCCTGGTCACGGAGGTTGAGACCCTGGCCGTGACCCTGGGAGCCGTAGCCGATTAGGGCGAGGGTGTCGTTCTTGAAGTATTCCTGGAGCTTCTCACGGGGCCAGTCCTCACGCTCGTAGACGGTTTCCTTGTCGTCGGCGAAGGTGATGGTCTTGACGCCGCGGGAGGGAACGACGGGGGTGGCGGTGACGCGGGGAAGAGCAGCAGAGGCAGCCTTGGCCAGGGAAGGACGGGGGAGAGCCGCAGTCACAACGGACCGGGGAGCCGACACGCGGGCCAGGCGGAGGGCACGAGGAAGTCCACGGGAGGCCATGATGTGTGTGTGTGTGGGATGAAGAGAGGAGAGGGTGGAAGGGAAGGGAAGGAAAGGAAAAAATGGAATTGAGTTTGAGAATGGGGGAGAGAAAGAGAAAGGGAGCTGGGGCAGCAGCTGCGGTCGGTTATAAACTGGTTGCCCCCGACGAGATCGGCCATGGGTCACACACGTGATCCGGAGTTGGTCTGCACCTCCCCGGCCGATGTCGGATTGCCGGGCTGGTGATTGGTCAATGGGGGGCGGATCCGTGGATGGGGCGCTTAGGTAAGGAGCACACCTTGCCGGTTGGGGTTAGACCGGAGCTGCTCGGTTGCGGCGTACGGGGAAATCATTGCAACCGCCGGGCCTTTTCCCTCACCGGAGTGGATGCGGCGTAATCTGGGGAAGTCTTGCGATGACTCACGGAGATTGACTAGATAGATTGACTCAGAGTTAGGCTCAGGGGTTGTGATGAAGCACGGTGCTAGTTCGGTCACCAGTGGGATCGACCGGTGGTTGGGGTCTGCAGACTGCAGTGCAGTGCAGTGCAGTGGCATGGCATGTTTCTTGGACTGGGCTGGGCCGACGCTAAGCGGTCTAGATCCCCAGCTGTAGAGTAAGAGGCGAGTTTTCGTTTGTCACTCCAAGATACAGATAATCAGGGTCATTCATCTGACAAGTCATCCTTAGTATTCTGGCTGATAGTCTGTCTCCCTGACGGGTTGAAGCTACTCCTGTCCCTACCTACTACATTGGAACTCTCGTTTATGTGTGGTTAAATTAGATTACACTATGCGGGCGTGTTTGACATGCGTTTCAGAAGCATGACAAGCGTGAAGGCAAAGAAGGCAATTGAGTCAGCTCCACTAGAAATGGAATTTTTAGTGCCATTCACTGTTCCAACCCCAGATTTCTGTGCTTTCTGCGAAAAGGGATGAAAAATCCATCGATGTCTCAGGCCCAAATCCAAGAGATTCCGGTATGACATCATCTGTTACCGACTGTAGAAGATTGATTACATTTTGATGACCGCTTTGAGTCGCCCAATCCAACGCAGTGCGACCATTGTTATCTTGCAAACTCCGATCGGCGCCCGCGTCCAGTAGCAATTTGACAATGGCCTTGTGGCTATACTCTGCTGCCCATGAAAGGGGACTCCGACCTTTTTTTTCTCGAGCATCTGGGTTGCTTCCTGTTTGAAGTAACAAGCTGACTACCTGAACATGACCCCGGATTGAAGCCCACATTAGAGGGGTTCTACCGGCATATTTATCCAGTGAAACATACCCATCACAATCTGTGGAATCCGGATCGACACCATTGCATAACAGGAGCTGAACAATGGCAAGGTGCCCATTTTCTGCTGCCTTTGAGATCGGAGTACGGCCGTCGGCCTTTTCAGAGATATCGAGGCGAGTTCCTCTCTCAAGTAGATTCCTAACCAGGGTTTCCCACCCATACCGAGCTGCATACAAGCCCAATGTGTCATTATTATAGCTGATCACATCAGGGTTGGCACCGTATAGGAGCAAAATGTTCACAATAGCCTTGCTGCCCCTAAAGGCCGCCCGTAACAGGGGTGTCCAGCCGTCCATCTCTACTGTATTCACGTCAGCACCCCGTTCTAACAGTAAATGGACTATATTCTCGTGCCCCTGCCAAACTGCCTGTGATAGGGGTGTCTGTCCCCACGAGTCTTTCGCACCAAAGTCAACACCACTGTCTAGCAGCACATTGACAATGGCTTCATGACCCTTTTCGGCAGCATATGACAGGAGACGCTGGAACACTCCATCTTTCAGGTCAACGTCAGCACCACGTTTTAGCAGTGCATTGACAATAGCTAGGTTGCGGGCTTCGGCTGCCCATGAAAGGGCGGTCCTGCCTTTTTGGTCTTTCATATCAACGTCAGCACCATATTCTAGCAGCATATAAGCAATGGCCTCATGACCCCCCTTGGCAGCATGTGACAGGGGTGTCACGCCACTTCGGTCTTTAGAATCAATTTCAGCCCCCGTCTCAAGCAGTTGCTTGACTGCGGCCCTCTTGTCGTTCTTTACAGCCCAAAAGAGTGGTGTCTGCATACCGAAGTCAATGCTATCAACTTTATCCTTGAACAAAGTCACAAACGCAAGTACTGTGACCTCGCTCGCTTCCTCGAGATAATAACCAATGCCCTTCCGCTTCGAGAAAATGGAGTCACGTCCGAATTGGGACTTACGACTCTCATCATCCTGGCAATACTGCTCACAGAGGCTTTGAAACCGAGATCCTGAAGGCTGCACTTTTGCCAAGGCCTCTAAAAGAGCTTCGACAGCATCATCACTGTGGGTAGCTAGCGCTGCAAAAAAAGGGGGCCCATAGCGTTCGTCTTCTACCACAAAATATGATAGGTTGGATGGATGGACTCGAATGAGATTTCCCATATTATGCTCCGCCAATATATATAAGAAGCTCACATTTTGCGTGTGTCGGCGTACTTCGTGTTCTTGGAAAAGGTTATCTATTTGAACCCAGTCCGCAAGCCGGAAGGTCTGTAGAAACCGTTCCTGGTTGATTCCCCCTTCCTGGGCTGAATTTGCGTGATATAGAACAGCCCGTATCGCGTACCGGAGGAACGGATAAGTTTTATCGACTGACTGGCGGAGCTCTGTGGCTTCCGTGGTTTTTGCTTTCGGAAGCGGATCTATGAGATCTAGACAAGCGAAAGCAGTGCTTGCATACGTCAGACAACATTGCTTTAGGCGCTCGTGGCTCTTTCTTTGGAAGTCTGCTCCCAGGTCCGCCCATATATCCTTTAGCCCGCTTTCTTTCATGAGAAAGTCTCTGACCGATTCATGAATAAACTGAACGGTCTCGTCCTTGGATCTGGTGACTTCAGCAAGCCCCTTGGAGGAGTTCAAGATAAACCTCTTCATGACCTCTTTTGTAATTTCATCAGGATTCCATGCAGACAGGGCATCTGGTTCAATACCCGCCAAGATAGCAAAGTACAATTGCTCAGGTTTCAAGGGCTGTTTTGCAAAGAGCACCCATTGAATACATAGAATCAACTCATTCTTGTTGTGGTGGTCACGAGTCAAGATATCACGAAAGAGCTCATGCAGATCTCCAGGGATGTCTTGCAGTCTTCTCCGGAGCGCATGAATGCGGCCACCGTCATGCTCTCTATTTAAAATGTCCACGACTAAGACGACCCACATAAAAACCCCAGAGGCCTTCTCTTGAAGATCGGTGCGGATCTGCTCGGCGAGCTGACTGTGTCCAATCCTAAGCTCACTACCTAGGTAGCTCACTATATCCTGGCTGTGTCCTTCTTGCCCTTCAAGAACCAGACTAAGCCCTTTCATAATCGTAATGTGCGGGTAGTGCCGGCTAGAAAAGCACACCTGAAATTGGATACCGGCGGACACTGTGAGTTCGCCAAGCTGTTCGAAAAAAGACACCATATCTCGAATCTGGTCCTCATCACATTCATCCAAGGCGTCAATGAAGCACACCAAAGAGGTATCTCCAAGGCTTTGTATGGCTTGCTCAAAGAGTGTCTTTAGTTGTTCTACACTCCATCGTGGACCTTCGCTGTTCCCTGCTAAGCTGATTGTATCGAAGACACTTTGCAGTTTTGGAAGTCGTTCCAAAAGCTGTAGTAGCAATGACCGGTACATCCCAACGGTGGACTTCTCTAGGTCGTCGCCTCGTGCGTTGAAAAAGAGGTGATGGTCCTGTCTTTCATAACTTTCCGGGCATTGTCTAATGCGAACTTCATCAAAGTCGACTTTCCGGTGCCAGGCTTTCCTTTGATCCACAAGAAGCCGTAATGCTCACTAAGCCTGCTGGGATCACGCCAGGAAACATACTCAGACTTTTCCAGAAGCCATTTGCATGTTCTGGCATGGGCCTTTTTGATAGTCGCATGACGAGCATCTATTTGGTTGAACCGTAGTGAGTCTAGTAGCATACGCTTTTGTTCTTCATTGAGCACTTGAATTTCCCCATGCCTTGAGTGTACATGAATTTCATCATCTATTTTGGCGTCGGTCGTGGCCTGCCAAGGGCCAATCCTGCTGACCTCGCTGGCTATGAGTGTTGTTAAAACCTGGCTACTACTTTGCTCGGGTGTGGAACGTCATACCATCCCGAAAATCCCCAGATATCCTCTTCCCAGCCTCAGCAATAACCGAGGGAATTCGCGAGAGGAGGTCCTTTGCATATGCAGCCGCCGCCATTGCTGCATACCCCTGCCATTCCTTGTTCTTGTGAGAGTCTGAATAGTCGCATATGCCCCGGATCACCAGACAAGGAAAGTGATTCATTAGCCCAGCTGCTTCCATTTCAAAACATAGAACATTTCTTTCCGATGACAGTCTATCTCGGATAGAAGCATCTTTCATAACCTGATTTGCAGAGGCAATCAAACCGTAATGGATGACTAGCTTATCTCTGCCCTCGGTCCGTTCAGGACGTTCGACCAGTTTGGAGGGATCATCGCCACAGACTATCGCGCAGCTTTCCTCCTGGATTGTAGTGTCAGAATGGGGAATATGGACAACATCACTGCGGTAAAGCCTGTCGCTTGATGGGTCCGGTCGCTTATGTGTTGTTTGCAGCCTGGGCTTTCTCTCGAGGACGCTGTTGACTGCTTCTTCAAGGCAGTGGCCCTCGCTCATGTACTGGGCCTTTAACCCATTCACTGCTGTCTGCAGAAATACTGGTGGCTGGTTCAAGAAACCCGTTGATCGGAAGCTCTGATCCTGTATAGTTTTGCCAAAATCGTACTGAAACACACCGCCATAGCCTTCATGAGGAGTGCTCACAACGACATCACCCAGACGAATATCGTGCTTTGGGCTTGGTGCACCACCTCCGATTCCAACCATTAGGCAGACGCGGATATTGGGAAAGCTGTGTAGCATGTCTCTGGCAACGCTCGCTGCAGAGGCTGTGCCGTATCCCCCATCGGGCAGGATGGCAATCACGACATCATGTTTTCCGATCCTCCCCAGTGTGTAGTCGTTGTTGTCATTCGTGGATACGTAGTCCGGCCGGTCATGTCCCTCATCGAGAAATGCCTGGGCGGCAACATACTCGGTCGTTATGGCGCATATCCACCCGACTATATAATCGCTATTTCTCAGGACGTTCCCGGGAGTATGATGATGTTGTAACTTTGTCCTCTTTGATGTACCCTGGAGGAGTTCTGCATGGTTATCGTAGTAGAAATCTCTCTTTGACATCATGCGGGAGCCTCACGGCGGCAGTCGCGATCGACGCATGAAGCAGGCTGTCTCGGGGTAACCGCGGTTGTTCTGTGGGTTTGGTGACCTCGGGCTCCTCGGAGTTGCGTGGATGGGTAGGTAGTTTCGGTGTGGAAGTGTGTGAGATCTAGGTCGCGTTGAAGAGAGAAGGTGAATGAGATGGCCAGTGGAGAGGGTAGGTGGAAGTTGGAAGGAAAGGTGTTCGGCTTTGCTGACGAGTGGCAGGACAGCTGCCCAAGGCTGCGACTCAGCCGCAGCCACTAGGCCAGTCCTATCTCGTACTAGCAGTCGAGCACCTGCATACATGAAGATAGCTTCACGACTTGTGATTGGACACAGGGAACATAGATATCCTTTAGGAAGATCAAGTCTGTCAGAGGTGTTGGACTTGCCAGCAGCAGTCGTGTATAGCCGCATCATTCTAGCGATTTAGGAAATCTTTTCTCTTCCAAGCCTTCCATATGCCGTAGTAACGCGAACGAGAGAAGTAGCTTTATGATTGTTGGATAGGGATAATAAAGTTGACAGAGTGCAGCCTGGCCGTGTGGCTGTAACCCCTAACCCCTCCTTCTAAAAAGTCTGCTATAGGAAGATAGGATGCACTGCGAACAAGATGGCAGAGAAGCAGTGCTGGAGAAGGGTCACTCGATCTACTCCTGCTCGTAAATGTGGGTCTCCTAAAAATAGGTTGTCTGTGCTCTGTGGGCCTTGCAATAGCTTAGGTGGACATCTGTATCAGATTACCTGATTTCCATTGCAAGCCAACGTGCCTGCAGCTTTGTATAAGATCTCGTTGGGCCACATCGCTACGTAATCACCATTTATTCATTTAACAAAAAAACAACACAAAACAAAACAACACAAAACCATCTTAGGCGGTCGGAAGTCTTGGCAGGGACTGGGTCATCTTTGTTCCCACCACACGCATCGTCGTCTTCTATCAAATAGTTTAGATGCTGCCCTTCTTCCTTTCCAAATATGTTCAGATCTCAAACACTATCCACTGCCAGAAGCAGGACGCCTACTTTTCTTCCTTGTAAACCATGCTATACTGCGAAGCCTACTCTGTCGATGTTATCATGTCGTTTGTCCAGTCGATCATCACCTCCCCGCGAGGACTTCTTCAAAAATACTTCTCGTCGATGGATGTTAGGCCAATCTCCAGCTCTCATCAAACCCCAGTCACTAATGCTTTTCTTAGAATGAATGAGAACGACCGAGGTAAGGAAAGATACGTCAAATTCGATCCAAATGAACTCCAGCGTGTCGCTGGTCGAGCAATTGGGGAAGACCATTGCCCTTTCATCATCAAACTTGCAGAAGGGGGCTTTAATAAAGTTTTTCTCTTAAGAGCGAGTTCTGGTAAAGAAGTTATTGCCCGAATTCCTACTCCCATCGCCGGTCCTTCTCATTACACCACTGCAAGCGAGGTTGCTACAATGGACTTTTTACGTGGTATCATCGGAATACCTATACCAAAAGTCCTAGCGTACTCGACGTCTGCAACCAATCCAGTTGGAGCAGAATATATACTAATGGAGCGGATAGAGGGTGTCAGTCTTGCATCAAGATGGCTGTCTCTGACTACAGAAGAAGTAAAGAGCGTCATGAAACAAATAGTAGAGATGGAACAGAGAACATTCACCTATTCATTTCCTGGATATGGGAGTTTATATCACCAGAAAGATATTAAAGGTGAAGAGCAGATTCCGATACCAGTCGAAGACTTCTGCATTGGTCCTGTTGCTGCAAGACAATTTTGGCATGGTGATCGAAATAAAACCAAAATAGACCGTGGTCCATGTGAGGTCACTCTTCACTTGAATATAGGAACATAGCTGACCATTTCAAAAGGGCTTTCACCCAAATATTGCTTCACATCTGCAGCTCGCCGGGAGACTACTTGTATCTTGAATCATGCAAAACCCCAGCCTCGAAAAACCTTTCTTCTTCCAACATTGTATGATATTGAGCCCTCGGAACATATCTCACTTCTTTCGAAGTTCTTGCGACTTGCGCCTTTCTTGATATCAACAAACCCGGATCACAATTCTCCAATCCTACGACATCCAGATCTGAGCCTTGATAATATCCTTTTAGAGCCTGGCTCTACCATAATCACCAGTATCATAGACTGGCAAGACACTGTTATCTTTCCACTTTTCATGCAAGCCGGATATCCAGCCTTTTGTGAGCACGATTTATCACAACCTCAAAGTTTACAGCCCCCGACTCTTCCGGATAACTTCAACTATATGAGTATCTAAGAACAGACCCATATAAAAACCAAGTTTCGCCTAGATCAAGCGAATTCATACTACACAGCAACCACCGGCATCTACAACGATATTCATATGAATGCCCTAAGAATCCCTCACCTCGGGATGCGCCGGTATCTCTACCAACAAACGGGATATCCTTGGGATGCAGATATTATCAATCTCCGTGCGGCTCTTATTGGTATCACAACTCCACACATTTGGGATGCTATATCTTCTGTTCCCTGCCCAGTGTCTTTTACAGATCAGAAGCGAGAAACAGCAAAAGAGGATTCCGAGGAATGGATTGAGTCTGAGAAGCTTTTATCTGCATTTAGAGACCATTTAGGTGTGGACCTCGAAGGTGGCACAGTGCCGAAGAATTTTGAGTGGGCGTCTCACCGGAACGTCGAGCTCAGGTTGGAAATGTTACAGCAGGCTGAACACCATGAGCGTGATATCTGCTGGCAGAACTGGCCTTTTAAGGATGATGCTGATTTCTCCTATTCCCCTTTATGATGATTATAGTAGATAAGAAAGAATCTATAAATTTTTATATTATTGCTTTGAATGAGTACGTAATGTATCATAAAGAGGTAAGACACTCGTAGGTTCACCTCCATCCCAACGCCGAAAACATCAATTAATACAAGTTCACCTCACGTAAGACCATTTTCGAGACCCGGTCTGCAGAAACAACTAACCCACCCAGCCCATCGCGTTCAGTCCGTACTTCCATCCAACTGAAAATAGAGGGATCATCATCACCAGCTCTCGCGCAGCTTTCTCCAAACCCACCATGGACAAACCCAAACCTACTACTCAATGGGCCCGACCCAGGCACCTGTCTGGCTTGACGGTTGAGCCTCTCACAAGAACACAGTTGATTATTCCTTCTCCTTCAGGACAGCAGCCTTGATCCCGACATGGTCATAATGATCATACTGCAATAGGGCTCAGAAGAATCACTTAAAAGGATATATCCGAGTGGACAGTACCTGACACTCTAGGGGTGTCGCTTGATAAGCTTGTCCGTAGGACATTTCTCACACCCAGGAGGGCAAGTTCCTTCGAAAGGTTTATCGTACTCTTGGTCAGGATAGGCGCAGTTGGACAAGATCCGATGTGCCTGCTTGACGCGTAGGGCTTGGACATGGGTCAAAAGAAACTCGGGGGATTACTCAGAGATCCCGACATGGGTGCTCCTGAAAATGATAACCGGTGGGTAATATATTTATTTATTATGTCGGTCTGCCCGTCGGTCTGGAGGTCGATTGTTTGAGCTTGGTCCGAAGCGTATGTAGAGTTCGTTCTAGAATCAGCGATGAATTGCGGTAATCGGGTCTGAGATTACCGTGTCTGGTGGACTGGCCTGGGTGTAAATGTGCTGGAAGAAGAGATGGGCCTTGTCCTGGAAAGTGGCTGTTTTAGGGGAAGGTATGATGTAGATAGTGATAGAAGTAATCTGACACCAGAGAAACAAAGTCGAGGCCCTATTAGTCTGGGGGAATGGAGCGGAAGTTCATAGAACAGTTTTAGGTTGGGAAAGCAGTGCACCGTGTGTATGGTAGCACATGCTGTGTTTATTCATAGCCAAAACAGTAAGAACCGTATTTTGACGTTCGATCTTCCGCTGTGTCTAATTGCTAATGGCTTGGTTGGATACAGACTCAGAGACGACCACATTATCAGCAATGCAGGCGCGGCAAAAGGCCTGTATCCCTTCAGATTCAGGTTCATCTGATGCTGAACAGACGGAATGAAGACTGTATCTCAACATATTATATGTATATAATTCGCAGTCGTGACCTGCACAGGTCGTCGGTGACTTGGAAAGAGCTTTTTGAAGAGGCCGCGTAGAGCAATCACGGTAGTCGTCATCATTCCGACTCTTCCTTTTTACTTTCGGAGCGTCTCATGAGTGTTATATCTAGTTGGCCTTGACGTCTTGTCATCTTTGATGCTTCAGAAGAAGTACTTAGTGCTCACCGAGCCTAAGCACTCGCTTCGACATTGTGGAAGGTTTCATGGGGTAGTTGCAATCAGGGACACATCTCCAGTGAAGTCAAGTCAAGAAGCAACGTATGGATGTGGATCAATCGCGGGTTTCCTGCGTGGTTGGATGCCTTTGGAAGATTCTAGGCAGCCGCGAGGAAGTTGAGAAACAAGACGGATATTCTCTCGCTGGTATGATAGCACGACGGCAGTCTCCAGCCTCCCGCCAGCCTCCTCCATTAGGCAAGCCAAGCTCGTTAGGCTACCTTTGCGCTTGTGCTTTCGCTTCTCAGAGGGAGTCCGAGGTATATATAGTAAGATGAATGTCGACTGCTCTTCGTTGTGTCCATATTCTCTCTTTATTTTTCTTTTCGCCAGACGCCGAACAAAAAGTGAATGATTGCTAGATATGGCTATATGGTTTGTTGATAGGACGATGTGCGCGACATAATGTATTCATAAGCGAAGCGTCTTATCGATGTTCTCGGTATCATCTACCGGATGGGGCTGTGACGCGTGAGGTATAAGATATAATTTTTATTGGGGATAATTTGGGCTCATAACCCGTCTGTTTCTTGCACATTGTTGTATACTGGATTCTTAGAAATGGGAGGGGTCGAGGGCCTTGATATAGGATTTTGGGGCCATTTAATCTATCCTTAGCATCGGAATTTGCATTCTGTTGTATGTCGGGGAGCTCCTGGGTAGGAGGGTTCCGGGGGTCAGGTTATGGTTTATAGCGAAATACCTGAGGGGTTGATGATGATGCGCTTGTATGATTCGTCAGATTTATCGATTGTAGGAATGATCCATGTGTAACCTGTAAAAGACGGAAAAAGATTTGGGAACTTCGCATCGTATACGGAAGGTATCCATAGATATTGGTGCTCTGTGAGGGAATTTCCATTGAAAAGGAGATTTATCGAAGAAGAATATAGTTGTGGTATGATTTTCGAACATTTTAGATCCCTCGGAGAGACGCTTCACCGGAAGATCTCGGCGAAAACTCTTTGCAAAACACTCCTTTCTTTGTCTTCGATACAAAATCATGTTTAGTGCTCCTATTTTGCAGCACCACTTCTCCTATAGGTAGTGTTTTACCTCGTTCCAGTAGAAGTTGCACTATCCATAGCCTCGAGAAGTTCCAGCTCCGCTAATATGGATAGGGACTTACCCCTGGTTTCCAAGAAGAGGTTGAATATCCCTTCTCTCCGGTAATCTTGCGCAGCTACTTTGAGTACCTCGTCTGTAATCGGAAGGTGTTTGCCTCTTTCAGCCACCAGGAGCTTCATTAGTTCATACCCATAGTAGGTCCCTATACCTATCTTGAGGACCTCTTCGGTGATGGGTATTTCGTCGCCCCTTTGTTCCAGCAGGAGCTTCATCCGTTCGACGTTGGAAACCACTCGTGTTGCTGCTATCACAACATCGAGGGTGATTGGTAAGTTCTCCCCCTTTCGTTTAAAAAGAAGTTTGAGGAGTGCTGTGCCGATTTCATAGTTTTCAGCTGCAGCCACAACTGCTGCTTTTGTGATGGGGAGGTCATCGCCCAGGATTTCGAAGAGAACCTCCATTCTCTTTACCCTGCCCCTGGCTGCGGTCTCAACAATGTCTTCCCAAATTGGAGCAAAACTGCTGATGTCTTGGGTTGATGTCCCACTCGCGTACGGGTCCTGGGGAGTGACGAGTTGTAGCTCCTTTTCATGTGTATCACCACTGCGTGTTTCCCAGTTCCAGACGAGGAGGAGATGATGAAGAGAAGTTCCCCTGGCATGATGTGCAGGATCAAACTCCTTAACCCGCAGGTGTGTGGAAACATATTCAAAAGTGGTGCCGATCATGATAACAGCAAAGTAGTCTCGATAAGGCCTGATGATGCTCGGCTTCGAGGCTCCTTGCAGCAGACAGACAATGTCACCTTCCTGAATGGGTTCTGCTGAAGGTTGAATTATCCATTCGTCCTTTACGGTAGGTTTCCTTGAAGACTTTTTCGAGACAAGAGTGACCTTGGTCTTGGAGTTGTGACTCTGAACTGAATCTATCATGGCCAGAATATAGCCTTTGGTTTTGAGAACTGCTACCTCCTTGTCAGACCATGTAGTCACGGAGACAGCGCCAGGGATAATGTATTCAATAAGATGCCGAAAGACTCTATCCCATGAGAGCTCGTAGTTAGGCTTTAGCGCGGGTGTATCAGGATCGGAGCTCAGGCCAAGCAGTGCATAGACCTTGTCATGGTTCCAGGTTGCCTCGTGGGTATGATACCTGTCGATGAGTTCATCGATGGAGAGGTTCCCGGGGTGTGCTTGAGACGCGGAGCGGAAGATCGAGCCTTTGATAAGATCGAAGACAGATGTGACGAGGCCCTCTAGTCCTGGATGGTTCTTATAGGGAAGATCCATTCTCTGCAAGCCGAGAACAAAAGCGTATCCGCTTAGTTTGGCTGCACCACTGACAATCAAGATAGACCGCGCGAGACCAACTTCCTGGAGTACCTGATCCATCATTAATATTTACTTTGTAACCCCTTCGAGAATCTCACCCAAATGCGCCGAAACCAAGTCCGTTGCAATAGCATCATTGTTGCCCCCGTATTAGATTCCTGATTCCACACGGATGGAATTTCCGGATCCTTTCCATGAACCTTTCGTAGGAACCGGTTCATACTCACATTGACCAAGTCTCTTTCATCCTGCGCGGCAAGCCGTATGCTCTCCATTGCCTCATTGCTCCGGTTCTCCTCCTCTCCAAGCCAAACAATGACATTTCCGGCTTGACCGTAGATTGCCCCCATTAGTGGAACTTGATGCGATTTCTCTTTTTCATCACTCTGGTTGATACAGACTGCATCAACCCAGAGTATTCGCTCGAGACCATGGTCTCGAAGATGCAGAAGAGCGGCATGGAGATTCCCTGTTACCTGCAGTGTGTGGCCGTTGATGAAGATCGATTGCGGTTTGCTTCCAGCGCCCCAGACATATGACAATGCTTCATATGGATGAATTCCAGATTCTGACTCGGGGAGGAGGTATTCCACCAGCTCACATTCGATAGGGGCAGCCTTATCTTTACTCGGGAGTAAGCGGAGCACGCGGATTGCGTTGGAATCGGGGGGGAGGGGATGGTAAGTGTATTGAGACGTAGATGGGTGGTCCATCTGATACTTTTGAAGGTCTGTGGCCATGATAACGGAGTGGTCTGGATTGCGAAGTTGGTGTTTGGTGAAAGTGACTTTCAGTTAGTTGGTGGCCGGTGGGGTCCAACGCGACTAATGCACGCCGCATCACATGAGACGGGGCTAATGCAGAAACCCCTCAATGGCATTCGCTGCCTCCTTTCACCTTATCATGGCCCATGGCAAACCGATTTCTCAAGACTTGAGCCAATTCGGATTCCATAGCAAGAAACGCCACTCAAGTGCTTTGGACATGTTTCCGACAAATCCGTGTCTGGTCGCAATTCCGAGTTAACATGTCGCTGCTTCCTATCATCAAGATAGATAAGCCTTGTGATCAGTGCTGCTGAATAGCTAAGGATTAGCGTGTCTCTGACGCGTCGTTGAAAGACATCTTCACCGAAGGAACCTCCAAACTGTCGCAGGAGGAACTTCCAGAATCCAGCATTATCAGACACATTCCATACCTCTGAAGAAAACTGCATTCAAGATCCACCTCAGAATCCCTCGTCCGCCCAAAACATTTAACCGGATCCGCGCTCCCCTGAAACGAGCATCTGTGGGATCACCATCCCAATTCACGGGCTACAGCTGCGGTACGAGTGGATGAGTATTGTGAAGAGGGTTCATTTGTCGGCGGAGGGGAAGCAGCGGCTTCACGAGATTATGGTCAATTCAGACTACAGCCAGAGGCAGATCGTTTATGGTACAGTGCAAAAGGATCGAGACACGCTGGCGATGAGTAGCGGGGCCTGGTGGTTCACAGTGCAATTACACCACGGGTTCTGACGTTTTCTCCTAGATTGATGACACGAGGTCATCCAGCAGCTGCGGGGCATGTGTATATTAGTGAGCTGGCAAATTCCGAAGCCCACTGACAAGACTAACAATCTTTGTAGAGCGTATACATTTCACTCGATCGTGTGGGAAGAAATCTGCCAATATATCGATTTTTGACATCTCCGGAGAACAAAAACAAAACATACAACCGAAGAGCCCTTTGGCCTACCTCGCGGAGTGGCTCATTGGCTATCTAGTCGGATGACATGGCGATGTCTCAACATGGCCAATCCACGTTGGCAAAGCCTTGATATGTCAGGCCCGAGCGTTAGACCCCGCCGGAGCAATTTGGAATCAGCCGACGTAACCCAAGAATCGCTAGACTACTGGTCTAATGTCTTGCGAACCTATTTAATCTCGCTCCTGAACTATGTTGCCTTTCCTTTTACCCCTCTTCTGACGAACGATAACCACATTTCTCTACCACTATGGTGTCTCTGGAAAGCTTTCCGGTGGAGTTGATTGAGGCAATTGTCAGTTTGCTAGACTTTCAAGACATCTGCACTCTGCGTCTGACTGGACGAACACTAGCATTCAAATCATCCAATGCTATCTTTCGGACCTATTTCTCTTCCAAGAAGCTGCAGATCACCGAAGCCTCGCTGAAACAATTTGTTCGTGTCACCCAACCCGGGCAGCTCGGCCTCTGGCTCCAACGGCTCACTGTGTACGACATTCTGGACCCAGACCCGGGAGCTGCAATAGCCGAGGACCCAAATGCTACTTTTGAGGCAACTCAATTGCTAGCGCAGGCAATGGAAAACATACGCGATCGATCGCCCCACGGCGGCCAGTTCTCTATCTCACTCCAGATCAACGGGCGCAATCTGAATAGGGAAGCCCCAGCCCAGGTGTTCCAGGTGGTCATGTCGGCGCTTGGGAGCAGTAAATTACCCGTTCAGTCGTTTGATGTGTTTGCCGATGCCTATGGGCACACATGGGGCAGCTGGTGTAGCTTAGGCTTTAGTGAATTCACGACAGCTTTATCCCGTGGTACAGCGCACCTATCGACCTCATTTCAGCCATGCAAGAAATTGTGCCTAAGTCTGGGGCATAACGTTTGTGGAGTCGAGCTCGGCAAGGATACACAATTACCCCTGATCTACGACGAGGCCCGTCAGAATACCAAAGCATTTTGTGATTTGTTGAACCTCTGCCCCGCACTCGAGGAACTGCACTTTGTGTGGGAGTATGACGATTTCGAGGAGTCAGATGGGATCTTGGAGGAATCGCTCGTCTTGGATCGAATGGCAGCATCCTGTGAATTCCCAAATTTGAAGAAGTGTACATGGAAGGATGTTCGAATGACCGAGCCCGCGCTCCTGACGTTTTTCCGCAAAGTTCCTGGGTTGGTGCATTTGTCTATAGATGGGCTTGACCTCCATGAAGGCGAGAGTTTCGACGGCCTGTTCAATCTTTTGTCTAATACTATGCCTGGTTTGGATTGTTTGCGTCTTCGTGGTCTTGGTAGTATAGAGGGCACCATTCACTTTCCTGATGAACCAAGGGAAAATTGGTGGGTAGATAGAAGCCGCCCTCCACCTGGAATTATACGAAGAGGGGCGGATGCTAGGAGACCATTTGTTACTAGAACTGTGTAGGAGGTGTGTTTGGAATCGAGGAAACATTGGATATGTTGGAGAAATTACAATTAGAGGGAATTCGAACAACAAAAGAAAAGCCGAAAGTGATATAATCAAATAAAGTGAAGTATCATTGGAGAAAACATCCACTCACTCGCAGACAAATCAAGACGAGGCCGTTTAAGACACATAAATAGTAGTGCATCGCATATTCCCTTTTCCATTCGCTCATAGCCCTTAGCTTGACTAGTCCATGCAACCTCAATTCAAATGACCAGTTGGCTTCCCATAAGACCCCTCTCCAACCAACAGACAAAATATTATTGCTCATCAAACAGAACCTTGAAACTGGTCTCTTTAGTTCCGATCACAACCACAGCACTAGAATCTTGCAATAGCCAAAGCCATGCTAAGCTACATTATACTTCTTACCTCCTTAGTATCCTTATCTTATAAACACCAGCAACACTAAGGTAATCTCCTCCGATTCAGGTTAACAGCTTAATCAGTGACATTCAGGTTAAAAAACAACAACAGCAGCCCTTTTATACACCCTAGTGTACGTGACATTCCTCCGATAATACCAGCTTCTTATCTAATGATCCACCCTCCATGCCTTATAACTTTGTCAAGTAGTCCTGACATGTCTTATGCTTATCAATATATATCCCAAAGACAACCCTCGACAAACATATCTCTCAGCCCCTGCCCTTTGCTCAAACCCTGGCTACCAACCCACCTCTTCTTCATCCCCCCCCCCCCCCCATCCCCAGGGTATCCCCCCTCACCAAGAAACAACCACCTCCCCGGCCCCAAACCCACTCCTCCCCCTCAACCCCTCCCCCAAACCCCAACACCACCGGCGCAGCCACCCCACGATACCCGCCACGCCCGCCAACCCCGTACTCGCCCACCCATACCCAACGCTCTCATACACGACGGGAGCAAAAACCGGCATTATGAACCCCATCAGCGATCTCAGCACCGTTAACGCCCCCATCGCGGACGCGGCATACACGGGGTAACAATCCAGCACGTAGGCTTGGATGCATTGGTAGCCCATTAGTAGCCCGAAGGAGTAGGTGGTTATGCCGAGGTTGGGGAGAGTCCAGTGCAGGTGGTAGGTTGCGGACCAGCCGTAGAGTAATAGGCCGGTGGGGAGGAGGATGGCGGAGGGGAGCATTAGGTAGATTCTGTATTCGGGGGAATCTTTTCCGTGGTTTTTTCTCTTACGGTGGCGGTAGATCTGGGGTGTTTGTTAGTATAGTAAACCCTTGATATTAAGGGGAATGAAATTGGGGGAGGGGAGGGGAGGGGAATACAATATCATTAACCGGTCCCGTAACCTCCGCTCCACCGAGTAATCCCACCGTAATAGCGATGTAATTCAAACTAGCTCTGAAGTCATCCTGATGGTAGACTTCTCTCCAGAGAGAATGGAATGTGGAGATGGTGAGGTGGTTTAATCCGAAAAGAAATCCCATGTATAATGCCAACAATTGTATGATAGGCTGGGTTCCCAGCATGATGAACGGACGGGCCAGGTCGCTGCGGATTCGGGAGAGTTGGTTCCGTTGGAGGGGTTTCGGGGATGTGCCGTGGATGAGAAGACCACGGCGGTAGAGGAGGATCGGGCCGAAGGTTTCGGGGAGGAAGAACAGGCCCAAGAGTAAGGAGATGAGGGTGAAGATGGAACAGATGAAGAAAATGGATTGCCAGGAGTGGGATTCGATCAGGAGGCCGCCGAGAAGGGGCCCGGCGGTAGTTCCGAGTAATGGCATCACGGTATAGATGGCTAGGGAGGTGCCTCGTTCGTCGCTGATCCAGAGGTCGCTGAGGACGCCGGCGCCGAGCTGGTTATTTGTTAGGGTTGTGGTTGTTAGGTTTAGGGGGTATGTGGGGGACGTACAGACATAGGCCCACTGCCAAAAACACCCCCGATGAAACGCAGAGCGAGAAAGACGCGAGCATCAGTGGCAAACCCACACAAGGTATTAAAGACCAGGAACCCGAACTGGCCGAGATGGAGTAATGGGGCGCGACCATATAGCTCAGACAACGGTCCCATGATCAGCGGTCCCATTCCCCAGCCCAGCACGTAGATAGAGAGGGATAGCTGGGTGACAAGAGGGGACTCGATGTGCAAGTCGCGAGTTAGGGCCGGCATTGCGGGCACGACCATGGACGAGGCCGTCGGAGCGATGATGCTGTAGGCCGATACCAGCATAGCGCAGGTCCATTTGCGCGATGCAGGCCAGTTCTTAGGGTTGTGCGGGTCATTCGGGCCGTCCCATGAGGCAGCCGGGGCATCGTAGGGCAGCAGCCGCGTGCGTTCATCCATGGTAGCTGTGTTGATGGGAATGACAGACAGCTGGGGCGAGGGTCTTATCAGGCACTCGCTGATTCCGGGCTCGCTCGATGGTCCCGAAACCCCCGTGCTCGGCCGCGCGAAGCCGAGCTTCGGACTACCTCGCGCATATATGCGACATGTCCGATGAGCAGATTGATTAATTACTTATTACTAGTATTGTGTCTGCTGTATTGATCTATCCATCGTTTAGTTGTTATTGTACGAGACCTAATCATCATGACTGTCCCTGTTCACTCCGACGAGCCTCAGCATCCTGTTACTGAAATCCTCAGTCAATGGGTCGCAAACCTCGACCTGGATGCTGTTCCCATTGCTGTGCGCGAACGGGCTAAACATCTGATTCTCGATGGGATCGGTTGTGGATTGGTCGGCGCGCGTGCTCCCTGGTCACGCACCGCCGTCCAAAGCATCAGTGAATATGAACCAGCGGGGTATTGTCGCATCCTGGGCCAGAATCAGGTAATGTTCCTACCTCATTTTCATGACCGTTATTGACTGAGTAGAAACACGGTCCACTAGCCGCCGCCCTCGCCAACGGCGCTTTCATTCAAGCCATGGAACTCGACGACTACCATAGCCAAGCCCCGTTGCATTCGGCTAGTATTGTCCTCCCTGCGCTGTTCGCTGGTGTAGAGGCTCAGAAGAACCGTGCTGGACATGATCCCGTTGCTGTTTCTGGGGCTACATTTCTACTGGCTGCGGTGGCTGGATTCGAGACGGGTCCACGTGTCGGCAAGGCCATGTATGGCTCGGATCTGCTCTCGCGCGGATGGCATTCCGGACCGGTATTCGGGTCACCGGCGAGTGCAGCGGCCACGGGGAAGTTGTTCGGACTAGCGGCCGAGGACATTGAGTCCGCGATGGGAATCGCGTGTACGCAGGCCGGCGGGCTCATGTCAGCGCAGTATGAAGGAATGGTCAAGCGGATGCAGCATGCGTTTGCGGCACGGAATGGTCTGCAGGCGGCGTTGTTGGCGCGATCAGGGTATCAGGGGATGAAGAAGGTGTTGGAGCGTCCGTACGGAGGGTTCCTGGCGATGTTTAGTGCAGGGAATGGACGATCCCCTGCGTATAATATCGAAGAGGTGGTGAGTGGACTGGGAAGTGATTGGCAGACGCAGGTGATTCGGTTCAAGTTGTATGCGTGTGTTGGGGGATGTCATGGGCAGATTGAGGTGTTGCAGCGCATGCAGGAGAGTCATCCGGAGAGGTTTGCAGAGAACAAGTTGGACGAGATTGAACAGATTACAGTGTATCTGTCGGCTCCGATCTATGCGCATGATGGCTGGCAGCCGGAAAGGCCGATTACGGCTACCGGGGCGCAGATGAGTGCAGCGTATATTGGGGCGGTGCAGTTGGTGGATCGTCAGGTGTTGCCGGCGCAGTTTGAGGAGGCGGCGCTGGACCGTGAGGAGGTGTGGAAACTGGCAAGAAAGACGATTTGTCGTCATAGTGCCGAGTTCGACAAGCCGGATCATATTTGTGGTGCGCGCGTGGTGGTCCGGTTCGCAGATGGGTTTGAGCTGGAGGAGGCCACGCCTTTTCCGAAGGGATACGATCCGCCGTTGGATAATGCGGATATTCGGGACAAATTCCGCCGGTTAGCGGGTTCGGTGTTGGAGGCGAAAAGAGTGGCGGCGATTGAAGCCAAGGTGCTGCAGTTGGAGGAGTTGGACGATGTCGAGGATTTGTTAGTCTTGCTGGGGTAGCCTTCTTAGGGCTTGTGCCACGTCGGCTGTATGTCCACATAGTTGCAGTACACTGATTTGCTTAATGCCTTCCTTTGGTATATGTCAGATGTTAGTAAGGAAGTTCAATTCCAGCCATGCTGTCCGACAACTCGATAGATAAGAGAGGGCAGTCTTAGTCACGTGATACGATTCAGTAATGGTCTATGTAAGGAACAGTCAATGTTTGTCAGAGCTCTAACCAGTAGACTAAAACAAATAAGGCGCCTACTTGGGGAGCAGAGATATATCTTAACATTGTTGTATTAGTGCTACCTTCACAATTCACTTCAGCAAACATATGACCATGAAACTCAGCAAATTCATCTCATTCACTATACTATCAACATCTTCCACGCATCCCCACAAACATACAACACAGAAAGACACAAATTAAAACATCAAAAGACAACACAAGCCACACCCTTCTCACTGCTTAACCCTCAATTGGATTCTCCAACTTATACGGCCAACCCCCCGTCGCCTCCTTCCGACTCTTACTCTTGGGATCCAAAAACGGTCTCTCACCCATCACCATGCACCGCCAACCCACCCTCTCTCCCAATCCAAAATGATCATGAGTCGCCGAATGGAATGTACAACGGTTATCCCACACGGCCAAATCGCCCGTACTCTCCCATCGAAACCGCACCTGCAGATCCTGGTTATCCATGATCAACCGACGATTCTTATCGAAGATGGCCTTGCTCTCCATCTCCGTCACTCCGTCGATATGGTGACAGTTGGTGCCCCAGCCGAACACGGCCTTCCAGCCGGTCAGTGGGTGCGTGCGCACCAATGGATGCTGGGTGCAGAAATCCAACCCCACGTTGCCGCTGGCGCCACGGGGACCCGAGTCCATGCCCTTAGGGTTTTTACGGCCGACTTCGGCGAGGGCGGGCGACATGTGGGTTGCCGTGAGGGTGTCGTAGAAGTTCTTGTAGGGGGGAGAGAGGCGGTCGTAGAGTTCGTAGCCGGAGGCCCAGAGGGTGTCTACATGGTCAGTGAGATTCTTGGGAAGAGGAATACGGGAGAGCGTACCGCCGCCCGTCTCGGGCATCTCGCCCAGTCGCAGTACAGTATAGCTTGGAGGCATGTACTCGAAGCTGGAATCGGTGTGCCACTCGCGAATGTGCGTCTGACGGGGCATACCGTTCAGCGGCTTGTTGTACATGCTGCGCAGACGGTCCGGATCAACTTTGCCCATCTCGGGGTCTTCGCCCTGCATGGCCAGCAGGGAGTGCCGATAGAAGCCATTTTCCTTCGGAGCGCCCGACAGCTCGTTGAGACGACGGCAGAGCTCCTTCTGCAGGGTGTCGTTGATGTTGTGCTGGTTGCGGAAGAAGATGACGCCGCGCTCGGCCACTGGTTCAGTGAGTGATTGTAACAGAAGGAGGAAGGAGGAATATGCATACGCAACAAGCTCAGATCCCGTAGCATATCGTCCGAGTTGGGCTCGCGCAGCCACTCGGTCACATCAACATCGCGAAACTCGCTGCCAATGGCGGGGGTCAGGTGCACCAGTTTGAAGTTGCTCAGGGAACCCGTGTTGGGGAACGGGGGGTACACCGGGGGGTACGAGGGAGAGATGGAGCCCATTTTGGCTTGCTAAGTGCTGAATATTGCTTGATTGCTTGCTTGCTTTGTAGGTTTGCTCGTGTCATTCTCGGCAGAATTCTCGGGAATATATATCTATCCATCCATGGTATCTAGCTACCTCTATACTGTCTCGTATCAGTGTGAGCCACCCCGAGATGAGTCGGAAGAGTCCGTCCGAGCATACTGACAATGTCCGAGGATGTGTGTGCAGTGGAAGAGTACAGTGGAGGTGTAGAGTGAACGAAGGCTGTTGTCGCAGCGTCGGCCCCGGAATCCGGGACCGAGCACGCGCACACATTGGCCCTGCACCGGCAGTATTAAACCAACGACGACAGAGAAAACAATTCCACGTGGAATCAAAAGGAGGAATATTATTAATCTGAGCTATCGATCTGCGAGTTAGTGGTGGCTGTCCACTCCAGTCGGCCCGGTGCCCTATATAAACCATGAACGCCCGGGCTTGGCTTCTTTCCGGTCAGTCGCGCATTCACCATGGACCCCGAATCTTCCACCGCCAGTCCGGATCAATCCCTCCATGAAGTCCATCATGATGTCGAGAAGCAGCCTCCGTCCCCACCGCCACCGATTGCTGACCCGGATTTGGTGACTTGGGAGCCGGGCGACAAGGAGAATCCGCATACTTGGAGTCCGACGCGGCGGTGGGTGGTTACTTTGGTGTTGAACACGCTGCCGCTGTTCGTCAATATTGGGTCGAGTATTCTCAGTGGTTCATCGGCAGATATGGAGAAGCTGTATCATGTGTCGTCGGAGGTCACCATCCTGATGACCAGTGTGTTTCTACTGGTAGGTCCATCCCTCTGCTGTTGGGCGCTGCTAACCAACAGGGGTTTACTTTTGGTCCGCTCATGTTCGGCCCATTGTCGGAGCGCATCGGGCGCAAGATTCCCATCACCATCGGCGTGACGCTATTCGCGACGTTCTGCATTCCGATCGCGGTGGCTCAAAACTACTACACCATTTTGATTAGTCGCTTCTTCAGCGGTCTATTCGGCTCAGCTGCTATGGCTGTGACTGGTGGCGCCATAGCCGACATCTGGCCGGACCCGATCATCCGTGGCGTGGGAATGGATATCTTCATCCTGACCGGTTTCTTTGGGCCCATCATCGGCCCCATCATTGGCAACTTTATCACCCAGAGCTATCTGGGCTGGCGCTGGGTCATGTGGGTGACTGCCATCATTGCCTACAGCTTCATCATCTTCGCCTTCTTTGTCGTTCCAGAAACATACGCTCCAGTACTGCTGACCCGCAAGGCCGCCCGTCTGCGTCTACAGACCAAGCAATGGGCGTTGCATAGTCGACTGGAGGAAAATGACACGGATTTCAAGACCTTTGCCAAGGCGTATTTGCTGCGGCCGTGGGTCCTGCTGGCGACGGAGCCCATCTACCTGGTGGTCACCATTTACATGTGAGTTTTCTCTGCAGTTAGCGATGGAGCTGACAGATTAGGGCATTCGTTTACGGTCTTCTCTTTCTCTTCTTCGAGGGCTTTCCAATCGCATTCGAGCAGGTCCGTGGTTGGAAGCCACAAATCGCAGCCCTTCCATTCCTGGGCCTCGCAATCGGGGTCATCATAGCGGGCTTTGCCATCATCTGGTACACAATGACCTTTTACAAGCGACAGATTCAATCCACCCCCGGGCTATCGGTGCCAGAACGTCGTCTACCCCCGATGATGGTCGGCGCGGTGCTGCTTCCCCCGGGCATGTTCTGGGCAGCCTGGACCAGCCACGCATCGACGCCGTGGCCAGCGCAGGTGGCGGCCTACATTATCGTGGGGGCATGTCTGTTCACCATCTTCGTGCAGGGTTTCAAATACATCGTGGACGTGTATTTGAATGTCGCCAACAGCGCCATCTCGGGCAACACATTCCTGCGCAGTTTCTTCGGGGCCGGATTTCCGCTGTTCTCACCGGCACTATACCATAACCTGGGGGTGCCGTGGGCGACGAGTTTACTAGGGTTTATTGCGTTGGCTCTGGCTCCGGTGCCGTTTCTATTTTTCTTCTATGGCAAGAAGATTCGGTCGTATTCGAAGAATGCCTTGGTGGATGCATGATTGTTAGGGTTAGATAACTGTCGTACACTTGGCGGAGCGAAGGACTCGGGGAGAAAGTCCGAGATGCGCGATTTCGGGCTGTTCGGACGATCTTGTAATAATAAAAGACATAATCATCCTCCCGGACCACTTCTCAATCTCTCATCCATCAACCACCATGTCTGCTCTTCAATACCCCCTAGGCACTACTGCCTCCCTCCCCCCTATTGCCCACCCCTGCGCAGACTACTCCTCCCCCTCCATCCTATGCATCCACAACTACGGCGCCGTCCTCCCCGAAGGCTTCGAGCGAATCATCCAACCCATCGTCGGCGCCACTGACACCTACGCCTCGACCTCCGTCCCTTCCGACCCATCCTTTTCTCTGCTATCTAACGCCAGCTTCCTCATCTTCGACGAGGCCCGCGCTTCGGACATTCTCGGCCCGGACCCAGTCGTCGACTTTATTTTCCCCCTCGACAATGTCCCCCACGAAGCCCCAACCTACGAACCCAACCTCAATCTGATCTTTTTTTCACGTCTCCGGCCAGATCCCCCAGCTCAATACGTCATCGATCTGAACAATGATCCTCCGACCCTCGAACAACGGATTTCTGATCCTCCTCTTGTTGTTCCTTGTGGATCGACCTACCACGCGGGACTAATCTACTGGTGTGGTTCGGCTACCTACAACGGGATCTACACCCCGGGGATATATGCCCTGAATGCATCAACTGGAAAGATCCACCCTGTTCTTAACAACTACTTCGGTTACAACTTTGGAACATGCGATGATCTGGCCGTCGCTTCGAACGGGGATATTTGGTTTACGGATAACTGTACCCCCCTCTTCCCACCCCAGCCCTATCAAAATAAATACAATACTAATAATAAAAAAATAGGGTACATCCACGGCCTCCCCCACATCCAACACAACCACACCATCCATCTCGAAACCGCCGTCTACCGATTCACGCCCTCCACCGGAAACATCCAAATCGTATCCGACGACTTCTCCCAACCCAACGGAATCACCTTCTCCCCTGACCAACGGACAGTATACGTGACCGACACCGGCGCTGACGCCGTCTCCCTCGCCAGTGGGGAAATTTCCTACCATTCGAATGGAAAACGTACCGTTTATGCAGCGGACCTGTTGCCTGATGGTACAGGGATGGTGAATAAACGGGCGATATTCCTAGCGCAGGATCGTGTGCCGGATGGGATTAAAACAGCCAGCAATGGGTATGTGGTTACGGCGACGGGACATGGGGTGGATGTGTTGGATGAGAGGGGGGTGTTGATGGTTAGGGTGCAGACGAATTTTACGGTGTTGAATGTGGTTTGGGCGGGGAGGGAGGGGAAGGAGTTGTGGATGGTGGGGTTTGGGGGGTGGGGAGGGTGAGGTGGGAGTTGGAGGGGAGGGAGTTGCTTTGAATTTGAATTCTTGATGGGTATTGAAGGGGAAGCATCTTTGTGGGAGTGTGAGGGTGTAGTAGATGGTGATTGTTGATTTTTGATTGTTGATTGGTAGATGCTATGGGGTGGATAGAGGAGATATTTGATTTATTCTATTGGTCAGTTGTAGCCCACATATTTCCCTAGGGATTAGTGTCTCTCGGGCCCGGATTCCGGGGCCGCCGCTAAGCAAATGGGTCTGCAGCCCTAACCGAGGATCCTTCAGTCTAATTATAAGTGTAGGTACTAGGCTGCAGCTGTCACATGACTTCTAATTCAAAGTGATGCACTTTAGGCGACCTAGCTCAGAATTTAGTCTTTGTTTATAGTCCGGTTGGTAACTATTATCTTTCACTGAGTAGATGCCAGGGCTTGATCGATCACGGAATCTTACAAAGCGCTCGAGTTACCAACTCAGCCATCTGCAGAAGACTACATGCATTACTTATAGCTTACTTAGGTAGAACACAGAGCTGAGTCATGTGAGTCCCCAATATTCACATATACGATGATCTATAACCTCAATGATCGAATCCTAGTTCTACATTCCTTTCTAATCGCTTCCTACTCTGGCAATATCTATTAATCTAGTGAGAGTTTTCACCACCACTTGTAGAAAAGCCAATAGATCAAACCAAAGATGACATTCTATCAACGCGTACTCAGGAAACAATAACACCACACCCACACCCACACCCCAAAACCATCTACTCCTTCCTACTTAAAAACATACCCCCCACCTACATCTCTCACAACCCTCGCCCCTGGATCCAAAAACACCCTCATCTCATCCTCCCTTTCCCTCCCCCACACCGAAACCTCCTTCGCCCGAAACAACCCCCCCTTATCTCCCCCCATCAACCCCCCGCAAAAGCCTGCTCCCCCCTCCTCATCCTCCCCTCCACCCTCCCCCTCCACCCCTCATACACTTCCTCCCTCAACCCAGCGAACAAATACCTCGCCGCAACAATAACAACCACGCCTCCTTTCTGCCCGAACCCGAAACTAGTTAACATGAATGCTTTTACACCAACATTCATCTCCTTGGCGGGGTACACCAGATGTTCAAACCCTTCCAATCTGTGATCAATGTTATCCGCGTTCCGATTCCCCGGTACCACGCCCGAGTGTAAGACCTGTAACCCCCGTTAAGCATCCATGCCCCTGCTGCGCCTTTGGGGTGGCCGGTTAGATATTTTTGGGATATGGCGAGGAGGGGGTTTCCCGGGGTGCGGCGGAGATGGGTCATTTGGGTGTTTATTACCCGTGCTTCGTTGAGGTCGTTGGCTGGGGTAGAGGTCCCGTGGAGTGTAGCGATGGTGATGTCGTTGATGGTTAGGGCGTAGGTTGCTAGAGCGGCGCGGAGAGGGGAGATGTTTGGGTCTGTGTGGTGGAGGTCGTGGGACCAGAGGGATTGGGCGGAGCGGGTTTGTTGTGCAGTGTGGGTTTCGATGGTTTGGATGTGGGATTCTAAGTCCATGTTTCCCGGGGCGTGTTTCGCCGCTGTAAGCGACCTCGTCCGTTCTTCTCGGACTTGGGATATGGCATTTGAGAGCTGTTCCCGACGGTACTCGAAATCAAGGATAGGTGATGAAGATGAGATGGATTCGCGCGCAGCAGTGAGCACCCCCATCCCCGGCGCCGGAACCGACCTCCCCACCCGATCCCCCGCCATCTGGGTATATGCCACGATGCCATATATTGGGAGACCCATCTGCAGTGCCATTTCCGCCGTCGTGATGATTTGGATCCCGCAGCCGGCGGATTCCATGAATCCTGCGCGAGAGGTAGTGCTGGGACGGGACATTTCGTGCGGGAGACGGCCATTGGCTAGCTCCGTGATTGTGTTGGAGGTTGCTTTCATGTTGGCGAATTCGTAGGACATTTCCGGTTGGAAGTCGTCGGTTCCGCCGACTAGGGCCATTTTGGTTTTGCCGAGGAGGAGCGATTCGCAGGCTGTGTCGAGGGATCTTGGATGGGTTAGTTGGGGGGTTTGGGAGGGTTAGGGTTAGGGGGGGGGGAGGGCTTACTCGACTGAGGTGGCGCAGGTGCCAACAGGGGATTTGATCGGGCCGCTGGATCCAACGAGGAGCATGTTGACCCAAGCGCCCATGGCATTGAGGTATGATTCCTGGAGAATGTCGTTTTGGACTGGATGGTCGAGGTATCGTTCTGCGTAGACGCCGCGCATAGAGACGAGTCCACCCACGCCTGTCCCGATGCAATTGGCTAGTTCGGAGACATGCATGTGCTGGTAAATCTCGAACGGATCCTGGATCCCGGCGCTGAGCATGGCCTGACATACGCAACATAGCACGTACAGTGTGATGGGATCGACCTGGGCGACGATATCCTCTGGGATGCCATACCGCGCTGGATCCCAGCCCGTGGGCAACAGCCCCGCTACCTTCCGAGTGAATGGGACTGCCTTGGGGACGAGAAACTGTGCCCCCTTCTTGATTCGTACCAGACACTCTTCTTCCCCCTGGGGAGTAACCTCTACCTTTTCTCCATAGCGTAGTTTAAATGCCTCGCCGGTTGCCCGGGCTGTTGTGAACACAGGGAGATCCTCGTTGACAACCACCTCGTGGAGGAATTCCTTCTTGTCCGGATCATATCCGTTTAAGAGGTCTGGCTCGATGAATCGGATCCCTGCATGGGAGCGGATATATTCTCCGTACTTGGTCCCGATCTCGTCGTCGTGGACAGGCGTTTTGGTCTCTCGATCGACCCAGCCGGAGTAGGGTTTACCTTGGATATCCCCGGAGAAGTGTTGGATCAGACCCATCATCCATGCCATTTCCACGTACCCTTCCGTGGTGAATTCCCCGGTGGATTCCATCTCCCATCGTGTGCGGGCACTGCCCCAGGGTCCGAGTTCGGAGTATCCCACCACGACGATGGTTTTTTGGAAGTCGAGCATGTCTTGGAGATTTGGGAGGTTTTTTGTGGCTGTGGCGTAGTCGAGGACTTTGGGGTATCCGACTTGGAGATTTGCGCGTGGGTGATATACCGTAGTGTCAGGAGGAGAGGGAGGAGGGGTATTTCCCAGAATAAATCCCTCCCTCGCCCTCTCCTCCACCACACCCTTTCTCACAGCACTCTCCATCTGCATCCGTTTCCTTGCAGCAGCCAACACACCCTTCAAATCCCCAATCATACCCAAACAACCACTCAAATCCACCAACACGGGCTGTTCCTCACACACTCCCACTAACTTCTCACACCCCATCACAGCCAGAATATTTAGCGCCATTTCCCCAGACGTGAATGTCATCGCTCCTTTCTCTTCCACCGCCTCAGCGAGGAGATTATTCCCATTCATGAGCCCAGTCCCCCTCGTCCAACCAATCACAGCCCCACAAACAGATAGATAAGGCGCCCATCTCTCCGAATAGAAGCGATTAAATAAAGTCTCCAACCCTAACTTCGACTCCGAGTACAGCCCATCCCCACCAAACGTCCCATGGTTCGGCGATAACGGGAGAATAACCATCGTCGGACGAGTGGTTATGCGTCTCTGGACTTTATGATATTTGATTCTCCCCAGCAATCGAAGAAGATTCGTTAGCATGAGTCGGTGCGCGAGTTCCGCTTTCTCATCTATCCCACCATCGACCTGCCCGGTCTGTGGGATGGCAGCGAAGGGGAGGATAGCGTCGATATCCCCTCCATATCCACTCCCACTCGCAGAATCATAAACATGATCAATAAGCGCTTCGCAATCTCCCCGACTGCCCTGGTTAAACGGTATCAGGACGAGTTTACTCCCCCTCGACCCATACGTTCTATACATATCTGTGTAGAATTGGGCTGTTGAGCCGATGGCTCGACTGGTGGTGACGAGGACTTGGGCTCCGCCTTGGAGTAATCCCTTGATGAGTTCCGCACCGATGGAGCCGGGGCCGGCGCCGGTGATTAGCACGGTGCGGTTTGTGAAGGATAACCCGGTGGTGGTGGCTGTGGTGAGGGAGGTCAGGAAGTGGTTTGTCCAGTGGGTGTTGTATGTCCAGGTTGTTGTGTCGTGGCGACTGCGCAGGTGGCAGAAGGGGAGGTTGGTGGTGGTGCTTCGCGTGAGTAGGTAGGTGTATTCGGTGGGGGTGGTGGCTGGGGACCGGGGGGTTTCGGTGTAGAGGAGGTCGCCGGTGGGGGTTATGGTTGTTCTTGGGGCGAGGGAGGGGGTGGTGTAGATGTATGTTGGGGGTGGTGGGGGTGGTGGAGGGGGGAAGAGGGAGGGGAGGGGGGGTTTCTGGTGGTGGTGGTGGAGGCGAAGGTGATGAGGTCGGAGCAGGCAGGGGTCCAGCGGTTGAGGATCATGTGGATTTCGTGTTCGAGGTTGGTGGGGGTGGTGTCGAGTCGGTGGATGAGGGAGAGGAGGTCAACCCTTACCCAGTTCCACCAGGAATCGTAGAGACGAATTTTGTTGGCATCGAAGAGTGGAGCGGTGCCGGTTTGCATGTGGGATCCGAACTCGGTGGTCCAGTGGTCGAGTTGTGCGGTGAGGTCGGTTGTAGATGCAGCGGGCTCGGTGGTATCAGGCTCATCGAGCAGTTGGGTGAGGACCTCGTGGATCTTGCGAATGGCGGTTTTCTGCTCGCGGGTGGCGGCTTCGAGGGCTGATGCGTCGATGACTGCCGCGGGAGTGGACGGGCCAGCGGATGAGCCAGGGGACAGGGACAGCTTGAAGTACTGGGCGTAGCGTTGGACGACGCTATCGATGAATCCAGTGGCGGCGGCAGGGTCAGCGAGACGGGCTGCTGGTTCAAGAGTGGTGGCGTAGCATAGAATGGCCGTCTGACGCTGGGATTCAAGTCCCCATCGGGTCTGCAGGTGCTGTCGGATCGACTGTTGATTGTAACCGCCGGGCATCTTGGATGAGATCAGTCGGGCTATTAGACTGGTCATGGGCTTGCCGAGCTGGCCGGAACAGGGGAGCATCGAGAGAGCTTCTAGGGCTAGGGTCTCGCTGTTGTCGGGGAGATGGCCGAGCTCGGCTTCGAGGTCGCCGATCAGTTCATTTTGCAGAGTGGATTTGCCTAGACTGTTAGGGCATGTAGTATGTAGGGGGGTTGAACTAACCTCCGGAGAGATCCCGGATGGACTTGTCCAAGGGGACTTGGTCGAATGGCTTCTTCAGTTTCTGAGCTGTCAATGCCAGGACTAGATCCCCGGCTGTGAGTGGCGTGTCGGGGACGGAGGCAGCTGATACAGCTGGCGCAGGTGCAGGTGCAGGTGCAGATGCAGCTACAGTTGCAGCTGGCGCAGCAGCGGTGGTAGCTGGGGCTGGGGCTGCAGCTGGGGCTGGCTCCTCAGGCTCATACTCATAGTAGATATCCTTAAGATTGCTGGCCGAGCTAAGGAACTGTCGGTTAATGGCATTGGCCTGGTCATGGCGGGCGGTTGGACCCGACGTGGCGGTCTTCTGGGCCATGGTGGCCAGGACTTTCGAAGGACCAATCTCGATGATGCGCTGGATGGGGGGATCATGTTGAAGTAGGGCTTGTTGGGTATCGATCCTGCGAGATGAGCATATGCCATTACCAGATGGATAGGAGGGATCGTACCATTGGACCGGAAAGGCAAATTGGTATCTGAGATGTTAGCAGGTATCAAAAACCCTAAGGAAGGGGTATTACGAGAGATGTTCGATCAGCAGCTGATGGGCGAGTTTTCGCCTCTGACTGTCTGTCAACGGGGTGTCTGTGGTTGATGTCATTGTCATGGTTGCAGTACTGCGAGTGCAAGCTCAAGAGGCATGGTGATACTGACCTGATTGTATATTTGTATCACGCTGCTGTGCATCTCGCACTCCGAGTCCGAATGCCGGACCGTCACGGCCGAGCGGATCGGCCCCGAACATGCGCGAACCGTCGGGGATGTCTCCGAGACCATCAATCGGGGTGAAGCGTCCGGTATACGTCCTGTTAAAGAGCTCTCTAGTTAAATAAATACTTTGGGATACATCCTGGTGTATGATGGTCAACCTCATCAATCTCCGCAGCAGCAACACTAGTATCATCATGGCCGACGACAACACACAACGTCCCTACGACACCATCGTCACCCAAATCGTCGACTACGCGTATGACTTTGACATCACGCGTCCCGAGGCTTTCCAACGAGCCACGGCCACTCTGCTCGATGCAATGGGCGCCGCCTTTGAAGGCCTCACCACCAGCGCCGACTGTCGCGAGCTGATCGGACCTGCCTGGTCCGCCCCCGACCAGTTGCCCGATGGCTTCCGTCTACCCGGAACCAAGTACCAGCTTGATGTGCTCAAAGGAGCATTCGACATGGGCCTGCTGATACGGTATCTCGATCATAATGATGCCTTTCCTGGTGCAGAATGGGGTCATCCTTCCGGTACGCCCCCTTCCTTATCCCTCTAAGCGTATCTAACAGTACAGACAATCTCGGGGCTATCCTCGCCACCGCCGACATTCTTAGTCGCCAAGCCCTAATTACCGGCACCGGCCCAACCATGAAACACGTCCTCATCGCTCTCATCAAAGCCTACGAAATCCAGGGGTGTTTTCAAATCAAAAACGCGTTTAACCGCGTCGGGCTTGATCACGTCATTCTCGTCAAAGTCGCTGCTACGGCTGTTACCTCCTGGCTGCTCGGTCTGAGTAAATCTCAAGCCCAGGCTGCTGTCTCCCACGCCTGGCTGGACGGCCATCCCCTCCGGGTCTACCGACAAGCTCCGAATGCTGGGCCCCGGAAGGGCTGGGCCGGGGGGGATGCATGCATGCGCGCTGTGCATTTGGCGCTACTGGTGAAAAAGGGGCAACCCGGGGTACGGTCGGTCTTAACGGCCCCGAGATGGGGCTTCTATGATGTGTTGTTTCGCGGGGGGCGTTTGATCTCCCGAGGCCGTTTGGGAGCTGGGTGGTGGAGAATGTGCTGTTTAAGGTGAGTACAGCGGAAGGACATGGGTTGACAGCGGTGGAAGCTGCCCTCGCGGTGTCGGAGGATTTGCAAAGGAGAGGTCGGACTCCGGACGAGATTGCCCGAGTGAGGGTTCGCACGCAGGAAGCCGCCATGATTATCATTAACAAGGTCGGGCCGTTGCATAATGCGGCGGATCGGGATCATTGTTTGAAGTATATGGTTGCGGTGGTGTTGTTGAAGGGGGGGAGTATTGATACCGCGGATTATCAGGATGAGAGTCCGTGGGCGAAGGATCCGAGGGTGGATGAGTTGAGGAGTAAGATCACTCTGGAGGAGGATCCGCAGATGACGAGGGATTATCATAATCCCGAGATTAGGAGTTTGGCGAATGCGCTGAGGGTTACGTTGGTGGATGGGACCGAGTTGGATGAGGTGGTGGTCGATTTCCCCGTCGGACATGTTCGGCGCGAGGAGACGGCGGTGGCGGTGCGGGAGAAGACCAGGAGGAATTTGGGGTTGAAGTTGTCGGATGAGAGAGTAAATAAGATCCTGGAGTTGGCGGGGAGTGACGAGTTTGAGAAGTTGCCGGTCAGGGAGTTTGTGGATTTGTTGGTGCCAGAGTGATCATAGATGCAGGAGAATAGAATCGTGAAGTGTTCCTTTGATATCTACGTCTGTATCCATGATCCTTTACTCTTCAACTTTTTGATACGATCTAGCAAGCAGTCAATTTACATCATTCACCGGTCTTCGGCTTAACAGGACGGTACAGACGATGTCAATTTCTGACTCACATCCAAAGCATCTCTATTTGGTGAACCCACCTGGCCTCAGGGCAAAGTATGTTGATATACATGGACTGACAAGCACCTAGGTAAGGTTTTAGTCGCCTAGGTAAGTCACGAGATGCTCAAAAACATATACCACCTCCTCAAATCAGAGACACTGACTACTACAAACAACTTCTCAAAAATAAAAACTCATTCATTTGATCTCTTCACTACCTACACAGCCATCACTCAAACTTCCGATCCACCTCCCCAACATAAACCTGTCCTGGTCTCCAAATCTTCGCAGTGCCACCTGAACCAAATTAGCACAACTCTCACATTCGGAACAAAGTAAGGGGCAACTCACTCATCGCCTCCCTCCAATGCGCCAAGAAACCCTGCGTCCTCGAAATAATCGAAATCGGGAGAATAAACTCCTCCGGGAATCCCATAGCGCCATACGTAAACGCGGCAAACAAATCCGCATTGGGCTTCAACTTTCTCTTCACAAAATACTCATCATCGGCAGCCAAGCGATTCAACTCGAATGCCACCTTCAGCAACGGATCCTGCGCAATTTCCTCCTGCAACTCGGCCAATACGGCCTGGATGTGCACGGCCCGGGGATCAGTCACCCGGTACACTCGATGTCCGTAGCCGTAGAGACGCTCCTTGCCGGATTTGACCCGGTCGATTTTCTCCTGGCAGGCGGGGATGGATCCGATGGCGGCGATGTCGCGGTATGCCACTTCGATGGCGCCCCCGTGTAGAGGGCCGTACATGGCGCTGATGGCGGAGATGAGGGAGGAGATGGCGTCCGGGAGGGAGGATGCGGTTTGGAGCATTGCAGCGGTGGAGCAGGTCATTTCGTGGTCGGCGATGAGCACCCAGAGGCGCTCGAAGTAGCTGACGTAGCGGGGGTTTGGGAGGGAGGTTTTAGGGTCGACGTGACCGGTCATGAGGAAGAGGTTCTCGATGTAGGAGAGGTCGCGGCGTGGAGGGGTGAAGGGTCGGTTGAGGTGGTGGCAGTAGGCGATGGCGCTGATCATGGGTAGGGCTGCTAGGACGGTGATGATCTGCTCGTCTACGGCCGAGGGATTTCCCAGGTAGAGGTTTTTGGCGGCGTGGGCGGGCACGGTGTGCATTTGTGTGGATTGGAGGGCAGACAGGCCTGCGATGATCATACCCATGATGGAGCCGGAGGGACTGAGTCTGTTAGTTGGGATTGGAGAAGATGGGAGGGGACATACGGGAATGAGCGGATGACTTGGTAGACACTTCCATCGAGGGTCATGGCATCGGAGATGCGGATTTGCAGTTTCTTGGCTTCAATGGGAGAGGGCCAGTGTCCCCAAATTAGCAGGTGAACGGTGTCGATGAAGGATTTGCCCTGGTGGATGATGTCGTCGATCGAGTACCCTCGGTATTGGATGATGCCTTTGGTGCCGTCGATGTAGGTGATCTTGCTTTCTTTGACGGCGGTGTTGGAAAAGCCCGGGTCAAAGACGCGGATGCCGTTCTCCGTTTGGTCGGGATAGTAGTCTTCATTGAGAGGGGCTTTGATGCGCTTGAATTCGCTGGCATGGATGGCATTGTGCACAATGGGGATCTCATAGTATTGACCCGTGCGACTGTCCACGACGTGCAGCGAGGGAGAGGGTGTGACACCATTGGTGCCGTTGATTCCGTTGGCGGTCATGATGGATGATCAGATGAGGTGAGGATGGACGGGGTGGCAAGGCCAGTTCATATGCCCTACTTGTAACCACAACAAATAGTCCACTGCATCGCATCACTCGGCCGCAATGTCCATGCGTCCATCGGTCTCGGGATGCTGTCGGACACGGCGGGCGAGATCTCGCTGCAGCGGTCCGAGCCCCGAAGTGCCGGCTCATCAGCCCCGAGGCATCATGTATATACCACGCTGCACCACGAGGATGCTGCAATCACCATCAGCCATGTCGACGCATCCTTCCACGCCATCTTATGTCGATCTCGGCTCGCCTCCTAGTAAGGTAGACGATGAGATCGACGGTGTACCATTTTCCATTGCATTCAACGCGCTGAATTATGCCATTCGCGTGCCTGTGCAGATTCAAGTGGCCCTTGAGAATCGGAAACACCAATTCCTCGAATCGCTAGCTGCCAACTCCCCCTCATCCACAGCTACCCTGCTGCTGAGCTTTCTTCAACACCTGGTCAACGCGGATACAGACTCTGAAACCGTCCGATGTCTCCTCCAAGCATTCAGTCGCGACTTTCTCTCCTCAACTGATATCCACAGCCTCGTCGCAGCCCTACCTGAGCCATTACTCACAAAGAAGCACTTACTGCGCGCCTTCTATGCTGCCAACCATCATGCCGCATGGTCACCCTCAGTGCCACGCAGTGCCTTGCTAGGCGATGCCGAACGAGGCCTCCGTCTCGTCGCCGTCTTCGGCGGTCAAGGAGCCTCCAACCCGCGCTGTGTCCAGGAACTTCAGGACCTATACACCATCTACGCACCTCTGCTCACGCCCCTCATCGACGTCCTCGACCGTGAACTGACCCACCTGTGTCGTCACCCAGACACGGCTGCCTTCTATCACGGCCGCAGCATCCAACTCCGTATTTGGCTGGACCATCCAGACTCCGTGCCCGATCCGGAATACATCCAGACCGCTGCGGTGAGCTTCCCTATTATCGGAGCCATTGGCCTCGCTCATTTCGCCATTACCTGCCGCGTTTTGGACCAAACCCCCGGCCAGGTGCGGTCGCTCCTCCACGGGGTGACGGGCCACTCGCAAGGAATCGTCGTTGCGGCGGGTATTGCCCGCTCGGACTCGTGGGCTTCCTTCTATGAAAATGCTCAGCTGGTGGTCCGAACGCTGTTCTGGCTGGGGTATGAGAGCCAGCAGGCTCCAACAGCTCGGGAAGCGGTGTCTGCGACTCTGGTGGAGGAGTGTCGTGCTCATGGAGAAGGGATTCCGTCGACGATGCTGCATATTGGTGGTCTGTCCAAGGAACAAGTCGTCCAGATCGTCGACCAGAATAATCGTGAACTGGCCGCCCACCGTCAGGTATACCTGGCGTTGTCCAACACACGCGAGAGCTTCGTTGTAGCGGGTCCACCGCGCGCCCTCGTCGGTGTCCATCGTCGACTGCGCCAGCTCAAAGCTGATCCCGCACGCGACCAGTCGCGCATCCCCTTTGATCAACGGAAACCTGTCGTAAACCATCAGTTTCTCCCTATTTCTGCACCATTCCATACGCCGTACCTGCAGCAGACCGCACAGGCAGTCAAGAAGCGATTATCGGACTCGTGCTTTCAGGCAACAGAGCTTCGATCCCCGGTGTATCACACTCGTGATGGATCCATGCTGGAGGGAGACATCGATGTCATTTCCTCAGTAGTGGATGCCGTCCTCACTGACCCCGTTGACTGGTCTATCACCGTCCAATTCCCCAGTGGTACATGCGCCCTGGCCTTCGGGAAAGGCGTCGCAGACATGCTAGCACGAAACCTCGAAGGTCGCGGAGTCGGCATCATCGACAGCACACAGCTCACCCCAGGAAAGGCTGCATCCGGGGCAAGACCAGACATATTCGCGGGCCATCTCTCTCGCTCGCTTGTCCCACCCAGCTGGGAGGAAGAATTCCGTGCCCGGTTGATCCAAGCCAAGACGGGCGAAGTGCGAATCGTCACCAAACTGACCGCTGTGCTGGGAGCCCCGCCAGTGATTGTAGCGGGCATGACCCCTACGACAGTCCCGTGGGACTTTGTCGCTGCCATCATGAACGCGGGATATCATGCTGAGCTGGCGGGGGGCGGGTACTATAATGCAGAGAGCATGGAACAAGCCATCACCACTTTGGCTGCTAATGTCCCTCCCGGCCGGGGCATCACATGCAATCTCATCTATGCCAGTCCAAAGGCCCTGGGGTGGCAGATTGCCCTCCTCCGACGCCTGGCCCAGCCAGGTCCTTCCCCCGTCGAGGGCCTCACCATCGGGGCCGGAATCCCAAGCCCGGCGGTGGCCTCGGAGTACATCACCACCCTCGGCTTGCGGCATATTACGTTCAAGCCTGGCTCGGAGACAGCAATCGATCAAGTACTGGAGATCGCCAAAGCGCATGCTGACTTTCCCATCATCATCCAATGGACGGGAGGGCGCGCAGGAGGCCACCACTCTTTTGAAGACTTTCATGGACCAATTCTGCGCAAGTACGGCGCCATCCGGGCGTGCACGAATGTCATCCTCATCGGAGGGGGTGGTTTCGGCGAGGCCCAGCAGGTGTATCCGTATCTGAGCGGGTCCTGGTCGGTTCCGCATGGATACGCACCGATGCCCTTTGATGGGATCCTTCTAGGCAGTCGGGTGATGGTGGCTCAAGAAGCCCACACATCGTCCCAAGCCAAACAGCTCATCTGTGCTGCTCCCGGGGTGGAAGCTGATTCTCAATGGACGCAAAGCTACGTCCGTCCCGCAGGAGGTGTAGTCACTGTGCAGTCGGAAATGGGCCAGCCTATCCACAAGCTCGCCACGAGGGGAGTCCTCTTCTGGAAGGAGATGGACGAGCAGATCTTCTCTCTGCCCCGCGAGAAACAGCTTGGCGCGATCCAAAAACGCAAGAAGCATATCATTCAGCGTTTGAATGCAGATTACTTCCGACCCTGGTTTGGAAAAAAGGCTACCGGGGAGCCGGTCGAGCTGGAGGAAATGACCTATCAGGAGGTTCTGGAGCGGTTGGTGGATGTGATGTATCTCCGTGGCCAAGCACGATGGGTTCATCCGTCTTACACTCGTCTGGTGATTGATGTGGCGATGCGAACCCTGGAGCGACTTCGCCAACCACCCGTAGACGGAGTGCCCACGCCGGAAACACTGTCCCGCGATCCTCAAAGCTTCGTGGCTGATCTCCGCCATGTTGTCCCTCAAGCGGGCTCCGTCTTGCTACATCCCGAAGATAAGTCGTGGTTCCTGCAACGCTGTCGAGTCCCGGGACAAAAGCCCGTCAACTTCATCCCGGTTCTCGACCAAGATTTCGCGGTCTGGTTCAAGAAAGACTCCCTGTGGCAGTCCGAGGATGTAGATGCGGTCCCTGATGAAGACGCTGACCGTGTCTGCATCTTGCATGGTCCGGTGGCTGCTCGGTATGCCCACCGCATCGATGAGCCTGTTAAGGAAATCCTCGACGGCATGACAATCCCCCTGGCAGAAATGATAGAAGCAGAGTTCTACGGAGAGACTCCCATCCCATGGGCGAACGAGCTCGAGACAGCCAGTGTGGACCACCACCGCCTCCGAAATGCCCTCCATGTGGTCGAAATGGACCCAGGAGTATTCACATACCAGCCCTTGCCAGGAAAGAAACTCCCGGCTGCAGACCAATGGCTGGAATTTCTCGCCCACGAGACCAGTGGATGGATGCGCGCGATTGTATCTAGCCAGGACCTTCGCCGCGGTCCAGGACGACGTACAAACTGGCTGCGCGGCTGTCTCGTCCTCACATGGAACACGGTGATCACCATTAACCAGTCACAGTCATCACTGCTAGTCACTTGCGATGAAGACGGCGGCACATACCCCGTGGTATCCATGACCAGCACCGACGGCATTCAAATACTCGTGCAGGTATACCATCGATCTCCCCGAAGTACTACCCCGATCCCTCTCGAGCTGCAGTTCCTCTACAATCCCGAGGGAGGTACCCTGAGCGAAGTCCAAGACCAACACGACAGTCGTGTTCAGTCCTTCTACCACAAGCTATGGCTGGGGGAGAATCCCCCGAGTCTCGGCACCAACGGCACATACTATAATGGTCAGAAGATCCTCACGGCTGATCTTCGAGACGAGTGGGTATCTGTTATCGGCTTGTCCTATTCCAATCAGCGAGATCTATCAGCTGAAGGAAACTGCATCCCCATTCACGCCGCTATGGTTCCCGCCTGGGAGGCCCTAGTAGCACCGCTAGTGACTCCCCACCACGAGGGCGATTTGCTCAAACTGGTACATTTGTCGAACAGCTTCCAGCTCGAGCCTGGAGAGTCCTCCCTGCAAATCGGAGACGTAGTGGAGGTCTCCGCCTCAGTGCAGGCCGTCGTGGTGGATGAACGAGGGAAGGAAATCCAGGTTGTGGCCCAGCTGCAGCGAGAGGGCCGCCTGGCGATGACCATCACGTCTGCGTTCTTCATTCGAGGTACTTTCACCGACACCCACGAGTGTTTCAGAACTACCGAAGAGCCAGAGATCCTTCTGCACAAGACCACACCCGTCGACGATGCCATCCTCAGAGACCGGCCCTGGTTCCACGTTGACGATTCCGATTCCGCCTCTCTGATCGGAGAAACTCTCTCCTTTCAACTGCACACCCATGAACGCTGGACAAAGGGCAGCCAAACTCGCCGCAATATTCAGACAATCGGGGAAGTCTACAAACTTGGCCCTCGCGCTGGCACACGCGTCCGGGTCGGTGAAGTCCGATTCCAGAGTCCATCCACCCCGGGCAACCCAGTCCTTGATTTCTTGACGCGAAAAGGACAGAAAGCCCTCGTTCGTCAAGAGCTCGCTCAACCCGGTTGGCCTGGTCCGATAAGTTCCCAAACCGTGCAAATGCCCGCCAGCAGCGAACGGTATAGCCAAATCTCTACCGATAGCAATCCTATCCACACCGCACCCACATTTGTCCAGATTGCTCAACTCCCTGGCACCATCGTCCACGGCATGTACACCTCGGCTGTGGCCAGCAGCGTGCTCGAGCATCTGATCGATGGGTGCGACCCGCGACGACTGCGGCGTTGGTCTGTCCGATTTGTCGGAATGGTCCGCCAGAGCGACAAGGTCACAGTCCGGTGTCGCCACATCGCCATGATTGAGGGTCGAATGGTGCTAGACATCCAGGCCTTCCGACAGGGCGACGACAGCGAAGAGGAAGAAAAGGTCCTCGACGGCGAGGCCGAGATCGAGCAGCCTCCCACAGCGTATGTATTCACCGGACAAGGTAGCCAATCGCCCAACATGGGAATGGACATCTACCGGTCTAGCCCAGTGGCCCGGCAAATTTGGGACGAGATGGACGAGTATTTCCGAGACAATTACGGTTCGCCTCCCCCCATTCACCTTTTTGACCCCATTCCCATACTAACCCCCACCCAACAAACAGGCTTCTCCATCCTGCAAATCGTCCAAGACAACCCCAAAGAACTCACCATCCACTTCGGAGGTCCCCACGGCCGACGCATCCGCGAAAGATACCAAGCCATGCGCGTCGACAGCATCTCCCCAGACGGCCAACCGATCAGCAAACCAGTCCTCCCCGGCCTGACCTCCACAACCCGCTCACATACCTTCCGCGAGCCCCGAGGCCTAATCTACTCCACCCAATTCGCCCAACCAGCCATCACCATTCTCGAAAAGGCCATCTTCGAAGATATGCGCGCCCGCGGACTCATCCAAGAAGGGGCGCCGTTTGCAGGCCATTCCCTCGGCGAGTACGGCGCCCTAGCTTCAATCGCGGAGTTCATGCCCTTCCCGTCATTCATGGACGTGGTGTTTTATCGCGGTTTGGCTATGCAATTGGCCATGGAGCGTGATGAGGCCGGTATGACGGAATACTCTATGGTGGCGGTGAATCCTAGACGAGTTGGGCCGGGTAAGTATCCCATCGAATCCAGCAAGGAGATATATGCTAATGATCGTTCGGAATCAGCAATCACCGAATCATCCATCCGTCGCATCATCTCCATGATCGCAAAGCAAAGTAACCGACTCCTCGAAATCGTTAACCTGAATGTCTCGGGCGAGCAGTACGTCTGTGCAGGACACGTAAGTCCCCATCCATTCCCTTAGCCAGCCCAATCTAATCAAAGGAACTTGACTCACCAGCTCCGCAACATCCACGCCCTAACCACCGTCCTCAATGAACTTTCCCACCTCCCAACTGACCCCTCACACCTCCCCACTGGCTCTGACTCCACCCTCCTAAACATAATAACCCAAGCCCTCACCACCGCCGAAACCATCCCCAAACCCATCCCATTACTCCGAGGCATAGCAACCATCCCTCTAGTCGGGATCGATGTCCCGTTCCACTCGTCCATGTTAAGGGACGGCGTGCCCGGGTATCGACGTTTCCTGCAGGCGAAGGTGCGCGAAGAAGATGTGCAGCCTGATGTTTTGGAGAAGGGGTATATACCGAATGTCACGGGCAGGAGGTTTCGGTTGGAGAGGGGGTATGTAAAGGAGGTGGGGGAGTTGACGGGGAGTGAGGTTTTGAAGAAGTGGGAGGGGAAGATGTGTTGAGTTGTAATTTGTGAGTGAAATGGTATGATATGATGTGTATGTATTGATTGTTGAGCGTTGCTTTGAGGGTTATATGTTGTTTTGTGTTGTGTGAGAATGGAATGTGATTTTGAGTATTGTCTGTCTTTGGTTTGTAGGTCATGGTCATATGGAAGGGTCTTTTTTGTGGTAGTAAGATGGAAATGTCTAGTAAGATAATGAAGGAAGATAAAGATCTGATTAGTATTGATGAAATTCGACGAGACCACTTGATCAGTGGGAATATGTAGATGAAGTGACTTGGAAGTGACTGGAAGTGGAACACCGGCAGGGGTCACGTGATGGGTAGTGGGCAAGACCAGGAAACCGGTCAGTACTTTAATTCAGGAATTATGGTTACAGAGATCTAGAAGACTTTGATTATTGCAGGATATAGATATATTAAGACAAGTATTTTCGAATTACAAGCCCTTCTACTATGAAGATTAATATTCAACAGTATATTTCGCTAGAAATGCTGAGAGCATCACGAAGCCGGAAGAAAAAACTCCTCCGGAACTGTCAAATCCCGCAGGTCACCATTCCATGCCTCTGTCATGTCCTGGTCAGGAATAAAAAACGGATACAGTCCTCCATCAAGTCCCTCCTCAACCCCCTGCGGGGTTGACGGGAAGAAGTTCATGGGTAGCGGTATAGACGGGGCATCCCCCATAGCCGTCAAGATGCCTGGGGATGACAGACATCGGGAGGCAGAGGGCATAGGCAACGCGTCCTGTAGAAATTTTGACAACTCGTCGTCCGCTCGGATAGGCCGCATGCTCCCACTGCTACTGCTGCGCCGACTGCTCTGATCGTGCTCCTCAGTGGATGAGAGGCGAGGCACCGACCCGTTCGAAGCCGGGAGCGATAGGCTGTTCAACGTCACGGTTCTTTCGTCGGGGACTGTCCAGGATGCGGTAGATGAGTCCGGATTAGTCGCTGCCGCAAGGAAATTCCCATCATCAAAATTCGTCGGATACATCCTACGGCGCTTCTGAGGGGGGGAGTCTGACCGCGCGCGGTGGGATGGGGCTCGGGACGCAGTCGGAGACGTCTCATGACCCCGAGTCGAAGCGAATGGATACAGGTCAGGAGAACGCGATGGCAGGGCCTCAAAATGATCCTGAAAAGACTTGGCAATGTCGCGGTACCACTGAATACCCTCATTCACCTGATGCAGACAAGATGTCGGCAGGTTCGCATCGCAAAGAGGGGACAGAGCCTCTGCGACACCGTCAATCAAATCCAAATCCTCCAACAGATCGGCCGTCGGATGGGCCAGAAACGACGCAAAAAGCCCATGAATGCTAACCTGCGGGTAGTGTCGGAACAACCGAGCAAGCAGCGAGATGGACGCTTCGGTCTGCTTGGTCTGGAACACCTCGCAGATGGTGCGGAGGGCCGCCCGCGAATTGGCCAAGGCCACGTGCTGGCTGCTTTGGTCGCTGGAAAACCGATGCACCAACACTTGGCCGATGTGAAAGGCGTATTTTAACTCAATGCGCCAGCCCTCGAGGGCGGACATCTCAGAGCTCGATTGGGTCAGCAGCGACCCGTTGCGGGCGTACCAGCTGCGGGTCATGCTGTCCAGCTTGGCAATCTGACTCTGGCGATAGGCGGGGCCGCGCCGGAAGGCTCGGGCCGAGTATAGATAAATGTAGATCTCTTCCCACACCGCCATCATGTGGACGTGGGCCGTCCGGTAGTGCTGCACCAAGCTCTGGCCCGCCATGGTGCGCAGGAGCTGCACGTCGGAATCATAAAAGTGCAGGTCGAACGGTCGGCCCGCCATGTAGGTGCGCTGCTTGTCCATGACGAAGACGGCCCAATACAGATCGCGTCGCTCCTCATCCGCCGTCGAGAGGCTGCCATTTCCAGAATTACACTGCTGCAGTCCCATGGACTTGACGGCCTGGGACGTAGCGTGGCAAACCGTATCGAACACCCGGCTTTCATGGTATTCCCGAGCCACCATGGCCTAGTACATGTTAGTCAAGGCGGCAGCCATCACGAGCAGACTTACTAGGGTAGCCAAGGCTTGACCGCAGACCAGACGGGGTTGCTGAAAAGTGCTCAGCCGTTGAAAGGCTCGGAAAGAGTTGTTTAGGAAGGCAGGAAGTAACTCATCACTCATGCCCTTGGGACAGGTGCGATCCATGCGGGTGAGGCGGGAGCGTAACCCCAGAGCGAGCACGATGATATTGTTGAAACATAAATGGTACGCTTCGTCCGACCGGGACGATCCATTGGTGTAGTAGGAATTGATCGCCTCTTTCAAGCAGTATTCGTTGAACACGGGTATCGTGACATTAAAGTGCTCGAGGTAAACAGGGAGACATGTCTCGAGGAGTGAGCGCGGTGGCGATGCCACTGCTTGCCCATCCCCGGTGATTGGAGAAAGGTGGAGACCTTTCGTGAAGGGATATAGTTCGTATTTTGTCTGTAACGTGGATTGAAGGGCGCCGGCCTCCGGCGATGCGAACAACACGGCCCGTCCTTTGTGGGCGCTGGAATCCTGATCCTCAACACCCGCATTCCGCATCTGCTCGAGTAGACTGGCTAGGGTTCGTCGAGAATTCTCAAACAATGATCGCGCGCCAATATGACCCAAGGACTTGTCCCGTCCTGCGGGAGATGAGATGACCCCCCGGGGATTGCTTCGATTACCGCCGTCCCAGTAGCTGGCATAGAAGATTGACTCCATTTCTTCCACATCCGGGCCTGGAGAGAGCTCCGGAAGAAGCAGCGTGCTGGATCGCGACGAATCTGTAGCCGCCACAGAGGCAGCTTGTAGCGCCGACACATTCTGCACGAGGGTATTGATCGCCTGGTCGATAGAATCCAGACGAGAAGCGAGGCCCGAGACATCCTCCACACTAACCAGTCAGCATATGTCTGTGACCACCAGTCAGGAACCTACAGCTGCTTGACATGATTGATCCGTTTCCCCCGATTTGGAAACTCGCAAGGCACCCCGGCCTTCAGGCAATTCGAGCACTGGGGGATCTGCCGGTCGCAGCGGACCTTGCGTGTGCGACAGTTTTCGCAAGCGGCAGTGGCCAAAGGCTCCTCGGCCTCCTGGGAAGGTGATGAGCTGCGACGAGTGCCGTTTGATTCGCGCCCGTTGGCACGTCCCCGTTGTGGTGCCATGGCTGGTCGTATTCAAGTCCGTGCTCCGCCACGCGGGAGTCTCACCCGTTGCGATCCCGGCTGCCGTGGTTGTTATAGGAGGGTGCCAAGGGAGCACCGTACAACATCCATGCTGGACCGAGGATGACGCGGACAGCCCTGATACCGATCTGGCTGGGCAAAAAGGGATGCCGGGTCGGGAAGGGTCCAAACTGCAGGCGCTAGCTATCACCTAATCGGATCCAACGTGCGCATCATTAGTCCCACGGCAGTGTCAAGGATGAGGGGCACAGGTGAGAATGGGGGGATGGATGGATGGGGGAATGAGGGGAATGAGGGGGGTGAGGGGTGACTGAAGAAGACCACGCCATGGTCCTACCTGGTAGAAGACAAATATGAGCCTCGATCGGCTCCGAAGCGATGATATCGGAGGATGGTGGATGTCTGGGGGATGGAGGGACGGAGAGGATGGAGTGACTGGGGGGACAGAGGATGTGGATGGATGGCCGAGGCGGTGGCAGGATGGCTCAGCCGTCAGGTGTCAGCACTAAGGCCCGGGTTAATTACCCCCCCGGGCCGGACGAGAGGATCGGCCCTGCCCGGCTATATCTGGCTTAGGCGGCCCTCATCCCTGCTAGTCCAGAATCCAGATATCCTCATCTCTTCATCCTACGGGTTTCGCCAGAGGGTCTCAGGATTTCCACAGACAGAGTAAGCCGGCTGAATACCATCGTCTCCCTCTACGTACATCTGGGACTTTTTCTGTCTCATCTATCTTTCTATCATACATCTGGAATCGCCGCAGGTCAAATCGGCATGCTTGCTGACGGAGGGTCATTTGGGACCTTCCCAACGGGGGCATAAACGCCCCCATTCGCCGGGGAGCCGGACCACCTTCCGACTATATGCAGAATGATCCCAGCGGCCAGCGCGTGACTTGCATTCCGCATGGTATAACAGCTTCGAACGCCCGTCAGCCGGAAGGATTTTGTATCCTGGCCAACCCCGATTGCTTTTGGCGTGTTACATCTACCCTACACCCTGTCGGCTCGGTTCCAGTAACAAGCATCGTCGGTCCTCGGATTGGTCGGTCTCCGGTGAGAGGGTCATCGCTGAAGGATCAAGATAACAGCCATCATATAGCCCCATAGCTCTTATTGAGCCTATCGTGGACGCGGTGGACCCGTCGTCTCCCCGTCGATCACGATAGGGTCTCGGACATTTACCCTCCAGGCCGGGCTAGTGCGGAGCAGCGGAATCGGGCTCGGCAGGCCCGTGGGGACAGACAAGCACGATGGCCCTGTTTCGTCCTTTTAGCCGCAGCCCTGTGAGACCTTGGCCGTGCCAAGCATCCACAAGAAACGGGTGTGGCGGAGGACTCGTTATTTCCGACTGCTTAGCCCGACCCACTGGCTTGGCATGGCGATTTCTCGGCGTTGGATGTGGCCAGTATCTAGCCGACCAGGTGCAATGCCTGAAGTTCCAAAACCCGCTGGACCCGATCGGCGTGTCATGAGCTGCTACATTGCTGGATGGGGAAGAATCTGGCCTGCCGACTGTGGAGATCATGTGCATCGCCATCGGTTGGCTTCTAGACTTGGTCCGACCGAAACGTCTTGCCATCAACCCCGGATGATCCTGGTAGTACTGATACAGCACTCCGCATTCCCCTCACGAATCACCACCAGCTGGATTTCACTCGGAAAGATGGCCTTCCGAACCTGTGGCTCCTCAAGTGGACGTAATCTTCATTCGAGATTAGTCGAGCCTCGCGCTTGACTGGCCAGCAACCTGATTTCCATGCCGTCAGCTGCCGATCAGCCAAGTCCTTATCGACACAGGGTGAAGTCACTGGCCTTGCAAGGTGAGATGTTGTGGTAAGGATTCGATAACATTCTGAGGGGCTGTTGAGGAGGAATCCTGCAGGATGCCTCTGGGGGAGGGGGAACAAGCGGGTGGCTCCTGAATGGGGGTAGTGTTGAAGTGTGGATGGGGAAAGGAAGCAGGAGCAGAAAGCATGAGGAGAACCGAAGGAAACGATGGATGCCTGTGGCAGGAAGAGCAACGGATCGGGAACTCCGAAACGGGAAGGAACACAACGTCCCGGCGCTAGGCCTAATGGAGATGTTCGCTTTGATCGGAGGACATCAATCTATTATTAATTGGTGATTCGGACTACTCCTGTCAGATGACTTGACTTCTATGTAATATGGAGGGTTTCACATTGTAAATGGGGTAAGTGTACAGAGTATTATACTCGATCATATGTCCAGGTAATGGAAAGAATGAAGGGATATGGCATAATTCTTTTGCTATTTATAGAACAGGAGGTGAAACTATGAAGTGCGGAATCAAACAGCTTGCAGGAAATACATGAACTAGCTTATGATGTGCTTGCACGTAGCGTAAGCATACCCAGAGACTTATACAATAGAGAAATGTCATAATTCTCTAAAGTGATCATGGCATTGTAGCCCAGTAATATATTTCCGAAGCACCAATCAACCAAACCCACCTCCTATCACGCATCACCAGCCACCAACGCATTCCACAGACCAGGAAACTTTCGAAAATTAAGGATATCCTCAAGCGAATACCGACGGATAACCCCTCGCACCATCGCGCCTTTTGCAACAAGCCACTCAGCAATCTGAAGTCTGCTTTCATCTAGAGCTCTGCCAGGACGGTCATAAAAGGTATCCGTATCTAGCAAAATATGGAGAGGCGTAGGACCATGACCCGGAAATATGGGTGCATCACAAGGCTCAACACCAGTGCTGGCAGTGATATCTACCCCGCGATCGATCAGTAGTCGGCAAATTTCGACATAACCACCCATGGCAGCAAGGTGAAGTGGCTGACCGGCCCATGCACTGCCTTTGTATAAACCGGTGGGCTTGCGTTCATTGTTATTCCACTGCTGCGTTACGGCATGGGCATCTGCCCCTGAGTCGAGAAGAGCCCTGACTATGTCTAGGTGGCCGTAAAAGCAGGCGACGTGTAAAGGACGCCAGGCATAATAATCGGGACTCTCGGTATTGGCGCCGTGTTTTAGAAGGGTGTGGACGAATTCGGTAAATCCATAATTTGCTGAATGGTAGAGAGGGGCTACCTCGTAGAATCTCATCTTCAACGGGGTGTTTGGGTCGATGCCGTGCTTCAGGAGATGTTGAACCATTGGTACATTGTAACACTCGACGGAAACTTGGAATATTGTCTTTTCGGAATCATTCCGCTTATTTATAATGCTTGAAACGTAGTTCCTTGTATCAGTCTTGTCTGGGTTGGTGTCTAGCGGGACCAGTCTCTGGAAGGCAGCCGTCTTTTGCGAGAAGCCGGCATGGTGGGCGGGAAGCCAGCCGGCGTCGTCGAGTGTGTCAATTCTCGCACCACACAAGAGTAGATGGTCCACTAGGATGGAGTTGCCATGTTCCGCAGCAAGATACAATAACGTCTGCCCCTTTTCATTCCTCTCGTCCAGGGCATTTGCTCGTCGTAGGCATGTGCACAGGCATGCGATGGGATCGGACTCATGCCAGATTTCATTAAGGAATCGTGACCAGTGATGCTCGTTTGGATGGTGCAAGGCGTGTTCCAGAATACGGCGAAGATAATCGGTGCTTTGGAAAACAGCAGCGCTCCGTATAGGATCAAAAGTTTGGGGTGAAGTAACGTATACATCAGCCCCACACTTCAATAGGATTTCAAGCACGGGTTCCATCTCACAGGTTCTCGTTGCAATAGTAAAAGCGGATCCACCCACGTCGGGTGGAATGCAATTCACATTCATCCCAGAAGAAACTAAGCGCATGAGAATATGCTCGAAGCGTGCGTAAAGCCTGGTTTCCTCATGTTCTTTCCGGGAAAGAGCTGTATATGCCTCCACGAGTGTAACCAAAGAGTTGTCAGATACATGGGCCCCGCGGTCAAGGAGCATGTCTACTGCATCCTCTTGTAGAGCAGTGATGGCTTGGTCAAGCAACATATCAGGATCTAGGTCATTCGGAAACGTAGCACCGTATTCGAGGAATACCATTGTTAGCTTCCATTGCCTGTTTTGTAAAGCCAACTTTACAGGTGTGAGGGGCGTTCTGATGTTCTCGCCGGCAGACCGATGATTCTTGTTGCCCTGCTCAGTTGGATTGATATGGTTGTCGATATTCTGGTTGATGGTGTCCTTGTTCAAGTCTGTTTTCTTCCCCCCGAGGATCAAAGAGACCGTTTCTCTTAGGTGTCGTATATCATGATTATCTTTCGGGAGTGTTGCCAAATAATGGAGTGGCGTAAGCCCGGCCTCATCCGCCACGTCAACTAGACAGCCAGCCTCAATAAGCAATTTGATGATCGAAGGACAAGGTTGTAAAACAGCATAGTGCAAAACATTCCTTCCAGAGGAGTCCTTCAGCAGCGGATCCGCTCCCTTGGATAGCAGCAACTGAACAATTTTCGAAGTAATGTTAAGGCACGTTGTGTCGAATGTCCGACGCGACGACCGAAATCCAAAGGCCTGCATCAGGGCGGTGGCGCCATTTTCCGTTGGCTCGCACTTGTGCTGGCTAAGAAAGCGATCTCGGATATGGAGATAGCCTCTGTTACGGGACGAGACACCGACAGCTTGATTGACATCTGCACCCCCTTCAATAAGCGCGTCGATTGTGTCAACAAACCCATTTAATACTGCCTCGTGTAGGGCAGTTCTCCCATGCAGGTCAACAGCAGTGGGATTGGCACCATTTTCCAACAAGCATCGAACATAACGAGGGTCTTTTCGGCACGCTGCCACATGTAATGGAAGGCCATGGCTGGTATCAGCGCCAGCCTTCACCAGAAATCGAGCCGAAGAGAGTTGTTGGTCTCGAATTGCCAGAAGGAAAAGAAACGATTGCCAGCCTCTTGGATCCGCCAGGCGCATCTCAGCCCTGAAATCAGGTATTCTTGCTTCAGGTCCGTTTATAGCTGCTTGTTTTGACATTGTCCTCCAAATGTTGCACGCGACCGGGTCATCAAAGCAGTCCCTGGGCCATATCGTGTTAAAACCGGCATGTTTATCCGAGCCATTTGGAATTCGTAGATAGGTTACCAGTAGGCTATGCAGATGTTCATCTCCCGCAGCTGCAGTCACTTGTATAGGACTGGTACTTTCGGCGTATGATCTTATATCCTCCCATGACATACTGCACAGCGTAGGCTCTGTAAACCTTGACTTCGGATGATGCTCTAGTAACTCCTGGGAAACATCGGCATGCCCGAGAAAGATAGCCCAGTGAAGAGCTGACCACCCGAGGGTGTTCCTTATAAGATGGTTTGCACCCTTGGCGAGGAGAAAGCGTATAATATCGAGATTTCCAATATATACTGCCCATAATAAAGGAGTCCATCCTTGCATATCCTTGCTGTTCACATCTGCTCCATTGCGTACCAACAACTTAGCGATAATGAGATGGCTTCTGGCACAGGCCCAGTGTAGAGGAGACCATCCGCGGGAGTCGGCCGAATCGACACACGCCCCCCTCCGCAGAAGAATTTTTGTGATGTGTTCCATGCCCCAATAAACAGCAATGTGCAGCGGGTCTTGACTCTGGGGCAGGGAATTGAAGAGTTGCCCACCAGTATATCCTCCAGAGAATTCCACTTGATATTGGAGAGCTTGGAAGGCACTGTCTCGAAGTCCTCGATTATCAAGTAGCCTCATTATTTGCCTGTCAAGCGTAGCTTCAGCTTTCTTTCCGATAAAATGATGCCCCCAATATTCTGCGGAGTAGTCAAGAAAAGGCAATGATTCAAAGCGTTGCATTAACTCGCCATGACTCTTGCAAGGGCCTGTTGCTAAATGGTCCATGGAGAGGTATTTCAGGCTAGTCTGAGCAATATCCAGGGAGGTGTCACTTTCTGAGAACATACGCTCTCGGAAGTACTCATATGCGGAGGCGTGTACCAATCCAAGTGTATCATCGACTTGATCTATTACCACTAGGCCTGCACAAACACGAAGGAGTAGATAGGCGCTTGGCCTATTGTCTGACTGGGGTTCCTCGTTATCATCCACGGCGAAGGCGCTAGCAATCTCTTCCACTCTTAGCCGCCTTTTGGCATAGGTGATCCAAGCGAGCAGTAGTCGGACCAGGGAGGCCTTGCTTTCCGACTGGGCAGATATTCGTCTTATAGTCACATCAAGCGCTTGCCGTATGCCTAACGGTGGACCAGTAAGGACTTTGTGCATTTGACTCACCGTAGTATAACCCAGGACTTCATCAAGGATGATACTAAGGGGAAGGAACCTGGTATTTCTTAGCATGTGCAACGCAGTCGCGGAAGGCTTGGTCGTACCGATTGTTGCTCTTTGAAATGACACCATCTATTAGACAACTTTCTTGTTTTAGCCGATCGACGATATCACTTTCCTGAATCCGATATTCAGTATATAGTCTTAAGTCGGCTATATTGCTTCGAATCTCAAGGTGAGTAGTTGGTTCCATTATTTTGCGAATTCGTGGTAGATCTCTGCTCATTACCATGACCTGGATACCCGAAGCTGCAAGAGAGAGTACAATTTGGAGAAGCTCGGTTGGGTCCTCTAACTCATCAGGCGCATCCAATACCATGTAGAGAGGGTGTTTTGAACTGGCTGTCATGATTAAGCGAGCTACTTCTTTGACGCTCGTCAGCTTACTAGGATCTTGACATAGATCTTTCAGCGTCGTGATTACTTCCGGACTTCCATGCTCTATCAGTTGACGAAGTAAACAGTGGAGGATTTCAAGCGTCCTTTGCTGTCCTCGTGACGAAACGTCACAGAAGAAATATATCACCTGGAACCCTCTCGAAGCTCGTTCTTCAAGAAGCCGATTTATGGCAATTGACCTGGATACATATCAGCATATCAAGCTTCCACCTAGTGTAAGCTCTGTATCTCGGTTGGATACTCACGCAAGGAACGACTTTCCCACTCCAGCTGAAGTCATGGTTAGTCATGAGGGCATTAGTAAAGAAGCTTTACGTACGTGGTCCGTGGCACCACAAAGCTCGAACCGACCTGTCCATCCATCCGAGGAAGTTTGATGAGGATAGAAACCATTGACCGGTTCCTTTACATGGCGACGGTTTCTGGCGCAGGTGCATACTCGATGAGGGAACCAATGAAAGTAAGAGGGGTCGGTCCAGCTCTATCGTGGCGATCAGTAAGGGGTATCCGCAAGACCCTGGCAGATATTACCTTTGCTAAGGGCTGGATCATTATTTCTCACTGCCCTTGAGCTTATCCTGTCACTGTTAGACGGATGTAAAAGAGACAATGGTCTACGGCACGCACGACACGCAAGCGGACAGGAAATCAGCGAAAAGCGATCGGTATTTCCGAAGCATATCAACTTTTTCCCTTACCTCTTTATCTTGTAGCGGCCATCGGAGTTCTGAAATATGTTTTTGCAACTCTATATAGAGATCTGTTAGCTGCCCATGACAATCAGCCAAGAGGTCATCGTTCAAATAAGCTGGTCGGGAAAGTAATAGTCCAGTAGCTTCGGTATCACGAATAGCCTCTTCAGTACGAAGTAAAACCTCCATCAATGCTGAGATTCCCTGCAAGTACGCCTTTTGTGTTATTGGCGCTCTGTGGACATCCCGAGCATGGCTGTAACTGATTTGGGTGATTTTGCTGGCAATCTGGAGAATCCCAGAGACATTGACGGCTAGACTTGGTCCATCAGCCATATTGTAGGGTTGAGATATTGAAGACTAGAATAAATTAGGAACAGAAGAATATATCCGCAATGCTAAGACAGTAGGACAACCGTGACGGCTGATGCTGGAAAATCATTATTCCACGCATTGGCGCTAGATTAATACTCACGTGATTTCACTGTGGCTGACGGGCCAAGCCACTCCACCCGCCACGATGGCTTCATATTCATGATTGTCTCGATCACGCGTTCATCTATCTCAAAGAACCGGAGAGGTTTTCTGTCTCCACAACATCCTAAATATTACCATCATTGTCACAATTATGGGACGTGCCAACAAACCATCGAAAGCTACGCGTTTCAATGCGCATACGTTGAAAAAGCTTCAAGCGGCGGTCGCACTGGATCCCGACGTCGATTTAACCACCAAACTACCGACCGACTACTCCACCCGACTAGGTAGCATGCGTATTAGCGTCGAACTGGACAGCCGCCAACCTCGGCATGCAAGATTGTTTTCACCCATGGAGACCTCCGTCCAGACAACATTATAGTGGAGAGGACTGCAGACCATCGCTACATTGTCACTGGGCTGCTAGATTGGGAGTACAGTGGGTTCTATCCAGAATACTATGAAGCTGCCAAAAGTACCAATTGCCTATCGCCATATGAAAAGGACGATTGGTATCTATTTCTACCAGACTGTGTCTCGCCAAAGAGATACGCCCACTGGTGGCTCCTCGACCGCTTCCGGGAAACCAGAGTGGTGTAGCGATTTAGCTAGAGGCGGGCTGTATCAGCATAATAGGCCCCTCTTACTCTGCGGCAGCAGTGGCCGTTGACCCGAGTGGTCTAAAAAGCTCCAGGCCTAGATCTGACCCTCAAAACATCACAGTCTCAGCGTTGATCATTGCAGTGTCTGACAGCGTCGTGGCGGTTATGTCCAGGAGCTCGACCCGCCATGGACGGCTCCACTCCATCACTTGACTAGCCTCCAAGAGTAGAGAACGATGATCAGGCACGTAACAACGGGGTAGGTCTTGCTTCTGGGTCGATTAGGATGTACACGCCATATATAGAGTGAAGGAGGATGCTGGAGACATGAAAGATGAGCCTCTCGATAGATAACCTGACTCTCACGACCCTCTCCCTCTGGTATCGACTGTATTTATTGGCCCTTGAATACGCACCTGGTTGTCTGCTACAGTTGGAGAATGGAAGAGGGGATTACTGCAATAAACAGGTCATCGTTGCATCACGTTGAATAAAACCCAATACTCTGCGTATCTTCACAACGCCAAACACCGCTGCAATAAAATCCATATGTACCACAGATCAAACCACCTTAACTCCATGTCAGGTATCATTTGTGACGCTCCAGCTGAGCAAGAAGGGCACTGGGGATCGACTTGGTTTCCCCAACTGCAAATCCCAGCCACCATCGGGTGAGTAAATCTATGACCTCTGCATCATACTCTCTCAAATCGTAGAGCCGTGTCTGTCGCACAATGAGATTTTGTCCGTCGAAGAATGCCTCCAGGACACGCAGATGCTGTGGCCCCGTAATAGAAAACACCATCACCTGTATCAAATATATCATGAACTCTCCGTTCACACTGTCGATCGGCTGGGGGGCAATGTTTAGTGACTCACTGGTGCCAATACATGTGGACGGAGCGATTTCGTATTTAGCCGACCGGTCATGATGTTGATGATGGCGGTGAGTTCCCCACGAAGTAGTCGTTCGTCTCCGATGACATCGCCCTGCATCAGGCACTTCATATGGGGCAGTGGCTCCTTTGCCACAGCGGTGCCTATCGAGGATACTTTCCAGTAATAATTGGTCTCGAACAGCGCTCCGAAGTTGAACTGTCCCCATCTAGAGTACGGTAAGAGCCTTGGCCATTAATAGAAGTCAGGAACCAGGGGCACATACGACTTGGGGCAGATGCCTATAGGATGGTCAAGGATGAAGTGGCTCAGACTGTATTGCATGTAATAGTTCAGGCCTTGGATGTTCCAGTGGTTCGGATTATCGGGCTCGTGAGAGGGAAAGGGGTCCTCGCTCGTTCGCGCAAACTCGGCATCATATGGAGTGAAGAACAAGGGGAAACAGTCGGAGGCCTGCTCGAGGGACATGGGGAGCTGTCGAATGCCCGCATCCTGTGCCTGACACACGTCAATCTGGTCGGTCTCAAGCTCGCGTATCGCCTTTCTGATGGTACGGAGGGTAGCCCGGTAGCGGCTGCGTGTCTCTAGGGCTTCTGATATACCGGACATGGCCTCTTATTTGCTGAAAAAGGGTCAAGGGATCGTAGATGGCAGTGAGTGGTACGCAGAGGGAGAACGAAGGAGGATCCGACGATGAAACAAAACGATTTGTTGTTGACGGCCTGGGGCAACGGGATTAGGTAATCTGTCGGGTGGGGTTGCTCCGCAACGCCGACTCCACCAATTGGAAGTGGGCCCCACAATGCCCCTCTGGATCATGGATTAATGTTGTGCCGGTCAAATCGGGAGAGAGATCCTCCGCCCGATTCGTGATGTCTCTTCTTCCTCGCTTTCCATCTAGTTTATTTGAGTAAAACCGAGTCTCAGGTCTGTGGTGATCTTACTGGAGACCACCCCAGAGTTTACTCCTGCAACAGACTCGCATTCATGGGAATCTCCACCTTTGGCGCAGGTCGGGGACCTACTAGTACGTATTACTCCGTAATAGTCACTGGTATGAGCCTTCTGAGTCAATGCGCTCCTTTTTAACCGGGCGACTATCTGCGGGAGATGATTGGTCTAACCTAAGGCCTAGCTGCGTGAATCAAGCAATCACGCTCTCGGCTGAATATGGAAATGGATCCGGGGGCTCTGCCCCTCCCCCTCTTTCCATTATCTTCCTTCCCTCCCTCCCGTGAAGACGCAGGTCCTCCCTTTCATCATGGCGACCAAGCTGCCTGGAGATCAAGGCGCATGGGATGACAAGGTGAAGATTGAAAAGGCTGAGAATAAGACGATACATAATATCCCTCTCACCTCGGCTTCCACCATAAGTGATGAGCAGTACTTGATGCTCCGGGTTCTGTGGAAAGAACACCAATTTGATAAACTGGACGTAGTGAAATTTGGCCTCGGAGAATGGAATAGCCAAGCCGTTGAAATGCTGAAGACATATTCGTCCTGGACCCAGTACTGCAACAGCTTCTCCAGCGATGTTGAGAATGAGGGGATCTTTGCCTTGGCCCAGTTCTATCAGAAGCAAGTCGCGCTAATTCCCGACGACCTCCCATTTCGGTCCAATCTGATCATCAGTTCGGTTGCACATCACATCCGGAGTCGAATGAGAGGCCTTGTGTCAGGCATCCAGAAACTCTCGTTCGAGACACCGACCAAGCCACCCAGTACACCACCAAATCCGCCAAGCACCCTAGGTCGTGGCTCGGAGGAAGAGCTCGATGATAGCACATTTGAGGAGACCCCGCCGGGACAACGGTCATACGGACCCAAAGAGCTTCTGGATTTGAGCTATCCGAGAACTAAGGATGAGCAAATCGTCAACACAGCGCTGGTGGATCTCTTGAATGCATTCATTATCCCCTACAAACTGCCCGTCTACTGGACATTGCACCGCAAGCAATTCATAGCGACGTTTGAAAACGGACACTTTGAAGCTCGCACAGACGGATGCCTTGAAGACAGGAGATCCGAGACATACGCAATCGTGGAGGTCAAGCCAATGCTACGTGAAAGGGAAAGCATTCGAATTCAAATGCAGGAGTCGGCAGAAATGGTTGCCTGGATCAAGTCTGACCCCGACCCTGATGGATTCTTAAGTAGTTGCGGTCTGTAAGTATCCTCCAACAAATCCATCAACTCTGGCTTGTCCTAATCAAACAGCCGTGTGCTTGTGTCGCAGGACAGACACGAAATCTTTCTTACGTTTGCCGACTATGGTTTTGACTATGTGAAGTATCTTAACAACACACTAGGACCGGATGAAAAGCCCGGGTTTCTTACAATGCATCAATTCGGGCCTTGGGATACTACGAGGGGTGGTGACATGAAACAGCTAGGCAGTATTCTACTCGCACTTGCTCTGAGAGCTAGGGCAAACCATGTGAATAACTCAGGGGTGCAGGCATCGGCATCATCATCATCAGTCGTTTCCGGAGGCCTGGAAGTTGAAGCGGTACGTCGTTTGTCTGCAAGTTGATTTCATGAAGACCGATTATGGGCAGAGGTGGTAATGAGCACTTGGTGACAGTCCTGTGTGATATAATTTCCCAACTAGACCAAAAGAGATAACTCTTTACTAGTAGAACTATTTCAAGGTGGGTAGGTTCCAACACTATGTCCCCAGGGGTAAACCAGTCATATCCTTGAGGCGAGCAGACAGATATCGTCAGCCCACATGTTGATGCGCTGGATCCCTGCTCATATCGGCGTCCAAGGCGATTAGGCTGCAGATTTTAAAGCAAAGCAGGCCGCGGAGTACAGGATCGGGCTAGACCAACAGATAATCTATCTTACTTCCACCACTATTAGAACCGTTCCAGCAAGTTCAGAGATTACTAGACCGAGCAGTGGGAGAGGACACGCAGCCACATTAACAAAGTACTTAATCAAGGTCTCAATACAAAAGACACTGGAGATGTACAAAGGACCGTTAAAGACCTATACAGCTGTGATGATGCAGACATACACCCAGAGGACTGAGCTAGATTGGGAGCAAACAGGTTAAAATCAGGAATGAGAAGCGGAGAATGAGAGAGAGACTTGCAAGCAATTGACTTGACCTGACTTGACATTGTAATGTTTCAGTTCTTTGCTGCGTGATTGATGTCTTGGTTCCTATACTAGTTGGGACTCATAGAACTTGATGAGCGTTCTAGCTTCATATTCTGGTTTCAATGGGAAGTGCTTATACAATTAGAATATAGCGGGCTGCATTAGGCTAATAGAATATGATTTGACTTGACTGAGGATACTGATCATTTTTATGTCGAGATATGTCATAATAAACAGCAGACGAGGACATTCACTAACCTTAATGGATAAGAACCTTTAAGCACGTCATGGCCTGACGTCAGTACGCTCGTACACTATTGATAAAGACTCCACAACGTGTACAGATGAACAAGTACAACAACGGCCATACAACCATCGGGACAAAATAGAGTTGGGAGAAAGTGTAAAGATGGGGGCTGATTTGTGGGGGGAGATGCACTGCCTCGCTCGCAACCATGGAACGACCATGGCCACTGCCATTCATCCCTTCACAGAGCTTCATCGACAATGGATACTGCCGGTCTGAATTCATACGGTCCAAGAGGGTGTGTTGACAAAAAGATCTGAATCAGAACTCCAGCATCCATTAGGTTGTGATAGGTTGCTGTGGTCTTTTATCCCACCACCCATGGCACTATACCTAGATTCGAACATTCATGTTTGGTTCTGATGCGGTGAATGAGGCAAATAGAATCAAACACACTCGATGACGCTCGTCCCTCTTGGCTTACCTGGGCCATGTTTCCACTACCACAGCACTGCCACGATTGACATCAATGATAAGGCCATAGTGAGTATATTGCGTCCCTCCCGCTTTAAGTTGCTCTTTAGCAACATAATTTAGAAATGAAAGGTTGCAATGAATCATGCTGAGATGGACTATTCAACGGAAAATACCGGTAAGTGCAAGTTCCACCCATGTTCAGTGCATCCGGTGCTAAGGAAGACTCTCTGCTCGCGTCAGATTATCTTTCAAGGCCATCTAAATGTTTGCTCTACGATGGCATCTCCCTGTCAGAAGCACTGGCCCCCGACCCACAGTACGAACGCGACTTTCACATAGACGACAACAAGTTTGCGTTCTCGCCAGGCCAGCTCAACAAACTACTCAATCCCAAGTCGCTTGCCGCCTTTTATGCTCTGGGGGGACTCCGTGGCTTGGAACATGGGCTTCAAACCGATTTAACAGCGGGACTCTCGGTGGATGAGGGAATCCTATCGGAACGTGTCACATTCAATGATGCAAGGGATGTTTCCATCTCCAAGTTGGAGAGCGGTAGATGGCTTTTATCGCAGAATACAGAATCAGTGCATCAGGGTACCCCGACACAGTTCGCCGATAGATATCGGGTGTTTGGGCGCAATGATTTGCCTGAAGCACGGAGGAAGGGCTTCTTTAAACTTCTCTGGGAAGCTTATAATGACAAGATTATCATTCTCTTGACGATCGCGGCCGTGGTATCATTATCGCTGGGTGTCTACGAGGCAGTCAGCGGCCAGTCTCAAGTCGACTGGATCGAGGGGGTTGCAGTCTGTGTTGCAATACTTATTGTGGTTTTGGCAACCGCAGGAAATGATTGGCAAAAGGAGAGGCAGTTTGCCAAGTTGAACAAACGGGTGGGCGTCTCCCTTGTTGCTTCACTGCATATGCTGATCAACGTAGACTGTTGATCGTGACGTGAGGGTGATTCGCTCAGGGAAGCCGATCATGGTTCACATTTTCGATATTACAGTTGGAGATGTGCTGCATATTGAGCCGGGTGATTCGCCCCCTGCTGACGGAGTGATAATCTCTTGTCATGGAATCAAATGCGATGAGTCTTCGGCAACAGGAGAGTCCGATCAGATGGAGAAAATGAGCGGTCATGACGTATGGAATATTATTCTTCATGAAACTGCAACAGAAGAGATGGACCCCTTTATCATTTCCGGTAGCAAGGTCCTCGAGGGACTGGGGACATACTTGGTCACCAGCGTGGGCAGGAATTCCACATACGGTAGAATCATGGCGTCGCTGCGGACTGAAAGTGATCCCACGCCGTTGCAAGTCAAGCTGTCGAGGCTAGCAAGCTGGATAGGATGGTTTGGAACAGGGTAGGCCTGCTTAAAACATCTGCATTCAGGCATGACTTGTTGACAGGTGACCAGTGCAGCTTTACTTCTGTTTCTTGTTCTTTTCTTCCGATTTCTAGCTCAACTGTCCGGGAGTGAGGCCACGCCGACGGAGAAAGGCCAAGAATTTATGGATATTCTCATAGTTGCTGTTACCGTAATCGTAGTGGCAATACCTGGTAAGCATCTTCGCATTGATCTGTCTATATCACTGACAAGCGCAGAGGGCCTGCCATTGGCTGTGACTCTAGCTCTGGCCTTTGCAACTACTCGCATGCTGAAGGAGAATAACCTCGTACGACTCTTGCGCTCCTGCGAAACGATGGGAAACGCGACAGTGATATGCTCTGATAAAACTGGAACACTCACGCAGAATCAAATGACAGCAGTCGTGGGCTTCTTTGGTTCCCACGAAAACTTTGGTCACATGCCAAGCGACGACGATCAATCATCACCTACTGCCTTGGAGGTTTCATCGAGATTTCCCGGGTCATTCAAGGACATTCTAGTCAAAAGTATTGCTCTGAACTGTACTGCCTTCGAGGAAGTCCAAGAGAATGGCAAGCAATTTATTGGCAACAAGACTGAAGTTGCCCTTCTTCGGTTTGCGCGAGGATACCTCGGGATGACTGACCTTGGCGAGGAGAAATCAAACGCTCACATCGAACATGTTTATCCGTTTGAATCGGGTCGTAAGTCAATGGGGATTGTTTACCGCACAGATTCAGGTGGCTCTCGGTTGCTCGTCAAGGGAGCTGCTGAGTTGGTGCTGGATATGTCTACCCAGATGGTCGCTACGGGTCATACTGAAGAAACAGACATAACAGCCGAGCCAATCTCGAAGGACGATCACAGGGCCATATCGAGAAACATCGACAACTATGCGAGTCATTCTCTACGAACCATTGGACTTGCATACAGAGACCTCTCAGAATGCCCATCTGGTAATTCTGTGGATCATGAGAAGGGCTTACCCAGTTATGAGCAACTATTACACGACATGACATGGATTGGTGCATTTGGCATACATGATCCTCTAAGACCTGAAGTCCCGGGGGCAATCAAAAAATGTCACTCTGCGGGTGTACAGGTCAAGATGGTTACAGGTCAGTCCCATTTGGTCCAGCTTCTCACATACTAACGGCAATGGCGTGTAGGTGACAATATAAAAACTGCTTTGTCGATCGCTTCTTGTTGCGGGATAAGAACAGACGATGGCATCGTTATGGAGGGCCCTCAGTTCCGAAAGCTTCGTGATGAGGAAATGGACGCCGTCCTCCCACGGCTGCAAGTATTGGCTCGTTCATCTCCAGACGACAAGCGGTTACTCGTCCAGCACCTTAAACGACTAGGGGAGATTGTCGCGGTCACAGGCGATGGAACCAACGATGGACCAGCATTGAAGACCGCCGACGTGGGCTTCTCCATGGGCATTAGCGGAACAGAAGTGGCTCGAGAAGCCAGCTCTATCATACTCTTGGACGACAACTTCAAGTCCATTGTTACCGCGATTGCCTGGGGTCGGTCTGTAAATGATGCTGTTGCCAAATTCTTGCAGGTGAGCTGGTAGCTTCCTACTCTGCAGGATTGAATAGTGATGACAAGGGCAGTTTCAAATCACCGTCAACATCACTGCAGTCTGTCTGACGGTGATCACGGCTATCTACAACAGTTCCAACGAGAGTGTGTTCAAGGCCATCCAGTTACTGTGGTTGAACTTGATCATGGATACATTTGCTGCATTGGCACTGCAAGTATCCCACATCTTGAAACACATACGTCTTTGGACTAACACACACAGGGCAACCGACCCCCCAACCGATAAAATCCTAGAACGACCACCCACTCCCCGAAGCGCACCTTTGTTTACTGTGACAATGTGGAAGATGATACTGGGACAGTCTATCTACAAACTAGCCCTATGCTTCACCCTCTACTTTGCAGGTGATCGCATCCTCGATTACGACACCAGCATCCCTCAGAAGCAACTAGAGCTTGATACCATCATATTCAACACGTTTGTCTGGATGCAAATATTCAACGAACTGAACTGTCGTCGACTAGACAACAATTTTAATATTTTTGAAGGCGTTCACCGGAACTACTGGTTCATGGTGATCAATGTGCTGATGGTTGGTGGGCAAGTACTTATCATCTTCGTCGGAGGTGATGCCTTCAGCGTAACCCGGCTGGACGGTGTCCAATGGGCCATCTGTCTCGGATGTGCTGTGTTTTGCATACCCTGGGCTGCTGTTCTCAAGTTCCTTCCGGATCATTATGTTGCGGTTGTTCTCGAATACACCGGGAAGGCGTTCCGAATGATACTTTGCCCAGTAGGGAAGACTTATCGGGCTATTGCACTCGTCCTCTCCAAACTGAAGAGAGCAATTATGGCGCAGTTTCGGTGCTTCAATGGGAGATCCCGTACTGATGAAGAAGCTTGCAATGGGTCGGTACCTGAAGAAAGCTAGATCTATTGGCCTGGACAGTCTTGAGAAATCAATTACTAGCAATTGCATAATACTTTATTGAATATCTGCAGAAGTATAGAAACCCACAAAGGTATGGCATTCGCCTAACAGTCTTACACGTCTATATCCGTTACCCTCATATTCTCCAGATCGCGGCCATCATTCAGCCGAGTCCAGTTCCTTTCCTCCCTCACACATGCATCTTGCAACAGTCTCCTATCGTCAGTTGACTCACGATAAGCGCTTCCAGTCCAAGTCACTGTAGTTGACGAACGTGGTGGGCTGGAGCTTGCCTTTTTTTGGCTCTTTGGCGTGAACTTCGGAAACAATCCGCGAATGATTGGAAGACAGGAAACCACCAGCCCGACAGATGGTTCAACATGTGTCCACATTGCGGCGTCATAGATGGTATCTGACATCGTCAGCACATCAAATTAGCCTTGTTTGGATGGTCGAACACTTACATGTCTCGTCATCCAAGTCGATATAAAATAACACTACGATGCGATATACACTCGCGAAACATACACTAATCACATGCGTCAGCTGGGGTTCATCAGGTTGGCATGAATGGCAACTCACAATCCACCCAACGCGAAAATAGAGTTCAGCGCTAACTTATCCTGCCACGGACGATGAAGTCTCCAGACCATTGGGACCGGAGCTGCAAGAATAACAAAGTCTATAGCCACGTTGAAGGCTTGGTTCACGATGATGTATGTGGTCGAGCTGAAACAATCTCCCTCGACGTCCCTGTCCCAGTATGCGCGGAGGGGGCGGCATTGGAATGCACACGACAGAAAGATGGCTATGGCCCATGAGGTTATAAATATGATCAGGCAGAAGGTGAAGCGGAGAAGGCGCTTGGTGGTGAAGATGCGGCGATAGAAACAAATAAAGGAGATCTTGATGGTGGGACTGAGCACGAAGTAGGTGAATTGGCTGGCGATGAAAATCTGGAAGCATCAGATCTGGACATGGATTGAAATATCGGGCTTGCGCACTTGGTGGAAGAGGATGATGGTTCTGGCGTCGAGATCGGACATGTGGTAGCCACTGCCGCCCATGGTACACCCTGATCATTCGCAGTCAGTGAGTAGTCCAATTGATTGATTATTCAACAGCTTACACAGGATTAGTTCGATCAACATGCCCACCATCAACACAATGGCTACGAAACAGAGATGATCGTCCATCCCGAAGCCGGTGTGCCGTTTAACCCTAGCAGCGATTCTCAGTACCGTGCTGAGGCAAGCCAAGCCAACCAGAACAGAAATAACCATGATCATTTCCCATCCTCTATGATTTGGTTTCATTTTCATAGATGGCGCGATGGCCTCAATTAGGAATAGGACAGATGCACAACGAGCGTGATGGTCAAGCCAGTATTGGGCCGGACTTGATTATGTATCCCATCCGTCTCGATTTAACTTTCTCTGGTCCGCCATGTTACCGGTCTATGAAGGTTTATCGGTGGACGGACCTTGGCTGATTTCCCCGATCCTGGTCCGTGGCTTGTCTTTCCCCTCTGTTCCACACCCAGGTCTTGATTCTCGCCCTCCTCTACCACCAACCGGAGCAACTCGGTTGTTCTTCGGTCTTACATCATCTCTCATCGACCATGGACTTCATCGTTGAACTGCGGCTTCTCCCGTCGTTGTTCCCCTGATGATCACTGCCAGGAGATTGCACATTCAGCTTCCACTGCGCTCAAACCAGGTGAACCAGAGACCTGGCCTGGTCTCGTACCAAGTACGTCATCGGTCGTGACATCCTGGGAGGCAGCCGACGGCGTTGAGGGTCATTGGGACGAATAAGCTGTATGCATATGAAGATGAATGTCGACGCAGAAGCCTCGCTGTATTCATTGTTCTTATCTCCTTTTGCATATTGGGCCATACTGCTGGTTACATCACCGCTCTCTGTTATATTCCACTGGCTATTGAAAAGGACGTCTGATGCGATTGCCTTCAACGGACATTCGGGTATGATACTCCAGGATTTGTGCCGAGGAGAAGTACTGTTGCTCTAATAGAGGGAGCGATTCGTGGCAGAGTGTTTGAATGGATACCTCGTGACAAGAATGTGACCTGGATGTATTGGGATTTCTTGCAAAAGAAAGATGAGAATGTAGACACGAGTGTTTACCCTACAATGTTTGGAACCCCATGGATGCTTGCCACTGATGCATCACTAGCTGCCCTCCATGAAGAGAGATTATGTTGGGATCCCCGATGGGCTCCCACGCCGGTAGGCAACGTAGGGTCACGTGACGCTCCTCCCTACACCGCTAGTTAGTCCATATAGATGGCCTACGAGGCCCCTAGCTAGATCATCATCCATCTCATTCTACACGGTTGAATCGCCTTAGTAGCCACTCCAACAGATTATATAACTCCACTTTAACAAATAAGCAATTTGGCTACCCCATCACGACTGCATCAAAAGATATCATCCTACCCCAGCCGCTAACGATCTACAACCATATGACACATTTCATTTCCTACTGATGCCTACTGATGACCAGCAGGATCTACCATCTCAAAAACAAACATCATTTCACCCCACTAGCATCATAACCTCCTGCTACCCATCTAACAGCAGACAAAACCGACAATCCAACCAACCCTGTCCCCATCCACTAGCTGCACCCATACACGTCATTCGCAATCATCACAGGCCACTAATCAACCCACTAATGCTCCCCATGCACCAAAAGCTCCTCAGAGATACCAGAACCCTGTGCGCCATCGGTCCGTTTAACCGACCGTTCCTCAGGGACTGTATCGAGCCAGACTTCTTCCGAAACACGGGAATTGTCATCTCTGCTTGCGTGTTTGGGATATGCGTCGAACCAGAAATCCTCGGAGTTGCCATTGTTGGTGCGCTTTGCGGTTGCCTTTGAAAGAGGGATGTCCTCTAACCTCGTTGTCAGAATCGGTTCATGAATGTTCGCGGAAGGGTTGGGTCTTTACTGTTCTGTGTCACGGGCGCAGCGGATGCAGCCATGGACAAGGAAAGTAGGGCAGCAAGGAGGAAGAATTTTCCCATTGTGGTGGTTTTGATGAAGGCTTTGAGTAATCTTGTCGAGTTTGATATGAAGAGAAGAATGATAGTAGACCACATTTAGGAAAGATAGGGCTATATATACCCCAGTTGCGTGGTTATTCGCCTTCGGGGTTTGCTGAACATGATGATGATGCTGATCACGATGTTACACAGAACTTCTCAGATGATTGACGATCTTTGTGATTGAAGCGGGGTTGACTTGATGAAGTCAGTAAGATCGTTCTCATCCTTCCCTTTCTGTTCCTTTGCGTAGGGTCTCGGAGTCATGGTCTTTTTAGCCTTGAAAATCGGGGAATCTTGAGCCCGAAACTAGTTGAAGAGTCAGCTTTGCTTATTCTTCTGATGATCGACAATGGCGACATACTTGAGCAGCTAGGCATAAGATTCAGGTGAGGCAGTCGCTGATGAAGCTCGAATTTCCCACCCGTAGGATCGAGATTGTGAACTCGCCATGTCTTCCTCAGAGTATCACCTCTTAGAAGGCGTACATTCGGTCGATGATGATGAGAAGTCACCAGAGCATAAATTTCCATTACGAGGCTTCCTTTCAAGGAGTCCTTGTTTGATTGTCCTTCATGCCATACTCTTTATTTCCTCATTGGCCCTGTTTATTTTGAGCATCCGAGTTAACACAACCAGCGGGTCATTGGACACCAGTGCACATGGTGCCCAGCAAGGCTTGTTTGAAGGTGAGCTTGTTCCATTCTCATCCCTACAGTGTGTGGAGGCTAATAACAGCAGACCTCCTTTCGAACTATCTCATCGAGAACTTCTCAAATGACCCAGGCTCCATCTGTAGAGGTCCACCCAGCGAGGAAGGCGATGAAGCATGGGACCGGATCGTCCAAGGTCAGGTGCCAAATTCATGTGCTCTTCATGTATTATACTAACGATATGTCTGAACAGTGGGCCCCTTCGAACTAAGAACAGAGGACTTCCCATCATCGAATTTAACCAGCTACCTCAACAACCTAGACCAACCCCAGCTAGCTCATTTTGGCGTTTTCCACCAGTTGCATTGTCTTGTATGCCACCCCATCTTGTTTATTCCCATATCTTACCCCATATCCACAGTCAGTACTAACAAAAGTATCCTAGAAAACCCTCTGGCAATACACATACTTTGATTACTACAAATCCCAAAATAAGATCTTCCAGCTACCTGAACAAGATATACATAGTCACTTAGGTTGGTTTATATTATCCACATAATATATGCAATGAATATTGACTGAGATAGATCACTGCGTCGACTTCCTCCGTCAAGCCCTGATGTGTCAGTCTGATACCAGTATCATTACTTTCCATTCGGCTGAGGGATATGATCTTCCGGTGCCGTCGTATGAGGTGCCGCGTACGTGTAGCGATTTTGAGAGTATTAGGACTTGGGTTTTGGACCGGAAGATTGATCTTTCTAGGCGTGTGTAGCTATGTTTCAATAGCTCCAAGAATCTTTCTTATCTAAAGGAGCTGCCTATCGTGATACTGAGCAACCTTTATGACTTATTGCTTTCCTCTTAGAATCATGATTCCCCGGTTGTTGTGGTTTTTGCGTCGGACATAGATGCTATCAGCTTAATATTCGAATACCCAAGTGAATGATCCAGCCTTAAAGGTCTGCAACTTGTGACCTTCTCGTCGTGATAGCTATGCTATAGTGTATCAATTCCAGTCCTACTACATTCTTGGTCCAGAGTCCAGTCAGACCAGTGAATATGTATCGCGATCAGCCACCGATTATTAAAAAGACTATGTTATCGGACGCACAGATCCAGCTGCCATGTGGCAACAATCTAGCTCCGACAATCCACTTGTTCTAGGCATCTAGAGACAATTTATCCGACAACATGGGATATCCTTTTTTGCCAGAGTATCTCTAATCCAGACCTTCTCAGACCTCGAACAAACCCATCTACGGCTGACATATTCGAAAATCAGTTTTCTCCATCTCACCCTGAAAGTATGACGCATATTACGCTCTATTTTTATCATATCATCATCCATCCCGATCCAGCCAGCCAGCCAGCCAGCCAGCCACGCAGACAAAGACCGGCCACGCTGAGCATCCCCACCCATCCGGCGAGCCCTAACACAACTTCCATCCACTCTCCCCTAATTCACTACTCCGTACACAGTACTTCCAAGACTTTTCCTCCTCCCTAAACGAACTACCTCCTCAGTAAAGTGGCAACACCCATCCGTTTCCGGACTCCCCTAACCCGTTCCCGCCGCAAGAATGCCAATGCAACCCAAAACCGTCAAACCACTCCATCTCAAAAAAAACCTGGCCAATATATTCCGAAAATAGCTTCCCCAGAAACTTTCCACGCTGAGTCAAAATCCCTGTCCAGAACTACCCCTACCTACGATATGTGAGAACGAACTGCTCATCCAACTTTCTTTGTTGTCGATGTCTTCCGATTTTTGCAGCCCACGGCGCCAGATCTCGCAATGATTCGGGGGAAATCCAGAATCTCGAAATTTCTCGTGGCGGCGTTTGCGAGTTATGTGGTTTTGACGCTGTTGTTGAGTGATACGGGGGGACAGTATTGGAGGAAGGATTGGGTGGATATTGCTCGGTCTACGTTGGAGGATAGGGCGTTGGAACATATTGCGAATGAGACTTTGGGGGTTTGTTTTTCTCTTTTTCTTTTTATCTCGATTGGGTGGGTGTGGGTGGGTATGTGCTGATGAGTGACAGTTTGAACATATCTATGCCATTGGATTGAAGGAAAGAACTGATAAACGCGATTTTCTTACCCTTGCTGCCTCGATGGCTGGATTTCGAGTTGAATGGGTGGATGGAGTGCGGCCGGATGAGTTTAGTGAGAAGGCTTTGTTGAATGTATGTGTCTGCAGACCTGACTGGATGAGCTCAGCTAACAGCATACAGGATAACCTACTCAAGCCATCTGAGATAGGATGCTGGCGCGCTCACATGAATGCCCTGCACAAGTCAGTCCCCGTTCCTTCTTTCTTGACACACGACATCCGGATCGATATGCTGACACTGACACTGGCAACGATAGTATGATCGAAAACTCCTATTCGACAGCACTCATCCTCGAAGACGACGCAGACTGGGACATCACCATCAAACAACAACTACGCGAATTCGCCCGAGGAGTCCGCGCATTGACCGGAAACACCAACACCTCCAAAACCGCCCCCTACGGCACCAACTGGGACATTCTCTGGATCGGCGGATGCGCATCAGCAGCCGCCCCCAACGAGACCCAATTCTACGCCATCCCCAACGACCCCACGGCCCCTAGTCTCGAACACCGCGGCACCTGGGGCGGTCCACTTGCGTCCTGGAAAGATTTATACCCGGAGACATCGACGCGATTCATCTACCGGGCTGAGATGGGCTGCTGTACGTACGGGTACGCGGTGACGAAGCGCGGGGCGGAGAGAATCCTTGCGGCGTTGGCGGTCGATCGACTCGTGGCGGCGGTGGATAACTCCATGGCGGATATGTGTGGGGGCAAGGATGGTCGGCCGCAGATCGAGTGTTATGCGCCGTTTCCCAACATGATCGGGACGTATAAGGCGGCGGGGTTGGCGTCGAAGGATTCGGATATTCACAACGGCAGTGAAGATGAGTGGCATGAGGCGCAGGCGTGGAACCTGATGTATAGTACGCGGTTGAATATCCATCGCTTGGTGGCCGGCGAGGAGACGGTGTATGCGCAGTATGATGAAGGCTTTCCCTGGTCGCGGCGCGTGTTGAACAGGAAGGAGTTCGAGTATCCCAGGGGGTATCTGGTTACGTGAATCTGCGGTTACATATTTGTCATTGTGGTCATCTGATTATACTGCTTGTATTTAGGAATGTATGGTCTGGTCCTTGTTTATCCCTTTGTTGTGGTTGGGTTGGAAGGGATTCTGATGCTGTGTTGTTGGGGCTGAAACCCTATCTCACGGGGATTCGAGCAACTGGCTGGAAACACAGCCAGCCACAGTCGCAGCCAGACTCGATCGAGTCATACAACATACGAAGTAGTACGGAGTATCTAGATGAACTGGCATAGCTCGTACCTGACGGAAACAGCACTGGCAAGGTTTGCAGGGGCCGTGCGCGCCCACATTCCAGCGCCCGCAAACATCATCCCTATCTGCCTTCCGTTTGCGGCCCCCGATCCAGGTTCCCCGCCCCTGGCGCGACCCACCAGCCAGAAAAGTAACTATAAAGTGTAACATCGGGGTCTTGTGCCCGGTTTTCTCAATGATGCGCCCCTGGGATGGTCATCACGTCAGGTCGTGGGCCATACGATGTTCCAGCATGCTCCCCTCTGGCACCACACCATCCCCGGCTCGCTCTTGACCATGTACTAAGCTGTGGAAGTGACCTGTAGCGTCATCCCCAAATAGATGTCACTGAGAGATTGGGTGCGTGACTTTTAGAGTTTTTTCCTTGAAATAGAGATTTCAGACACTGCATAACTTTTAGGCCCTGGGAATGTCTCCCAGGACCCAGTCGCAACAATACGTGGAATAGTATCAATATTTTGTTCAATATGGTTGTCGCGGAACCAGAATGGAAGGAGGAGGAGCGCAAAGGATTGCTTGATTCGGTGACTGATAGCCCAACGAGCCCACCAGATGATGTGAAGCTCGAGTTGGGTTATCATGCGGCGGATGAGGAGAAGAGGGCTGATGGATTGCCTCAAGAAGACAAGAAGGCGGGGAGTGTTCGACTCATTGTGTGGATGACGATTAATATCATCGCAACTGTTGCTATTGTATGTTGATCCTATTGAGATTTAGGCAGCCACTGACAGACACAGGTGTTTACAAACAAATCCATTCTCTCTAATGCGTCTTTCCGCCATTCGCAAGTCTCTTTCGCAGCCTACCATTTCACCATCACGGGTCTCACGTTATGGCTCGCATCACGGCCTTTCTGTGGCTGGTTTGAACCGAAGCATGTGTCTCCGTATCGCATCCTCCATCTGGTGGCGGCCATGTGCATCCAGGTCATCTTCCAGAACCTGGCTTTGGCGTATTCCTCGGTCATCTTTCATCAGCTTGCGCGACTGCTCCTTACGCCAGCCACGGCCTTGCTGAACTATACGCTATTCCAGTCCAGCATCCCCAAGGCGGCGTTCTTGCCTCTGGCACTATTGTGTACGGGAGTAGGAATCGTCTCGTACTTTGATTCCCATCCATCCGCCCGTGGGAATGATACCACGACGCCAGAGGGCATCTTCTTTGCATTTTCAGGGGTATGTGCCAGTGCGCTGTACACAGTGTTGGTGGGACGGTATCATAAGAAACTTGAGATGAGCAGCATGCAGCTTCTACTTAACCAGGCCCCTGCCAGTGCAGCTGTTCTTTTGTGTGTTGTGCCTTGGATGGAGACGTTTCCAGAGGTTTCATCTGTTCCTGGATCACTGTGGGCTTCGATTCTCGCGGTAAGCTGTCTGATTTTTTGCTATGGGCCCTGGCTGATGGATTATAGAGTGGAATATTCGCCTGTCTTGTGAATCTGTCTCAGTTTTATATAATCGATGCTGCTGGACCGGTTACTAGCACTGTGATCGGACAACTCAAGACATGCATCATTGTGGGCCTGGGATGGGTGTTGAGCGACCATGAGATCCTGCGGCAGAGCATTGCGGGGATTTTGATGGCCTTGGCTGGAATGAGCTTGTGAGTACTTGTGCCGTAATAGGTATGTGTTAACTGACGATGTTTAGGTATATGAAAATCATGCTCGGTCATCAGAAATGATGGAATGGTGAGCTCTGTGGGATGGGTAGCTGCGCAACGGATCAATCTGGTTGAAGGTAATGCTGGTAAATATTGCTGTGTTGAACTTTCTCTTCACTGGAAGACTGTCTCTGTACTACTACTTGCTATGTTTTACGCTAGGAATGATAATGCCATATAATACATAGTTCATGCCAAATTTGATTTGATATGATGCCCAACACTGCTTGAATCTGATTAATCACAAGAGTGACAACCACAAGTTACCCATTCGTAATTTTACCCCATGTCCCAGATTTAGTCTCACCAATCTAAACCATTTCTACGACTCTAAATCTTTCGTAAGCAAGCAACCACGGTCCGCAGTCAGGACATCAACCGGTTTGAGCGTCGTAAGCTACCGTTTTCGGGCATGGGCCTGGATGTGACCCTAACTCATCGCCCTGAACCAGCACGACAAGTCCGGCTGAACTGCATCGCATAATACGAACTTCCGTCAATGCAGCCACCCCGCCGTGGTCGTCAAAACCATACCGGCAGGTTCTCCTCTTCCTGTCTGAGGCGAGGCAATCAACTCATGCTGGTATCCCAACTCAGCACATCCCCCATCCTCCACCAGCATCACCACCATCACCATCACCATCACCATCACCATGATCCTCCACTCTTCCCCCCGAGGATCCCTCCTCCAATGGCTCTCCTCGCAATTCAGCCGTCGTCGATTTCAACTCACCTTCATCCTCGCCAGCACCATCGCCTTCTTCTACCTCTTCCGCCTCAACATCCTCCCCACCGACTATGAAGTCCCCTTCAAACCCCGCTACGCTCGATCCCTCTCAGCCCGGGACCTTCTCGCCCGCCCCCTCTCCCAAGACCTCACCACCATCCCCAAAATCATCCACCAAACCTGGTTCCCGGCCGGCACCAACATGAGCGAAGACGCCCAAGCCTGGGTGAAGACCATGCGCGCCCATAACCCAGATTGGGAGTATGTTCTCTGGGATGACGAGACCAACCGCATGCTCGTGGAACAATACTTCCCGTGGTTTCTGACGGATTATAACCGTCTTCCGAAGGAGATTCATCGCGCCGACGTGGTCCGGAATTTATACATGTATCTTTTCGGAGGGTATGTTCCCATCCCCATCCCCATCCCCATCTATCATCACCACTCCCCTCATATCCGCAGCACTAAATTCAGAAATGAAATAAATATAGAATGTACGCCGACGTCGACACCGAAGCCCTCCGACCCTCCGAGCCCCTTTTCACCGGCCACGCCACCACCCTCGCCAAACACACCCAACTACTCTACTCCGGCCCGCGCAAAAGCCAAGACAGCACGCAGCGCGGCTTCGTCGGCCACATGGCCCACAAAGAAGGACTGGATGGCCCCGGCGCCGTCCCCAACGGCTGGATGGCCTCACCCCCGGGTCACCCGTTCTGGCTGTTGCCCGTGATCCACGTGATCGATAACCCTAACGGCAACGGGGACGGGTCTGTGGAAGGGTTGACGGGGCCCGGAGCACTAGGCGATATGCTGCACAAGTATTATGAGAATTTCACGGATAGTTCGGTGCGGGTGCATGTGTGTCGGACTGTGAGGCGGTGGTCGCCTGGGTGGGATTTGTATTGTGGTCCGGAGGGAGAGGAAGCGGAGGTGGGGGCGAAGGCGGATAAAATGGTGGTGTTGCCCCGTCAGCAGATCTATCCGTATAGTTGGGCGGATGATAAGTATCCGGCTTGTTTGGCGGCTTGGGGGAATCCGGAGTTTGATCCTGAGGAGTGTAAGAGGTGGATTGATGTGGAGGAGTGGCCGAGTTATTTTATTACGTATTGTACACATTCGTGGTAGTGATGTGGGGTGACATGGGAAGGGACTTGGGGAAAAGGCTTTTGGGACATAGAGTGGGTGTTTTGGGTTAGCTTAGTGGTGGTGATGGATGTGTTTCACTAGTTATCATATTTGAGTTCTGGTCAGAGGTACCCCAGACCACGTGCCATCTTTTAATTTAAGATTAAGGATGGCATCAATTGATAAATTGGACTGTTTGAGTTAGAGTGTGGGATATTCAGAGTGAATTGTGGTTATGGTTATTCACTACATTAAGTAGGCATAATACTATTATGCACTCTGCAATGCAGAATCCTGATTGGCCAATGCGGCAATGAACGCATCCGTCAGCCCTAACCTGGCCGGCCCCAGACCATCCGAGATTCCGGCAGGCAGCTGAATTGCCCAGCTGGCAGAGTCTGCACCATCCCTGCAGCCCAATTTCAGGTCTTCAGCACCACGTCAGAATGAGCGAATGACTTTCCCATTCCCACATAAGCTTACTGTCATCACGTTCCCCTGTCTCACACTAACCCCGTCCCTTGAAGATCACAGCGGCTTCCCTTCCAAGCATAGATCAAGCTCGTCCCTGAGCCCAAATTTAATTCTGCTCACAAACCTTCCCTAAACTGTATCTATCCTGTGACTCATCCCCTGATCAACCAGCCCGCCAGCCAGCCATGCACCCAACCGTGACTGGGTAGCAATCAGGGACGCTGCAGTGGATCAACCAAGGAGCCCCCAGGGATTACAACCAATCAGAACCCTCAGCGCCAGACCCCTGGTACACAACGACCAATCAGAAGCCAGATTAAATGGCCGCCTACGGGTCCTGAAGCTTGACCGATGGCAGGCTTGAAGTTGGACAAAAGAGACCAGGCGGGTTACACCGATGGCCGGCCATCCCGTCAATTGCCCCCCATCAAAACCGCAAACGTCCCAAGGTCGCACTTCCTCGTTCATTTCCCCCTCCAGACCCTGAATCTTCCCGGTCCAGACCCAGACTGCTCGGGTTGCAGTGTGCCATGGAATAGTCCACACGAGGAATACACACCCTCGCTAGTACTTACTATATATCCTGCTGTTGCCAGGAAGAGGCCGTGCGGCATGCACCTAATGGCCACTTCCACACACCCTTTTTGATTTGAAGTCGTGTGTTCCGGAAGGTATCCATGACGATCCTGGATGTTCCTCCAAAGGAGGCCTCCGTGTGGCCTGTCACGTTGGGGATATTGTACGTAGACATACCCTTCATTTTCTACATGTCAGCATTAACAACACTGGTATAGGTCCTGGGTATTCTGGTCCAATCTGACCATTCTTTATAATAAATGGGTAATAGAGTCGACTGATTTTCGTACGTTATCCTATCCTATGCACACCCCCCCTAATACCAAACACTAACAAATCCAGGATACCGTGAGTCTGTCTTCATCCCACACAACAACCCTAACCAACTAACCAACCAACCAACCCCAGCAATAATCCTCACAACATGGCACCTCATCTTCGCAACCCTAGCCACCCAATTCCTCGCCCGAACAACCACCCTTCTCGACGGTCGCAAGAAAATCCGCATGGACGGTCGAACCTACCTCCGCATGATCGTCCCCATCGGTATCCTCTACAGCGGGAGTCTCGTCTGCAGTAACATCGTCTACCTCTACCTCAACGTATCTTTCATCCAGATGCTAAAGGTACCTACCCCAACCCCTACCCCAATACCCCTCTTCCCTTCCAACCCAACTAAAATTAATCTAATCACAGGCCTGCGGCCCCATCATAACCCTCCTCACCAGCTGGACCTGGCACGTAACCCGCCCGTCCGTCTCCTCCTTCCTCAACATCCTCATCATCGCCTTCAGCGTGGGTCTGGCCGTGGCCGGCGAAGTGCAATTCTCCTGGATGGGGGTATTTTTCCAACTAGCGAGTTTGGTTTTCGACGCGAATCGTCTCGTGATGATCCAGATCTTGGTCTCCGATGACGGAGGAGGGGGAGGGGGAAGTTTGAAAATGGACCCCCTCGTCACGTTATATTACTCTGCGCCGGTGTGCGCGTTCACGAACTTCATGATTGCGTTTTATACGGAACTCAGGGCGTTTCGGTGGGGGGTGGTGAGTGAGACTGGGGTGGGGGTGTTGGTGGGGAATGCCGTCGTGGGGTTTATGTTGAATGTTTCGATTTTTGTTTTGGTATGTGCCACCCCTCTTTACCTTTACCTTTCCTGGGGTTTGGTATGTGTGTGTGCTAATGTGGGTGTGGCGTGGGTGGTGGTAGATTGGGAAAACGTCCGGGTTGACTATGACGCTGGTTAGTGTGCCGAAGAATATTCTGTTGATTGTGTGTTCGGTGGTTATTTGGGGGACAGAGATTAGTGGGTTGCAGATTGTGGGGTATGCGATTGCGTTGGTGGGGTTGTTATATTATTCGCTGGGGTGGGAGGTGATTCGGGGGTTGTGGGAGGGGGGGTATGGGTATATGAGGGTGGTGGGGGGGAGGGAGAGGGAGAGGCCAGAGGAGAAGTCAGAGGAGCCTGGGGAGGTGTAATGAATGGGTGGAAGGGCACTATATGTTGTGTGCATATGATACGATACGTGGGTATAAATATGGGATAATATAAGATTTACTTTTGGTTTATTTTATTTTTTTTTGGTATTGCTTTTTCTTTTTGGTGGGGGACTAGATTGTCACAATGTTCTACAAATTGCTAGTATCAATTTACCCTGGAGTCAATTACCCCGGAAATGCTTCTCCGACAGTGGCATTGCCTCCACAATTGTCCCCGCGTGTGTCTGCATATATCTCTGGTTCTTCCGACGGATATCGAGGATCGCACTCAGGAACGGTAGCGGACACACCTGGAACGGGCTCTCAACCGGCCAGTCATGCGCCTCTCGGGTTTCCGCATCGACAAACCCTTCGTTGGTCACTCGGTTACTTGGTATATCCCGGTACTCGTCCGTCAATAAGCCGAGGAATTGACGAAGGCCCTCGTAGATCGTGAACGTGTCGAAATAAAGCGTCCCCGCGAAGAGGCCCAGGTCTTGAATGGTTGCCTGAGGCGGGCGAACGCTGGGCTGGCCATAACCAATGCTGTAGAAGTCCAGCGCCTCGAACGACCGCATGGTCATAGTGGTTCTCGGGGTGTAGATGTGCAGTCGGGTCTTCTCCGACGCTGGAATGTCCGGCAACAGCTCGTTGACTTCGAATTGGCTGAGAAGAAAGAGTTCCTGGTTATAAACATTTGAAAGCACCCAGTGAGCCGGTTTGAGGAACTCGTCATTCTGGCCTTTTGTGCTGCGCTGGACGGTACGCACAAAGTCCTCAGACACGAAGAGATTGGGCGCTAGTCCGCTTGGAAACTCGAACCGCCCCGCAGACGTCTGCCTGAAGATATCAAAGGCTGTCTGGACAGCAGACGAACAGGAGCGGGGTAGTTGTCCATGCGCAACGATGTAACGAATATCACCATGGACTCGATGGGGAGCTGGATTGAACCCAGGAGGACGGTAAACCTGCTTCTCCCTCTGAACTTCGTGGCGTATCTGGCGCTCCTGTTCCTCGTGCAGCTGGGCTCCTTTTCGCATCCCTCGATCGGAGCCCTGCCACTCCTGCAGTAGCTCCTGAATTATAGGATCGTCCATGTCGCTCATTTGGCCAACGGGTGAGAGTTCGTGGTTATCCCACGGGGCGTATAGCTGGGACAAGGTCCGAGCCTCGGGTTCCTGGATAAGTTGAAGGGCCTCCTGCGGAGAAATTTCTTCTCCCACCAGTCGATCCCACTCTCTCTGACGTCGGTAATACTGTAACCCTTGGATTGCCCAAAGCGGACCGATACTCTGGAATATATCGCATGCCTGGGTCAAGGTCCACTGAATTACATTCAAGGAGGTTATGGGCGTGGTTTGCAACGTCAGACTGTGACGGACTTCGGGTGGGATCAAAAACATCACAGATTGCCCATTTCCCAGCTCTCGCATTCGGTTGCATGCTGTGCCATACCTTGTCAGTTCCAAACACGATTATACTTACTTCAGGCGGCCTTTTCAAGATACACGTACCTTGCACCAGTCGGTCCTTGGCCAAGCGAGGGCCTAGTGTCACCGCGGCTCGGTAGGATGATGGAAGCTTTAGAACCACCCCCCGACAATGTTGCTGGTCGAGAAATACCAGGCATTTTCCAACTTGCTGCCGAAATCCAGACGACGCCAGTCTCTCGATGTGACTCTCACGGTCGATGACGACCACCTCATCCTGTTCACTGAAGAAGATGGCGGCCTCCACCTCAACGGGCCTGGTAATGGAAAGCCACTGTTCAGCTACGCTTCGATTGTCCAATTCCAGGATCTGTGCCCCTACGTCAATGATGACTCGGACCGGGGGCTCCTACTGGCTGATGAGGTCGAGCAGCTGGTCTGCTCGAAGTGGACGGCCCTCGGCATCCTGCGCGAAGATGCATTGCCGATTCTCCGGCCTCAGAAGAAGACTCAGAGTCATCGCATTGGTGTGGAGCAGTTGCAGGAGGTCTCTCTGTGGTACAGACCGGGGTAGCAGGAACCGGTTATCATTCGTGCCGCTGAAACCTGTGGTAGGGGGTTGATTGGGTCTGGAGGGAAGATCCCACGCAGAGGTGCTTAATTTATGAGGATATTCTTTCGCCTCTTTGGGGAACACGACGTGCGAAAGGTAAAAGTCCACCAGACCTTTCTGATATTGAAGATGAGGATAGAGGATCTGCTTGAACGTCCGTCCGTCCTTCAGGTTGACCCCGGTGAGCACTCGGAGCTCCTCAGGGAGAGTAGATATCTCCCTCTGTATCCAGTGCTGGTACTCAGCTCCGGGGTCATTCTCCTTCCCCAGAATGGCGAAGCAATGCAGAATCTGGTCCGGGCTGAGGCCGTGGTAGTAATAACTCAGACAGGTCAAAGTGATGGCCACATCTGGATGACCAAATTCTGCGTTCTCCGACAGAACTCCCTTCGCCCGGAACGGCACTGCCATCATGCATCGTTCCGGATGGAGGCCGTAGTCCACGAGCCACCGCTTCCCGGCCAGGGTGAATCGGAGAATGACGTACGCCAGGAGGCCACGCAACACCAGGAGCTTGTGCAACGAACTCCCTCCCTCAAATGCCTCGTGGAGAGCTTGAACCTCCCGGGGCTGCGGCCGTGTGAGCCGGATAAAATCCAATGCGCACGTACGGACCCGCCGACACCGTAAATGCAACGGAAGTCCTGGCAGCCCCTGCCCTTGGATAGCTCTCAGAATGCTCTCGATCAAATTTTTCACCGTGTTGGCTTTCAAAAAGTGAAGGATCGGATATCGAGCACCGTGATGCTCCATATCCAGACTGTTCGGGTCCTGCGTATAGAGTTCCTCTGCCTGCTGTTCCACCAATGAGAGCAGGCCCTGCGTGATTTGCCATCGGTCACTGTGCCCATCTAGAGACTGCTGACACCCCACGGTGTATACTAGTTGAAATTTCGGGTCTAAAATCTCGTCGCTTTCGTCGATAATCTTGTGGCAGTGTTCTTGCAGCCACACCTCTAGCTGGATGGCTTTCGGGGCTAATGTTGGATTCCGGTCGATTAAATCGAGCCCTACTAGACGAAATGATAGAATATGCTCCGGTAGCGTAAGTAGGACTCCTCGGTGCTCCTGACACTGCTGGTAAATATCCCCCAAGACCTCCAGTTTCTGGTCGTCCAGGACGGTACTCCGCGAAAAAGGTATATGGTATATCGGACGGCCTAAGATGCCGCCTAGTCGTTGCGAGAGGAGGTCTAAACTCTGCCGGAGGAGCGGTTTCAAGACGATGATCTGAGGCACCCTGCATCCGCTGGTGAGACTCAATGCGACCATCGGGGTGATCACAGTAGTCTTCCCTTCGCCCATGTTCAACTGGAGGACAGAATTCCCGGGCGGGTCTGGGCAAATCATGCGCTGGGCAACCCGGGCTTGACGGGCCCGGATGGTGATGTTGTTTTCGATTTCGAGCAACAGCCATTCCGGTCTTGTCCGGGCATCCCATCCATCGCAACCCGCTGCTTCGGCCTCCTTGAAGAAACCCTCCACATCATTCCGGTCATAGCAAGCGAGAAGACGCTTGGATCGTCGTAAGGATGTGATGCTTTGAGCGAACGTCAACAACAGATGTTTCCATGACTCTGGGACCAGTGGCCACTGATCGGCCACAAGCACCGACAGAATGGAATGCACATTGATAGGTGGCCACATTACGGCGCTGGTAACCACGTCTGAGGCCCCATTGGTGGCAGCCAACATGCGGTAGACAGTGCTCCAAAGGGAGTCCCGCTGTTGTTGGATTTTCCCACAGTGCCGAGCCAACACGCCCCGTGGTACCGGCAACGAGGTCAGCGAACAGGGCCATTGCCTCGTTTCGAGGGCCTCGAGGCTTTTCTGCAGGCCTTCCCCTACCCGGCGACGGTACGGGTGAGAGTCGTTGCAGAGTGCGGAGACGAGATAACGGAGCTCGGACGAGGTGTCGGTGCTGTAGCAGTGGGGGGCGTGTGGTCGACGGAACGTCAGGGGCGGCAGTGAAGAAGGCAGTGCGGCAGCAGCGGCGGGGACCCGCGAGGCCGATGCGATGAGGAGGTCCATCAGCGAAGGCGGGCGGAAGCCAACTCGGGCGGAGCGGGGCGGGACAGGGGCGGGGTCAGGCGGGAGGTTGCAGTCGACGGGTCCGGCGGGGTCGGGTGCCAAGGCATCCAAGCGCTGCTGAACCGCCCGGAGAAAGCGGAGGAAGATGCGGTTCCGATACCACCCTGTGCAGAGTGCAGCACACGCCTCCGATGCTTGGGTGTGATACTCTTCAGGGATCCGGGGCACCCGCGGTCTCTCGCACGGCCATTGCTCGCTGATGACGGTCTGGCAGTGATGGATACGACTCCGCCTTGTGGCCTCGTACCGTTCTTGTTCTGCCAATATCGTCTTTTGTTGCTTTGTCGACAGCCAGGTGAAGTTCGGAGCAATGTCGAAAGATGGATAGCGAGATTCTATCTCATTGGCGATCTGGGACGGGATCAGGTCCGCTCCCCGTTGTAAGTGCAGAGCGGTTCCCGCTTCCCCGAAATCAGGCACCGGAAGATCAGAAAATTTTTCGGAGAATGCCACCACCAGCAACGGGCGCAGGTTGGCCATTTCCTCATCCCCCCGGAATGCAACCGTGCAGAAGAGGGACATGAGGTTGTACGAGTCCCGTCGCCGGTCGCTTAGCCGGCACGGCTCGTACAGAGCACCCCACGCATTCCTGAATGACAGATCCAATCTATCCTGACAGCCAAGGTCACACACTGCCAGGGCCGACAGCTGCACGCGCTCCCATCCCGCTACGGTCGAGTAAAGCTTCGAGCACTGCGGCACGCTCGTCGGCCAGTCGCGAATCAGGGCAGCAACCTCATAAACCCGAGCGCTTCGACTGCTCTTACTATGACAATCGCGGGCTGAGTAGGACGACGATGGGGGTGCAGGGCTTACTGGGGCACCCCCAAACTCGGTAGGATGGAGTTTTGCATGACGCAGACGGGCCCTTTCGAGTAGATGGGGATCCCCCGGTCTGGGTACATTCGCACGGTTTGATCGCTGGCAGTAACCTCGTAAAGCATAGAGAACGATCGAGCGTGGCCCATGATTGCCTGAACAAGGACCTGGAAATCATCGTGCTGCGCCAGCTCACCTAGATCCCTGTTCCACTCGATCGATTGCATGGACCTCAGATGGCGGGGATAGTACTGCCGTCGGGGCGTCAGTGCAGCGAGACGCTCCAGAAGTTCCAGGCACTCTTTCTCCAGAGGTAAGGAAGATCGCAGCCGCGCCTGCCGCAAGATGCGAAGAGCCTCTGCGGTTCCCAGTCGATGGGTGGCGGGATCAGCAAGCACAAACCCGGTCAGTGCATGCATATACGCCTGATAGAGGATCCCCAGCATGTCACCAGGCCCCCGGAATTCCTGTAGATGGGGATCAAGGAGATACCGGAAATAGCGGATATAAGTTCCCTGTCGTAGCTCCATGCGGACAATTGGATGGCCTCCTTGTTTCGCCGGGTGGGCATTTCCGTATGGGATCAAAACCGACCGGTGTTCGGGTTCGTTGATGTCACGTAAAACAAGCTTGTTCTTCAGGCCATAAAAGCTCCCGATGTCCTGATCGCGATCAACGGTGGCATTCAGCTCAGGAGATTCTAACGGACCGTCCCTGGTGACGAGAAATCGCAACCGTAGTCGGACCATCTCAACCACTTCAACGTCCTCTGGGGTTTGATACACAACCATGTAATCCGACTTGTCCAATGCCGTCAGAACTCGGGACAGGCGCCGATAGAGACGACTACGAATATCCACCATGGTGCATCGGGGTCGTACCATGACTGAAAAGTTCATTGACAAGCACCAATTGCTTGCGGTCGGTTGCCACGCCTGCGCGATTAGACGGAACTCCAGCTTTCCGTCATGCAAGCTCAGCCAGTGCGCGTAATTCATGAGGAGGGCTTCAGGGAAATCCCCTTGGAGCCGGTTGGGCGGGATGTATCTGAACACTTGGCTGCCTTGCTGAGCCTTGATGACGAGACCATCTTCTTCCATTCCGAAATGAACCTAAGCAGCATAGTAAGCTTTCGAGTCAACACGCGCTCCTTCTTGGAGGTATTGTACCTGATATTCCCTGAAGTGTTGCGCAGACATGTACCTTGACCCTACCAGGCTCGAGGGAAGCACCGCAAATATTCGCTGGAGCAGCCAGTAGGAGAGTTTTGATGGGGATAGATGTGTATCCGCGAGCTCACCAGGCCAAACAGTCGATTAAATGACGGATCATTCCTGTAATTATCTGGAAGACGGCCGGGAGGGGTGTTATCAACAAGAAGCTCGCCGCTGAGCAGATCGTACCGGATCTCCTGCTGTCGTCGCACTCCATCTGATGGGACCTGATTTATCGCCCACCGGGTCAGACCACCATGGTCAAAGCTCCAGTCATCGGTAATGACCAGGTCTGACGCACTCTTTCTGAGCATCTTATTGAGGCCACCTGCCTCCTGCTGTATCAACTGACGAGTCTGTGCTTCGACATGGTGAAGGATTCTGGAGGTCTGTATCCAAGAGGCATTTTTAGCCGACATAGTTTCCCTTATCTTCGCTGGCGTGTTCTGGAAAACGACCACGGAGGCGCGTGTGAGGTGGAAGAGATCGTCAGGGCTGCAGAGAAGAGCAGGTACATGGTGTGATTCCACGGCGTACGTGAGCTGGCAGATCCTGCCCACTCGGGTAAGGAGCTGCTGCTTGGCCTGGCTCTGCGTGCGTGTCTGGGAATCCAGCGTGGTGGTTAAGTTTTCAGTCCACCTCATCGCAATCCGCCGTCCACGACGTATAAATGCGGCCGTGCGTTCGACCACAGCATCAGTGTCTGATAGGCTCAGGGCCCGGAGACCGATGACAATCAGAGAATGAAGAGTGTGGTGCTCGGTCCAGTTTGCTTCTATAAAATCAAGACGGCGTTCTAGGATCTCCAGCAGTCTACTGGTGAAAGCTACATCCTCGAATATCCAATGAGCTTCCCTTAGGTCTGTGCTGTGGCTGGACGTTCCTAACTCCCATGCTGCCTGGCGGATGAGAATGCCGACTGACTCCTCGTTCAATGAAAGAGCGGGCGATGCGAGCTCTCGTAGAATGTTCAACCACTGCACGCGTTCCCCCGCCCGTAGCCCCCCGAAAGCAACGAACTCGTGCAAATTCAAGCTGGAATCATATTTCGTTTGATCCGCAAGGACCTGGTTCTGGGTGTGTTGAGAGAAGCTCGCCGCATATTGAAGGTTCGAATAAGCGCCTTGGGGAAGAGTCAAAGTACACAGGGGGCTTGATAGTTGGCAGTTCCTTCTGATCCTTAACCCAGCTATTGCCTCTGCTGTCCAGGAGTTTGAAATGTAAGCCATTGGGAAGCAACACCTGTTTTAAATCAACTGGAAAGGATCGTTTGCGATAATGGGTGTGTTTCCATGACTTCGTCGTGGAGCCCAGAGTGAGACGCTGGCTCCAGCTCTCAGTGAATTGTCGGGTTTCGTCATACTTCAGGAGATTCAACTCCATCTGAGAAGCTGGCTTAAGTCGGCGTCGGCCAAAGTCTTGGACAATCGTCCACGTAACATCCCTCCATGCCGCAAACCAACGAGGACACTGCAGTTCGAAGATGACGGTTTTCAAAAGACTCTCTTTCTCCGGAAGGGGCCATTCGTAGATCTCGATGGCCATGCACGCGGACTGAATATCATAGGAGCACTTCTCACAGTAGGACCTGTGAAAAGGGTACCCTCGCTGACTTAGCGCATGGGTATGCTGGACCTGGCTAGATTTATGTTGCAGCGAGATGTATTGTTTCGATTTTGACACCCATTCCCTCCGTTTCTTCTCAACCATGTCCTGGACGTACTCCTCAATGCGCTGCCGCAGCTCATTAAAACCGTCGAATAATATATAATAGGCGACTACAAATCCCCGTGAATGAGGATCGCAAAATATAGACCCATGTACTTGGTCCTGCTGCCGTTCTTTAATGTAAGCCTCAATCTTGTTCGCCCTGCGCATCTGGCAACGCTGTGGCAAGAGTAGAGGCTCGAGAAAATCCACCGGAATTTCTGGGGAATACTTCCTTAGGAGCGGGCATATCTTGGCACATATGCGATCTAATGTAACCCACAGCTCCAGTTGGGTGAGTCTCATGATTGACATTGCCTCCGGGTTACCCGCCATAAATCGGGTCCCGTGAGCATCATACTGGTTGAATCGATCCTTGATCGCACAGACAACATCCACTGATGAGAAATTTGCCCCATCCCAGTGATCCATATCATGTTCGACCCAACGTTCAAAGTCCAGGACAGACAGCAGATCATTGCTTCTTAGCCTGGGAAGCCCATACATATCATATTGATTGCGAGTATTGCCGGGGCGATTGAATTGAGAAGTTTCGGCTTGCGTGTGACTTTGAGAGAATGCTGCTTGAAGATATGCGGACGAACTATCAAGGGTCAACTGTAGGTCCTGCTGGGTACACCTGAATATTTCAAAAACAAACGTTGAATTGGCCTGCTTGATTTTTTCTTGTATGTCTTCCAAATTTCTCCTAATAGCTGACTCCGCCGAGAGCACCCGCCGCGCCACATAATCATGGACTTTCCCATCCAGTTTCTGGATACGACGAGCCATTTTAGCCCGAATTACTTGCAGTTGATCTGCGGAAAAGGTTTCTCGCGGCATATCGTTGGCTTTCAGGGCAATATGGGCAACGATGTAGAGCATGAAGTTTTTATAATGGCGATGCCCCTCAATATCTCCGAAAACGCGTCGTAAAACAATCTGCAGCGCGACTTTTGCCACGAACCAGTAAGGGGATCGTCGCCAAGGGAGTCTGCTATCCCTCCAGTTGACCTCATCGTGCATGTGTTTATCGAAGGATGGCCAATTATTATGTCTGCCGAATGCCAGGAGCTGGATCATCAGGCCTTCCGTTATCAAGCCGGGATGGGTAGTATCACGCTCCTCGGAAACTTGGGCTCCAGCCTTCTTGGACATTGGGACCATCTCGTTTACCGTCTCGGTGGAGAGTTGGCTAACCTCACCTGCTAACCAGGAGCAGAATTTCGCGTCATCCAGTCTGTCCGCCGGAATAGCAATGCTCTGCCCGGGGAATTGGCGTAGCCAGCTTCCTTGTGCAGATATCACACACTCTGCACAGGGGGCTGCTTCAAATGCATCACATATCAGCATGTCGTGATTATGGTCATAGTACGCTACCCAGCCGCAGTTCTGGGCGCGAACGTACAATGCAGTAGCTCCTGTGTGTTTATGTTAATAAAGGATCGTGGGCAATGGATGACGACAATACCGAGGCTTCGTAGATCAGAGATTATGCGTGTCAGAGATTCTTTACACGGCGTGCTTTTCTTTTCGGTCTCCATCCAATTCTCTGACATCCTGGCAACAATGGCCCAGCTGTCTTGCGAGTCTGATGAGATATTCTCAATGAACTCCTTAAGGACTTCCTGTATCATCTGGTGTAGTCTTTTCTCCAGGTGCCACTCCTGATCAGTAACCCCCTGGGGCAGCATGGGAGGATGAATGATATGATAAAAGCAATATTTCAACGCTTCTGTCGACATGTTGATTAGTTGGGCAATAATTGAAACACAGAGTAGTGGGAATATCCAACGTCTAAAAGAAAGATGTTTGAACTTCTTGGCTTTTCTTTTTTGATAGCTTCTGGACGGATCTCCGATGCAAGCTGTAGGAATGTACTGCTAGCTTGGTTGTGGACTTTTAAGACTCTGTCCCTTCCGAGCACTCCCCAGGGAATCTGTAACCTTCTCAAGCCAGAACTCTCGATAGCGTAGAATCACCGAGGCAGGCCTAGACTCAGTATCTCCATGCCTTGGTGGTGAGAGATGCGAATATCCCCCCTTTGGGGATGGTGTATCCATGGTTCGAGAAATCAAAATGCTGAAAGGGCGGAGGGGGTCAATCCGAGCATATCATGCCAGGCCTCAATGAGGTGAGTGGCTGTGAGACTTTGTGGTCGCATCGAATTTCCAGAAATCATGTGGAAGAGTGGTGTATCAGCACAAGCACATCCTTTGTCCGGCCTGGTTTTGACCTGCCCTGCCCCACGTGACCAACATCATGTCATTCACCGGCAAATCTTATATTGCGGCGCATTGAATTCGCAAATAAATCTAGGATATCAGATGTTGTGGTATTTGTTTTAAGGTGCTGAAGTGAATGCGGTGGGCTGTCAAGCTCAGTAGAGGTCCTTCAAGTCTCAGTACTCAGTACTCCCTCCGTTCTCCAACGGGTATGTTGCGTATACGGAAGTTGGCGATTCCCATTCAATCCTATTGGGTTGGAATCCCGGTTCCATTGGAACCTGATGATGCATTGGTCTCGAACCAGCGAGTATGGCGCTAAAACATGACACATTCTTACTGCCATCAAGCATTAGACTTCAATGTGTTAACAACTTCAAGCGGCACTCTTTATTCTATCTATAGTACTTCAATTACTTAATATCTTGATAAGGTTGCGTGACAGTAGCCCCACCTTGGCTGCACACTTGGCGCCGGAGAGATTCGAGGCCGACTCGGAGAGAATCCGGACACTTTTGTGATTTCCTTGTTGAATATTAGATTTCTGATCAATGCAGGCAGTTATCAAGTTCATCTTCGGCCTGATCAAAAAATTGTCTCCGGCTTAATCAGAATGATTTCAAATGATTTATTCTTCAATGCTGCTACTGTAAATATAAGGACTCCGTAGAAAATTTGGTTGTGCTGGCTTCCAATCAATTTGTTTCATTTATGGTTTCAATATTCACAAATCCAACACATATAATCCCGCTCCAGTCCTTTGCTTCTCATATTCAAGATGACCACCAACAACAACATTTCCCAGGCCACCTTCTCCTGCCCCTCACTGGACCCGGATTTCTTTACTGTCCAAGACAGTTTCCCGAAAGCCTACAGCTTCAGCACCCCCGAAGACCTCGCTGCCACCCGAGAACACATAAACTTCAGCATCGAAACCACTCTCCACGGCCACCAAGACACAATCTGTTACTCCAATCTCAACATCCCCAGCCCCGCAGGACCACTCCGCGCCACAATCTTTCAATCGAAAAGTCACCGCCAGTCATCAGCCAACGCCCCGGGAATCCTTCACATCCACAGCGGCGGTCATTGTCAAGGCAGCCGATTTGTTGGTGCAGGCCTCGTACTGGACTGGGTCGAGTCCCTAGGAGCTGTGTGTCTAACCGCCGAGTATCGCCTTGCGCCCGAGCACCCCCAGCCGGCACAAGTGGAGGATAGCTTTGCCACGTTAAAGTGGTTCAGTGCCCATGCGGCCGAGCTGGGGTTCAACCCCCAGAAACTCATTGTCACCGGGAACTCGGCGGGCGGGAATCTGGCAGCGGGAGTGACGCTATTGGCCCGGGATCGAGACGGGCCTGAAATCCTGGGCCAGGTTCTGACTTATCCCTGGCTGGATGACAGTAATGAGACCTTGTCGATGCAACAGTTTGGGGGCTTATTGCCGTGGTCGAAAATACACAGTATTGATGCGTGCGATTTTGCCCTGGGCAAAAATAGGGAACATGCCGATATATATACCGTGCCGGGACGAGCGACAGACCTGGGTGGGCTGCCTGACACATTTATCGATGTGGGATCAGCAGACGTTTTTCGGGACGAGGATTTTCAATTCGCGACAAAGTTATGGGCATGTGGCGTGTCGGCAGATTTACATGTTTGGCCCGGTTGCTGGCATGGGTTTGATATATTTGTGCCGGATGCGCCTGCGAGTCGGAAGGCAGCGAAGGCGAGGTTGAAATGGTTGCAGAAGTTGCTTGCTAAGGAGTAATGATTGTGGATGTCAGTATCAAATAGTTCAATAGGATACATGCACTTTAGTAGTACGAAAGGATACTAGATGAATAAAGCGATTTCTTGATACTAATGCGTGGTCACGAAAGGGCATGCTCTGCTTTGTAAGAAAATGGGTATTATAACAAAACCATGATTAATTTTCTCATCAAAGGCAAGGTGGCCGAGCGGTCTAAGGCGTCAGGTTAAGGTCACACCTTAATAGACAGCTTCCGAGCTTCCTGATCATCGTAAGATGGCGTGGGTTCGAATCCCACCCTTGTCACATTTTTGTGCTTCTCTTCCTCAGAAGCAAAGCCCGAATTTGCATCAGTTTGTTTTTATTAGCTTTTTAGCATACCTCACTGAGCATTGGAATCAAGAGTTAATTTTACTCTGGTATAAGTTGACCGGTTCCGACGTGAATCAGGTGATTGGGTCACGCCTTGTTCGGTCGTTTCCTTCCCCTCCTCTTCCTTCCCTCAACAAGAACCCCCCTCCCTATCATCACATTATCTTTATCAGTCTCACGGATCGTGGACTAGCAGTTATCATACCTCGGTCTTAGAGCCAGGTCAAGGCTCATATCTCACCAATGACCCTCCCGTCCTCAATTCAGCCCGACATCTCTTCGGGTCAGAATCGGCTACTGGGTACACTCAACTGAGGGGATGAGAAGGTGAGTGATAGTTTCTAGTCCTATAGGATGTATCATGGGACATCTTTGACCGGTAATAGCTGTCTACTATTATACAGCATCTCTCGGTTTTCGGTTTCTTCTCCCCCGATCAGGATGACTGAGTTGCCGACTCTCCGTCTTCCCCGCACGCAATACCCGGCTCCTGCGCCCACGTCCTATACTACTATCTCTCGGCTTCTCAGCGTTGTTGTTGAATAGTCCTTCCACAGCCAAGAATACAAACCAAGTTAGAAAGCTACACAAGCCCCCCCCTCGGGAATGCCACCAAAACCTTCCCACTCACACCGAAGAGCGCAGAAGCGAATTGCCGTCGCATGCCATCGGTGTCATTCCCGCAAGGTGAAATGCAACGCACAGAATGGCGTTTCCTGCAGCGGCTGTTTGGCAAGCAACACTCCGTGTGTCTTGATTGATTCTCAGCGGGGGCGGTAATTCTCGACACCACTGCTCCCGATGAAAGATGTGCTCACTCAACCAGTTATGTCCGACAAGCCAAGCGATCAGCCCATTCCGCCCTCCAGTTTACTAGAAACGCCGAGATGGAGACACGTCACCCCCCTCATGATGAAGCCCATATCGCCGTTACCTTGGACCAGTCTGATGTCGCGCAACCGTCGGCTCCACCGGCCCGTCCAGATGCAGATGCAGACTCGAACAACCGGTTCTACTTGCACATTGCCGACCAGGGGGTCAGGTCCTCACCAGCGCCTATCACGGACGAAGCAAGCACTCTTTTCTTAGGCGAGTCATTCAGCCTTACGTACGTAGTCCACGATGTTCTAGCTCCGTTCCTCTGCAAGACCCCGGCGTTCCAAAAGCGGTTGCACTTCCCCATCGCCAAAGGTTTCGACCCCAGTGACCAAGGGCAGCATAATATTGTCCAGGCGCAGACTTGTCTGCTGGAGAAGCGAGGCATCTTTTTCCTTCCCAGCGATGATGCCCTCCAACGACTACTTCTGGTCTATTTCCGATACTTTCACCCGGCATTTCCAGTCATCCGTCGGTCAGAGTTCTTACAAAAATGTCAGTCAAACCAAATGTCTCTACTAGTCCTGTGCGGGGTCCTCATGGTCGCTACAACAATGTGCAGTGGTGCCGATCTAGCTTTGGCCGGCTTTCCCCATAGACACCAGGCCCGTGAGACCTTCTACCAGCAAGCTCGAGCCCTGTACGACTCGGACTCTGATCCGGACAAGATAAACAACGTAGTCGCTGTATTTCTTCTCAGTTTCTGGTGGGGTGGCCCCAACGATCAGAAGGATTCTTGGTATTGGCTGGGGATTGCCATTGGAGCTGCGCAGAGTCTGGGATTGCACCGTTCGTAAGTGAAATCTTTTACCCCCCATGTAACCGGTGACTGATCTAGTAGGACATCGAAATCCCACATGAGTAGCCAGACTGCTCAGTTATGGAGAAGAATCTGGTGGAGCTTGCGGGTTAGTGCCCTGTCATTGACTTACTGACCCCATCTAATGCGATATCCAGATTCGAGATGCTCTTGTCAGCGGATCAATCGGCAGACCCCAGCACTTTTCCGTTAACGACTGCGATGTCGAGATGCTGGATCCCCGAGACTTGGAAGATTGTGAATTCCTCGCTGGCTCCGAGGAAGAACACTATTCAAGTCAAATGGCTCATCTATCTACCATATGTAAGCGTCTTGTGCCAATTCAAACGCCAAACTAATTGGTTTCTGGCGTAGTCAGCCGCATTGTGGCATCACGATATGCCGCACAACACCCAAGTGATGTTAGTGAAAAGCTTAAACTAGAAAGTGAGCTTGATCATTTCCGAGCACAAATACCACGGGAGTTACAGTATCAGGGAATCGATAGTGAGACTGGGAAGGGCCTATGGCCCGTAATGCTTCTGATGGCTTATGAGTTAGCATTGCCAAGGATGCGCACATGACAATTGCTGACATTTACAGCTTTGGAATCATCTTGCTCTGTCGGCAACCCCGAAGCACCCGCGACGAAAACGAAAAGCTATGGGGCAACCACCAGAAGGCTATGGCGGCAGCCAACGAGGCTACCCGGTTAATGGAGGATATTTTGGCAGCCTCCATGGGGAATGTGTGCCAAATTCATACGTAAGCAATCTGCATCAATTCTTCATTCGCAGACCTACTGACTCGCCAGAATCCCGGCTCTTTTCAATTCGCTGGCAATGCACGTCTTTTCTATGTGCACATCTGGCAAATTTGGTCGTGATCTGGCAGAAATCCGAGCACAGGTCTGTATGCTGGGACTGACCTCGTTGCAGGAGAGCTGGCCCGTCAGCGGCTGGATCTTGAAGCTGTTTATGGATATCATGGAAAGGCTGAAGAACATCACACGATGCCAAAATACCCAGCGGGATCAAGAGACTGAATTAGATGCCGATTCATCCACACGACAGTCATCTAAGGGCAGAAATATAGATCCTCCAACACCATCGCCGTTCACCGAGCCAGGGGTAACCCTGACGAGCACCGAAACTCTCAATCAACTAGATACAGCCTTTGCTGGCGACACGGATATTTACCCGAATCTGTTTGTGATGGACGACCTATTTCAGGATCCGAGCTTAGAGCAAACCTCTTTCTTTGACCTCCTCAGACTGCCTAGTTTGGATCTAATATGATGCTACAAGCTGTGGTAGCTTTATTGTAGAGTATGAAACTACCACGGCTCTGACTCGAGCAATAAATTCCCCGACGACCACTGAGTCATATTGCTCAGTGAGATGCTCCAGTAATCATCCTGACAGGGAACTAGTCAATGCTCAATCATACTGTCGGCCACATATCCTTGCTAGATGCGAATATAATGGTCATCCTTAATACAGCAATGATGATCCCAACCATACCCGACTTGCATTCTGTGACTGTGCTAATAAAAGGTATATGCCTACTCTGACACCTGCAGGATTACCTTTCGCGCCTTTCGCTGTTCAAATAGATGGTAACCAACTGCGGCCTCACTGAGAGGCAGTTCATGCGTGATATAGTCTTTCATCTGTTCCTTATTTTCTCTCAGACACTGCAATGCGTCATGAAACACAGTCCTGACTGGGACTCGACCAAAATGGGCACTGCAATGTAAGTCAGCCAAGCCTGTCTTACACCGAAAAGTAACTTACTTGATATTCTTGAGATAGCAATCCAGTCCCGTGAATGGCAAATTGCCCTGGTGAAAGCCAATAGAGGAAAGTACGCCGCATGGTCGCAGGAGTTCAAAGGCCGATTGCAAGGCAGATGTGTTGCCGACGAGTTCAATAACGGCGTCTGCGCCTCTGTTTTCTGTCGCTGCTAGCACGCGTGCTTTGACATCGTCTTGCCCCAGAATCAGCGGGATCGCGCCGAAATTCTCGGCTTTCTTCAAGCGATCTACGACCCCATCAATGGCGAAAATGGTCCCCACGCCTTTCGATCGAGCCGTAGCTATGGCACAAATGCCTACTGGTCCGCAACCAAGGCACACAACAACAGACTCTTTTACCGCTAAGTCAGGCCCCGGAATAGAGTGGGATGATGAGGCAAAGCTGTTGGTCATCTGGATCCCAGTCGGTGGAGATGTGGAACTGGTGAGCCTTGACTCAAACTGTGTTTTGAGACTCTGGATTGCTTGCGAGGCCGCGTAGTATCCAGTAGGGAATATGTCACACATCATGATCAGAAGACGGTGGTCCAGGTCGAAGGGAACGGGTTGCAAGGTGCCATCTGCAAATGGTACTCGTGCGTATTCGGCCTGTCCTCCATCCAGGAGCTGCGTGCCAAATGCGGTACCTTTGACACATCGGTTGGTCAGACCTCGGCGACAGAACCAGCATTTCATACTGCTCTTGTTAGTGGTGCTTGATAATATTTGACACCCTTACCAGACAGCAGAGAAGATAGACACCACTTCTTCTCCTACAGAGAACAATGACACTTCACTGCCAACTTCCTCGATTACTCCGACAAATTCATGGCCCTGCATATTTGGTTAGAAGTATTTGGAATTACAAAGGAGACTTACCATGATATGTCCGGTTCCTGTTTTTTGGTGTCCTCGATACATATGGAGCTCACTGAAGCTGATTAATATACGTCACTACTTTATATGGTTGCATTCATACCTGCCACATATTCCGGCATATCGTACACGGACGATCGCATCTGTAGGGTCGATTATCTTCGGTCTGGGGCGGTCTTCGACAGCAATCTCAAATGGACCACGAAAAACAACTGCCTTCATGGACATTCTGGATGGATTGGGAAGTATACTGTAAGAGAATAGTCTGATGAGTTGACATGCTGGCTTTAACTTGTTGGCAGCTCATTCTATATACCACTCAAGCCTATGTTCGGCTTCTTACGGTCTGCAAGAAGCCGAGAACCCGATATACTGGGAGATGCCGCAATCACTTCGGCGGCCCTGTTTCATCCGCTTTCTGGTATAGTTCCGGACATTATCTCCTTGGTCTTCTGATCCCTCAGACGTTCCTCATCCAATTACGCGGCAGAAGTAACTTCGCATATATAATCACAGAGCATCCTCATTGATGATCACCATCCACCTCAGATCATTTCAGGCAAGCCTTGCATCAAAATGACCGCAGATCTTTGCAACCTTCCTCTTCCCATCGCCTTCAGCAATATTTATCTTAATGGGGCCCACACACCCTCTCACTCGTCCGAAACCTTCAGTCTTCACAACCCCAAGGACGACACCCTTGTGGCCGAAAACATTCCCGTCGCAGATGAGGTCGACGTGGATAAGGCCGTTGGATACGCAGAGTCAGCATTCCAGGGTTCTTGGTCTAAATTCTCGGCCGCGGAACGCGCAGCCTGTTTTCGTCGGTTGGTAGATTTGCTTGAAGAACGGTTGGAAGAGATCCTTCGCCTGGATTCGTTGACTACCGGAAATCCGGTGTCACTGATTCCGACGAGGGAAAAGGGTTATATCATCAATTGTCTGTTGTATTATGGTTCGTTATTCCAAGCCTCTTTCTTTGGCTTCTATGAGTCTGACAAAGACCAGCCGGATGGACGGACAAGCACCGTGGCGATTACTTCCCCGCGGATGATGGATTCATCAAACTCGTCAGACACGAACCATTAGGGTGAGTGCTGTGCCTATGCAAAAAAAAATCCCGACCGTCTAACACGACCGCAGAGTGTGTGTCGCCATCAACCCATTCAACTCCCCAGTGGCATCCCTGTTCATCAAAGCTGCTCCTTGCCTCGCCACGGGGAACGTTTTGATCGTGAAACCATCGGAAAAGAGTCCTTTAGGCTCGCTAGCCATCATGCCGCTCTTCGAGGCAGCCGGTTTTCCTCCGGGTGTGATTCAAGTTCTCACTGGAGATGGGAGGACTGGGGCGCTTCTGGCGAGCCATATGAGGGTTCGTAAGGTATGCTTTCTTCAATGGCTCTTACATGATCCGGTAGCTGATGATCAATTATAGATTAGCTTCACGGGCAGCATATCCGCAGGAAAAAAGATCCAGGTTGCTGCTGCACAGAGCAATCTGAAGCGTGTTACATTAGAACTTGGTAAGTCTCTCACTAAGAGTGTTCTGTGGATGCATGATAATGTGTGTAGGTGGGAAAAGCCCAGCCATTATATTCCCCGATGCGGATCTTGAAAACGCAGTGACTTGGTAAGATTGCTGTCTTTGGCTATGATCTAGCTAATATGTCTCAGGACCGTCAATGCAATACTCGCTCGAACCGGGCAGGTCTGTGTCGCTGCGTCACGAGTGTACGTCCACCGATCCATTATCGACGATTTTCTCCAACGCTACACAGCCAGAATGAAGGCTGCTGTGGACGACATGGGTGACCCACAAGATCAAGGATACAAGTACGGGCCGTTGGTAGACACCAGTTCGTTCAAGAAGGTCTCTGCTATGATTTTGCGCGGGAAACAAGAAGCTCGATTGCTGGTCGGAGGAAACCGAATTGGGGATCGGGGATGTTTCATCGAACCGACTGTTTTCTTTGACCCAAAGCCAGGGGCGGAAATATACCAGCAAGAGGTATTTGGTCCGGTTTCGGTAATTCGAGTGTTTGATGCGGAGGATGAGGTGGTTGCAATGGCTAATGATACCGAGTATGGTCTCATGGCGGGGGTCTTTACGGCGGATTTGAACCGTGCGATGCGGGTTTCAGAGAGAATTGAGGCGGGTGTCTGTGGAGTGAATTGTGTTAGTGTGGTACGGAGCTATTGATGGCTTGGACATGGATGTGTTGAGGCTGACTATGGCTTAGATGAATGTGCAGGTGCCGTTTGGGGGGAAGAAATCGTCGGGGATTGGGAGGGAGTTTGGTTCTAATGTGAGTATCTTGTTGGGTTTGGAGCAAGGCTGATGTGCATAGGCCCTGGATGCTTATACAGAGCCGAAGACAGTTTTGATTTATGTTGGAAAGAACTAGGTCTACCTGGACTGGATCTATATACTTGGTTTCAATGTTTGTTAGTCTCATCTCGTTTCATCGTATGCTATTCACTGCATACACTACACGGGAGTTATTGAGCAGATTCACAGCTACTCCAGCAGTCTGTTCCGGTCTGCAGATGCGGGGTTGAAGAGATCATCGCGTATAAATTGAACCAACCCCCGGATGGCGAAGGGTTTCTATTCAATGGTATTTCCTGTGTTGGTCTTGCCATCACGTTGACTTATGGGTCATGATTTAGCACATAATCTTGACGAAGAGACACATGCCTCGGGATTTGGAATTCGATTTGCCTAAATGCATTGAAGAGCTATTCAGCCGCCGGCTAATATGTACGAATCCGTCACGGGGATGCAATACATTCTGGGATTTTGGAGTAGCATTGTATCATCGATTTGAAGGAACTGCCACAAACATGTGCACATAACATATAAAGCCAAGGTATGTTTCCATATCATGACCCTAAACTGCATTAATGCGATTACAATCATAAGCCAGATCCACAATGCTCATCTTTCTCCTACTGCTCGCCACCATTTGCTCTGCCACAGCCAGCGGCAACCTATTCATCAGAACCAGCCTACCCACGAGTTTCGAATGGGACTCGAGTGCCATCCTCATCGCTCCCAAGAACGACAGCCGAGACATTGCAGGGATCAAAGACCCCTCAATCATCCTCGTGGATGGAACATACCATGTATTCGCAAGCACCGCGAAAGAATCCGGCTATAGTCTGGTATACTTGAACTTCACCAACTTCGAAGACGCCAAGTCGGCTCCCTTCTACTACCTGGACCAAACCGCGATCGGAACCGGCTATCGCGCTGCACCTCAGATCTTCTACTTTGAACCCCACGATCTGTGGTATCTGGTCTACCAGAACGGTAATGCAGCCTACTCGACCAATCCCGACCTCAGTGATCCAGCGGGGTGGAGCGCCCCGACGAACTTTTACGCCAGCCAGCCCGACATCATCGCGGACAACATCGGAAACGGCTACTGGGTGGATATGTGGGTGATCTGCGACGCATCAAGCTGCTACCTCTTCTCCTCCGACGATAATGGCCATCTCTACCGATCGGAGACCGCCTTTGCCGATTTCCCGTCGGGAATGGGCAACACCGTGATCGCATTGTCCGACGAGGCCGACATATACGATGTATACGAAGCATCCAACGTCTACCACATCGGCGACAACCAATACCTCCTCCTTGTGGAGGCGATCGGCAGCGACGGCAACCGATACTTTCGCTCTTGGACATCGAATAATCTAACGGACACCTGGACTGGGCTGGCCGACACCGAATCAAACCCCTTTGCCCGATCGAATAATGTCCAATTCAACGGCACAGCCTGGACCAAGAGTATCAGTCACGGCGAGATGATTCGGACGCAGGTCGACCAGACCATGACGATTAGTACCGGTCAGTTCCGGTATCTCTACCAGGGAGTGGATCCGGCTGCCAGCGAGGATTACAACGCGTTGCCGTGGAGGCTGGGCCTGTTGACCCAGACTTAGTTCAAGCCAACGGCGACTTTTCCAACGAGTTGTCTCGGTGGCGCAATTGGTAAGCTCCTCTGCCTTAAGACATTCCATCACTCGGTTACTAATTCAATTCAACAGGTTAGCGCGTACGACTGTTAATCGTGAGGTTGAGAGTTCGATCCTCTCCCGGGACGCATCTTTTTTGTTTTTTTTTTTGCTGCGGTGTTTATCTTGTGTCTTCTTTTTTTTTTTTTTTTTTCTTCTAGTCGGTCATTGATGGCATTGTGCTAATAATAAGAATGTTGTTTGCAATGGATTGTTGAGGCGGGTCGTGGCATTCTTTAGTTGGGGATCTCTGAAGCTGTCTTTGTTGTAGCTGTCTTTGTGTCGGTTGACGGTGGTTACCAACCAGCACTGCCCAATTGCATGTCTGATCATTTACTGTGTTGAATCAACACATCTAGGATCTAGGAGAAGGGTGGGTGAAGAATGGAGTTGGCTGGGTGCCACTACATCATCGTAAGTACACCTATATCGCTGTTACACTTATGATCGACGGATACATCTGATCTATCTATAAAAGGAGCGGATATATATATCTCGAACGGCTAGCTTTTATGCCCCCAAAGTTGTAAGCACCTCGAATGACCAACAATCCTCCTGGGACTCTTATAACAACAAGTAGTACTTTGAGCAATTATGATGCCTTTGAACAACTCGATGACCCTCTACCGTACCGCCTCAGGTGCTGCGATGCTGTGAGGAACCATGAGATCACATGACCCACGGCAACACCCTAGAATTTCCCCAAGGAATGGCCCCGTCAGAACGTCGAATTTGGTCACCCACAGGATGCTATCGGACCCCAACGGGCACAACGGGCCAAACGGGCCAAAGACCCAAACCATCAGGCTGATGGGATGTCCTGTCAACCCATCGGTGAGAGATCCCCAACTGCCGGCGAAACCTGGGAGAATTGAGAATTGCACCCCGACGGTCCCGCGCGTAAATCCCGCGCCGGGAGCTCCGTCTCTACGCCGGATCGCACCATCCAACTCTATCACCACCACCACATGCAGCAAACTCCTCGTTGATCCTATCCTCGTCCCGTCTATCACATGTTGGACCAGGATGTCCATCGGAGACCGTCTTTCTCCCGACCTGATGATAATGTTGCAGCTGTAGACGCGGAAACATGCAGCAGGAGCCTTGTCCGCAGGATGCCAGTCCCTGTCCATTAATGCATCCAGATAATGTTATCAGCTGTCAGACTCAGACTGCAGAACTCCTGCAGAAGAACACGAGTGACCCAATCCTTCAATTTACCACCCCTTCCTGCACCCACGACTAAGCTTTTTCACCCTTAGCGCCAGTCACTGGGCTGATCCAAGTTTATTATCCACTTGCTGCTCCGATTAGTGGAAGCACAAGGCTCATTTACCCCCTTCCCCCATGGCTATCTACTAGTAGTCCGCCTGGCAGGCACATGGTGGGGATCACTGGCTGAGGCGAGGCATTCTAGAAAGCTGGTCAACTCGAGCCCCGAGAGTGGGGCGCCACGTCCACCTTGGTCCGACACGCGTGGCCTGAGCGTGACTGCCGAAGCAATCTGCACTATGCAGATTGTAGAAAGCGCCAGTGATGGTGTCTTCCCCTGGCACGGAGGCCCGGCGAGTCCCGAAAGAAAGCCCTACCCCTTGCAGCCAACATGCCCGAGCAAGTTCCAAGGGTTGCGACGGAGTCCCGGTCAGGCACGCCCGCTGATTGGCGGCTGGTACTTGCTGGGGCTAAATCCTGGCTCTCCTTTTCAGCGCCAGGAGCGTCTAGTCGCAATTCCTGCGCCATTGCGACGCCTCCTATCATCGGCCGGGGTAAAAAGTCCTGGTTCGTGTCATCGTTCCTCCACGGGACTTCCCCGACAGCCATGGCCCGTTGACGGCTCGTTTGTCCCCGGTCCATCCCCGTCTCTTCATCCATTCCCCCCTATAAAGGGGAGATCGCCACCGTGGTCAGACCTGGAATTCAGCAGATCATCTCCTCAATTGCATCCTGCGTGTTTCACCGATCTCATCATGTTCTTCCGCAGAGAGTTGGGGGCTGTCGCAGCCCTATCCATGCTGGCCCATGCTGCCCCTGCCCCGGTGCAGCGTAGGGGTATGTCTCACCTGTGCCCTATTTACAGTACAATTATATACTAACCCCGCTAGATATCACCTCTGCCGTGTTGGACAAGATCGATCTGTTCGCCCAATACAGCGCAGCAGCCTACTGCAAGTCCAACATTGAGTCGACCAGCACGACTCTGACCTGCTCCGTGGGCAACTGCCCTCTCGTCGAGGCCGCGGGTGCCACCACCATCGATGAATTTGACGAGTATGCCCATCCCCTAACCCTCCTATACCCCCTCCCTCCTACTAACCCCCCATAGGAGCAGCGAATACGGCGACCCCACCGGATTCGTCGCCGTCGATCCAACAAACGAGTACATCGTTCTCTCCTTCCGAGGCAGTTCCGACCTCGAGAACTGGATCGCCAACCTCGACTTCGGCCTCACCTCCGTGAGCGACATCTGCTCCGGCTGTGAAATGCACAGCGGCTTCCACGAAGCCTGGGAGAACATTTCCGCCACCATCACCTCCAAGGTGGAGGCCGCGGTTGCCGAGTACCCGGATTACACTCTCGCATGCACGGGACACAGCTACGGCGCTGCTCTGGCTGCCATTGCCGCGACTGTGTTCCGTAACGCGGGCTACACTGTTGAACTGGTACTTCCCCCCATCCCTTCTCCTACCTCATCAGGAGAAATCCTAACTAACAAAAAACAGTACAACTACGGCCAACCCCGCATCGGCAACCTCGCTCTGGCCGAATACATCACCGACCAAGACATGGGCGGTAACTACCGGGTGACTCACACCGACGATATCGTCCCCAAGCTGCCTCCCAAGTTGCTGGGTTACCACCATGCCAGCCCCGAGTACTGGATCACCAGTGGTAATGATGTGACGGTGACGGTTGATGATGTTGAGGATATTGTGGGGATTGATTCTACCAAGGGCAATGATGGCACGCTGCTGGATAGCGTCAAGGCTCATCGTTGGTATACCATTTATATTAGTGAGTGTTCGTAATCACCCCTAGTACACATATCTCGGATATACTGGTGGTTGGTTAGGTTGTATATAGGTTTCATGTGGTATTTATGTTATGATAATAGTAATTGATGATTGTTTACACTCTACCTACATACTGTATATATATGTGTGTATTTATTAACTAGATACTTACTTACTCTATGTTTATGACTATCACTACTAGTAGTAAATAAAGCAGTAAGTAAGTAAGTAGTTTGAGAAAGTCCCGCCGACCGAAAAATCCCCGACCCGCCCAAACCCAAACCAACCCCAACAAAATACTAACCTCCCACGTTTACTTTGAATGTTTCACTTAACGGCAAAAACTAACCTAGATCAAGCATAGATTAGATTTCCCCCAATCCTAACCAATGATATGCCTCCCCTGGTAAGTATCCGGATCCACAGTTCGGGTTTCCTGACTCGTAAATAAATGGAAATTAAATAGTACGTACTTACTTACTACATAGGTAGTAGTGTGGGTGGGTTGATGGGTGTTGGGTCCGTGGATTGGGTGATTTATTTGTTGCATGGTGGGGGAGGAAATATAATTGTTAGGGTGGGTGTAGGTAATTATTGCTGGGGTTGGGGTTGGTTGGGTTTAGATACCTAATGAGTAGTGAGTAGGTAGTGGTGTATAGTTAGGGGTACCTAGGTTAAGCTATTAGTATTTATTTAGGTAGGTAGGTGTAGGTACTAGATAGAGGATTAGGTTAGGGTTAGTATGTACATAGTGTAGTGGGTTGGTTAGCGTAACGGTTTGGTTGATTTGCCTGGGACTTATCTAGGAGTTAGGGGATGAGGGAGGGATCACATCTTTGGATTTTTGATTGGAATGTGTCTTAGGGAAGTTGAACTGATTTGTTGGGATTGGATCGCTGTACGTAGTACTATCTATTTGTTTATTAAGGCAGGTGTGAAGTGTGGGATGTGACTGACGGGAATCTACATTCAGTTCAGGAGGAAGATACTACAGTACTGTGTACTATGTACGGAGTAGAGTGTAGACGTATGCAGCGAAAGAAAGTTAATATCTACGTCCAGAATCTCAGAAAATAGGATGAAGTGGAAGTGGTGGGGACGGAGATCCGAGACGGGACACAACCGGATTGATTAGCTCGAAACAGCAACTGCGCCGAGCCGGGGAAGGGCCAGATAATTGATAAGATGCGATCAAACGATTGAGTGTGGACATGGGTTGGGTACGTGGTTTGATGATTATTCCGAAGGAATTATTGATTAGTAGAAAACATATGATCGGGTAATGGACAGAATATAATCACTGCATCTGGCAAATAAGAACAAAGAATACTTAGAGGTTCGTGATCAAATCATCTTTCTCCTCAGACCAATCGCCCCCTCAAGCAACGAAATACTAGCATCTCTCTCCCCATAATTCGCCTGCAACCCCACCTTCAAAATCTCCGACTCGGGAACAAAAGCCACAGTCAACCTCTTATCACGAAGTGCATGGCAATGAAACACGGGAAAATATTGCTCCAGTCCCAGGAATTCGCGCAGTGGCTCAGTGCAGGTGCATTCGTACATCTCAGGATCGCAATAGTAGAAGACCTTGAGGAAGGCCTTATCTTCTGCAAGTTTCTCGATTGCTGGCTCGAGATGGTCTGCTTGTTCCCAAGGATCTGTGTAGTCGCAGTCGAGACATACATAGCTATAGATCATTGCCTATGTATGATATATCAGTTATTTGTATGGGGTGTGGAGATGAGGAACTTACCCGAGACCTATGAGGAGGACGACCACGGTAAAGAGAGCAGGATATGCGGCGATCATGGAGATATTTACGGATCAATCCATCGGTTTTTGGTCCAAGTGGCTCGGAGGGGTCGATTGAGGTAGTCATTTTGGGTGGTGAGAGAGAAATTGGAGATACTGGTTGATCTATGTGATGTTCGTATGGAGGGATGGAGGTTTAAATATTGCTCTTGGAGGACTAGACTGCAGGTACAGCGTGGAAGATATCGATTAGCTTTCCAGGATGGACTGCACAAGGCATTTTACAATCGGATATTTGTTCAGTAAATGTCTCTTCTTTATCTCTATTATCTATATCATGATGTTGAACTTCCTTATACTATTATATCATATGGCAGCCTCCTGCACGTCATATCGCTAGGTGTAATGGAAACAGCAGCCTGCCAGATTCTATCCGGGCTCTAGCCAATATCATTTCGGGATCATCCGACCGGCAGAAAGCTTGGCTTGTTTATTAATAAGGTTACACAGATCACTTGACCTTTTTCTTTGTAGTATTCTCATTGTCTCGGAATCATCATATCATGATACCTCTTCAAAACTGTGTGTTTCCTGGAAGTGGACAAATGCTGGGATTTTTGCATCTTTGCAAATGCGCTTGTCTTGTAAAAATGCTTTAAACGGGAATTTCAGTCTGGGTCAGGTAATTCTCTCGAATAAATCTTATAAGATAGCTTTATCCGATATCTTAACGTTGAGCCAAGTATTGCTGAGGATTCTATCTGATGGCGACTAGGACCTATGAGTCTTTCCCGTGCCCTGTCTTATAAAATGGGGTATTGTGATGTGCTGGTATGCACACAATGCACATAAATAGATGCACGAGTCATATAAATATATTGCAACGTGGGTTTATACCTACAGTCGACGGCATTCGCCTACAAGGTAACGGTAAGAGCCCAGTGAATTATAGAGAGCATGGGAGTCGTCCATCTAATTTAATATCATCAACGAGTTTGATCGACACCATAAGAAGAAACAATAAGGAGCCTATCGCATCTCAACACATCCAGCTTATTTAGCGCTGAATCAACATCTCATTCACGAATCCCAGCCATCGACCATTCCCCCGGACAATACCCCGACAACAACCGCATGAGCTCTTCATCAGAGCCTTCTCTCCCAGTAACAAACGGGCAGATGTTCGATCGTCTTAACTCCCCCGAAACCTTCAATCTCTCCTGTACCACACATTCTGGAAGAAAGATGAACAGCGGGGCCGAAACACAGCGTACATGAACGTATCCCACCGGAATGTCTGATCCAGACCAGAGCTTCTGACATGATCCCGTCCAGGTACCTTTGATACACTGACCTTCTCGGATGGTTTCAAACGCTGTGTGTATCACGTCATCAAGGCTGGGTGCGACGGAGCCGGAGTCCTCGGGGTTCGGGTCATGTTTGATACTGTAGATTTTGAACTTTGATGCGTCAGGTATGATTCGGATGCATATTGAGGATATAAGTCATGAGTACGTACGCAATTGTCCGAATAATAGAGTTTTGCTTTTATGTTTTTCTCTCGGAAAGCAACATTAATTCGTTCAGTGATGTTTTCGTCGTTGTTAAAATCGTAAAGGGAATAATCGAAGCTGCTGGACATTTTGGATAGTTTTGAAGTCGACAAGGTGTAATGAATTATGTATGGTCAGGGTTATTGTTAGATACGGATCAGAAGAAGGAGAGTATGTGGAGAAGAATTGTATCTTTATAAAGTTTCCAAACTTCCTTACAAATATTGGAAGTTGCCCTGAGTTTGTTGTCATGCGCCGCGGAAAGTCTCATCTCACAGGGCAGATGTCTGTAGAAGCCATCTTACAGAACTTCGGATATCTGCAAATGACGACTCATTGTATTTAAATTCTATGATCAGTGTATCACGGTGGCACCATATATCAAACGTTCCGGTGCGTCGTGTCCCTGGGTTTGGGACCGCATCCGGCCTTCTTAGCACTACCCGAAAGATCCTAGGACTCGAGATTTGACATTGCTTTCATCTGGTGACAGTTGCCATATTTGTCTCGTATGCAGGCTGTCCGAATTTCTTGCACAATAGGCAGATCGGTCCAACTCTCCCAGTCCACGTTCCTGTAACCACTCCACAAGCTCTCCGATGACGTGAGGTGGAAGCTCAACCGATGCAGATGCATCTATCCGAATGCTCTGGTGATCTCATGGCTGTTTCGGATATTCTTCCAGATGATCCACCAATCGCTTTCTATCAACTGATTCACAGTTATTGGTTATTTTGCCTGGTATCGTCATTTTTTGGGTTGCCCGCAAGAAGGGTCAAGTCTCTGGTAGGAGCGAGATTGCTGACTCGTGCTCCCTGTATCCGATCAATCATGTGTAACCCTGTGACCGCCACCACAGTCAATAGTCGATCAGCCAAAGCGCACTCAGTAGTGACAGACAATTCATTGATCAGATCCGGGGTGATGGGCGAGCCAGTGATAGTCATGTGTAGGGGGCGGAGAGGAACACAAACGGTGACTCAGTCTTGAGAACCCTCCGTATTATATCGTATTATCCCGCTGCCTCATCTTGACATGACATGCCAGGCGCTTCTCACGCTGCTTAGACGGATTCACATCTTTTTACAAGTCGCATGTGCTGATCGCCCTCGAGGTTGATCTACTCGGTCGAATGATTCGTCCGATTCTGCTGTGATGCAATTGACGGAAATGGCATCATAGAGGCCCCCCCTGGCTGTGGGTTGTGACAGATCAAGAAGCGCTGCATCGATGAAAGATCGATGAAACGGAGGGAGGAGCCTTGATGCTATCTCACGTGGGCCACTGTTGTGTCCGGTGGTGTAGTCACTTACAGCGTTGGTACCTTGTAATAAACCTTTTGGTGACCTGGGCTCTCTTTTCTTACTTGTTAAAAAAAAGGCACTTTAAAATGCAATACTATCCTCCAGATTCGACGGCATCAGGGGGATTTGAGGCCTGAGGCATGAAACGCTGCTCGGAAAAAGATGCTATATATAGTACTTCGTACCATCCAATCGGAGTCCGCCAGACACATGACAAAGCGGAAGCTGCTCGGAACGGATGATTCCAGCTCCGGGGTCCGAGTCACTTGACCGACCGTCAACTTGACCATAGTCCATCAGGCATCGACTCGGTCGATCTTCTTTCTCCTTCTAACTTTCCATCTTCTCCCCACTTGACTTGACCGGCTCCACCTGTCAACCCACAAGAGACAAACTCCTCTGAGTCAGCGGAGATATCCCAACCAGGGGCTGCTCAAAATGGGAACCTGAGCATGGCCATCGTCAAGGGCACGGCCTCACCCAACTTGATCTGCACCTTGTGAGACTTGCGAGGAGGATGGCTAAGGCGGATCGTTAGATCCCCGCTAATGCTGGCTCAGTTGGCTGATATGCTAGAACAGACGGCCCGACCAATCGCCATTTCAGAACCTTGAATCTCGCCCCCGATGGCTTAAGCTTCCTGCAAAAGTTCCCACTTGGTTCTGTATGGCGTGCCGGTCCGGCATCCGAATCGCCTATATGATGGACCGTCTCCCCCTCGCTGTCCTCCTTTTCCCAACAGACAGCACAACCCCCCATACTTCTCGCAACCATGTCACCTACCCCTTTCAAAGTCATCGTCGTGGGCGGCGGCCCAGTCGGTCTCACAGCAGCTCACGCACTCAGCCATGCGGGCATCGATTTTGTCGTACTCGAACGCAGGGACTCGGTGGTCCTCGACCAAGGCGCCAGTCTGGTTCTTGGTCCCCCCACGCTGCGAGTGTTGCACCAACTGGGCCTCCTCGATCCACTGATGGCCGTTGGCGGGGAGATTAATACGAACGTGTCGCTTACCCATCAGGGGCACGAATTCCGCGACTCCGACTGCTTTCGAATTATACGGAAAAAGTACGTCCCCCCTCAATGCACCAATTCGTGGTGACAGCATGCTGATCGCTGCGCACCAGCCATGGCAGCGCGCCGGTCGCCTTCCACCGTGCCCACCTGATCCAGACTCTGTACGACAAACTGCCCGAGAAAGCCAAAAGCCAGTACCTTGTCAACAAAAAAGTCAGCGATATCGAGTCGCACGATACGGGGGTCCGAGTCACCTGCGCCGACGGCACCGCCTACGATGGATCCATGGTTATCGGGGCGGACGGGGTCCACAGCAAGACACGGCAAGTGATGCGCCGGCTCGCCTTGGCTGCAGATCCCACGCGGACCTGGGATGCGGAGAACCCCTTCACGGCCGAATACAAGTGTATGTGGTGCAGTTTTCCCCGGAGGACCGAGACTGGAGAGTCCACCGAAACCCAGAACATAGACAAATCGGTCATGTATCTCTCCGGGCGCGAGCGCGGGTGGATCTTCCTCTACGAGCGCCTGCCGCAGCCAACCACCGAGCGAATCAACTACACCCCCGAGGACATCGAGGCCATGGCGGCGCGGTTTGCCGAATACCCCATCACCGAGACGCTGCGAGTGAAAGACGTGTACGCGGAGCGATTCACTGCCGGCATGGCCAATCTGGAGGAAGGCATCCTGGAGCACTGGGGATGGGGACGCATGGCCCTCGTGGGAGACGCATGCCACAAATACACCCCAAACGCGGGATTGGGCCTCAACAACGGCATCCAGGATGTAGTGGTGCTGTGCAACGGATTACACAAGGCGCTGCAGAGCGCGACGGGGGAACAACTGGACACGACCACGTTGGGCCGTGTGTTCGACGAGTACCAGACGGAGCGAGCGGAGCCGATCCTCAGGGATGCGAAACGGTCGGCGCAGGTGACGCGGCTGCATGCATGGGCCAGTACGTTTTACTACATCATGGCGCGGTACATCCTGTCGTGGGGGTGGATCGAGGGGCTGTTGCTCAACTATCAAGCTGCTCCTAAGATCAAGCAAGGCGCAGTGCTGAAGTACATCTCCGCCACGGAGCCATTTACGGGGCTTGTCAAATGGGATCATCCATTGGATGGAAGCAGCTGTTGAACTCAAGTAGGAACATACCTAATCTTAGCGGCAGTTCAGTGTTTCATGATCTTCCTCAACCCTTCCACCAATCCATCAACCGATAAAACTCCGAGTAACTCGCCTGTCCACCTACACCCCAACAAGGCAATATCCCTCTGGAGACCGTCAGACGCACGCGATATTTGTGGAAAATCCGCCATCGGCTGCTGAATCAGATGCGGGGAACCTCCATCGGATAAATCCTCCAGCACAGCGCCCTGCAGATTGACCCCTCTTCCTGCCGATCTCGTCTCTGCAGGACACGGACATGCAGGTCAGCTCCGTCCAGGTGCTGCAGGGCTCGGTGCAACAAACCCCGATGTGGGATTTTTCCACGTATGGACGAGTACCCAGAGCTTGCCATCATGAATTCCTACATACTTATACTCTGCTTCCAACCCAACCATCACTCTCTCTCCTACCAAACAAACCATCAACCTGTAAAACATCTCGCCAAAATGAAATCCTACATCCTCTCCCTCCTCGCAACCTCCCTCCCAACCTCCCTCGCCACCACCATCTACCTAGCCGGTGACTCCACCATGGCCACCGGCGGCGGCGGCTCCGGCACAGACGGTACGTCCACCCCCAACCCCAACCCAACCCAACCCAACCTAACCTCCACACAGGCTGGGGCAACTACATCGCCCCCTACCTCACCAACACCACCAGCAACCCCACCACCCTCTCCAACCAAGCCGTCGCCGGCCGCAGCGCCCGGTCTTACACGCGCGAAGGCCGCTTCACCACCATCGCCTCAACCCTCCAACCCAACGACTGGGTAATCATCGAATTCGGACACAACGATGGGGGTACCCTCTCCTCTACCTCCGACAACGGCCGAACCGATTGTTCCGGCAACGGGACTGAAATCTGCTACTCCGTCTATGACGGCGTCAACGAAACCATCCTCACTTTCCCAGCCTATCTCGAAAACGCAGCAAACCTGTTCCTAGATAAAGGCGCCAACGTGATCATCTCCTCCCAGACACCGGATAACCCGTGGGAAACGGGGAGCTTCGTCTACGATCCGACGAGGTTCGTGGCGTATGCGCAGTTGGCTGCGGAGAGGACGGGCGTCGCGTATGTCGATCATGGTGGGTATGTGGCGGCGGTGTTTGAGGAGTTGGGCGAGAGTGTCGTGGATGGGTATTATCCTGTGGATCATACGCATACGAGTGTTGCGGGGGCGGAGGTCGTCGCGGAGGCGTTTTTGAGGGGGGTGGTTTGTGCCGGGTTGGGTTGGAGGAGTTGTTGGATGTGGGGTTGAGTGGGTTGGGGGGGAGTTGTTTGGATGAGTAGATTTTTGGTGGGGGGCTGGTGGTTATGGGGTGAAGATGTACCTTCTCTACACTGTCTAGAACAATGGATGAGAATGTAGGGTAGAGTATCTGAATTAAGTGTTGTCTATGCCAGTTGTCTCTAATGGTTGTGTTTGCTGTCGGTTCTCTTGATGGATTCGCAAGGTGGTGCATGATTATTAGGATCTTGGTTTGGTCTGTACGTGTGCCTGAGTAAAATTACATCTAGCAGGGAAGAGTAATGCTGGTGGAAGAGGTTGAGATAAAGTTGGCTGGTTGTTGGATACACAGCCTGCTTCTGTGTAACCGTCGGTTCATCCCCCTGGTGGGGATGGGGGGTGCCGCCCATTTCAGAATCGCTACCTACGATACTTACTCCTCTTCTACAGCATAGGATCACATTGGTACAGTTATATATGATATTAAGTATGCTGCTCATGCAACTATATATGGTATCGTGCAAAGTCGTGTCTCGTAACGTCTTCCGACTCACTCTTCCAGCGTGGCCTTCACAATGCCGCGCTTTTCAACTCGTTGGTAGTACTGCGTCAGGTTCGGATACATCTTCCCGGACAATAGCTCCGTCTGCGCAATTTCCCGCAGGACCGGCCACAGCGAGCAGTCGTCAATGCCAAACACGGCGCCGCTCAAGTACGGCTGTCCGTCTAGAGCATCCTCCCACGACGTCAACTGCAGCTCCCCTGTGCCCTGGCGTTGGTAGTCCCGCCAGCTGGCGAGGAGGTCGTCGATGGCTGTCAAGTGATCTCCCCCCGGCAGCGCGTCGACCCCAGGTCGCACAGACTCTGCCGCGCGCTCCGCAAAGTGGCTTAGGATGATTACGTCACCGGCCAGCTGGGCGCCGTCGGCGGCAATAAAAAGCGGGCGCGTGCCCTGCGACGCGTCCGAGCTGGTCTCATAGCGGATGCCGTTCTCGCTCAAACACAAACGCACCCGGAGATTGGCCACGGCGTCAGACCCCAAGATAAGTTTGGTCGTACAAGCAGTGACAAAGTTGACTACATCAAACCCGCCCCCATAAACTCCCTCCCAGTTGAACTCTGTGGCGTGGTTCTCCTCGCCGAACGCTCGGATGATGCGCTCCGTCTCAGCTGCGTCGCCGTGGATCACCGGGTGGGCACCATCCTGCGACTTTGAAACCGCGCCCTGGCCCCAGATCGTGTCGCCCGCGGGGTCCAAAAATGTACCAATATGGCGGAAGGTTAGTGAGATGCGCTGCCCCTCATAAGCGCGTTCCTCTATCGACTTCTCCGCCTCCGCACGCTTGTCGGGTCGGATTCCATGCAGCCACCGCATGTTGGTCTTCTCCCCCAGCACAAAAAGTGATTCATGTGGCATGGGAATGCGCTGTGTCTGTCGACCCGATTCTGAATCCTCTGACGAGCCTTTGGTACGGAGGACCATGACCCGCTGCGCACCAAGACTGACATTACAGATCGACGAGCCGCGCACGATGTCGAGGGTCTTGTCGGAATGCTCGGAAATCCGATCCTGTCCGTCCCGGTAGAGTTGGATCAGCGCATGATTTAACGGGTGACCGAGGATGCGCTCGACAATCGCGCGCACCTTGTTCACCGTCGCAGTGAACGGTTGCAGGGGCGGGGACTCGTCTGCCGGATGGCGATATATTGGGATCGATCCATCAGCCAGCGGCAACCCCTGCACTGCAACTAGTCGAGGCACCTGCCCAGACAGGTGATACATCTTCTGCCACGCCACCTCCTCGCGAATCTTCTCAAACGCCTCGGACGGCAGGTCGAGATCGTAGATGATGCGGGAATCGCCCTCGCCAATCACGTCACCCGGGCGGTATACATCTGGCTTCTTGGACTTGGCGCTACGTCGTTTGTCTGATCGCGACGCGGACTCTGGCTTGGCGTCGGATCGTTTCGGCCGTCGAACCTTGCTGCGGATCTTCTTCTCCCCCTTTCCACCCTGCGACGCACCGCCGTGTGACTCGGCGCCGTAACGAGCACGTGCGCGCGTCAACTTTGCCAGTTCCTGCAAATCGCCGTCCTCGTTGTCGGTGAACTCCGCCAGAATATCATCGATCCTGCGACGTCTCCTGCTCGACGCTGACTCCGGACTCTCTTCCGTGGCGATCGGGGAGGCGCTCGGCTTGACCTCTAGCTCGTCCATGACGCTCTCGATGCCAGCGGGGGAGATCGATTGCAAGGGCCGCGGGCCACCTTTACGTGCGATCTCCTCCGTTTCCTCCCAGTCGAGTTCCTCGGACAGCTCCTCGGTGGTGATACCATTCGCGCCGAAAATGTCTGCCATGCGGCGCATGGATTCTTCGTGGCGCGCAAAACTGCGGAATCCGAGACAGTCCTCGATCAGGGTGACAGCAAAGCCGTGACGCACGGCATCCAGGGCAGTGGCGTAGACGGAGACATTGGACAGCGATCCACAGAGGTAGATCTCGGTGACAAAACTGGTGCGGAAGAACAGTATCAGGCCTTGGTCTCGCAGGGCGGAGTATTCGGTCTTGTCGATCACCGTATCGGACTCCATGTCAATGGCGGCTAAGATGGGGGCAGGGAACTGTGCGCCGGCCGTCTGGGGGATACAGCACCGCGGCGGGTCCACGGAGAGGAAGGCCTCCTGGTCAACGGGCGGTGATGGATCCTCATCTCCGGCATCGAGGCCTTCGTCGTCCTCAGTCTGGTCCCTCCTCGTGTCCTGGTTCATGCGACCGAGTACGACCAGGTCCTGCGCATCGGACGGACACACTAAGGGCTGTCGATCGCGGTAATGGGAGCGCACCCAGACGACCTCGCCATTGCGACGAAAGGCGGTGGCGAGCTGCGGGAGGAGATCAAGAAACTCGGCGGTGTTGGACACATGCAGGGCTCCGTTGGGGCGGACAAAATCATTCTGAAAGTCCAGGAGGAGGAGGGCCTTGCGAGTGTGAATGGCGGGCAGATTGGTGTAGTGGGCGAAGAAACTCATGGCTTCCACATGGTAGGTAAGTAAGCGATGGGCGGGGTTGGTGAGACAGTCGCAGGGATGTTAAGCGACGATCAAGGGGGGGGATGGTAGGACATGGAGGGAGGTATATAATGGATAAAGGTGGAGGTGGAGGTGAAGGTGAAGGTGAAAAAGGGGAGATGAGGAGAGGTAAGGAGGAAAGGAAGAAAGGAGAGAAAGAGATGGAAAGAGGAGAAGAAGCGGAGTTGAAGATTGAGCGGTTTGGGATGTTTGGGGTGTTTGGTCGGTCGGGGCGAACTGCCTGGCGGAGCCTCAGGCAGCGGGGCCGCCCTCGTGACCGCCCCGCGGAACCCTTTTCCGTCTCGCTAATGCCCATCTCGCTAGATCTCAAGCTTGGGTTTTGGAGCTACCTGCTCTAGCTTGTCGATAGCTCTAATAAATAGCAAAGCTGGGGATCTAAATTTTGACATTCCCTTGACAGGTCGGCAGCCACGTTCCAAGCGAGCAAGGTGGGCAACCGTGGATAAGGGCTGGCTGTCGGGCGGGTCCCGTGCTCCACCTACCCTGTTTGGCATGGTGTCCGGTGGCTCTTGCCTCACCGCTTTCTAGTCTCGACAGGGGTCATCAATTGTCATTGTTTACCCTCTCTTGAGTATTCTTTATGCCATGTCAGACTTTAGGATTCAGACTTTATTTACGATTTAAAGAGAATATCTAATTGATATGAGTCAGAGACACATGGTGCAAAATTTTAGAAATGCTTACGATCAGAGGGAGAACGATACACCAAACTATCAGCAAACAGCATTAGCCTGCAAATAGAGGTGACAGGGGTGGCAGCCTGCACACTCGGCCGAGTCCAGCATGACTCGTCGATCGGTTGTCCAATCAGGTATGGATTCCCGTCTGTGTAACGTCGAGTGGCCTCGGCTGTCCCAAATAGGAAATTCCATGGTGTGAACAACCCCGGAATTGAGAACTATTGTCGTTGAGCAATAGTCAATTTCACAGCTGATCTATCACATATACACGGCTTGCACTTCTATTGGACATTGGTATAAGCAGAGGAGCAGACTTGAGGGGCACAGGAGATACTCAACTTTCGGCAGTATATGATTGTGCTCCATCACAAGTCCAGGCCATCATACATATCCACTCGCATTCAAGGTGTGCATGAAGTACATAAACTGGTCAATCTTTCTGAATAGCTAATGCAGCAGCAAGAAATCCATCGCATTGAGCGACATTGTATGCGATGCATTGAATCAATATACGTCCGGCTCTGTCCGGTATAAATCCCCTACACGTCTTGACGTGGACTTTTCGAGGTCAGTCCGCTTTACCTTCCTTATCTCTGGTATGCATTCGTATCACTTTACAGTCTCTTTCAGCTAATTTTTTGCCGGTTCCAACAACGACCGTCAGCGACTCATTGGCGTCACCATCACTATTTAGTACAGCACTTGCAGCTCCTACTAATCTTTCCTACTGCCACAGAGATAGTCGGACCTCTAAAACTGTTTTTTAAAACCAGTGTTGTCGAGTTGTATACCCACTTCCCGACCATGCGCATCGCGAGGACGCCTCCGGCCACCCACCAGCCTTCGCGTCCGACCCAATGATTGCTGTGTATGATTGTATTCAAATAAATCACCCTTGGTCAAGACCATGCACATACAATGGCTCCGATGAAGCTGCGACTGCTAAGTCCGCTGATGTCAGCACAGAAACATGCTTGTCACATGATCATCTCGTGGTGATCAAACTTCAGTACTGCAGACGCCACGTCAAAGACAACGTGGCAATCACTCTGGGAGACGAGAAAAAGTATATTTGCGCACGAAGCGTTGGCCCCGGGCAGTGAAATTTCATAGATAAGCCGGCTGAGGTAGAGGCGCGTATTTTCTGTTGTTGGAACGGTGAGTGTGGTGCTGATGCTGATGCAGGGCGGGATCAGCTTCTATAATGGATCAGTCAGACGTCCAGCATCGACGGAAAGTCAGAATCTGGTGCTGAGAGGAGTTACGACCAGAGTTGAAGTTATGAAACTATGTTGGTGTGACGATAACTGGCAAAAGTGGCTGAGCAGATAAGGTTTCTGCTTACGGCGGCTAACAGGAAACAATGCCATTGTTGCCGCTGGCCAACTGCCGAGATGGGCCCTGCCAGTTCCGTCCCTGCAGCCATGCAATAAGCTCCGTATCCGAGCTGTTGGGGGCCAGCTTGCCCGTCTCCACGTGGGATGTCCAACAACGTGTTTCACCCGGTCGATCTGGATCCTTTTGAGATTGCGTCAGCTGACAGGATGGGACGTGTGTAACCTTTATGCCTGTGCCCGGTCGTATTTTTGAATCCTTCGTAAGCGATGGAGGTTATTCTGAGCATCATGGCTCGAAAGCGTTTCAATTACTGAGGTGTAGTCTTGCTGGATGTCCATGGACGGGGATAAGTATAAAAGGGGTTGTGTCGTTTGTGTTCGGTGTGTCCAAGTCATACATCACTGTTCCTGTATCGATTTTAGCCTTACCTTGTGGACAAGCCTATCTTATCTATTTCAGTTTGATTAGCAACTATTCAGTCCACTGATCCAGTGGCAACCAGACATGACCGCATTCAAGTTCCTCGCGGCATTAGCGGCCTTCGGACTGCGCGTTGCCAGTGCCGTCCCTCATAATCTCTCCTCCGTGACTTTTGACTACATCGTCGTCGGGGCTGGCTCGGCTGGACTGACCGTGGCCAGTCGCCTGTCAGAGGATCCGTCTGTCTCCGTGGCCATCGTCGAGGCAGGTACCTGGTCCGAGTTGGTGACGGGCAACCAGAGCCAGATTCCGGGACATGACTTTTACTACAATGGCAAATCGCCTAGCGACACGAACCCCAAGGTGGAATGGGGGTTTGTCACTACTCCGCAGGCTGTATGTCACCCTCCTCCATTTATTTCTTTTACTCACAACAACAGGGAGTCAACGGGCAATCCATTCACTACAGCCGCGGCAAGTCGGTAGGCATCTCATCCCAGCCCTAATTGTCACCCGCTAACCGCTCAGCTTGGTGGCTGCACCAACCTGAACTACATGGGCTATACCCAAGCCACCGAAGGATCGCTGCAGCTGTGGGCCGACACCGTGGGCGATGCCTCGTACGCCTACAATGCCTCGTCGTACTATTACCGCAAGAGCTTGAACTTCACTCCCGCCAACACACAGCTCCGCCTTGCCAACGCCACCACCGAGGCCCCTAACTCCATCTCCACGGGGGGGCCGCTGCACATCACCTTTCCCTCCTGGGCCCAGAGCTTTAGCACTTGGATCTCCATCGCCATGAATGCCATGGGCATCCGGTCCACCGAGCCCTTCACTAATGGCCACCTGAACGGCTCTTCCTGGGTGGCTTTGACCATCGATCCGACCACCGGCCATCGAGCCTCCGCCGCAACCACCTTTCTTGCCAGGGCTGCCAACCGACTGAACCTACATATCTTCGACCTCAGCCTGGCCGAACGCATCCTCTTCGACCCGCACCGCGTCGCCCGCGCCGTCAAAATCACCTCCCTCACCAACACCACCCAGCCCACCAACATAACCACGACTCTCCATGCCCGCCGTGAGATCATCCTCTCCGCCGGGGCTTTTCAAAGCCCTCAGCTCCTTCTCGTTTCTGGCGTTGGTCCCGCCTCGCTGCTCAAGCAACACAACATCCCTCTTGTCGCGGACCGCCCAGGTGTGGGCCAAAACATGAGCGACCATCCCTTCTTCGGAATCGCCTACCGAGTTAACGTTGAGACCTCCTCCGCCCTGCAATACGGCGATGCCAACGCCCTGGCCACTGCGGAGTTCAACGCAAACGGTACCGGTCCCCTCGCCAGTCCCGGGGGCGACTTCGCCGGCTACGAGAAACTGCCCGCCCCCCTCCGCACCTCCTTCTCCAACACCACTCGCGCTGATCTCTCTCGTCTACCTTCGGACTGGCCAGAGGTCCAATACCTCACTCTCCCTGACTTTGTGGGGGACTTTGAGTCCAGGACTGCTTCTGCGCCGACGGACGGATATCAATACGCTACGCTGCTGGCCACACTGATTGCTCCATCCTCCCGCGGAAACGTCAGCATCTCTTCCTCGAGAATGTCTGACCCGCCGTTGATTAACCCAAACTGGTTAACTACGGAGCAGGATGTCGAGATGGTAGTGGCGGCGTTCAAGCGGCTGAGACAGATTCTGGAAGCGCCCGTTATGAAGAACGTGACGATCGGAGAGGAGTATTATCCGGGTAGTGAAGTGAGTACGGATGAGGAGATCTTTGCTCAAATTCAAAAAAGCTTTAATACTATGTACCATGCGAGTACGTCGTGTCGGATGGGGAGGAAAGAGGATCCATGGGCGGTGGTGGATAATCGGGCGAGAGTGTTTGGGGTGGAGGGTTGTGAGTATTCCTTTTCTCGCCCTCGCTTACTCGTTGATTGATTTCTTGCTTTTTCGAGATAACCAGGGTCGCGAGCGAGGATAAGTGCTAATTGATAATACATAGTGCGCGTCGTCGACGCCTCTGCGTTTCCGTTTCTACCTCCGGGATTGCCGCAGGCTACTATTTGTGAGTTTTCTTTTGTTCTTTCTTTTTCCTCCTGTAGTAGATTGGACTATCAACTAACATGAATATTGGATAGATATGCTAGCAGAAAAGATCGCTGATGATATCAAAAAGGGCCGGTGAATTTGCGTCCGGCCCAGGGGTATGGATTGTACGATGGGTGTGATAAAATGGTCGTGTCATGGATATAGAATTGCTTGTTACTTACATCGATTTAGTCTAGTTTCATGTTATAGAGATAGATTTGGATTGTTTGATGCCACTGCAATGTCTGCGTGAGTAGGTACAATGTGGTTGAATTAGGGTTACCCACCCCTGTCTAGTTGTGTTGCACAACGGCGCAACTGAAAGTTGAAATAAAGTGTGGCGGTAGTACAGCCACGAATCTAGCTGTGAAACCAACAAATGAGTTTATTGGGACTACTAGTGTGTTCTTCTGGATGAGTGTGTGCAAGGCAGGAATTGTTCCTCGAGTGGTTTAATGCGTTGTTCCTGATGCATGGCAATGGTGGTTGTATATTTATTTCATCCCAGCACATGCACACGACCATGTAAATCCCACACAGCTAAAAATCTGCTCACTCAGAGACTTTATCCCATTCCATACTATTCACTCCATCGTAAAAACACGACCGACAATTCACCTTGAACCACAGCCAAACCAACACCCTTCCAATTACATCCTACCACCCCATCAACCTACCTTGACCCCAACGACAAATGCATAAGAATACCCAACCCCCAAACATAATCCCATCAATCAAGTCCGTTGCATCAACCAGGTCCCATAGCTCAGTTGGTTAGAGCGTAACGCTAATAACGTTAAAGTCGAGGGTTCGAGCCCCTCTGGGACCATCTTTTTGATCAGCATCTTTTTATGCTAGAGATACGGATAGATCCATAACAGACCCACCCACCCATACACAAAAAAGGTGAAATCGTCGGATTGAAGTGGTCAGACATATCCATGATCATCAACCACCCTCCTCTCTCCCTATATATAATAATCTATATAGACACCCCCGGCCAGAAACCATATCAATTCACATCCCCATCCACATCTCCATACCTATCTTCATTTCCCCTTAGGCAATAACACAAGCTCAATCTCCCTCCCTACCCCCTCATCCACATCTTCCACATCCTCCACCCCCTCCAACAACCCCGACAACCCATTCTCGCCTCTTTTCCCCACGCCCCCCTTCCTACCCAACGTTCCTCATCCTCCGAAGATAATTCCGTTCGTAGCGCCTCAATATCCGCACATCTCGCTCCCAAGCCTTGAGTATCGGACATGTACCCCAAAGAAAAGGTTCCCCGGTAATTCGGGAGAGCTTTTCGTCATCGATTCGCCATTCGTGGAATAGTTTCCGGTTGGCGCGGATTCTGTGGATGAGGTGGGTGTATTCGGATATGTGAGGGGGGTGGGAGTTGGAGTTGGGTGGGGGGGTTATGGGGCGAGGGGTGGGTGGTGAGGGGGTGGATGTGGAGCGGAGGTTATAGGAATGGGAGTGGGAGTGGGATTGGGAATGGGGAGTCTTTGGGTGATAGTTGGGTTGGGGATGTCTGTCCAGGGTGGTGGGCTGGGGCATTTTCTTCTTTTATAAGGTGGGTTGGGTGGGAAATCAAGGAGGGAATGGAGATGAAATTTGCATGATATGAGGTGGGTTATGGATGAGGAGCTACCTACTTATATAGGGGAAATGAATAAGTTGGGGTCTGGTCATCTTTGTAATTGTTCTCCTAGCCCAGAGACATCTCCTTTGTTCTAGCTGGGAGATTTTGATAGAACAAAGAAAGATTTCTTGAGTTTCGTAGGAAAATTCCTATACGCAGGGATCTTCCATAACTTGGGCTCGATGGAGAGATTAGTCCATTTTATTGGATAGAATTTATAGGATAATACCGATATATGTGAAAGACTACAAAAACAGGTATGTTTGGTCCTTACCGGTATTCAAAATGCAGTTTTCCATACCATTCTTGGGGCATTGCGTATCAGATCATGCGTCTAAACTGACGACATAAGCATACCACCCCATTAAGCACAAAACAACCACCCTCATAAAACACTGCACTACTCTGCAACCTCAGCCTCCAAAATCGCCTGCGTCGCCAACGCCGACCTCCAAACCCTCACCACCCGATACCCCGCCTCCCCCAACAACCCCCGCCACTCCGTCTCCGTCCGCTCCTTCCCAGCCACCATCACCATCATGGTCAGATCATACGCCGTGGCATGTGGATGGGCCTCCATCTCGGGAACAACATGATCATGGACCAACAGTCGACTATATCCTGCTTTCAAGGCGCCCCTTAACATCTTTAGGATGTTTTTCGCAGGCTCATCAGCCCAATCATGTAATACGCCGTGGAGGTAGTAGATTCTTGAACCTATCAATCCCACATTAGAATAATACAGTATGTATCTGGGCCAGAAATATACCTCTAACCGGCTGCTCCTCGAAAAAATCATGCACCATCTTAACCACCGGATCCGGACACTTCGATACCTTCACCACGGGCTCGAGGTCCTGGAGGTAGAGTCGCTCCGCGGTGTGTGGGTACGCGGTACGGAATTTCTCGAGGTCGTAGCCGATGTTTCCTCCTACGTCGACGATGAGAGGTGAGTTCGGGTCCGAGTTCTCCAGGAAGTGGGCAGGCGGGATGATGTCGAGCCAGCTGGCTTGGTTGGCCATTACGGCGCCCATGACGTGGTTGAAGGAGGCGCCTTCGCGGGGGTGAGAGGCGTAGTATTGGAAGAGATCGCCGTGGTAGTTTTTGGTGGATTGGAAGATTCCGGTTGTTGGGGAGGTGGGGTTGGTGTAGGAGGTTTGGTGGAGGTAGGTGGGGAGGTGGAGGTAGCAGGGGAGGGTGGCGTCGTAACTATTGGGGTTGAGTTAATGGTTGAGGGTGAGGGGGATGGAGGGTAGGTACAGGAAGTTGATCCATTCGCCGAAGATGGGTTGGAGGAGGGAGAGCGAGAATGGGGTTGGTTTGAAGGTATTGGGGGAGGTTTCTTCGAGGATGTGGTTTGCTGCGAGGTGGCGGAGGATGCGGGCTATACCCGCTAGGTTAGACGGCGTCGTTTTAGGGTTATTGTGGGTGGGGTGTGGATGTACCGAGGAGAACAGGATCGCAATGGACCATGGTTGCTAGGTCGTTGCTGCTCTCTGCGTTGTCACCCCGTTCGTGCCATTTCTCGAATAGCTGCAAGCCCTTGGCTACTTTCAGGCTGGCCCCGAGGGCAGGCTGTAATGGGTTATTGGCTGTTCGAGCAGAGGGTGGAGGAACGGACCTGTGTCATGCCGATTCTTGCTACTGTCTCCCATGGTGTCTCGAGTCGGCTGACAAGCGCATATGCGGCGAGGAGAGCCTTGTTCCGATCACCATCGTTGACGAAGCTCTCGGCCGTAAGGGTGTTTAAGGTCGTCAGAACAGTTTCGATGGGCTGGGTGTGTGCGGTCATGATTGCGATCGATTCAGAAGTTGGACGGAGCAAATAATCGGAGGTGTTTCTGCAGAGAGGGGAATTTATGTATTGCTCGGAGTGTCATCACACGTGGATTATGTGTCAAATAGAGGCTGGTGGAAGAAACCTGGGATCGGCGAAATATTGATCGCGATTGAATGCATGTCAGATACAAAGAACCCTGTCATAATTCCTGACTTGGTATGTCGCTGAAATAAACTAGCTGCCTCTATTGAAGGTAATTTTATCAGCAGAAGGTAACCTATAGGAATTTTATGGGGCCCGTGGCATCCCGCCGGGGCTCTGAAGACATGAGTACTCCTGAGATATGCCGATTCTCCGTCTGTCGGCAAATGGTTTGAGCCAGCTGGATCCAATATAATCTAAAGGCACTCGTCATATTTCATCGCTGAAATCCCGGGTAAGTGTCGACTAGTGATGATGCTTGAGCTCATCTCAATCCAAAACTCGTTAGTGTCGAGTCCAGCCCTGACCTGCATCACTAGCGACTGAGATCAGCTTTTCGCTGATGGAGAAGGTGACATCAATTCGGGAGGGACGGCACGGTGATCCTTCCCATGACAGGCAAAATGCAGCTTTCCAGTCCAGGGATTGATAAAACCAATACCCTGCGGGGTTGCTTTCGATGTTCTGGAGGATAACCGGTGGGCCAAGGTATGTTGCAGAAGCAGCCACCAAACTTAATTCTCAGGGGAAACGGGCGAGAGCTCATACTGATGTAGATCAACATCCGAAATGGGATACTGCTTCCAAGAGCATGATATGACATATATACCGCTGATCACCGTGCATCAACCATCCCCTTGCATATATGGGGTGCTTTGAACAATCCTGCAGCCGAAATATCCGCGGATCATGCGCTGACTATGTTGTCAGAGATGCATTGCAATAAGTGGCATGGCATCGCTTGAAATGAAACCATTATATCGGACGATCACTATGACTGTGAGGTGCCCGTCAACTTACCTATGCGTCACCACTAGAGGCATCTGACCTGGATATGCATCGGCAGAATTGGTTCCTAAGCCCGGTATTAACCCCGGAATCGGATTGGTTGGTGGTCATTCTCCACGATCTATGTCTCACACCTAACCGAAAAAGTCTTCAATGATCAACACGCTTAAGAGGAATAAGTGACTATTCTACTAGTGCACGAAAAATCTGGTACTCAGCCCTGTAGTAGACATGGAATTATTCAACTACTTCTGAACTAGTTGCCAGGGCGATAATGAATTGACTGGTCACATTATTGAATGACATGTCATAGACTCACAGTCCTTCTAGCGATGGTGATCCTGAAAACCTTGAATTAACAATACAATATATGGATCATGGCTCGCTTTCGGAGAACAGAGCGAACCTAATCACTTTTCAGACCTTGTAATTTCAATGATACGTTCCCGGTCCGTTGTTTGTCAACACCCATGCATCGTATCAAAACCCGCTTCACCCGTTTACACAAGAATGATCATGTCATCCCTTCATGATTTCTTCCATCGCAAGTCCACTGGCTCGTTGTTGGAGAGAAAATGCGCTAGAATACAGTTGAACAGACAGTAGGTAGAAACACTGCGGGACTTCGGATGAGCGGCCAGCCACGGCTGCCGTGCCGACTAACCCTAAACACCGCGGATATAGCCATACATCCGGTCCCGGTCACCGTCATCTATCTCCGTCGGGCTCTATCGTCTCTTATATACAGATATAATATTATAAACCCCTTACAATGAATACTCTGCAACAACCAAGCGACACCAAACCAGACGACACCCATAGCCCACCCATCAGTATACATCATGACCGAACCAACCCCCCCAACCGAGCTCGGTCGTCTCCGCATCCTCTCATCCACCGCAGGCATTCGCGTCTCCCCTCTCCAACTAGGCGCCATGTCCATCGGTGACGCCTGGGCAGGTCTCATGGGCTCCATGAACAAGCCTTCCGCCTTCAAACTCCTCGACACCTTCTACGAGTCCGGTGGAAACATCATCGATGCCGCCAGTAACTACCAGAACGAGCAGTCCGAGAAATGGATCGGGGAATGGATACAGGCCCGCCAGAACCGTGACTCCTTGGTCCTGGCCACCAAGTTCAGCATGGACTATCGCAGTCATGAAGTGGGAAGGGGTCCCCAGGCAGCCAATTTTGCGGGAAATTCCCGCCGTAGCATTCATGTTGGGATTCGGGATTCATTGAGGAAGTTGCAGACTGATTATGTTGGTGAGTCTACGTGAATTAAACCTTGGTGGTGATACTTGCTGATAGGATTCGCATAAGACATCTATTACATCCACTACTGGGACTACACCACCTCCATCAAGGAGATCATGGACGCACTACATATCCTCGTCGAGCAGGGCAAGGTGCTATACCTCGGAGCATCGGACACCCCTGCTTGGGTGGTTGCAGCGGCCAATACCTACGCCATAGCCCACGGTAAAACCCCCTTCAGCATCTACCAGGGACGGTGGAATGTCTTGAACCGTGATTTTGAACGCGACATTATCCCCATGGCTCGTCATTTTGGTATGGCGCTTGCACCGTGAGTCACCCCAAACCACAAAAACCACATCCAGCAAGCTAACTCAACCAAAACCGTGGCACAGATGGGACGTCCTCGGCGGAGGCAAATTCCAAACCAAAGCTGAACTCGAACGCCGCGAATCTACCGGAGAAACCCTGCGCAATTTCGGTGGTCGACCTCCCTATCAGCTCGAGGACGAGGTCAAGATGAGCGAGGCGCTGGCAAAGGTTGCCTCGGAGCATAATATCGAGTCGGTTACTGCTATCGCCCTGGCGTATGTCATGTCCAAAGCGGGAAATGTGTTTCCTGTTGTGGGTGGGAGGAGGATCGAGCATCTCAGGGATAATATCCAGGCTTTGAGTATTAAGCTGACGGATGAGCAAATTGGGTATTTGGAGAGCGTGAAGCCTTTCAATATTGGGTTTCCGCATAATTTTGTTCCGCCGGATCCCAATGTCTCAGGGCAGTCGTTTTTGATTGCGAGGACGAATGCGATTAAGTTTCCGAATGCGAGGAAGTTGACTTCTTTGTGAGGATTAGTTCAGGGGGGATTGAAAGGTGTGGGAGGTAGATGAAGGTTTTGAATGAAGGACTTTGAGTTTCTTGGAAAGGATTCATAGAGCTTCCAGGCTGGTGTGGTTATGCCATGCGAGGCGATACTTGGTGAGGTGGACTATAGCGGCCATCGGGCATATGGGGTTCCCAAGTTGAGGATCGGGTAAATGCTTTCGATTAAGCACCATTAGTCTTCGAGTTCTTGCGATTGGACATGAAGAAAGCTGGCGGCTTTTACTTAGGATAGTTTTTTATGATATCGCAATCAATGAAGCACGGAATGCCTTTGCCTGATGGCCACCGTAGTCCGCCTCACATATCAACCAAAGATTGATATATTGATGAAAAGCCATACTCCAAACCAAAAACAGTTGAAGGCAACAAGCGAATGCAGTTCATAGATAGTTGCACCACATGCATCTCAACTTGTACCAACCCGCGCTGAACACCAAGATCGCTGAAAACGAAAGAAAGCACTCTCATCAAGTACCACTCACAGAAGTATACCGCAGCAGCCATGTAGTATCCTGAGCTCCCTCCTTGGACTCTTGATTATCCTCACTCATTTGCCTCCTCAATACATCCCCATTGAAAATCACCTTCTTATGCACCACAAAAAGCTTCAAAACCGGCTCCTCATCATACTTATCCTCTCTATCACCTCTCGCATTGCGACACTGTCGTCCACACGCCCCAGGCGACCCACGATGCACCACAATCCTCCTCGGACAGAGATAAGTTTTCTTAACACCCCACTCAGGATAAAGTTCCATCCACTCATTGGCCGGTCTTGTCTTCTCCAGAAAGCTTGTATCCCCATCATCAATTGTCTCCATCCAGGTGCTCACTTCCACAGCATTCAGGTACCGTTTCTCTTCCAGCCAAGTCTGCAATTTCAGAATTCCGAGATAGCGTGCTTCTTCGAGGAGTGCGGCATAGAGAGCGTAGTCATGGCCTTTGTCTGGCGAGTAGAAGAGCGGATAGATGCCCCGTCGGAGGTAACGCAGGATGTGTTCAAAGAGAGTGGGATCCACGTCGATGAAGTAGCTTCCGTCGGGGAGGGCGTTGCTGGTCCATCGGCTGGAGAGAAGGGAGTCCAAGAAGGTGCTTTCGCTTAGGGTGGAGCGGGTGGTTGTGAAGATGCGTTCGCCGACTTGGAGGGTGAGGCGGCGGTCTGGAGGGGATGAGGGGGATGGAGTGGTCATGGTGGTGATGGGTGTGCTGCGTAAATGAGCTGGGGAGAGAGGAGTATGAGGAGTCAGGAGGGAATGCCCGCTGCGTGGATTATAGTGAACTGGTTCTGGAAGGACGGGGTCATTTGTATGGTGGGATTCAAGTCCGATCTTCAAGTCCGATTGATGATGTGTGCATGTCATCATTTAGGAACTTTGGCATTGAAGCGCGGGACCCAATGAATGATGATCTGCTTGATGGACGGCAACTGGCCTAGATGGCAGACTATGTCTAATTCATTCATTACAATCGCACATGGAAATGATGAATGTATACACAATTCTCTTGTATCCAGCCTTGCTCCTAATTAGCTTGATATCACCAATTCTCGTCCCCTACACAGCTCACGATGCAAGTAATTGGATTCTATCTACAGAAAGGTTCAGATAATAGTTTTAAAGAATCTCGCTAGTTACATTAGACACTTCCTAGGATTGAACCGTATGAACCTTTTCACTAGAAGAAGTTGATATCTAGTCTTGACCTCACAGCCTGCGAGCTTGTTTTCGTCGCCATTACAGTACTGGTAAATCTTGTCCTCCTGACGGATCAATTGATGCTCAACATGTCCACACGGCGGTAGAGATTCGTGATGGCGACGAGTATCGGATATCGTCTTCAGTGTTAGACTGACCTCCACAGCGTCGTGATATCCTTCATTTTTCAGCCAATCCCCCAAGCTGTGAATCCCAAAGTACCTAGCCTCACCAAGAAGGGCCAAATACATGTGATAGTCGTGGCGGCACTTGTCATAGTCGTAGAAGATCGGGAAGACTCCACGACGAAGGTATCGGAGGACGTGCTCAAATAGGTTGGGATCAGCATCGACATAGTACGAACCGTCGGGAGACTTGGAATTCCATCGACCAGAAAGAAGAGATGCAAAAAAGGTACTTTGATGCACCAGTGTTTCGCGGAGTGTTTTAAAGGTCTGCCCTCCCACTTCCAAGACAATCTGTCCTTCCGGGGAGTCGCAGGAGGGTGTGCTGGATGCCATTGTCGTACTCTTTGGCTGTGTTGTGAGTGAGACCAACCTCTTAGAAACTGAAGTGGGGAAAGTGCTATATATTGACTTGGGGTTGTGTATGTCACGTATGCATCATGTGTCGGTCTAGTAGCTAAGAGTGACATCAAATTGTGGACCAGACATCAGATATGATATGGCCAGAAAGGCCTTTCTGATAGTGATAAATTAGATAGCTCAGGGGATTGTATCCCACTGGTATGGAAGCAGCGAACTGATCATCATTAGTGGTGGTGTCATCAGCAACTAATTCGCACAAAGCCCATAAGGGAGTGCATTATGCGCCCGCACGATAACTTAAGAAAGGAAACTCAACTACGTGTTTCTATTAAAGAAATAAGTTTCCATCAAGAAGCATCATTGGTCTAGTGGTAGAATTCATCGTTGCCATCGATGAGGCCCGTGTTCGATTCACGGATGATGCACAATGATTCTTTTTTATTTCAGAAACCGAACCAACCAATCTTGGTCATTGTTTTGCTTCACAATGATCGAGTTTCTTTGTCGACAACAACCGTCTTTGTTCTTTGACCTTTCAGGCACCCTCCCCATGCGTTTCATCCATTCAACATCAATAATACAGAAATTCATCTCGCTCCTTTGCATGAAATCGGAAGGTCTCACACCTCTTTCATCAGATATCAGAGACCACCCAACCTACCAGTCGACCAACCGACTAGACTGACGAGCTGGTCACTGACTGACAATCCGGGGGGCTTCTCTTGCTTGTCCTGTTCATCTTTCTTCTTTACATTATCTTATTACACTCTTCAACTCCACGCTCATACCGCCATAACGAACACGAGGAGCTTTATATCTATAAACATGGGGGCATCGTCACTAAGATAACCAACTCGGAACCTCATCGGAATGTGACTATCCTATCATCCTAACCAGCAACGAGTAGAGTAGATAATGCATTGTTCGGACTGTCTTTGTTTTGATTAACATCAGGTTCCCTTTGTCCACTTCTTCATCGCCTTGTATTTTCCCTCACACTTCTCTTTATCAGCAGAGGGGTCGCCAAGTAAACACACACCCGCAAAGTCTATTCCCATAAAAGATACTTCTCAGCCAACATCTCTCGCAAAATATCTCTTTCCCTCAATGCCCAAATGGAGAGTCTCCAGTTCCAAAGACCTCCATCCTATATTCAATAGTCAATTGACCTCAACACCCTACATCATCCTACCCACGTCCTCTACTTTCACGCCTCACTTGAGTTATAGAACCAAATAAACTCTTTTCCCTTTATCCTATCCTACTTCTCCAGCCCCCCGGTATATCCCTACTATACATAGACTCAATACCGACACCGCACGGATCCTTCCAAAGTCAAATTCCGACCCCGCCAACACAACAACAGATATATATAGCCATCTCTCCCCCGGTCCCCCCAGAGTACAAAGTAAACCATCCATCTTCCAGTCTTGTCTTCGTCTCCAGCCAGCCCCTATTACCCATACCACCTACATTCCAAACCCACAATGTCCGACTCCAACATCGCGAACCACCTCGACGAGACAAACAAACTAAGAATCATTAACGAAGAATCTACCGATGATTTGAAGCGAGCCAAGGAAGTGGACTTGGTTGATGTCTGGAAGAAACGGGACAAGTTGATGGAGTACATTGCGTTGTTGGTTGTTGAGTTGAGAGAGGCGCATGGGCGGGATATGAATAGAAGGATTAATGCTTTGATTAAGAAGTCGCAGCAGTCTGTTGAAGATCTTGATGCTGTGCTGTATAGGTGGAATTGATGGGGGTATTGATGTCTTGTTTAGGGAGGGGAGGGGAGTGGGGGGTTGGTGGGTTGGTGATGATGGTGTGGAGGGTCTGCAGAGAGGGTGTCGGTATTAGCAAGGTCGTTCGTTTGATGTTGTCGCTAGCTTGGTGATGTTTTGAAGATGAATTGATTTATGGTCGTGCTGAGTATTTTATTGCTAGACTTTGTAACATTCGAGTTGGGCTTTCTAGGGTTTGACGATATAAGACTAATAATAGGAACTGGATCTCAATCTTACCATAACCCCGAACAAGATCTAAGGGGTAGGTAGGGTGGGAGGAGGTCAGTTCTGTTCCTTAAGTCTGAGAAAATCTCTAAAGAATATGGTATCACATCTATTTATCTTGTCGATACGAGTCGGTCACTAAAAACCAGTGTGAGGGGCAGGATATGGTGCTTCATTTGCAGAGACTCTTATTCAATGATTGATGCGAATCTACTATAACATGTCTTACATTGATCAATAATGGTTACTAGTCCATTCCAGCAAATTGCCATCCTCATCAGAACCATCAACCATCAACCCTTCACGTCTCTACTATTCTGCACACACCACTTGACATGCTCAAACACCTTCCAATAGACATCTCTCGCAGCATTCTTCCCTATGATAAGATCCAGGTGTCCATACCCTTCTGCGAGGAACCGGCGATAGAGATGCTCCCCAAACCGACGGCGTAACATCTCGTAATCTCGGAGAGTGGACTCAGGCTTGAAGACCTCGTTGAACGTTCCAGAAATAAACAAAATTGGCAGACCCTCCAAGTAAAGAATATTTTTCTCCGTGAGAAGAGGATTGAGCTCGTTGTCTAAGCACGCCCCATGAGTTCCCATGCGCGTTACATGTTCGAGGATCTTCGTATGAGTATCTCCAAAGAATTGTCCCACATTATCATGGATATTGGTATCAAGATTTTGGTGATTCCAGCACAGCCCGAATGCAAATGTGGTTCGATGGCAAAGTTTGGATGTGCATATGTCTCGCCGGTTTTCTACCGGGTAGAACCGCAGCAGTACGTCGAGCACTTTTTGAAAAAGACCATTGTCATCACGGCTGCCGATAGGATAGTATGTTCCCGAGATAAACTCGTATATACGGATCAGAAGTGTGGTGGCCGCCTTGACAGAGTTCCAGTAAGCAAGGACCTGGTTCATGAACACGGAGTTCGCTGTGATACCGAGTAGCTGGGTCCGGTCAATGGTGTCGTCAAGCAGACCCATAGCGAGAGCCACAGACCCTTGACAGTGGGCTACCACATACGGTTTTTGTCTTTGGTGGTGGAGAATGTGTTGCAATGCAGCTGCGATGTCTAGACGGCAGTCAAAAACCGTGCACCCGGCTGCTACGCTGGAATCACCGCCCCAGCGAGGTGACAAGACGAAACAGCAGCATCCCCGTGCGGTGAAATACTCAACCATGTTGCATCGTAGGTACGGTAACGCAAAGGTACTATGTGCGGCATTACCAGTAACTCCGGGAAGTAGTAAGATTGGCTGAGGACCAAGGCCTTGACTCATGAAGCCTTTGTCCATCGGCAGCGGCTCGTATTCTTCCAGGCGCACGGTGACATCATCCTTCGTTCTCAGTAGGTGGGTGACTGATGGTCGCTTTTTTGGGCCGATAGAAGAGAAGCGGTTGGTCTTCCGGGCCGGGGAGAGGAGACGAAAGAAGACGAAAGCTAACTGGAGAGCGAAATAACTGAGGAAGATGATCAGCGCAAGAAGACCCAGTCTGAAGGATCCTGTTGGCCGAAAAGTCGTTATCTGCCGGTTGAACGAGGGCCATGAAATGTGGAGAACACCGGCTCCCACTCTCGCACCATCTCGAGTGATGCGGACGTTGAGCTTAGTTGTGGCTTCCCATATACGGCTGACAGAAAAGGATGATTCTGAATCAATCTGCTTGTAACCATCCGCATGGTATCGCACATTCTCCAGTGAGAATAGCTGTAAAGAATATGTGAGCGTTGTAGAATCCGCCTGCTCTTCTGGTTGCACAAAGAACCGAATCTTGCCATCTACGACTCTCATCGGACCTCGAGATAGTGCACTACAAGACACGGTTCCGGTACACACTCCCTCGTATTGCAGTCCAAACGTATCTAGCACTGTAAGAATCTTATCATGCATGGCATGTGATCACTCACCTGTTCTCCAACAGATCTCAATGGTGAGAAACATCCGCATCACTGACGATGAGCCCTTTCCCAGGGTCTCGCATGCTATAAAGTCTAGATCATTTGGCTGTGTGTTTATATGGCCTTCGAGGATCTCAGAAAACTGCCACCCGATTGGCGATAATGACTTGTCGATGCCGTTCTCACGATGTCGTGATACCCTTGGTTTTGAGCAGGCATCAAGGCTCCCATTTGAAGTTGTCATGTCGGTAGTAAATCGACGCTTCTTGGCAATCAGATCCACCGATCGCTCAGCAAGGGCAGTTATCGTTGCAAGAGGATTTACGCCTAACGGGTTAACACCAATAAGTAATGAGGAATGAGCTACCCACCCAATGCAGCTGGGACAACAGAGCCGTCGCAGCACACGAGACCCTCATGCTTCTCACTTCCATGTCCCGTATACACCTGGCCCATGTGGTTTGTGACACCTTCACGACCTGTACCGTCTCTGCTCATATTAGCTCCTCCGAGCGGATGGACGGTGACCTCTTCCTTCTGAGAACCTGCAGACCTTAGCGCAGCCAACCAACGGCGAAGGGGACCTACCAGACAACATAGGCAAACAGCCAATCTTTCCTCCTGCGCGGCTGACCATGTTACCCAGCATGTTTCTGAGGTTGGTACAATTCTCTGACCGCCCCTCTCCAGGACCACTCAGAATTAACTGATCATTCTTCAGCACGAGGGTGAGCTCATTACTATCGTGTGACATAACTAAATAGGTCGATGTGCGTTGCAAAGCATCTCCAACAGACGGGTTCAAGATCCGAGATTTAAGACTGTAGATGGCCTTCCAACACTGAGATACGGCACCCGAAAGCGATAAGGCAGTTGGATACCGCATTGTTTGCAGCATGAGAGTGACTCGGAAGAAGGGACTTAATGGCCTCGGGATGCACCCGTCTTCAATGACATGACCGGCAAGAGCATCCTTTGAGCTCCCCCCTCTACGATCCACCACTCCGGTGATTGTTGGACCCGGTCGGCTTCCAGAGCTGGATGGTCCTGAGATACCGTTGGCCTTGACATCACCGTTGTATCCTGAACTCGATATCAGTTTTGCACCTTACTGGAATCGCTAGACTGACCGAAAACCAAGATGTCCCCGTTTCCAGACACATTTCTTCCAATCATTGGTGAGACTGGGAGGCCGTACTCCCTCGAACGAAGCAGAATCTCTGTTGTCCCTAACGCACCGGCCCCAAGAAAGCATAAATCGTTCTCATCAGCGCACCACATAGTCAGCCCAAGCTTGTAAGAATCAGATTTAGACATACTGCTTTCACCCAAAACAACTGGGTTTTGACGTCTTCAGCAAACGCTGACCTCCCCCTCCCATGCCAGGCAAAGTATACCACGTAGCCTTTCTCCGGTGCCTGCTCGATGTACCGGACCTCGCATCCGCAAAAAATCTCAGCGCCCCAGTTCCAAGCATCTGTGAGGTATGTGGTAGGAACCGAGTTCTTAGATCCGTCATTCAGACCGGTACTCTCATTTCCCGATCCGCCATTTCCTTGCATCATCACACCAACGTGATTGCGACCGCGACGAAAGAAAGTTGTGAGGGGGGCACGGTAGAAAGTTTGTGCCTTCCCCAGCCATCCTGCTTGTTTCTGAATGGTGTCCAATTTGGCCAGCGGTGGGTGGTTCTCTGGGTACGGGGAAGGCTGCAGCATTTCTGCCGCCCGTGAGTAGTCTAGCAAGGGCTTAGTGTTTATCTCATGGAACTGTTGAACATGACTTACAAGCCTGCAGGGCGGAGGCTTCTTTCCGGATCTCCGGGGGCCATGGGCTCATCTGTAAGGTCTGTTGATCGGCTTCCAGGAAAACTCCGGCATTGATAAGCGAGCAGCCACCTAGTGCTGTATGATGGTCCAACGATGTTAATGTATTGCCCCAGGAATAGTAGCCATAAGGTTGTCACCATGTAGACATACCACGAGCGACCAGAGCGTGCTGTCCATCTCCTAGGATCAGCTGGAACAGGCGAGTGCGTTTGTCGGTAACGAGCCATCGCGAGGTCCCCGAGATGCTGAGTTCCCTCGAACATTGCCACAGAGAACACGGGAACGAGCCGGCTGCAGTATAAGTTAGTCATGGCGACCCAATGGACCAAGCATCGTACGTCGTCTCTCCCAACCAAGTTCTAGCACGGCCACGCTCTTGCCAGCTCGAGCCATTCGACTCGCCGCGACGCCGGCTCCATACCCAGATCCAACAACGACCACGTCATATTGGGTTTCCATTGACCGGCAGGGACGGGATAGGTGGGGGTAATCGTCGGGTCGTGCACCATCCGCAGTGGCCATGGTTGAATAAAGTGCCTTAGTTTGGGGAAAGGTGCGCACTTGCAGAAGAAAGATGAACTTCAGATGGGAAGGCAGTCGAGGGCATTTCCGCCGTCCCCCTCGACTGGCGGCACATTTCTTTTCTCCTTGCAGTGTCCTGGAGCTGCAGCCCAAAGCTGAAGATAAGGCAGCCGGGCGAATACGACGGGGCGCGGGGATTGGTTCCCTTCAGCTGCTGCGGCCGGTGGCTGAAGTCAAATTGCAAGCAAGAGCGCAAGTGTCCGTGGCTGTCTCCAGGCTCAGTTTGCCTGGTCGTTCAATTCCCATGGAGGGGTTTGATGGTGTCGAAAGAAAGTTCCACGAAGACATGGGGAGGGTTTGCAAGGTAACATTTGGCGGGGAGTGGGACCATGGGAGGGAGGATGGCGGGGATGGAAGGGAAGAAATCCGGGGGGAGAAAACCAAAGTAAGAATGGAGATTTCCCGCTCGGAACCCTGCTCACCGCCCCACCCGGCCGCAGTCGTTTGCTGTCTACACTCTAGATACCTAGTAGTATATGGTACTATTGTTTCTTTGCTTCTTTTGACAGACAATCGATTTTCTTGATTGACAATGATTTCCTGCACGGTCAATTAGCCGGATGAACTTCGGAAATAGTGCTTTTCTCCGACTGGCTGGCCATCTCGGTGGTTTTCTGGTTCTAGCCCATCCATCCACTCGCGGTCCACCGGTCGCATGAGCTTGATCTTGGCAACACACACGTAGAGCTTCTTCCGGTCGCATTTACTGAGAATTTGCTATGGAAAAGATAGGCTCAGATAGAAAGATTCTCAGCGGTCCAGATACTGCCAAAACGGAAAAAGAAAAGAAGAAAAAAGAGAAAGGACCCGAATCGGCCACCTTCCCTTGTTCTGTTAATAAATTGCAACTTGACTGCTAACTCGGCATATACATTCCACAAATCTAGTAAAGATATATATGAGCGCAATTAAAAGAAAGAACGACGCTTGCGAGATTCAGTCAAATTGTATCGATGTCCAGCACCCATACCCTACAGCTTCTCAAACGTCGGCTTCCTCTTCTGAATCCCCGATAACAGCGCCGCCGAAACATCTTTGGTCTGCACCATCGCACTGTTCCAGACCGTGGTGTATCGCAGTCCTACACAGCATTAGCACCTCATACCTCGTGAAGAAAACATGTACTCACCCTCCTGCACCGTATGATCCCTCGAATAATTCAACAACTCCTTCGTCCCCTGTACCGCAACCGGACTCTTCGTCGCGATCAGTCCCGCCAACTCCAACGCCCCCTGTACAGCCTCCTCTTTATGCCCAAACACCCGATTCACAAACCCCACTCGTAATGCCTCCTCGGCTCCAAACGTCCTCGCTGTCAATGCCACCTCCTTCACCCACCCAAAGTTCCCCACCACTTTGGGCAGCCGACTCAATGTCCCGATATCCGCCGCCAGCCCGATATCCACTTCCTTCACGGCGAATCGCACGTCGGATGAGCATAGGCGCACATCTGCCGCAACGCTGATGTCGATGGCGAGTCCGAGAGCAATGCCGTGGAGGGCCACAATCACAGGCTTCTCGCATTTTTCGATGGACGAAATGCAGTCTTGGAAGGAGACGATGTGACGGCGGAGGTGGGCGGCTCGGCGGGCAGAATCCAGGTCAGATTCGGGCGAATCGGAGAGGAGGCCTTCCGAGGCGGCCTTGACGTCCAGCCCGGCGCTGAAGGCACGGTCGCCGGCGCCGGTGAGGACGATGCTGCGGACAGAGGGGTCGGAGGAGAGGCGGGTGAAGATGGCGGAGAGTTCGAGCCACATGCTTGGATCGTATTAGATTGGATTGTTGGGGGAGGGGAGGGAGCGTACGCTTCGATGAAGGCGTTTAGTTTGTCGGGACGGTGGATCTCCACGTGGGCGACATATTGTTGCTCAGGGGGGAATGTGACGTTGAAGTGTTGGTATGTGTAGTTGGACATGATGAGTGGTATATTCTAGGTGTTGTCTAAGGAGATAGGATGAAGGATGGGTGGATGTCCGAGGGATTAAATTGGGATGAATCTGGGGAACTCAGGAGATGCCGAGGTAGATAGATGCCTTGTTTCCTGAGTCCTGACAGCCGCGGCCACTTTAGCTTGGGGTTCCCCGGCCCCACCATGTGATGGGGTTCAACGGTCAACGCGTCGATCATGGAACTATTGCCTATACATACGTAGTACAATTGATGGGATCCACTACACTGGTCACTACAATCTGATGGGATAATCAACATCTGAACGATATGAATTGAGTTGGCAATAGCAAGGAAGAATCGGGGAAACCGGTCAGATGACGTCATCGGACACATCAGACACATCAGACAAACAGCGCAAACAGCGCAAACAGCAACGCACAATGACAATATGACAATGGTATAGATCCTCGCATCACGCAAAACTCCGGCACATCACAAAAGGAGAACAAAACAGCTCATCAGTATTTACAAACAAGGGCTCGATCCATAATCACAATTACCACCATTACTCTGCATACTGCAGCTCTCCCCGTCCATTCTCCGTCAGTCGCGCCTCAGGATCCAGCAGGATGCGGAACTCCTGCTCATTGCGGTACGGCGGATTCTCCTTGGCCGTGAACACGGCATTATGTGCAACGCCAAACCGGAAGTGCTGCTGCGCCCGCCGCTGTCGTGCCTCGACCCGAGTTCGGTACGCGTCGTAGGTCGCCTGGTCCAGCGTCGCAAAGAGGTATCGCGCATGCACGCCTAGCGCCTGCGCTCCTTTCTGGCCAAACCCGAACGAGGTCACGGAAAACGCCTTCAGTCCCGTGGTTTGGATGCTGCGACTGGGGTACACGAGATAGTCGTTTTCCAGGGCGGTGTCGATGTTGTCCGCGTTGCGGTTGCCCGGGACTAAGCCGGTGTTGAGCACTTGAAGACCCCCGTTGAGCATCCACGCACCCGCTGCACCCTTGGAGTGCCCAGTGAGATACTTCTGGAAGATGCCCAGAGCTGGGTTGCCCTTGGTCCGACCAAGGTGACGCAGTTGCTGGCTGATCATGTTGGTCTCATTCTTCTCGTTGAGCACCGTTGACGTTCCGTGGAATGAAACCACATCCAGGTCGTTGATGGTCAAGTTCCATGTTGCCAGGGCACCGCGAAGCGGAGAGATCTCCGGGTCGTTCTTCCAGAAGTGGTTGCCATACGTGTTCAACACGTCTTTCTCCTGGACCTGGGCTTCCCGACGTACGTAGCGGAGGCGTTCGTTGATTTCCTCGATCCGCTCTTCCACATAAGGACCAGAGCTGCGCTTGAGATCTGCGAGTTCTGCCTCAGCAACGTCAGTTTCCATGTCGACCCGCTCCTTGATGTGTTGGAGGGACATGTTCAGTCTCCGGCGTCGATAAGAGATATCCAGCATGGGAGAAGGCAATCGGTGTCGTGCTTCTCGCGCGTTCGTCAGGAGGCCCTTGCCGGGAGCGGGAACAGACCGTCCGATCTTATCGCTGGCGGTCCCAACCCACGCGATAATTCCTTGGATGGGCAGGCCCATGTCCAATGCCAACTGGGCGGACGTGATCACTTGGATACCGCTGCCTTGCGACTCGACAAATCCCGCACGAGTAGAAGCAGCCGGTCGGGACATCTCGCTGGGATCGCGACCCTTCTCGAACTCGGCCTCACTGCTAACCGTGGCCTTCATCTTTGCGAACTCATAAGACACGTCCTCGGAGAAGTCGTCGAAGCCACCGACCAGGCACATCTTGGCCTTTCCGGAGACAATGGTCTCGAAGCCCGATTCCAACGACTCAATCGAGGTGGCACAAGCGCCAACGGGGGTGCGGATGGGGCCGGTGGAGGACAACAAGAGCATATTGATCCAGGCTGCGGTCGTGTTGATGAATGACTCTTGCAGGATGTCATTCTGAACCTGTTTCTCGACAAAACGATCTTTATGCAGCTTTCGGAGCGCCTTGACACCGCCAAGTCCAGAGCCAATGCAGTTGCCGATCTCGGAGATATGCAGGTACTGGTAGATTTCAAAGGGGTCACTGATTCCTGCGCTGAGGAGTGCCTCCACCGTTCCGATGAGGGCGTATAGCGTGGCTGGGTCGACTTGATTAGCGAGATCCTCGGTGAGGCCATAAGTACGGGCATCCCAGCCGGTCGGGATCTGGCCGGCCACGGCTCGGTCGAATCGGAGTGCCTTGGGGATCATCAGGCAGGCTCCCTTGAGCAAGCGGACGGTGCATTCTTCGCCTTCCGATATGACCTCGACCTTATCGCCGTGCTCTAGGCGCAGTTGCTCCGCGGTCTCCTTTGACGTCTTCAGCGGAGGCATATCCTCATCGAGCACCACCTCTTGCAGGAACTTTTTCTTGTATGGATCGTAGCCGTCGTTGATTTCTGGCTCGATCAGACGAATACCAGTGTGTTCCAGGATGTGCTCTTCAAATCGCTTTTTCACGTCGACATCACGAATGGGCTCCTTGGTCGCTGCCACAATCCAACCATGGTAATGAGGGTTGCCATTCAGGGGCCCGTTGTGATGTTTGATCAAGCCCATAATCCAGGCCATCTCAATGCAGCCCTCGAGTGAGAACTCTCCGTATGCTTCCATCTCCCAGCGTGTCCGGGCGTTACCATAGGGGCCGACTTCAGAGAAACCAGTCACAACGACTACGCGGTCGAGATCGACCATGCCACGCAACTGACCAGCCAGGGGCAGGACTTCGGTCTGGTAGTCGGGCAGACGAGGAAACTCGAGCTCCAGCTTGGCCTTTTGCTCTCGCACCTGGGCTTGCTCTTCCGATGGCTTCCCAAGGGCGGCGCGCTCAAAGGCCTCTTCCTTTGCCAGGGCCTCGCGAATCTCGCTGGTCTCCTTCTGTTTGCGCCGGATGGAATCAACAGTTTCTTTGAAGTTCGGGAAGTGACCCATACCACCGCTCAGGTCTGCTTGGACTGGGGTCACCTCGCACTCAGTCGCGATGGGCGATGACATGAGAACTAAGATGTAGTATGCCATTTCGACCTGGGAGAAAGTTCGTACTCCCATCTTTTCGATGTCCTCGGCAACGCCATTGTTGGCGCTCATCAATCCGGTGCCACGCGTCCATCCAATAATCGCACCGCAGATCGACAAGTAAGCACCCCATGACTCGGAGCTCCAGCGATTGAACAGCGTCTCGAGCGCAAGCTTGGACTCGGGATACAGGCCGTCTCCACCGAAGATGCCATGGTTTGGCGACAAGGGCAGGATGACCTGGGCCGGATGGCTGTCGAATCCCCGCGCCTGCTTCTGCTTCTTGATGGCTCCCAACAGTCTCAGCGTGTTGGTCAGCATGATACGGTGGGCCAACTCTGACTTGGAATCAATGTCCTCGATCTGACGGCCACCTTCTGGGATGGCTGCGAAAGGTACGACATGGCTCAGATCCCATCCGAGACCTTTGTCGGAGTCATAGATGTAAGAAACCAAGGCCTCGAGGTCTTGCTGGCTAGCCTGGTTAAAGGGCATGAGGACGAGCTGGGACCCGCGAGCGCCCTCTTCGGCGTAGATCTTCTGGTACAGTCGTGTTGTCGCCAACGAGTAGCTACTAGTGGTCACTAGAACCCGTGCACCTCCTCTCAGAAGGCCTCGGACGATCTCAGTACCGATGGAATCCCGTCCCGCACCGATGACAAGCACCTCTGCGTCCTCGAAGGAGAGGCACTGCTGGTCCGTTTGACGCAAAGTGGCCATGAAGGCTGCGGTCAAGTCCGCCCGGGATTCCCATCCCTGCCTTCCCAGGGTTTTGAGAGTGGCTGGCGGGGCTGATTCGATACCTGTGCGAGGGACCTCGGTATATTGAATGCGCCCTTGTTGATCGATGGTGGTCTTTGGGGCGTCGATCATCAATCGGTGTGCAGCAAGAGGTTGGATGCCTGGTAATTGTGGGTCACATGCCACCCGCAGCTGGTGAAGGACATCGCGAGCATGGATCGCTCGCGGGTTTCGCAGCTTGAGGCACTGGGTCTCCAGGTAGGCGAGCATCTGCACGAGCTTGGGGTTGGATTTCCGGGCAATGCGGCCCATGATGGTTTCAATCTCGTGGCCAGTCAGCGCAATGTTGCCGGCTAAGATGCGGTGGAAGAGATCGACTGCATCCTGGAGAGCCCAGTTCCAAAAGGAATCGTATCTGCGGGCCTTGGCCACGGCCAGCATGGGTTTGATGCCCGAGCCGTAAACCTCACCGTGCTCCGAAATCCACAGCTGCAGCTCATCTTGAAGCTCTGCGATGACCTCTGCTGCCTTGGTGCTGGCTTTGTGTCCTGCCTGCAGGTCCACCCCCAGCAACTTGGCGTACAACTCCAGCATCGCCTGGGCGCGGTCATCTTGTGTCTTGGCCAGTGCCTTGACTGCCGTCTGATCGACGACGACCGGACCTGATGATGCACCAGCGCCATCGGGTGAGCTGCTTGCAGAGAGATCGACATTGGCATCTCGGGCATACAGCTGGACAATATCGTCAAGGAAAGCATGAGCAGCGCCGGTATCGGGAAGCCGGGCGGCGGGCTGCTGGACAGCGGCGCGGAGCAGCACCGCGTCCTGGCGTCCCGCCGGCAAGCCCCACTTGCCGAGGAGGTGGGCCCGCACTTCGGCCGACCCCAACCCGGCGGGCATTTTGGCTGATACCATCCGGTTGACCAGCGTCTGGGTGGTCTTGCCCAGGCCCTTCTTCCATGAGCCTTGGGCTTCGATGGACTGGGACAGCTCGGATAGGGCGGTGTCTTCGGGGGCATCGGGGATGGCGCCGAACTCGGCGCCCAGGTCTCCAACAATCTCATTCTCCAAGGTAGATCGGCCTGCAGAGTGTTAACAAGATCACAGGGGTAAACCATGGTTAGGACAGCTCACCTCCAACCAACTTCTTGATGGTTTGGCTCAAGTCAATGTCTTGTAACGACTTCTTCAGTTTGTGTGCGATGAGAGCAACGATGATGTCAAGGGCTGCTATCGGTTTGTCATCGATGCTGGAGGCTGTCTGCCGTGCAGGGGTTGGCTGGGGGACAGCCACAGGCTCCGCTGCTTTGGGTGTGGCTGCAGGGGTGGGCGGTGCAGGGGTAGCCTCCTTGCCTGTTTGGGCTGGCGCGGCCTCGGCATCACCTCCCTCATAATATATCTCCCGGGCATTCTTCTTGTGACTCCAGATCTCTCGTTGGACAGCAAGTGCAGCATCATGTACCTGGTACTTCGCCGCCAGAGTCTTCTTGATCATCCCAAGCAAAGTCTCAGCAGGGCCGATCTCGACCAGCCGATCGACCTTTTGCTCCTGGAGCACCACGTCTTGTGTTTCGATCCTGCCGAGTCTTAGCATTGCACATCACCACTCCACACATTGCCAAGGGCTAGGGACATACCATCTCACTGGCGAAGCAAATTGGTACCTATCAAGCATCAGTTGATGTTCGACGAGGAATAAAGACCAACTCACGCCAGAAGCTCCGTCAACAGCACATATGCCAGCTCCCGCTGGACCTGGGGGTGCATCTTCTCCATGTCGGCCATGCTGGCTCTGTTGAACTGATGCGGCCTGGGAGTTGAGAGGTATTTCGAGGAAAACCATGGACAGGATATATGTTGCGCTCTGAGCCCCTGTCCGAGACTAAGACACGCGCTGTGCCTTGCATGCAGGTGTTATCTCAGCTGCTATCGCGGCTGGCTCCGACTTTGGCCCCAAGGCGTTGCAGGGCTCGGAGTTCGTCAGCATGACCAGCGATGTTGTCAGCTCCTGTGTAGGTTTGGAGATGCATCCGAGCGCCGTCAGTGGGGCGTCATCCTGAAACTGCGCGTAAATAGGGTTTAGCTTATTTCCGCGTGGTGGATCGCGTCTCGTATCTGTTTTTTACGCCGATTACGCGCTAGTATTGGTATGTTTGGTAAGTTACGGCCGTATGTTTGGAATTACGGGCGGTATCTGACCGTACCGATCTATGCGCCGATCCTGATCCTGCGACAGGGGTGCAGGTGGCTGTGTGCGTTAATCCTTCACACGTTCGCGGAGTCGGTGGAGATGGTGCATGGCCACGAGGAATGTGGAGCTAGCTGCGTATTTGCAGTGAGCTCAGATGACGGGCACTCAGCTGCTCGGTTTGAAACGGTGTTGGATGTTGTCGTATGATCTGAGCAGCCTTCATTAGCGGAAGGCATATTAGGAGATGGTTCATATACTAGCCATCTGACTTGTGTTCTTGCTCTAACATTCTTGATACAGCACATCATCACTATGGTTTTTGCCTCTGCTTTCCAAGCCTCCTGGCAGGCCGGAGTTCTTGCCCTCGTTGGAGCTTCAGTTGCTTCGGTCAGTGCCTCACTTAAGGTTACTACCATGGGCAATACTTACAGACATAGATCTTCGTATATGCCATCTACCAGCTATGGTTCCATCCTCTTGCACACTTTCCCGGTCCGTTCTGGGCGAAGTTTACTTGCCTCTACTCGGGATGGCATGCGTGGAAGGGAGATTTGCATCTGGACATGCTGCGTTGTCATGAGAAATACGGTATGTCTTATTACCCGGCTGCTGACGCATCTAACACTTTCAGGGGACTTTGTTCGCTATGCGCCCAACCAGCTTTTGATCAACACCTCGATTGGTCTTCACGGTATGCCACCGTTCTGCGTGTATAGAATGTAGCTAACAGCACAGACATCTACGGCTTCGGTCGCAACACCCAAAAGTCGAAGCTCTACAGCGCCATGGTCCACCGCGCCCCCAACACCCTCACCCTCATTGACAAGAAAGCGCACGGCCGGAAGAGACGTATCATCAGTCAGGGTCTTTCCGACGCTGCCCTACGGCGGTACCAGCCCGCCATCCTCAAGCACATCAACGAGCTCTGCACCGTCTTGGTGGGAAGTAAGCCAGGTGACTGGTCTGTTCCACGGAACGTTGCTCACTATTGTATGTCCCTCCCTCTCAATCCATAGTCACACTCATGCTAACAATACAGTCAACTTCCTCACCTTCGACATCATGTCCGACGTCCTCTTCGGCGAGCACTACAACATGGTGACCAACGATGAGCACCGCTACGTCGTCAAAGCAATCGAGGACTCCAACGTCCGAACCTCCGTTCTCGCCCAAGCACCCATCCTCGCCTTCCGACGCTGGGACCGCAAACTCTTCGCCGAGTCTATTCTCGCCCGCAACAAGTTCATCCAATTCGTCAACACCCTTCTCCAACGCCGCTTCAAAGCCGCCAAATCCGCCCGTCAGGACGTCTTCACTTTCCTCCTCGATGCCAAGGATCCCGAGACCCAACAAAGTCTCTCCCTCGCCGAGATTGGCGCCGAAACCACCACCCTCGTTGTAGCCGGTATGCCCTCTTCCCCTCCTCAACCCTCCTCCCAAAACACCCTCTAATAAAGCACTCCAGGATCCGACACCTCCTCCACCGCCTTCTCCTCCTGCCTCTTCTACCTCGCCAACAACAAAGACTGGTACAACCGCGTCGCCACCGAAGTCCGCAACACCTTCAACTCCGCCGACGAAATCACCCTCGGCCCGCGCCTCAGCTCCTGCGTCTACCTGCGCGCCTGCATCGACGAATCCCTCCGCATGTCCCCGCCCGCCGGCTCCGCTCTCTGGCGCGAAGTCGGCCCCGGCGGCGCCACCTTCGACGGCCACTTCATCCCGGGCGGCTACGACGTCGGAACCGGCATCTACGCCATCCACCATAACGAGAACTACTACCCGGAGGCGTTTACCTTCCGTCCTGAGCGATGGATTCTTTCCGGTGCAGAAGGTGACACTGATGCCGTGGGAGCTGCTGATCGTGAGGGTTTGGCCAAGGCGCAGGGCGCGTTTAATCCCTTCTCGATTGGGCCCAGAGGGTGTATTGGGAAGGGTCTGGCGTTGGCGGAGTTGACTCTGGGGATTGCGATGATGTTGTGGAGGTATGAGTTTGCGTTGGGGATGGAAAGGGGATGAAGCTGGGTGCTGGGGCGAAGGGGTTGGGGGTGGGCAGGGAGAGGGAGAATGAGTATCAGCTTTATGATCATATTACGGCTTCGAAGGAGGGGCCGATGGTTTGTTTTAGGGAGAGGGTTTAGTTGGTGGTGTGGGGGTGATTTTGTATATAGTCAGTTGGGGCGAGTTATGTGAAATGCATTGTGTTTTGTTCTTATCCGGTTGCTGTGAGTACCTATAAGAAATCTTAGGCCGATCCCCGACTTTGATGCCTGAGGCTTGGACTTGGGGCACTTAAGTATTTGCCATCAAATTCTTGATTATGGAGTTTTTGTTCTATGAGGTTATTCCCATTCTTTCTTTTACTAAACCCATCATAAATCTTTCGGGGGATTTGATGGGTGGCATCACTCATGCTACATCTTTGTAAGTAGAGCTGTCGACAAAGCCCTATGTGTACGTAGCAATGCAGTTGACATACAGCCCTAACCACATCCGAGATTTGATCTAGTTGGCAATCAAACACCTGAGCTCGACACAATACATTGACTTAACTCACTGACTCTTTCCACTGTCAATTACAGACTCACATCACCAATAAAAAACGCTCAGCTGAAGACCGCAATAAAACATCGATTAAACTCAACACATAACAAAAACTACCATCTACCCATCCCAACCAAACCAACATCACATCAATGAACCCCATTCAACACCCCATTAGCAACCCCATTCAAACCCTTCTTCCCAACAGCATACTTCTCATACACCGTCTCCGGCGCCTTCACAACCTCCACCCAATCCTCAAACTCCACCCCGCCCTCCCCCCTCTGAATCTCCCTCAACCTCGTCAACAACTCCAAACACAACGGCCCACTCTCAAACTCCAATTTCTCCCCGGTCGACTTTCTCGTAATCGACCGAATCGGGACCACCGCCGCTGCAGTACCCGCAGCCATCACCTCGGTGAACTGGCCCACTGTATCCCAGGGAATCTACAAACCCACACAGTTAGCCAACAAACACCTTCAATATAGGAAGTAAGAGAACAAGACATACCCTCCTCCTCTCAACCCCCACCCAAGCACCCTCGCAATCCCCAACACCGAATCACTAGTAACACTCTCAATCACACTCCCACTATCCGGCACCACGATCGTCACTTTCTCCCCCCCACCTTCAACAACCTCCTTGACGATGCCCAAAAACCCACTCGTCGAAAACTCATCCACATCCCTCTGCAACGCACTATCCAAATGCAACGTGAGCGGAAACCCCTCCCCCCTCGCCTTCTCCGTATACCGTATCACCGGCGCATAATTCCCACCTACCTTTGCGTTCCCTGTTCCGCGGGGCGCCGCGCGATCGAATTCCTCGATGACGAGGGCGTCGGCCGCGTGAGTCCCGTGGTAGGTTCCAAAGGGTTGGACATACACGGCAAAGAGGTAGTTGGAGGGTGGGGTGAGGGCGAAGTGCCCGCCTGTGCCGAAGGCGAGGGGTCGGATGTAGAGCGCGGCGTTGCTGGAGTAGGGGGGGACGAAGGCGGCGTTGGAGGAGACGGCGAGGCGGACGGCGTCGAGGAAGAGGGGTTCTGGGATGGGGGGGATGGAGACGGTGGAGGCGGAGTGGGCCATTCGAGAGGCGTGTTTGGGGGCCCGGAAGAGGAGGATCTCGTTGGTGGGGGAGCGGGTGGCTTTGAGGCCTTCGTAAATTTGTTGGCCTTTTTGTGGATTGTTAGTTGGAGTGAAGGGGGGGATGGGGAGGGGATGGGGTACCGTAGTTTAGGCCGGTGGAGAGACCGTGAACGCGTAGGTAGGGGTCTTTCACGAATGTAGGCGCTCCCCAGGTTTGGGTGGTAGGGTCATAGTGGCATTCGACGTGGCCGTTTACTGGGTTGGTGTTAGTGGTGGTGGTGATGGGATAGTGATGGGATGTGGATGTACCGATGTCGGTCACGGCGAGGCCGAGTTTGGACCAGTCTGGTTGATTAGCTGGTGTTTGCCAGTATAAAGGTGGGTTGGCATACCAAGGTCAGCAGCTGGAGGTGCAAAAGTCATTGTGCTGGAAGTGGTGAGTAGTAGTAGGAGATGGTGTGTTCTGGTCAGAAGTGCTGAATCAACAATGCGAACACAGGCAAGATAAAGGCCATTTGATGCTGGATGCTGGCGACTACATCATACATATTCGGCCCCATCTGATTCTCATTTACGCTTACATATACGCTTATCACACTCCGTATACAGATCTCATGTGATATATACGCTAACATATACGCTGATCATATACACCCGCATCAACTACATTTACGCAAGTCGAAACATTCTCTGCTGGGGCCATGCTGCATCACATCATGTTTCAGCCTAAGGCTCGAGCTCTCGTGTTCGGAGATTAATGGGCATGTTAATGCCATGCTTCCACTATGCTCGGCAGGATCGAGCTCTGCTGCAGCTGCGCTATCCCAACCCGGTTAGTGAGGATCTGCAATTTGAGTGGAGCAAATGTCAGCATTCTGGAATCTGCTTGGCAGGTGAGGCTGACGTGAGCTCAGCTGCAGCACCACCCCTGCCAACATGCTTAACTTGGTTCTTGATGTCTTAGTTTCCGAGGAGCCGTGCAGCCACGGTTCTAGTGTATGTATTGTGGTATTTTCGTGATGGTGGATCTACCACAATACACATACCACAATACTTACACTAATACATCAATACATACATACATACGTACAACGTACAGAAATACATACATCCAACGCAGATCATTTCCTGCCCTAATCCAACGTCCAACTCCACCTCGTGTCGAACTCCCCGCCACTGCAGCCTACTCGCAAAGTATACTAAATCTGGAACCGGACGAATAACAACCCATCCAACACGATGTATTCACAACTGAATCATGCTACCATCACTACCACTATAGCTAACCACCTTCCTCCGATCACACCCTCTCCCCATCCTCCCCAAACCGCACCTTCTCCCCACTCCCCAACGAGTCCTGTAACGCCCTCGCAATCTTGACCGCCTCCACCGCCCCCTGAATCCCCATCGGCAGCTCCTTCCCATCCAAACACGCCTCCGCAAACTCATTCACCTCATCCACAAACGCCCCCTCAAACCGCTCATAGTAATGCGCCGGCAACTCACGTCTCGCCCCGCTCGCATCAAAGATCCCCACCAGATTCTTCTGCGCCTGCCCATTCACCACTAACTTCCCCTCCGTCCCGATAATCTCCGTCGTATCTTCCTGGCCCGCGGCCATCATCCGCGAACAATACAGATATGCCACCCGACCTCCGTAGAACTCGATAATACCCACGGCGTTGTCGGCGTCCCCGTACGCTTTTAGCTCCGGGTGTAATGAGACCGTTCCGCTAGCGACGACGGATTTGACTTTGCTGGACGCCCCGAAGAACCAGAGGATTAGGTCGATGTCGTGGACGGAGCAGTCGCAGAAGATGCCGCCCGAGGTGGCGGCGAAGTTGACGAAGGCGCCGGTGGGGTCGATTTTGTCGCATGTTTGGCTCCGGATGATGCTGGGGGTGCCGATTAGGCCGGCGGTCATTTTGGTGTAGGCGTCGCGGTAGGAGGTGTCGAAGCGGCGGGAGAAGCCGCACATTACTTTGAGGTCGGGGTGGAGGGTTGCGGCGTTGACGACGGATTGGCACTGTTTTCGATTAGAGTTTGAAGAGGGATGGGAATTGATTGGGGTGGGAGGGTGCGTACGATGGCTGCATCAGTGGAGAGAGGCTTCTCGCATAGAACGTGCTTGCCTGCTTCGATGGCTTTGATGGATTGTTCGGCGTGCACGGTGGTTATGGTGGACACCAGCACGGCTTCCAGGCCTGGGTGGGCCAGGAGAGCATCGTAGTCGGAGTAGATGGTCACGCCGTAGGGGACCAGGTTGGTCTCTGCCCATTCGGCTTCGATGGGGTCTGGGGTGAAGGCTGCCACTAGGGTCGAGCGAGGTGACCGGTGCAGGAGGTTCTGGGCATGACGCTTTCCCATGCGGCCGAGACCGGCGCAGGCAATTTGGAGGGTACGAGGGGCCATTGTGTAGTGATTTGTGGTGTGAGTTGGTGGATGGATAGATGGGTAGAGGAGCAGTATTTATGCTTGGCTGTTGAATGGGGATGGATGTCGTCGGGCAAGGAATCTGACCCACTTGCTTATGCGATGTTTCGTGGATTTACGCGCTGCAGGGATGAGAGCCATATGTGAATGCAGGGGTCTGCTCGGGAATGGTTGTACGGGTTGAGGGACCTCGGTTGATGCTATCTTGATCGACACTATGGAGACGGGCAGTAGATCGGCCCACGTGGGAAGGTGGCAGAGTAACCAACGCTGGCTGCCATGGCCATCCGGAATTGGTCGGGGCGTATGCTTACTTGTGCATTTACGCGGAGATGTCTGTCTGTTTCAGGATGTAGATACACAGGTGACGTACTGTGGGCTTGCAATATGGCTGCTCGTGCGGTGTTGTTGGATATATGTTCAACATCTAGGTGGATAGCATCCAATCTCGCTCCTCGTCTTGTGTCTGGCAGCTCCGAGATAGCTCCTGTCATCATTGTGTTCCCACATCTTTATCCGACAACCGAGGAGAGGAATATCTTACAGTGGGTCTGCTAATTATAGTGGACTTCTAAAGGTGTGTCAGAGGCCTACCACGTGCATAAAGGAATAAGATCAATGATCTGTGGTGAATAATCATGATTGCATAGGCCTGATATGGGTACGTATGAAGTAATTAGAGATGAAGATAACTACGGATAGCCTCCATAGGACATAGACGCAGACAAAGCAACAGTCAGATCACACCCAGCCAGCAGTCATATCAACAGGAACAACACCCTTCTCAATCACATCAAAGAGCCCAATCTTGCCCGTTTCCACAAGGTACTGAAACCAGCCCAGTCCCTCCTGAACGAGCCCATGGTCTTCATAGTAATCCACCCAACGCTGACCCAGTTGGCGTATGCGGTGGCCCTCTTCGAAGCTGCTCGGCGGAGGCGTCGGAGACCACTTCAGTCCTGCGCCGAGTGTCACTTCCCGTAAACGTTGAATGCAATTTAGGCACGGGGGTCCGTGAGTACCACGGTACTCATACGCAGCATAGCGAGCCGCCGTAAAGTGCATGAGTGTAGTTGCACCAACCCCGTACGCCCCCGACAAAGACTTAAATAGAGCCCTCTCCAACAATGCCTCGACAAAGGTGTGGAATGGATCTGCTACCCCCATTCCACAGACAGCTGAGATTGCATTCTCGTGGTTCCCAGCTGCTGTATCACTCCTCCAATCGAGAAGGTCATGAACCGCCATCATGACTTCAGGTGCTACCAAACCCTGCTCGATAGAATCATTAGCAAATACATACCCGCTGTAAACCGTGGCACAGCCACCAACGGCCCTCCACGCCATGGCCGCTGCCACCGTGAGCGTGTCCGCGGTTCCCACCGCCTGCAAAGCCGTCCCATCCAGGATCGAGTGGACGACCTTTTCGTTTCCTTCATAGGCAGCCCCAATAGCCAGAGCAACCATGCGGACTCGAACCTCTGCATCCTTTGAAGTGAAGCTCCCGAAGTCATCGCAAACAGACAGATGAGAAAGGCTCGCGAATTTCACAGCCGCTTCAGCGGGCATCCATGCTGACAATACCAGGGAGCAAACCATCGTCCCGGACTCGTAACAGCCCACCGCCAGCGGGCTCGAAGGAGGATAAAAGGCACTTCCCAATTGAAGGTCCTGCCAGTGTCGCTTGAAGCTGGCTCTCTTATCCACATGTGCCACGCCGGACCCGTCCCCATTGTAATGCGTCGACAAGACGGTCTGGCATCCAACACGCGCGGCCTCAATCACCGCTGGCCCGAATCTGCCCAATAGCGTTTTGTGCAAATCCGAACAAGAACGAGCCCAGACAGATGTGGCCCTGCGGACGGTATCTTGCGGGGAGATGATTACCGCGCGGGAATAATGGATGGCATCTTCCCAGGCCTGGCCGGAAGGCCGTTCCACTTTTTCGGACAAGAGCATCAGCCCGCGGAGAGTGGCTTGATCTAGGGGGGTGGATGGCTGCGGGGCGGACATGAAAGCTTCCAGTTGTCTGCTAACATCTTGGTCGAATTGAAGGTCCGAGTTGGGAATGGGATGCATATCGGCGGTGGAATTGCAGTAAGGGATGAGAATGATTGGGATATCTCACTTGCAGTGTTTCTAGAATTTCCTGCTGTGGTTTTCTTGCTTCTTTGGACACCGTTGGGCCACTGGGGACGTACGACTTAGTACACCAGAACACCGGGATCTCGGGATTTGACCTGGCATGTCTGCAGCTGAAAAGGCCTACAAAGACGGGAAGTCTGGGGTAAGTGACCAGCATCTGCCTATCAAACGGACCATCTGCATATCGATGGACCCAGTCGTCGGAGTATTATATGTCCAGCCAATCAGAGCCTGGCAAGGAGAGATACAACCCGCATTCATTATCAGTTAATCTCGGGGGGATCCCTCAGAGCCACTCCTAGGCTTTGTAGAGAACATCTCCATCTCATTAAAGTCAAATCTTGAGGGAAGTCCACGCGTAGGACCCCGTTCTATGCGGTTATATTTAACGAAAGAAAGAGGTGAAGAAGAAGCAGTGTCATACGCAAAGCAGTAGTTGATTGTGAAGTAGCATACTAGCAACCAAGGAATCCATTTGCCCATCAGGGTCTGCATTATCGTGCCCATAGCCATTTCCTCCTCCGTCTCCTTGCCTTGTGTCTTTGGGCGATGGGGTTATTTTCCCCAAGTTGAGGTACCCACGTAGGCCCCTCCACTATCCGATCTTTCTCGTCCACCTCCATTTCTTCTTCTCCCTTCTTCCTCCACGTAACAACTGTCTTCCCCAAATACGCCAACTCCTCCACCCAACCCATACTCTGGGTCAAGCTCATTGTCTGCAACATCCGCCGCTCCACTCAGAGCCAACATCCGGTGGATAAACCACGGTATATCGAGTACTAGCTCCTTTAACGGTAGTGGGTGCTTCTCGGGATCTTCAATAAGAAACCGGATAATCCTGATCGTAGCTCCTTTCTGGTTTCGATGTTGAACAGCATGGCATAGTTGATCTCGTTCTTAGAGCTCGATGATAGATTGTTCGGAAAGCCTCGGAACCCGCCTAAGTGGTATGGACTTAAGATATGACCTTCTAGGCATCCAGTATAACGTGACCATCATTGTTTTCTTGTCTTCCGTAATACTCAATGGCTAGAGTGCAAATCTTGCGTTCTCCCACGGTTTGTGACCAAGTCGACCAACGGTATAAGGTTGGAGCACATTTCACTCCCACTTGTATTTGACAAGCCGCTCCTGGTCATAATGTGGTGTTAGCGGATTCATCAAGCTGTTAAGGTACTTACAGGCTTCAACCTGATGCGTTCCTCGTTTGAGCGGTTTGTACGATGTATGTAGATATATGATCTATCGTCTAACGAAGATCGCAGAATACAACGAGGGGTCAAAATGTACAGGCTCGTTAGGTGTCCGGCGTCGCCTGACGGGCGGCAGGCGCGACCCGCGAAGCTTTCAAGGGCGAGTTTTGGAGGGAGTTTGTAGAGAGATGGATTCTGACTACGAATTGGCCATGATTGCGGGCTATATAAGCATGTCCAATTAACTTGCTCTGTTCATGTGAAAGCAAATCTAGGTATAGGTGAAGTGCATTCTAGGTGTAGTGACTAAGGTCCATTTTTTTCTGGTAATAGAGTTGGTTTTATTCACAAACCCACCTAGCTCTTTCATTGGTAGACTTCACTTAAAAAAGACATGGCACTATGAGATGAAAACAGGGTGAAAAAAAGATCAAGTAAAAGCAAAAACATACAACAGAAGGGATTCGCTGGTGGTCACCCACCCAACTACTAACCTCCCGGCGTGTGGCTTAAGTACGGCTGAGCGGACGGGAAGCCCTGTTCTCCACACCCTGTGGTCGTATGTGCTAGGTACATCACAACAGTGGTATACATACCTACAGTCACTCGTGAATTACTTCATCTCAATCGGTGAGACGGCCGTTCAACACAAAATGAGGTCGTATTAGTGCTAACTACTCTAGAACTTCAAACGTGAGGAAAAAACAGAAACACGAAGTGTTGTGGGCCTCGCTTCCTACAACACTGGCGACATCAAGGCAAACAGGACAAACAGCGTGACGTAAGCGTCACGTGACTGGTGAGTCCGCTGCCGTCACAGTGTTGTGAGCGTTTGCTAAAGAAAAACAACACTGGCAATGTCAAAGCAAACAGAACAAACAGGATGACGTAAGCGTCACATGATAACTACCCGGCGGAGCTGCTGTCACAATCGGAACTTGCGACGGAGAAATGAGGGATTGTCAAGGGACGATCTGATAGAGTCTTTCTGCGGCCGGTACTGCCTTGATGCTTCTTTCTATCTTAAATTGGTTGCATAAGTTGCATAAGTTACATATGCTACACGAGTGATTCTAAAGTACGGATTTGGGTTTCAGAGGACAGAATACTTTTTTCTGAGGCAAGAATTGAATGAAAGGATTAATAACAAACACACTGTCGAAGACGGTCGGTCAAATTGACTGCTTCAAAAAGGATAAATACTGTATGTGGTGGGGTGGGAAAAAAGATGGTCCCAGAGGGGCTCGAACCCTCGACTTTAACGTTATTAGCGTTACGCTCTAACCAACTGAGCTATGGGACCCGGTTGATGTATACCAGCTGAAAGTAGTGCTTTAAGAGGGAATTGTGTTGGAATGTGTTTTGCTATACTCGAGTTGAACCATCACCATCCATCCCCTCGGGCATCACTTCGGAGCTGGAATATCCACAACGATGGATATATGACATTCTACGAGTCTAATAATAATCCTTCCAAGATTCTTCCGCTATCAGATCCATAAATAGAGCTAATTGTACTCTGGAAAATGACATGTCTCCAAATCTCAATTGTATATATTTTGCCCCGTAACGGCTATAGGTGATCACTATCATCACACTCTCCATTCCTTAACCAAAGAGAACCACAACCAGGAACGCTGCACAATCAATCCAAACCACACGTCTCAATCCACTACAACCTCCTCTCCATTCGACCGAGCCCCTATACCCATCAACCGCGCCCCCCCTTCTTCCCGCGATATATTCAGATCACGCATGCACATACCCCCAAACAGAAACAAATTCAAATCCCCTCATCTACACCGCGTAACCCCCCCCAACCCCTATCCCAGCTGAATAACCATCCTAAATCATCCAACCGCCTATATCCTTCCTTCACCCGACCCAAATACCACCCGAAAGCCACCCGAATTAATCCCGAACCCTAGAATCACCACCACGTGTAACACCCCCATCTCATCCCCACTACCAAATACCAACTAACAGCCGCACACATCACACCATGCATATCCCACCAGCGTAAATAATCCCGGAGCAACATGGTCCTCATTTCCAATCCAACTACCCGGGTCCTCGCAACGTGCAGACCCCATAGGATGATCCGCGCAACGTGTCGAGGCTTGACTCCACGTGGGCCCTGCTTCGGCTGAAGATTAGATCCTGCGTAAATATGGAGAATGGAGAACGGGGAACTATTAGAAGGCTGGATCTAGCTGCAGATGGAAGGATGATCTATAAATGTGAGGTAATGGGGTATTTTTGTATGTATGTATGGTAAGTATGGTATGTATGTATGTATGATCGGAAACTCTCCGGTAATTCGTAACAAAGGATCCGAGCTGCAGACAGACACGTGGAGCTGATTATGGGAAATGGTCAGCAATGCGATGTTGCAGCTGCAGCTGCACCTGCAGGGGTGCGTGAGATAAAACAAAACAAAACAATACATGTCCACGTGATGAGATGTTGGATCCAACAATCGAGGGGCCGAACGGCGTAATTGAGGGGTGTCTACTCCCTCCCCTGTGTGTCACCCACCTTCTTTCTTTCTATACTTCTCTCATACCCTAAGAACTCCTACTCATTCATCCACCCATCTGCAAGTGTCATACCACATCATCACATCACACAAGACCACCACACAATGGACCTCCAATCCCTCCTCACAAACGTGACCTGGCAAAACGCCCTCCTCGTCGCCGGGGGCGCTTACATCCTCCTCAACCTGAAAGGTCTTCCCTTTGTCTGGCATGTACGTCCCCCCAATCCCTCCTCTTCCTCCCACCCCTCATCCCCTACCCTGAATGAATATGCCAAAAACTAACCCAAAGAAAAGATCCGCCTCCTCAACGTCCTAAAATCCCACATCCTCCTGCACCGCCCCCGCACCATCTCCATAACCCACGGTCCCCACACCCCCGAAACCCTCTTCTACCCGGTCATCACGACCTCTCGCTCCCCGCTCCTCGAAACAGACTACAACATGCACAAATCCAACGCGACGTATTTCACGGACCTGGACATCAACCGGGTGCATTTGATCGCGTCGCTATTCAAGAACCAGCTTTCGTTGGGGTTCTCGGGCGGAGAGTTAGGGATTGCGCTGGGGAGTACGGCGTGTGTGTTCAAACGGGAGATTAAACCGTATCAGAAGTACGAGATTCATTCGCGGGTGTTGGGGTGGGATGGGAAGTGGTTGGTGTTTGTGAGTCATTTTGTGAGGCCTGCTGCACGGGGGGTGAAAGGGAAGGTATCTGGGGAAGGGAAGGGAGAGGTGGATGAGAAGAGAATTTTGGCGTCGGCAGTGACAAGGTATGTTTTTAAGAAGGGGAGGGTGTCGGTTAGTCCGGAGACGGTGTTGACGGCGGCGGGCTTGTTGCCGGAGAAGGGTGTGGAGGGGAAGGAACAGGAGGGGGGCTGGTCGTGGGAGAGGGTTGAGGAGGAGAGGTTGAGGGGGTTGGAGATAGCAAAGTCGTTTTTGGCGTTGGATGAGTTGCATCAGACGTTTAGGGGGGATGGGAAGGCGATTGGGGTGTTTTAGTTGTATGGATTGGTGGGTAGTAATGAGGTGGGTTAGAGGAGAGGGAGAAGTTGGGCATATGGAAATAGTGATACAAGGAGTCGTGGTGATTCATGGGTGGACTTTGTTGACAGCCTTGTATTCACCTGTCTTTCGTGTTCCAACGAGGATTCATAAAGGGTCATATTGTATCTTTCCAGCAGAAAGTGATGTCTCGACATCAAGGATACAGGCACAATGATGGTGCCTTAGGCACGACTAGGTGAAGCGGTGAAGATTCTGCTATCTACAGAGACAAGGCCTTGAGGGGCGCGCCAGCGCGCCCTGAAAGATCCCAATATACAGGTCTAATCTCAAGCTGCTCTTTCGATTAAAGAATAATATGACAGTTGGCATAAGAACTTATGGATGTGTAAGTAGTTAACAGAGAAGCTATACGGAGCAGAGCTCTACAGCCAATCAGAGACACTGAAACGTGCGAAACTGAGAGGGCCAATCAAAAAGCCTGAAATGATCCGACCTACTAAAAACCTTCGGCAAGAACAGCCAATGACAGACGCTGAAACGTGCCAGCGGGATCTACGGCCAATCAAAGAGGCCAAAACGTGCCAAACCTACAGCCAATCAGCGATACGCGGGAAAAAAGGCTTGGCAAGTTAACGATTGCTATAATTTGAAGTGTACGCCCAATTGTTACGCCGGAGAATTCGGACTACTACCATAGATTAAAACCAGGAAGACGATAATAACCAAATGAAATAATGAGGTGACTACCATAGAAAGGAGTAATACAGGACCTGCATACGAGATGTCCAACCAGCAGATATCTCACATCCCGTCTTACCAATTCAATACAATAACGAAGACCCGGATATCAACAACGCCAAACATAAACAATCAAATCATGCCTCAATAACCGCTGCAGAGCGGGTCACCTTCTCTAATCCGCGCTCAACATCCATATACTCTCGCCACTGCAGCCAATTAGTACAAGTCTTTCATGAAGATTGAATTCACTCACCTCCGACAACACTCTCGCCACAATCGGCGACTTGGTCAACCGAAACACCTGCCGGAAATATTCCTCGCTGACTTCAAACGGCCGCGCCGTCAGATTCGGGATATACTTCCCGATCAATCGGTCCGCGTCCAGGGTGTCTTTGTCAATGTACTTGTAGAGACATGCGCGGAAAGCGGTGATGCCTGGGCTGAGGAAAGACGAGTGGAAAGGTACGTCGATGCCCCGGAGTGGCACGGTGGCGGCACCGCGTTCGAGCTGGATGGGTTGGGGCTTGGCCTTGGCGGAACTGGCGCAGTGGTGCAATGTGTCCAGGACGCTGGCGCGGATTTCCTCGACGGGTTGGTTGCCCTGTAGGAGGGCCTGGAAGTCGGACTGACGACGCTTGATTTCGCCGATCAGGGAGGAGAGGGTGTCGAGGGCGCGGAGCTAAAAGGTTAGCGAGGTATATGAGAAAGTGGCAAAGGACTTACATCGCCTGCACAGACGTATTGGGAGTTGGCCACGTTGTAGTTGACGATTTCGAGTAGCCAGCCGGTTTCGCTGGCAATGAGAGACACCAGGTATCGGAGGCGATCTTCAGTGAATGCTAGATGGGGTTAGTGCTGCGTATGCGTATAGGTTTGGGGGATGACATACTCTTCGACAGGCGACTCGGGTCCACGGCACACATGGAAAAGTTCGATCTTCCCTGGTCGTCGCGCTCCACTGCCATTTGCATCGTCAGACCCCGGTAGAAGACCACCGACACCAGACTCTCGATAGGCATGATCTCTGCGATGGCTGCCAGGGCAGAGTATTCTCCCAGAGAGTGGCCAGCAAAGCTGCAGTGGTCGGCCAACAATCCCTTGTCCTTCATGTCCTCGATGATGGCCTTCTCCATGAGGGTCAGCGCCGGCTGGGTGAATTGAGTAGAGGACAAGAGACCAGTGCTTGACCGGAAGGTGTGCGACTTGGTCTCCTCGGTGATGTTCTTGAAGATCTTCTCCGATGTTGTGCGCCCATCGGCATGGATCATCTCACAACGAAGGGCCATGTAGTTTTCTCGGATGGCCCGGCCGCGACTGCCGCCAAAGTGAATCTTGAGCTCCTTGGGATCGTTCCGAACAATGTCGGTAATACGGAAGCCTAAATCGTTTAGAAAAGTCACTAGTGAAAAAAGGAGTACTTACCAAAGTTCTCGAGGAAATGCTTGTCGGCCAGATCCCACACCTTGCGAGCTGCAGGACTAGCAGCGTAAAGCTCCATGCCCATGCCCTTCTCTTGACTACCCTGACCGGTAAACAGGAAGGCAGTACTGGGCTGCTCAATCTCGGCCTCCGCGACGATCAGCTTGTCACCGGTACCAGCACGACGTGCCTCCGCATGGACCAGCTTCCGTCCGTTGACCATGCCGACGTGCTGCAGAATGAGCTCGACGTCGTCCTCCGGAAGGACCATGCCGACGAAATTGCACTGATAGCGCTTGAAGCCGCGGGCATTGCCCGGGACTGTCAGTTGCTCCAGCAAGCCACGGACCTTTGCGCTCATGTGCATGCCATGAGTGATGGTGTCAGGGAGCTCTGCGTAGGCGGCAAAGGTCCGCGAGACGTGGATTGGGTTGTAGTCACCAGAGACGACGGCATATTCTTCATTGGACTTGGGGGACCTGAGCTGGATCTCACCTCCACCAAGGGTGATTGGCGACTGGAAGAGAACAGGCTGCTCCACCACGCTTCCATGGCGCCTGAGGTAGTCCATGATGGGGTTGCTGGTGGAAGCGCCCACAGTGTGGTCGATGTAGGCCAGTTCTAGCGTTTCACCCGCAGGCGACCGACCATAAACCGGACCGAAACATCTTTGCTGACGGTAGACTGATTTGCTCTGGAATTGAGCATGGGTTTCCAGCTCGAACGTGAGCTTGAAGCCTTGAAGGTCCAGGTCTGCGTTCTTAGGAGAGAACCATGGCTTGGAACGAAGGACTGCCACATCTTTAACACCCGCGAGCTGGAGTTCGACCTTTGGTTCCTTGACCTGCTGGAAAGCAGTGTCGTAGTCGTTGTAGGTGCCTCGGTACATGAAGCGGCTTATGACCTCGACGACGTCAACACCATCTTTGCTAACCAAGGAAGCGACCTCGACAATCTTGCCCGAGTCTTCATTGAGAATCGCACGAATGTGCGCTCGGGACGAGAGGACATCTCCCTCTTGGATATCCGAGCTTCCCAGACGGCGAAACTCGTTGGACAAGTGCACCAACTTCATCAAATTGCCACTGATGGTCTTGGTGAACAATGGCTTCATGACGGACTTCCAGGCAACGACAATTGCGTAATCCATGGGGGCACTCAGTTTCTTGGAACGGGGTGCTGACGAAGTACCGCCAACACACTGGCTGAACTTCTTGATATCCTCCGCAGTCACGGTGACGGCATCGCCATGGAACTGCTCCTCCTGGGACAGAGTGCTAGCAGAACTCAGCGACTCACCGAACCAAAGCCGATGGTAAAAGTCCTTGACCCGGTCGATCTTGTCGGAGAGCAGCTCGCGTAGAGGTGCAAATGGAAGCTCGGGGTGGTAGCTGAACAACAGCTCAAGCCCTGCCGGTGTGCCAGTGACAGTGCGATCCCCGAACAGTATAACTTTGATTAGATTCTGGGTGATGGCATGGACCTCAACGACCAAGGCTGGCGTGCTATCAGCTCCTCTCTCGAACAGCCGGATAACGCACTGCTCGGTAGACGTGATTTCCTCGACTTCAACATAGATGTTTGGCCGGGCAGCAAAGAGTCTGCGGATAGGGTTATCGCAGACACTGTGGCCTTGCACGATTGTCTTCTGGAGGAAGATAGTCTGTCTCCAGCCTTTCTGCGTTCCAGCCAACCGCTGCATCCAGTTCTCAACTCGAGGCAGGTCCTCGCTGAGCAGCATGGGGTCATAGGTTCTCGTGAGGGATATCTCACTCGGCACCTCACTCATACCCTCGTCGGTCAATGGCGTTTGAGGCTGGTCGTTGTCATATCCTTGTTCCGAAAGAGACTTCACCCACTGGGCGTGGATGCCATCTAGGAGATGCTTGATCGGCTCGTTCGCGACGGTCGTATGTTTGGCTGCGACAGGGCCGTGGAGCACGCAGATCCGGCCGACATCCTGTCCGGGTACTGCCTGGACATCTTCAGACTGCCACAGGGAATCCTTCTTGAACCACACCTCGAACTCCTCGTCGAGAACCGGAATAAACGGAACCGGCTTCTGGCCACGCCGCCGGCAAAGATGCACAAAAATCTGCGTGCTTGGTGCATCCATCAGCTCCGAGGTTGCTTTGGAATGGCTGGCAAAGAACTGCTCGATGGTCGTGTCGGGCTCATCGATTTGGCCAACCGACTGCCAATACCGCGGCTTGGAGACATCACTAGACTCGCTGGCTTCATCCTCGATCCATTGAAGGAAATCAAAGGTCAATTGCTGCAGGCTGTGGTGGATCCAGCGGGCTTGGTGCTTGATGTAGAGAAGCTCGACCATTCTCCACGCCACCGCCGCGAGGGTCATCTCGTTCAATTCACAAGCCTTGCCATTGGCGTCCTGTCCAAACCACACTTTCTGGAAATCCTTGTTGAGGCCATTGATGATGCGATCCTTGTTCTCCTTCAAGTAAGCCACCCGAGCCTTTTTGTCGGCAATGCTGAACACGGTGCGATCCATCTCAGCCCAGAAGCGCACTCCACGAGTGGCAATCTTGTGGATCGGCTCGCCCATCTCGGACCGAACAGTAAGGATTCCTCCAGTCGGTCGGGTGTACGTCTGGTCCCAGGCTGCGTCGTCGACACCGGGGATATCCACAATCAGCTGCTTGGCCTCAACGCTCGTGTGGGCCTCCTTGACTGTCATGACCCTGCTGCCGAGAAGGATACCATCGAATGGCATAGGCGAAGGGGCGTTGAATGCCTTGGTCCATTCACCGGTCAAGTAGGGGAGGGTGTCGTCAGCGCCACCAAAACCGCTGCCAGCGACAAGAACAATGTTCTTGCAGGCCCTGATGCGACTGTACATCTCCAGGATAGGAGCATGGAAGTCCTCATATGAGTGGTGACCACCGCCGCGGCCACCAGTCCACTGCAGAATGATAGGGAAGGACTTGTTCTCGCGGGCGATGTCAATAACTTGCTGGATTGCCTCGACAGACCCGGGCTTAAAAGCAATGTGCTTCAGCCCGAGCGTCTCAATATACTCATTGGCGACGTCAACCGACGGAACTCCGGCTCCAATTGTCATTCCATCAACCGGGACGCCTTTGGAACGGAGCTCCTGCAGCAGGGGAATCTGCCAGCGAACGGAATTTGGACTGGCATAGATGATGTTACAGGTGACACCCTGACCAGGAACTCCATTGCTGACAATTTTGTTGATGGCTTCCTCCAAGGCACCCTTGCTGTAGTAGCCCCCGCCAGCAAGCTCGATATGATATCCAGCGTTCATGGTCGCAGAGACAAAGTCCCACGGAACAGTTGTTGGCGTCATACCTGCAACCATAACGGGAGGCAGCCCTAGAAGCTCACTGAACTTTGTCTGGACAATAACCTTGCTCGCTGCGTCTCTTGTCAGGCGTGGCCGGTATGCCTCGGCCCAGTTCTCGGCATACACGACGGGGTGCTCAGGATCGCGGTTGAACAATTCCGCCTTGTTCCCATACTCCTCGCTGTGCTTCATCGAGCCACCGAGAATGAGTCGCACACCCTGGCCTGCCTTGTTGTGCATGGTCACGACTCCCACGCCGGCACCGCCGCCGGGGCCAAAGTCGATCATGTGAGTAGCTTCCGGGAAGGCCGTTGCCTGCTCCCAGTGCACTGGCTGGTGGGCAATCATACTCACGATATCACCGATAATGTTCCTGTCCCGGTGTACGCGCATATCGTGACCGTCAGTGGTAGCGTAGAGTGGGATGCGCAGCTGGTCGCCTGTGATGTTCAGGTTACCAAGGTCTTGCACCACCAGGGAAGCAACCTCATCGAGATATATGCTGTGGAATGGTGCAGTGATAGGCAGAAAGCGATGGTCAATCTTGGGTCGCCGCTTGCTGGCAGGAGTCTGGGCCTCCCGACCATTCTTTGGCTTGAGGCCGCGCAGGTGACGACTCAGACCGTACAGACTGAGCGGGGGACCCGTCACAACGAGGTTCTGGGGGCCATTGAAGAGAGAGATGGCAACATGGGACTCAGTAGGAAGGTAGCTGTTGACCGTGTCAATGATCTTCTGTAGTTGGTCCTGTCGGAGGTTTCGCACCCTCAACATGGGCCCCGGTGTTCCCTCGCCATTATCTTCTGCCTCTTGCCTAATTGATTCGGGAATGAACTGGGGCGGGTATAGCTCGTGGCTGCGACAGGCAATGTAGAAGAGGATGCGAAGTGCATCAAGGGCGTGTCGGTAGAAGTCTTCCCATGTATCCGAGATGGATGTCACCAGGGCAACGACAATACCTTGTGAATGACCGGTCACACCGGACAAGTGATCGTGCATCTCCCGAGGAGAGAGTCCCATTGTCTGACAAGCCACGATGAAATGGCAGATCTGGAGGAGGCCGATCAGGGGCATGCTGACAGGGGCGGAGAGGAGATAGGGGGATTCTGGCTCGGAGTCAGGCTTCTCCAGCCAGTCCATGAGGGAGAAGCCATGTCGGAAGTGTGCCTTGAAGCCAGATGATCCGGAAAGGTCCTCCAGCAACCGGGCCCCAGAGAAGACACAGCGACGGAGGATATCGGTGTATGTGGTATATGTTTCCTTCAGGTCATCAAAGTATTTCTCGTCATTGCCCTGACCGCCAAACAAGGCGTAGATGCGTGACGGACCGTCTGAGGCGGACTGTAGAAGAAGAGACGGATGGTGTCTGTGCTTGCGACTGAGAACCCCCTGTGCCGCAAAGTATGTCTTGATGATGGGGCTCTTGTTCTGAATCTCGAGATGGGCAACGGCAGAGTGAACGTCATTTCCACCGAGGAAGTCTTGCTCAAAAGCCTCTAGGAGTGACTCAAGCAGTTGCAGTATTGTTGTGGCGTCGTCGCATTGTGTCTCGTCGCTAGAGCGGATGATGCAGAAGTTGATGAACTCGGCGACGAGGCCCTCCTTGATGGAGAGGTCGTTCTCGGGGGAGGATGAGGGCAAATACAGAGTGAAGTCCTTCCACAAGGCATTCGCCAAAGGTAGTTGCACTGCAGGGAGGTTGATTCTCGTGTCAACTGTTTCATAGGTAGCAGCTAACGACCGCTTGTCGCCGGCGACAGAGGACGGTCGAGAGATCTCAGGAGTGAGGCCCGCAAATTCCGAGCTCAAACTCGACAAAGGGGTCTTGACACTAATCATGATGGATTGTGAAAGAGAGGAGATTGACTGTAGCCAGAACCTGAGACTCAGGTCGTTGCCTGCCCAAGTGTTATATCACACCACCCGCCGTCGTGCGCCGAGATAAGCCGGGAATTGGGTTACATCACGATAAGCAGGGGTCAGTTCGGAGGTTTCGGACAGGTAGCAGGGCTGAGCTTGCAGAAGCAGAAGAAGCAAGGAAGCTGATCTGCAGCGTAAAAATGCCAGTTGCAGGATCCGATGTGGCGGAGGTGGATGGATGCTGGATGGATGCAGGGTGAGCTGACGTCGAGAATACGCGTATCGGTGGTAAAACGGAATTACCGACCGTCAGACAGATGTATTGTACGGGTGGTATTGGCTAGTGTATGGTATTTTTGGGTATGAACCCGAGCTTGGGTGGAGCCGGGCGGGGAGGGACAAATCCCTCCGGGGTAACACTCCAGGTCTATCAGAAGGGAGACGGTCGGAGCACGAGGCAGGAACGGCGGGAGATCCTCCAATGGCATCCGCAGTCAACATCCTTGATCCCTCGGATCCTTTGGTTGGGGCTGATCGCTGCGCTAAGCTTGTCAGCCTGCTGCTGTACCACGTCGGCTAGTATCCCCTGGAACATTCCAGCCCCAACGCTAAAACAGAGGCGTACGTCGAAACGTGGCATGCACGTGTCGTGCTCTTAGGTGGTGTAATATAGCTATTCTTAACGGTTGACGCCACGGGAACCTTATTTCCGAGCACATGGCACGGCAGGGATACAGCGCTGCTGATGGCAACTGGGGTGGTGATTGGCCCGCGCGGATTTGTACCTGAGTCATGAGTCGGGCAGATTGTCAACACGAGGTACAGCCAGTTAATCTACTACCTTCTATATCAGGATTGGTCTGGAACATTCTGCGATAACAGGATTAATGAGGTGATGGTCTGTAAATCCGGCGGAGTGATTATCCGCCGGTCTGTTCAAGGGTGAGCCATTTGACCTCAGGTGATCTTCTGCATGTCGTGCCGTATTGAGGCGCATCACAATTATTAATCAGGTTACACAATGTCTTCACAAGGCACCTATGGCTTGCCAACACCAATCTGGCCTAGTTTCATTTCCACTTCTCTGCTTCACAGTACAAAATAGCCGGTTCAAATGTACTGTCACGTTCATACTAGTAGGCCAAAACGATATACCACTGGCATCTGGAGAACAGACGGAACGAAGACTGTATCCCAACATGTACTGTATAGCTTCATTCACATTAGGTGATATAGGTTGTTACTCGCTAGATTTGCATTATGTATCTTTCTTCATCTTCACCAAATCAAACATGTCACACATATTCACCGACAACTACCCTCTGTAGTCCATCATCACCATATACACCAGCCCATCCACACATCCCATATCCCACATTCCACACAATAAACCCTACACCTCCCCAACCACCCACTCCACCCCCCTCCGCACAACTCCCGGTTCCTCCAACGGAACCAAATGCCTCATCCCCCCCAGAACCTCAAACCCCACCTCCAACCCCTCCTTCTGCCTCAAAAACCCCACCACCTCCCTCTCCACCTTCGCCTTATCCTCAACAACATCCTCCTCCCCCGCCACAACCCAAACCCTAACCTTTCTCTTTCTCCCCTCCAACCTCCCCACAACCCCCTCCACTAGGGTAGTAATATCCTCCGCCATACCATACATAATCCATCCGTCTCGAGCGAGTGCATTCCCCGAGGAACTGTCCCTCACTATCATATCCATGTCCTCCTTGGTGAGATTCTTCGTATTGGAGAGGACATTCTCCACGGTCCAGCGAATGGATTCCTCGCTCGTGTAGGCTTGTTTTTGCTGAGTGGCCATTTCCTCCGGGAGGAGGAGCGGGGTAGGTGGGGCGGGGGCGAGGAGGACGAGGCCTTTGATTAGGATGAGGAGGGGAGGCGGGAGGGTGGAGAGGACGGTGAGGGCGAGTTTGGCGCCCATGGAGTGGCCGAGGAGGATTAGGCCGTTTGCGAACAAGGGGGTGGTGGATGGGGTGGTTTGGAGGTGGGTGAGTATGGCGAGGATGTCGTCGGCCATGGGCGTGATGGAATAGTCTTTGGGACTGGTGGTAGGGCCGGTGGATTGGCCCCAGCCGCGGAGGTCGATGGCCACGGTGTTGTGGGTTGTGGTGAGGCTGGTGGGGGAGGTAGGTGAGGTTTGCTTGTGCCAGGTATTGCTGGAGCCGCCCCAGTAGTGGAGGAAGATGAGGAGGGGGTTGTTGTTCGGGGTGGAGGTTTTGGTGATGGTGAAGTGGATGTTGGTTTGGGGGGAGATGGTCAGGGTGTGGGATTCCATGGTGGTGGGTTTGATGTGGGAGTTGTGGGTGATTGTGTGTGTAGAGGGGGTCAGTGAAAGTGGGAGGATGGAAGGTGGTGAGATTTTGAATGCTTTGGAGGGGATATTTATGCCCAAGCTGAAGAGACGTGGCCTGATTCCTTTGTGATGATTAAGCTTCAGTATTTGGAATTCTGGTGGAATTAATTCCGACGGTGAGTCACAGCCGTATAACAGAGCGTGATATTGCTATAGCCAAACACAAGAGAATGAGAAGTGTCCGAGAAGATAAAATAACTGTACATTGCTTCTTCTCAGGACAAGTGAAATGAATATCACCAAATAGATCCACCCTGTATATACACTCAACGCCTGCCAAGAATTAGGATAGGAGGTCGACTCCAGGGCTTAAACCTTAAGCCATGACGTTTCCGGCCCCACGCTCGGGGTCGCGGTGCCTTTTCCGTACAGTTGACTAAACAGGCCGTTCTCGGCCAGCAGCTCTTTCGGAGCGCCACACTCAACAATACGCCCACTCTCGACAACCACCACCTTGTGAAAGTCGATAATAGTGTGCAGGCGATGTACAACAGCAATCACGGTACATCCTGCGAATGCCGTGCGGATGAGACGCTGCATGAGAGCATCTGTTTCAGGGTCGACGCTTTTGGGGTCAGTCATCAGTAATAATCACGATAGGTTTTAGTACGTACCTGCTTGTCGCTTCATCCAAGACAACAACCTTGCTCTTCCTCAACATAGCAGCAGCTAAACGCAAAAGCTGTTTCTGTCCCTGCGAGAAGCTTTCTTCCTGGACCTGTCCATCCAAGCCACCAAGTTGCGTCGATACGATGTCCCATAACTTGACCTCCTTCAGCACGTTGGTTATGCTTTCATCCGTCTCCCGACTAAGAGGGTCTATGTTCTGTCGTACGGTGCCAGGGAGAATGGTCACTGATTGGGATATACATGACAGTGAGGACCGAATATCCTGGCAGGAAATGGAGTTGATGTCGAGCCCGTCGATAGTAATTTGGCCGTTGTCGGGCTCGAGAAGACGGAAGAGGAGTTGGATCAGCGAGCTCTTGCCACTTCAAAGTGTCAGTATCAACCGGCTATCTATACGAGGGGCAACTTACCTCCCACTGGGCCCACAAATAGCAACCATCTCACCAGCAGAGATTGATAATGTGACGTCGTTGAGGACTGGATCGCTGTCGGGTCTGCAACAGAGCCGTCAGTGGGTTGCATACGTGTTCTGATGCAGAGGATCTTACCTGTAAGCAGCAGAAACATTGAAGAACTTAATATCGCCTCTCTCTGGCCAGCGAGGTGGAACCTCAATGTGTCCGTCCGGTCTATCCTCAGGCTGCACATCGTCCTCAAACTGTCTCACACGCGACACGGCTCCAATTGATGTCTCCAGTACGGTCCAGTTCGAGATCAGTTGCTTGAGACTCTCGCTCAAACTGATAATGTTCAGTAGTCCTAGTGCTGCAGAACCCGCTCCAATGGACCCGGGGACCCCGACTGCAAGACCAACAATAAGCGTGGCCATACCTGCGACGACCATGTCGAGGACAAGGGTTAGCCATCGTTGGATCACGAATAGCAGATAATATGGTCGTTGCGATGCGTCTGTCAGTCCGCAGATATTATTGAGAAAGTTATTCTGCCATCCGAAAGCACGGATCGTCACTAGCCCGTTGACTGTTTCCATGAAGTTAGAGTAGAGAGGAGATTTCGCTTCTAGCTCCATGAATCGTAGCTGACGGGATGTCCGAAGGTAAAATTTTTGCAGGAAGTAGAAGACTGCCAGGCATAGTGGGATGATGGCAGCAAGGTATTTTCCAGTGATGAACACGATGAGCAGCTGCGCTATGGCGGACATGAGGGCTGGCCATATGTTAGCGCATTTTGATCTTAGGGAATAGGTGTTATCACATACCAACACTAGTTTCAACAAGAGCAAGTGGCAGCTCCATGTCCACCAATTGCATGTCTTGACTGAACCTGTTGACCGTCAGCTAGATTCAAAACCCTGGTGGGATTCTTACTTATTCGTAGTGACACCAGAATCAGTAGAGTGGAAGAAAGATATCGGAGCACTATAAACTTTAGTAGACACTCTGAAGCCCACTGGTATACTTACTTCAACACAGTGCGAAGCAGAATCTTGTGCAACTTTCTGGATGCTCGAGGGACCATATTACTGATCATATGCGTGCTTTGCATTAGTCAGAACCCAACCAAAAGGGAGGGTAAACTTATCAGCATCCCAAGAATAAAGACAGCTCTGCCATAACGGCCAAGAAGGCATACACCCCGATGTACATGCTGAGGTCTTTGTACGGGTGCTTTTCGTTTGCAGCAGCCCACCACTGAACCCATACACCTAATACATGTCAGGTGTGCCCATCAAGCATTGCTTTGTACTTACTGGGAAATGCAAGACTGAAGGTAAAAATCGCAACTGCCACGAAAAACAGAAATGAGTTGAACCTGCCCACCATATCCAGATAGTACTTGTATATGGTCACATCGCCGGTCCGTCGGCTAGAATCCGACGTCTCGAGTTGAGCGGCAAGCTCATGTGGCACATCAGGGTTGGACTGTCTGACAATCCAGCTGAGCCTTGCATCATTCAATATGGGCTCCATGGGGTGGTCGCCTGTGCTAGGGCCGGGCAAGCTCGAAACAATGGAACCCTCTTTTTCCGAGAAATGCACTTTGCTGTCGAGGGTGATGGTGTAGTCTGCATTCGAGGATAGGCGAGCTATGAAAGTCAGATTATCACCATCTTCTATCATGTCTTGCTGTAACTCACTGGAATGCGTCGCAAGAATAGTAGTCAAGTTATGCTTCGTACAAAAGCCACCTTCGCTAAATAACCGCGCTATCACCAGCTTCTCCGTTTCAGCATCGAAGCCACTGAAGATATCATCGAGGAGCAGCAAGGGCTGTCGGGAGTAAAGTGCTCGGGCCAATGCCTGTTCTTAGTCATTAGTAGTGACCGGACTGAGTGGATTGAGTGACCTACCACCCGATGTTTCTGACCACCACTCAACGATAACCCCTTACTTCCCACCACAGTCTGAACACCCATAGGCATCGACCTCAGATCCTGCCTCAACCCAGATGCCTGCGTCACCTCCCGGAACCAGCGAGGCTCGTACGTTAACGGACCAAGAATATTACTTAGAATCGTGCCATTTTGCAGCCAAGGCTCCTGGCTACAAAATGCAGCCTCGGGATATCGGCACTTCATATACCCCTTCGTAACAGCTGTTTCGCCCCTCAAGCCAGCAAGCAGTGTCGACTTTCCACAACCAGTTGGGCCAGTGATAATCGTAAGCGAGGATGGTCGGATCTTAAATGTCATCCGCTTAATGACCGGTTCGCGGGTCGAAACCCACCCGACACTCCAATTTTGAGCCTCAACTGCATTCTGCATCTCGGTGTCTTTCATCTCGAGGTCCCGGATGTTGTCCATTTCCGGGAAGAGAGTTTGCTCGGAGGTGAAGGAGCTTAGGAAGCCAACTTCTTTTGTGTCTTCGGCCATTAAAAACACGCGAACACGTTCAATCGATCCAACGGCCGAGATGAGGTTAGGGACAGCTTGGAGTAGCATGGACATTGGGTTCTGGAGGACTGTGAAAAGAGACAGAGTGGTGAATGCTCTCTGGGTAGTCAATTCCGGGCCGCTGTCGTATCGCGATAAGGCAATGAATATGCCGAACCCGACGACGGGTGAGATGACCGAAGTGGCAAATGCTGTTGTAGGTTAGTAGTGATTTCATGCGATCAAAGTCGGGAGAGATACTGACACAAGCTCACCGCGTAGGTAAGGAAAGAGCGAAATTTACTCGCGTATCCTATCTCCTGGACCCTCAGATCCTGCACAAACTTCATGAACCAGGGTGTCAAGCCCTCCAACTTCAAGCTCTTCATAGAATTGATCATGTATGTTGTAACGTCGATTCTCTTCTGGATTCCCTGTACCCATGTCGCCTGACGACGTCCCACGGCTGGAGCCATTGTCGCGGCAGCAGCTCCACAGACTAACACACGTTAGCATGCAACTCTATCTCAACCTACAGGAACAACGTACCAACTGCAATAAGAATAGGACTTAATCCTCCGTAATTCAGCTCGCGGTAAAGCAACCACAGCGCTAGAGCTATCTCAACGATATTCCCCCACGCTTCATGCATATACCGCATTCCGAATGCGATCTTCTCAATGTCGGCGCTCATCAGCGTTACTGGCGCATATTCTTCGGCGGTTTTGGGGTCCATGGATAGCGTCTTCTCGTAGATCAACGGTACTAGGCATCCGCGCATGAGGACGATTGTGCGGTATGTGATGTGCTGGTAGCATGCTTCGGAGATCTGCGCAAGTATTAACAGTGCACATATTCAAGGCTGACGCGACTTACTCCCAATCCCACATACACAAGAATGTATGCGCCAAGTAGCCCGTACCCATCATTTCGCCTTTGCTTAGCTGAATCCGTCTGAAGATACTTGATCACTGCGTCGATGAGAAACGGCTGGGCGAATGTAAAAGCCGTAAAACACAACCGGGGAATAGCTGCAGTTAAAAGAACCAATTTGTATTCCCAGGCCAAAACTTTGAGAAGGCCATTACTCTTCTCCTTTGTCGCTGGGTTCGCTGCGCATTGTTGGTAATCATTCGAAGACGAAGGTATATCTGCTTACCATTTTGCCACACCTTGGAGAAGCTCCTTGAACATACCTCGGACTGGAGGCTATGGTTCAAAGTGAACAGGTCGTCTGCCTGCAAGTCCTTCTTGGATCCTAGAAACAGCAACGGATTGACCCACCAAAACATGCGCCGGTTGATCCATCCGACCTTCTCCTCGGGACTATATTCCTGTTCCAGTGAACCAAGGGCCCGTGACCAGGCCTCTTGCACCAGCAACACAGCCTTCCATATATCTGATATCATCAACAGCTTGAATATGTGACCGTGATATCCCATTGCCCATAATGTGCGTAGTCGAACGGCGTCAAAGGCAAGCGTAAAGAGGAGGTAGATCTCGATAAGAAGGGGCGGCTTGACGGAGCGCGTGTGTTCAAAATGCGACGCAAGACCGAGCGCAAGGGCAGCGACCAGGTTGAGCGCCGCAGCGGGGATAGTTGTGCGCGTCTTCAACTCATGGCCCGATGTCCAGGATACTAGGATGGCGGTCTGAATGGCGGCGAACCAGCCATAGCTCATCTATAACAGAATCAACGATGCGACTCATGTCCAGTAGTTGGGGCCATGACCTACGAGCTTAGCCAAATGAGCGCCATCGCTACTCCCATCTCTTGTTGATTTTCGGTATAGGTAAATCACCCTTCTGGCGAGAAACAATAGTAAAAGTCCCACCGGGCCGATCGTCATCACAGACTCCTCAAATAACAATGTAAAGTCGTAACCGCCATAGCAGTCGCGGGCTTGAGGCCCGAACTCATCCTCAAAGGCAAGGGAGCAATTCATTGCAACTTCGCCTGTTCTGCTGGGGACTGAGAGCGCGAGCGGATCTGGGCCATCTGGAGTGGTCTTGTTGCTCTTTAGCCTGCACTGCCTGGAACTACACCTCTGGAATTCGAGTCTCACTGCCTAAGTCAGCGTCGTTGCTCGGAGTGCTGTTGCGATGTGCGAATGTCCAGTGCGACTGACATCAGACTCTGCTGCCTGCTCCGACCTGGTCGGGGCGCAACCCACCACGTTGGGCGCGCGTATATGGAGGAGGGGCATCGTGATTAGCAAAGAACATGGTGGGGACGTCGTTTAATCGTGGGTATGGCTCATTGGCTGGCGCGTAAATCCAACCAGGCTAACGATGCGGACAGGGGATGGAGGGATCCTGCGGGCGGATCGCAGGCTTATCTTTTTGGACCCCACCTGATCGACGGGGTTTCCTCCATGTGGCCGCTGGGCGATCCCCCGATGTGGTTTAGCTGCCAGATCGCGGGTATCGATACCATCATACCAACCCGTATTTCCATGATACTGTCGTTCGTGAAATACGATACGTATCACGTCGGTCAGGGGCCGATACTAGGGCCATTACGGGGCGTGGGACAAATACGCCCGCAGTGCATGCAGAAGGATTGTATCAGCTTCACTCGCATGGCAGATGGGTCCAACCGACACGAAGCTGACAGGAGCTTGGAATGTTGGATTCCAAGTCAATGCATGTCTGCGACGCCGGACATCATTGTACATAGTGCCAGTGTAGATTCGCCTTGGGAAGATGGATCGATTGCTTGAGATTCCTTTTAATCCCCACAGCCTGCAGTCTGTGTCGTTCCTGTGCTTGTCTCTTTCGCTTGGCCACACTACCTTCTCAGCACCCACCGGAGAAAATGGCTCCCATCGCTCTGCCTACTCCTGAGCCTCCTCATCTGCTTGTCTCTCCCTCCAAGACTCTCAAGAGCATCAAAGGCGACACGCCTGCTCCTTCCCTACCCACTCCCATCAAAGACTTCTTGGCTGTTGAAGAGAACTCGATAGTTGCTGCTGAAGTACCTGAAATCCTTTGCACGGCATTTGGCCTTGCACTTCGTTGCTATCGATCGGAAGGCGTGGCCTTTGAATACCATGACGAGTCGGCGGCCGGTCACGGAGCCGCCATCACCCGTAAGTGTCGCGCACAGACACCGATGACGTCACTGATCAGTGTGGCCTTTAGACATCTCGTTCGATCCAGACGAGTTCCACAAAGTCGACGATCTCCTCAAGGCTGTGAGGAGAACACTGCAAAGTGCCCGATCGGTTCTAGATGCACCCAGCAACGCATCCGCAACTCCATCATACCAGTCCTTCCGGAGCGCTGTGGTATTCCGTCAAATCCACGAAGGATCTAGCGATGACAAATCCATCCCCCCGTCACCCAAGGTAAATCCTGCCAGTCACGATTGTTAGGAGGTTGGAAACTTACTGCTTTGTAGCTTGACCTCGAGCTTCATGCCATCAACTCCGCCAATGGCATTGACATCCAACTGCTTTATACCCCATCCACCGTCTCCGAGGACCTCGTGGTTCACTTGGCCGATACCCTCCGTCAGACATTCGACTTAATCAACAACCACCCTGGAACGGAGCTTGACAAAGCAAGCTATCTGGGCCCTCTGAGTCAGCAAAAGATCTTTGACTGGAACTCAGCCCCACCTGCTGCAGTGCTCGAGTGCGCCCATGAGCTGGTCCGACAGAGAGCCTCCCTGCAGCCACAGGCACCCGCCATTGATTCATGGGATGCCCAGATGACCTACGCAGAGCTGGATTCTCTGTCAGATCGTCTGGCAACCGCCCTTGTTGATGTGGGAGTCAAGGCTGAGGTGATTGTACCTCTATGCTTCGAGAAGACGGCATGGTATGTCGTGGCCATGCTGGCCGTGCTCAAGGCCGGTGGAGCATTCGTTCCTCTTGACCCAGCGCATCCTTCCGCGCGTCTTCGCGAGATTGTCGGCCAAGTCGATGCGCCGGTCGTATTGACAACAGCTAAATACCATAGCCTTTTCGTCGACTTCTCGGTGAAGGCCATGATAGTTGATGCTGAGACAATCAAGGAACATGCCGCTCGCAACCTGGACTGCATTCCAGCGTCTGCTTCCAACCCAGAGAATCTCGCATATGTGATCTTCACCTCCGGTAGTACGGGTAAGCCCAAGGGTACGATGATCCAGCACCAGTCCTTCTGCAGTGGATCCCTGCGGCAGGGTGAAGAAGCCAACATGGGACCCCATTCTCGGATCTTTCAATTTGCGTCGTACAGTTTCGATGTCAGCATCCTGGAAATCCTCACCGGGCTCATCTTCGGTGCTTGTATCTGTATCCCGAATGAGCAGCTGGGACGTGCAGACTTTGTACAGTCCATGAATGACTTCCGTGTCAACTGGGCTTTCTTGACGCCGTCGGTACTAAAGGTCTTGTCCCCGGATCAACTACCGCTCTTGAAGACTTTGGTCTTGGGAGGTGAAGCCATGTCCGAATCGGATATGATGACATGGGCGGGAAGACTCCAGTTGATGAATGGTTACGGACCCAGTGAATGTTCCGTCGCGGCCACTGCCAATACCAAACTGAACCCCCATTCCAGTCCGCGGAATATTGGCAGAGCTATCGGTGGTGTCTGCTGGATCGTTGACCCGCAAAACCACAACGTGCTCTTGCCGGTCGGTGCTGCGGGTGAGCTCATCATCCAAGGCCCAATCGTTTCACGCGGATACCTCAAAGACTCAGTGAAGACTGCCGCAGCCTTCTTCGACAGTCCAACCTGGATGACCCCCGGTACTTCGCCAATCTGGAACCGCTTCTACAAGACTGGCGATCTCGTGCGCTATGATGCGGAGGGCATGATCCACTTCATTGGGCGGAAGGATCACCAAGTCAAGCTCCATGGACAGCGCATGGAACTGGGAGAGGTAGAGCACCATCTCTGGACCGACGGTCTTGTCCGCAATGGAATGGCTCTCGTGCCATACACTGGCCTCTGCAAGGCTCGTCTGGTTGGTATCGTGTCCCTCCACAAACAGTTCGCAACTTCCTCGGTCCAGACACACCCAATCATCCGCCTGGTGGACCATGCAGAGGCTGCGGCAGATACGCGGGAAATCGCAGAGCGCCTATCACAGCTTCTTCCCACATATATGGTCCCGACAGTCTGGATCGTTTTGGAAAGTCTTCCGTTGATGTCATCCGGCAAAATGGACCGGAAGAAGGTCGCAGATTTTGTGGCCGACATTAGCGCCGAGGCGTTCCAGCACATCATGGGTAATGCCGACAAATCCGACGAGACGCCAGTGAGCAAGACAGAGGCTCTTGTGCGCAGAGTTTGGGCGAAAACCCTTGACATCCCTGAGGACCAGATCGGCAAGCATAGCAACTTCCTGTCGGTGGGCGGTGACTCCATCAAGGCCATGGCTGCCATGTCAGAGTTCCGCCGACTGGGAGTAACTGTACTAGTAGCCGATTTGTTGCGGTACGATGTTAGCGAAGTTGCTTCAAAGATCGAAGAGTCGGGTCTTGCGGATTTGCTTCTCTTGGAAGGCCAGACGGGCAGCCAGGGTCAGCTCCCAGTGTCCCATCTGCAGCAGACGTTCCTGGAGGCGTCTCACCTGGGCAACAGTGCTGTGCACCATGCTATCCTGCTTGAACTCGGACAAAAGATCCGCATTCAGCAGCTGAGCGAGTCACTAGACACTCTGATCTCTTCCTACCCTGCGCTCACTCTTGGCTTCAAGGAGCAGAACGACACATGGTCGCAAGTTTTCAGAGATCACGACGAGCTTGAGAACCCCGCTTACCACCTGAACTTGAACCATGTCGCTAGCCTGCAGGAGGCGCAAGAGATTGTCCAGCGTCGTCAGGCCTTGCTCTGTGTGGCTGGTAACCCAAGCTTTATGGTTGATCTGTTCACTGTCCGCGGCGCACAGTATCTCTCTATTGTGGCGCATGCGGCTGTTGTTGATGTTCATTCCCTGAACACTATCATTGGCCACCTGGACTACTTGCTGCAGTCCGACGCAGAGAAAAAGAAGCATATCTGGGAAAGTCAGCTTCTGTCTCATGATGAGTTCTCTCATGCTTGGATTGACCACCTCAAAGGCGAGAGTGAAATGGGAACAATCACCCGCTCATCAGTGTCCTTTGCCAGTGTTACTTCCATCAACAAGCAGGCGTATGCGACCGAGGCCCTAGATCTGGATGCTCATGCCACTAGCCTCCTTACCGGGCCGTGCAACCTTACGTTTGGCACGAACGCAGGGGAGCTACTTCTCGCAACATTGATACTGTCATATGATCAGACCCTCAAGAACCATGGCGGTCCCTCCTCAGCTATTGTCGAAGGCTCGGCACGTCAGTCGACAGGGGGTCATGTGGGACAGTTCTCTCTGCTGCAGCCCGTAAATGTGTCGAGCCAGCGAGACCAGATGACTCTTCAACTAATCCGGGAGACCAAAGACCAGGTCCGCCACAAGGGAGAGAAGACGCTGTCTGAATCTGCAGATCTCATCTTCAGCCATGGCATTTCGGGCCAAGCTGTTGGAGGTGTCGTGTTGAAACAGACGACATCAAGTGAGCCACGCAGTCTAAGCGCCATCATTCCCACGGTGATCCAGGTTTCCTCTTTCATCGAAGACGGCCAGCTCAAGATCACTGTCGGATCTGACCAAGTCCGCAGTCAAGAGCTATCTCAACTTGTCAGCCAGTTCAAACAAAACATTGCGCAGACAGTGGATCTCCTGGCATCTGGCACCGTGAGAGAATTTACGCTGGCAGACTTCCCACTGCTCTCCCTCGATTACCAATCCCTCGAGAGAATGAACCGCCAGAGCTTCCCACGACTAGGTCTCAAGTCACACCAAATACAGGACGTGTATCCTTGCTCCCCTTTGCAGCAAGGTCTTCTCATGAGCCAGGCCAGGAAGCAGGGCAGCTACAACGTCTCGATTGGATGGGAAGTCATTCCCAGTGCATCCTCTGACCGAGTCGACATTGGAAGACTGCTTTCTGCGTGGCAAAAGGTGGTAGATTTCCACCCCGCATTGAGAACGATCTTTACCGATGATCTCGGTGGCAAAGACCCGTACGCCCAGATTGTTCTGAGACGTCCTAGAGCAGAGATCTCGGTGACACCTTGCTCAGACGCTGGCGTTGAATCTATCCTCGAGGAGACGATTGATCTAGGCACGAGCCCGGTGGTCCCTCCACATCGGTTCTCCATCAACTTCACGGCTGAAGGCAAAGTCTTCTGCAGAGTCGATGCTAGTCATACCATTGTCGATGGTGTTTCCAAGTCATTGATTATGAGAGATCTCAGGCGAGCCTATGAAGGAAGTCTGGACACGCGTACGGAAGGCGCCAGGTACAGTGAGTTCGTCAAATACGTCGCCAACAACGACATGTCGGCCAGTGTTGCGTTCTGGAAGAATCAGCTTGCGGACGTCGAGCCATGCTACTTCCCCAAGTTGGCCGATACTAAAGCTGTGCCTGAACTCAAGTACGCCCAAGTACTGCTGGAGACGCCCGCCAGTGCTCTGCGCGAGTTCTGCGTCTCTCACAGCATCACACTGTCCAACCTTCTCCAGACCGTCTGGGCACTCGTGTGTCGATGCTACGTTGGCCGAGACGATGTCTGCTTCGGCTACCTGGCATCGGGCAGGGATGCACCCATCGAAGATCTGGTCAACATGGTTGGTCCGACGATCAGTGTCCTGATATGCAAGGCATTGCTCGACGATTCCACGATTGTCAAGGACGCGTTGAAGACGTGCCAGTCGGAATTCCTGGATTCTCTTTCCCACCAACACTGCTCGCTCGCGGAGATTCAGCATGCACTTGGGCTTGCAGGCATGCCGCTTTTCAACACCGGTATCTCCTTCCAGACCATGACTGGTGTCGACAGTGATGACACTACCGCCGATGTTGACTTTGAGGGTCTCGTCGTTCGAGAACCGACTGAGGTATGCATTCACCCGGAGATATTTTGCATTAGCTGACATTAGCAGTACAACATTACGGTCCACGTTATCGATTCGCCGGACAACGTGGATGTGAAGCTCGGATACTGGACTAACTGTCTGTCGGAATCCCAGGCTCAATCCGTCTCGGGAACTTTCTCTGCCATTCTCAAGTCTGTGCTCGAAAACCCCGAAGCTCGAGTTGATCAACTCAGTGTTATTGGTCGATACGATCTGTCGCAGATTGTTTCCTGGAATCAGGATGTACCAGAAACGTCCCAGTCTACGGTCCCAGACCTCGTGCTTGAACAGATCCAACGCACTCCCCGGGCCATTGCAATCGATACTCTGCGTGAAAAGGTGACGTACGAGGAGTTTGGACAGATGTGGTCGGCCCTGTCTCAGCACCTGACTCAACTTGGTGTTGGTCCTGGAGATTTCGTGCCCTTGACATTCGAAAAGTCCGCATGGGCGATCGTTTCCATGCTCGCTGTTCTGGCCGCTGGAGCTGCGTTCGTGCCACTTGATCCGAAGACCCCAGTGGAGCGTCTGCGCGAGGCTGCTCTCCAAACTGCAGCAAAGCTCATCCTGGCATCTCCCAAATATGCCTCCAACTGGGAAGGTCTGGTCCCGGCTATTGTCAGTGTTGATCGTACCAACCTCGATGAGTTGAGAAATACGGTCAACGGGCTCAGACCAGAGGCAGTAAAGGCTCGTCCTCAACATGACGCATATGTCATCTTCACCTCTGGCAGCACAGGAAAGCCCAAGGGATGTGTTGTGCAACACTCTGCCTTCTGTTCCGGAGCCTTGGCTCAGGGAAAGCTCGCCTGTCTAGGCCCCGAATCCCGCGTGTTGCAGTTTGCCTCCTATAGCTTTGACGTTAGTCTCCTCGAGATCATGACATCCCTCATGTTCGGTGCGTGTATCTGCGTGCCGGATGAGGACCTCGGGAAAGACATCAAGCGCTGCATCAACGAGTTTGCGATCAATTGGACATTCATGACTCCATCCGTTCTTAAGCTTCTGCAGCCAACTGATGTGCCTTCCCTGAAGACCTTGGTTCTCGGTGGCGAGGCTCTTTCAAAGGGTGACATCATCACCTGGGCCGACAAACTGCAGCTGTACAATGGATACGGGCCCAGTGAGTGTTCTGTCGCAGCAGCGGCTAATCCAGGCCTGCAGACTACTACTGATCCAGCCAACATTGGAAATGCCGTTGGTGGTTTGCTTTGGGTCGCGGATGCAAAGCAGCCATCCCAATTGCTTCCCATTGGGGCCGTTGGTGAGCTTTTGATTTCAGGGCCAATCCTGGCAAGAGGCTACCTGGGCGATCCCGAGAAGACTGCCGCTGCATTTGTTGAACAGAAGAGCTTTATCCCGGGATCTGAGGAGCAGGAGCGATTCTATCGTACTGGTGATCTCGTGCGGTACAACGCCGATGGTACCATTCATTTCATCGGACGAGCTGATGGACAAGTCAAGATTCGCGGTCAGCGTGTCGAACTGGGTGAGATCGAGTACAACATCGAGCGTGATGAGAATATCCACCATGCGCTCACTTTGCTTCCGTCTCAGGGACCGTTTAAAAAGCAGCTCCTGGCTGTTGTGTCTTTCAAGGGCTTCGATCTCCCCGCTGAGGATGGACAGATTTCTCTCGTGCCAGAAGACCGGAGACCCGAGATCATGGCAGTCGTGACCAAAATCGCTAACACCATATCGGCAGCCCTTCCAGTTTACATGGTCCCTGCTCTGTGGGTGCCGGTGAATGCAATCCCTCTTCTGCCTTCTGGTAAGTTGGACCGGAAGAAGGTCCGCCGCTGGGTCGAGGCGCTGGACGACGCTACGTACGAGCAGATTGCCAACGTAGGATCGAAAGCCAGTGGCCGAGGCCCAAGCACGCCTACCGAGGCTGAACTGCGACGGATCTGGGCCTCTGTGCTCAACCGCCCAGAGGAACAAATCAGTATGGAGCGGTCCTTCCAGAGCCTAGGTGGTGATTCCATTTCCGCCATGCAGGTGATCGCCCAGTGCCGTGATGCTAAGCTATCGCTCGCGGTCAAGGATTTGATCCAATGTCCTACTATCGCCGAACTGGCGGTGCGAGTGCGGCCTTTGGACGAGGAAGCCGAGCCAGTGGAGGAAGACATTGGCGTTCCATTCAACCTCTCTCCCCAGCAGACGTGGGAGTTTGACTTGAAACAGCACTGCGACCTTAATCGTTACAACACTACGTTCCTTCTGTCGATTCATAGCGATGCGGACCTGGAGCCAGTCGTTGACGCGACAGTCCAACGTCATCCCATGCTTCGTGCTCGGTTCCAGCGCGATGTCTCTGGACGGTGGATGCAGTATATTCCTATTGACCAGACCAACAGTCACTTATATGAGGAGCTGGAGGTGCCTGACGTGACAGCCATCGAACCATACACCGCTCCTAACCAGTCCGGTTTCGATTTGGAGCGTGGTCCTTTGATGCGTGCTATCGTCTTCAAGCTTCCGAACGGAGACCGCTATCTTGCTCTCACAGTGCACCATATGGTCATCGACACGGTTTCCTGGCGAATCCTCCTCCAAGATCTTCAGCAGGGCTTGTCCTCCGGAGCCATCACCTCCCACCGATCTGACTCTTTTGCCCTGTGGTGTCGCCGACTCAAGGAACATGCCGACCAGAAATGGACTCCCGAATACGTGCTGCCCTTCTCGATTCCTGCACCCCGATACGACTACTGGCAGATGGAGGAATCCATGAACCTGTTCGTGACCGAAACCATCCAGGAGTTTTCTCTCGACACCAAGACCACCGCTCGTTTGATGGGTAAATGCAACCACCAGTTCGAGACCAAACCACTCGATATTTTCTTGTCGGCAATCTTCCACGCATTCAGCGCCACCTTCAGTGACCGTCCCGTGCCCGCGGTTTTCATCTACAGTCATGGTCGTGATGAGTTTGGCGGCGATCTCGACGTCTCTAACACGATCGGATGGTTCACCTCATCCACCCCGGTGGTGATCCAGCCATCCGAGGATATCGTGGATGACCTGCAGGCTGTGCGCGACGTGCGTGCCAGCGTCCCGGGTAACGGAGTCCCGTACTGGGCAACCCGCTGGCTGACCGATGATGGACACGCCGCTTTTGAGCACCACAGCCCGTTTGAGCTGTCCATGAACTACCTCGGTCAGTACCAGCAGCTGGAGCGGGACGATTCAGTCCTTCGCTATGTGGACGTCAACAAGCCGAAGGCGACTGGCTCTGGCTCGGGTCTTCTTCGGACCGCGCTGGTCGAAACCCAGGCCATCGTCATCGGCGACTCGCTGCAGATTAAGTTTGTGTACAACACGCGCATGGCACGGCAGAAGCAGCTGCTCGAGTGGCAGGCGAAGGTGAAGGAGTCGTTGTTGGAGATTGCGGAGCGTCTGGGAGATGGTGTTGAGTGAGCGAATTCCTCCTTTGATTTGTATATAATATTGGTTCATGGTTTCTGCTGCTGCAATTTTGTGGTGTATATCTGGATTATGCTGTTTATTGTCGATTGGCGTTGGAAGCGAGATTGCCCATCATCTCATTGATTGATCATTGTATATAATTGTCGTCATACAACTTCACATTCTGCAAACTTTCCCTAACCGCGAAGCTGCCATGTAGAGCCACGCCTTACCTTGTATGCTTCATCGATGGTCCCCCTTTGAGACAAATATGCCCGTTTTCCAGCCTTCCAATCGAATAACTCCATTCTGGCCGCTGTTGTCTCCGTAGATACCGTCATCGTATACACTACAGTCGTAGTCGCCAGCGATGCGAAAGCCCTCGATGCAGTCCCTCGAAAAAATCGGCCTAGTCAATGGATAACGCAGATTTGGAGTCGTACATTGTGTCCGATGTCGCATTCGAAATCCTTGGATTACTCAACGCCCGGCATGACTGCGTATATGCTCCCGCCCCTGCGTTCTTATTGTCAAGAATTTCCAACTAACTTGAAACCGTATATGCAGCTCAACAATCCCGCCCCGGTATTATCGTGATGTTGGTCGGCACGAGTTCGGTGTGGTGTCGTTGGTTTCTTGCGTGATTTTGCGTTGTGTTGGTAGTGACCAGCCTATCGTCGCAGCTCAAGTCGAGTACTCTGCATCATGGAGGACCGGTCAAAGTATGACTCGTTGAAGTCATAGCCAGCTCTGCTCTGAAGTGTTGAGTTGAAATGCAGTGTGGTGGTCGGTGTTCCCGATAGATCGAGTTGCTAATTTCCCGCGTGCCGTCCACGGGTCTTGCAGCCTGCCAAGTTGGTAGTAATCCAAGACCCGAGAAAAGCGTTAGCAGCCACCACCCAACCCAAGCCCGCGCGTAAATGTCGGCATCATGACCATGAAACGACAGGGAATGCGGGCGAATATGACTGCCTACCGATGGCTCAACCAGCCAGGCAGCTGCGAAAAAGCGGCCGTTCTTTGTCTCTAAGTAGTGGTCGGAAGCACGGCGGAAGTGGGATGCCGCCGTCACGCGTCGATCCGGCTTTGCCCTGTTTGCCCTTTTTTCAGGGTCCACCGGCTGCTGATGTGCTGATTGGCCCGAGCGTAAAAATGCACCGGGCAGCGGCGATCCACGCTTGGCCGCTGCCCGATCCGTGCTATTTCGGTCGCGTACGCGCCGCCCACTCAGCACCGCGGATGATGGCGGCAGAATCCACCCGGCGCCCGCCGGTTGGCTGCTGCGTAAATATGCTCCTCGATCCCGACAAAACTAACCCTGAGTTTATCCCGATTTTGACGCTATCGACGTCGCCGATCTGCGGAGTCAGAATGGCGCCAGGCAGACGAAATGCCTCTGTTTCATTTATAGGCGGGCTGTCCGCTCGTAGGTTTCTCCTGAGGATGCATGTTCATCGGTACGGCGGTATATATACATGGCGCATCGGATCATCACCACCACCACCACCACTATCGTCCACCAATACTACTACTAGTAGTCTTCCGCACCCAGGCCTGACTGCCTTGGAGTGACAACCTCAGGCATTCACTCCCCACACAATTCTCATCTCCTAATATTTTGATTGACAAAAGAATCTCACCATGACAACCGTCACTGCCCCGGCGCCCTGGATCACCAGCAGTCAACAATGTACCCTCGAGACCTGTCCCATGTCCTATGCGCACATCACCTACCTACCCAACCTCGGCGGTAACGCATTCTACATCGCCCTCTTCGCCCTCTTCATCCCCGTACAATGCTATCTCGGCATCCGCCATCGCACATGGGGATACCTCTTCGGGACCATCTGTGGTCTAATCCTGGAAGTACTCGGCTACATAGCGCGCATCTACATGCGCCATAACCCGTTCATTGACCGGTGGTTCATCATGTATGTCCCTTTCCAAACCCCTCCAAAACAACAAATCTGACCCCAAGAAAGGTACCTCGTCTGCCTCACCATCGCCCCCGCCTTCCTCAGCGGCGCCATCTACGTCTCCCTGGCCCGAATCGTCGGCGCCTACAGCGCGCAAATCTCCCGCATAAAACAACGCAGCTACAGTCTGATCTTCATCAGCTTCGACATCATCTCCCTCCTCCTACAAGCCGCCGGCGGCGCCATCACCACCTCCAACTCCGCCTCCACCGTCCAAGACGGCATCAACATCATGATCGCCGGTCTGGCCTCCCAAGTCGCCTCCCTAACCCTCTACATCGTGATCGTCCTCGACTTCGCCTACCGCGTGTTTAGTCTGAGCGCCCGGAACCCCTCTGCAAGCAACAACACGACCTTCCGTCTCGCAAACACCACGAAACGCGAATCCGATTCCCAGGACCTCGTCGTCTCTGATACCGGTCTAATTACCCTGAACCCGGAATTCGCGGCCCTGAGGGCGTCGAATCGCTGGAAGGCGTTCCTGTTCTGTCAGGGTCTCGCCGTCGTGTGTATCTACATTCGGAGTTGTTTTCGAGTCGCCGAGTTGTGTGGTGGGTTTAGTTCGCATTTGGCGAATGATCAGACCACGTTTATGGTGCTCGAGGGGATGATGATTTCGATTGCGGTCATTGCCATGAGTACTTGGGGACATCCGGGCATTGGGTTTAATGGACGGTGGGAGGCGTTGAATTATCCGATGTTTCGCGTTGGGAGGAAGAAGGGGGAAAGTCAGGCGGAGGCTTAGTGGGGGGAGTTGTGTGTTGTTATGATGATGCATCTGGTTTGGTTATGGGTGTGATTGATTTGTTTCTTTTGTGTTTGGTTTGGCCGGTCTGGTGTTGTGGTGTTGAGCGTGGTGTATACTAGCTTTGTCTAGAAAATCAGGGTATAGAGTTCCTGCAGGTGCATAGCTATCAATAAGTATATCTATCAAATGTGTTGAGTCATGGTTCCGTGCGCTTGTCTGTAGATGGCCAACGGCATAATGCTTTCGTCCTGGATGCATGGCAGTGTCATTGAGTAACCGAGATTCCATGGCTGCCATCTACATTCGGGTGGAAGAATGCTCAGTCAGGCTTCATTCAGATCAAGCTAGCGCTATCTACTAGAACAATACCACCCACAGCGAAAGTCAACTACCTAGTAAAGAACGACACACCCAAAGCACTCCACAACTAGTCGCGATTGACGGTCAGACAAACCGGCCGTTCAGGCATAGACCCCAGTGGAAGCCAGATGGTAAGAATGCCGTCCTTGTAGCGCACTTCTGCCGCATTCCAATCGACCGGCTTGTCCAAGATGAACGAGCGAGAGAAAAATCCAATCTCGCGCTCTGCCAACTTCCACTCTGGTTCATCTTGCCGGGGTTGATCGTCATCTTCTTCACTCTCCGGAGTCATTTTTTGGATTTCTTCCCGGCGCGGGATGGTTACACGACCCTGAATGCCTTCGCCCCGTCCCCGTCCCCGTCCGCGTCCCCGTCCCTGTCCCTGTCCCTGTCCCCGTCCCCTTCCTCGACCTCGACCTCGAGTTCCATACCCTTGCTGGGCGCGTCCATCTAGTGAGCTTCCTTCGTCTCGCTGTATTGGTCGACCTCGCCAACTTTCCCCGTCTTGCAGGTTTCGGTCGCCTCGTTGATCTGGGGAGGGCTGAGTTCCCTGTCCACCAAGCTTATTCCACACGCCCGTGGCCGGTTGACCCCTCCAAGCGCCTCCATCACGATTGGCCGGGACATGGGGACTTGGGGCCGCTTCACCAGCCTTGGTACCTACAGGCGCACGGCTGGCGTTGGCAAAGCAGGTTTCTTCAGCCTCCTCATCTCGTGCACTGGTCTGTTCAAGGAGCATTTTGTCCAGAAGAACATGCATCGGAACCGAATAATATTCCTCGGCATTCACCTTCGAGTCGGGTTTAAAGTCCGGAGGAGGGCCAGGGTATGCGCGTTGGAGAGTGCCGGAGATCACCAAAGTCTGAAAGCCACTGATTTCAATAGCGATGTTATCTTTTGTGGAGCCGGGCAATTCCCCATCCAGATAATAGCCACCCTCGAGAAGGCGCAGGTCGAATGCAGGTCGGATGGGCTCGGGAGTTCCGAGAGGCGCCCGGAGAAGGGGGTTCGGTCCATCTGCCTGCTCCATGTCGAAGACACCCATATCGATAGTCTCGAATCCAATGTATTAAAGAGCGTGTGATAGAGATCGTGCGATAAAATGTGTAGTAAGTATGGTTGTGGTGTGGGATGATGTCGAGTAGACGTTCGATGCAGCCGGAGAGGTTTACAACTTCTGGACCTTGTAGAGGTAGCTGCCACCCAAGGTAGGAACAAGTGAGCAACGATGTAGCTAGGAAGGTGCCCGGGTGATGGCTTCTTCATAGAACAACCCTGGTACTGCTTCAGAGGGATGAAAGGTCACTCAGCATACCATTAAACACAGTGGTGACATGCAAGCAGTTGGCCTGCTTCCGACCGTTCCTACCATATCCTACACACGGCACAATGTTCCTTGCAGTATGACACTCACATCACCACCCGAGGTAACTTGGCATCACCTCAGGCCGAAAGCTTCACCAGCTCCGAATGAAACGATTCGACCCATTGTACCGACCGCTGTCAAACCATAAAGACCCGTGGAGACTGCAACCCAGGCCGCCAGCACACCTCCAAGTATCCCGACTACTCCGATTCCGACTCGTCCGGCTGCATCACCTTGTCATCGAGTTCCTATTCCTCATCAGCAGGAAGCGACCAAGCTGCACTTCGGTATCCCTACCTTGGTCAATCTCGCCTTCAGATTCGCCAACTGGCTCTCTTTTATGACCAGGTGGCGGTCATCATCGAGGTCTTCGACAATATAGTCGTGTCTTTCTTGGTCGTACTTGAGGATGATGGCTTTCACGGATGGATCGCACTCGATGAGGACTCCTGTTTACCGGTCGATTAGCTCGATTAGCTGGGACCGGGGATGGCTGCGGTTGGCATACCTCTGACGGCGCGGGGCATGATGCTCTGGGGAAATTGGGAGATGTCGACCGCACGTGGGGTATGAAGATTGCGGGATTTTATTCGAGGGGGACGAGGAGAAGGAGTGGGTTGCACGGCGCCAAAGTCGACGAGCGAAGATGGCCGAGATTCCGCGGCCAAGCGATGCCAAGACTTGCTTCCTCAGGCACCGAGGCCGCCACCGAGGTCTGCCCGTTTTCTCAGGCGATGTTCTACTAGATACTTCAGAGAGTTACAAGATATTCTTTGGCATGGTCTATTTTTGATCGGTGTGCGCCTTTTGAGTTGCTTAACGGATAGTAGAGGACTCGAGCTGTCGGAGGTCATCTGACCTGCTACACTTATTAAGGTAGTCATATGCAGCCTAGTGCATTTTACACGCACTGTTGACTTCTCGAACCTCCGATTGTTTATATCCGATTGTTTATAGTAGTTACATCGCATGACAGTACGGGGAACCATCCCCTGCAGAACTCCAGTTTCACTCCAAATACACCCAAATCTGGTAGCATTGCAGCATGAGCGCATTTGCGACATGACCTTAAGCAGGTCATTAACTACTACTCAGGTGGTTCGGCCTCCCTCGGGGGAGAATGGTTGATGCCTAAAGCTTCCTGCCCAATCGTGATACACGTCGGAGGCATTGATTCCGATTCCGACGAGGATGAGACGATACGCCCTCTCGACTCTCTCGAGGAACTCTCGTAGCACAGTTATACTTCTCCGCGACGCGTGTCATCGAATGTAGATATGGCCTCAAAGAGAATTTACCCTGCAATTCGAATATCTACTGTAAGAAATGCCCTTCACCCGCAACGACTATACGGTGGCATGGATCTGCGCCTTGCCGCTGGAACTGGCAGCCGCCAAGGCCATGCTGGACAAGCTTCACCCTCCTCTCCCCCAGCCAGAGACCGACCACAATGTCTACACATTGGGGAGGGTTAACAGCTACAATGTGGTGGTGGCCTGTCTGCCTGGTGGGGTCTACGGGACCATCTCCGCCACAGCTGTGGTCTCACATATCATCTCCACCTTTCGGAATATCCGGTTCGGATTGATGGTGGGGATTGGAGGTGGAGTCCCGAGCCAAAAGGCTGACATTCGTCTTGGGGACGTGGTGATCAGCAAGCCAACAGCCACGTCAACTGGTGTGATCCAATATGACTATGGCAAGACCCTGCGTGACGGACGATTCCAGCATACCGGGTCGCTCAATAAACCTCCCTCGGTGTTGTTGAAGGCCATGTCCCAAATGGAGAGTGATTATATGACCGGGAAGAGACTGGTTAACGAAATCTTGACGGAGGTATTGCACAACCGGGAGGAAATGAGAGAGCAATTTTCGCGACCGCAAGACGACTGGCTATTTCAACCAACATACACTCATGAGGAGAGCCAACACAACTGCTCGGCTTGTGATCCGACCAAGTTGGTGAATCGTCCCGAGCGGAGAACCGATGCCCCTTATTTTCATTATGGCTTGATTGCTTCCGGAGATCAGGTCATGAAAGACGCCAAGTCTCGAGATGCCATTGCTCAGGATCTAGACATACTCTGCTTTGAGATGGAGGCTGCTGGGCTCATGGACGAACTCCGGTCACTTGCTATTCGAGGAATCTGTGACTACTGTGATTCCCACAAACATAAACAGTGGCAAGGATATGCCGCTCTTGCTGCTGCTTCCTATGCGAAGGCCCTCCTGTCAGTGGTTCCCATTTACTGGAGCCAGAAGGCATCCCCTGAACCAAGGGAACCAGTTTGGATGGTCCCCTTTAGAAAGAACCTGGGGTTTGTGGGTCGGGAAGAAGAAATCGCCAGAGCTGAAGGATTGATCATGCAACAAGACGGACCTGGCAGAGTTGCTATCTGCGGACTGGGCGGAGTTGGGAAGACACAGGTGGCACTTGAACTCGCTTACCGTATGCGAACAGTAGACCCCGAGTGCTCGATTTTCTGGGTCTCTTGTACCAGCTACGAGAGCGTGGGACAAGCATACATGAGCATCGCCCCAAAGCTAGGAATGACCGCCATAAAACCGGCAGAGGCAAAAGAGAATGTCAAAGCCTATCTCAGCCAGGGAAATGCTGGGAAGTGGCTTCTTCTTTCTGATAACGCAGATGATGCGGAGATGTGGAGCAAGAATAACACCAATGCTCCAGTACTGACGGATTTTCTGCCTTAATGCGAGCAGGGCCATATCATCTTCACCACGTGCAGCCGGAAGATAGCCGTGAACCTAGCCTCACCTCATGTGATTACAATCTCTGAACCAGACACAGAGACTGCCGTGAAAATTCTACAGAATTCACTTGTTGACAGAATCTCACCTAGTGATCGCGATACAGCCACTACTCTACTTGAGCAACTGGCCTTTCTCCCATTAGCAATCATCCAGGCGGCAGCGTACATTAATACAAACTACATTGGCCTCTCTGACTACCTCATGCTGCTACAGGAGCAGGAACCCGATGTGATTGACTTATTGAGTGAAGACTTTGGGGATGAAACGCGATACAAAGACGCCCAGAATCCCGTGGCTTTAACCTGGTTCATATCTTTTCAGCAGATTCAGCGATCAAATCAACTCGCGGTGAACTATCTGTCATTTATGGCCTGCATCAATCCTCGCGGCATTCCACGTTCATTGCTTCCCCAGCCGATGTCGAACAAGGAGAAATTCGAGGCCATCGGCACCCTCAAAGCGTTCTCCTTTGTTAGCGAAGAGAGTGGGGACCGTTCTCTAAATTTACACCGACTAGTCCATCTCGCAACTCGGGACTGGATGAGAAAGAACCGACATTTCAGCCTGCAAATCTTGAAAACTGCAGACCGATTGAGCGAAGCTTTCCCAAGCAGGGACCACATCAATCGGAAAGTGTGGCGGCAATACCTACCGCATGCCCTTTCACTAACAGCATAAGCGGACTTTCAAAAGAACCAAGAGAAACATATTCACTTGATTGAGAATATCTGGGGATGTTTGTATAGCGATGGCAGATGGAAAGAAGCAGAAAGGATGGGGATGCAGATGGTAGAGCTCCGCAAGCAAGCACTAGGGCCAGAGCATCCATCTATCATTACTAGTATGAACAACCTAGCATCGACATACTTGGAACAAGGACGATGGAAAGAAGCAGAAGAGCTGGAGGTGCAGATACTACAGCTCAGCAAGCAAGTCTCAGGGCCAGAGCATCCAACCACCCTTACCAGCATGAGTAACCTAGCATCCACATACCGGAACCAGGGACGATGGAACGAAGCAGAAGAACTAGAGAAGCAAGAGATGGCGCTCTGCAAGCAAGTCCTAGGCCCAGAGCATCCATCTACACTCATCAGCATGAGCAACCTGGCCTCAACATACTGGAATCAAGAACATTGGGATAAGGCAGAAGAGCCAGGAGAGCGGGTAACAAAGCTCTACAAGCGAGTTCTGGGTCCAGAACATCCACCGACCCTTACTAGCATGAGCAACCTGGCCTCAATATACCAAGATCAGGGTCGATGGAACGAAGCAGAAACGCTAAAGATACAAGTCTTAGATCTCCGCAAGCAAGTCCTGGGCCCAGAGCATCCAGATACTCTAGTCAGCATGAACAATCTAGCCGTCCTATGGGAACTACAGGGAAAGGCCGAAGACGCCTTATCTCTGATGGAAAATTGCGTAGAGCTCTGCTACAAATTCTTGGGTCCAGATCACCCGGATACCATCTCCTCGGCAGACAGTCTCAGCGACTGGAGAACAGCACGAAATTCCCCACCAGCACAACAACCTTAAGCCGAAACCTCTCCCGCTTTGCCCATTCACAAGCGACCTTCCAAACGGAGACGATCTGACTCCAAACCTGTCACAGGTGACAAACGACGGGCATTCCGGAGGGTTTTCCGGAGATGATGATCTATGTTAATTCATCCTTTGACTGCGGCTGGATTTGACATGTACTTTAACAAACGTATAATTTTCCAAAGACAACTGTCTGTGGTGACTTATGTCTACGTAGTAAAAGAGGTTGTAAGAGTAGAGAATGGTCGATCTTTCGACTGAATTCTTTACTCCTGATTGGAATGATCATAGGACGCCAGACCAAGAGGGTAAATGACCTCACTGCATCTGAATACCACATGAAGACTGCAAGGCTGACCGCGAATCGTCTGAAGCATCCCTGCTCTTATAGGTTGATAAATAGAATTGTTGTGATTCCGTGCCCAGGGAGTTGAGTAAGCGCCGCAATGCAGCCTCAATATAACTACGTCTAGGTAGATGGAGTGTAGTACAAGGCCATTTTTAGCTGTGGGGTTGGCGCTATAAATACTGATATTGAAAGAGATTAACTGCCGAGAAATCTAACAATAGCGATCTGAGATCTATGAACAATGAACAATGAACAATGAACAATGAACAATGAACAAAGTGAACAATTGTGAACAATTGTACTTTTTGTGCTGTGCTTACTGTCACTAGTCTCTGGGCCGAGCGGGTAGGTACGGTTGCCTGTATGTACCATATATGCTATTTACTTATTCAATCACTGTGCGGAGAACACGCACGGGGTTCATGGAGCTGTAGCAATCAACTGGTAAAGACAAGGGCAGGTCCTGCACACTTGCACGCTGTACTTCAACGTGTTATGGACTCTGACTACCTGTAGAGCAACAAGTAAGGATCCCTGCACTTTAGACGGCTGTGGTGCCAAGCTCCTCAGGCACCAAGGCACCAAGGCATCCGCATCAACAGCGACCGTGCCATGCACGCGTGGCACGATGCCCGTGCTCGATTTTCATCCATCCAACGGCCACCTCGCATCATCGTTGACAAATCGGTATGGCGTCCAGCTACAAGGCAGAAGAAATTAAATATGAAGAAGCCGTGCGCGTGTACAATGACAAAAAGTCCCGGAATGAAATTGTCTCCATGCGCCGGCTCGCGCGTGATCTCGGCCTGAATTATAGTCGGCTACGCGGTCGAATCATCGGCAGACAATCCCGATGTGCCCGAAAACGCGTCAATCTACGCCTGGATGACGCGCAGTATCAGGAGCTGTTCCAACATCTTGATACGTTAAATCAAGAGGTTACGCCCCTGACGCCGCAGTTAATCAAGGCGGCGGCAGAGGCCATTCTTCAACGCATGCAACCGGATCCTACCAAAGCGCCCCCCAAGCTATCCAAAATGTGGGCCTATCGTTTCATAGACCAGCACCCGCAGTACTCGAACGAGAAACACCAGGCCAAAGGCTACCAGAAGTGTGATGCGCAAATCGGGCCAGCCGGAAGCGCAAGTATCTAAGCAACGGTTGCACGTACACCACGAAGGTGCATGTCTATCTGGCGGTCCGAGACTGTTTAACGAACTCTTTCAGGGGTCGACTCCAAGTCTTCAAAGTCATCCGTTCGTGTCTCTTGCTTATAAGGCACCCATCCAGTCCCAGCCTGGGCAGCTGCACCCGCCAGAGTCAACACGCAGGCTCCCAGAAGCAGCAACTTCACCGCTTGCTCATAGCTTTGCACAGCAACTGCTCTTTCCACGCCCGTCAAGCTCTTTGCTAGCGCCGGACTTCCGAGCAGTTTGCGAATCAGCTCATCCCGGCCGGTGAGCCCATGCTTCGTGAATCCCGCCTCGAGGCCTCTCTTCAACTCTCGCTGGAAGAAACCCCCGCCAATGGAGGACCCGAAGCTTCCGGCAAAGCCTCGACTCATCCCTAACAAGGCACTGATGACGTAATGCATATCCGGACTGGTGAGATGCAACAAATGGGAGAGAGTATAGTTCATGACTGCCCCGACGGAAAGGCCGCTCAAGAAGGCGGCGCCTAGATAGGCAGTTGTGGAAGAATCCGGCGTGGAAAGCACCGACAACATGAGGTTCGTTAGGGCGAACAACAAGAAAGACACGAGGCCCGAGCTGAAACGCAGTGAGTAAGCCAGCTAGTTTCGAGTTGGTGAGCGAGGACGGAGAACACCTACATGTAATAGCTTCCCGTTTTGCGGATATGGATCCATCCCACCAAGAGCCCCCCCAACCCGAATCCGGCATTGGTGGGAAGCAAAATCAGCCCCGCGGAGGCCGGAGACCAGTTTCGAACAACAAGTGCGTATACCGGCGAGTAGAAGAGAACGGCCCAGCGAGCCATCATCGTGATCGCACCTGCCAGGCAGCTGAATAGGACGCTCCTCATTTTGAGTACCTCGATCGGAATGATTGGCTCGGCAGCAAATCTCGATTCGATCAACAAGAAAACAGCCAGAAAGACGAAGGATAGGACTATCGGGGTCATTTTGATTTCCGACGCAGCAAGGCTTGAAAGTAGGAGGAAAACGGAAAGGGTCTGTAACGGTTAGACTTGGCCAACCACTCAATAGATCGCTCTTACCAACGTCAGCGCTCCGGCATAATCAACCTTCGCCAGCTTCTGCAGTAGGACGCGTCCACCCAGGTGCTCGTCGCCGGGACGTTTCGGGATCGCAAGGAACTGTACTGGACCCAATAGTAAGGCAAGCGGTGCTTGAACCCAAAATATGAGGCGCTACCTGGTGTCATCCACAGAGCACTACATGGAGTTCTCACGAGAACTTACCCATCCGAAAGTTGGAGTTAAGAGACCGGCTAGCACCGCACCGGAGGAGACGCCGATAGTCATGCCGGCGCTGATGAAGCCGATGAAGAGGCCCCTGCGCTTTTTGCTTGTCAAATCTAGCGTCAGGACAAACGCGATGACCATCTGCCCGCCAGCACCGCATCCTGTGAGTGTTCTTCCTAGAAGGAAAACCGCCAGTGTTGGAGCCGCTGCCGTCACGAATAGGCCGATCGATAGCAGCGTGCATGAGAAAAGGATATAGACTCGGGGGGTAAATATCTCGGATAGTCGACCGGAGAGAGGAGTGAGACTGGACATGGCAATCTAACGAGCATGGCATTAGCACAGAAGCCTCGACGCACAAGTAGGGAAAGCGATCGGACATACAAGAAAGGCCGAATTGAACCATGTCGTCTCGGAGAAAGCATCCAGATCGGCAGCGATATCAGATTGCGCGGTAGTCATCATCGACATGTTGGTTGCTAATGCAATTCAGCTTCATTCGCAGGGTTCAAGTTAAACAGCTTCATACTCATGATAAACAGCAACAACCCCATCGCGGTCATTATCGCTGATCCTCTCAGCCGAGTCACACGAACCCGCGGCGAATCCTCCCCATCGTCCGGAGGCGACCCCAAGAGAGGTGTAGTCTCCTCCGAGACCGACTCTGGACGTTCATTAGCAGCCATGGTAGGTATTCAAGCAGTATAGATCGTGTCTGAAGGGAGGAAGAATAAGTCTCCCGGGACCCTTTCTGCTTGGGCATTGAGCGACTGCGCGGGAATGATGTGATAAGGGAAGCAAAGCTCGGGATGGCGGAGACGCATTTCTAATCCGTGCTTATGCCGCGAGGTCGACCAGGATTGCGACCGGTTGAGGCGTTGATAAATGGTATCGGGGCCAATCATGGGGGTCGATCACGATCGGGCGTGCCGCGAAGCTTCCATCTTTCCTGTCGGGGGAGGAGACGTGGTAGCCACGGTCGGAGTCCGTGGGTACTGGGTACAGTAGTGACGCATGGCATCCCCGTATCGCGCTGTCTGACTGACTGTCTGGAATCGATGACGGTCGGGTGGAGACGAGCGATGTGTCAGTTATGCAGGCTGCATGATTGGCAGTGTGGGTATTGGACAGGTGCATGGGTCGGGAAAGAGTTGGGCCCGACGTGCCGATGGGGACGAGGCGATCGAGACCCGGGACTTGGAAGGAAAAGTCCCCGGAAGGAAAAGTCCCCGGAAGACATGTGACATGTGGATGCCTGTGGCCGTACACTAATGCTACCGGGATATATCCGGACTTACTCCGGGATATCTCCGATCAGGTGATGAGGTGGGATCAATGGTCTCTCTGCCAGATGATATGCAGCCAAGATGCCCGCGGGTCGAATGATGGCTGCAGCTGACCATGGGAGGAAGATATATCTCAGCGGGAGATTCTGTTAATCTCTTCCTCCTCCATGGCATTCACGGCAAACCAACAAGAAGAATGAAGACAGTCTATCTCTGGACTGTGGGGTTGAGCGTCCTGACGGTTAATGCAGACCATCACCGCACCATACGTAAGCTCGCGTTTACCTTCTGTGGGGATACAACTAAGATGAATAGCTTGGACAAGGAGCCTCAAGACGAACTCCAAGGTCGACGCGATCGAGCCGGTTCAAAGGGTGCTAGCAGAGACCGACAACTGTACGTGCTACGTTCCTTCCAGGACGCGCAGATGAGACTATACTGACGCCCTTAAGCCTGCTATGTCTGCTCGCCGCCCTGCTCCCAGGCCGTGTGCTGTCATGGGGAATTCCCGCAGTGTTGCTCAGATGGGGTCTATTGCTATTGCTGCCAAGATTGACTGTCCTGTACAGTTATTGACGTCATCTATTTCGATAATTCTCAGCTATTCTGGCACATGGCGATGATGTCGTCCGGAATGTACGGTTTCAGGATGCTGATCAAGGAGGACAGTGGTATCCAATCCAGGGTGCCGTAGATGGTTTCGATTGCGCGTCCGCTATACAACACACGGGCGTAGAGTTCGGAGTTGGATGTTTGCCTATGGATTTTAGCCAAAAACTCAATCATCGAAACGAAGAGAGATGGATAGAGATAACACGTACCAGATCTCAAACGCAATGTTCGATCCCATTCCAGGCCACCGTAGTGCCTTGATGCCCAATGCGCCGAGGATAGGCCCTAGGTCTCCATCGTGTACGAAGTTGTGGCTATACACGAGCTCGGATGTCCCTTGCTGGACCGCTTCCAGATGGCGAACGATCTCTCTGATAAACAGGCCTTCCACCAGTTGGATATAACGGGTGGCATTGGCATTGTGTCGCCACCAGTAATTCCATTCCCAGTCGCCCGCGCGAAACACCTCATCTGCCTGATCGCGAGTCGCGCACTGCGACTCATTGTGGATGCGACAGGGAAGCTCGTATCCATTGCAGAGGCGAGCCTGGAAATTGTCCGCGAAATGATCAAATGTCGAGGTCCAGCTGGAGGTATCCGCATCGAACATGGTGGTCAGCTGACTGCGCAGGGACTTGGTTACGGTCAAATGCGCGTTCCACTCTGCCGTGGACTCAATGGCGGAGAGAATCTCGCTCTGGGCGGCACAAGAGAATCCCTGGTCAACCGTGTCGACACCGGAGGCCTGTTGGTGTAGTGGTAGGGGCGCACTATAGTCCGGCCAAATGCCTCGCAGCACGCCTCCAGCGGATCCTTGGGTGAGGTTCGATGTGCTGGACCGTAACCAGACCTTTTTGCCACTGTCCTCGTCCGGCGATAAAGGGATCAGCTGCAGTTGATCACCGTAGACGGCACGAAGGTCGCGACCGTGCTGATAGCCATCCAGAAAGCCTCCAATGGTCAGCTGTGGATACTGACATGAACCATTGACGTAGGCTGTTAAAAATGGGTTGGAGGGATCGGAATAGGTTTGGCCATAGACGGGGATGGGAGCCGGCCCCTGGGAAGCCGGCGCGGCGTAGACATGGGCATGGAGGTTGTCGCAGTGATATTCTTGATTCTAAACCAGTTATTAACTGTCACTTTCTCTCCATCGATGGGATGAGACGTACCTCGCCACCCGGAAGAATGTTATAGGGGGTTCGTCGCTGATGACGCTGCAAGTACTCGAGGTAGACTAGCCGCGCGGAAACGGACTGGTTGGCGACGGGAGGTGGAAGGGAGTATGTCTCGGCGCGGGGATGGGGCATGGAGCAATAATTGTAGACATTCTCCGCCGTGGGAGGACTGGCCTGGTCGGCCGGGGCCGTGTAGATACCGCCGTAGGTGCCGAGGGAGGCGTTGGTGATAAAGGTAGTGTGGTTGAGGGGCGGATAGAACGAGTCGCGGGTCGCGCGGGCGGGGTTCCCCACTGACAACAAGGCCACCAGCACGGAGATCATGTTGAGCAGGCCCTCGTAGATGCTGGCCATGGCGACTTCAGTAGCCGGGATGCTGGGGAATTATATGTGGGGGTAGTGGTGTTCATTTCTGGGTCCCCTTGCCGACCGTCCGATCCCAGCGTGTCCATCTACCACCTCCACCACCTCCACCACCAACACCACCACAGCGTTGCGACGATCGCCCACGTGCCGGCGATGTTTCCGGCCAGGCCAGAGGAATATCCCTGAAGTCCCCCACGTGGTGGAACCTGGTTATCTGACAGCAGCAGCAGCAGCATCCATCCACTCATCCCGAAATAATATGCGGGCCGTTCCTCGAACATGGCAAAAACAAGGATCTTTGCTGACTGCTGACTGCTGACTGCTGACTTGCAGATTGCTGACAGAGAACCGGCGAGGGGGTTGTCACGTGGGGACTTAGCGAGGGCGACTAGTGCAGCGTCGTCCTCACCTTCATGCAACTCCCCCGCAGTTCTCTGCCCCTGCCTCTGGAAATCTTTTGGAATGCCCCCGATGGAGCGGATTACCAAATCCCCATGGCCGTCCCCCGTCTCGTCGGGGTCCCCAAGCGATCTCTCCGAGACGCAGGAGACCTTCATGTTTATCGATTACCAGGATGAGTCGTCCCAAGCTCACGCCGTGGCCAAACGAAAGCAAGCCTTCCTCAAGAGACAACACTACCGGTCCAAGAAGGAAAAGCGGCTGCAGAAGCTGAAGGCCTCCATCCCGTCCTTGCCGACCTACCCTTCCATCTGGTCGTGGGATCGAGCCATGCAGGCCGGAGGACTGGACCTCTTCTCCTCCTTCGCCGACTCTATGACGGAAAGCATGTGTTATTATTTCCACTACTGTAAGGATCTTCTCGCTCGGAAGGGCACCGGATAAGAAATGCTAATGGCCCGGTAGACAGGACCCAGTGCTCCAGGTCAATCTACCCATTTGGTGCCACGGGCATGGGCGCATGGTGGTTGCAACAGGCCATTGGGCAGCCGGCCCTCTTGCACATCATTCTGTCGACCAGTGCCATCCACCGAGCCGGTCGAGGATCCCTGCCCCAGTCCAGTCCCACCGTGCAAAAGGCGCAGCGAGATTCTCTGAAGTTTCGGGCAATAACCCTCAAGCAACTCCAGATTATGGTGCAAAGCCCAACCGAGGCCTTGCTCGAGTCAACACTGTTCATTATCACGCACTTAATTTGTGTAGAGGTGGGTACCAGAGCTGCCCGAGGACCATCGCCCGGGACCCTCGTGTATCTTTCAACCAAGCCAGAGTCCTCCTGGGCAATGTGAAAACCAATGATTGACCTTGTGCCCTAGGCCGCAGACGCTAATCTGGAAGCCGCGGACTGCCACCTGAGCGCCTTGATCAGGATGGTTCACCTAATGGGTGGTCTCGATGCGTTGAACCCGATGACGGTCTCGATGATCTACTGGTGAGTCAAGACCCAGAACCTTGCTTAGTCTCTTCTAACGAATTTCTTCAGTGCCGATTTCATGAGCGCGGCCCTCAAAATATCGACACCAGTGTTCCCCATGTCTGTGAGGTGGAAAAGCGAAGTCCTTGGGAGCTCGGATATCTTCCCTTCGATGAACGATGCCGCAGATCTGACTATGGTTGGAGGTCGCTTCTTTGACTCCCCGTGGTCAGAGGCCCTTCACCCAACGCTACGAACCATCGTCCGGCTGTTCCGACGAATTACCCATTGTCTGTCCACCATGGGAGCCACCGAGATCCCCGTTCTCAACGAGTGGTTGGCTTATGCAATCCATCAATTATTGTCGATCGCCCATGATTGTATGGCATCGGACCTGCATGAATGCTTAAGACTGTCAGTTTTGGTATATTCCATGGTCGAGATCAAGACATTTGGGGGCTTGCCATACATGAGTTCTGTTGTGATGGCTCTCCGCAGCCGCTTAAGAACTGGACTGCCCCAGATCCAACGCATAGCACCCGATTTATCCTTCTGGATGCTCTTCGTTGGTGGCATAGCATCCAAAGGGCGCGCGAGTCGCGCGTGGTTTGTGGCCCATCTCGCGGAGGTCGCAGAGCAATTGTCGCTCATGGAATGGGACACCGTGCTGCCTGTGTTGGAAGGGTTCTTGTTCATTTATCAGCCCGCTTGCCCCCAACCGGAAGCCCTATGGAACGAAGTAAAAAGGCAACAAGCGTTGGAACATGATGCATAGAACTGACATATACACTTGTCACAATTAGGCTGCTGGCAATTGCAATCGAATTCAAACAGGCGGTCAAGACGGACGACAATAATACAGAAGATCTGGGTTGTTATTCCAATTCTAGAAGGCGCAGTTGTGAGTCCTAAATCCCCATGTTCAGTCAAGCGTTTTCGAGCCGATTCATTGTGCATTCATTCGCCAGCTCGCCTGACTTGGTTTACTTGGTATTACTCCGCGCTAACGCTTTTTGTCAATAGTTTCATATAAGCCTTCAGAACCACCAATTAGAAGCCGGGACGGAGGCCACTCGGCTCCCATTTCTCAGCAAGGATCTCCTAGCCACCAGTATGGCTTCGCACTAACACGCTTCCAAACATTGATAGCCTTGTGTCTTGCCAACGCTTGTGCCTCAGGTCACATAAAATCAGTCTATATCACACAGCCCTCAGAGCCTCCGACTGGGACAGATCTGATCGACCCACTGATTTCTCCCTGCTCCAGACGCGAGGCTATCAATTTCGCAATGTATCAAGTCGTTGCGCAAGTCCAGTCTCTCGTTGAGAATGGCGGTGAAGCAACCCGGAAGACCATCATTGGCACCCTCCGCAACCTGTCCTGCTCTCTCGAGTCTCTGCAGGACATGATGCAGAGTATTCCCTACCTGGTACGTTGATGAAGGGATTTTTACGGCAGCCATATATTTGGGTATCAGCATCTGCAACCTACCCTAGTCAGAGTTAGTCTTGACCTAAGGCTATTCAACACTCAGCGAGAGCAAAGAGCCTGTGACCACGGAACAACTAGTCGCGAAGACAAACTCAGCAACGACCTTGTTAGGTGAGCTCTCTCACTCCACCCCTTTTCTATTCTCACGCCTTCCCCAGGCCGAATCCCCCGCTACCTTGCTTCCGTCAACACCATCCAAAAAGTCGCCATCAACATGTTGGCCGCGAACATCACCCGCTCATACCTCCCCTCGCTCATCCTTCTAGCTCAATCGCTGATTCCACGGCCATTGTCGGAAGCATCGGCCGCGTGATCTGGGCCCTTCCCGGCTTCCTCCAATCCACCAAATACCAAGATACCCTCCAGAAGGCGATGAACACCGACATCCTCCGCTTCATATTAATGCAATCCATGCCCGAGAAATCGGCATGCCACCCAAGTTGATGTGTCTGCGATGATATCTCTGGCGTCGATGGAGTGGACGTGAGAGCAGTGGTATGCTCTGATGGAGAAGGCAGGATTGATGATTACTCGGATTTATACATACAGAGTGTCTGGGGGGGAGTGTTTTGGAGGGTATTTCCTATTCGGGGGGCGGGAAATATCTTTACTTGACATAGCGTTTTGGTTCATCTACCGGCTTGTATTTCCTTTTTTAAAGAATGTTTCGAACACTCTGTTGACTCTCTCCCTCCCTCCCTCTCTATATCTCTTGGAACTTTTCTTCTTTCCCCCCCCCCCCCCCCACCTTTGCAAAAACCCGGGCCGGATGAAGGCCCCTCTTGATGAGCGTAAGTGCGGGGGTTCGGAACAATCTCCTTATCAGGCTATCCGACGCTACCGGATGATTGGTTGGATGGCTGCAGGATCGGGTTAGCCGAGCGTGGTCGGACGCAGGACGCGCACGTGGATGGCAGCTGATGTTGGATGCCCGACCGCTAAGGCGGAGATTGGCTGGCAATAGCGCCGTGCCAAGCTTTCCGAAATGACCAGGATCAAATCAGCGAATTCCCCTTCCGACACTCTCCGCAACCAGGGTCTCTGGAAAGTCAGATAGTGGTTCTCTACCCTGTCAAATGGCGGAATCATACTCCGGAGTATCGATGTCGATGCCCGTAGGGGAAGTACTTTTCCGACGATTTTCATCCGTTCGTTGTCATACCGGAGATGCTGATGGCGGCCAATGCCCATCCCTATCCACCGCCGATCGCGGCTGAGGGACGAGGCTACGCTGCATGGCCTCCGTCGGTGCGCATCCACTTGGGGGCTAAATCTTCCTCAGGAGTTGATGGACCTCTTCCCCCGTCTTTCGTCCTCTTCGTCTTCTTCGGACACTCACTCATGACCGTTTCACTCTGTGGTGGTCGCGGTTTGAAGGAGTCCACAGTTGGTCTCCGGCCTCACGATGAAGGTCCTGGCGCAGATTCTCCTACTATGCAATTCCCTCGCAGTCGCGCGCAAGTATTGCACGCGGACATTTCATTCTTGTGAGTTGGGCCTCTCTCGGCTCCGTCGCGATTCAACGTCCGCTGATTCCCTTCTCAGCAATCATTAACAACCAGACTTTGTTCATCGATGGTGGAGAGTTTCGCTATCTAGAAGATAACAATACTATCTCGGCCTATGCGAGTATGTTGGACATCCTTGCGTGGTCGCTGGCCAACGTTAATACCTCCCAGTCCGGGATCTGCAGTCTGTCGACGTCTCCAAGTCCTTCTCGAATACGGACTCGGATCTGTTCACGCACATCGACAAGCCGTATAATGCATCCGATCCCGACGGATATCCGACTTTCTTTGATGAAGGATCCCAGTTCAACGATGGCCAGAACCTCTACTTCTACGGCGGCTATATCAGTGGTCGCGATGGACCCAAGGATGTAGCGCCTATCGAGACGTGGAAGTACAACATTCAGAATAACAACTGGACCCGCGATGGGTTCGGTGGCGTGCCGTACGTGCGTCTGGTGGAAGGAGGTGCCGTGGTATCGCATTCGCAGAACAAAGCGTACTACCTCGGGGGAGTCGAAGACCCCGGTGGCAACCCGAACGTTTATGGAACCGCTGGCGCAGATGTGCAGATCGTCAGTGGATTGCTGAGCCTGGATCAGTCCACGCTGACCTGGTCCAATCTGTCGACGAAGGAGATGAACAATTATGGGACCATCGGAGCAGGGTACGTCAATATCCTGGAAGATGTTGGCGACGAAGGACTGCTGGTAGCCTTTGGTGGATACAAGTATCCTGTTGGGAGTAAGCTATCGTTGCTGTGTGCGGAACAGACAAACACATCCCACCATAACCCCATGGAATACATCACGCTGTATGACATTGCGAACCAGACATGGTACAGGCAGCAAAGCACGGGAGATGTACCCACCTGGCGAATGGCAGGCTGCAGCATCACAGTGGCAGCGGCCGACAGGTCATCATTCTCCATGTACGTTTGCTGCCATGCAGTCCTTGTCCAGACTAACTTATTTCTCAAATAGCTACATCTTTGGCGGCATGGGAGCAACCACCGCCAATTCCGACGGCGACGTGTATGTTCTTTCTCTGCCATCGTTCCGATGGATCCGCGTGAACGAAGGCAGCAGCCTCCGCGAAAAGCATACGTGCAATCTCCTGGGAAACCATACAATGATTGTCGTTGGGGGAACCATTCCCACTGATAGCTCCGAGTACGAGCCCAAGCCGGCGAACTGCGACTCAGGGCAATTCGAGAACGGCCTCGCGATCTTCGACCTGAACGACCACACCTGGCTCACCGACTACAACGCTGCAGATACATCGGAGTACACGCTCACCTCCGCGATTACTGACGTAATTGGTGGAAGGTAAGTTGTCATATGCCTCTGTAGGGTGTCTGCTAATGTGTGTAGTTCTACGGGCGGAGCTAATGTCACCCAACCGGCCAACGGATTCAACAACACCGCGTTGGCAACGATGTTTGAGAAAGCAGTCATCACCTCTACAGCCAGTCCATCAACTGCCGCCACAGCCGCCGCCAATGCGACGTCGACCTCGGCGTCAGCCAGCAACAGCAGCAGCTCCACGGGCACCGCGTTGTCCAAAGGCGGCATTGCTGGCGCCACCATCGGGGCGGTCGCTGGAGCGAGTGCCATTGCGGGACTGGCTTTTTTCTTGATCAAACGCAAACGCGCCCAGCCTGCAGTCTCAGACTCTGCCGTCGCGTATCCATCGAGTCCAGCATCTCAAGACCGATTAGCAGAGCTCAGTGGGAATCAGGAGAGACATGAGCTGGGACCGGATACGATCTCCAGGGCACCGATTGCCGAAGCGGAGGGAGACATGTGGCACAAGACACCTGATATAGCGGAGATGGATGGTGATGGGATAGTTGAGAAAAAATGATGGATACCACGGGTTGGGTATATCAGTCCACTTTGTTATGCCACTTTGTTATGCCACTACGTACCTCGTATGTGTTTCTTTGAGATGACCGTTACGAGCTGCTTACCAGCTCCGGGTTAGCGCATTCCTTATCCAGCCTTAGTGTCCCGCTATTCCCCAACCGGATCTCCGAGACATAAAGCCGAGCTGTCTGATGATCGTATCTTGTCCCACATCACTCCGGGAGTCCAGACTGAGACTGATCTGAGGAATTTCCTGGAACCCTCCCGTTATAGTGCTGCCACAAATACCCTCCATTAGTTCCGCTCATCCGTACAAGGGATCCCTGCAACCACACTAATGACCATTCTACACCCAGAACATGGGGGGCCTGACACCAACCATGACTGGATGAACAGGGCCACAGTACTCCAGTTAGTCCATAGCTAGCTGTCCTATTTTCGTCCCAAACAGCGAGTCACTCCCTCCCATCCCATTGGCTCCCCCGTATTTCATTCCAGCTCACGGAACAACCTACATCCCCATAACGCTTAAATAGCCACACGGATGCCCTACCCAGTCTCCCATTCTATCCCGTCCAACCTCCCCCTCACACACACACACACACACACACATACACACACATCCCTACCTGCAACCCTCCCTCCAATCAACAACAACAACCACCACCCCACCAACATGCCAACAAAAAACCCCTACACCCAAGGCTACACCCCCAAACCCTCAGCACGCAACACCTCCGCACCGCCCCCACCACCGCCTCCTTCCTCCTCCCCCACCTCCTCCCAACCTCCCACATCCTTGATATCGGCTGCGGCCCCGGCACCATCACCCATGGACTAGCCCAACACTCACCCCAAGGAAAAACCATCGGGGTGGATATCTCCCCTACCGTGCTAACCCACGCCCAATCCCTTGTGGATGGGCCAAAAAATATCTCCTTCCTGCAAGGGGATGTTCTCTCGGGGTTACCGTTTCCGGATGAATCATTCGATGTGGTCTTTTCGTCGCAGATGGTGGGGTACATGGGGGTGGGGAATGCGGGGAGGGCGATTGCGGAGATGAAGAGGGTGTTGGCGGTGAGGGATACGGTTTGGCAGGGGTTTTTTCCCCGTGGGGGTGAGGGTGCGGTGGGGGAGGAGATGGAGAGGTGTTGGGTTGGGGGGTTTAAGAGGGCGGTGGCTGGGAGGGTGGGGAATGGGGATGGGAGTGGGGATGGGATGGGGTTGGGGCTGGGGAGGGGGGAATGCCGGGGTTGTTGAGACGGGCGGGGTTTGATGTGGATGGGGGGAAGGTAGAGGTGGGGACGGATACGACTACGTTCTTTGGCAGGGAGAAGAGGGAGTGGTTGCTTGCTCGGGCGGAGAGTCAGTTGACGCCTGGGGATCCGTTGTATGGGAGTTGGAGGGAGGCGGGGATCACGGAGGGGGAGATTCAGGAGGCGATTGAGGTGGCGAGGAGGTGGGCGGGGACCGAGGATGCGTGGTATGTGGCGGTGCAGGGGGAGGTGTTGGCGTGGAAGTAGTTATCAGACTATATAGACAGGTAGGTATGTGGATTACTGTTGTGGATATACAGGGGCAGATATGATATTGGGCTTCAATGGAAACGCTTAGTAACCACGGATTGAACACGCTAAATCTCAAGACGCTACTCTATCGGTATGTATCATTATAATAATGGATCAGAACCGTTGCTGCTGACCCTGGAGGTTCCAGTTCGCAGTCAACCGTTGTGCTTGAGCCATCTCTTCTTCTGTCGGCATGTTGACGACCATGAGATAGAGCACTTTCTGTGCGAATATTAGTCTTGTTCCCTCTCGCAATTGGGTTCGATGGAGATAAACACGTACCGAACTGAACAGGCTCTTCAGACTTAGACCCCGTGCACCTGCACCTGCACTGGTTTGTTGGTATTGTTCTTGTTGCTGGTATGGCTGGGGCTGGTACGGGCGTGCCTGGTATGGCTGCTGTCCTTCATGTCCATGATAATAGCTCGCGTTAGCACCACCGGCTTGTTCGTAGTAGTTTTGTTGGTGCTGTGCGCGTTCATCGTAATACCTCGCGTCAGGGCCACCGGCTTGTTGATAGTGGTTTTGGTTTGGTTGATGTTCCGCGCGTCCATTATAATACCTCGCATCAGCGCCATTGGCTTGTGGATATTGTTGATAGTAGTGCTGTTGCCCTTCGCGCTCATCATAATACCTCGCGTTAGTGCCACTGGCTTGTGGATACTGGTCTTGCTGATGTCGTTCGCATTCCCCATAGGACCTCACGTCCTGACCACCATACGGTGCTGGGGGATTCGCACGGTTGGTGGCGCCGGCTTTATGTTGGCGATGGTCAGAAACCGCCTGAGCGGCCATATTGACCAGCCCAAGAAGACCACCACCACCCCCTCGCCCTCCCAGTCCTCCCAGTCCTCGATCCCGGCCCACTCCACCCCGGCCAAAGCCCCGGCTTTGTTGAGCTCCTCCCATCATGCCTCCGGATAAAAAGCTGTGCACGGAATGGGTTGGATCGGCGAATTTGGAAGCGAACTTGGGTTTGCCGGCTTGGGTGAGATGGCTGGTTGGGTTCTCGGCCATCTTGGCCGCGTCAATACTGAATCCTCCAAGAGAAGTGGAGCGATACTCACAAACTTGGCCTGCGCTCTCCGATCCATATAATCATCCAGGAACCCCTTGCCGCGCTCCATCTTCTTCTTAAATCCCTTCTGCTCGTCCTTTGTGGCCGTCGCGAGATAGTCGAGACCCGGGAAGATCAGTTCGGCGGTCGGAATGGACTCCATTCCATTGGTCACCCCGTTGGAATACTGGAATTTGTGCGACATCTTCCCCTGGCTGTTCAATGTGTTTTGGATGGTGGTGTTGACGTCGACGTTGGTGCGCGCGCTGGAAGAGGTCGGGTCCCAGGTCATGACGAGGCAGTAGAGGCCCCGAGGACGGAAGAATTCGTCGTTCAGTCGGTCCAGAGCTTTGTTTTGTCTGATTCGAATGAGTGATCAGTATAGTTCCTCAATTTATCAATGTGCAAGAACAAAAGGAGGGATTTACCGATAGCGACCCTGTGTCTCAATCGCCACCGTCGTCGCAACCATGATTGCCGTTGAAATCGCCGTGGATATCAAAGACGGCAACGGCGAAGCCGCCAGGGAGGCCAAATTCAGCGCATTGATCCAAGGATTCGCCAGACTGGCCTCACTGAACGTGTCGATGAAATCAAACCATGTGTCTTGATCAATCCCCAGGTTCTGCAACTCCAGTGCGTACGCGTGGATAAAACCTCGCGACTTATCTTTCGGACGGCGCTGCGGGATGGCCACGGGGTATGTGAGTCGGGGTCGAGGATACATGTTGTCTGCCACTGAAAATACTGCATCCGGGGGAGGCCGGCGTTGGAGAAAGGCGGCGATGACTTTGTCCGGGTTGGCGACTCCACCTTTGCTTTTGCGAGGCTTCTGCTGTTCGACGAGGGCGTCTTGGGCTTCGTCGAGTTGCCATGTGCGCTCGACTTCGTCGTGCGCGGTGGACTCGGCTGCGATGGTTCGATCCTGCTCCTCTGGATGGTATGCGGTGTGTGGCGGGGGAGACTGAGAGGGGGAGGGCAATGTTTCTCGAGGTTGCTCTTGCTGCTCCTCCAGCTCTCGCTCTTTCCGGGCGGCCTTTTTTGCTTTTCGGTATCCGTGGACTTCGGAGACGAAGCCAATGCTCGAGGTGACCCCCTGCGCCAGTTTCCCAATGGGGCCTTGTGAGCTCATCTTGGTGTGGTGTGGCTTGAAGATCTCAAGGAGGGATGTGAATGAGGTGAAGATGAGTGCGAAGGAGTGAGGATGTTGTTCATGGGACTCGCTGGCTTTTGTAACAATACAGAACCCTCCCATCAGCATCGTCAGCCTCCTCAGCGCCGCCTCGCACAGATTTCCCAATGCGGCAAGTAGTTCGGAGCGGCCGGCAGAGCGTTGTGATTGGCTGGCCGGGTGAGTGCACGGATGACTGGATGCCTGGATGCCTAACAGCCCGTCCTCGGACTGGTCACTGAGTGGTGACCACTCCAAACTTTATTCCTGGACTTGGGCGCACTAACCTGAGTTGAGTAACCAGATCGATCATTTAAGAGAGCTTGACCAAACCAAGATCAGTGTTAGCTACATCCTTGCTGGCAGGATCGACAGCTTTGTGGCGCAGCGTTGCGACAAGCCGACAACAAGGCAGACGCATCCTCCTGTGCCCCGCGCGGGAAGCCAGCGGCCCGCCCAGTAGAATGGAGCAGAATGAAACCTGGAGAATCAAACGAATCAAAAGGTCAGTAGTCTCCGAATCACCTGCCCCTTCCAGGAATCAGGATGCCTCACGCTGATGGTCATGTGACTCGGAGTCACCACGCCTGGAGTCAGATAGCCAGCTAACAAACTAGCGAGTTAGCTAATAGCACAGTAAGCGAGCGCAAGGCTGACAGCCAGAGTTTTATAAGACCGCTATCTCTCCGAGGACCTTGTGTGAAACTTGTCTACAATAGTATAACCCGATCACCAATCAGATCAACCACCGCCATGTCGTACAATCCTCAACCCACCCCGACCAACGAGAGCAGTGCCCACAAGGCCAACTGCCACTGCGGTGCCGTGCGGTTCACCGTGACCCTCTCCCCACCTTTGCACGAGTATCCGGTCATGAACTGCAACTGCTCGATTTGCTCCCGAAACGGCTATCTGCTCGTGTATCCCAATACCAAAGACTTCACCCTCGAGAAGGGCGAGGAGGTGCTGAAAGATCACCGGTTCAACAGCAAGCAGGTTCGGCATCGGTTTTGCGGGCAGTGTGGCAGCAGCTGCTTTGTCCAGCTGCCGGACCCGGATCCTCCGTTTGTTTGTGTCAATGTGAGTCACGGTGCTGTTTGATATCAGACCAATCCACGCTAACTATGATCAGGTTCGTATGTTTGAGGACGTGGATGTTGACAAGCTAAAGCTTAGAAAGGAGGATGGTCGGTCGTGGAGAGGGGAATATAAGCCGGAGTTCAATTAGTGGAATGGGGGTTTGGTTATGGGTTTTTTGTACATTCATTCGCGTCCTGATGCCAGTGACTTCTCTACTCATGGCCAGGCTTGGCAGGAACACGTGTCAAGGAACTCACACTCACTTGGGCGAATTCCTTTGGTTGTTTCCGGAGTAAAAAGTGTGGTTTCGTATCAAGGCCGATCACCTGACCCCAAGATATATAATTCACCAGGTTCCGCAATGCAAGTATGCAACATCATCAGTGCCACTTACTAATATATTTAGCACATCCTAAACTCTTAAAACATCTCACCATTCGCCAGACAGCCCTGTCAGGGGGATAGTACAAAAATAGAATAGTAGTACCTAGTACGATGTGATAAAGTTGCTGCAGCCAAGGCCACTTAGGCCAGGGTGGGATTGTTGCCTGAGGCCACAATATATCCGGATGTTGTGGTTCGGCGTATCTACTCCGTACTCGGTGCACTCCCTCAAACAATAGTGCTGCAGTCTGTGACAGCATCCGAGCTTCCACGCATCCACTGCGATCTAGACCCTGGGCTTTCCCTTGTTATCTATCCACGGCTTGACGGCCAGGTCCTATCTACCAGGATTAACTTATTAAGGGGTTCGGCTGTTCCTGGCAGTTGTGCCTGATGGGGATCCACTGCGATAGGGTCGAGGATATCACCGTATCAGCATCCCCCTGTCTGGAGCCATCCACTAGCAGGGAAGAGGGACAGGGTTGGTTGCATCCACCGTGCGGGTCAGGGTCACACCGTGCCTCTCGTCAGTTGTCAGTTGTCAGTTGTCCCTGGGTGTGGTTCGGGACAGCAATCCCGTTGCCGTGGGGTCGATGGAGGTATTACGTAGATTGAGACGGGATAAAGAGGACAAAGAGAGTGAGTACTAGTGAGCGACCGAGAGAAAAACCTTGAGGGTGAAATGAAATAATGCTACCGTCCCTCACCAGAGTTTTCAGGCGGGACTCCGGCGGTAGCGGTGCCGTCATGATGGTCGGGCAATCTTACGCCGGGTGACATCCGTTGTTCTGATTGGTTGTTATAGGTCAGCGGATTGAATGGTGGGGCACTCACAGCCTATCAGCGAGGCGAAGCGGGGCGCCATGCTTGGGTGCCATGATGCCATCGCTCAACAACTGGTGGTACTCGGTAGAGTAGGATCTCTTTCAAGTGGTTTTGTTTACGGAGAGAAATAAAAGACATCATCACCGATAAGAAAGAAAGTGACTGAGGTATCTAGCTCTCTTTTGTTTTGATCTGGAGTCAAGTCTGGTGTGGCGAAAAAGGCCGCGTGCCAAGGCCCAGCCCTATTATTATTTATTACCCATGCCAAGTTCACCACAACTGATAGGCACCACTCAGGGTCTCTTTACTCTCTAGTCACTCTTTAGCCCTCCGCCGTTAGATTGCATATCTGTTGTCCGCTCATCCACTCCGGCCTAACATCCTCCTCAACTACCTATTAAACTACCCCTGCGCTCCTCTGGGTTGCTCCATCTCGTTCTGACACCCTCTTCTTTGTTCTCCGCTGTTCCCCATGCGTCACGATTACATTCACTCGATTGTCTCCTCCCGCGCGGGCTGAGTCTCGAGAGTGCTGCTATGCCTACACCCGTCTACCACTTCTGACCTGGTCTCTCGCATTGTTCGTTGCCCATTTAACCAGCCTCCTCTTATCCGCGTCATCCGTCCCTTCCACGTTACACAACATGGGGCGGGAACCGACCCCCTGGCGGCGTCCTTACCTGGCGATGCCGTCGCGCAAAGTCACCAACATTCTCGCCTTGATTCTATTCCTCGTCGTAGCCACCTCCGTCTTCAAAATCGAGCTAGGTCCATCTTCATTTGACCCCTCCTCACTGTATCACCACCACTCGAACAACAATGAACCCGGCTTTTGGGACTGGGAGACGACCAGCCGCTTCCCTCGCGTCCAGAACTCCATGCTGGATGACGACCAACTCTGCGACTCGTTCCCCTCCTATCTGCTGTCCCGCATCCAGATTGTTCTGAAAATCGGCGCCTCGGAGCCGGCAGATCGCATCGACGCGCAAATATCTAGCGTGACCCGCTGCATCCCAAACCTCATCATCGTGTCCGATCGCGAGTCACAAATCAAAGGCCATCACGTCCACGACATACTGGCGACCCTTCCCGAGTCCTTCCGCGCCAATACCTCCGACTTTGACGCCTACGATGCGCTTCAGCGAGGCGATGACCGATTCGTGGCGGGGCCGCAGGGATGGCGCCTCGATCGCTTCAAGTTTCTGCCCATGGTCGAGCGCGCCCACGAAATCAATCCGACGGCGGACTGGTTCGTCTTTCTAGAATCTGACACCTACATGGTCTGGGATAATATGTTCCGGTTGCTGGATCAGTTGGACCCGCATGTTCCGTTATACCTGGGCTCTCCATCTCCCGGACGGCGACTAAATGAGGAGAAGGTCTCTTACTTCGCCTACGGTGGCTCCGGATTTGTCATTTCGAGCGCCGCCATGAAGAAGCTGGTGTTCCGGGAGGTTGGGCTACATGGGGAATACATTCAACCGCCACTGAGCCAGCAGTACGAGGAGCTCGTCAAAGCAGACTGCTGCGGCGACTCGATCCTCGGCTGGGCATTGCACGAGAAAGGTGTGAAGCTGTCGGGCTACTGGCCCATGTTCAATCCTCATCCACTCCACGGAATCCCGTTCGATGATGCACACTGGTGCCAGCCAGTGATTAGTATGCACAAGACATTGTTGTCGGACATGACTGGTTTGATGCGATGGGAGAATCAACGTGATCGAACTGTAAGTACTCTCGTCGTTCCTCTGGGTCAGCGGCTAACATCTCTTCTAGCGTCCTCTGCTGTACGCCGACTTGCTCGAGTATCTAAAGCTGGGGAGCGTAGATTACATGCCTGACTGGGACAACGGCGACTGGGGCGGCTGGCAGGAGCCCCCCGAGTCGCCGGCACATGGCTCCTTCGAGGCCTGCGAGACCGGGTGCCATGATCATCCCGAGTGTCTCAGTTTCACCTATGACTCCTCCGGACACTGCGTCTTTGTTCGGACCATGCGGTTGGGCGCGAAGAAGACCTTGGGCGATTCGAGCGTGCGGCTGTCATCGGGATGGGACCTGGACAAGATCCAGCGCTGGCGGGCATCTCACCGGTGCGAGAAGGCGCAGTGGGTGAAGCCCAGCACGAAGCGCATCTTTTAGAGCGAGTGATGGAGGGATTTGCTGGGGGTGTCGGACCGGCGAAAGGTCCATGTTTTTTTTTGACGAATGTACATATGATAGATGCCCTGGATCATGCCATATTAATTATAATAGATAATTCATTGCTGGCCTCACATCGGCAGTTACACAGCCGTATTTGCAATCGACCCCCAGCTCCTCCGTACTCGTCGTACTTATCGACGGCGATAGCGATATCGTATCATCTCGTATCGTGACACTATCGGCCGCGGGCGCCAATCGGACCTCGCCAGTGACGGCCGCGTTCCGCCATTGGCCGCCGTGGATTTGATTCCGCTGATTCCGACATTCCGAGCCAGGCAGCGGCCAGGCCCAAAGAGGCAAGGCATACGCCGGGGGCAATACCAATGATACAAATACGCAGAGCTTCCCCGCATATTCCAATTGCTCCCTCTCTCTTTCTCGTCCTCATCCTCCCTCCTTCTTCACATTCTCTCCAATGGCTCCTCATCCCCTTGCAATCCTCTCCGAGGAGGAGACCAACCTGGCCCGCGATGTTGTTCTCGCGGAGCACCCCAATACTGTCGTCGATTTCCGTGAGATCTACCTGTCGGAGCCGCCCAAGGCCCAGCTACTCGAGTTCCTCGCCCTGGAGCACTCCGGTCGTCTGAGTCCGACGTCTCCTCGTCCGCCCCGTCTGGCTTTGTGCCAGTACGATGTCATCGGCAGCGATCGCATCCCGTCGTTCGAGGAGTCGATTGTCGATGTGGGAACCCGCCGGCGTGTTCAGCACCGCGTGGTTGGCAAAGAGCACCACGCCTCTTTGACTCTGTACACACCCTTGGAGATTGCCCTCATCGAATATGGCTGACCATGGCCGTCGTTTAGGAGCGAGTTTGATACCCTCGTCGAGCGTTGCTTTGCCTCCCCTCTCTTCCAACAAGCCCTAGCCGACTTCGACCTACCCGAAGGCTTCGAGGTGGTCATCGAGCCTTGGCCATATGGTGGATTGGACTACGTCGATGAGAAGCGCCGATACTTCCAGGGTCTGTGCTTTGCCACGGACAAGCGCAAGAACAACCCCGACGCCAACTTCTACTCCTACCCGCTGCCTATCATCCCGGTGATGGATGCGCTCACCCAGGAGATCATCCGGGTTGACCGACCGGCAACAGGCGGTAAGGGCGATGGCCTGACCGAGCAGACCTTCAAGCGGGACATCATCGGCCACTGCAAGGACTCGGACTATGTGCCCGAGCTGCTTCCCGGTGGCACTCGCAAGGACCTCAAGCCGTTGAACGTGGTGCAGCCAGAGGGCCCATCTTTCCGTATCACCAATGAGTCGCTTGTTGAGTGGCAGAAATGGCGCTTCCGCGTTGCCTTCAACCCCCGAGAAGGTGCTACGATCCACGACGTGTGGTATGACGGTCGGAGCGTGATGCACCGGTTGAGCATCAGTGAGATGGTAAGATTGACCTTCTCCCAGCACGGAGTTCTAGCTGACTCGGACAGACTGTGCCTTACGCCGACCCCAGACCCCCGTTCCATCGCAAGCAGGCTTTCGATTTCGGCGACGGCGGTGGTGGTAACATGGCCAACAACCTCTCGATCGGATGCGACTGCCTCGGTGTCATCAAGTACTTTGACGCCGTGATGACCGGCCCCGATGGTTCGGCCAAGAAGATGCCCAACGCCATCTGCCTGCACGAGCAGGACAACGGCATTGGCTGGAAGCACTCCAACTGGCGCACCGGTCGCGCGGTGGTGACCCGTCACCGTGAGCTGGTTGTGCAGTTCATCATCACCCTGGCCAACTACGAATACATCTTTGCCTACAAGTTCGACCAAGCGGGCGGCATCACCGTTGAGTCGCGTGCCACCGGTATCCTGAATGTGGTGAACATCGACCCCGGCAAGGTCAGCGAATACGGCAACGTGGTCAGTGGGGGAGTTCTGGCCCAGAACCACCAGCACATCTTCTGTGTGCGCATTGACCCGGCCATTGATGGGCCCAGCAACTCGGTGCAGATTGAAGAGTCGCATCCGGTGCCCATGAACGCCATGACCAACCCCAACGGCAACTTCTACAAGGTCACTACGGAAACGGTGGAGCGCGCAGGTTGGTTCGATGCTGCCCCGGAGCTCAACCGGACCGTCAAGATGGTCAACCCTCACAAGACGAACCCGATCAGTCAGAAACCGGTTGGATACAAGTTCATCCCTCTGGCGACGCAGCGCCTCCTGGCCGACCCGAACTCGATCCAAGCGAGACGGGCGCAGTTTGCTCAGCACCACGTGTGGGTGACGAAGTACCGCGACGGGGAACTGTACGCGGGAGGCCGCTACACCCTCCAGAGTCAGGAGGAAATCGAGGGAGTGTCGGATGCCGTGAAGCGCGGCGACTCGGTGGCCGACACGGATGTCGTGGTTTGGAGCACGTTTGGCATTACTCACAACCCCCGGGTGGAGGATTGGCCTGTGATGTAAGTTGACCCTGTCACCGCTGGGGATTGATTGCAGCGCTAATTGAACTAGGCCCGTGGAAATCTTCCAGCTGATGATCCGACCGGCGGATTTCTTCACGGCCAACCCGTCGTTGGATGTGCCGTCGGACAAGAATGTTTCGTCGCGGGTTGTCGGTAACGATTGCTGCCGACCCGCGCATATCTAGGGGATGAGTTTTGGACACGAGTTACGAATCACTGTACATATAGTTTGCTACTACCAGGTGGGACCGGTTCTTAGTTGGAATCCATTAGTGCCATTGGCGATGGCTGTGCCCCACAAATCAACTTCTCTACACAGTATACTTATCAGCCTTATAAGCCACCCGTGACGGCCTGGATGAAATTAACGTAGTCAAGAGTACTAGCATCAGAGCCAATCAGCGGAGGACGAGCGATCCGCCGCGCCGACCTCGGATTGCTCGGAATCCAACTTAAAAAAATTCGCCTCCCTCGTGGCCTCCTTTCCGAATCCCCGTGGTCCCTCATACCTTCGGAATCCCTCCTATCTTCCTAGTGGAGTGTATCACGCCCGGTTGAATTTTGCTTGGATTGGATTGTGCCGCTCGCTAATTAGACATGGAGAGCGCGTCCTCCAAGCGAGGCAGTCACACGCCGGAACCGTCTCGGACCAAGAAGCGCGCCAAATATACCCAGGTCGCTTGGTGCGTCATTCTGTCTCAACCCTGGCCCTAGCTGACGCTCCTAGCAATGAATGTAAGCGACGGAAACTGAAATGCGGCGGCGAGCCCGTGTGCTCGCGTTGCCTTCGCGACAACGTGCGCTGCGTGTACACCCCCAATGCGCACGCCGTCGCCAACACGGCGTCTCCCTCGCTGGAGGACCCCGTGAAAGATGACAGGTAGCCCCATCATCACCCGAGATCATTATCTCGAGTCAGTACTTACACGGCTGTCACTAGACTGTCTAGTCGACTGCAGACTGTCGACCAGCAAATCGAAACCCTACAGCGAGAGATGCGTCACATGGCCGCTCGCCTCCGCCAGCTGGAATCAACCTCGGTGGCCACGCCTGCCAACAATGCCAGCATTCTCACCTCCATGTCGACCACCTCGTCTACCTCGGCCAACGTGGGTCTCCAGCGGATTCTAAACCGGCCCAAATCCCCCACCTACGTCGGTCCTACCAGTGCGGAGTTTGGACTCACGGGGCGACAGAAGCCATCCGAGGACAGCGACGGTGATGCCGACGAGTCGGACTCAGCAGCAGCCCCTAGTCCGGCCCCTGCCCCGGAATCCGAGGCCGTGCCTGGCGATTCTCTTCGATGCCTGGGTCTGACAGAGACGCTCCGACTCGTGACGGTCTACGAACATACCGTGGGCCTGATCTATCCGTGCGTGGACCTGGATAGTGTACGTGCGTACGTGGTCGAGTACTTTCGGGATGAGGGTGATGGGCCCAATGCAACCACCCCCAATGCGAAAGACCAGGACTGGTTCTTTGCTCGGGATGCAGAGGTGCTGAAGATCATTGTCGCGACGGCTTTGCTGGCGGAATCGCACGGTCGCAGCGAACGAGCGGCGTGGCTGGCGGACAGCGTCGAGGACAAGTTTGCGACGCGGTACAAGATGCCGGAGGTGGACATGAAAGAATTGCTCATCCTGACTCTGGTGGTGAGTTCACCCGGCTGCGCCGCTGACATTCACTAACAGAGACAGTCGATCTTCCATTCCTACCGCGACGACGAGGTCATTGCCTGGCGGACCATCGGCTCTGCGGTCCGGGGCTCGGTCCAGCTTGGATTGCACTGCCAGGAGACATGGCTGAAGACCGGCGGCGTGTTCCCGGGCGAGTTGCATAGAACCTGGGCCAGCCGACTGTTCTGGTGCATCTACGTGCTGGACCGGAAATGGTCGTTTGGCACCGGCTTGCCATTTGCCATCCAGGACTCGGACATGGATACCAACCTGCCCGAGCCGGGCACTGCCACGCCCTACTTGACCTGCATGATCTCGTACGCACGACTCAGCTCCAAGATCTGGGGGTTGGTCGTGGGCTGGCGCACACGTCCTCGAGCTGCCACCGCCGACTACTGTTCCTACCTCGACTTCCAGGTCCAACAATGGATCCAGTCCATCCCGCCGGAACTGCGATTCGACCCGTCCCAGCGATCCTCAACTGGCTCCAATCCCCAGGCCGACAGCATGATGATGCTACAGGTCTTGCTAGCGCTCCAAGCCAACCAGCTGCGCATCCTCGTATACCGGCAATACCTATTCAACGCCGAGAGCATCGAAGAAAGTGTCCCGAGTGCGTCGATCGCCGTCGAAACCGCCAAAACTACCGTGCACATGCTCGACTTCTTCAGTCGGGTCTCGGATATCTACTTCCAACGACCCGAGCCATTCAACTACTTCCTCATCTCCGCCCTGGCGGCGCTGTTCCTCGCCGTCCTACACTCCCCATCCCGATTCAGCCAAGTCTGTCGTCCGGAATTCTACAAAGCCGTCGACATGGTCCGCCGATCCTCCACGCGATCCCGCACCTCCCGTCGCCTGCAGAAGATCATCCGCAGCTTGAAACTCATCCGGCTGAACCTGGGCAGCAAATCGCCCGGGCAAACCAATCCAACCCTCCAGCAACCATTCCAGCACCCCAAACTACCCGCAGCACCCACCTCTGAGGCCGATTACTCCATGTCCTTTAACCCCATGGAATCTCCGTACCCACAGCACCACCACCACCACCACCAACTATCAAACCTCCCAACTCCACAGCCATCCGCTCTCTGGTCATTTGCGACACCTACGGACGCCGCACCTGTCGATCAGAATAGCTGCGAGGATCTCACGAGTTTCTTTGAAATGGCCGGTGGGTTCTACTTTGATCCGCGCACGCAGGCCGAGGTCGCGGAGGGGGTGGTGCCTGAGGCGGGGACGGACGGGGCGGGGATCGAGGCGTTGAATGCGGAGGATGAGGCGCTGACGAGGGTGATGGCGGGTTTGTTATGACACAGTAGGCTTTCTTCGGCTCGATGAGTCTTCGTGCCAACTGCCAAGGGATAGTTGAGAAACCAGGATGTGGGGGGCGCCACTCTTCCTTCGGACCTGGGCTTCGCGTCTGCAGTGTGCAGACGGAACGCGGATCTATTCCGAGGACGACGACAGTCGGCTTTGCGGGATAAACATCACGTGATTGACGTCACTTCTGCCCCAGGCTGCAGCCCTTTGACTCCACCCGTCCCTGACACACTAAATGATTGGTCCATGGGTACGGTCATTCCCGTTGACCACTTGCGCACCCCATCAAAGTCGGTCGCCACTCTTCTCAGCGGCTTTGGTACAACTCCTGTTTGCAATCCAAATAAGCATTCAAGCAAGTCATCTAGTCGGACTTTCACAGTCTACTGTGGTGTATGAAGACGTGGAACTCACTATCACAGGGGACCTACGTATTGTACCGTGGTGATACAAAGTATGGTGTAGATCGTGTTTGTGTTCCTGCGGGTCTCCGGTGATCAGTTGCCAGGAGGACGGTGATACACATTACACGTGAAAGATAGGAGCGTGAATAGGAGAGGTTCTTAGATGCAGGGAAATTCAAGAGCTACCAAATAAGATAATCATAGATGGGCCTGCTACTACATATCAATCTTTGCCATGAATCTTGAGTATGTATCTGTTCAGCGAAGTTATTCTTTCGTCTTGTTTCTACGTTGCCGAAACGGGCTGTCCATAGGCGCCATGGTTGGATGTAACGCGGTCCGGCTGCATGAGATGGTGTTTTAGTCTGAAGATTGAGTGCGACAGATGGAAAGTGTAGGAAATGGACTTACTGTCCCGAATCTGATGATGCAACTCATCAAGTCGAGTGCTAAATTGTGTTGCTCATTGGCTCCGATGATTGGATCAGGCGTGATGTACCAGACAGGGTTGGTGAAAGCTGGAAAATACTGCCACTAAAAAAAAGCACATGCCCAATTCTTGAACACAGTGATGTCTCGGGAAAGGTTGAAAGCTGGAGATGATTTCATCATGATCAATTTGGATACAGTAATTGTTGAGACGCTTGATAAACTCTTTCTTGGCTGCTTCAGAAAGACTCCCAGGGCCTCAGTTTCACTACGAATATAGTTGAATGCCCAGTGTTGGAATCTGGTTTGAACACTTGAGAGACCATCTGTCCAATCACCAGGGGAACTCAAGTCCCATCTATTATATGTTGGCAGGATGAAGTCACGCGATATCTCCGCACTGCGCTGAGTTGACGTCTTCAAGTCTCACTTCTGCTCTAGTTATTTGATCTGCTTGCTAGCCTTGCTTTCTGTGACGGAGTGCCTAGTGGCTTCATTCTTCCGAGTGGGTTGGTCGGGCTTTCATACCGCGCTTCGGCTTGAACTTGGATTGTTTCTGAGCTGGAGGGAAAAGGGGAGCAAGTGCTGGAACTTCTGCTGGAGCCGGGAGATGTTCCTGGGTGGTATTTGGCCTTATTATTTCTTGTAACGTTAATCTTCGTTTGAGACTTTTTGCGTATAGGCTTTTGTCAGTGGGAGTATGTAGACCCTGACAATTAGCGCACTCCGGTTGGGTTAACGTGGACAATTAGTCTTACCATAGTCTCCTCAGTTGAAAAGACAATGAGCAGGGAAGATGCAGCAGTGTTAGATATTTTAATTGAAGGGTTTAGAACACACTGTATCAAGAGACTGTTGGGATTATATAGTTCTGTACGTAATGGAGTGCTGTGTGGATAGATAATAACAGCGTGCAGGATAGCATTTGCATTCTCTGGCCGGTAGAAACTGATCATTAGTGAGTTCTTGGATTTCAATACTTTGTGATGTCTAGCCTACCCTATGTAAAGGATGCATGCTCCGGACATCTCCGGGGCTTAGTCTAGAAACGGTCGTCTGGTATCCCCGTTGGTTAGAGACTGTTTGGCAAATCAGTTCCGTGGAATGCTGTAGATTAGGATGGACTAAAAGTCACTAATGATATGTGTTTACTGTCTTTGTTTGAGCCGCCGCGTCCACGCGTCACTAGTGTTTCTGAGTCTTCGTAGCTTCTGATGAAGACATCCAGATCCCCGGACCGGAGCACTTGTACCGCGCAGATTGTCACGTCCTGCAGTGCCGCCAAAACCGCATTCTGCACCTGCTTGCAAATGACCCGACCAGGAACGCCTAGGTAGGGAGGTGTGACGTTGTCACAGCAAATGTGGACGCGACACTCGTTGTTCTGGTCGTCTGGTGGTGTATTAGGCGTCACGCAATTTCTCGCCATGTATGTTTTCTCTATGGGTTCATGCGGAGGAGATATCGCGGGGTGCAGGTTGACTGGGCGTTTCCAGGGTACTGGAGCGAGATTATGGGGACGTAGACCACGGTGATGCTGACCGGTTTAGAGCGTTGTCTGGGGATGAGCTTAATTGAGCGGTTGCACTGATGGATTCCCAAGCTTCAAGCCTCTTGCCCGTGACAAAGCGGCAGTTCATCAAGCCTTGCTCTGAGACAACACGGAGTACATTATCCACCGCTTCAGCGAGCTCTGTAATGGTTGATGCTTGCATGGACCCTTGGGGTACTTGGGGGCATGCTCTCTTAAGCCATGGAAGTGTCTGCGAAGATTAAAGATCGCCTCGCCGATGGGTTGATCGTGTAGATTTGGGAGACCTGGCCACTTCCTCAAGGCCATTATCATTCGCTCTATTGAGTCGAGGCAGTCCGAGAAGGGAGATGTCAGGACTTACTGTGCACAGGATGCCTAGAGGAGGATGGCAGAATTTGCAAGAGCCAGATAAGACGCTAGTTCAATGGCAAGTAAGGGGATTTGTCTGTTCTTGCTGCAACTCTCGGCATGCCGAGGGAAATTGGGATGGAGTTGTATATACCATTAGGGCAGGGGGAATTGAACGCTCCTTCCTTCAGCACCAGCCATAACCCTCCCATTCTCGTTTCTCCCATTTCCTTTTCTTCTTCTTCTTCTTCTTCTTCTTCTTTTCTCCTCCCCATGCCACTTGTGCTCGGTACGTAGACCGTTTTTCGCTCTCACGTTTATCTTGTTCTCGTTGCTGCCTCCCTTTTGATATCGTTTCGACGATGTCGTTCTCCTCCCCCTCCTCCCTTGCAGGAGGACCGCAGATGGCCCGTCTGTGTGTCCCTCCTTTCTCCCTCTCTTCCTTCTTCTCTCTCTCCTGCGCCGTAAAGGATCCGGTACATCCTTTGCGACGCTCCGCTCCGGTCGGTCTCCGACAGTCCTCTCCTTTACCCGCCTATTCAGGCTTCCGTTCTTTGATTGTGGTGCCCTAGGTGAGCACCCCCGTTTCTTTTGTCTCGATGCCCGTTTCTGTCCCTCGTTCTTCTCGTTTGCCTGTTCTGGTTCGTTTCCCTTGCCTGCCAGCACCACCCCGCGTGCGCCCCGTCGTCTTCCCACCATCCCCTCCCCCTCTCATTTGCCTGTGCCTTGTGGCACGTCCACTCGTTCCGTGCCTCGTGGCACATGTATCCCTTGTCCTGTTGTGGTCCTTCGGGCCACGTCCCCTCGTGTATATCGGTGTTCTTCGGGCACCGGTCCTGCTGTGGTTCCTCGGGCCACGTCCTCTCATTCTTACATCCCCCGACCTCGTCCCCCCCCCGGTGGCTTCGGCCATTCCCTCTTGTCCTGTGGCTTCAGCCATTCCCACTCGTTGTCCTGTGCGGACTCGGCCCACGTCCACTCATTCAGATAAGCCGAGGAAGACGGTTCGATTCGTAGAGGACGTTGTTGTCCACTCGGTGGATCGGTGGATCCTCAAGACGCGGGACGTTCACAGGTCTTGCTGGTAGGTGAGTCTTTCCTTTTCCTTGTTTGTTTGTTTCTTTCTGAACGGGCTTCTTTTCTTTGCTGTCACTCCTTGATGTGTTTTTCTTCTCGTTTTTTGTATAACTTATTGCTGTATATATTATCTTTTGTATCTCTTATCCTTTTTTCCCGGCTTGACTGTACCGGAGTCAAGTTGGGGCTCTTTACTGCTGAGGCCAGGTCACAGGTCAGGGCGAGAGACGACATCGAACTCCCAACGGGTGATCGAGGCACCCCAGATTCCACTCAATCGATCAGCACCGGCTACCAACGAATGTCTAGCACCGAACACCGCTGCGATACGTTACAACAGGTTTTACGCCCTTTTCGCTTTTTCGACTTGATAACGGTACCCCGGGTGTCGACGTGACGGCCATTCCGACAAATGACAGCGAATAAACGACCGGATAAGCGTTTGGGGTTGTTGGAGGAACTGGGTTTCTGTGTGGGCAGCAGGGGCTTGGGGAATCGGCAACCACGCTTATTCAGCAACGATTTATTGACGGTTTGGAAGAAGGCTCGAACGGCGACATACATGGATCGTACGACAGAATCAAGCAAGCGACCAATGCGGTGTTCGGCTAGCGACAACATTCGGCGATGCGACAGCGGCTATCGATGGAACTGGGATTGTCAACGGCTCGGCGGGTTGTTCAGCGAAGGGGTTGCAGGTGTCGGGGGATCCGGGGGAGGCTGATATCTCGTGTATATCAAGGGGGGGATTTGCTTTTCTGGCGGGTTCTGGCGGGCGTTGGTCGGTTGGGTAGTAGTGTCGTTTCTTTCTTATGTCCGGAGTTTGGTGTTTAGCCCTCGGGATGAGCTGGCAGGAGTCGGGAGTTGGGTGGTTAGACAAAAGTGCTGTTTTTGATGTCGTTTCTTTTGGTTTTGTATGGTGCGTGTGGTGTGTGCGTGGTGTGATGTGGTGTTTTCCTTTTTTTTTTTTTTTTTTGTATGGTGTCGTGGGGTGTCGTTTCTTGTCCTTTCCTATGTTTAGATTTTCCTTTGTTCAACTTTGCTTTTGGGGGGTCTGCTTTTCTTGCCAGATTTTTGTGGGAGGATCTTGGGGTTTGCTATCTCTACGGAGATTTCTTCCTGTCATCCAGGCTCGGCGCGGCTGTGGACTTTATGTCATTAGTTAGGGGGCCGTGGCTTCGGCATCGAGTCACTCCGTGTCCCAACACACACTTGTTTGTATTCTCCAGGCTCGGCGTGGTCATGGGGTTTATGTCCTTAGTTAGGGGGTTGTGATTTCGTCAATGGTCACCCTTTACCCCACACACGTGGTGCTGGTGCTCGTAGGATGTAATGTGTAATCTTGAGTGAGGAAGAAGAGGCAGCGGAGGAGAAGAGGAGGAGAGTAAGTGGAGGAGAAGAGGAGGAGAAAGAAAGTAGATGATATAAGACGGGTACGACGTACAGAGAGAAGAGACGCCGTGTGATGACCACGAAGAAAGAGGCCATGTGGTCTGCCTGCCTACAGTGAATATAGAGAATTGTAAATACAGACTTATGTTCTTTGGTAGCCCGGAGAATACCGCTCAAAGCAAACTACGTCCCGGCACGTCTGAGCCTTTTGCCATTCCACCGTCCCCAATCCGAGCTATGATCGATTAGGGCGTGGTTGGAAGAAGTGGCCCTCTCCCAAGTGCCTGCACAAGACAAGCTACGGACTACGATCCAACAAGTCCAATCAGTTTTCCGTTTTCCCTGTTGGAGCGAGTACCGAAAGACGCGAAGGTTGCGAAGAAAGTTGACATCGATGAGGGACCCAAGGAAGAGTATGAGGGTGACGCAATCATTGACCAACAACGAATCAACAACAAATGACATTACCTCGTCGAGTGGAAATGCTTTGATACTGCTGAAGGTACGTGGGAACCCATCAAACAGTCTTCATGTTCCATTTCATCGAGTACTTTTGACTCGTGCTGAATCCTCAATCTGATACGCTCATTGATGAACTCAAAGCATTGTTCCCATCGTTTCACTCCAGTTGTCATCTTACCTAGTTCCTCTCGCAGATCCTTCATCCGCTTTTGCTGCGCTGCCAGCTCACTAGCTACTCGAGTCCTTCCCTGCAAGCATGTAGTGTCGGGAGGACAGCTCAAGGGGAGGAAGATGTAGGAGGAAGTGATCATGGATGATGTCTAGCTAATCGCTACGGTGGCCTGATATAGGGGAAGTAGCGGTGTAGCATCACGTGACTGCCTAGTCGTCATCGGGGATCGCCATCGGGGATTCCGACATGTATCCCACTCCTTGTCAGGGTAAAATCGCTGCTCGCACTTTCGAGCTATCGAAACGCACGCTGCGCCCCTGACGCTTGCGGAAGACATGACGCACTTTTGACCACGACGATCACAATGCACACAAGGGGACTTACTTGGAGTGCCTGAGGCAGTTATTCTGTTCGCTAAGCGATGCTTGTCGGCGGCTTAACGGCTTTTTTTTTTCTATTATTTTTTTTTCCATCGCTGGTAATTGCAACAAGGGTGGAAATTGATATGCGTGGGGGAGAGTGCTATGGCTAGTAGCCGACGAACAAAGACGTAGCTAGGGCTGGATAGAGGCCAAGTAGTGCTGCGCACTGTCTGTAAGTATTGTAGACGAGTGTAGAAGGTCGGTCACTTAAAGACAAGTGAATCGAGCACGAAGAGAAGCTAACTGACCGAGGGGGATGAGGGGATATATATATCCATGGAGAACGCAGGCAGCGCCACTACTGAAGCGTTCAATGTACGCTCCAGGTTGCATGCACAGAAATGTATGTGATGGCAGACGCTCCCAATGTCACGTGACCTCAGCGCGTGTAGGTCAGATGTCATCCTTTCATGGGGATTGTGACTCCTCAGGTGGGGCAAGAAGAGGTTACCAAGCTTATGTTGAAGTTTGTGGTTCTGGCGGGGTGAAGGTTAACCCAACATGTAACCTGGTCGCTGGGATAGTGACCACCACATCACACATCAGCCCTTTAGCCCGCTTGGTGTCTTCCACCAGCGGGGTGATTCTGAGGCGTGACGTTGTGGTTATTGAGCTTGACGACGGTGTTTTGTAGGCAGAGATCCCTGGCATTTGAAGCCTGTACGTAGTCGAGGTCAAACGGGCTGGGCCCAGTCAGCCATCCAGAGCATAGCAAAGACGGCGGCCGCAACAGAAGGGCTTACTACCATACTGTAGACACTACGCGCACCAAGTCGAGGCCATCCAGTTCCCTCCATACCCTTATCACATCTCACGAGCAATGCTAACCTAAACAAAGCTCTACAAGCCTAAATCATCTACATAGGAAGGAACATGCAGCAGTCTTTGGACCTTTTCCATTTTCTTTTTTCTTTTTTTCTCTTCTTCTTCTTCAACAACACCCCCCCCATTTGGGTAGATGAGCCAGGGAAAATTCCTTGCATGGTCTTTAGTCTTTCCATGCAAGGTAAAAACCTGACCAGGGTGAGCCATACAAACAAACAACAACAACACATGAGACACAACACCACAAACTTTCCCTTCTTCTTCTTGTTTCCTCCACAATGATACCACAAAAATCTCACAAAACATGAACCCCAATTTCCCTTGTTTTCCTCCGCTGATTGCCTTGATCCCCTGATTTCTCTTTCCTCCGCTGATTGCTCTTGGTTCCCTGATTTCCTTTGTATCCTCCGCTGAATGCCTTTGTTGGTTGGTTGATAGGTTGGTTGGTTCGATGGGTTGGTTTGGTTGGTTGGATGGATGCCCTAATACCAGTCAGTCTCCATAATACACATCAGTAGCCAGACAGTAACAACTCACCATTAGACATCCATCATGATGGTGTCGCCATCTTGATCGATAAGAGCTTCGATCCTTTCGATGTTTTGGATGTAGTTGCGAGGCATTTGTTGCCCGCGTTTGGTGATCCGGTTTGTTGGTTGATTAGAGGGAAACCATAAAATTGAAGCCAGGAGGCTTCCTGAACATATTACATGATATAGAGAAATCCGCCATTCCCAGCTGCTTAACAAAATAGTCGAACACATGACAATCAACCAGGTCTACGCCCGCATCTGCGACCTCGACCACCACGACCACGGTTGCCGTTATTAAAGTTGGACCTGTGGTTCCTATCGTCATCTTTAAGCTTGTGGCTGACAGCGTGAATGGACAGCCCGTTTTGTGAGAACGGGTCCTTGTGAGAGCATTCGAACTGAGAGAATAGAGTATAAACGGGTGCTGGTTGCGACAGATGTATCGTTCCGTGTCATATACCGATTTGTAGGAACGGTCTGCGGTGCAGGAACATCTTGTATTGCATTAAAGAACTGCAGGAGTTTACTGTAGTCATCAATCAATTTGGCGTTTCGGAGCGCATTTCAGAGCGTCTGTGTACTTCGTAGGAAAGATTTCATGACTGCTTATGTCATTTTAGCGGATTGACATCTTTTTACTATATAAACAGACAGGTGTTGTAAAGTCAGGGAAATCATACTCGTCACAAAGAATGTTATCCGGGTCGCAAGCAGTATCGCAGTGTTGGAAATATGATGCAGGACTTGAATTAACTGTAGCATTGAGAATTACTAGTCCAAAGTAGTTTATTTGAATCCAATGCTTATAGCTATTATCATAGTGGGTTTCTAATTGTTGATATCGCTCCTTCGCTTCTTGTATGGCTTCTTTGATGTTGACATCACTGGGTTCATCTCACTTTCCTCAAAATCTGCAGCGAACACGCGTCGTATTTCATTGGCATCTTCTGGATAGAAATCAGGCTCTTCTGGTGCGGTGTAGGGGCCACGAACGAGCTCCCAAGAACGTGCGTCGCGTGATTTCAGGTAATTTCGTAGGCTGCGCTGCCAGGTGAGCCAGTTGTGACCCTTCAGTTTTAGAATCGCTTGGTTAACGTCGATATTGAACGATCCTTGGCTATCGATGTCATAGTGAACCGTGTAGCCGCGCTGCTTGCACGGTGAGCGTTGTGGTTGATAGTGGGAGGGGGGGGGGGGGGGAGTTGCCAAGCTGGCGAGACGTGTCCGGAACGCTGCGACGTTGCGCTAGTCGCTTAAAAAGTATTAAAACCAAAGCATATAGCCATTTAGGGGATAGAATTGCTAGAAAAACAATAAAACCTGATCTTTTTGGACACGAGGGCTTATAACCTGTCAGATCAGTCACAATCACACCTTCCTGTCTAGAAAGCGGTGTTGAAGTTTCTAATAGCCGGTAAGCAGTCACGTGGTACCATACTACTACTTCCCCTATATCAGGACCCCATAACGATTAGCTAGACCTCATCAGTTCAAGATTACTTCCTCCATCTTGCTCCTCCTGAGCCTACCTTCCAACATAGTCCATGTTCAATAAGATTTCAATTAACTAAACCTGCCAAGTTAACGAACAGGCAATGATAGCTATTTAGAGAAGGAAATGCGCAGAACAGTATCACCCGCCAAACAACCAATCCCTAGGCTCTCTTTGGGGGGAGGTTCTCCTTTCGTGTTTCGGGGGCCTTCGCGGGCTTTTTGTACGGAGCACGCCAGATGTTGTAAGCTTCCACGAACGGGCTCTCCTCATCGACCACAACAGACGTGGCCGAGTTGATGTATGCGAGGCCCTCAAGGTCGATTAGATAAAGCTTGTCCGTGGTGCTATCGTAGTTGAGATAACTGGCGTGCTGCATGACCAGTTAATAATCCTTCTTCGCAACGTCCTATGTGGCAAGCATTCGTTAGTAAGATATAAATCCACCCCAGATGGTCAATTAGCTTACTCCAAGATGTTCGCGAGCTGAGTTCGGATACTCACCAACTGCTTATCAGTGAGCAGGTGTTGGATGTCATCGACTTTCTGACCCAAGGGAGTCCTCAAGACCAGGAAGTCGATATAGCCGCCGGGATAAGGCATCCACTCAGGCTGGTCCTGAGTTTCGTGGGCGATATATTTTAGTCCAAGTTCCTTGTTGCCCAAGAGTTCGACAGGCTCAGTTTCATGGCAGTAATGTTGCTCGGCGATCTCTAGGATCTCCTTGTGATCGTCGAAATCAAAGTCTTTCGGGTTCATTTCATAGCGTATCTTGAGGAAGAAGGATACTTGAGTCAAAGTGTTTCTACACTTTGCTAGAACATGACGCTGGCCCAGTTCCCTGTCTAATACCTCGGAGAATTGCTCTTCGATCTTCACTGTTCTTCCATCGATTTCGAAGACTCGTCCTTCCAGGCTGCAGGCCCACATGGTTGGTCGCTTGTATGGTTTGATGTGATGAGAATGGAGATGTTAATAGGATGGATTTTGGATATTGTGTTGTAAAGTTAGAAGGATTATTTTTGACAGGGATTTTGATATGAGTCACTGCCACCGTCACCCATCATTCACCCATGACATTCAGGTGGCGTCATTGTGATTGTTATCGAAGTTGCTTCATTGCAAAGCGAATATAGCGCGCTTTGCAATAGTAGAGATTCTAGCTCTAAGGCTTCTGAGCCTCATACTGAGGCACTTCGCAACCCCTTGGACACCTAGTAAGCGCACTACTGCTAGGCCCATGACACGGCAGCTGTCACAAGTATAACCTTTTTAGGGAGGCGCTACAACCACACCTTTCGCTGTGACGGCAGTTCCGCCAGGTATCACGTGACGCTTACGTCATCCTGTTTGTTCTGTTTGCTTTGACGTCGCCAGTGTTGTTTTTCTTTAGCGGACGCCCACAACACTTTCTGTTTTCCTTTTTTCCTCTTCACGCTTAAAGTTCTCGAGTAGTTAGTACCAATACAACTTCATTTTGTGTTGAACGGCCGTCTCATAACTTTAAGCGTCCTCTCTACCTCTTTTCTACTGCTGTACACAGTCAGCTCCTGCTAAGCCGTCAGCAGTCCCCCCACTCGCGTTCTTGGCGACGCTTAACGGCCAAACACGACCCACCCAGCCGACCGGACGAACCAAACAAAATGGCTAGAGAAAGTGGCCAGACTCCTGCCCCTGCTAGCAACCGAAGACTCTCCGCGATGGTCCCTGGCGAACCAGACTGGAAAGACAGATTCAACCAACCTGAATTCGACTCCCGATACAAGAGAGACCCGAAGCAGACCTTCGATATCCTGCTACAGATCTTTAACAACCTGGAGACTGAAAGGGGCAATCTCCTCGACGTCCAAGACAGACAGAGCCAGGAGATTGCGATCTTTACCGACCCGAACAAAGCCCGTAACGCCCGTCGCCAGTACAGTGGACTGCGTATGAGGGTCGGAGAGAAGTTCTACGCCTTTATCTCAAACTTCCGTTACCTAGCTGTGGAGGCAGGGATCAGTGAGGATATTTGGAAGGAAGACTTGTACAACAAAATACCTCCTAAACGAAGGAGGCAACTCTGTACAGTTTCAACAACGAGGAGCATTCCTTTGACCGCTATGTGAAAGAGTGCGCCAATTCCGCTGACCTTGTCGATGACATGATGAGATACCGTACCAAGGGCAACACCGCAACTGCTGGCAGTCGTGGAAAGGCCCGTGGCCCTCGCACCGTCCCGGCTGCCTCAAGCCTTGAGAACACGGCCTCTAAAGCTCCCACCCGCGCTTCTAGCATGGAACCCGAGGATAGGGAGACCCTGATGAAGGAAGGGAAGTGTTTTTACTGCAAGGAACCCGGCCACCGGAGCAGAGAATGTCCAAAGAAGAAGACCATGCAGGTAAAGGCCCTAGAGGCCCCGAAGGAGGAACCTGAGTCAGCAAAAGACGACGCCTAAAAGAGACTCCTTCCTGGACGAGTTGGAAGCTCAAGCCAGCACAGTGGACCTACGAGACCTGTTAGGGAATGACAGTAATAGTTTTACAATCACCACTCTGTTTTCTAATGATGGTATCGCTGTTCCTGCCCGTACACTTACTGATTTTGGAGCCAACGCCTACTCATTAGTAGACACTACCTTCGCTATTAAATTAGCACGACACTTTAAGATCCCAATCTAGCCCCTAAGCAAGGCCACCCCCGTGACGGGCTTCGACAGGAAGCTGGCCACAGACCTGACACATGTGATTTACTTAAATCTAACAGTTAACGGTCGCCCGTTTCCAGAGACCCCATTCCTTATACTGGACTTAGGGAGGCACGATGCCATCCTGGGCCGGATGTGGTTTGCCAAGCACAATACCCTGCTGAATTGTCGGAATGGTCAACTAGTCTGGCCGAACCAACTAACCTTAGAAGATGAGGTAAAAACTGGCCTCCTTACAAACATCCCCCGGAGCGTCCTGGATCGCCCCCCCGTGGACTGAAAGCATCAACAAGACGCAGCCCGGAGGGACCGCAAGATACAGCTAGCAGAGATGCAACTGAAGCCCCGGCCCTCCGTGACAATCCTCCCCCGTACCAGCCGAAGCAGCCCGTGTGAGGCCCTCGCAAAGATGAAGCGCAATCTAGAAGGAGAAAGCTACCAGTACCACCGCTCCTCCAGCACCATGAAAACGAGGCCAGTGTCTGTACTGTCCAAGCCTCCCTACGGAGAGATCGCCCTCAATGGTCAAGTCAAGTCAAGTCAAGTCAAGTCAAGTCATATTCTATTAGCCTAATGGAGCCCGCTAAGTGTGATGCTAGCTATGTAGGCGCTTCCCGTTGAAGCAAGAATATAAAGCCAGAACGCCTGTCAAATCCCACAAATACCAAATCTCACAGTGAAACAACACAAAAGCCACGCGTATAGAAAGAAGTCGGTAACGCAGCAAAACACAACTAAATAAGCACTTTTAATGCGCAACTAATGACCAGCTGCCTGCAAGTCCATCCACCCTCCGTTCTCCGCTTCTCATTCCTGGTTCCAACCTGCGTGTTATTATACTGGTATGCGTGTATGCCCTGGCGAATCAACCAGGGCGTGTTTGAGGCCTCTACCCATCGTCTTCAGCGTCTATCCCCAATGCCCTTAGGCCTGTGTGTTCATGGCTCGAGTCAGGGTCCATGTCCAGGTCAGGGTCAGGATCAGGGTCGGGATCCAACTCTACCTGGCTGAACTGTCCGAGCAAGCCTGTTTGCAGCATGGATTCGGCGACGTAGCGGATCGCCTGCGGGTTTGATATCAGCGTATTGAGAATACTATTCTACCATTTATGCAATGCGAGTTAAACCTATACTAAAAGATAGAAGGTGTGGTTGTAGCCTGGCCGGTGTGGCTGTAGCGCCTCCCTTCTTTTTCCGTCTGTTCTCCAGAGATCAGCGGAATGTATTTTTGGTCTACTGGTATAATACTTGAAATCATACGATGAAAGGAAAGCGTAGGTTGCTTGATTGCTGCCTAGCTAGCTACGTGTGAAGCAAATGTGTTGTCGGCGGAGCAGTCCATATGACCACCGCCAGCAATCGGGAAAGTGTTATTCACAGCCTGAGGTCCGTGTCATCCGGCGGCTGAATAAGGGGAGCGAAGCGTGCCATAACCTCCTTTGCGGAGACATCGGGGCCAAGCACCCAGGACGAGGATTGACCTTCCTTAATTCTCTTTGACAGACCCTGGCTTGGCTGGTGGCGTTTTGGAGGCCGTTCAGAATCATTTTCTTGAACGGTATCTAAATCAACAGAACGTGCCCGGTTGCCGGAGATAGTCTCGATGTCCGCTACTGCTTCCTCATCCAGGAAATACAAATCTCTCAACTCCTGGAGTTCGAGACGTTGCTTTTTGCTCAAGGCACCAATCCTGCCACTTCCTAAGAGAGGAAAGCACCGCCGAAGTGCTGCCAAAGGGGCGCCATGCCACTCATGGGGTACTCGAAGTTCTTCAGTGATGTCCACAGATACATGTGGAGCTAGGTACCGTTGAAGAAAGACGGGCTCATAGAGTCCACCAATCGCTGATGGGGTCAGATCCACGTAGAGTATCTGGTGGGCCTTGTACATGTCCGCTGTCGGAACCTCACGGATGGCAACTTTCCCATCTCTGGATGCATGGCGTCTTCTTTCACGGTCCTTTTTCTCAGAGTCCAAGAAAAAGCGGATATCGGTCGGGTTCAGGGATACCCCTGGGTCCAAAGCACAGCCGAACATGATGTGGCAGGTGCCACAGAGCGCAATGGCATTTGCTACAGATGTTAAGGAGAAATTTATCAGGCCGCGTTCCAGCCACAGTGCTGCCTATACATCTATTAATCAACATAGGCTGAACGGTTGCTGGATATTATACGAGTCTATACCTGACGGTCGTCTTTGGCGATCATTTGCGCGATCCGGGGATAAGGTGCCCCGCATACCCAACAGCTATTATCCGATAGCTCCTTCATCCGGAGGTTTGTGCACACTGAAAACGTACTAGACACATCGGATGTGCCGGCGCTCGAAGTGGCCATGTTCGTGATTCGTGTTCTGCGTGACTGTCTGCTCCTTGCTGGGGCCGACGCTGTCGGAGATTCTGGAGTGGGCATGAGCTGATTGTCAGCCGTGACTTTGGACGCAGGAAACAGAGGGAAACGGTTGAAGCAAGGCTAGTAGACGTGATAAAACGGCTGACTGTTGGCTGGATCTCTCACATATCACAGAGAGAAAGCACTGTTTCTGCAGGACCTGAATCAGGTAACCGCAACGGGGGACTTGGCAAAGGCGGTCGTCAAAACCATGTCATACATACCAACGTAGAATCGATTTCTGCATTGTTCACAACTTTACGACTACTGCAGAAGGCGCCACGTCTCCGTCATCACGTGGCTACTATTGACGGCTCACCGGCCATGTGAATGGCCCGTTTCACCTTTACCACTCTCGCCGATTCACTTACTTCAGCGAAGTGTTTCAGAGTACTATCCATGTCCAGCGCATGTCTGAGCCATGCCAGCCTGGTGGCAGTTTTCGTGGGCTTTCCATCCCTCACACTCCTGAGCTGGAAGTCTCGTCCGATGACGCCCCCGATCGATCCCTCGTGCGTGATACGTCACGTGATTCGAGAACGTCTTAGTAAGCACTGTATGGACTTCGCTGGAAGGGTGGGTGTAGGTCCATTGGACCATACAAACAAACGAGATGCGTAGGTTGCTTGATTGATTGCTGCCTAGCTACCTACGTGAAGGACAAAGATGTGACCTCTGACACAGTCACTAACCATTCTAGCCCGTAAAGTCGAAGAACGACACTACCACCAGGAATACAAAGAAAGATTTTCCTCCATGGTGACCAAGCATAATCCATAAACAATTCATTTCCGGTTCACCATCACACCGACCAAAATCAACAGGAGCTGAATTGGCGAAAGACCTCATAGTAAGGGCTCCGAATATCATTCCAGAACGGCAATGAGGGATTGACCCAGAAGCTGTGATAGATTGTCTTCAATGCGGCCACATCTCCAACACTAGGAGACCAGTTCGGGCCCCAGGTCCATGCATCAGAGTACCGAGAGAGGACCGGTTTATTGTCGTAATCAATGGTATCGCTAAACGACTGGTATAGCATGATTGAATCCCAATCAACCATGCTAGCATCAGCCCACCACCAGTGCGACGAGTATATCTCGCCCTGTTCCGGAAGCCAGTCGGCAGCGCGAAAGCCAACACTATTAGCTTGGCGTTGGTCTTTGCAGACGCCATGGATCCCCCAAATTTCCTCCACGCTCAGGTCCTTGGTGACCTCATTAAAATCCACCAGGTAGATACAGTTGAATTTAAACACCCGCTCGGTGGAATGTAGGCCCCAGAATGAAGGGTCCTGATGTTCGTGTAGGAGTCCGAACGAATGTCCCAATTCATGAGCAACTTGTTTGATAGTCCATTGCATGTTGGCCCGATTAATGAACACGTGGAGGGTTGGTTTGTTGACTGGAGGATAAAACGGAGTCCCTTCCATGTTAACCATGGGCATGCCAATATCACTGGAGAATAAGTCGCGTGTTTGTTTAACGTACAGCGATTCCCAAGGCTTGTCGGTGCAACTCTGGCCGTTGATCTCTAACAGTCGGAAACGCTCAGGCAAGCCGGCTGCATACCATAATCGCATTGCGGCCCAGAGAATGTCGTGAAAAATATTCCGCGTGTCGTCGCTCTCGTAGCATAGGGGGATAGTTGACTCAGGCCAGAAATGGGATCCTAAGCCAGGTTTGAGCGATAAGAATTCGGTACTGGGGAACCGCGCATGCTCCCAGTCCGGATGGCCGGCATCGACCACGGGGAAGGTGGCCAACAGGAGGAGGAAGAAGAAGAAGAGAAGAAAACCCATCATCCACTGCCACAGAGATGCCATGATGTCTGAGTTGGAACTGGAAAAGAGGAAGCTGGTGTACGCCATATAGCAACGATGACGGATGGAAACACGATGAAGAGAAAGTGGAAGAGCCGAAGAACACCAATGAAATATTCACTCGGAGTGCAGACGGCACGATCCTGCATGGCATTCACCAGCGACGAGGGAATTCGCATTTCTTCCAGGACCGGAGAGCTCGGAGTTGGAGGCAAGACATGGCCTCCTTCACCTTCTA